AACAATGGACACAACAACAATGGACACAACAACAATGGACACAACAACAATGAACACACAACAACGAACACAACAACAATGAACAGCGAGCACAAAAGCAGACACACCCAATCCCAAAATGAGAAAATACACAATCCATCACCATCCATCGCCATTCCGCACTCCGCACATACGAACCAGGGTACGATGTAAGCACGCAAACAAGCAAGGCAAAACCTCGAGACGTGGCCGCTCACCGGTCACAGCCTGGTGGGCTGACATGAATGTATGTATGTATATGTGTGTGTATGTATGTACGAACTGCAGGACGGTACAGCTGGCCGGGGGGTGGAGAGGTATGGCGTATCTCGGGGCGCTGAGGAGATCGATTTTATGTGGAAAATGTAATGATACAGAGAAAACAGACTGCTTTCTTTCTTCTTGAGGTCTATCTATTTTTTAATGTGCTGAGCTAGGTATATGTTCATTTGTCGCGATTTGTTTACGACACTCTGGGGGAAGGGACTTTTGTTGTATGCGGACTTCTAGACAATTGCCCTGCTATAGAGCTACCCCTACGTAGCTGCTTCTTCTGCCAGTGAGACTCAGCCTTGTGGATGGATTAAATCAGACTTGAACTATGCAGGCTGAGCATTCGCAGGTGGATGCTATGGCATGGCGACTCCAGCCTGCAATGTGTTGCACGAAGGTGAGTTTAAGTGTATCCATGGCGAATGCACGTCGCCGATACTATGAGTATATATGATAGGCTACACGCGATCATGCAGTATGACGGACGCTCTAAATCTCTTCAAGGTCATCGTCAATGGAGATGATGCCAAAGTCGCCCGCCTCGACGCGTTCCGGCCGAACGAAGACGCCGCAATTTGCATTGCATGTGAAGTAACGAGAGCCTTTGACAGAGCCATCGTTCTTCCCGGTTGGTTCATCTAGAGCTACGCCTACCCATGGTCCAGGACCAGGCAGTTGCGAAATCAGACCGACGTAGCGAATCTCTCCATGGCGTGGAGTCGATGATGGTAGGAGGCGACACCGTCGACTGACACGAAGATCTGGCAGACAGTATCGTTAGCGAGCGGTAGGATTCGAACGACGCAGGAGCAGATGCTGGGAGTCACATAAGGGCACCATCACACACCACAGGCAACAGCAAGAAGGGCTCATATTCATGTCAGTAGCACAGGTTTCGGTCTCTTCAAGATATGCCGATATGTGCCAATCAGCGAGAGCAGATCCTCATGTGCTCTGATAGAACTGCCTCAAATGCCGGTTTGGCCCCTGCCGCGACACGGTTGACGCCAAGACTTGGGCGAGAAGGATTGTACTCCCTGCCCTACGCATTCATGCAGTCGCTAGATAAGGGGATTCGATGCGAGGTTGGTGTGAAACATAAGACATAGACAAGCTACGTTATGAGATGGGATGAATTGTAACATACCTTTATCTTTGATCTCCTGTTCCAGTTCTAGTATCTTCTGCTGCTCGAGCGACGGAGCGTCTGGATCAAAGCGACCCAACTTCTGCGACTTCTTCCAAGCTAAGACACTGTCGGAACGGGATTCGTATTCATTTTCGGGCATGACGTATTTTGGAACAGCGGACACATCGGAAAAGTCTACGCGAGCCGCAGCGGGTCGAGTATCATGAACCTAGACATCGCTGTTAGAGATAGAAAGGAGACAAATCGAAGTCAGTAGATGTTCGATCTATAAATAGATGAGGAGTAAACTGCGGGAGCAGAGGATGGAGATGAGTGCGCAGAGTGTTTCAGCGTTGCATCCATCCCGTCCAGCTGCCGAGGACAAGGATACAAGGCCAATGATGGGCAGAACACAGCCCTGAACATGACAAGCTTGCGGTACGGCTATGTCAGACGAATGCCCAGGCATAGAGAGAAAGTAGAGGGCATCGTTCACTCCATGGTAACAACACATGATCCCTGAAGCGAAACAGCGTACGAGTCGCAGGTGCATGGACAAGCACATGTCACTGAAAAAAAAAAGAACAAGAATGCCGAATCAAACTAGCGACGGTAGATGGTGGACCTTTTTTTCTTGAGACGATGAGGCAGAAAGAAAAGGAGGGCGCAGGTATAGGGACGTGGCCGGCTTCTTCCAGCATGGCTAGAGTGAAAGAAGAAGAAAGGAAAGTAACAGGGAGCTTACGTATATCTCAGCATAGGCCTGAAGGGGATAAGCGGCAAGCTGCACACTCTCTTCGTCGACAGCTTCGACGGGAGCGCCTTGGATAGTAAGCCGCTGGGCAGAAGCGGGTATGCCGGTGATGGGCTCCAGACGAGTTTTCAACTGAGCAATGGACCACGAAGGCGTGATACGACGCTCAGACTTGGTTGTGGCGGAGGTGACGAGCATGGGCACGTCTGGCTGGGACTGCATACTATCCATCGTGTCGGCGAGTTTTTTTTTTCTGTCTTGACGGTCTAAAATTGAACGTGAAGATGCGAGGCGTGGTAGCTGGACAGCAGTAGATCCGTGTCTGAGATGTCACGATCTGTAGGGCACGGGGACGTGCTGTCGAATTAGAGACGATCTGTAGAGCCGAGGAAGGGCAGAGGAGGGAGATCAGTAGAATGGATAGATCAGCAGTTTGCAGCGGTTCGGAGAAGGCGCTGGCGTCATTTGCGGGATCAAGTGACGAGAGGAGAGAGCTGAAGGGTGCGTCGGCAGTTGTGAGTCGTGGGTGATGAAGCGGCGGTGAACGATTGAACGAAGCGCAGGAACAGGAGGAAACGTGAAAAGTAGACGAGATGATGGCGATGGCTGTGGTCGTTGTGGTTGTGGTTTGGTGGTTATGGTCATGGCTAGTATGATTAGTGGCGCGGCGGCGGCTGTGGCGTAGTGGAGTCGGTATCGGTAGGACTGAAGTGGCTTGTGCTTCTAGGCCGGCGGATGAAAAAGAAAAAAAAAGTCAAGGCGAAGGCGAAGACGAAAGCGAAAGTGAAGGTCCAGCCAGGTCAGGGTTAAGGTCAAGGTCAAGGGTGATAACAACAAGATTCAGTTCAATCAAAGTCATTTTATCAATGCAATTGGAAGTCTAAAAGAGTCTCAGCCTCATCGATGGAGATTTACCAATCATAGCTATAGCCATTGCCATAGCCATTGCCATAGCCCGCATCACGACCCGGCCATCTGGCTAGAAGTGAGGGACAGCAGCAGTGCAGTGTATTGCAGATAGGGCCACTGTTATTCGATATTGATTGACACGACGATCAGTCAACAAATGTAGGACAGAACATCATGTCGTCATGAGTGAGTGACATAGACTTGGGTATCTGTCCACACCCTTAGGACCAGTGTCTTGTGCTCGGAGGTACTGTCAATGGCGATGTCTGTCATTGTCACTGTCAGTGTCAGTGTCACTACCATCACTACCACTGCCACAGTCATTGTTGTCATTGTCCCTAATCACCACAAGTCGCCGCAAGCGTCACAGCGCCGTTCCAGAACAATGGTCAACTCTGAAACAGCCGCGCGAGAGGCTTGTGCAGTGTCTTTGTGCTTTGTGGGGACCTCCCTCAATCACGCCCACGGACATCTGGGGTCCCTGCCACTTGTCACCCTGACCTGGGCCAGCCATTCACTTCACCTCCCTCTCCCTAAAGAAAAAGCCATGAGCTGCAGTATTCAACCAACTCAAAAAGTCCGCATCAAGAATATAGTTCACCTCCTGCACTCACGGCCCGCAGCTGTTATTGCTCCGGAGCCTGCAAGTGCAAGGTACTTTTCACATTCTGCACTGCTGCACCTCCTTCACTTCCAATCGGCAATCGCGACCGTTTGCTCCACAGCACCACATTAGATAGATGAACTCCATTATTCCTCATTTCCATCTTCTCCTCACCACCTCAACCATGCCTCCATGTCCCATGTCCTATGTTTCCAAGGCTCTCCTTGCTTTCTGCCTGCTGTCAGGCTGAGCTGTCATTCATCGTGACTCCACTTCTGCGCATCCATGATCCATGCATGCCCGTCTGCTCCGTTCTTTTCCTGTCCGCCGACCGGCCTTGAGCCTTGTCGTCCTAAGAGCCTCACCTCAACCACACGCTACATTCGTGGCTGGTGGTTTGCTGTTGGCCCACGACTGCCCAACCACTCCTCCTAACTGAGCAAGGTCAACAGTAGTCCATCTGAGCATTGCTGGCTGCTCTGATTGCACTATCAAGCCACCCAAGCAAGGCCGTCGACTGCATCACGCCTCCTCACAAGTCCATCTCCTCTGCTCGTTGTCTGCTCGTGGCTTCTGGTTGCTGACGTGGTGCGACGGAGGCGGGACCAGGCATTCGGGGATGCCGCTCCTTCCCCACCTTAAGCCGGGTTACAGGTATAAAACGGCATAAACAAAAAAAGTCGCTCACAACCTTGGGACCGCACATCTCAAACTAATTACACCCCCAGGGCTATGTGTCGGCTTGTTGTTTTGCGTGACCGCCAAGCCTCCTTAGTTCTCCGGTCCATTACGGGTAAGGCTCAGCAATAGCATCTGACTTGGTCCGATCCTCTGACGCTGCACGCCCGTCTGGTCAACAGCATGGATATGGCTCAATGCGGGAATAACCAGATCAGTGACACGTTCAAGCAGTTACTTACTTGGACTACCAAGGTCAGATGGCGACGTGTTCTGCCTAGTACATCAGTCGCGTTGTCAGCACTCAAGATGCCCACACCGCTGTTACAGACTCTTTGACCACCGTGACTCTTTGCCTGAGACGTGAGACGCCGAAGATTATTATGTAGGTCGAGCGATTCAACGAACAGGCAGAAAAGCTGGCATTGCCATTCGGACCGGATGGCAGGACCACACCGCTATATGTAAGTACAAGGATGAAGGGTACAGAGAAACGGACTTTGGATCGACGGAAGTCATGGACCAAGAGCCCAGAAGGACCCAAGTAGCCTGTCTAGACCTTGAGTAGTTCCTTGAGGCGTTGTGAGTCCGGGAAGAGGCAAAACAGGTCGTCAGAACAGGCAGGCAGCACATTCGGTGGGTATATCCGAGCCGACACGCGCCGACTAAGGCAAAGGGTTCGCGCGAACGGGAAGGCTTATTCTTATTATATGAAGGTTCGGCCGGTGATGGTGGTAGATTCAGCCCTAGCACGCGGCTTGTACATGGCCGCGTGACTATGAGAAGTCTGAACAAGATGTTCACACAACCGTCTAATTCGTTGGATGGGGCGAACGACGGCCTGAAGGTTGCATCATGGCGGACGCGTGAACGGACACGCTGTACCACCTTCACCGCCCAAGTTATGTCATTCTTGTCTAAGAGATTCTGCTGGAGTTGATGGCGGACAATGGCAGCATCAGCATCACAGCATGAGCATCTTTCTTTTGCAGGGCGAGTGGATGGATCATAGACGTGGTAAATTAAAAGGGCGGGCCGGAAGTCTGAAGAAGCATGAAGTCTGAAGTCTGAAAGTCTGAGGCGTGAAGGCTGGATCTGAAGTAATAGCCCACGCAATTTGTGGGATTCGTTCATTCATTCAGTGTTTAGCGTTTAGTGTTTAGTGTCCGGTATGTGTTCGTGTTCATGTTGACTAAGGATAGAGATGGTAATAGCTAGCGAAGCCTGAAGGGGTACACCGGAATCCCACCAGCCTCCCCTCCAAGCACGCGCCTCGTGCAACAACATCATCAGCAGCATCAGCAGCCGCATCATCCTCGTCTATGATCGACTGGCTTCGTCCATGGCGTCGCATAGTGCATTTGCTCTCTCACTCCGGAAACCAAGGGTTCGCTCGGCCTTGGAATGAACTTGCTTGCTTGCACTTGCACTTGGGCTGTGGGTGATCTGACGGGGGCCAACAGTCAATCAACTATAATCCTACCTGGCCCCCCTCACCCCCCCCTCCCCTTTACCAAGGCCGTTTGAGTGGCAAGGGCCTCCAGAAGCTAGCTGGGTAGTTCCATCCATGTTCGCATGCCCCATCGACAACAGATCTTCCGCTGGCAGTCCCGGAACGTTGAAGCACAAGCACAAGTACAAGCACAAGCAGCAGAAGAAGTAGAAGAAGAAGAAAAAGGAGACGCAGAAACACTTTACAGACTCCACTCTGCTAGTATTGGCAACGTCAATGCCAATGTATGTCAACATCTCCGTGCCTGTCTCTTTCTATCTCTCAATCTCTCAGTCTCACTCAGTCACTCATAGGTACGTACCCAGGGAGAGGGCGCAGAAGAAGTGGCGCGTCTAATCGTCTTCGGGACACGTCAGCGGCTTCTTCGACGATTCCAGTAATACCTAGCCAAGGACATACACGCCCACTGCTCCCTAGTACCATGACCTGCTCCCAAGTGTTTATTTACTACTACTCAGGGCTGCTGGTATTAATAATTACTACTACTATGGGCTGTTCCATCACTTGATTCATACACACACAACACATCGTTATAATATGTTGTCCACCGTCTAATTAGCCTGGAACCATGATCTTCACCGCCCCAATCGTCTTCCCTTGGTCGCCTATCTCGCCTAGTTCTAGGTAATAACCTTCTTTACTATTCCTGCACCTTTTGAACTTTCCATATTTCCCTTTCTCCCTCTCTGTTCTGCGCACCTCCCCACAACCAGGGACCTCCCTTCTTGTCCCTTCCACCCCCCTCCCCCCCCCCCCCCCCCTGGCACACCCCAAACGCACATCTCACGGCTCTTGTGCAACGCGACACCCGTCTCCACTAGAGCCGCTTCGGGCGTCGACAGTTCCTAGCATTCGCATTCAAAGAAGCTCGTGGCCTGTAGCTTTTTGCAGCCAGGAATATCTTGCTGCCACTCACAACTCGGTCTTTACGCCGTCGTTGCTCAGCAGCTCAACATTCCGCAGCTTTTCCTTTTGTGGCCCCGTTTCCAAGCTACAAGCAAAGCATACGGGCCTACAGCTGTCTACAACCCTACAACCCTACAACCCTACAGGCCTACAACTGCCCTTACTCCTCACTCATCACTCACTCCTCCTCCACTACTACTGCGTCATATCCAACATCTGCCCTGTCCGCTCCCCTTCGTCTCTGCTCTGCACCTCTTCCATCCATCGTGTCCCGTGCGGCTTGATGCTAAGCTTGGTCAGCGTCGATTGGATCAACACTCGTCGCACAGCCCTGCGAATTCACCCTCGACCAAGCACTCTAACTTTAGCGAGCATCCACTGAGACCCTTCCAGCTCTGTTGCGAACTCTTAATGGTCCTTCTATCACTGCACTATTCCTTCGGCTCTACTTGTCCTTCTCGCTCCTCTCCAATACTCGACTTGCCTCTCTCCATCTTCTAAACATCGCTGCTGTCTCCCCCTCGTCAACAGCTAAGAAAAGTACCTTCAACAAAGTACCGTCAGCCCTCCAGACCAGGAACCCTGGATCCGCTTACCAGACTGTTTCGTTGCACTTGTTCTTTTCCAGGCAGAGATCATTGGATCTCGCTGTCATCTTCCTCCGCACAAGGCAATCACTTTTGTGCTTCTTCCGTGGTCGTGGTACACAGCTTCAACGTAAACAAACCTCGTCCAACCCGCCTCGCACAGAGTCTGGTTCAGCTGCCATTTCCGTTACATTGCACGCATGCAGTGCTAAGGTAACTGTCATCTTATCTGTGGTGGAAAGAAACCTCTGGCTTGCTCCATTCCTCTCTCACCTTGGCCACCTTGCAACACACTCCCAAGGACTAATTGTTTGATCGTCACTTCTCCCCGCCAAGGTCTCGCACCACAACTGAGCACTTCGACTTACCTATCCTTTTCACCCGCGCCTGGGCCTGTTTACGATATACACATCTGGGTATTTGCTAGAGCTGGCGAAGACTCCGCTAGCTCACTCTTCCTGCAATCGTGGATATCTCACTTCTTCTCGAGTCGCGAGACTCTGCGTCTCAGCCTGCCAATAAGCATGCCACCTCTCCGACAAGCTCCGCAGCCGGCGTAAGCAGAGCTGGGCCGACTTCGACGTCGACTTCAACTCCCCACTACACGCCTGCCAGTGCATATGCGACGCCAACCTCTCTGCCCGTCGTCTCGCCAACTGCGACCTCTGCTCATCAACCTCCTATGCACCAGCTCCCGCATGTATCAACTCTGCAATCCCTTCCATCTATCCAGCCACTGCAACAACCTCACGAGCTACACCAGAACAATGCCTTTCGACCCCTATCTTTCGGTGCCCATCATAACGGTCCGCCTCACTACAACTCAGGTCATTCTGGATTGGCTTCTCCGCCTCTACAAAGCCTCTCCATCAAGCGTACAGCATCGCAAACGCCACTGGTCGATGAATCGCCGCAGAAGAAGACCACGAAGTGGACTCAGGAGGAAGATGAGCTCACTGTCGAGTTAAGGGGTCAAGGTATGAAGTGGGAGGACATTTCCAAGAGGATTCCTGGACGGAGTGCCATCTCATGCCGACTTCGCTATCAAAACTACCTCGAGAAGCGCGCACACTGGGACGAGGAGAAGAAAAATAAGCTCGCGCGACTCTACGTCCGGTAAGCATGTCCACAGTATCTGATTATCTCGACTCTAACGCGTCTTAGCTTCAAAGAAGCAATGTGGCAGAAGGTTGCATCGGAAATGGGTGTTCCGTGGCGCTCTGCTGAAGCAATGCACTGGACATTGGGGCCTGACGAGATCGCACAGCGGGCCAACCAGCCAGTGTTCCAACTGAACGCTGCAGCCACGGCTGGATCAGAGGCTGCGTCCACTTCACCGCACGCTGCACCACTCAGTGCCGCAGCAGCCTACTACTCTAATCCTCAGATGACTCCACCATCTTATGCTACTGCATCCTATCCTCTCGCTGTTACTGCCACGAAGCAAGGACGGCGGAACGACCTTGCTGCTCAACCGCCGCCACCGGTCATACAAGGTTACTCGTCAGCAGCGCTGCAGCAAAGGCCACCGACCAGCGAAGGGTATGGGCCACGTCCATACGCAACGCAGATTGAGTACTCAAATCCACCATCAAGAGTAGAACTGGACTCGATGAGCCACCGGAGCTACGAGAGCAGTACGATCGATCACAGAAGCCGCAATGACAATGCCAACTCCAGCCAAGCAAGTGCAAGCAGAAACGGTGAGGACAGGCAGAGCCAAGGCAGCCGTGGAAGTCCAAGAAGTATCCACAGCGCGCATAGCTCTCACAGTGTCCACAGTGCTCGAAGTGGGCATAGCACCGGGTCGACAGGCCGAGGAAGAGAAGGCAACGTCATCAGACAAAGAATGGAGGTGTCCTGAGCAACATAATTAATAGTGTGAAGCGGGAAGGCATTCTGAACCATAATTCACCGTGGATTTGCGTACACGACCTACCTTGGAGCCAGATACACACGCACAACACATAGCAGCATACATGAATTTTTCCTAGATCACGGCCATCGCACAGCACAGCATCTCGCTACACCATCCAGTCTGAACAAACCGAAGTCAGCCATCTCGATCGCATCTTGATTTGCATTTAGCGTTTCCATTAGACATCATGTTGAGCGATCGTCCTGTTTCCTACAGCGTTGGAGTCACAGCATTTTTGGGGCATTGGTCATATCGACCTTTGCTGCATCCCAGTCATATCTGGAGCGTAACGGCCGTCTCGAAAGAAGCATATCACAGTATACGTGTCTCTCCATGTACTAATACCCATTACTTGCGTTTGTCTTTTTTTCTTATTACTCTATTATCTTGTTTGTAATTTGCATTGCATTTTTGGGTTGAAGGACTTGGGCGGGGTGGACTTAGGGTGGTTGGGAGGGAGGCAGTCTTGGCGAGCATTTGAATAGTATTTGGAAGGTAATGAGGGAAGGACACCTAGGAGAGGACAGGATGACATCAGGCACCATGGAGCATGCATATTATTCACGCTGGCTATTTTATCATGCATGGCATAGATACCCGCGAGTCTGGGCCGGGCTTGGGCTTGGGCTCGCAAGCTGGTTTATACCCCCCCGGCGAGCACGAATAGAGACCTGAGACGGTTGTAGTAGAGGAGGAGGCGAAGGCGAAGGAGATAATCATCATCATTATTACCATTACCGCACCACACCACACCACACCACGTCAAAGCGCTGAATGATCTGAAGGAGAGAGAGCAATGAAATGAATTTTAAACCAAACAACAACCTGATCGTGACTTTTTAATTTTACCCCTCCCTCTAAGAGAGACACACTGACTGACTGCCTGACTGACTGACATGACTGAGAGCGATCCATCCCCAACCCAGCACTTTTTTCGTGGTTGGGAACTTGGGCCGCTCCCCAGCACCAGCACCACTACACCCAAGGTAGGTAATCCGACGGCATACTCAAACGCTCGAGCACTTGCATGCCTGCATGCATTGCATTGACGATGTATGTACCGTACCTTACCTAAGCTAGTAGGTACGTACCTTAGGTACCCACCGCCGCCGTACCGACCGTACCCAAAGTAAAGTACAGCCCAGGTAGATAGGTACCCGTAGCTTTGGCACTAGGATGCCCTAAAGGTACGTACCCTAATTATCCCACCTAATTACCCTTGTGTACAAAGCAAAACCTTTAATTAAATAGGTGGTGGTGGTGGTACGTACTGGAAAGCTTCGCACCGTATTCGGGATTTCCGACATGGGGACGGAGATGTAGGTGTATGTAGGGCTGGCTAGTCGGTTTTGGGGATTAGTGTGGCTTAGTGGGCTTACTAGTAGGTAGTACTGTATGGTTAGGTACGGTTATGGTTAGTGTGGGAGGTTGGGGTTAGGGTGGTGACTAAGGTTGGGTGTGTTGTGTGCAGTGGTGTGTAATCTAGTGCAGCACGGATTGTGGATATTGTTTGTTTTTGTTGTTGTTGTCGAGTTGTTTGAATTGTTTTGTATTTTGTTTGGACTACTAAAGTTGACGACGATTCTTGTTCGTTTTGAATCACGAATGTATGAAACTAAGCATTTTGGGATTCTGGACTTTGGGTTTTTTAAGTTTTGAGATTTATGGAGTTATGGATTGATTCATGGATTTGGAATTCGGAGTGCTTGAAACGTGCTACTATGCGGCTAACTAACTAACTGACTGACTCACGGTCAATTCTACTTTGCCGTTGCTGCGCGTGTTGTGCGGTGCTTTGCGCTTGGATGTAATCCTTCTTGCTGGGCTTGTTATGTTCTAGGGGCGCGTGGGTACTAACTAGGTAGATCATGTGGATGTTCTAGAACGAACACATATGTTTTATATGTATGTAATGCACGAGTGCAGGCACATGTATATGTATGTGCATGATGACCGAATATATAGATATGTGTATAGACGTGTATATGTGTATGCATTATACGCATATACTTTGTAAAACTATTATATATGTAGAGGTCATATATATGTCCCAGGTATATAATGTGCAAGTCTACTATAGCCTTATAAGTCATCCCTTTATACAATCACTCGCTCACATATACAAGTAATACCATCTTAAGCAAGCAAGCAAGATATTCATTTCCTCTCTCGCTTTGCCTTCTTGCCTGCCTTTCTGCTCGAGATGTCCTGTTAGAGAACACAAGTCAATGGATGGTCCGCAACGAAGATTCGTTCTGTTTGTTTGTTTGTTTCATTTGATGCTCTTTTTGAGGATTCATCAACTACGCGTCGGCTGTGTGTGTAAGTGTTGTCATATTTATTTGTATTATATTCTGCTGTGTGCATTGATTGATAACTGCTTAGAGCATCTTTGTATCATTGCAGGTCTTAGGATACTACAGTACATGCACTCCATGTCTACTCTAACATCGGAACGACGGATTTGCAGTCGCTCTAGAAAGTTACACATGCAGCAGTATAGAGCATTGAGCACACCCCTAGTAAAACCAAGCTAAGAAAACAGCAATAACATGCCAAAGTATGAAGCGACCGGCATACCAGATATATTAGTATGAATCAGCACCTACATTCTGCGTATATGAAAGATAGATGGACGTGACATGGCGCGCGCGCAAATTTACATGCCATGTCTAGCCGCGGGTGTCGAGTCTGGGGAATCCCAGATAGTTTTGCAGCATCTGAAACGCCCGTCGGTGGTTTATGAAATGCAATGAGGAGACAGAGTTTTCATTCAACTACTTTGCGTTCTGTGCGTCTCTTTGCACGGGCAGCAGCAGCTGCAAGTTATCTCGATCTGCTGATCATGCCGACGACAACAATTAAAAATCATGTTGTATGGGTTAGGGCATTTGTGGTAGGTAGCAAGCTAGCCGTCGATGAAAACGGTCGTATTAGATCCAAAACAGCAATCCTCCATTCATCCGTGCTTTTGGTTGGTGCCCGCCCCGGAAGCGCCTGATCAGGAATGCGTTATAGTAAAGAAGAATAATTACCCATTCAGCATGATCCATGGACCGGATCCACAGACCGGGTGATTATGAAAATGGCTTGCACCAATCGGCGCCGGCCCTGCGTTTCGTCAAATCACCATTTGCGGCGTAGTGGGATTTCGAAAGAGGATTTGGGAATGGCTTGGGCGGGATATGGCCTGAACGACCCACGTCTCACGTTGCACGAACGGGCGGCGCCGATCGCACGCAGAGCCGCGTCCGCGTCGCAGGTTTTACCGCACAGCACAGCCAGCGGCACCCTCTTGAGTCTTTGAGTCTTGAGTTGAGTGAGTCTTGACTCTTAAGGGCGTTTGAGTTTGACAGCCTGCTGTTGCGACTGTTGGAGCTTGCATGTGTCATCATCTACTTTTGTCAGCTGGGCGCGTCGTGGTATAGAGCTCCTGATTTGATGCTCTCAGAAATGTCTCACCGTGCCGCCACCTTCACATAGATTCCATTGCATATTCAAATACGCAGCCACCCCCTTCCCCAGCCCACGGTTCAGGCCTCCAGCATACAATCTCTAGAACGGGCATTAGGGGCGGAATAGACTAGTTGTGATCACAATCTCTTTTCTGCAGCGCGTATGTCATGGGTCTCATAGCGGTGTTATTTGATGCAGCCGTCCCCCCCTTATGCGCGTGCGTGCAGGCTGCGTAGCTCAATCACGCCGCATGTCGTATTTTCTAGAAGCCGGAGCGGCACAAACTCCGCAGATGAACGCACTAAAAATAGTCTGCGCGCTTGAGGGGGGGATCCTTGGCGTTGACATGAAACCCGTTTCAGTAGGTGGGTGAGCGGGATTTGCGTAGGGCGCGTTGGATATGGAATCAGACGGATTGGCTGAGAGCAGCGCCACAGAGTGAATCTTGCACGCTGGACACAAACAACGCAGCACGAGGCTTTGGTGCGGTTGGCAGATGCGAGGTCGCGTGTCATACCGTGTGATGATCCTCCAGCCTGCTCCCTGATTGGCATCCAAGAATGCGGTCCGCCAAGGCCAAGGACTTGCTTGTGTGATTCGGGGCCGCAAAGCGACAGCCCTACCAGCCCTATCCGGTCCGATTGACGAGGTTATCCGAGGGGGCCGAGTAAGGGGCGATCATGCGCGCGCGAATTCTCAGATTGAAGGGCGTAGTTTAGCCTGGCCTGTGGGCGCAGTTCTGACGAACTGGAAGTCGCTGCGAACTCGTGTTGGGTGTGGATGGATGTGGCAATTGGATCATGTTTGTGCGCTGTCAAGGAGCATTCCTTTGCGGGCCGATGACCCCAGCATTCTCGTACCGTGCTCGGACAACACGAGACACCAGGCTGGCATAAAGGATTCCATGAGTGATATTCCTCATGCTATTACCAGCGAGTGACCTGGCACTTGGAATAGTGATTTTAATGTTTTTCGGCATCGGCATCTGCATCGGCATCGGCATCGTTGTTGGCGTGCCCATCAGTGCTAGACTTCAAGAGATCGACCAAGGACACAGCGACAGATTCGGGGTATCTAGACGCTGTACATCTGACGAGATGCGATGATCATGTCAGCATCCTAAACGAATGCCACGGCGCGAACGGTTGATCAACGGTGCATGCGCCCGGGGGACTAGGCCTTGTCCAAAATTCCGAGGCCCGCATAGTATGGCGACTTGCATAACACACTACATATATAACTCAGTATATGAAGGGTCCCGAGTGGGAATTGGAATAGGGAAGACGAAGACGGCCCTACCGTTAAGTATGAGGAGCAGTAGGTATGTGGTTGTGAAGGTGATGGTGTTCGTGTGGGCCCCACGTTTGATGTCCCGGGCTGGAGGGCGCGACCCACTTCTTACTGGGGTCCCTCCCGCTGTGTGTCCAGAAGACGAACACCCTGTTGCGGTGTTCACAGTCAACTTACCCAAAGGGGTAAAATATTGTGCCCTCGTCTATGCCGGTCCCTTGCTAGCCCTAAGCCTCGTTCTCTTGGTTTCTCCTTCGTCTTTGGTACTTTGATACAGTTCGCTAACATCTGCACACTATAATAAAAGCTACCATCCATTCCTCGTATCATTATAAGCCTCTTGCTTTCGCATCAGTCATGCTAGTTTGACTTCAAAGTTAGTGCCCGCATCGGGAAAGTTGCGCGAGACACCTCCCTATCACCGTCTGCTTACATGTTGGATTTCAAGTTGTACTGTTGTACGTCTTGTTGTACACTTCTGTTCCTGCTCCATAGGATGTTCCAAAGGACTTGACCCGATTATAAGCAGTCTAGCATGACTCGAGCACCACACCAATGTTGTGCAACCTAAAGAGAGCATCTTCAAAGTGAGACCGGAATATACCCTGTTCGAATACCATATGGATGCCTCTTTACTAGTTGCCTAATTACTTAGCACATATTGCTCCAAATCTCTTCGAGATAAGTAGTTGTAATCTTTTCTAACCGCTTCGGTAAACCTCGTGGCATTCGCATGCTGTCCCGGCCCGCACCCAGGGTCCATAGTCTCTTAGTCAGCATATCATTGTAACCAGATGCCTTCTTTGCCTTCACTGAAGATTACATATGTGTATGTATTCATCGCCGGAAGCTAGCATGACGGCATGATAGCAAACAACTATTCCCAAACCTTTCAATCCCGTACATAACCTCTCAGAGACATCTTCACGCCACTTCTCACCTCTCGGCCTTATCCTACGCATGAGGCTGACTGCTCTAATCTCTACATCCATTTTCAGTGTACACAGCACCACACAGCATCGTACAGCCTTGGAAAAAGCAAGCGAGTTGAGCCTAGCTCTCTGTACGTTTACGCCTTATGTCTGAACCCCCTCCCCCTTTGATCCTTCATGTGGCGTTGATTAGAGGCTGCAAACTCGTGGGGGCCATGCGCGATGCGATGCGGCGGCAGCACATATTTCTGTATCATATGCCGAACCGCCTTGTGACCTTCTTCCCATCCTCAATCACCAAATCTCATCTTCACCCTCGGCTGGTCTCATCAATCTTCCATGCGTGCATGCCACGACAGACACGTTTGCCGTCAGCGATCCACACCAGACCCAACAACAACAGTCAAGATTAACCAACAGCGCCACCGCATCAAGGTCATGCGAACGCCCACCTGACCCACTGTGAGGTGTTCAAGCTCAGCTAGGAGTAATCCATTCGTCCAAACGGGGTATAAACACGAAGGTGGCTTGCGTTTCTTACACACCAGCGAGCTCCGGCGATCCCGCCAATAGCGCGCCTAATCAGTACCAAACTCCTCATCGAGCCGGCACGGCTAGCACGGCTCTGAGCGTAAACCCACGGGTTCATCATGCACGCGTCGTGTTCGTATGGAATTTGTCAGTCCCATCAGCTGCACGGCGCTACATCGAGATCGGTCGATGAACACAATAAGGCCACACTGCGTTATGGTAAAGGCACAGATAGGAACAATGAAGGAGATTGGGTATCTAGTATCGAATATCTTGGGAATCAAACACGTGCAATTGAGGTATGATGTTGCCTCCACTTCATCGTATCGAATATATTCTTCGCCAGGTCCAACGGTAAGTATGCCATATACACAATAGTCCGACTTAGGCCATCGGTGCTAAAGACATCTGAGTCTCCATTTGTATACTGTCCAATAAGACATATTGAAACCAGTTCTGTAAACATCTCCAATAGAAAAGGTTTCAGTACTATTCTTCCTCCTCATCGGGGCGTGTGCGACAAGCCTGCGAGAAGAAGATCTTCGCTTCTTGGCTCTCGCTGTTTTTGATTGAGTATAAATTCCCTACATAGAAGCGCATGTCAGCATTTGTATTCGCAACTGATCGAAACACAAACGAAGAGAACGTAAGACAACGAGATCCGTAGAGAAAAGCCGGAGCGTGACACAACCATGTGGCAGAAGTCGGTGTCCGAATCATAGGGCTCCGGCGCTACAGGCTTGAAGTCGCTTTGACAAATGATGCACTGTGTCACTGTACCACCCAGGTCGTGCTACCGAAACCACAAACACGAACTATGCGAGCCCTGTCTCGGTACCATTAAAGCCCACCAGGTGCTGGAGATCTAGGATACCACTGATCGGCCTGTGAGACCCGCCGAGAGTAATTCGATTGTGTAGCCGTGGATGGATGAGACCACAGGTGGATGCCCCTCTTCAGCCTTGTGCTGCGTTGCTCACGCTGAAGTATAAATTGACTGCCGTAGTACGATGCAATCCTGATCCATTGGCGATAAGACAAAGTACATCTGCTGTCATACTTCGCCCACATAGGCTGGTTGAGATGATGGCCTTTGATGATGCTCGCTTGTCCTTGACAGACACTTGAAACTGTCTCCGACGAACGGGAACTGCAAACGCGTGCGACGGGATAGATGATACCGGGAAAGGAACAGAATATAGCTTACCTCTCGGAACTTGCCATACACCCCCGCTGTGAATTGAGAACTCTGGATTATCTCCTACCGTCACTTGTACCTGCCCCCGTAGAACGTAGAAGATCATGTACATGCGCCGGGAATTCTTACGTTTCTTCTCTGAATATGGAGGAAGGTCTACCATTCCAGCGTTGAAGAAACGAACTCCGCAAATGCGCGTGTATTTGAACTCTGCGCCATTAACCTGTTGAGTTTGAATAGAGGGTGCAGCATATGCAAGCTCTGTCAGTCAGCAGTCAGTGAACATTCAAGTCGAGTCTAGGATTCCTGCCGATCTTACCTTCCTCCTTCTCCCCAGTCGTATGCTCAATATCATTGTCCCATACGTTCACAATCCCAGACAGAACACCTGGATCTTGCTCCCACTCCTCAAGCTCCTCGATCTCGGGTTCCTCAAAGATTGTACTTTGTCGATTTTTCTTTTTATTGCCTCGACGACGGTCTAGTTTGACTGGAGTCACGTCTTCGGTCAATACTGACTCAATGAGATTACCTTGGTGGTCGAAAGTATCTTTTTCACCACGCCAACCAGCCAGTGGCCTTCTCAATGCCCGTCCAGCTCGTGACCGTCCCCAATCATCGGCACCCGGCTTAGGTACAACGACATACTGTCGAACGTTGCTCATTGTGCTTTGGGTTGTACGACCTGACATCATGGACATCTCCGTAGGCGCTTTGGACTCACTACGGCCACGAGGAGCCTTTCGGGCAGTGGTCTTTGCATTCGGATCCCGTTCTTTGGGTAGACGGCCTCTGCTCTTAAGCTGAGGGGGAGGCATAGATGTTCCTGATTCTTCACGAGGAATGGCAACATCTCGCTTGGGCCTTCCGCGATTCTTTGATTTCGCAATACTGGGCTCTTCTTCGACGACGACGCTTGGTTCTCGGGCCTTTCTGGTTGGCCCGGTTTTAACCTTACCTTTAACCGCTCTTTTCCTAGCTGGGGACGATCGTGGTGTTTCTTCGACTGGACTTTCCTCCGTTGCAGGCACTGGTTCCGGTGCGAGTGCTATACTGTCCTCCTGTACCTGAGAAGAATTTAATGATGAACGCGTTGTCCTCTTAGATTTTGTGGGCGCAATTTTCTCAACTACGGGCTTTCTAGCGCCACGGCGGGCATTTTTAGTCGCACGGCCCTCCGATTCAGCTTCAGCTTCCTCAACAACCAGTTTCCTCTTCCGACCTCTCTTCTTCGGCGGTGAAGATGGCATTTCTGGTGGCATTTCTTCATGTTCTTCGGACGAATTCTCTGCCTCCTCTGCTGTTGACTGCTGCTCCGTAGCATCTTCAAGCTCAGGAAGGGCTTCAACTTCTTCTAGATCTTGGTTTGTGTGTTCTTGTCCATTCGCCTCTGTTGGTGATCCCGGAAGATCGTACAAGTCGTCTCCGACAACTCCATTAATAGCCTCTGGGCTTGACGTCGAAATACCCTCTTGTGAGTCGTTGAAATCCAACTTTCGCCTTACAGCATGATGTGAGTTTGGTTGAGACCGAGCAGGGGGACCCATGGAGGACTGCCGACGAGGTGAAGAGCCGAGTGCAGTTTTGATTGGCGATCGCGATTTGGGTGGGAGGGCCGTTCGCTTTGTGGTCAGAACTTGACGTACAGACAGTGCTTCGGTGGGATCCGGCATTGAACCTATGCAGCATGATTTAGAATTCCATGTCCAATACGCGCCGTAAACGCGTGGGGTGCGAGCTTGCGTACTTTGCTGAAGCTCCATCGACTCTGATGTTACGAGTGTCCCATCTTCGCGCCGCTCGCTAGTAACCATGACCTCAGACTTCTCCGGTGAAGAGAATATGTCAGCTGTCTCAATGCCATACTCGTCGCGTATACCGGTATCTGGGAGCGTAATGCCCGTTTTCCTGAGTCATCGATCAGTACAACGCGTTGTATGTGATTACTGTCCACTCCTACCTTCCTTGGCCCTCCCCAAAATAGTTATTTTGGCGCGCTTTGGGAGGCATTGCGACTTGCGCCTGATTGACTTGATATCCGTCGCGACAGGATCACAAAGGAGTCGCGTGAGGGCAAAAGAGCGTAGCAGTTGTGCAAGGTGAGTGACAGGTAGTTGCTTGACCAGAGGACGAGTTGTTGTTGCTCGCCTACATCCGATACTGTTTGGGGTGGAGCGCGTCTAGGCGCACGAGCCATGAGCCACCTCTTAAAAGCAACTTGTAGGAGCAAGGGTCTTACTTACCAAGCTAGTCCCATCACGCAGCGCACTACGCACTCTCTGTCCAACTATAGTATGTTTACAAGCGAAGCCTTAAAAACGTTCTATGCATGTATAGACAGGGTAATCGTTCCGAAGCAAAGTGGAGTTCGCTACACTGAAGGTATCGATATGAGGGAACAATTGTAGGAACAGCTGTATATGCCCGAGATCGGACGCACATCACACTTCCTCGTTCATTATTCTTTACCAATATATACACACGCCCCTGCCAAGGATGTCTTGCCGCGCGCCCATCCATTGCTCTCTTCAATGTCGTCGTCACCGTCTAAGAAAGAAGAAAAGGGTATAAAACTAATGCCGCATATCCGACCACCACGCAGCAGCAACACGAACGTAGAAAGAGTACGTATATCAACCATAGAACACTTGTATATGCACACTACCGCCGCGGCGTATGCACACCGCCTACAACAGCTTGCTGTCTTCGGATCCAGCTTTTGGGGGCCTCCGTACGTCGTGCCAAGACCACTGTGTTGCTTTGCAAGCGTGTGGTGATGCTGTACCAAGCACTGGTCATGAGCTTGTTCTCGCGCTGGAGATTCTCGAGCTCTTGCCGTGCGGCGTCCTGTAAAAAAAACACGATAAGTGATTTGGCAACTGATGATCGGGAACCTGAACTTACGCTGGACTTCACTCCGTTGTCTTTCTTTGCTTGCTCCAGCTCTTTCTTCATGGTATCCCATGACGTACTTGCTTCTTCGAGTCGCTGCAAAAAAAAACGTGTCAGTCAGAAGTGGACAAAGACGATGGGTTGGACAAAGGAGTCCAAATGGAACTCTGCATCAATAACAAGGCAGATCTCACACATACCTTGTTAACCTTTTCAACTCTCTCCCGACTACCCTGCAGCTGTGACGCTACCTTATTCACAAAGCCCTGTCGTAGTATTTTCCTCTCTTCTTTAGAGGCAGAATCTATCGCTTCTAGTTCATCCCCGAGAATGCGGGCTATTTCCGACTCGGTCAGGCTTTCATCATCAGCCTTGAGAGCAATGACCGCGTGTAGCAATCCTTTGGTGTCATGCAAATCTGCAACGGCGCTATCATAATGTTGTTTGACTGCTTTGTATTCCTCGATTGTCTTGTCTAGATTGCACTGTACAGCATCAAATCTTTCTTGAGTGGCAGCATCGAGAGCTTCGCCTGTTGCATCGGCACCTGCAAGAGTTAGTCGTGCTCGATTGGAGATACCATTTAACATACCAATGTTCTTCGAAAGCTTGTCACGAAGCTCTGCATTTTCGACCCCAGCAGCCATTTGGTCTGATCGTAGTGACTCAAGCTGTCCTTCTACTGATAACAATTGATTCCGTTGCTTGACATATGGATCAGAGTTCTCTACATCCTTTTGCTTTTCTATAGTATTGAGAAGTCCCTGGTTGTCTTCCACACTCTTGAGCCAACGCTCCTTTAGTCTTTCATTTTGCTCCTCAGCCTGTTGCAATTTTTGCTTCAAGACGAATATTCCTGGACTATCCTCATCGCTAAGGTCGACTTTGCCTGTGTCTGGCTGTACTTCCGAATCGTCATGACCGGCCAATTCATCGTCCAGATTAGAAGACAGGGGTTGGGTAGCGGCCCCTGCATGCATGTCACGGATCTGAGCTTTTAGTTCCTCGTTCTCCTCCACTTGGCGTTGATATAGCTCTTTCTTCTCCTCTGTTTCTTGGTCCCAAAATCTCTTTTCCTGTTGTAATATTCTCCGTCTTTCCTCGGATGTAAGTAGTTGCTGTTCCAAATTCTGAATCATGCGGCCGTTCTCGTTATTTGCCTGGGACAAGCCATCACATCGTTTCTGGAGCTTGTCAAACTCATCCAACCGCGTCCGACTTTCTTCTGAATCTTGCAGTAATGATTGGTATTTTCTTTCAATGTCCTGCAAGGATTGAATCTTCTTTTTCAAATTTTCATTGGCTTTGGTTTTCTGTCCTAACTCATCTCGCTCAACTTTCAGCATCTGAATCTCATCTCTGAGTTCCTGCTTGGACTCCGCGTCCTTGTTTAGTCGGTCGATCTGTCGCTTCTGGCTTTCTAACTGGCCTCTTGCCTCATTTAGTTCTGTTTCGAGGTCGGCTATTAGATTCCGGTCGCTCATCTCCTTTCTGCTCAACTGTTCTAGTCTTTCTTTCGCGCGTTTCTCCTCGATTTCACGTTCCACGGAGAATCGTGTGTCATTCACTTGCTCCTCCAGGTTCGCGATTAATGTACGTGACTCCATAAGCTCTCGTTCAAGATTATGTACCTGATCCTCCAAACCCCGTGCACGACGTTTCGCCTGGATGAGATTTTCTTCATATTCGAGTTCACGGTCTCGCTCAATCGGCTCGCGATTATCGCCCAGTTCGTTCCGCGATGCTGGTCGTGACGCTGGTGTACCTATGTCGGAAGTGGCATCTCTATCTGCCCCTGAAACAGCCAACTTAGTATCACTTTCGTCCATATCTTTGATCATATCGATCAGACTGCTGCTTGAATTCTTGTCTAGTTTCTCAAACTGCGCAAGTTGTCGTTGGACCGAGACTGGAGATATTACAGCCATGTATACCACCACCTTCAGCATTTGCATGGTATGTGGAGGGGCGCCGCCATCTGCGATAGCTTTCAGGTCCGGTGTAACATTTTTACTATAGTTCGGGAGTTTGTTCAACTTCTCTGTGAGGTATGATCTGATCAATCGGTCGATATGCTTGAGATTTTGCCATCTTGGGATCCAATTTGAAGTCGTCTCAGGCGAACCTTCGGGCAAGTCTCCACTGAACCATTCTGGGTCGATATCGACCAAGATGCTCCATAGTAGCTGTCCATCTTCGAATTCTTTCCACTTGCTGACCCGGTGAGGCATATTGCAAGTATTGACCCATTCTAGCAATGCCCTCTCGAGGTGTGCGGCGGGTCGCTCCATGGTGTCGGGTGCTCGTCGACAATCCGTTCCGCTCGGGGCAATGGAATGGAATCTCTTTTACTCAGTTCCAGACTACGCCAAGATTGTACTACAGGATCGTAGTTGCAATTCTCAGGCATGTTGTAACAGTATCATAGCCATGGAGCAGGTGTTTAGCAGGGGTCGAGCTCATCAACAACAGGTCGTGGCGTGCATCGGGTTGCGATGCGGCATCGATTCGTGTTTGTGAACAATAAAAGGGGTAGCAAGAAAACGTAAGGAGTGACGTCTTCTGAAGAAACAATGTTGTTTATTCGGGTTTCTTGGTCGAAGAAGGGAGGGGAGCACTATGAACTAGCACCCGGTTTGGAATTGAAGCACCGGCCAGGTACCGACCTAACGCTACCCTGACGCGTGCACACGCGCGACCGGCAGGAACAACCTTGCGCCGAGAAAGGTACTAGTTACGGAACGCAGGATGTCGTCTCCCTCACCTCCGCTTTCTCATTCTCTCAACCAACCAACTTTGATTACAGCACTCTGCACCTCAACAATACACTCTATCCTGATTTAATCACAGTTAGTTACAACTCAGTACCTTGCTTTCTGAGAGGTCCCGAAGTTTCTACCCAATCTCATGCTCAAGTCCATTCAACTTGAACTACACAGGTTTACTCAAGCGCAACGGTTTGCACTATTCAAAAGCTAGGAGATATCCTTTACACTTGGTTGCAACTGGGAGGAAACTCGTCAGGCTAGACGCGGGTGAAGGTGTCGGCGGCTGAAGAAGGAAAAACAATTCGTGTCGTCTTCTCACTGCAAGCAAGCCTTCGGGTATTATCTTGCGAGTCACTAGTTAGCAACGATACATACAGCCTTTGTTCCTTGTGTTTGAAAGAGGGAGATCTATCACATCGTCTGGTTCTGGCTCTCTGTCAGCTCTGCAGAGCGACTTGCCCGAGTTCAGCTCGATTGCCCAATACGAAACGTACAGCGTGCCCCAAATACTTCACTGCAACGCAGCGCGACTTTGCTACTCTTGCCTCTGCATCACCCCCACTACCATATATATCTAGCCCACCATGTCTTACACTGCGACATCAGCTGAGGTCGCTGATGACTTCAAGGATGCGCTTCAAGACCTCACCATCAATGATAGAGCACAGATCAACAATCTCATGATCATCGCGAAAGAGAACACCGAACATGCCCAGGCGATTTCACGAGAGCTTGTGAATCACATCAAGACGGTAAGAATTGAATGCTGCTCGAGAAAGCAAATCTTCTTCATTCAATCACATAGACAGGCAACTGATCAAAAATTAGACCCGGCCTGAATTCAAACTTCCTGCTCTGTATGTTCTTGATGCTATTGTCAAATTTGTTGGCACTCCATACACTGTATACTTGAGCAGAGATCTATACAAGACATTCATGGAAGCATATTCCCTGATGGCTCAAACTACAAGAAGGGCCATGGACAATCTGCTACAGACTTGGAAAGCACCGCCACCAGAATCTATGGAGAAACGTCCTGTCTTTCCGCCTGAAATAACCCGCGACATCGAGAATGCGTTGATAAAAATTCGAACCATCACAGTACAGTCCCAGCAACAGCAACAACAGCAACGCACGCAACGACCGATGCAGAATCCTCTTCCTGCCCGGCCCGGTCCCGGCGAGCCATGGCGGAATACACCAACACCACCACAGAATTCGTTCCCGCAAAGTCACGACCCTCGGGTTCGTCAAGTACGTATAGGAGACTGGTGGGATAATCACGTGACTGACACAAACTAGATCACGCCTCAACAGCACGGCATCTCATTCGCATCCCCTTACAGCTCATCTACTCCAGCAAATGGAAGTCAACAAATTCAGCCCATCAGCTCGGCCCAGCTTCTCTCTGAAGTCGATAAGCTTGTGACAGTAACCCGAACGGAGTGGATGCAGAATTTCCAAAGTCAGGAACTGATGACAAAGCTGAAAGCTCTCGTGGATCTACAGACATTATTGAAGTCGCAGCAGCTATCCGATGATCAACTGAGAGCCATACGAGATCAGCTTCTACCGCTGACTCCCTCTACAACCCCTAATACTGCTTATCAGGCCCCTCAACCTTTCCACAGACCGGGTTCAGTACAACCTCCTCCACAGATACAAGTACAGCCACCTTCGGCATCACTGTCGCAGTTCCTACAACCAACTCAAGCGCCGCCAGCAGTCAGTGCAAACCCGATCAACCTAGCGCAACTGCTACAGTCCTCGACTCCGCAGACCCAAACACCCCCAGTCACGCAGCCGCCCTTTCAACATCTCACCCCTTTGCCATTAGCTACACCAGCAACTTCTACGCCAGTGTCAAGTGCACCTGCTCCAAATTCGGCGTCCAGTCTGTCATTGGCGCAAATGCTACAACAGTTCGCCCCCCAATCTACTTCAACGACTCCAAAACCCCCAGACCCCCGCCCCTTGCCAACACCATCAAGTCAAGGTGGGCTGCCTCCTCCAGGGCAGAGTCCAAGCTGGCTTCTAGATGCACTGAAATCCCAGAACATCCTAAGTACCGGTGGTTCACCCAATCCAGCACCGCCGCAACTGCCAACGGCGCTACATGGCTTTCTCGGTAGCGGACCCATGGCACGCGTCCCTAGCGTACCGACCAATACCGAAAACGATGTCCAACTCAACACAGCGTCCATCACCAAACAGTAAGCCCTCGGTAGTGACCTCCCTGTAAAGATGCTGACCTTTTCCCAGCCCCCGTCCGTACCTCATCGCCCGTTTATACGGCGCTCTCCCCAACCAATGCTCCACCTGCGGCCGCCGTTTCCCCGCCACGGACGCCGGGCGCGCCGCCAAGGCGAAACACATGGACTGGCACTTCAAAGTCAAAGACCCGGACATTGCCAAACGCGGCGTTCACCGCAGTTGGTATGTTGGCGAGCGCGAGTGGATCGAGTACCGCGAGGTCGACGAGTCGAACCCGTCAGCACCCACCGGTACATCCCCCGGCGGGGTTACGGGCGGCAAACCTGAGCCTGCAGAGCGCTACATCCGTGTCCCGGCCGAAATCACGCTTCAGAACGCCCCGTGCCCAATATGCCAGGAGCGATTCGAGAAGAAGTGGCTTGTGCAAGCGAACGACTTTGTGTGGATGGATGCGGTTAAGAAGGGCGGCAAGGTATATCACGCGAGTTGTTGGGAGGAGGTGAACAAGGGTATGAGTGCGATGGCGATGGCGCAACAGCAGGCTCAGCAGAGGGCGGCGAGCGCGACGCCGGACAGCGTCTTGGGGAAGAGGAAGGCGGAGGAGGAGAGTGGAGGGGAGGTCAAGAGGGGTCTTTGGACATAGGCCTGTTCTCCTGATGTCGATAAGGCTGGAAGAGGGGAAAGTGAAGCATGGCGTTTGGGTTTCAATGGGAATATGTGTCTGCATGTCACACACACAGACATGCACACGCACGCACGCACGCACGCATCGCAAAAAAGCAAGCAAGAAAGCAAGCAATTATCACGGCTGTATATAGATGTATCTATACTCGAACACGACCAAGCACAAGACCCAGCGCGTCTTCATCTCACCATCTGCAAAAATCCCGCATCATCGTATTGTGACGTACACAATTCGTTTTCCGCCCCGCCTCCTCCACCCCCTCCCTCCACACTTACTTGCGTCCTCTTCCCCTTGGGCCACTTTTGTTCGCAATCTACTAATACCCATGGAATACAACCTGTTCTCAGCCGGCTTACCTAGCTTCTCATGTCTACTAACCTACTCTCCTCAAAGAGCATACATGTTCATTCCGTGGTTGCGTACCTACCAGGTACTAGGTACGCGGAATTTGATGTGGGATCTCATGCGATGTATGGAATGGAAGACGTGAGAAGAAGACGTGAGATGTGAGAGGCAGAATGCATATGTACATGTACTTGTGCCTGTGTGAGGGGTTATATGGCGTAGTTGTGAGCTGTTGCGTGACTTGGTGGGGATGTGGATGTGGATGTGGATGTGGATGTGGATGTGGATGTGGATGTGGATGTGGAAGTAGATACAGATGTAGGTACAAGTACAGCCCATCATGCAAACGTATATGCACGCATATATATACCTAGAAAAGACCAGAGTAATAGCGAAAGCTGCACTGCGCGCTGCGCGGTGCGTGACGTCGTTAGTGTCGCGATTTGTATATATCGCGATACCAGTGGCTAGGACTATGGGGGTCTTTATGTGTCAGGAAAGGTCGAGAGCGGTGGATAGATACGAGATGCGTGCACTAATTACTTGGATGAATGAGATGTGCAAGTCTACTTGCTAATTTCGTCATGTTACATGCTCGCTAATGCCTAAAACTCATTCCCGTATTGGTACAACCGTAGACGAAACCGGGTCGTGACCGTGCTAGAAGCATGGTGGATATTTTGTGTAGTTCATAAAGTGCTCGTCATGATAACGCCGTGCTTGTGTTCCGATACTTGCTCAATGAACCTCGCATAAGGAAAAAAAAGCCATTCTTCCCGCCCAATGCTACCAGTAGACTCCTATCGCCGGCTTCGGCTGGGACTCTTGGAGAAGTGGATCCGTCCATCGCGTCCACCCCTGAATTGCGCACGCGAAGCCCGCGAGTCGTCATCATAATAGTCATCTGCATGCTCGTCTTCCCAGTCACGATCTTCTTTGTGGTGCTTCTTTGACTTTCGCTTCTCGTACTCCTTGTATCCATGTTTCGCGCCCACAGCACCAATGATGGCTGCAGCTACTGTAGTCAAACGATCGCCGTCACCTAGATTGCGACCTGCAAGACCACCGGCAACAGCTCCGACAATCGTAGGACCGTATTTGCGCTTCTTGGAATCATCGTCATGGTCGACATGGGATCCCGATCGTCGGTGACGTGACTTGCTGCGATGGCGCGACTGCGAGCGACTGCGTGAAAGGCTGCGCGCACGGTAGCGATTGCGTTCGAGGATTATGGAGTCGGCTGGGTGAGGATTTCGTACCATGGCAGAGTTCTACGAGGGCTTGTCAGATCACATTTGTCTTGTTCGAACGGAGGGCCTTACTGGAGGAGCTCCGTCTGGGTAGTAAGTCGCAGCATACGAATCGCGGGTTGTCACCATGGCACCATGGTCACCGTAACGATTACGGGTGTCGTATGTTGATTTGCGGTCGCCACCCACACGTTCGATCATGGTTTCCTCTCTGTAGTCACGATTCTTTGGATACACTTCCTCACGCCTGACCAGCACGCCCTTCTGTTCGGGATATCGAGAGCGGTCGTCGTCTACGTAGTAATCGTTGTTGGGTACGGAGCGGGAGCGAGTCCTGGTTTCACGGGCGCGATCTTCACGGTCTTGTTCTTTGATCTGTTTCTTCCTCCAGGTGGGCAGTCGATCCCATACTGTGTCGTGGTATTTATCTGCCGCGCGAGTGAGCGCCGTGCAGCCTAGCTCCTACACACGAATGGGTCAGCTGTGTTGGATTAAGACATACTTGACCAGCAAATGCCTGGTTCGGACTTCGGGGCTAGCATATGCCAGTCAGGATGATTAGAACCTACAATAAAAGCCTCTGTTTCGGCCATGATGTTAGCTTGATGCAGGGAAAAGGCTTGCTGAAGATACAGTAGACAAAGTAGCGCGATCTCTAGGGAGGACAGAAATGGGGTAGTGGGAAGGTTTAAGGAAGACGAGCAACAGAGAAAGGAGGGAGGCAGCGTGATCAGCCCATCCTAGGCAACGATTATCGAAGTAGTAGTAATCGTAATGTCGCGGGCTCGCAACACAACCGGTTCATGCACGCCTCTCCGCATGCAACATCATCGCAGAGAGGATGCGTGGAGCAAGGACGAGGATAGGCCAGCAAGTTGTGAGAGGCTGAGTGCGCAGCTCATGACACAAAGGAAGCCGGCGATGATGGTGAGCTGCAGGATGACGTCGGCGCGCGAAGACCGCAAAACGGTGCTCGATATAGGTCGCTTTGGGGGGTGCCCATCACCGCCCGGGCGTGGGCTGCACACCCAGCCGCCACCATCAGCATCCACATCAGCACCTGCTGTCGACAACTATGACACGTCTTTCTTCTGCGATCAGGCGGCGTACGGCCTATAGTCCAAACCAGATGGCGTCGAGGTATAAAAACAGGCAAAATAGACAAAAAAGCCAGGACGGGATGTGTATGATTGGGGCAGCAGGGTGGGAACTGTGTGGAGCTGCAAACTGCGAGCTGGGGACTGGGGCTGGTTGGGTGGAGCGGGCACTTACCCATCGTTCCAAGCCTAGCCTGTGCTTAGTTTTGTACAATATCTCGTAGGGCTGAGTGTCATACACTTCGAGCAGCATAAAATATAGAAGTTGACGTTAGGTGGATAGGTAGGTAAGAAAGAACTAAGACGAACAAGAAGAAGAAGAGGTTGTCGGTTGGAGTTTTGTACTCGGGAGATTGTTGAGGAATAACGGACAGACAGCGAACTCGTCTTTTCACCAGGAGCAACAAGAAGACCTGACGCCCGGACGTCCGTGCACTGACTTTTTGGGGGTTCCTGTACTACCAATGCTGCCTCCATCCTCCGTATACACACGGCGCTTCTCTTTACTTTCTCTTCACTCATCGTCTTACTCTTTAGGCTCTTTTGCTACACTACTCACACCTAGACTTCACATGTCGAGACGACGAGATCATCATGCCTATACACATTTCATCACAGCATCGAGCTGGCCATGAACCAGACGGTGGTGCGCAGTAGCCATCGGAAACATATTACAATATATCTATATATGTGAGCTTTACGCTACCGGTGCTCAATGCGGTTTGGCACGTAGCGGCACTCCGTACGCCATATAATCAAGCAAGGGGTATCATCATGCGCCACGCATCTATCTTATAGCCTTCAATAATGCCGTACTGTGTCCGTCTTCCTCTTCACTCTAATCGTCGCCTTCATCGGCGGCAGCACATTATATCCAATCCACACATTGTCGGGCCGCTGTGGCAGTGGCTCAATGTCGTAGTTCATCACCATGTATGCGAACATCATCTTCAATTCATGCGAGACAAAAAATCGACCGGGGCTGTCATACGTCAGTAAGCAAGGGATGCGCATGCGATCGGACGTTGCGGGGCATTCATTAGGTACTTACCATGCATGTCGGCCATGACCCCAGGGCAAGAACGTCGCTCCAGTCGTTACCATGCTCAAGTTTTTAGATCTCAGCACCTCCTCGTAGTCAACGATGGCGCCTTGCTTCGCCTCAATCTCTTCACGTGGCCGCGAGAACCGGAACGCATCAAACTCCTCCGGGTTCGGGTAGATTTCGGGATCGTGGTGGATACTGTGTGCATCGACCGCGATGTGGGCATTCTGCGGCGCTGTCCAGCCCTCAGTCTTGTTGTACGCACCATGCGGGATCAGCACCTTTCTCTTCACACCTCGAGTCAAGAAGCTCCGGAGCCGTAGACTCTCTCGAATCGCACTATCTGTCCGGATGAGGCGATTGAGAGCTGGCTTGGTCCATACACCTTTCTCCTCTGCGTACACTCGCTCGACCTCTTCGCGAATTCCTTCCCAAAATCCTTTCGCGGGGTCGGAACCAACCAAATCGAGCATGATATTCGTTAGACTGAACACGGTGGTGTGGATCGCGGCGAAGTTTAGCATAGCTGTATATCGGGAGACCATGTCAGGTTCGAGCTCCTGTGTTCTCCCTTCGGATTTTGCTTGGTTGATATGCCACTGGATATAATCATTCGGCTCTTGCCAGTCCCAACCAGGATTCTTCTCTTTCCTGTCCATATCTGCGAATCTCTTCTCGACGAATGGGACCAGATACCTTGCAGACTGCGCATAATGCTTCTTGTTTGGAATGCATATCAACGGCGCCAATACGGGCTTCAAAAAGGCGGGGATGAGCCCAATTAGAGCGGCAGAACGGAAAACATCGTCGGCATACAGGCACATTCCCTTCAAGAACTCGGTGTTCCTACAGAGCGAAGTACCGACAAAGAGCCTATTGGAGATTCTGGGAATCAACTCGAGAGCATTGTCGTATACGCAGAGCTCCTTCCATTCGTTCGTACCGTAGCCCCACGTATCGTTGATCGAGCAAACAACCTCGTCCCAAATCTCCATGATTGCGGCAGGAGTCATTTTACGAGCCAGATTCCGGTGAATGACGTGCTCATGGAAGTTGGTACGGATGATATCTGGGTGGCCGTATGTCCAGTCGGCGCCCATCATCTCGCGATGCATTTCGTGTACGCTTACAGCTTCACTGCATATAAATCAGCGTGTTATGACATCATTTTCGCATGCAAGCCTACTCAGGATATTCCAGGAGCCAGCTAACCTGCTCCTTAGGGATGATAATCTCCGGAGTTCCGACAAAGGTTCGATAGATGTACGATTTGCCTTGCTTAGAATACTACCAGTCTATTAGCAAAGTACCGTGAATCGAGAAGAGCTGTGAGACGCACATTCGAATAGCCGTCAGATAGCCAGTCGCGAACGTGGACAAGACCTTCGAAACGAAGCCGAATGTCACCAAAGAAGAGAAACCCTCCCTTCTTTCGCAACCATGGCAAATCTTCAGGAACGAGCGATCGTCTTGTGAACTGTGACCATGCAAAGAAAGCGAAGCAGAGAATTAGAGGCCCAAACAGAATGGGATCCACAGTGATGCGCTCAATGGCAGCCTCGAACGCGCTCGTGAGTGCCATGATAAGGGAATGACACACTCGAATGCAGGCTTGAACAAGGAACAGAGGGGGAGGCGAAGACAGTTGTACAAGCTCCACAGATACAGCAGCAGGTAAGAGACATGATAAACATTTTTGAAAGCAAGACTTTTCAGGCACGACGATCAGTGTATCGGGTGGAGTGACAGCCGTGATTAGTTGATGATAGGGTTGATGGTGAGGCCGTTTTGGAGCTGAAGCTCGACCAATTAGGAGTGTGGCGCACCAAAATAGCAACCTAAAAGCTGCTCGGAAGCTCCAAAGCCGCGCCTTTAGCGAGTTTCCGTCCCCTAAAACTCCCCGTCTATTGCCCAATTCAGTTGGTTCACTCGGCTGCACTCTCTCGCAATTCCACCGTGGCCGTCATCCTCGCTGTCACCGTCACCAGTCCCCGTCCAAAGGGGCCAGCACCGCGCGTAGATGAGCAAGTATAACCGCACATGACTGTGTCTTTTACAATGAGGGCAAAGGCAGATCATCTGACCAAGATTCGAGATGCGACAATAGAGCAGAGATCAGTCAAGTTGGCGTTGCATCAGCAGTCCTGCTCTCTATCTGCGCTTCGGATCTGATCTTTACAACGCGCACCACCCAGTCGGTCAAAGCCATGGAAACATCCATCAGAGGGCAGACGCCCGGGCCGTCACAGCTTCTAGATAGACTCGGAATGGGCGACTCCCGCATGCGACCAGTACATGGATCCGGATACTAATAATCTACTCAATCAACAGCCTAAGACCACGAGACGATGAGCGGAGCCAGACCGGATTCATCCCATCAGATCACATAGTTAATTACTGAGAACCATCACATTTCATATGTCACATGCTAGCCGCGCGCTCCACTGCAACGTTGTACCGCCATCGCCCGTCTGTTGGTGGTGTTGATCACTCCGGGCTGGGGCTGCGCCGTGTCGGACCGCTTCCGGCGTGCCACGATAGATTGCGGCCTCAGGACACGTGCAGACTGCATTCCCCTCCACAAAGAGTCCTCATGCACCTCTCCATCTCTGGCATGTATAGCATTGGTATAAACAATTTCGATAGATCACTTTGCTCCTTTCTTCATTCAGGCAATGACATTATGTTGTTGGTGGACCACTGCGAATTCCCCTTTGCTGTCATCAATCCTCGCATACCCACTTGTAATCGAGTCTTATATTCACAACACCTCATTGAAGGCAGCATCGCGTACTAGAGTAAAGCTTTCCAATTCTACATGCGGTAATAGCTTTTTATGTGACACCAACGCGCAATCTGTCCTCTGACCCCGCAGCTAACCTACCATACTTAGCATCACTGACAAAGAAATATTTCAGACCTACTATAATCGACATCAGCTACCTCTTCTTGCTCACTATCACACCCTACGCCAGGCAAGTCTTTGTGTAGTATCCATAGAGCAGAGTAGTGATGATCTATGGTGAGGAGGCGCCAACGAGCAAGATCACAATAATATATGGCACATCGAAAGACACATTACAACTTATGTACTCCCCCTCCCACACACCCTACGCCTCAAGCAATACACATACAGCCCCATAGGAACATATAGCCTTGACTTCCAACCCAGCCAGTCAGCCTGCCTATCCCCCAAGCTTATCATCAAATGGATAGAATTCAAGTTGTCACTCTCGACAGAAGTGGTGGGTACGGGAATCACATCATGCCAGACCTGCATATCTAGCCTGGTCAGAGATTCTCGCCCGGAGGCTTTGGGGCCGCATGGAAGGCGTCGACTGACATTTTGGTTTCATCTGAGAGGGGTAATCGGGGGTTTCGAGGGTTGGTAGTCTGGCGCTGGCTCAGTGTGGGATCAGGACTTTCCGTAGGTATGTATGTATGATGGCTTCGAGATACAGTCTATATAGGTCAGATGAACTGGACCCCTACCCGCAGTGCAGTAAGATAGCGGAAAAGCACTGGCACGCTTTCAGCAGCAGCATACATATATCCAAACTTGCAAGATTTCCAAAACGCGTATCGAGTTATGCGATTATTATTGCGTGGCATTGATATTTCCATTCTAAGCAAGCGCGGTACAGTTCCCAGAACTCTGCCAACTTTACGTCATTCCCTTAGATGGGTAGATGGATTTGGCATCGCTTCTTATGCTACAGGCAGGGGGTATATCCCGGAAATTCAACTAAACAAATCATGTCAACCCCGAGAGAAGAAAGAGGAAAGCGGCCGACTTGACCGACAACCGAGATCGGATGCAGTTTCTGAGTGCCCACGAACGCCAGGCGTGCACTCATGTAGCCTTCAGAAATTCAATGCATCTCTCTGGCTTCATAAGGTTGAGATGCTGGTACTTGTTTGCCCAAGTTGTCGAAGGCGGATCTGGGTGAACGACGATGAATCTTCTAAAGCTGTCCGCGTGGAGTTCACATGTCCCAGCGAACCAGTTCACGAGATGATCTGTAGCTTCGGCTTCGTCTCGCTCCCAGGTTTGGTGATACTGTGGCATCTCATCTCGCGGTAGCGAGATCAGTCGTGATGGAAACGCTGGTTCATCAATGAATACGTCGTGGGCGCATTTGTCCAGGTACACTATAGTCTTCTCGCGCAAGCTAGCAGGTATTAATTAGATGTGTTGTTAAAGGTTCAATAAGGTGGATCATCGGCTTACGTCTGGTATTTGTCTTCACTCGACAGCAAATTATCCGTAAGCCAGTCTACCAGGCCAGGTCTACCAGCAACCCTCGTCTTCTTCCCTCGCCGGATATGCTCGCGATCGAGACACTCCATCATGGTGAACGCTTCTTTCGCAGATTGCACAAAGACGTCGTCTGTAATCAGTATCAGTGTACCTGTTGGAAACAACCTCGAGATCACACGCTCAGGCGAAGAATCTCTTGTGACGGGAATTTTCCAGGTCTGGATTGGCCTGGCGCTGAAGAAATTGTACTTGTTTGAGTACAGAATCTTCCAGAGATCTTTGATTTTATGCAAGCTGAGGATCTCGGAATGGAGCTAGTAGGGTTTAGTGGGCGTTTTTTATGAAATCTCGTGAGGGCGATGTTTAGGTCACTCACTATTATGACCCCTTTCTTGATCTTGGTACTACCCACGAAATAGTCCCACGATCCCCTGACAGAGCAGTCAAACACGGACACATGGGAATCCAATAAAAATGTTTTCCAAAGATTGAGATCCGATCGATGACTCTGTTCATCAAACATCAGAAATACGTTCTTATCTAGCTGTCCATCGTCGACCCCAGGTCCTTGAAAGAGGTAGTCATTTGTCACTCCATATCGCTGTCTGAACAGCATTTGGAGTGACGTCTCATCTGGAGTAGAGTTGCAGTCAACTTCATGCATCTTTGGGATGATGGGCCTGGTAACACCAAGAATTGGCATAAGGATTTGGAGATGCAAGATAGGTTTTGTGGTGCTGGGATGCAAGACCAAGGTGAACTCTCGATGTAACACCAATGCGAATAGTCCTCTAGTATCGAGGAATTGCCTAAAGGTATGATACGCAGTGATAGAGTCTGAAAAAGGCGAAAGAAGGCCTTGAGCAAGTATAGTGCCATCTCCCTCGTATACGAGACTGTGAAAGTCTACCTTCAGACACAGGTTGTCGACAGAGAACATTAAATCATGACCAGCAACATCATGGAGACGATCTCGCGTTGCCGCATTCAGTCCGGTGAGTGTAGCCTCAAAACCTTGTGCTCCATAAGCACAATGCACAGAAAAACTCATTCCAATAGAGGTCGCAGACTCTTTCATAGGAACAATACTTTGCACTTGTGCTGCGCAACTGCTGTCCACGTCCATATCGACGGTCGGGTTTTCTTCCCTGGTGCTTTCCTTGAATGCTGGAGAGTTTGGTGACATATCTTCCTGACGCAGACCTGCCTCGATGTGACCCGTCCCATGTACAAATTGGCATTTCTCTCCTTTGTTGCACCCACCCTTCTGGTGGTATACACATGGGCGATCAACCTTTGGCGGTTGCGCTACATTGCTCATGTCCTCGTGGGCATACCAGCATCCGTCACCCCATTTACAAACACCATAGCGCTTCCAATGGTAACATGTGGTTTGTTTTTTTGGAATAGGGATTGACTCTAAGGCTGGAGCAGGGGTCACGAGCGGATTCTGGTGCGATTGACGTCTCATGGAAATGGGCAATTCGGATCTGTCGACAAGTGTAGTCTCTGAGTCGTGTTTCTGCGGATTGGGTCCGATGAGTCCTGTATTTTCATGGGCGAAGTCACAATGCCGATCGTCAAGTCTACACTTGCTGTTGAACCAATACCAGCAGGTTTGCGGTGGGTTCCAATATTTCTGGGGAACTCGGCCCATCTCATCGGATATCTCATAGTTTTCTGTGTCATCAACATGCAGAAAAGGACAGTCGATTTTACGCTGGCAACCACCCCCTTTGAGCCAATGATAACAGATCTGTGGCACTTTTCCTTTATGGCCTGTATGTTCCTGGCGTATGTCGGACATCTGCTCTGGGCGATCTGATAGGGCTAGTGAAGTCTCAACTCCTTCATCTTCCGGGATATACAATGATTCAGTTGGCACTCGATCAATGCGACCGCGAAGCTCAGCCCTGCGTCTCTGTGATATCTTCTGGAATTGGTCGTCATTTGGGGCCCTCGAAGGTTCGGATTCTACACGCCGGCGCTTAGTGACGGGATTATTCACGATCTTCGAGCCTTCCTTCCCAGGTATAAGCGGCCTCGCGCTGCCAGCGATCCCGCCTAATAGTTCCTGGTATGTCTCCTTCAACGTCGGTACCTCTATGATTCTGGCACGGGGTTTATTTGATACTTTCTGTTGCCCTACTATCACATTTGATGGCGCTGCCTGATCAACCATTGGTGCTTTGCTGAGTGTATTACCGGGTATGAAGGTAAGTGCATCTTTCACCGAGTAGCTACCGGGCATATCATCGACCGTTACCTTCTTCTGTACAAGTTTTGACGGAGAGGCGGGATTGGAGATTCGTTCCATCTGCTTCACAGCATTTTTTGCAGGTTGGATTGTTGAATTTGTAGCGATTGTGGGCTTCTGTAGGTTAAGTTTCGACATAGAAGCGGGCGCGGATTCACATACACTCGGGTTTGTAGCATGGTTCGCCAAATTTGGAGTTGGCACTTCAATAGTGACCGAATCTTCCTGTGCAAGTATCGATTCAGATGCGGGTAGAAGTCGATTTTCACTTGGTTCTTTAGGTGTGGTGTCAATGTGCATTTGATGCTCAACGCTATTCCCAGGCACGGTGGGCGCAATCTTGGAGCAATCTGGATTTGAATCGTCTTCAGAAGAGTCTTCGGAATCCGGAATAACAGGCCTCCCCCGAGTTACTGTTTTCAATGGACCTGGAGTTTCGGTGGTGGTCGTCACTGAGCTGTTCTCGAGCGAAATTGCTGAAGGCGTGGTACATTCTAACTTCGCAGGTGTCTTTTTGTTGGCCTGCAACTTCCGTGCTTTGTGTCGCTTTTTGAGTGCCTTTACGCGCTCGTCCTGTTTGCGCTTCAAAGCATCCACGTCGAAAGGTTTTGCCAACCCTTTACGCTCTAAGCTGTACTGTCGCTTCCACTGTCTTATGATTGAGCGTGCTTCGAACGATCTTGCAGGCTCCCAGCTAGCTCTTTCTATTGTTAGATATAGTCGGGAAGGGATCCAGGCATACGGAACGTTGTGTTTACCTCACTAGACGGTAACCTGCCCACCTTACTAAGTAACGAGTTTTACCGTTCTCGATCCTCTGAGCCAGAATGCGGTCGACATCGTAAGTTTTCTCTGTGTCAAATGATGAATCTGACGCATAGTCATCTGAGTCCCACGTCTCGAGCTCCTCAGCAATGTCTGTGTAGATGTCAGGTATTGGCATTGTTACAAGGCGGCCATGTCAAGCTTCAGAGATAGAATGACTAGGCTCGGTAAAGGCGCGTTAGCAGCATTCTTGATTACACTGTGAGCAACAAAGTAAGTGATATCAACGATTTTGCGAAGACTTTGTTTGGACGCGCTTGATGAGCAAGCAAGCCTTGAGCAAGAGCACTAGCGTACCCGTAAGGTAGTGAATGCCTGAGCGACGCAGCGCCAGGGACTGGATCACATCACGTGTCGATGGACCCAACGCCAGGGTTCGAAGGACAATGAATTGATTGGCACTAAGACTAACTTAACGTTACTCCGTAGTCAAACAGACACCTGCATTCACAGATATTCCGCGTTGCGCATCTGAACGCCGTGAGTTCCTCCTTTTCTCACCACATCTTCACCGCCGGCTTCTGCATCTTCTTCTGACCGTCTACTGTTGCAAGGCACCGTCAGCTCTACAACATCTTCACTAGCTCCTCGTCCGCTTCTGCCCCTACCCCGCCGCCGTGATATCTTCCCACCGCTAGGCAGCTTTCGTTTTCGACCGAAACAATCATGGCGAACGACGAGTATGATGTGAGAGCCTGTCCTCCAGATGCTATCTCGAAGCAAATCGCTAACTGTCTCGTCCTAGTTCCTCTTCAAAGGTACATGCTATTTCAGATCCGGACTCCGTCTCGCCACAATACTCACTTTATGATGCAGTTGTTCTTATTGGAGATTCTGGAGTCGGTAAATCCAACCTCTTGAGTCGTTTCACTCGCAACGAGTTCAATCTCGACTCTAAGTCTACAATCGGCGTCGAATTTGCGACTCGGTCCATTCAGGTCGATGCCAAAACCATTAAGGCGCAAATCTGGGACACTGCTGGGCAAGAGCGATACCGCGCCATCACCTCCGCATACTACAGAGGCGCTGTCGGTGCCCTTCTAGTCTATGATATCAGCAAGCAACAGACATATGACAACGTCACTAGGTGGTTGAAAGAGCTGAGAGATCACGCTGATTCCAATATCGTTATCATGTTGGTTGGAAACAAGAGCGACTTGAGGCACCTGCGGGCAGTTCCCACTGACACTGCGAAGCAATTTGCGAGTATGTGCGAGACGTTGTGCAGCAAGAAGGTTCAATGAATGACTCTAAACACTGCAGGTGAAAACAACCTTTCTTTCATCGAGACGTCTGCCCTAGACGCCAGCAACGTAGAGCTTGCCTTCCAGAACATCCTTACTGGTATGCCCCGCAGTCCAGATCTTGCATGAGAACTTCCTGACACCATGTCACAGAGATTTACCGTATCGTCTCCAGCAAGGCACTAGACCAGGGTGAATCTTCACAAGGTCCCATTGGCGAGCGCAAGGTCCTCGAGATCAGCAAATCGGCTGATACCGAAGCCAAGGGCGGCAAGTGCTGTTAAGCAAGAAACTATCATACCCTCCTGAGGTATACATATAACCAGAAACTAATTCCTGGTCCTTCATTCGTCACAATGCTAAACCCACCCGGAGTACAGTCTGCGCAATCAGGAATGGTTACTTTGCTAACGAGGGCGGAGTTACCTTTACGTTCACTCATGTCATGAGGGCTGTTATTGCATGATGATAATGGAACTTCCTTGTGCGCGAATTACACTTGGCTTATGCTTATTTCTCTGTTTCTTGGCGTGCCGTCAAGACTCTGGCATAGGTTTAGATCCCTCATTCATTACCTACACAAGCCACGTCACGTAGATAATCGAACCGTTGAGGGTGTCTTCAGGCCGCGATGCCCGTGTCACACTGGAACGGAGAGTAACCCTGTCTATTGCTTCCGGAGCAGTATTAGCTCGAAACAGTACATAGATACATAGCCAGCCGTACTGTCATTGTCATCATCAACCAGCCTATCTACCCAAGCATAACCAAGACAGCTATCATCTACAACCCTTGGCCTGGAAGCGTATATTTCGTGGAACATCGCCACCGTTAAGGTATCAAATATCTTCCATATCCTCCTCTTTCATCTTGTTTCCCCTGCCATCCAACCTGTCCATTCTCACATTCTCAGCTGCGTTCTGGCCTGCCATATTCATTGCCTGCCTTCCCGTATCTGAGCTCTCTAAGAACTCGCGAAGACGTTCTTTTCCGACCTCCACAGCCTGACCAAATGCTGCGTTGCCCATGCGGTATATGGGACCCCATAAGTTTAGCGTATAGGTGGTATAAGCACCAGCGGCGAGAAGAATCCCGCAAAGGATGAGGAAGGGATTGCGGAGGACTATAATAGCCACATCAGTACATCGAAAGGATGCTGAGACAAACGGAGACTTACCAGCCATAATTTCGTTCCATCCAAGTACTACACACACGAGCCAGAAATATAATGGGATAGACGAAACCGTACCAAGCGCGCCGCGTTTAGCTTCGACGAAGACGCCATCAGCCATCTTTTTGAATCGCACAGTTAGGTCTTGCTGTTTCGCGTCGTTCAAGATAGTCATTTCTTCCTCAAGGCTCTTGCCTTCTTCTTCGTCCACACCTCCGATAGGAATGAGGTCTTCCTCGTCGGCAGCAGCCACAGCAGAAGGTGCTATGCCGATCCAGGCGTCAAGCGGTGGTGGCGAAGATGTTGTTGAAAGCCTGAAACGTGATAGTAGGGGAATAAGAGTAACGGTAGACTCTCGCGCCTTTGTGTATAATCCTTCTATGTCATCGGTTGGGCGCCATATTCGTGGTACACCAGCCTCGTCATATCGGAATTTGTCTTCGAAGTTCTCCCGGAGCTTGAGCAAGATGTTTCCCTCCATGACCTCTTCGTCGATCTTTGTATGTAGAACACCCCATGATTTGCGTCGTAACCTCCAGAGGCCAATCTCGACTTCTTCGGGGCTTGCATCAAAGCTCCTTGCTCGCTCTGTGAACCGTTTCTCGGCTTCGGAAACCATTTCCGTGAATACATCCCATATGCGATCCCAGATATCTTTTTCGGTTTTTGGCTTAACGCCTTCCTCAGGGGCACCGTTACCCGCGCGACCAGATCCAAGTTTGTTGAATTCTAGTCCCACTGAATCGCCAAGCCTCGAACGAACCCATCTCTCTACTCTTGTCGCAAGACGGCGCATTTCATCTTTCCGCAGTTTCGCGCTTACTTCATCGAGGTCCTTGCGGTATAGATTTAGCTCCTGCTTAAAGTTGCTCCATGAGGCGTCCTTAACAAGGATAGCCATACCCTCCGCTTCAAACCGGGTGATCGCATTCTTTTTCTCAATGATGACTATTTCGGCGAAGTCGTATTGTGCGCCTTTCTTCTGGCCATCTTTGACTGCAGCGCTCACGGCATCGCTGAAGGCATTTACGCCAGCTTTATGTGCTGCTGCTAATTGCCCCTGAGTCAGGGCTTTTAGTCTGCCGTCGACTTTTCCCTCTAACTCTGTTCGCTTCCGTGCGTACACGCCCTTATGATATCGACTTGCTGCTGTCTCGAAGTTGCTCAAGGCATTGGAACGTGCACTGTTCATGACTTGTCCGAGACCTGTAATGATCTTAGGTTTTCCGGACGTGATGTCCAAGGCTTGTTGCTCCTCAAGGGGTATAATAGCTTCATCGAATCCGACGAGAACCTCTCTCGCGATCTCGTCGCAACGGAACTGAGCCAAAAGCTCTTGCTGAGTCGGCAAGTCCAAGTCTTTATTGTGTACGATCTGGTCCCAGATGTTTGCGGCATAGGTAGAAAAGCCATCGGCAGGTATACGGCGGTGATATTCGGGTAGAAGAATTGGCTCTGATGATTCATCGACTAGACCATGCTTCTTACGATCCTTGTAGCCTTCGTTGAATCTGAGACTCAGCTTTTCCACATCCTGCTGGAATGCCTCTGGCTTCAAAATTTTATGTGGTAGTCCTACAAATGCAAAATCAAAGTAGTCTTCGATTTTAGAATTTTCTAGCCCCTTTGGTTTTGATATTGTCGACCATATCCTGGAGAGATCCTGGATCAAGGTATTTTTAAGGTTCACCAGAGGAGTGTGGCCAATGTGATCTCGAATCACAAAGAACAATAGGGAACGGGGAATCGTCCTGTCGCACTGTCAGTATCGCGTCGGATATACGATGTATGTCAACATACTCTCTCCCCTTTACGAAAAGCTGCAAGTTGACCTCGAAAACTGTCTTAAGCAAACCCATATTTGCACCTTGGTACAGACCGACTTGGTGTTCCCATATGTTGACTATGAGAACCTCGCTAGTTGCCAATGCAAACAGCGCGCTCTTCCGCTCAAAGTCCTGGTCCTCTCCTCGTTCACGACCGTCCGTGCCTTCCACATCCATAACAAGAATGTTGTCAGCCATGCTTTTGCCTCCATCAGCATCTACGCCTCGTTTGTTCTTCGACATCCATATTCCTTTCGTGGTCTGCCGCCTCTCTTGCTCAGACATCACGCCGAAGTCTGTGCCAAACAAATAGTTCAATAGTGTGGATTTGCCAGTAGACTGCGAGCCAAACACGGATATGATGTGGTAATTGAAACCGGCGGGCGTAACTTTCTCAAGTTGGAAGTATGTAGAGAGGTTTGGACTACATGCAGCGCTATCAGTTATTGCTCGTCATTGCTCGGCGCAACCTACTTGAACTCTTTGTCCTCATCAATAACTTGCACTCCATGTTGGTACTGCTCCATCGTGGGCTGCTCGCCCACAGGTGCAAAGTGCTGGTTCATGACAGAGGGCGCAGACTTTTGTGTTGACATACTTGGACGCCCTCCGTCGCCGTTGAGTGTAATGGACATGATGAAGATGGCTGTCGGCGGGAGCGTTCGTAAAATGGCCACACAGTCGCTGAGGGGATGACAGTCGCTAGAAATTGAACCATACGTAAGTGGTGTTGAATGGCCAATAGTTGATAAACCCCTTCAGTGAAAGTGGTGGTAGAGTGGGTGGTTTAACGTGCCATGTTCTGGAGCGAGCCGGCGGGAAGGCACATGAAGGCTTGGCCTGTGATCGTGCCTGGGTAGGGGCCTTACCGCTTTCGGATATTCCATTATATCATAAGTCATGTCACTTCACCGACCTGAGAATTCGACCGGCCAAGAATGAAGGCTTGTCTAGTCTGGTCAACAACATAGCGCAACCGCATTTATACACATAAGTATCACGCAGCTTAATAATATATCACCAGTATAATTTGGCATATCAACAAAGCACGAATTTTCTAAGGAATGCTGATATATTCAACGAGCGACTAGCATCCAGGGTTTTCTAACATAAATATGCCAAATAGTTTGTTGTTGTGATTACTGGAATTGCAAAAGGAAATGAAACCGCGACTTCTAGTCTTACAGCATATCCCGGTGACGACCAAGATCGATGCTTGCCGTAAGACTGCTCGGCGGACCACATTGACGGTGCGGACCCTACGTCCATACGAGCCCTGTGAGAGAGATCAATCGGACGATTTGCTATCAGAAAAGCTTCCTTGAAGATATGCTTGTATGAGTACAACAAGTTAAAGGAACAATCCAAACAGCCCAAGTCAACGATGACCAGGTTTCTAGACGGGCAGTCAGGTAGGAAAAGATGCTGGGAAACAAGACAGGAAGCTCGGTGCCGTTCTGGTACCCAAATAATAACGTGTCCGACTGTTGCCAACGCGGACAACATGATTGATTTTTGATAGTTCGTCGGTGACGATGAGTAAGTACAACGCCTTGAGACTCTTCTTTTGAGACACTCATGCTCCCACTGATCGGTGAGAAGCAAAGATACTGTAGGTCCAACGCGTACACCAAAAGTCTTCGCGGGAAGAGCACACCGCTGGAACGACAACGTTGTAGGGTCGGCGAGATGCGATTTTAAGTGGTGAAACATATGGATGAAGCGTCCAGTGAGAGATCATGAATAGCAGCCTGAGACGACAAGATGTAAGACAAGTTTATCTTTTCAACGGTAAGCTCCGCCGTAGACGGGACGAACAGCAGTGGTATGACCAGTGCTGTAACGGTTCAGTTGCATTCCAGCTGGAGGTCCAGGACGGGTGGCGAATGCTGGATTACAACATAACATAGCGACTCGAGAGCCATACTTTGAGCCTCGAAGGGAGACCATGTGCTTTCTGCAGGATTCATTAGCACACCCTTTTCCGCCCCAAAACCAATAATGCACTTACCGAACATGACTAGCAACGACCTCTCGATGCTGAGAACCGGCATGGGTGAGTATATACTGTACCAAGTAATTTCCAAACTGGTCACCAGCGACTGTCAAGTGTCAATTGTATATTCTGGTACTGCGGTAAGTGAGAACCTACTGTCGATCAAGGGCATGCGTGGACGGTCGGCGCGACCTTCACAGACTCTTTCGAGATAGCGGTCCAAGAACTCTCCTCCTCCAATCTTCAGACACTTCTCGATCACTTTTGATGCGTACTGATCCATGCTATACTCTGTCGCAAAGCGAAGAATATGGTCGATAGCCCTGCTGCGATCGGCAGGGGCACCATGTTCACAGATGTGCTGAATGCACCAGTTGCCGAATTGACCATGTGCGATAACATCAATGGCCTGGAGGACCTCACCAATACAAGGACGCTTTGATAGTATTAGTATGATTTGCTAACACGAAGGGAAGCACATTACCTTGTCTTCTTCCAAGCAGTTCTCGAATATATTCTGTACGACAAGACTGCCGGTCTCACCCAGAGCAACCTCATGCCACATGCCACGAAGAGCTTCGTTGACGTATTTCATGATTTGGGGGGGTGAGTCACTCCAACGAAGCTCGAACAGTTTCTGCCAAACATGGCATGCATATCTATGAATGACAGTTTCCGGGATGCGACGGAGTAACTCATGGACCATGAGAGCCTTGTATTCTTCTGGAACGGCATCGAATGCTTTCTGAATAACATGACAGCCAAAAGCATCCATGCTGAGAGTCAGAGTGTTGCCACGAATAGCGTTGGCTATCAGTACGACTTGCTCCGGGGTACCGTGCTCGAAGCATCGCTGCACCAGGAAATTACCAAAACGATTTATCATGAGAGGATAGGCCTGTGCTATGATAGCGTCGACTATCTCATGCTTTTGCTCAACTGTGCCGACCTTCAGCTTTTGCTGCAGGAAGATTGAAGCTTGTTGGTCGTTGTTGCATACAATCTTGTCCACGATGTACTTCCAGTTACAAGTCATGTTGCGGTCAAGCAGGCGGCGATAGTTCATTGGTTCGACCGAAGCGACATATGTACCTGCAGCGTCCGGCTGTCCCTTTGCGGCATTAGCTGAGTTGAAATCCATGGTGAATGGCAAACTCACAGAGGGATTGTTCCAGGGCGATGGAACAGCTGCGTCAAAACTGAATTCCGCCGCAGTGGGCGAAAGGCGAGTGCCAATGGCCCGCGGTTGGTATTGCTGCGATCCCATGGAGTACATTCCCATAGACTGGGCGGATAGGGGAGTCAAAGGAGGACTAACTCCAGCGCCGTCTACAGAATTAGCACTCCCAGAATATGTGCCCCATGCTCCAAGGCGGCTGTCAAACGCGGACGGAGGACGACTTGGTGGATTGCTGACTCCACGACGTAAGCTATGGTCGAGCGGGAAGTGAGCTGGCTCATTAAGCATTTGATTGTTGCGATAAGTGTCAATGCGGAGGCCAGGATTAGACCGTGAAGGAGGTTGAGGAGGATTAAAGCCAGTGGCGTTGAGTCCTTGGCCAATGTTAGCCCCATACCACGGTCTAAGCCCGTTCATATTCCAGTTGTTGTTAGTCGGGGCTATGTATCCTTGCTCTACTGGCGCAGAGACGTTGCAAGCAAAGCCATTCTTTGTTCCCGTATTCATCCAGTTGCCTTGAACGCGATTAGTGACACCAGCCGAGAGAGCCTCACTTGTATCTGAGCGTGCATCTTCAGCTTGAAGCTGCCAGCTTTCTTGACGAGATCCGATACCGCGAGTGGCAGCGTTGAAGTTGATTTGCAAGCTGCTGATAGTCTGATCTGTGACGTCACCTTTGAAATCGACCTCAGATGGTGGGCCAGTCGCGTGTTCCATGGTGTGCTTGGTGATCCGGGTCTCGTGCAATTCTTGGTCCATACGGGCAATCCGACTTTTTGCATCTACAAGCTCTTGCTTCAAGCGTTCCATCTCCTGGGCGTCAGGGGATGACCTCGGCTCATCGCAGCGCGAAGAACGTGGAGTCATGTGGTTTGCGGAAGGGGAAGATTCCACATTGTTGGACTTCTCCTGCTCGGCAACCTTGGCGTGTCCATTATGAATGTTCGCACGGCTGACATTGGTGGTCAGAGAGTTGAGAAGCTTATCAAGGATTGCGGAGTTCTCGGACGACTCATCAGGTTTCTGGCGAAGAAAGTCAATAGGTTGTAAGACACACGATACGCGTTGTTACACCAATTTCACTCTTGGTGTAGCAACGCTGGGTGAAATACCTTGAAAGATGGAGTCCGAGCTGTGGTAGCGCGACACTGCTGATTATTGAGCATCTTGGAGGTCGTCAGAGGAAGTGTACCATCGTGACCGATGGTTTCAGTGCACTGGACACCCTACAATTGAGGTTAATGAAATGAAGTCTATCGGCCAGCATCGAAAGAGGATAGTGACTGAGATGGTGGCAGTTAACTTACCATTGCTGCTAGCATGAAAGACGGATCGTTGTTCGAGTCGTTACAGATGCTATACTGTCCAGAGGTGCTTGGGGGAACGGGCGATCCTTTATCGTTCATGTTTGTCGGAGTGGTATTGGGACTAGATTGCAGATACAGCTGGAAATCGTAAGGTGATCGCTGATAGCTCGTACGATATGGCCAGTAAGATGCCGGACCACTATAGCCTCAGCACAATTAGAAAGCTTGGATGAGTGCTGGTGAAGTGTCAAGTAGTAGAGTAGATGGTGAAGTAGACGCAAACAAAGAGCAGGTAGATGAAAGTCACAGAGCCCTTTCCCGATTGAAGGAGATCTGGCACAGCAATGATTATGCAGAAAAGGAAAGTCTGAGTGGGCTGTTGTAAGCCTGGGAAAGTTCAAAACGAAAAGACAAAGGAAGGTGAAGGAGCGTAGACTGGAAGAAATTTTGATACTTAGAGCTTTAGAGAAATGGGAATGACGAAGAAAAACTTCTAAAGTAAGAAGGAGCCCTGGCAGCGAATTTCTGTTACTGCAGTGGGATCGGCGGTCGCCGATTGCTCGGAGCGCAATTTCTCCACTGGTTCAACGTTCATTCACTTGAAGACGCACAACACAAGCAGCCCGGGGATCGTCACCACTTCCTTCCACCTTAGCTCAAGGTCTGCACTGTGCTGCCTACTTTGTACTGACCCACGACACTGTGTTTTTACGCGAAATATGCCGTCTGAGTTACCTGCCAATGATGGTCAAAGAATCCTGCTGCAACAACGCCACCTACGCCCTTCCACATGGCAGCCCGACTCAGAATTAAGAAGTCTGGCTGTCCGGCACCCGTTTGCAGCGGCACGAGCCTTGCAGCCAAGCCTGCATAATGAATGTCAGAGCCCCAGACGACGAGTTCCAAAGCGTCGTGGCCTCGTGGCCTGAGAAAGATCGCTGCCAAATCTTTCTCCGAATTGAACGTTCTCTCAGAACCACTAGAATCGAGGATAGAAAGTCTCCCACTACTGTCTACCATGATAGGGAAGCGAACATGAGACGATGGAGGTAGGTTTGATCCAATCGAGACTGTGAACATGTTACCAGAATTCCTCTTTATCGTATTTGGCTCCGAAAACGATCGTAGGATGATGGTATCCGCATAATAATACTGTTGTAGATTTCGTGATATCTGAAGAGCGATGGCTCCTAGGCTTGTATCCTCGTACCGAACGACAAATTTATCCGAAGTGCGCATGATGGCATCTAGAGGTCCCATTTGGCGGATGGACCTTTCGCTTAGGTTATCTGGTGCATCGATAGACGTCTGTCTACAAGTCAATATAGCTCCAGAATATATCATGAGGATCACTGCATACTTTCCATGCGCCATCCGATCCTAGGATATAATACAATTTCTGACCGAAATCTCTACCTGACCTGACAGACTGCCCGTCTATCTTCATAGTTCGTGAAGTCACCCTGTTCGTAACACTGAAGCGTAAAACATTATGAGAGAATATACTGGTACTGCTATCCTTGCCACTAAGCTCAATATCTAATCTGCCTAACTGGCCAGGATCTCGCAATAGAAGTATTTGGAAGCCTTGCTTGCTTCCGGTATCACCAGGATTTGCAACTGTGAGTGTGAACTTATCAAGGTGTTCAGTTTTCGGAGCGATTACCCCCAGCTGTTGCTTGTAAAATACCTGTAGGTTAGGAGTGGTCATGATTCCGTCAAAGTAATGATTGACGCCCGGGAGTTCAGTGTAATCCGATCTCCCACCGACCTCTTGGAGCAAATAATGCATCGAACGGGAATTATACGAAGGTACGTTATCGTCAACGCTACCATGTTGCTGATGTATATTGATACCATTGGCATTGGAGATGAGAAGCTCGTGCCTATAGCTATTGGTAGACGCTTGGATGATCGACACAAGACGGGGATCGGTAAGTCGCCATTGATTGTACGGGACATAAGCTATCAGATATGTCAGCTTGATGGAGTTCCAAGAAGGTACGGGCTCACTTTGAATAGATAAATACCCTGATACTGGTGCAGCTGCAATGACATTGTCAGGGCGATGCGTAAGGGCATACCAAGTCCCTTGACCTGAGGTTCATTAGCACATTAAGCAATTGTTGAGTAAGCGAGTGAGTTTCTTGGTTAGTCTTATACCGTTCGAGGCCTCAAGTCACTGCAAGTGAAACAGAGGCACTACTAACCCCCATTCGAATGTCCGCATGCGAACCATTTCTCGAGATCAACACCTGGACCCTGCCAGCTTACGGCTGACTTCCATGTCTCTATGGTGTTGATTGCAGCCTCTACATCTGCAAAGCCCCAATTGTCTGTGTTGATCAGTATAGACTGTCCTAGTACAAATGGAATTTCACTCACGCCAATCATCGGCACTCCAAGGAGTCACACCTGTAGGAAACAATACCCAGGCACATATATCTGTCACTGGATCGAACGATCGAGACACTAGTTCGCTTTCCGCTTCGTTCCCTGCGCCATGCATGAAGAAGAGGACGGGCAAGTCCTTCTGTGTGTTACAAGAAACATTCTGCTGTGGAGGCCTGAGCATCACATACGAGACAATACCACCCGGATGAAGGTACGTAACTTTGTGAGGCTCATACAGGTTCTTCCTCCTCAAGTTCTGATTAGCCATCAATGAATCAAGTGAAGCATTGGTTTCGACCAGGGCGTAGTCTAGCAAAACTGTGATTTCAGTGGCATTGGAACCTGTTCCTGTGACCTTGAATGCCACAGGACGAGTTTGACCCGGTAGGACTACGGCGTCCTTCTCCAATAGCAGGACGTTAAAGGAATTCTAAAAGGTCAGGTCAAGCGCATATTACCTAAGTTGATACGTGCGACTTACATTTGGCGTCCTTATTCCGCGAAGGGCAAATGCTTCTTTGCCACTATTACGAACCGTGATAGAGGCAATAGACGCTGCAAGTGTATTGCCGACCAGATCTGATATTTGTATACCATTCGATCCTAGCTCAAGGTACCCAGATGCTTTGTCAATCTGCAGCGTAATGGCCATGATCGGCTCACCGATGCCTCCGAAAGCGCGTACATCTCTGACAAGGCGGACATCGAGGCGGTGCCTGCCGGGCTCAAGCCAAAGAACCGGAGGGGCCTTGCGAAAACCATAGAAATCGCCACCGAAGAAATGCTCATTGTCAACCCAGAATTCGAGAACGCTATCGGTATATAGCACGAAAGATTGAGCGGCGACTCCTGTGACAGTGATGTGGCCGCGTGCCCATCCTTGGAACTGCACTGCTGCCCACCCATATACTGTTCTGAGGAAATCCCACTGAACACCGGGGAACGAAACGACCAAATCCACACGTGAGCTTTGCGCGTTGCTTTGAACATGCTCTGCTTCCAGAGTGGACCATCTTGCAACACCATCGAGGGGAAGCGAGCTCAAAAAAGTCGACTCTGGATTAAAGGAGATATTCCGGAAGCCGCCGTACAACTCAAGGGGATCAGCTCCCCATGCTGCCTCTGGGTTTCTTTTAGTAGATGCTGGGCGTATGAAATGCCTAGGATATCGTACCTCTTGTGCCAATCTGGAATGGACCCAATATTTCCCAGCGGGAAGAGAATCCAAAGGACGCATTCTGCACATATTGTCGCACATCAACGAGAGAGCCTGAGTCATGTCTTGACCAGGTACAATTCGTCAAATTCAGAGTGCTGAGCAGTGTCAGGAGCATAGCACAGGACCTTTCATACCAACTCATCATAGTGGCAATTAGTGGAGTTTGCAAGCGGCCGAAGGGTCAGTCAGGATATCCTAGGACAAAGGCGGGGTGCGTCTTTATATCCTCTGAAATGCGAAAGGATAACGATCTGCTGCAGACATCTTGTGGAGGTCTGAGCTGTCTTTGCAGTCTCTTGGGAGCAAGGTTGACTGCTGCTTCCCCCGACTATAGGTCGGTGTCTCGCAGCGCAATACACTGTTATAGCAACAGTGGGCGCCAAGCCCAGCCTCGCGTCGTCACTTTTCCTACCATCGCCTCCAGTCTCAACTCGCTTCTATGCCTCACTACGGTTTGCATGGCCTTCTGACCCATCGAAACTGTTTGCTTGTAACCTATCTTCAACAACATCTTGTGTGCCAACCTGCTGCACCCATGAGGTCGTAATCGCGACACCTTCGTGCAACCAGTAATTCCCACAACCCCTCCTCAGCTCCTCCGTACCCGTCTTCAGTAGCTTAATTCATGGCCGAAGAAGCAGCGTTGAACACATAGAACGATCGTATTTTCTGGATGGCTGCATCCTCAGGTACTGAGAGCTTCCCGGCATTTTCTCCGATCCCGCCTTCAAACGACGATTACAACCAGGGCGGAACTCTGTCGCGATCTCCGTCAGGGAGCCCACATCGAAATGGTAAAGATAGGTCTAGTCATGACCGTTGGCATCCCCGGCGGGAGAAGCATATACAGCGAGATGAAGGTCCAGGAGCAGGGAGGCAAAATCGTCACGCAAGACAGAAGAGCCTCTCCGAGGCCTTTCGAAACATCCGAGGAAGAGGTGGAAGTGTCACCCAGAACGCGCATGAGATTGCGGATGCGCTAAAGGCTCCTGTGTCTGGAAAGCTTGTAGTATGTCGACCCTTCATACTGCTGTTAATGGTTGTACTAAATGGGTTCTTAGCTGCTTTGCGCTATATGGTACATGACTTCTATACTGTCCAATACATCCTCCAAAGCAATCCTCAATTCGTTCTCGAAACCGATTACACTGACAGTCATCCAATTCGCCTTCGTGTCGTCTTGGTGTGTCATTTTGTCTCGTATGGCTAAGTCATATCCCCGCCTAAAAACAATGGTACCGGTTCTGAAGTCGACTATCCGCCCCCCGAGTCGCGACATCATCCTTACAACTCTGCCCCTCACTCTGTTCCAGATTGGAGGACATATTTTGAGTTCAGACGCAATGGCAAGGATACCAGTGTCTCTAGTTCACACAATCAAAGGCCTGTCACCCCTTTTCACTGTCCTGGCTTATCGGTTTGTGTTTGATATTCGATACTCGGTCTGGACATATCTGTCTTTAGTTCCGCTGACCCTCGGCGTTATCATGGCATGCTCGGCGAATTTTCAAGCCGAGTTTTTGGGATTGCTCTATGCTTTCGGTAGCGCCGTCCTGTTCGTGACGCAGAACATAGTCTCTAAGAAGCTTTTCAATGAAGCAGCAGAGGCAGAGAAAGATGGAGCGCCTCTCAAGAATCGCAAGCCGGACAAACTCAATCTACTGTGCTATTCTTCCGGTCTCGCTTTTTTGATCACATGTCCGATTTGGCTTTGGTCGGAAGGGTTCGGCATAATAGGAGACTTCTTACACGATGCCTCGCTCGACTTGACCGAGAAACCTGGATCCTTGGATCACGGCCGTTTGGCATTGGAATATTTTTTCAATGGCACCTTCCATTTTGGACAGAATCTGGTAGCTTTCGTCCTATTGTCTATGGTCTCGCCAGTGACGTACTCGGTCGCCAGTCTTATCAAGCGTGTCTTCGTTATCGTGTTCGCCATAGTCTGGTTTGGCAACAAGATGACTAGAGTTCAAGGTTTGGGCATCGTCCTCACCTTCGCCGGACTCTACCTGTACGATCGAACCAAGAATGCCGGGAAGGCCGATAAACAAGCAAGGAACCTGCAACTCAACACAGACGCGCTGCTTCCCACCACAGGTAACGACTTTTCTCGTTTGACACCCATCGCATCATCTCCAGAATCTATGTCGCCCGATCGTTACGGCGCCTCTAATGGACACATGCAAGAGAAAAGATACGACGATGAGGGCCGCTGGTCACGAGATCCAAGCACAGGAATGGGCTGGCTACCGCCTGGGACGAAGCAAGAGGAGACATGGGCATCGCCACGGATGGGTCAAGGCTCAGTTTCTGTATCATAGAGCAAGTATATATTTTGGCAGCATCATAGCGGCGTTTGGCATTTACGACCAGGTCATTTACTTGGGTATATGTAGATCTACACAGCTAAAGATTGTATACCTTGGACAAGTGAAGCAATTCGGACTACAAGGCCGTGTTTTTGACCATGTTGCTTCATTCATTCACTATATATCCCCCAAAAAGTTATCGATATATAAAGAAATGAGGATTAGTCATTTGCAGCAGAAACGGAATCAGTGCACGGACCTCTACAAATCCGCTATGGTTTACCAAGTACACAGTCCCGGCTCAACTCGAGCACCCTCATCTTCGCAAAATTACAACACACGATTCGCAACCATGCACCTCTCCCTACCACTACTCCTCGCCCTTGTCACCACCGCGTTCTCTGCCTCCCTGACCTTATACATACCGCCGTCCACACGCCTCCCAAACCCAGCTGTCCTCCCACCAACAACTCACGCAACGCTACACGCCCACGGTCCACCCCGTAGCACCAGTCTCTCGCGCAAGAACACATTTGAATTCACAGATCTCGAGCCCGGAAGCTATCTTGCCACGATCCATTGCCGCGACTATCATTTCGAAACGCTGCGAGTCGACGTTACGGCAACCGTTGCTGCGGATGGTACGAAACAGGATGAAAAGGTCACGGTTTGGCAGACATTCAGGGGAAATGAGTGGGATAATAGGGGCGAGAGGAGAGGTGAAGGAGGAAGTGGCCTTGTGGTTGAGGTTGGGGTGGGCTCGGGAAAAGAATATTATCAGATGCGGCAGGGATGTGAGTATATGTCGAACTTTTGCTTGAGGAACAAAATGAGTGTATGATGACTAATATTGACAGTTTCACCCATGTCGTTTCTCAAAAATCCGATGATTCTCATGGCGGTGGTGAGCATGGGTTTAATTTTCGGAATGCCGTACCTTATGGACAATAGTGAGTCAAACATTAACATGGACGCAGAAAATGAAGAAGCTAAGGAGATATAGTGGACCCAGAGACAAAGGCGGAATTCGAGGAAATGCGCAAGACAAGCCCACTTGCGTCAAGCAGCAATCCGGCGGCACAGATTCAGAATTTTGACCTTGCGTCGTGGATGGCCGGGAAGACGACTGTTGGATCAGAGAGCGTTGGATCAGGCTCCGGTACGGATAAGAAAGGAAAGAGATAGTCCATGACATAGAGCACTATGTCACATTATTGCAATTATAGGTGTAGCCATAACAAGGACTCATGCTCATACGCTAAATAGAACATGTATGTGTAATACCAGCAAACATTGATGATCTAGTTGATCTTCTCTTCCTAAATCCTTTAAAGCTCTTGCTACGGAAGACGTATGTATTCCCATGAGTTATGAATAGATGATGTTGAATAATAGCGAGAAACAAGACCAAAAAAATACGAGCGGGGAGGATCGAACTCCCGACCTTCTGCGCTCTACATCATCATTACTTGAATGTAAAGCAGACATCATAACCACTAGACTACGCTCGCAGCGACCAGAAGCTGGAACAGTCTTTGATAATATATTTTCTGAAATGACATGAATAAAAGCGCTTGTTCCTTTGCCGGTCCATACGATGTGTTATTAGATTACCCCACTTCATTTTCTACGAAAATGTATACGAGGTAAACTATAATGCTATTCCCTTTATACTTACTTACTTTATAAAACTATAAAGTATATCTATATCTTTAAGAGTACTATATAGAGAGTTTAAGTATATAGGTATTAATTAAATAAAGTACTATTACTAGTAGATAAGCAAAGTAGTATTAATTTATAGTACTAGCTACTACTACTAATAGATCTATCCTATTATACAAAAAGAGTATATTTACCTATCTAAGACTAAGAACTCTAGGTATTATAGAGTGGTATGTTAAGAGATATAGAAAGTATTTATATATATTAGTAGTTTTATAATTACTAACTATATAGACTCGAAGACGCTCTCTCTTTTCTAAGAGTTAAACTTATGTCTTATTAAATAGACCTCTAAGGGAGAAGAGAGCTGATTGAAATCAGGTACCAGGAGTGTCAGGTCCTAGGCAAGTGACGATTGCGAGCATGCTAATGGTACGGAAACAACTACCTCGAGTAGCGTGAAGTCCGGACTCTAAGTACAAATCATGACACCACCCTTTGTATTATAGCCTTCAGACGTTAAGCAGAAGGCGAAACAAACGTGTGATCGCTATTCTTAATGCCTTCAACTCCCTAATTCATGGCAACAAGCACAGATGCGGTCCATTGGACACACAGTTTGTATATGAAACAGGGTTTACATGAACTAACCAGGCTGTATATGAATTAGCTAGGCTGTATGCCGCTAGGAGCTTGGGATGCCACGTCCACTTGGTATATCCTGCGCCACCAAGAGCTTGACCAAGGGACTCCCCACTGTATCAGGCGTTGTCTCTTCTCTTCGTATGTAAGACATCGAAAGTAGAGGATTTGCCGCTGGTTAAATGTGAGGCCGTCCATATCCTTATCCTCAACGCGACTTTCATCCTCAGACGCGTCAGAGTCGGTCTCGTACCTCTCTCCTTCCTGCTCTTCTATATACCCAACATGTGATCGTTCGAGCTCAATAGAACGACCATTCGCACGTCCGGCCGGCCGTAAAACGTTACGTCTATCAACAGAGATTGATGGTCGTGTGAGTGGGAGAGGCGTATTCTGCGGCTCTACAGCTGACAGAACTGCTGATCTGTCAGATGGGACGTCTAACATTGAACGCACCGTACCTTCAGATTTACGCTCTGCCAACTTCGCAGCTCGTAATTTGCTCCATTCAGCGACGGAGATTGCTCGCCGTTTGACCGGCTTAGCTGTACTGTGTAGTCCCACAGCCGGTATAGCTGCTGAAGTATCTGATGGGATGTCTGGGGCTGAACCTTTCGTGCCTTTAGATTTACTGTTTGTTGACTTGACTGATCGGGTATGTAAAGATTTCGGGCTGGGCCTGGCCATCTTTAAGGGAGGATCCTATTCTGGATTCGATCTTGTGATTACCGTGTGTTTGAGTTTTTTGACTTGATACGAGCAAATAAGAATGTTTATGTTATGATGAATAAAGAATCCGAGGAGAAAAGCAAGAATATATACCGTAACATCACCTTCAGAGCGCACCTGAGGTATCAAAGCACCATAGCCATCAAACCATGGATAAGAATACGTAGGTCTATGACCAGGGTACGCACCATACTTACTATGGTCGATTCACTGACGCAACACGGCAGCATGCGCAACATACTCCTCGAAAAGCTTGTGCTTGATTGGTGAGCCATTTCAGAAATCCGTTCGGAGCGCCAGGATTAGCACTAAACAGTTGAAAATCCATGGATGAAGCTCGCGCACTAAATTCCGTGAAAGGCGCAAACTATTAGGGGGACCATGAAATTGGCAGATCTCAAAGAAGATATCAGTCGCCGAACCATCTCCGACGAAAGTCGTCATATTTATTCTAGACTAGGGTGGCCTGCGGCCGGCAGGCTGCAAGCAGCCTTAAATTCAAGGCTACTTTCCTAGGGTTCTAAAGGTATTAGTATCGTGGAGTGGAGTCTTATAGAGTATAGTATCGTGGAGTGGAGTCTTAGAAAGAGACTATATCACGTGATATATATACGGCCTTAGGCCATAACTAAACTGGAGTATCGTGAGTTCTTGGCGATATATCTAAAACCTCATCCCTTACATATAAGTAGATAGCCAATAGATGGTCTTTATCCGTCGTAGGGAGGGAATAGTAGCCAATAAGAAAATTCTCTGCCGTCGGTAGAACACTATATAATATCATTACTAGTAGAACAATAGAGTGATAATAGAAATATATCCTATTCACTACGACTAAAGGTGGCGCCGGTATTAATCCGGGGCTCATATTACATAGTATAAAGGTATCTCTCTACGACCTTACCTTTAGCTACTACTATCACTACTTTACGCTAGGAAGGCCCTTATCATTAAAATAATAAAGTAAGTTACCCCTTCTATCACGACTTCATTCCTATACCTTCTATACCCTACTCTACTCTCTTACTATAGCTTAGCGTAGTAAAGCTATAGCTCGGCGCAGCGAAGCTATAGCTCGGCGCAGTAAAAAATCTTCACCTCTGATTTTCTCAACCTTAAAGCAACTTCTCCTCTACTCTTACACGGCTAATATTAAGTTATAGGCCCTTATACTAAGCAATCCCTACTACGACAATAGCAATAGTTAACTATACACCTGGTAGCCACGCGACTGGCACTCCTAGTCGTAGTGGAAGTGGCGGTAGTGGTGGTCGTAGCCCTCTAAAGCAGCCACCAAAATCCCACGACGACGACTACTATGTCTCACCTAAGATAGAGAGCTCCTATGAAGGTATTAATAGTAAGTACGATGAAGAGATCCTTCGTAAGTCAACCTACCATTATAGTAAGAAGACTATCTAACTCTATGTAGCTGATGGCCGCAAGAACTTTAAGGCGCGCCTTACTATTGAAAATCTAGAGCGTTTCCGCGCCGGGAATGACGCTAAGATCAAGAAGTTCATCCTAATGATGGCGCAGCTTAATGTCGCATCTACTAGGCGTTATAAGGTCGATCTCAGCCGCCCTCACTTTAGGCACCCGGCTCTTATCTATATCCGCTCTAAGGTTGCTATAAAGGCATGTGTGACCTATCGTAAGAACAAACACCACTTTAAGTCCTGCCGCATTCCCCTCTCCGGCCTCCAGGCATCATTTGGTCGTGGTAGATATACTAATTATAGTATGGGTGGCAAGTGGTCGCGCTGTTCCTTCGTAGCTGATAAAAGTAAGTTATATCTCTTTTGGTTATACTACGATAAAGATCTCTAACCAATAATTAGAAAAGCTAGCTAAGACCTCTGCCCGCGCCGGTAAAGCCTCGCACTCTCGTTAGTCTTCTGCTGCTTCTATGCACGCCGGTGGACCCTCCCACTCACGCCAGTCGTCTACCGCAAAGATGACCTCTAGGCCAGTTGCGCCGCGCCGTCTTACAAAGAAGTCTAATCTTTAGACTATCGCCTAGGCTGTTGACTCTAAGGATACTAAGGCCATGCGCCGCCGCGCCCGTGAACTTCGCGACCTTATAAAGGAGATGGAGGAACGTGCTAACGACGCTAAGGCTAATACTAACTTTAAGGGTTTCTCTGAGTAGATAGTACTATCGCCACATGGCTGGTTAGTTAGGGTGGTGGCGGTACTACTCTATATTGCGACTATACTTCTACATAGATAAATACTAAGCTCTTTCTCTAATATCTATTCTGTCTAGATGTATATGATAAGTATCGTGATTTTAAAATTTTTAGCTATATAGTCGTGAAGTCTAGGAGATATAGCGCTAACCTAAAGGAGAATAGTTTAGGGTATTAATCTTACCACTATACGGCGACGTGTAACACCTAAAATTAAAAGAAACTTCCTTAATCTACGACATCCTATAACATAGGTATAGTAATTATTTGGCCCTACCGCTGGCGCAAACAACAGCGATCTCGATTTTAGCAGCTCTACGCATATCGCCGCATCTATAACCGTTATAGAGTACCTAAGCTTATTATAACCCTACTAATCGATACGCGACTCGACTACCGTGGTAAACACATAAATATACTAGTAAGCACATTTTGCGACAGGTGTAAGAGAATATTATATAAATAGAAGGTGCGGCACCTAGGAAAACGTCTAATTAAAATACTAGAAGCGTGATAGAATTCAAATATAAGTGGGGATCAAGATAATTCATATCGCGGATATAGGCGATGGTTTCTATAATGCCTACGTGAAGAGCGATAGGACGACTAGGATAATATAGCACCAGAAGAGGAGGAAATGCTTAAGACTATCGTAGAGTAGTTTGAGCAAGACTAGCGTCGTAGCTAGGTAGAAAGGACTTCAGGGTATACGACGTTCCTTAGCATACTATCTAGCATATACTTATTATTATCAGGTGGGATAATATGGATACCCTCAGGGTTGGTAACGCGGCTAACAGCGATATATAGCTAGCCATAGGCAAATACCTCTGGGTCTAAGAGAAGGCCTATATTCTAAAGACTCTGGCCCTGCGACTTATTAATTATTATAGTAAATACTAGCTTGACTAGAAATTGGCGTCGCTTGAAGTCTATCCTATCCTTTAGCTTCTCTACAACGAATGGTATCCGTAGGAGTTGGACTATCTCTCCATGTCGTCGTGTACCGAGGATCTACGCCGTGATAGTTCTAGTATTAATACTAGATACTCGAAGTCGTGTACCATTACAGAGACAATCACTTAGATTAATATTTCGTAGTAATATCACGACACATCCAATCTTAAGTCGCAGCTCATGTGGTGGGATTCCTAGTGCCTTAAATGCGTTCATCTGCTCGAGTATCGTAAAGCTAGCACTATTATTATCCTTTGGTTCGTTAACCGAGTATCGGGTTATAACTTCTCCTGGTATCTACGATAGTAGATATTCATTTAGCACATCTACTTTCTAGTTATATACGGTAAGAATAGCAGATGATTAGAGGGCCTCTAAGGTAAGACCCCCAGGCTATCGTATAGTAGGAAAGATTCGGCTTACTAATACATCTAGGCTGCGACCAGGTATAAAGTACTAGGTACCCCAAGCGGTATATCTATTACGGCCAGAGCGATTCCTAACGTCAAGAACCTTTACCGTAAATCGCCCTACCTTATCACGACGACGCTCTGTCATCCTAGGCGCCCAAAGACGCATATTTATAGTAAGGCGCAGTATATGGACCTGGGGCCAGAGATATAAGTTCTTTAGGCATGATTGGACAATCTACGACCGAGTACCACGTAGGACAATTAGGAGAGTCTATCGAAAGTCGCCGTAGAAGCACATTACCATACCACCAAACGCCTCTGTATCCTGATTACGGATATCGCGTATTGTTTGATCTACTGCCTTAATAGAATATCGATGCGACATCACATACTTATCCTAGAAACACATATCTACGGCGCAGAGTGTACGGCCAAGATGGGTACTAGCGCTAATATTATAGCTGGTGTCGCGCTCCACCTAGAGGGGAATCTTAAAACGGGAATGCGCTATCGTGCCACCATGTAAAAGAATCGCAGTAATACTAGAGGAGGCAGTTACTAGTGCGACTTTCCCAGAAAGTCGTAGTATATCTAGTACCAGATTCTATACCAGTATCTTCCCTATTCCACTAGGCCCATCAAGGAAGAAGACCCCCCTACGACCAGCCTCTATAGCGCCTAATAGGGTGTCGTATACATGTCGCTGCTCCTGGTTCAGACTAGGGAGATACTATATAATAAACTGCGCCAGGTTATCACGACGCTAGTTTATCTACTCATAAAGGATACGATTTCCATCTGGTGCAGTCGTGTAGAGCTAATCAAAGGCTGGTGTAGGGAGTGCGACACGGTTCATATCCGTTCCCATATACTAGAGATAGTCGCGAATATAGCAGAGTGCTAGCTCATATCGCTATGCGACTATTAGCTTAGGGACCTAGAAGTACTCACGGAGCTAGTGGATATAGTCGTCGCTAAGGGCATCCTTAAACTAGTCCTAGAGATCTCGATTACTACCTTAGTCGTTGGCTTATACTATGATAGCAAATATCTATCGTAGGCCTACTACAGGCTAAGTACCTATAATCTCTATAAGTGCCAGCCGGTATTTACCATTATCATGAAGCAGTCCTCGTGCAGCACATGCGTCGCGGTATATAGGATATACTATACTATTATATATCCTTATATCGTCAAATGATACCTGCCCAGGGATATAGAGAAGCAGAGTTCGTAGATAGAATACCTCCCTAGCTGTCCACGGCACCTAGAGTAGACGACTAATCGAGAACTTACCGCGTCGCTCGCGCCATGCCTTATCCTGGATCCAGGTATAATACTAGGGAATCTCTATATAATAGAGTCGTGGTAGCCCTGCGATAGCACGCTACTGGTTTACGATAAAGAACTCAGTTAGTATTATATTCCCAGCCCGCGCCGGGATAGATATATTCCCTAGTAAGTCATTATCGCTGTGTTGGAAGACAACCATTTACTAATCCTCCTCATGCACGGCAAGTACCTATACAGGGGGGAACTAGCCGTGGGATAGTAGACTTATAATGCCGCAGATAGCCTCGCAGCCAGAGAGATAGCGTGCGTTAACAAAGACCTTTATCTTATTAAGAATCTAATCCTGGGGAGGATACTCTACGCCAGTACTACGATAACTCTATTACTACTAACGACTAGCTCGAGCACGACTATTACCACGGCCGCGATGCCGTACACCACCTATATATACCTACTACCCTAGGTCTAGGTGCGACCTAGAAGGATTCAGGTTATCGCGCTATATAAGGACATTTACCATATCTAGGCCCTTATATATATACTTAAATACGTACTTAAACACGTCCATACCATGGCACGACTTGATATTAATATGCGCATTATACCGTTTTAAAAGGTAAGGATTATATGGCACGACATCCCGACTTGAGTAGATATACTAATTATCATTCTTCTGGTAGGTATATGCGCTAGCACGACGCCGGTAGGATGGCTCTTTCCCGACTGGTAGCGACGTCTTATTCGTATATGGAAAGGGGAACCGATGGCGATACTTACGGCGACTAGGATGTCTCTTACTTATCGTTATACATGGGCTTAACTGATTTACGTCGCCGCAAGGCCTATATAGCATAGTACGACAGACGATTCTAAATAGTACTAGATTAGAGCTTGGGTCTAGGAGCTCCGCATATATAGCGGCGTCAATCTTTTCGATAGAAGTGGCGCGATCATCTGGTATCGTAATAATAAGAATATGGGCATATAGTAGTCCACGCTTCTGAAACTTAATAGAGTAGCAGTACGCGACACACTTCCTAAGGACATGGCTCTTCGTTAGGTCGTGTAGGAGCTGCGCTAGCTTTATATAGAAAACGCGATAGTAGAGGTTAATTCGGTCTATTACTAATTCTCCTAGCGCCAGCTCATCTATTACCTTACGCTAGGCTAGGTTATATATCATAGTAATAAAGAACTCTAGCGGCCCACTATACGCCGCCATAGCCATTGTATTAAAATATAGCTCTCGCATAAACCGAGGCCCGCCATAGAAAGTCTTCCCAAGCACGATAGTACTTCCCAGCTCACGACCAGTTACATCAGAGTTTCCAAGCGCCTCTAGGAGCCCAGTAAAGTGTGCACGACGGACCTTACTCTGGTTTTACTACCACTAGGCAAGGCGATTTCCCTGGATTAACGCCCATGCGTCTATTACGACCTCATGGAATAGGCGTCCAGCATAGAGTACTAGGTTAAGAGAATTAGGTCGGCGCTATAGAAAGCAGTTCCACCACATCTACTGGCTAACACGCTCCTACTCATGCCCACGACGGCCAAGCCGAGATCCACACCTAGTAGCGATATTTTAGACTAGAGCCTGCTCATCTTCGATAGCACGACTACCACGACCACGACTACGATTACCACGACCACGACCACGACCTTAACCACGACCTCGACCACGACCTCTCTCTAGAATAGCTATAGCCTACTTACGGCGGCCTGCGCCTCGAGGATAATAGGGATTCTAGTGCGCAGGGTAGTTCTAGTTCTACCCTAGCGACCCATGCGGAAAGAGTAGTAGAAAGCGTATTAGGAGATATATCGCATGGAGGTCACTTATCTGGCGTAGAGTACCATCTATGTATCGGAGCATAACATCACGCTACTCCGCAACTGGCTCACCCTACGGCCCAACTAGGAGGAGTCCTATAATCTCGTCGCAGTTTAGTGTATTCCATCTCCTTAGGTCGTGGTCGTGGTCTTTAATAATACTAATACTAAGACTAAGGGCAGGCTGGTCGCGTAGTGTTTACGCATTTATACGAAATGTCTAGATAAACGGATTTATACGGTAGAGAACCTCCTTAATACGTCGTAAAATATCGTCGTGGAGATTCTAAAACGCAGCACGACGTAGCCTACCCTGCTCAGTCTGGTTATCGTAGATATATAGCTATGCATACTTCGGGTCGTCGTGGTCTAGTCGTAGGTTACTTATAAAATGGAGAAGCTCACCCTTTGCGACCAGAGTATACACGCCTTAATAGCTATTCCTTAGGAGAGCATCCTGTAGTACGCCATTCTTAATGTTGATCTTCGTAGAAATAAATGACACTAACTGGTTATAGTGTCGTATACTCTATCGGAACTTCTCTATCGTGTAGTCCTAAACAGTAGTACTATTCCGAGTCTATCGTGTCTATAAGAGAAGCTCGCGTAAGACGGGGGGATATTCAGGTAGTACTAGGATCTATACTTTACCATTGCCGTAGCAAGGCATCCGAATCTCCCCATTTACCCTCGTCGCTGGAACCTCTTCACGCTAGAAGGAGGCATCACAGAACCTACACGACGTACTTGGACGGCAGAGAATATACCGAAAGTCACTTGTGATAGGGTGGGTGATACGGGCGCATAGGGTAGCTGGCCTAGGTTTATAGTAGTAGGTACCTGTCGTATAGTATAGTACTCGATTATTCACCACTTCGCGACGCTAACGCATAGGCATTTGGTATACCTAGGATTGAGGTTACGGTATCTGCTAGAGGGAGTCTAAGGAAGACTCCTAATTACGACGTAACCGTTGGCGTAGGGTACGAAGTACACGTTGCTAAGACGGCGACGCTAGTCTTACGATATACTCTACCTGGGAACGACTTTATAGTGTTTACTAGAGAGCATCTAAGGAAGAGTCCTGGTCATAACGCGACTGCTGGTAAGGGATAGGCGGTATCCGTCGTCGAGACGGCGATTCCTACATTACGACGATTCGACTCTCTCTACGCGAACGACTTCGTGGTGTCTACTATAGGGGGTCTAGAGAGGAGTCTTCCTCTACGACTAAAGGTGGCTATCGTAGGGCGAGCGTTAGTCCTAACTATGGTATAGAAGGAGTTCTAAACACGTCGTCTAGTGGGTATTCATCTATCGTAATACTTACTAATCTACCTATAGAACTACCTATTATCCGGGACTGTCGCAGATTGAATTAAATTGGCTTTTAAATAGATTAAGGTCTAGCTAGGTGTACGCCAAAGAGAGTGCGCCGTAGTATATATAGAAGGCTATTAGCGTGGTATAGGGTTGTTTAGGGGGTATTTGGATTACTTGCGATGTGGTAGGGTGATAATTAGAAGGCATTATGGAGTCGGCGACGACGTTAGCGGCTCTGGCTCTTAAGATACGACTATCGCGGAGGACGGGGTGTAAAGGGGATAATAGTTCGATGTTATAGAGGACTAGAGGGAAGAAGTTAGCGTGAATGCTGCCGTAATAAAGGGACTTGGGAGGATATAAGTAGAAATTGGTGTAGAGTATCCTAGTCTATCGTAGAGCTGGTACTTTGTAAGGAGGCTGGTAGAGATGGTAATACATATTACTGTAACTTTTAAATATTTATATTCTTTCTCTTTATTTACGGCGGCATAGTAGATATATAGAGGAAGAGAATAGGGGAAGAGGATAGAAGAGAGAAAAAAAAAAGGGCCTTAGGCACGCCGGAAGATTAATACTCCACGCCAAGACATACGAATTTTCAACTCTTAAACCTGCCACCAAACGCGACACCAGAGGCTTGTAAACCTATCTCGTCCGTGAGTATAGCCCTACAGAGGGTAAAAAGTATATGAAAATACTCGTCGCAGGCAGGGCTATAAAACTGGGGACCAGATTTTTGAATTAGGCCCTAGTTAATTTAATATATCGCAAAAGGTGGTTTTTTCGTCGTGGTTTTGGTGAGGGCGCTAGCGGGCGCTAGACAAAACGTTGTATCTTTTTATGATTCCGTAGGAATTATACGTGATTCTTAAAAGAATAAAATCTTTTATATGGAACATACGAATATTGAAGTTTGAGCTAGTAACGTATATCATTTATATAGATGTAAAGCTTAGAAATGAATTATAATTGATGTGTAGATTCTACTATCTCAGGGTGCGTTATGCTGGATTTCATTGCGCCAAGATTTCACTGAACCTTGGGCTTCTTCGGCTGTTCTCTGAAAATACTAGCGCCAACGGTCAAAGCATCACCAAAAGCAACGTCGCCTCTCCAAACTTCCCTCTTGCATACGTCAGTAACATTGCATTACCTACTAAACTGAGCATGTAAGTACTCTAATTGTCCTACAAAAACCCACAAAACAATTATGCTCTGAAAAGCAATCATTCTGACTCATTAAAATATAGCAACCGCCTCTCGCAGCAAAATAACGAACACTACCCAGTCCCGAGTCTCGCAACAAATAATCCAAACATGCGCTCCCTCGTCTCAATACTTGCCCTTCCAATTCTCGCCCTAGCCCTCGATAAGCCCCTCAATATTGAGGTCACTTCACCGGCCACCTGCGAACGCAAGACTCAAACTGGCGACAAAGTCTCTGTGCACTACCGTGGGACTCTTGAAGCCGACGGCAGCGAGTTCGACGCAAGCTACAATCGCGGAACCCCTCTCTCATTCAACGTCGGCAGTGGCCAGGTTATCAAGGGATGGGACCAGGGTCTGCTTGACATGTGTGTGGGCGAGAAGCGCAAATTGACGATACAGCCCGAGTGGGCGTATGGTGAGAGAGGTGTGGGTCCTATTCCAGCAAACAGTGTGTTGATCTTTGAGACTGAATTAATGGACGTGACCCCCAAAAAGGATGAATTGTAGCTAGCATGATCACCAGCGGAGTGTTCGGGTAGGTCGAAGCTGTATATGCATCAAGGGAAACAGAAATTTAGGAGAGTTGGAAGTGTATTCAGATATATTCGTAGCTATGCCATATCACCCAGTACCACGCTCGATGCGTATAACGATGCATGAAATCAACGCTAGAATTGATATGTCTTACGACTGGCTGTCCGAAATGGAAGTCGTGATCCTTCACCACAATAAAGCAGGCTCGCAAGGCCTTGCTCCCAACAAAGGAGATATGGATAGACAAAAAGATCAGCATCCGATGCACTTCTCGAAACAATGTTCTCAAGTACCTAGTACAGCTCAAACAGCTGTCACTCCTACATCGTTGACTTCATCAATCTCACTGCTTGCTGCACCGAATCCAGAATCCCGATAAGCGCTTCGAGACTTGAGGCTTTTCATCTTCTTCGACTTCTTCATGTTCTTGCTCTTCACGGCAGGCACTTCTTCGTCCGAAAATGTTTTGATGTGCAGGTCCTGAGTACTGCTTGGCGTGGCAAGATATGTTACATAGACATCATCAGTGTCGAACAATTTCATATCAACAGCGCGCTGAGCCGAGGCCTGCTCCTGATAAGTCGTCTTTCGAGATTCGAATCGGGACACAGCGTTACGCATCTCGCGTTCTTGGGCTTCGATAGTGCTGTTCGCTTCATTACTCTGATCAAGATAAGCAGCTTTGGCGGCCCGGAGCTTCTCTATGAGTGCACTGTTCTTCTCTTGCAATATTGTGTTTGTGTTTGTTAGACTTTGTATCTGCTCATTCTTGGCGGACGCGGTCCGCGAAAGCTGTTCGAACTTCTCCTCCTGAAGCTCAAGATCTTCTCTCCATTGAATGGCCTCCTTCGTGTGCAAGGCCTGGAAGTCGTTGAGTTCTTTCTCGGACTTGTCGAGGTCCATCGCGAGTACATTGTTCTCCCGACGAAGAGCCGCGTTCGCGTCTTTTGCAGCATCGAGGACAGTATGAAGCTGGGTGATATCAGCATCTTTTTGGTCGATCTCTTGTTGGTGTGCTGTTTCTGCCAATTCAACATTAGTCTGGAGACTATCAATGCTGGCCTCGTACGTCGAGATAGTACGATCAAGAGCTTGAACCTGGCCTTCAAGAGTGGCAATTTGTACTTTGGACTCCTCCGAGAGTATTGTATGCTGGTCGCGGGAAGCATTTAGATCAGTCTCCAATGTGTCAATGCGAGATGCCTGAGCAGTCATAATCTCATTCATCTCCGATTCTAGTGCGCCTTTGGCGACAGTAATATCCACAATACTTTGATGCAGAGTTTCGATAGTGGTCTCAAGATCTGTGGAATGCGCCTCGGCCGTTTCACGACGCTCAATCTCGACTTCCATATCATTTTGATACTGCGCCTCGCGCTCGGTAGCGTTCCGAATGGACTCTTCGACCTGGTTCTGTTTCGCCCATAGCTTATTCCTAAGATCCTGGGCTTCTTTACCAACGGCCGAAAGCTTGTCACCGAGACTGACGATGGTCTCATCACGAGACTCTACGTCTGCTTCGGCGACTTCGCGTTGCTTTTGCTGAGTAGATAGCTGTTGGCGAAGCTCATGAAGATTGGTTTCAAGATCCTGGATTTTGTCGTTGGCGTCTGCTACTCGCTCCTCCAAAGTGTCTGTTAAGTTTTTTTGGTCATTCAGTTCCTCACTTGTCGCACTGAGCTGATCTCGGGTACTCCTATTCTGTGTACTGAGCGAAGCGACCTCAGATTGAAGCTTTTCACGATTTTCCATCGCATGCTCGAGATGGCGCTCTAGATGCGTGATAGTCGTTTGCTTCTCGTCAGCCTCACATTCAACGGCTTGTCTCTTCTCCTTTTCAACCTTGAAATGTTGCTCTGAAATCTCAAACTTCTGACACATGTCATTCAGCATGTTCTGAAGTTGTAGGAAGTCCTGATCCAGCTTCTTCCGCTCCTCGAACAGTCGACTCTGAACCTCTATGTGCCTAGCGATGGTTTGCTCGTGTCCTTCTATCTCACTCTTAAGCTTTTCTATTGCTTCATCTTTAGCCTGGCTGTCGGCATCCCGATCCGCCAACAACTCTTCCAAAGCCTCGTTCGAGTCTTCGAGTTCAAGAATTTCCTTCGACTTCTGCTCGGCATCGATATCTGCATCATGCCACTTCTTCTCCAAAGCTTTCTTCCGAGCTTCTAGGTCTTGATACTTGGCTACAAGATTGTCGTTGCTTGCTGTGAGAGCCTCTATCTCTGCCATTGTCTGCTTCACACGTGTTGTGAATCTGTGATTCTGGGCCTCGGAATTTTCCAATCTCTGTACAATAGCTGCTAGGAATTCACCGTTCTCAAGATTGATCGTATTGTCATCTGGGAAGACGTCGTTGAACGTGGATCGGGCATCGCGGAAGGCTGAGCGAATCGCGACCTCAACCTCCTCAGGGTCTCCATGTGAAAATCCCAGAGCTCTCAACTGTATCATCAGATTTTCCAGGCGTGCCTCTTTCTCAGCTGAAGCTTGATACAGCTCAGTGATGCGGTCTTCATACTCTTTCAGTTCAACTTCTCTCATCGGGTCCAAGAGCTTCTTCCGGACATGGACGTCTGCATTGACTGTCGAAGTTTTCAAGACGGTTTTGGTGGTACTCTGGGTAGTGCGAGTTCCCCTGGCTTTGGTTGACTCCATCTGTGGAGGGTCTGACCCGACCAGAGTTTCCATGTTGTTCTCATCCTCGACTTCATAATCCTCGACTTCATCGAAGTCCATGCCTTCAGCGGCTAGATCGTTTTCGTAGTCCATGTCATCCACTTCAGACCGCACGTCGTCAGCATTGGGCACATCTTCTGCATCAATGTCTATGTGGGGATGGGCCTCCTTGAGGTCTTCGAGCTGCTGTCTCAGAGAGTCAGCCTTTTGCCTCATAGGTTCGGCATGCTCAGGCTCGCAAGAACCAATGGAACTCAGGCGTTCCACTTCGTGATCGAGCTTTAGTTGTGCAATCTCTTTGTCCTGTAACTCGAGCTGTTGTCTAAGTTCTCGCATATCTTGCTTCAACTTGGAATCCGCTTTCGTATGCTCTTCGATAGCGTTCATCTCTTCACTAATATGATTCCGAGCGAGACGACGGCGGGTTCGAGCATCAGGGCCGTACATGCCTTTGAGTGGGGAGAATTGAACCTGTATTTCATTACCGTTCTGCTTCACGCTACTCAGCAGACCAGGTGACAGGGTTCGCCGGCGGTCGACTTGTATGGAAGATAGTGGAGTGGTCTCAATGACGACCCTGGGCTCAGACATACGACCACATCGAGACTGGTCATCGACAACGGCATCGGAGGCAGGGTTCTCAGAGGAATGCGCATTACCAACGGTAGAGGTACGTTGTGAATGTCTACGCCGCTTTTGAGGAGAAAGATGAGTTACATCGTTGGAAGGAGAGTCGTCTCTGGGCTCGTTGATAGAAGCGACGCTAGCTGAGCGTTTGTGTGATTTTGTGTGCGATTTTGAGTGTTGTGCGACCGATTTGGAGGCCTTTGAGGCCTTTGCAGTCTTCTGAGGCATACTGGTGAGGACGGAATACGATCTCTGTGCAGCTTTGACGTGGTTTCGGGCGGAGATCCAGATCAAAATTTGAATGTATAGTGGGAGAATGGAAAATGATAGCTAAACGACTAGGCGTTGAGTATCGTGAAGAGACGTAGGTATCAAAGGCAAGCAGGAGGGAGCAAGTTGATGGGAATACGGACAAGAGATTTCACAAACAATTAACGGTGAAAGAGAACAATAGCAACGGAAAAATATCCTTAGTAGTGGCGGGTAGAGGTATGTGCGGCAAGTGCGTCACAGGTGCTTGGCCAACCACTACCAGTCAAGCGTGTCCAAAGTGAAGGACGTGAAACAAGGAAGCTGTCCGAACGCGTCGCGAACGAGATTATCTCATGCAGCATGATGTCACGTTGCAATGATAGGTTGCTGCCGTTTGCAGTGTCTACACAGCCTAGTACGCAGTAAAAGACGCGTCGTGGGCATTCATTTATGGTGTCTGCAACAATTGCGTGCGTCGATTCAAAGCTGGGCACATCGAATGCATATATTGCCTTGAGTCAAACAGCAAACGTCGGTGAAGTCATTCAGGGCTGATCCTCCGGGCCGCCGAACCCACTGAGGGCCCAAGCTTCTACATAAGTAACAGCCTCAGCCTCACACATGCGCCACACCAAAACTTCATCTTAAACGCGACCTCACGTGAATAGGCATTCGTAGTTCAGACTTTGTATCCAGCCCACGTCAGATAGACCAAATGGCGATAGCTTACAACAGTGTTTCGAGAAGATTTTAGGTGATCCGCGGATGTGAGGCTCTCCTTGGCCGAGAAAAGTCCAGATCACTCAACCGTTTCATCGACGCTGGACCAGTAACAGCAATTTCTTTGCTACGGCAAAGTCATAAAGGTCATAAACCACGGGCGTATGGACAGTTCTTCTAAGCTATTGGCTCATTCTGACTGCGATGTCGGCGGTTGATCTCCCAGGATATTACTATGGTAAGTTGTCGTGGGTGCGCACTTGGACTCGCCACTAAAATATCAAGATGAGGAAAAGAAGAAGTACTTCAAGATCGAGCAGAATCATCTCGTCCCGAAATACGACAAATATTCGAAAGGTTCTGTACTAGCAGGAGAGCGACTACGATTGGTACTGTCAACATCCAATGTTCCATAGCGACCAGACTGACTTCGAGCAGAAGCGAAAGCGCGAGGATACCAAAGCATCGAGACTACAGCAAGAACGGATTCAGAGACCAGAGGCTATGCTCTCCACCATTTCAGGCCATGTATCTCAGCTGAACTACGGGTTTACCAATGCACGCAGCCGAACTTACTCGTATCGCTCGGTCTTCGCCTTAGGATTAGAGAAATTCACAACGACCGGAGCTGCTCACACTATCCGCGACTTTTTCAATATGACTGAACATGGCATAGTAGTGAAGGCTCTTGACAGTAGAGGTCTTCACTTCTCGCAAGCTGATGACATCGTGTGGATGAACGAGGACGGCAGGTGCTCCAGAACACCAAAGATCGTGCAGCGGGAGCGCAAAAGCGTTGAGCAATCAACTTTTCTCACTGCCGGATATGATGTATCACACCTGGATTATCACGCAGGCTCAGGGTTCATGTCAGCTGTCAGCCACAAGGATGATACTCACGCGCAGCTGACCATTGACCGGTTCGCCAATTGTGCCTTCTCAAACCTCCCACAAAGTACTTTGGCAATACACTACGAGGTCCGAGATACCACCCTTTGGAAAGGTGTTTTCTGCCCATCAGACGATGCCCCAATGTTGGCTCTTGCAACCTCGCGCGGTCTCCGAATATTGCGAAGGCATAATGAAGACTACATACACATGAATCACCCAGATACAAAAGAGATTGTGAATCTTATGTGGTGTGATCAGAACATACTCGCGCTAGCGACACGAAATGGTGTCATCAATCTCTACGACACGCGTACATCCGCAGATACCTCGTTGTCGATAGTGACTAGCAGAGGCATCGCGGCGATGGAGTCCGGCGACGATCCATATCGCTTGGTGGCCGCCGGGCTAGGTGGTTCACTATGCTTATACGACGTTCGTAGCGCATGTCGCTCTGAATCCTCCAGAGGTAAACGACCTGAAGCTACGAAATCAGCCGTAGAATTTGAAGGCTACGAGAACAACCAGTGGCCTTGCACGGGCTTGGCAACACGTAAGGAACTTGATGTGGTAGCTGCTGGAAATGGCGACGGAAAGCTCCTAATATGGTCCATGAAGACTGGTCAGAAGCTCCGGGTATTTGACACGGGGGTCAAGCAGCTACCAGCCGTAAGATGGCACGATGAAAATGGAAATACCGAGATATGGGCTGCCACAGGGTGCTCTCTCACCAAGTTTGCATGGCATGTCTGAAGCAGCTCCTAGTGTTTTAATGTGCCCATAAGTCAAATTTCTGTAGCGTCTTCCCATGTTCTCATACCACAGGTACCCATCGTTCCCTGGGATTCGGCTTTCACGGGATTGTCACGTAGTACAGTACTACAATCGTGTCATTCAAAACAGTATCTAGCGGTTTCAGGATGTCACTCGAAAGAAAAAGATTGGTCATGGTTACGGCTACTCTATCCCCATGACGTCGAGCCAGAATGGCTTTATTTAATGGCAACGAGAAGCATAACATCAGGTTTACGTGTATCAATCTTGGCGCACATGTCGTCTCTGCATTGCGTCGAGCGTCGCCATAACTTGACGTGAGAAAGACCAATGGTATTCGACCGCCCTAAATCGAGTCTACTCCTCAATTCTAAGACTCCTACCTCTCCAATGACAGATCCTGCTATCGTAATGAAACGGTTGACCCTATCCGGGGCTTAGCCTTGATAGACCAAAGGAGCGACTATTGAATCTCAGGGATCACAGGAGAGAAGTATACTTTCCAACGTAACCTGAAGTAAGATATCCTGTGGCTCATTTAGACCGGCGACTGACGAGGACTGATCATGTCCATCGCCACGTAGACCTGTGTACACACACTATCATTTGGGTGAGAGGTCACCAACCCAAGAAACCTGACACAAAGTCACATTTTCTTGTGAAGAAGAAATGGTGCTCCAAGTATCTCAGATAAGCGTGCATTACAGGTGTCCTTTAATGTTCGCATGACATCTCAGCACCACGTTGGGACTGGTTAGAGTAAATTTTACTCGACGAAAAATGATCACTGTGGGACCAGTGTACGACAAATTGCTTACGTTAAATAGTTTAACAACCGTATAAAGCGCAAGTATTCACCACGAGTGAATTGAATTATCAAAAGCCTTAGCATATTCCAGCTAGCAACGACCGCAACCGCTCTATCGAAGCACGAATACTCGCGTTCAGTCCAACACTCAAGCATCCACCATGCAAATACTCACCACCGCCATCCTCGCTACCTCCATAGCCACCTCCACCCTCGCCATCGGCAATGCTAAGGTCATCAACAATTGCGCCGACAATATCTATCTCTGGTCTGTCAGCAGCACGCAAGGGGCCATGCAAACCATCTCCAAAGGCGCCAGTTACAGCGAACCCTTCCACACCGACAACAAGACCGGTGGGATCGCGCTCAGGATCACGCGCTTCACCGATGGCCTTTTCAACGGCAGGCCCCAGACAACGCTCTCCTATTCACTCGATGGCAACAACATCTGGTATGATTTATCTGATGCCTTTGGAGATGCGTTCTCAGGTAGCAAGTTGGAGGTCGTGGCGAGTGATGCTGCATGTCCGAAAATCACTTGGGCGCAAGGTGTGAGCCCGGGTGGGAGCCAGACGAAGGTGTGTCAGGCGAACAGCGATGTCGCGCTTACGACCTGTGCTTGATAGGGGAAAAAGAGGAGTTCCAGGGAGGAACATGCAGGTATCGTGGTTCGGCTAGGAAGAATGGTGAACAAAACGCATCGATCTGATTCAAGTATCTATTGAGACATAACTAGAGCAATAACATTCGGATTTCACGGGCACTCGGATACGTTCACACCTGTCTCTAGACCGTTGATACACATATGAAGCCTGAATGTAAGAATACGTCGTGCTCACACGAGCCACATGACTCGCTCATCTACAGTGTTATCCATACACCCCACTGTTTCCGTCAAGGAAGACCCCGGGAGCGAAGAGAAGTTCGATGAAGATGCAGAATTACCTTCCTGTCTCGACGCAAGGTACTGCTGCGGCCAATAAATTTGCCTGTTGTTGCGGAGTCGTTCTGCTTTGTCAAATATGCAGGACTGCTGGGTCTTGGCATCGTCGAGGGTGCTAAGGAGGCTGAGAAGGGCTAGGATTGGGCGGAGTTCTTGGGGAATGGACAAGAGGTAGAAAGGCAGTCACAGAATAAGGACTCGGAAATGAACCGTATCATATTTTCATTATTGTTGTCCTCGTTCTTTAGAATGTTATACAGCCTTGACATTTATACGGCTTTGTGTAACGTGGCAAACCACGTCCGTCCCGGAGGTCAGCATTCCGCACTACCTGTTCGCACTAATGCGCTATTCTTGGCAGGGCTGATCTGTCAAAAGTCAGATACCGGGAAGGCAGATCAGTGAACCTTTGTGTCTCAGCATGATGAAACAATATTGTGCCAGTGAAGATGTAGTGTCAGAGCTTTAGAGGTTCATGAGGTGCAATTGATCCTTCTGGAGGTGCATATGGTCTTTTCCTAACAGTGAAAGCATGAGAATACCCATTTAAACTCCACATCAACATCTTTTTATCCTTAATCATTCGAACGCCTTGTATAGTCGGAATATACAGAAAAAATTGTTTGCGACAACAATGTTCCGTCTTCTCAAGCATAAGCAACTTCCCTCGCGGGAAGCTCGCTCTCGATTTCGTATTGTATCTCGCGCTTGGGACCCTTCGATGGCTTCTTCTTTGGCTTTGCTGGAGGAGCAGCTGGTCGTTTTCGCTTGAGACTCTCGAGTGTTTTCTTGAGCTTGGCGCTCTTTGCCTCATCTTCGTCATCGTCCTCATCATCATCATCGTCATCATCGTCTTCGCCGCTTGACCTACCACTGTCATTGTCGTCCTCATCATGGTCAACCCAGTCCTCAAGATCGTCCAGGTCCGAGTCACCCTCGATATCGCTGACATACTCGATTTGGTTTTCACCATTCTCAAACTCTTGCTCATATTCCTCTTCGTCTTCCAGTCCTTCGTCCAAATCTTCGTCGCGCTCAACTTCACCTTTTCGCTCCAGACCCTTCAAGACTTTGGACCACATATTTGGATCGATGTTAAGAGGTTGCTCGCCATACGCGCCACTAGTCAATCGATTGATGAGCTCACGCTCGATAGCCTTCTCCAGCTTGGCGGCACTCAGTGCTTTCCGCTCCCTGCCTTCTTCTCTTCTCTTGACTTTGGGCGCCAGCTTAGGTACCAGTTGCTCTCCCAAGCGTTCCTCTTCCTTCATAAGTTTTTTCATTCTAATGCGCACTTGCGTGAGCCGTGTGAGACGCTGCTTGTTCTTGTGTAAAAGGAACTTTGGCCAGTAGATGAGGTGCGAATCTATCTGTTCAAGAGCTTTTGTGTAGTTTTTTGAGAGTTTGACCTTTTCCCACCAGCGATTTGGCATATGTGATCTCTCGATAGTTTTCATATATAGGTAAAGTTCGCCAGTCTGAGCATTTGCTCGGATGGTCGCATAGCGCGAGTTTGCAAGAGGGCATGATTGCTTGTTACACAGTCCAGTAACGTTGTACTCGTTCCTGCAGAAGTTTTGTTCTTTTGTAGTCCTGTAGACGAGTCAGTAAGGGAAATTAATACATATGAGTGCCTGGTACTTGAGCTTGTAGCTACAAAACTGGTTGTTGATAATCTCCCACACCAGGTCATCTGTAGCCATTGTGCAATGCTTGTCTTCGCGCAAAGCAAAGAAGTAGACGGTATCGTTTGAAAAAGAAGATATGCACGGGAAGATAAATCCTTCTCCACTTTACTTGAAAGTTCGAAATCTTGGCAATTGTAGCGCTAGCCCCAGTGGCCGGCGCTTCACCGGAAGCACATAGCAAGCTTGGAGTGCGGAGAAGACATCGGGAGACTGACATAGCTTGGCTTCTGTCCATTCCTATCTGCAAGGCATGAAAGTATTGTTCTCAATCTGTTTATCATTTGCCACAGCTTGCCCTCGTACACCAAAGAAACTGCCCTGCTGGTCGAAGTCAGCACCCAACCATGGGCGCTTGCAGCGTCTCCATGCTAGTGCAGTACCATTGAGAGATCATGTTTTCGCAGCCTCAGCCACGACACCGCCGGTTTACCCACCAACAATATATGCTCTCTCTACGGCTTCTGGGAAAGCTGCGATAGCTGTTATTCGTATATCTGGGCCTGCCTGTGTCGAGGTAGGCGCTGCGCATCTCAAAGCTAAAAGGCCATATTTCTGACAAAGGATGCTCTAGATATACAGGTCGCTTTGTCCTGGAAAGTCTACACCAAAACCTCGGATAGCTACTCTCAGAGCACTCTATACCCCCAATCTTTCAGCATCTCCCGAGACTGTCCTCGACTCAGGAGCATTGGTTCTATTTTTTCCAGGTCCTAGAACTGTGACCGGAGAGGACGTATTAGAGCTCCATACTCATGGCGGACCAGCAATTGTAAAGTCAGTACTTGCGGCTATCTCCAAATCAAGTCGCTGTGTGCGATATGCAGAGCCAGGGGAGTTCACACGACGAGCCTTTCTCAACAACCGACTTGATCTTATCCAAGTCGAGGCTCTTGGAGATGTCCTTACTGCAACGACTGAACAGCAAGCCCGAATTGCCCTACGCGGCACGACAAGCAGTTTGGCTAAGCGATACGAGAGCTGGCGACATCTACTATTGTATGCCCGTGGAGAGCTAGAAGCACTTATCGATTTCTCAGAGGATCAACATTTTGACGAATCGCCGAATGATCTTGCTGTATCCGTCGCTCAAAAAATATGGGTTCTTAGACAGCAGATTGACCTTCACAGAGCGAATGCAGTTCGTGGAGAATTACTTCGGAACGGAATTAGCTTAGCTCTCCTGGGTGCTCCCAATGTAGGAAAGAGCTCGCTACTGAATTGTATCGTTGGCCGAGATGCTGCAATCGTAAGTTCTGAAGCAGGCACAACCAGGGATGTAGTCGAAGTTGGCCTCGATCTGGGTGGTTGGTTTTGTAAGATCGGAGACATGGCCGGGCTACGAACACCACAGAATTTGCATCATGGAGCGGGATCTACCCAGGAAACACCATCAATAGCCCAGCATACGGACGTCGTAGGCGCTGTTGAAAGAGAAGGTATCAAGCGCGCGAAGCAACGTGCGCTAGAGTCAGATGTTGTCTTGGTAGTCTGCGCCATCGAGATAGGAGCACTAGGAGCGCCTCAGCTCATCATAGACGGCGAAGTCCAGGAGACAGCTCGCGAGTGCATCAATAATGGCTCACAGGTTTTGGCAGTAATAAACAAAGCTGATCGCCTGTCCTCTTCATTTCCAATGGCGGAACAAAGCAATCTTCGAAGGGTTGTCCAAGATGCGTTACCGATTCCAGATGAAAGAATTCATTTCATCTCTTGCACTGAAGCTACAAAGCCACAGGTATCTGAAAATGATCCCGGCGCCATCAGTGCGTTTCTCAAGGGCCTCATAGCAGTTTTACGGGACATGACAAGCGCACTGACAGACGCTGATGCAGAGGCTGATGATGAGTCGATGTGGAACGAATCTTTGGGAGCTACTGAACGCCATAGACTCCTGCTGGAGGAATGTCTAACACACCTAGATGATTTCATGATCTTGGCATTACCTACCGAATCACGAGGGATAACACATCACCACTCGGACGAAGTAGACATTGTTGTCGCAGCCGAGAGTTTGCGTGCTGCTGCTGGTTGTTTAGCCCGGATTAATGGCAGAGGCGATAGTGGAGACGTCGAAGATGTCCTTGGCGTAGTGTTTGAGAGGTGAGTTGTTAGTGCATGTCTGAGAGGGTAGCACTGAATCTCTCTGTTAGGTTTTGCGTCGGGAAATGATTACAACTTGTTTCACTACGAAGATGACACTACCGATGAAAATAAGGACGCTGCCAAGGTAACTAGGCGCAAAAACAACGATGAAAGCGTGAGATGAAAGAGGAGCAGCACGGAACGTATTAATAAGGAGTCGTTTTGAATAAGAGATTCTATAATATCACAACAAGTAAACTTTTGCGCGGAAAGAGAGGAGACGAAAGCAAAAACAGACCAACGCCACTGATGCTAAAAGGAAAGTAAAACGCCGCGCTATGCCCGTTGTGTTCGCTATGCCATGGAAAAGAATGAAGGAACTTGAACGCTCAGAAAGGATAAGCTCTCGTAATATCATCGCCACCGACAATCGCAGGTGTCCCCACCCTTCCCACGGTCCACCAGGGGCCGTCCCGTTCCGCTACCCATTTCCGTCGAGCAGCTCGGTAATCATGTGCCGATAAAAATATTGACATGATTCATCTGAGCGACCGGCGCCCTAATTGTATCCGTCGCGACCCATGAGTGCTACTTGCGGTACTTGAGATGATGTGCAGAAAAGAGGCTCTGATTTCAGAACAGGTTTTGCGTATCGTAGAGACGTGATTTCGGATCCGAGCTTGTTGTAACCGCCACGACCCATAAGGAAGATAAAAAGACTTGGTTTCAGACTTGGAAAGATCCGGGACAAAGAGGAGACAGTTGGGTCAGGAGATTGACTGATACGATCTGAAGAGGTTTGCTTTAGTTGTAACCGTCGCGACCCATAGTAGCGGATTGAGATGTTTCGGTGAAATAAGTGTGAGTGAACAGATTCTTGGAAAAATAGATGGCTTGAACTCGGTGGAAGAAATAAGATAGAGCGATGACTGGTTGAGTATGACTTGCTGCCTGGCGGCCTCTAGGTTGCGATGTGGAGCAGAAAGGTTGACGCGTTATCGATTTAATAGGACGCAGAGCAGAAGCTTATACGAGATGTCAAAGCAGGGTAACTCTTTGCTGAGAAATGCAGTATGGAAGATGCGCGAAAGAATTCGATTTGTACTGGTCGATATGGTCGTCTATCGAATGTTTGTAAGGAGAAAATTCCGAACAGACAAATGAGATGAAATGGAACACTGGAAAGATGACGCGGGTGGTAGATACTGGGTCAAAAGGAAACCCTAGGGACGGTCCGCCTGGCTCCTTTATACTAACATGATAGGCAAAATGATTGCTATGTGAGTGAGAGCGATGCTGAAGAAAGCTGTGCTGCGCAGGCCTCACGGACCAACCTTACCCTGGTTTGGCTCTGCATCTATCCTGGCATCTACCACGAGCGTTCACCCACCCCAAAGTCTGCCACCCCCCTCCCCCCCTCCCCCATTCCAGATTACCAAGTCCGGTCCATCCCACCTTGCGTTTACAGCGTTGCGCACGACCGTTCCCAACGTCAGAAACACTCGTAATGTTTCTTTGACAGTCGTCCATTCATCGTGCAGTATCGCACTTGACTCATCTCTTGCGACCCTTCATTGCCGAAGAGCAGGTCCATCACCGAGTCACTGCCCCCCGGCGCATACGAAACGGGGCATAAGTAAAGGTAAAGAGATACGCCCGGATCTTTGCACAGTCAGACTTGATCAGAGGCCCTTGGCAACGGTTCTCTACGCATGCAGCAGCGCAACATCACTCTCTGGCGGCTTCTTCTCCCTTGTAGGTGGGCCATTTCAGCTTTGTCTGCACTGCGAAACCCCCGCACAAACGCCATGCCATCATCGTCAACGGTCGAGATCGCACTGCCAGCGCCCGTGGGCGAAGGCAGCTGGCAGTGGGCCCTGACTACTTACTCATCCCACCTCTGCCCTGCATGGAAACTCACACCGTCTGAAGCCTTGCGCTGCGAATACCAGGGCGGCTTGCCTTTGTAGCGTGAGTTCCTGCGAGCACACGGCTGAGAATTCAATGAAGCACGCAGACTGCGCAGAGCATACACTTTCGCGCGCATTGTCTAAACTTTGCACGCTTGATACACCAAACACGAAAGTATAGATTATATCGAGTGTTTGGCCTTGGCAGATTTCAACCTAGGTGGTTTGTCGGCAGACAAGATGATCCATCCATAGGAAGATGGTGTGACGCCTCATGTTCGCTCTCTCCCCAGCCACACAACATTAACTAACGACATAAACGGTCCACACCCGCACGAAACAGCCGCCAAGTATCACAGTACCTGCCTGCTTACATGAGAGCATCTTATCTGTCCTCTGTCACCCACAACTCGCAACGGCTGTCCCAGCATTTGTTTCTATCTTGGTCCAGCCGATTATCAAAGCCCGCGGCATCATTCGTGATCGCTCAGCAAGCATGTTCTTGTCCAACCTGTTTTCCTGCTCCTAGGGGGGCTGTCTTTTGGTCCGTTTGTTAGACCGTGTGCAGTGACCAAGTGCCTTGAAAGACAGGGTAGACAGTGTAGTACCGCAGTTCCCTATAATGCCTGAATGGGCAGTGTGGCTGCTTCACCCTTGGAGGCCGCCAGAGCTAAAGAGTGGCCTCGGCGAGAAAGACATTCGAAGAATAGACTTATAATGACATATTACACGAAGCGGGCAGCAAGTGGTGAGCACATAATGATTCAAGATCCACAGCAGCATGGATAGGACGAGGAAGTGCTGCAACGACCCAATAATGCTGCGTCCCATTGATCGCGTTTGCGGGCGGGAGATACTCGTATAGCGCAACGCGGGCCCCCAATCCACGGTGCTGGGCTAGAACGTTATTATTCGTGGAATCGCGCACCACATGAAGACTAACGATCAACAATGAAAGCACACGAGGAATGTATCCCATGGTTCAGGCGACAAGGCGGACAAGGGTCTATTCCAATCACTCTTATGTCTATCTATGCACCTTTCACAGTCAGGGATGATACGATGAGTTGGACCTTCATAATGATGCTTTGAGTGTGTGCTCCCAGCACCATCGCAATAATAGTCATCCATTGTGTTTCGCCCGAATGCAAGCCTCCCGAACATCATAACAGACAGACTGCGCAGTTGCATCTCGGCGACTTAATCACATAGGGTCGGTCAGACGTTGGAACGCACTCTTTTTCACAGTCATCGGTGCTCGAGTCATCCATCTCATGTCCTTCCTTGTCCAGTCCACCATCATGGTCACCTCGTGATTCGATGTATTTTCTTCGACGTCTCTGCTTAGTAGGATCCCTCTCCATCGCCCGATAGTTTGTCTGTTGATTAGTACAACTATACCAGACCAGACTGCCGTCCCACCCGAGTTTTTCCAAACAAAGTATTTGCAGCTGCAGCGCTGTGGTCAGGCTTGCGTAACGTCCTCAGTGCCTCCAGCGCCGACAATGCACTCCTTCTAGAAGCTTACTGTATCTCTTCCCTCACTCTCCCACTCACTCAGCATCACATTCGGCCTTGACGATGGTCAGTCATTATTGCGTGACTCCGACACTTTTCTCGTGCTCTCCAAGCCTCAAACAGTTGATCAGTCTGCGCACGACGTCACATCCCACTGTGCATGGCATCACACACCACAACTCCATTACTCCTATTACACACCTCCCACTTTTCCAATAAGCATTCTCACGAATCTTGCTTCTCAGCTATGCAACAAAGCTCTACCTGCGCACCTAAATTCACACCAGTGCAACAGATAGAGTCTCCTAATTTCAGCACACCGCATCCGGCAAAAGCTATTTTTCAGGTGCATGTAACGGTCACATCTGGTACCTGCAGATATGTACCATGCTCCATGACGATCTATGTGGGAGATGCCCACCCTGATAGAGCCCCGCTTACATCAAGGCTCCAGCTGCGTGGTTGTTGTCATATCGCATTCAATTCCTGCTCACTATCCAGCCTCATCTTGTGGAGCGTGCAGCATTCCTGTGATAGTGGCGTGACCTTGAGGCTGCGAGGCGCAAAGTCGAGACTTCGAGGTGAGGCTGCGCAGAAACAGCGTGACCGCGTATCCTTCTCTCTCTCAGTATGTATAATGAAGCTGGCAAGTCAGTTGCGCGGGATAGGATACCACATTACCAACTCCTTATGATCCGATAATCTTATCTTCGTAATCCCCAACGCAGCAATTGTAAAAGCAGACTCCCCTCGGCCCTCGAGCCACCAACCAATCACCGTTTGATAGAGTCACGATCTTAAAATAGAGCCCGCAAAATTTTTCTTTGGATTATAAGCGCATTATTCTCTGTGATTGGCTTTCATACCCGCGACTCTGACAAGGGTACAACGTGGGCTGACACTAGCCTCACACTCCAACCCCTACATTACGCCCCACCCGCATGTTTCTCAGCACAAGACGTTATAATCCACATCTACACAGCCTTGCTGCGGGCCTGTGGCCTGCATTTACGGACCAAACTTTGCTAACGTGTGTTGTCGGGATGACTTACCAGAAGCTTACATTTCCGGTTCGAGTGTTATGGTCCACTTAGGTTCCGTCTTTGTGGTACCCCACGCTCACCCAGCTCTAATGTGTCCACTGCATATATGCACGCTGCAGGCACCGAGCCGGGATCCATAAAACGTGCTATCGACCGTACGTGCGGGCTATGATCCTGCTGGTGCCTTGGATGTCAGAACAAGTCGGTTCTGCGACTGGTTCGTGGGATATATCTAGAGATGAGCCAGGGGGAGAGGGAAACAGCCGAGCTGACGTGTAGGTTTTTTTGGGGGTTGTTCTCTGTCTGCCTCCATCGCCCAGGTTCATTCATGAGACTCGTAATCCGCGTATGTTGTCCAGAATCCATGATGCCATGATACGCCTTGTCATGCCCCCGATCAGGAGAACACCTCAGCGAGTGGGTGATGAATAATAGGTCGAGGCAGGGGGCAGCTTCACGAAAGCGTCAATTGGAACTGCACTGCAAAGGACAACTATCACTCGCTGATCAAACATTTCATTCACCGGTGACCAGGTCAATCCAATTGTAGGCACGCAGCAACATAGGCTCCAGCAGCTTCGACACGAGCCTAAATTAGCTCCTGATACATGCCAATACACAAATCCAGATCATATGAAGGATCCGCTATGGGTGGCCGTATTCGCGGTCCGTAACTGTGCTGAGCCAAGCTATTGGCCGAGTCGTCAGAACTCACCTTATACGGGACCAACGTTGATCCTTGCCACAACGTGGTTGGGCGGCGAACATGAGTTCGTCGGAGTGGAAGCGTGGTTGTGCCCGGTGGCCTCTCCCCCGGAGCGAGTGAGACATTGGCTCCTGAGGCATGCGGTCGCGACTTCAATGGATCCTGGGCAGGCGTCACGATTTGTGGACATGCCGGGTCCAAGTTTAGATTATTGAAGGAGGCTACCCTTATGACACGACTGGCACTGCCTTGGCTATCTGCATGGGCCTTTTGGGGGGCTTCCGACAATGTTTTGTCTTGGGTAGGCTGTGGGACAGGGGATAGCATTCCCATATTTGATGCATCGTCGCCTGGATCTCCAACCCAACACCGGTCGACCGGTCATTTGCGGGGGCGAATGCAAGGCTCTTTCCTTGAACCATGTTTCCAAAATGCTTGTGTCCGGCATGGTCCACCTATTATCTCTGCATCGCTTGGGTGTCATTCGCACGCCTCTCTACTGGTAAGGCGGATTTCTACGCCAACACAACCAACACTCCAAATTGAGGGCAAATACGTCTTTCACATGTGACGGGCTATGTAAGACCGCCTGAGCAGGCGTTCGTGTCTACTGCAGACTGCGATAGTATCGAAGCTAAATGCGGAGCGGCCGCCTTTGGTGGTAGTCGGATTTGTGTTACACTGTATCGGAACACAGAGTACGGAATAAATTACCACTGGTACTCTGGAAATTTGAAAGAAATGGGAACAAGCTGTATCGAACACGAACTACACAGCGCTGCATGTGCAGCAGATCGTTACACAGGAACACTCATAGTCGATACGTCACAAAGCCAATATAATTTATATAAAGCACATGTCATTGAGGTCGTATATGCCCGGGAGAACATGCGAGCTCAGTCGATTCGTATTTATCTGCTAACAATTAAGGTCCTTAGTACTTACTCTAATTCCTTCTAATAGTAACGGCTGGCCAAGAGGTATACAATGCTTTAAAGTCAAGGCTGGTTACACATGGCGTAGGCACAGACGTGGATTCTGCTTCGATGCTGACGTTTGCGTGGTTTTCACGGGTTCCTGTGATTGTATTGCGTAGTATTATTGTCTCGTCGTCCATGTCTCGTTGTACCAATCCGTACCGAGCTAGGCATACAAAGTGTCTCAAGCACGACAATGGTCCCGTCATAGATAGTTCTCGATCATGCATACATGGTTCGATCATTCGATCCGTTCGGACGGCCCAGCATGCAACCATGGCCACCATGGCAACCCGAAGTGAGTTCTAGATTCCAAATCGACATCTCTAATCATGGAATCCTCGAGGCACCCAACTGTGGCGTACCTAGGGAGTCTCGTTCCCTCCTTGAATTCCTGACGATAAGAAAGACGTGGCATGAGAAATCGCAAGTCTGATGTCGAGTGGAGATGACCGCTTGATGCGATGCTTGAAGCCACGTATTAGGAAAGGGGGTGGAAACATGGTGTTGGGCCGCAAGCCGAGATTGCTCAGAAATGGAAAGGCAGGTTCCATTGAAGAAGGTTGCATGCAGACTGGTGAAATTAGGTGAGTCGACCCTGCTGACAGGAATATGTATACGCATGTCAACGTGATATGCTGTTTAGAGTGCCAAAGCAGCCAGAAGCGTTGCGGAGCATTTTTATATATACTCCTAATCACCCTAGACTGGGACGCAGTCACATAGTGTTTCTTTAAGTCTGGAGCAAGATAAAAGAGATCACACGCTATATGAGCTTATGTAGTACTGGGGACTCATTAGCAAGCAACTCCTCGAAGATTGAATGGAGAAGATACCGTCAAAACCGACTCATCTCGTCCTTCTTCCTCTTCTGCAGAGAGATACACGTATAGGATTAGCGCATGGTCGTCGCAAAAGCCTGTCGCAGTTATTAGTGAACGAACTCAATATATACATATGAAAATTCTCACAAGCTATTACTCTTCCCCCGAGACGTCCCACCGACATAACTTTACCCCAATCTTTGCCGTCTATTCGTACTTTGGCCCAGCCTTCTTCGGTCTTGCCATCTGCAGATCCCAACCTCTTCATCTTGGTACTCGGATGCTCAAGTACACCTTCCTCGCCACCCTCAACTTGACTAGGATCAAGCTCAGGATTTGATAGACCTGTCCAAACGCTCGAAATGTTCATCGCATCTGTATTTATTCTGAGACGTAAACACCCGTGCATATTCGCGGCCATTTCCAACTTGGGTGCTGCCACTGCCTTCGCCCCTGAAGCTAGCCTCGTGAATCTGTCCGATATGCCCTTGAGCTGTAGAAGAGATGGCAGCATAATGTGCACATCAGGTTCTCGACACCGCGGTTCGTGTAGGCCATCGACCTGGTGTGGGCTGAGCACACGCACCGGAATCTCTTGCGTGACGACCGTTTCACGTTCTCTTCCACCGCCGAACTCCCCTATTGTGCTTTCACTCTCATCAAAACCAGTCTGTTGACGAGCTGTGCCCCACGTCGGATGAGGTGTGCTGCTGAGTGTACTTGTGGTGATTGTCAAAGCCAGGAGTGGAAGGCCATCTTTCTTGGTCAAGCGGATGTGTGCAGCAGTAGCTTGTGAAGCTGACTTCAGTGCGCGCTGGAGCGAATTAAGGGGAACCTCGAGGTTGATGACATTGTCAGCCGCTGACTGAATGCTGTACTGGTCGTCGAATATGGCGTTCTGATGCGGTACGGCTTAGTGGGTGCATTCGTTCAGGAGGGTAGATACGTACGATCGACAATACGCTGAAACGATGTTAGAAAATGACTTCAGGAGCAAATCTGGGACACAGACGCCCACACTTGCGTCCCTTGCTCTGGTATAACCGTGAAGCGGACTTCAGTCTCATTGAGCCGTACCCATGCAATAGGTCCAAGCGATGCAAGTGACGCGGTCAGTTCTAGAAGAGGTAAGAAAGTAGCCAGCAAAAGTACGATTCAGCTTGCATACTCGTGAATGTTGTGATATTCTGTATAGAGGCCTTGAACCGCATGTTTAATGTGATTAGGTTAGAAAGAACCTCATCGCTGCGCTTCGTGTATGGATTGATCGAATGACGCGTCTGTACTGTCGCGACGCGGAGGATATCTAGGGTGGGGCCAGCCTGCTACTCGCCCCACGATATGCTAGCTCGTGCCTTTTATTATCCCGAAGACTTCTGGAGAATATTATACTCTATAGTAATGGGAATTGAAGATCCATGAGTATATTTTATTTTCCTATATATAAAGTATATTACTACTTCAATTCCATGGACCACTAACTTTATACTTTTGATATCGCCACTAGAACGTGTAGCAACTGATCTTACTCTTGTAATATGCTGTCCTGAGGCTTCGCGGCGACTTGATTTATTGCTCCACACGGTAGCAAATTGCAATGCATGTCTTTGCCTGAGATAACTAGGAAGTAGGGGTAATAGAGAGGAAATAACCAAGCCTGTTTCGTGGGTCTGTGGAGCATAGTCACCGCGAGTATGAACTACGGGCCATATACCGCCACTATCTGCATTCACTTCGAAAGAGGATTGGTTTTTTAGAACTTCTCATCACGTATCTGCATTACAACGAGTTACTGGCCTGAAATATGGGATGCGTGGGTAGCGATATTCAAGACATTTCGGCGAAAAGTTAGGAAGGGATAGATGAATCAGATATAGACGGATACAGCATAGGGTGATTACGATAGATGTTGCATTGCCTCCGCGAGGCGTACATCTGTACGCGCTCAATACGACATTTGTGGAATGGTTGAAAGAAAAAGCGAATGGGTATCAGACAACAATATCAGACATTTTAAGGAAAACTTCGAATTCAAGTCCATTCACGCTAGGGCGTGATTCGAGACGATGGGCCAGCTCATTTCTGCGCTCCTTTAGGCGCCTTGATGCATCTCGATTTTTGGATCTGGCCGAGAATCATTCGTATTACGAGTCTTCCATACGTGGAGGAGAGCCATAGCGAACGTCGCAGCAAAGAGAACCCTGTCATACATAATAAGTATACCCTCTTGTAAGGTTTCCAGACCGACTTACCACAGGAAGGCAGCGAATGCAACGCCAGCCTTGGCACAATTGCATACAGTCCCGATGCACCAACGATCCCCAAGATAGGCAGCGAGTGCGATGAAACCAGCAAACCAAAAGATCATGGTCAAGAACTCGGCGCCTAGGATGCCGAATTTGTGTGCAGCCTTGGGGAATCGTGCCGGCGCAACGATGAGGTATGCGAGGGCAAGAATGGTCCATGCGCAGCAGAAGATCAAGAAGTTGATCTCGGGGGGGGAATACACATGCCAGGCGCCACTCCACCAGTGCGCAACTATTTGAAGTCAGGATCTTGCATTATGAGCAAATACATACGCCAAGCCACTATGTCACAGGTTGGCTGGGAAGGATATGACGTACCATAAGACATCAGGACGAGATCGATGAATACGAAAAGGCCTTGGGCCGCACGAAGCGGCAGCGTGAAGTTGAAAGTCATTGTCAATTGCGAGGTGCAGTCGATGTAGAGTCTGAGGTTGAGCTTTGGGTTGAAGGACGCGTCTTTCGAGCTGTCGAGCTTTGTTGGTGACTACTAGGTGGCGTAGTGGGAGGCGGCTAGAGCTACCTTGGGTAAGGAACTACGTAGCTAATGAATGAGAGGCTAGGTAGTTATTCTCGATTTCTGATCGCTGTGTGCCTTTCCCAAAATTCGAAGATGGCCAAAGTGGTTTTGTGTATGAAGTAAAACCGAACCTGCGGGGTCATTGTCTTTATGAAAGATGCTTGATCGACGAGTGAGTCTTCAGGCGGACTGGGATGTAAACGCGCGTAGGCCTGCAGGTTTGTGTCGATGCGTGAGTGGCTGTGCCCGACTTCTTGATCGTTTCATGGCTTTTTCCATTGGACGCGCATGACCACTCGCACTCTATCACTCTATCCACAGTCGCTACAGCAGCTGTTACACGCATAGGTGTAGCTCATGTTTCCATGGGTCTCCATCAACCCATAGAAGATATAATTGTGAATAGCAGGTATCTTGGACGTACGGGGGTAGACCTTGAAGGAGGTAAGAGTAGTCATGTGTCAAGCGTCGAGTAGTAGCCGCTATTTTGTGAGTGTTCATTATAGGACAAGTCGAAACAGCGAACTGTTCGCATCCATGATCGACCACAAACGGGTGCACGTACCATGATTCCCAGGATCATCATGTCAATCATGGATACCGGGTCACTCCATATTCTTCAGACTGAGTCAGTGTCATTCAACGATAACACTGCTGCCTGAGGCTCCAAACAAGTCCTTCGTGCATACCGGTGACTAATTCTAGCAAGTCGTCTTACGGCTACTGGTAAAGATTTCTCTTTCAAATATGCTCGGTGTAGATACAGCTCTCGGACGAGTTCTCCTTGGTTGCGTATTTTGTAACCTGATGTCTGAAGTGGTAATGCACATGCCATGTCTCCCAACACCAGTACGGGTACGTACACAGATATAAACACCAGGGACATTCATTAACAAACAGTGGACACGGAAATCTACCGCTTTAAACGGTTGCGCACGGCTACCGCAGCAGCGCAGGAGCGCAGTAGCGCTTGGAATTTACGCCGCAGGCTTCTCAGCTCCACCTTGATCTAAAAATGGAACACGCTGACCACATACCCTAGCCTCGCATTCGCACTACAGTCCAGAGTCAACCTCGCAGAACCTGGAAGATCTACTGCCCCTCTCCACTGGCCTCTCTCAGTTCCGCCCATAAAAGAATCGACTTTACTACTGCGTCGTTAGGTCGTTTTGCATCATACCGAAATGTCGAAACGTACATATTTCACGACCGTCACACCACTGCCTCCGAGCATTTCCAAAGAGACTGTGATGGAGACATTCCATAATCATTTTGATATGATAGACCTCGGTCCATTGGTCGTAAGTCGCACCAAATGCGAGCCTCCCGATCACGCATCGGAGGAAGAGCGCAAGTGTCAATGGTATACAATCACAGGTACGCATAGCACAGGCAACCTTAGAAGACGCGACATAACTAAAACCTGCCAGACAGGGTATCATATCTACCAGGTGGTCTTGCGGAAGGCAACGTCTCGTTCAACGCATCGTTCCACGATCTACACGACGGTCTACAAACACACGTATTCGCGCCCATGGGCGTCAATATAAAGGGGAAATGGTCGGTCGGTGGATCACTCCCTGGCGAACCCAGAGAGACGTCAGAGCTGGGCATTGGAGCGCCCAAGGAAGGCCTATATATCCGCGAAGACGTGGATCTACGGTGCAACATGCTCGTGATGGCGTTCGTAAAGAAAAACCTGAAGAAGTCGCATGAAGAGTTAGTGCAGAGGTTAATCAACAGACTCATTGAAAAGGAGAGGGTAAGCGGACGACCCCCGCGGCCTAGCAAACCGGATGCGCCTCTGCCTCCGGCGTACCACGATCAGACCTCCATGGACCAAAAGCCGTCGAGCTCCCAGACACAATCGGGATACTATGCACCAGATACAAAGCGACCTCAGCAGCATCCTTTGCAGGCGTCACAAAACGACCAATACGGCCGGTCATCCACATCGCAGCATTCCATCCAATCATCACATTCACAGCCTCATGTCACACAATCTCAATATGCCTCTGGTTCGACCCAAACACCGCCTGCACAGGACTCAAAGTATCCGTATCCACAAGGACCACACCCATCTTCTTATCATCAGCCATCACAGAACCACGGACCGCAAAGTCGTCAATATAGTGAACCCCAATTATCTACACATCAGCCTCAGTACAACCAGACCCAGCAGCAACTTCCACCAAGCTATGCAGGAAACATATCGACAAACAACCCCTCTCTAATGCCACAGGAATCCAGGCCAGGACTGCCAACAGGTTCATCACATACACCCGCAGAGATGCAAGGGTGACACTAGTCAAAATGACTTTTCCGAAGCTGCTACCCAGAACATACTTTTACACCTCGCAGAGAATCTGACCATTAAGCTAATATGGTATGGAGTGCTGATACTGTACCCTGCCACCAGCGAATACCCTTCCTTTCAGCGCATATCCATAGCCATAGCCATGGCCACAATTGCCCAACCCCTCCCTACCACAATCCACCATGAGCTCAAAATCCCAGCTCAGCCCCAGATCTTTCGCTGTGAAATCACGTGGGAGGTGGCAGGACCGCTCAAGCCATTTAGGCATCATATCCAAGATGTCTGGCACATACTGTGGTCTATGTGGGCGTATCTATGTCTAAACTCTCCTAAATTTGTACCATTCTCTGTGGTATATTCAATACATCGATTCATCCCTGACATAAAGTATTGCTCGAGTTGCCGGCATGATACCTCCCTGCCGATCGCATGCTCTATCCAATTAACCTAGTATATTTAGTACGATGACTACGGGTACCAGCACCATCCGTCCCAAATAGAGAAACTCTTCTTTATTCTTCCATCTTAATCACTGCTGAACAGGACTGAGTCAATTGCGCGTAAGAAATCCAGAACCTCGGTCTTTAGCAAATCGTGCTTTCTCCCAGACCGACATCGCTCATCATAATCCACTTCTCTCGTCATCGTCGGCCTCACTTGTCCGACGCTGGACTTGGCGGCGGATCGCCCGTATCCCATTTCTTTGCCTGCGTTCCCAGCACAAACTCCATCGTGCCGCCATTCTCAAATACATCGCTCCACGTAAGCCAATTCTTGGTCCAGTTCTCCCCGTTCACGCGCAGGCTCTGGACATAGTAGGCCGTATCACTATTCCCTCCACTCGAGGTGATCTTCAGCGCCCTTCCGTTGCCAAGATTAATGCTCATACTCTCGAACCAGGGACTTCCGATCAGGAACGTCGTTTGGCCGGTGAGTGGATATAGGCCAATCATATTCCACAACAGCCAGGTCTGCATGGCGCCGGCGTCGCTGTTCCCGGGAATGCCGTTCGTGGCTGTGGTGTAGAACGTCTTCGCGACGTAGCGCGATCGTTGGACCGCCAAATCCTGTCTACCGACAAAGTTGTACAGGTACGGCGTCGTGAATGACGGCTCGTTCGCCGGGTTGAAGATTGTTCCGGACAGCTTCCCGGCTCTCGAGGACAAGCCTTCTTCGAACATCTTCTCGAGCCGATCGACCATGCGGAGTGTGCCGCCGACGAGCTCGGTGGTGTGTGCGAAGTCGTGGTGTGCGTTCATGGAGTATTCCCACGGCAAGCCTTGGTAGTAGGCGTCGCCCCAGTAGCAGCCTCCGCAGGAAAGGGGGTCTTGATCGACAAAGGAGCCGTCTGCTTTGCGAGGGACCATGAAGCCGCTGTGTCCATTGCTCGATGCATCAGGATTCCAGTGGTTGCGCCAATTGCGCGACCTGTCCAGATATTTTTGCGCGTCGGCAGTCTTGCCTAGACCAGTCGCGACTTGATAGAGACTGAAGTCGTTCACAGAGTATTCGACTGATCGAGACACAGCTCTGGTGAAACTAGGGGTAATGTAGCCGTACTTGAGCCAGTCCGGTAAAGCACCTCTTCCCTCTTTTGTAGAAGCCTCAGGGGCGATAGGGTCGTTATTGTTTGGAGGCTGAGTCTCTGCGTCTTCCTTTATGGCCGAATACCCGTCCTCCCAATTGATGCTGCCTTGGACACCCTTGACGTATGCATCAGCCAATACATTGTCTGCGTTGGATCCACCTTGCGTACGTCCGTTGAAGTTTGAAGACCTCCCGTCCGGCATGAAGCCGTCATGTCGCCATATATCGATGATGGAGCGAATCTGCTCTTCGTAAGCTTCAGGCTGCAGGACGTGTGTCAAGGCTGTGGAGCAACGGAAGAGATCCCAGAAGGTAAAGATATCATCATAGTAGGGCTCATTAGATGTCCAAAGTGGGTTCTCTCCTGTCCGATTAGAGGGTATGAGGTGCATTCCATACAGTGCTGTATACAAAAGCTTCAGGTCGTTGTCGTTGGTACTGCTGGTGGTGATCTTGGAGAAGACCTCATTGTTCCAGCGGTCTTTGGCAGTCTGCACAACGTCTTCAAACTTTGGTGGTCCTGAGAGCTCCTGCTCCATATACTCGCACGCTCTGTCGGTCGAAATCCATGAGACACCCACATACGAGGTCACTGTCGAGCTGTCAAATTCGAAAATTCCTCCAATTTTTTCTGCAACGCGAGTATTCACACTGCTTGTATCTGCCATGCGTGCCTCGGTAATGTTGGACCCTTTGAACACGCGAGCACTCTGTGGCTTTTCACTAAATTTTCCACAAAAGTAGATCGTCCAGTCAGGAGCTGACTGAATTAGCGATTGCTGTCAGCGAGGTACATGAGCACATACACAAATTCCAGCCCTTGTTGTACGAGCCCTCGCCTGTGTACCGTCCATCGGTCGTAACTGCAATGTTCCTACCTCTGTATTCCTGGCCCCACCCGAAGCCCCTGAACGATGGCAGTACATGTGTGATGTCTACGTAAATCGAGTTTGTCTGCTCGGACGGGAAGGTATACTGATACACCCCAGCATGATTTGTAGCCGCAAGCTCAACAGTAACACCATTTGCGAGAGAAGATTTGTAGTACCCTACTTCAGCAAGGTCCTCGCTTCTACGGCCCATTGAGAAGTCGGCCAAGGGATCCATAATCCGACCAGCGACTGGCATTTGCGATACCACTCCATACTTGGGAGCACCCCCTGTGCCCGACTCATGGAGCATGCTAAAACCTGTGATATTACCACTAGGCAAGTAACCAGAGTATGCGTCCGTTGTGCCAGATGAGACATCTGGTCCCAGTTTAACTACAGCGAATGGACCTGTAGGATGGTCAGGAAACATACATCGAGTCAGAGAGTCTCTATACCTGAAGAAACACCTGGAAACATGTTTCCACCCCCAGTCGTGCCAACACTAGGACATAGTTAGCTAGACTGTACTTACAACAGGACTGTCTTTTTTCTCTTGTTATACGCACAAAGGAGAGACATAGGTCGAATAATCAATCGCTTCATGATCATAGGTGGTCATGACCTGCGCTGCCGTAAGGGCTATGGCTGGCCATGGTATAAACTTTCGAATGCCCATTGGTACTTGTTCTTGAAAACTATCAATAGTGAAATCAAACTCTTCGTTTGAAAATTGATAGAACACCCCGAGGAGCTGGCTACGTGACAGACATCTGGACAAAGGTAGATACTCGCTGGCGAACGCCTGCTGCAATATCGCAGCAATGGCGTCGCGCACGACTATATACCAATGCACGACATGGGCAACGAGTCGGGTGACGAGATCCCAACTGTGTCCTACGACTGAGAAGTGTCTTAAAAACATGGTAAGCGGGCGAATCAGCGCGCCGGTATCTTGCATGAGGCTTCTCCCTGGGTGCGTTCAAAAGGAAGACTTTAGTGTACCGTTGATCGGTAGTCTGGATTTAAGCACCCCCGCCTTGAAGCTTAAGTGAACGGTTCGCGGATGATCAAGACTGGTTATCTTTTCATGACGAATGAGCTGAGTCGGGAGTATGGTGTTGATCTTGGTCGCAGAGCGAGCGAGTAGATCTTGGGACGGCTGGTGCGTGTTGGATGCATGAGCTCTGAGTGGAGGTAGAGCGTGTAACGTGTAACGTATTGCGATTTTGGAAAGACAAAACTGACTCACAAGAGCGACTAGGATCTTTGATAGCCGAGCTCCGCATGATGAAGGTGAAAAGCCATGCTGCTGGGATTGAGCAGCATGTATAATTCTGCAGCATTAATCTACAAGAAGTTCTATGGATGATAGAGGAAGGTGATAGAGAAGATGAATTGAAGCTACATACTTGGCTAGGATTGATTCGGTAGGAAGTTATCACCCACCCTCTCACGAGAATATTGAGATGTATAGTATGCATTGAAGAAAGTCCAAACAGTCTAGTGACTCTGCCTAGATGGCGAAAATATACAAAACATTGGTCTAAGGGTGTCCGTCCCATGCAATCGCAGTGATAGAAGAATATCAGCGCTTCTCCATCGTTACATCTATAGCTTCATACCCAAAGCCTGGTGTACCCGTAATGCCTGTCTTATACTGAGATCAAGCATGATCTCCTCCGAACCACCGGGAATAGCATATGCCCTTACGTCTCTGTACAGACGCTCTACCTTGGCACCTTGACCGCCGCGCGAGTAACTTAGACCTCCGAAAATCTGCGATGCCTCACGCGCGCAGAACTCCATCGTGGTGGTAGACTGAGCTTTGGCGCCAGCAATCGCACCACCAAGTTTTAACATGGCCTCCATCTCGCCCATTCGCATGCACTGGAAGACTAGGTTGTCAAGCCACGCGGCAGACGCTTCAATCTGGCGAGCCATGTGTGCGAGCTTGAGGCGGATGACCGGGTGCTCAATGAGCTTCTTGCCAAATGTAACACGTTTATGTGCATATTTGACCGACTCCTCGTAGCAGACACGCGAAAAACGGACACACTGGATAATTATGCCCATGCGCTCGTGGTTGAAATTGGTCATGATGACCTTAAAGCCCTGGTCTTTTTTGCCAATCAGATTCTCAACTGGAACCTTGACGTCCTCAAAGGTCACGTAGGTTGTGCCGGATGACCACACACCCTGGCAGTCCATCTTGCGCGTAGAGACACCGCCGTGCTCGCGCTCGATTAGAAGCATGGACAAACCGTTCATGCCACCCTCACTTGTGCGAACAGCCGTTGTGAAGTAGTCGGCGTACACGCCGTTGGTGATCCACTTCTTCTCGCCGTTGACAATAAAGTGCTTGCCATCTTCCGTCAATTTGGCCTCGCAGCCAAGATTAGCGACATCCGAGCCAGCGTCTGGTTCTGTGATGGCTAAGCAGATGCGCTTGTCACCGGCGAGAAGACCAGGACCAATACGCTTGATGAGCTCGGGCTTGCCGTGGGCAAAAAGCGGCGGTCCACCGATACCAAAACCTCCGATGAGATTCCAGACTAGACCACCACTACCGCAACGTGAAATCTCATCTGTAATGACAACTTCGTGGAAGAAATCCCACTTGTTCGGCGGGACGCACTTGACGGATCTTCCCGTGATGTCGCTACGATAATGTCCTCCAAGAAGTCCAGCAAGATAGCCTCGGTCTCCCATCTGCTTGTAGATTTCATCCGGTATCTTCTTGGCCTCTTCCCATTCGTTTACGTTAGGCATGATTTTTTCCTCTACCCAGGCGCGGACCTCGTCGCGAAGGTCGGCGTGAGTTTGATTGTAGTAGGCGGAATGATACTGGAGGTTTGGGGTTAGCTACTATGTGATCCTGACCACGTCCAATATGGATGATTCCGACTTACTGATTGATACCAGCTGGGATCGGCATACGGGATTAGGTCGCCGTACGTATCTAGTGTCTCAAAAGATTCTTCGGCATCCTCTGTAGGTTCGGCGCTGACGGTGCCGGATTCGGCAACGGGTTGCGCGATCTCCTTGGACTCTTCCTGCTTTTCTGGGGCTGCTGTAGCCTTGGTGTTCAAAGAACCTATTTGTAGCGTCTTCTGGTATTTCTTCAGGATGCCCTCGTTATGGTATTTCCAGAACTGCTTTGAGGCGTCCTTGCCAGCAACTCGTTGGAGGACTGAAGCATATCAGAAAAGGAGCCTTTCTCTCGGTCTAGCCTGCAACTCACTCTTCTTTCCTCCAGGATGCTCATCCTGAAACTTTGTGAGATCGTAGACATCTTCATCCACTATAATCCATAGGCTGTCTGTAGACTTGTGACCTGCCACATCGTCGACTGAGTATCTCTGTGACATTTTGGAGGAAAAGAGGAGTATGGACGACGGAGTGGGAGACTATGAGGCGACAGAGTGTATATGACCGCGAAGTGCAGGCGTCGGGGGGCTTTAAGAGATCTCACGAGCCTATTCAGACTTTCACATGCCAGCCCTGAAGGCTTCGTTGTATGCGGGAACCCACGGTCTAGGCTGGACAGCCACTGCGCGCAAGACAGCGACAGCTATGGCTGACGAGTTAATAATGGTGCAGACCGAAGTTCAACATTACGGCATGTGCGATTGGCTGCGTCACGTCCAGCTTGTCAAGGACCGCAGTCTGGGGAAAGTGAACGTGATGCTACAGCGCCTCCGTGGGTTCCACAATGCTTGTCCGCAAACGTCATGACTGCTGAAAGACTTGCCTCGGTTCAACTCTCTTGGCGGCTTCGACCTCTGAACACACCACTCGGCAAATGGACTGGCAACATGGCAACCATGGTGCTTATGCGTGTACCGTGTCGCAGGTTTTATTCCTCGGCCGGAGAATAAACCTACCTAAAGAGATGCCGACTCCGTTGGTAGGTGCATCAAAGGCTATTAAAACGATATTCTCTTACGGGGATACAGTCACATGACTGAGTGAATCCAGGCGCAAAAGTCTTCAAAATAATCATGTCTCCACAATTTGGATAGATACATTCTCATTGATCTCTCCAGAACCCATGGGAGATACCAAGCTGGTGATATGCCAAGCCGGGGTCAAGCGTTTAGACGCGTATTACGAATATCGTATCCTTCGACATCAGAACATATGAAATAAGCGGTACTAATGAAAAGGAGTAATCCATTGCTACTGGAAGAGAAGAGAAGACGCCACAAATGCTTGAGCTTTTACCGAGAGAGTGGGAGTAGTAGATCCGACATGCTTCAACGAGCAAGTTATTGGTGAAACTGACGCTGTAGAGGTTTCTACAAGTCGACGTATACGGGATGTGTCGGTATAATTACTTCTTGAGAACGGCAACGACGACACCAATGATGATGGCAATGGCGATAATGATGAGAACTACGATAAGCACACACCACCACTTCTTCCGTTGCCGAGCTTTCGCGAGATCGATCGCCGTATCGATTTGCTCATTGGCTGCAACAACGTTGGTGCCAGTCTCTTCAGCTTTCGTTTCGATATTATGGATCACTTCATCTTGCTCCATAACAATTCGGTCAAGATCCTGAAACAGTTCTGCGAGTTCTGTCATCTGTCGCTCGATCTTCTGGATCTCCTCATGTCGGGCTCGGACGTTATTTAAGACTGATGTGGCTTGGCCGCGGCGGTCAGACTGCATAAGCTAGGTGAAATGTCAATAGAGGGTTACAGGCATTGACGAAGGCCGGAATAACATACTGCTTGTTGGAAGATTGGTGCCTCTGGATTCTCAGTCGCTTCTCGGATTTCCTCCGGAGAAGCATCAGGCTTTACGATGCGATACTGTCGCTCTGCCTGTTGCTGCATATCCCTTCTGTACTCTCTCTCCATGCTCTGATACCTTTGGATCGTTTGCTTGAGGCTGCGGTCTATACGTCCAACCTGACCGGAATTCCTTGCAGTTTGAGATTCAGGTTGAGACTTGATCTTCTTGACACGATCCACCAAAGCTCTGTATCCACTCATAATGGTCGAGCTCATCTGGTCGATTTCGCGGCCGAACTGATCAGGAGCATTGGCTGCGCGCTTGTACAGGCGATCCAGCTGATCCAGCTGCTCATTCAGTTGCTGAAGCTCCCGGTCGATGTCGCGGCAAGAGTTCAAAATGGCATCGCTACCGCCGCCGCCGCCGCCGGCATAGCCCTGGTTGAACGGTTGCATTTCGACGTCTCCTTCTGCGGATAAGAATTAGTCTTGTCGCCCAAGGAACAAGTCTCAGCTACCCTCACGTCGGCCGTAACCTCCACCGTTGTATCCATTCGGATCGTAATCGTCTTGCTGGGCATACGGATTTGCTCCGTTATTGTAGGCACCACCACCCATTTGATTATATCCTCTGTTGTATTGCTGCGAAACTGAGAATTAGTCGAGTGTCTGACAAGAAGAGGAAGTATGTCGATGTCAAGATGTTGGGTGAACAAGGCTGGGGACTAGCTTACACTCATCTTGAAACGAGCAGTGTATTGTACTCTGTGTGTGAAACAAAGGTGTACGACTCACAAATTGCGACCAAGGGCGAGTCTTGGACTGCGATTATGAAGCGAGCTATACAACGATAACAAAGCGGGAACAGAGTAGAGCGACAACTGTGAGGCGAGACGTGATGGTAGATAAAAGGGCGTTGTGAGCTGAAGCGTGTGGTCAGCAAACCCAAGGCCAGCGGCAATCCTGAGCACAACTTGCTGGGGCTTTAAGGGTACCGTCCCGACTCAGGCGGCTGAGCACGCCTGGGGCCTGGGCTAATCCAATTTTAGTGTCGAGATCGGCCGCTTCGCCTCTTCAAGTCTCTTGGAAGAGGGGCTCTTGCTGGCAGCTTGGGGGCGTCAGAGTTCCGCAGCACGCCACTAATTAATCAGTAGCAAGAGACATATTTAGCACTTTGCGGCCCCAAAATGAATAATCCTGAAACTCTTCAGGTTGGGTACCATCATCGCTCATTGCTCAGGTGGTGGACAACACAGGTTGGGTTCTGCACGCCGCATATTGCATCTGAATCTCTCTAGAGTCGTTGAATGCTCATGCACTCAAAGTCTATTTCAATGCTCGATCTTCACACACGCAATAATTAATCAGAGCAAATGGACCCTTCATTCGGGCTGAGTATCTCTGCCACCCAGGGCAGTTGGTACAAGTTGGTAGTCTCGTGGCCACGCGTACCTTCCTGCACAAAGCCAATCGAACCTCCTCCAGTCCACTGTCGCTCCAACGCAGCATTATTGCACTGTTCGTCCAAGGCAGGAGCACTCGGTCCGGATCTCGATCATGACTTCCTCTCCGAGCCCCAGCGCTTCGACTCGTCACCACCTGACCAATCTTTCTCCTCATATCCAAGCACCCTTTTGACTCTATCGACCTCTGCCTGGTTACCTGTGTTCTTGCCGATGTTGTCACTAATCTTCACAGCATTCCTTCCCTCCACTGATGCGATCTTGATGACAATGTTGAGCGGCACAGATTTCTTGTTCTTGTCTGTTTTGTTTTCGAAGTCATCTATTCCGCATCAGTCAGTATACGGTAAACCCTTATATTAAAGATCTTACTGGTTAAGAATGTGCCAACCCCAAACGTAGGCTGGAACCCAGACGCTTCGGCTGCCTTTTTGTACTTGAGGCAGAGCTCTATGTTTAATGAGTCTGAGAACACGATGGTCTTCTTGTCTTTGATATCTATCTCATCGTAGAATATGCGCATCATCTTGACAAAGTCGAGGGGATCGCCAGAATCTTGACGAACGCCAGTGAAGACTTGTGCATAAGTCGAAGATGTTGGATCCTCTGTCACAACAGGCTGCTCCTTGTGTGTGCTTGTAAACTGGCTTTGGTCGACATTCACAGGCTGTATTGATTTCGTGAAGGCTCTCAAGAAGGCTGGCGTTCCAAATGTGTCCGTGAGTGCGACTGCAAGTACGCCCTCACCAAATGTCCCTACCCATCGTTGCAGAGCCATCTCGGTTGCGTTCTCATAATCGTTATGGAAGGCGGCCACTCCCATGAACCATTCATGGGCGACTGTTCCGATAGGGTTCAAGTCAAACTGCTCAGCAAAATGTACGTTGCTGGTACCTGACAATACGCCCTTCCAGCCCTTTGCGGATGCAATCTTCTGTGCTTCCAACAAGCCCTCAATAACAAGTTTTTGTGTATGGTAGTCTCTCCGTCTTCTCGTACCAAACTCTGAGAAAACGCATCCTGCTTCCAGAAGTTGCTTGCCCTTACCTGTTGCTTTCTCGACCTGACCATCGTGACTCCATTCTGTATCACAAAACTTGAAATATGCTTCGCTGATCAAAGCGAGGAGCGGAATCTCGTATAGTATTGTATCGCACCATGAGCCAGCGATATGGATGTATACATCTCCAATTTGCTCATCGGTACTATGTGAAGTAACTGTGGGGTTGAATGAAGTTTTGATCTGCTCAGAAGGTCGCAAGCGAAATTTTTTCAAGTACTCGAGGTAATTTCCGGTACTGGGCTTCATGAAGAATCCACATTTCTGGCGTAGGAAGCTGAGCTCTTTGTCCGTGATAGCAAGATTGGAAAGTTCTACATCATTAGCAAAAGCACACACGTGTGGAAGTGACGGATTGAATAGTGCATACGGTTGATCTGATTCCGTAGCCACTCAAAGGCGGCGCGACTGAGCTTCATATGTGGTGTTCGATTGGTGAAACTATATGTGACGTCTACTTGAGTCAGAAGTGCCTTTCTGCCGATACGGACGTACTCACGAACATCTTTGTAGTACTTCAAGACACAACATTGCATAGTCAGCTTGTAAAGGTCCCTGAAGCTACATTAGAGCGCAGCTTGAGTTGAGGAGTAACTCATACTGACGTATCCAAGAGAGAGGTAATCACTGGCTTGTTGTCCATGTGTCCTACGGTTTTACTCGCCATGTTTGCTGATATTCTTGCTCACATGAGGAGGTGGGGTTGCAGAAGGGGTAGCTATCGATTCGAGGCGGGAGTGTGCTTTATACGATGTACCAAGACGCATCCGTTTTGTTGTGAACGGGTCCAGGGTAGCAGAGGGAAGCCTATGGTAGCACAAGAGAGCTGTACCTCGCTCCAAGGAGTTTGTGGAATCAACACGATCACATTCCGTGAATTGAACAAGCTTAGGTAGCCCCACAGGGCGGGCAGCCACGTGGAGAGCGGCACGACTCGGGCGGCGCCCCACTTAGATGTAAGCACACAAACTTGGACACCGAGTGATATACATTCTAGTCTAGTTAATGCGTCTATTATAAAAATGATAGAATATCATGTGTCTACTCAGGAGGAGGAGAGCCACCTTCAAAAATATCGAGCACGAGCTGTTTCTTATTGACTGGGGGTAGGTAAGCAAATGATTCTAGAAGCATTCTCATTGACTTACTCTTGCCCATGGCGTTCCTTGGAATGGTCTTGAGTACCTTCATCTCCTGCGGGATCTTGTAGTTCGCAAGCCTTTCTCTCAACGCACGTCTCAGATCCATCGGACCCCAGGGTTTGCCATTGCGGCCTCCCGTGAGACCTTTCTCTGAGAGGACTACAACTGAAGCTACTTTTTGGCCCCATGAATTCGACGGTACTCCCACAACGGCGCATTCGGATATTTCAGGTCTAAAACAAGTCAGTAGGATCTTGGATATGGACCCGCAAAGGCGTACAATGAGAGCATCTCTCGCTCTACTTCAAGAGCGCTGACTTTCTCCCCACCGCTCTTTATGATATCCGCACTCTTTCTGCCTTGAATGAAGTACAGGGGCCCCCTTGCCCATACAGCCTCACTATGTCCTGCACTGTGGACATGGCGTCGCACAGCTATATCTCCTGTCTTGAACCAGGCACCCTTCCCATCCTCACCTTTGACGAACTCGCTGGCCGTAGCTTCGGGATTCTGCCAATAGCCTTGAAACACCGTCGGGCCTCTGAGCTGAATTTCTCCATGGCGCTCTGCACCGTCTTCGTCAAGTTCTTGTCCGATCGGGATAACGTGATGGTTGTCTGTATCGACGAGTCGAGCTTCAACAAAGGGCAGTGGCCACCCAACGCTACCGTCTACACGATCCTTGAAGTCTAGTCCGCAGCTCAGCGCCATACCTACTTCGGTCATTCCAAATCTTTCAAGTAGCACATTGCCGTGGCTTAGGAGAGCCCATGCCGACTTTATAGGTGTAGGCAATGCAGCTGATCCGGAGATGTTGAGTCGGAGATTTTGGGGAGACACTGCCATTCTAGTCGCTTCCTGAAGCTCTGAAGAAAGATTTGGATGTGACTGAAGTAGACGCCCATAAATCGTAGGAACTGCCGTGAAAAATGTAATCTTGTCGCATGTTTGTTGCTTGTTTGCCAGAAATGGCGCTGCAAGACGTTTCCATACAGCATCTACATTGAATGGGAACATGAATTCGATTGTCGAACCTGCCATTAAAGGGGCTAGGATTGCGTTGACTGTTCCATGTATATGGTGCAATGGAAGGACGTGTAGGAGGTAATCAGACGGAGAATATTTCCAAGCTTCGAGAAGCGATAGAGACTGGGCTGATAGTGTGGACTGGGATAGCAGGACTCCTTTCTTGAGCGCCGTTAGTCATTGCCATATTGTGTTGTAGTCAAACATACCGGGCGATTCGTTGTACCTGAAGTATATAGCATCATTCCACTTTTACACTCAACGGGGTCCTCTATTCTAACATCATAGTCTTGACTATCATTGGGAACAAGTTTGTCGACTATAGAGATATGCGTCGCAGTCTGTAGGCCTTCTTTTACAACGTCTGTTGCCTTCTCGTGATATTTGCTCGAAGCCAGCAGCAGATGCGCCTCGCAATGATCTATAATATATCGCAATTCGCTTGAAGGGAAAGAAGGAGCAAGAGGAACAGCTACGGCATTGCTACTGAATATTGCTAAGAGGTTCACTATTACTTCATTAGCTTCTTGGACATATGAAGGTTGTAGAGAATTATGCGCACCTACATAATCGTAATTATTTTCGATCAAGAAAGCTACTCTCTCTCCTTCCAAAGCCGCGCTATTGAGACTCTCCGCCAGCTTTTGTCTAGTGTTACAGACATCTTGGAGTAACTGCCCATATGTATACTTTCGCTGTGATATAGAATGTACCACGGCTGTGTGCGTAGGGTCGTGCTTTGCCAAAGCCTCAAAGATAGGCATTCGTGGTAAAGTGGACAGCATACGGGAAATGACTGGAGGATAGAGATGTAGTATAGACAAGGACACAGGACGTCTTGCGGCGTACGTGCGAAGAAGGGATCTCACGAACATGTCCACTCAAGCAAATGCGGGCCAAGATTTCGGCAATCGACGCGCCTAAGATCCCTGCCCCACGATGGTTTGCCGAAGTCGGAAGAGTCTCTCATGGGGGGAGAATTTGGAAGTCGGTTGAGTGTTCACACGAGCGACGCTGCGAATGAAGCTCGATTGACGCAGGAGTGTCCTGGTCCCTGTTAGGTTTCTGTAATGCTCGGCAAAGCAAAATGTCGGCCTTGGCGTAATGACGCTCCGGAACCTTCAGAGCCAGGATGATTACATGTGCTAGACAAAGCCGGCTTGGACGTCACATAACGTCCACAACTCAATTGAATGTTTCGCAGAGTCGCAAGTAGACGCGCCTTCCGTAGATTTGTGTCCGATATGGGTCCATCTACAACTCCAATCGAAGACGCGATTCGCGCAAAGGCACGTCTATAAGTACATGGGTTTGTAAAGAGTTTTCTGACGACCGACAGATCTCAGAAGCGTTGAAGCCGACAAACCTAGAGATTTATAACGACTCGCATCTACACTCTCACCATAAGGCTATGCAAGGGGTTGTCTCAAAAGAGGTTTGTTGAACAGCCTTTGCCGTGGAACACAAGCATTGACGGCACATAGACACACTTCCGGTAGCTCTCTCGTGAATTGTAACATATTTATTTCGAGCTCCCTCTTACGATCTGACAGATTGGTGATAATATCAGACGCTTTCAAGTCGAAGATGCAACCCGCTCGACACCGCATGATATATAGTCTGCTCAAAGACGAACTGGCGCGTGAAGGTGGAATACACGCGTTGCAACTGCGAACGAAGACACCAGAGGAAGAAGAGCGAACAAAGGTGCAAGATGCCGGCGAGCAATAGTGATCTTGATTGTTTTGACTGTTACACTTAATCAAGTCAGGCAAAGTGCAGAGGAGTCCAGAGCTTCATTGACGTTGTGACAATATTCATCACTAGCTATAGACTTACTTCTTCGCTGCAAGTTTTAAAACAAGCCCGGAGCTGAGCCTGTGCGGAGGTATGGGACAGAACTCCTTATAGCGACAGGGGTTCGTTTTGTATTCTATGGAGTGTCATATAGTGTACGTGCGCCATGTATTGATTAGACCATGCATGGGGTTGTATGAACCCTAATCTCTGCTTCGAATTAAGACAATTAAATACCAAGCTCATCCTCTATTGGCATATTGATTAGCTTCGAAGAGAGTTCTGATTTTCGTTTGATTGGATTATGGTGAAAGGGTTAGCCGACGAACGCCGGCGTAGTATGTCAATATGCTCCACTTACGAGCTTCCGACTAAACCCAGTTGTAAGAAGAGAATGAATCAGATGCACGCAGCATTGATGGAAACAATATCTGGTAAGCTGGTGTATCATTACTATTAGATCGTATTCTTCTCGATATCGTACAGTCGTATAACTAATGGGTATGTTCATAACTTCAACTCAAATATCGCCTACATTGCTTGCCAGTCGTCGACAGTTGGTACCATGCCAACTTGGGTAAGTATGCGAATGGCATATGTATACTAATTAATAATAGTGAAAGCACTAGGCTGTACCCCGCCAAGCGCTAAACAATTAGCGTTCTTTCCATTTCCGTAGTCCGGTCCGCACAACGATTTCATTGTGGCAACAAGCATCACGTCGCAAAGTCGACTATACGTCCTGCGCGGCGCGCTCGGCACTGTTATCGACCTTGCCGCGCTTCTCACGGCCCTTTTCGGACCATGGAAAGTGCGCCACTGGGATGACGAAGAAGCTGTTGGTGTTATCTGCAATACCAGCTAGTGCGTTGTACCAGGCCAACAGAGCAGCGGCGAGACCGAAGGCACCACCAGCAGTAATGAGTGATTGCTTGGGGGTTCCAGCATCAGCGTAAAGGTATCCGAGACCAAGCATCAGGAAGGCAAGGTCCAGCGTGAAGAAGAGCGAGAAGAAGGCCACGGTCGACTTCAGGGTGCAGATGAGGAGGAGGAACGTGAAAATGAACCATCCCTTGGATGTGTTAACAGAGCGCTCGTTGTTAACAACGTTAGGAACTTACGAATAGGTAGAGCGCGAACGAGTTGGTAAATTTCTCGGGAGTCATAGCCATTCCGCCTGTCTCCGTTACACCCTCGAGAGTGTTGACGATGTTAAAGCCGCCGGGAGTGAGTATAATGCCGAACGAAATCCAGAAGCCACCGTACGAGGCTAAAGCAGTAGCACCGAAGGTGTTACCACAGGCCACCTCCCACATACCAGCGAGAAGTTGAACAAGGCCGCCATAGCCATAGGCAATGGCGACCACAATGTTCGGCTCCGTGATGTTGAGGGTGGTCACATTGATAAGCGACAGAACAAAGGTCGTCAAGGCGAAGGCGGACAAACCCAGAGGAGCTGGGTTGGCAAGCTTCCTGTTACGCTTGTAGAGACCAGGTTGGAAGTCTCCACCGAACGCTGGCAGGGCGACTGAACCGTCGGTGCGCACGTGGGCAAGTGGATTGCCGCCTATAAATGTCATATCAACACTCAGTTCCACTTTCAACCACATCGAGTGTAGACATGACGAGTCTTACCATAGTCGTATGGCTTACGCTCCTGTGCGCCATTAGCAGCGTGGTCATGGGCACTGGTGTTGCCGTTTTCTTGCGCGCTGGCCATTGTTGTGGTAGTATGATAGAATGAACTAAAGATACAAATAGTACGTATATGGCTCTACAAGAACCAAGCCTCTCTCGCAGACCGGATGAGTTTGACGAGGGATTAAAGAAATAGATGAGAATCGAGAGGAGGGAGCGGTGGATGCTATATATGCGAGCCTCTGGGCTGGGACTGATGATTCCCCACAGTCCCCAAGATCGTTACGTTCGATGCTTGTAAGAAGCTAGCATAACATAGTATGCACTGGGGAAGGGGCCCATGCGGTAGTATGGGGTGAGGATGGGAGGTTGAAAAGGAAAAGGCAGCCAAAGCAGCCATTCAGAGAGCTTGACGACTTGAGCGGCCCATCAACTCATCGCAGATTGCACATCCATCCGATTTGGGACAGTTCTGTAGATCCAGCAAATGGCAACTTTGGGAGCACTTCACTAGTCAAATGCCGAGGCGCGCCTGACTGCTTACTCTTCTTCCACTTTACCTATCCTCTCTCAGGCGTAAGGGCCGGAAAGACACTCTGACACTATTGCTAAACGTACAACTATAGGTACCTGGCAAGGCCGGCGATTCGCTCCATCATATTGCCGTCATCCGTAACATCTCCCGAGCACGTAAGGATGATCAATGTCCTCCATCTGCCCTGGTATTAGCTGCTGAGCGTCGGCACATGTTCGAACTTCGCAGGTCAGAAGCTCATTTTGTCTAGGACGGCGCCATATCCTCATCTGTCAAGTCACTCCATCCATCCATTGCAAGGTCCCGGACCCTTCACAAAATTCCTCCGTCCGTCGTCAAATCGATCGGAAGCGCAATGCTAGACTTCTAGTGTCCATTCGTCCTGCATGACCACTCAGGGATAGCGTGCCATTTTATCACCAACCTTGAAACATCCCAGGAGAGACATGGGTAAAATCTGTGCGTTCTATCGAAGCATTGCTGTTGACAGCAACATCAACGCGAGCGCGTTCTGGGCGTTACAAGCTGCGTAGGTGGTGCGAGTGAGCTTCAAAGAAGCTTTGTTGGCATGCGTCATACCGCGACTCGTGAAAGAACGCTGACCCTCGATCCCGATGGGACTTAACGATTTTGCGGTACGTCTCCCATCAAGCGTCAACGAATGGCGGAAACATAACAAGGGAGGTCGCGACGCGAGCAAGCCACCACGGCCCACCCTTGGTCGTCCAACAGTCATCTTCGGTTCCGCTCGCGATCTTGTCCTCGTAACTCCAGAAACCTAGCTACTGGAGAAAGGCCGCACGGAGCAGCATGTAGTCAGCACAACAACCCCACAGCCGGGCGAGCGGGTGGCTTCTGCTTCTTTCATGATTCATGCATCATTGCATCCTTCCGCCGCCAATCTTCTTAACCGTCTGGCAACTCCACAACTGAAAACAGGCGACTGTTGTACCGTCTAGCCACAGTGTAAGACCAGAGTAAGCCAACAACCGTCAGATGGTCTAGCAATGGTCGGCCTTATCGTTGCGCCCTGTACAGGCATCTATACAAGTGCTTGTTCACTATTATTCATCAGAAGCTGCACAGACATGGCGCCGGCATTCACGCATTCATGGAAGGCCTTGAAGAGAAGCCATTGTCACATCTGGTTTGACTTGAAAAGACCTGATGCCATCGTGGCTACTCACTCTTGCAACAGATTGAAATGCGGAGACAAAACCAAAAGATTCGCTCGCATGTTCGGTTCTCGCTTCCGGACCACGCGGATAAGGGCCGAAATTGAAAGCTTGTCTTCCACATTCGTTCCTAGATTTGTGGCACTGCACCAGGGCGTCGTCGTACTTACATTTCGATACGACCCAGTCAATAGGGTGGAGACACTTTAAAGGTCTGGACTACTTCTTAGTGGGGTAAGAACAGGTAATTTGATCAACGGGCTTAGCGCGTTTCGTCCAGGTACTACTATCGCAAGATCTATCGGTATAGCTACCTTCTCCTGAGCAGACCATTTCTCTTAAAAGCTGTCGTGGTTTTACATACTGACGATTGCTCGCGACGGTGTAGTATCTTTAGTCATTTAGTACCATTGTAGGGTTGTATGTCACGGAGGCATGTATGCTTACAACTTTTACGAGCCCGTGAAATCGTCTCAGGGTTTTTTTCTCGAGAAGCCACTGAACAACGTCCTGTCATCGATTCCAAATCATGGACCGGTAAAATTTTTAGCATCGTTATCGGATGTGGCATTCGGATACTAAGGAGCTGGGAGAAGAATCGATGAATACAGGTCAAAGGTCTTTATATCAGAAGACCTCCTGTCATCTCTAGACATGGACACGCAAATCGCCTGCGGCGGTCCACTCTTACACAATGCAGCGGAGAGTGGTGCTTAGGATGTGAGGTATACCCCAAACGTGAGATCTTGCCGTTTACTCCTCCAAGCCTCATCATTTCACCACGCAGGTATTAGGCTACGTGATCGTTATCTCGCGCCAACCTCCTTGCAGTGTTTCTCCCACAACACCTATAGGATATTTAATTGCTTCCAAAAAGTGGAAGTGGATTAATAACAAAATTTAAGCTAGTTAAACAGAGTACCTAGTACGGCCAATGCTGCGCACCTAGGGAAGGCCCAACCAACAAGAAACATGTCGTTTGACCCAAGACCAGCAAAGACGTCCCTCCCTCCAGGCCGCCTATCATGATCTGTGGGAATCTACGGTCTTTCGCTCAGACTTATTAGGTCCATGTGAGGTGGACCCTGACGCTTTGTATGAAATCAGATCATCGTATATCTCCTTCTCGTATCTTCCCGGTAGATCAGCGCGAAGTCATGGCGATACCTCAACTCCACGTGTGAGTTCACGCTAGACATGCCTAAGACGACATGTATGCATGACAACAGATGCTATAGACGAGTATTATGGATGAAACTTCACTCTTGGACTCGAAAAGATCATAATTCATGCTTCGTTATGGCCTAAGATCTAAGGACTTTGACTTCTCCTAGCAGACCTTTCTTGTTCGACCTGGGCTGAGGACATGCCTTGTACTATGTGGTTCTGCTGAGGTCATAGACACACGCTGTATAATGTGAAACGCGAGACGGGCAATGTTGTTCGACATGGTCATCGAGATTTAGTCACAGAAATTTCCTCAAAAGTCTCTCATCGAGGCAAACCGAGAACTTGAGGATGGACCTACTTTAGACCCTGAGGGGTCTGTAGGCACATGAGCCGTTAAAGCATCGAGTTTCGATACGCGATACTTGAGATGTAATTCATGTTGGCTTCAAGCACTTTATGTCAACCGAACTCAAGTACAATAACACATTTGTATTGCTGATTCTATTGCTTTGCTAGTGTACTATATCGAGAGTAAACATACTTGATATACATGCATTAACATGGAAGCGACTAAAATGCTAGAAAGAGACTAATCGAGGATATATAGGGAAATTTGATAGAAATCAGTGGTCGGTAGTACCTACAACTCCTACCGGTTGCCAATTAGATAAACTAAAGAGGTTCCACCACGGCCGGGGTGGATGCCCATCCGTGTTTGCAACTTTTGAACTATAGAATACTTCCAAGATCGCTATTCAGTATGTATACACCGCTAACATCAAACCCCACAACGTCTAGTCCGCATGAATAGGCAACGACAAAGCCCCTGAATGGACTCCTAACTAGAGTTCGAAAATTCTGTTGTAAAGCAAAGATTAGCACGACATACCATGCATGGTGAGCTCATGATGAATTGTGCTGCCCCTTTCCTCAGAAACCAAGTTTCTTTCTCGACAAAGGGCGGAGAAGGCAATGTCTTAATCACTCAGCCGCTGCTGAAGTGTTCTGACTATTATTAGATACAGGCTACGTTTTTGGTAAGGATAGGTGGTGGATAAATATCGTCACCGGTCTATATATATGAACCACCGTTCGCACAAACGCACATACACATATTCATATTCGCCATTCCCGCGATACTAAGTTCAAAATTATCTCTCTTGACTTAAGAGGCAGTGCGCGAGGGGCACAAAAGGAGCAGCGGCCATCTACCCGATTACATTACAAATCCGTCGTTTTCCTACCTAGAACCTATAGAATGCTCGTAGCACTCCTACACGCTTGTACTCGCCCCTATTTTCTGATCTGAAGTTCTTTCCACGCACATATTTGTAGATAAGAATTTAAGAGCATTAAAAGTAGGTATAAGACATATATTAGGCATATCTTTATCCTTCCATAAGTTTATTTATCTTGGTAAAGTCTCCTTAAAGAAATATAGAAGGATCTTTTGAAATTCTTATGAGTTCTTAGAAGATAGCGTGTAGACATTACACCAATAGTTGAGAAAATCACCTTCTTAACCCGACCTTTTCTTGAAAATTTGACCCTCTTACTATAGATTAGATCAAGAGATTAAAACCCAAAAACTCTATAGTCTTAATTGTCTTATTGTAATATACAGACTCTTTTGCAGAGGTAAGAGATTTAGAAGGCTCTAAGCACGCGTATGTTCGAATATCTCGTATCGTGGACGTTTGGTACTTCCATGTCATGTCCTTACTAGCGCGGAATGCTGCAGAGTCGAGACAAGCTTTCTAGCGTAAGCCCCTGGATGTCCGCGTCAGCTTCTTGCACAAATCGGTCAGGCGAGAATAAGGCCGTCTACAGCAAGCGAATCGTATCATGTCATCTCCAAGAAGGCGCATGAGGCTTGCGGGACTTCCAGGATACGATGATATGCCACCACGATAGCATCAACATTGCACGACGAGACGACCGATACCCGGGCATGGTAAAAAGCACCGACCAACAGAAATATTCTGATACCCTGGCATAGGTAGATAGCTGAACCGTAGCGCCAAAGGCTTTACTACAGGGGATGACGCCGCATCGTGGGGCTCTCAAACCTGTCCAGGCGGAAATGTGCGCGCTTAGCCAATCTTGGAGCTGGTCAGTGTGGAGCTTCCAGGTTCATGCGTGCTGATAGTCTCCATTATAGGTAGTTTGCAATGGCATGCGGCGCGGGATCAGTCCAAGCCATTGCCTACTCATATGTTATTGCGATCATTCGCTTGTCCTCTACACCCAAGGTTATCTAGAGTATTCTGATATACCGGCACGGTACAGGTGTCTTCGTACATGAGCACGCGACACCAACCCTTTCTCACTACAACACCCCGCGAACGCACCTCACGCATACCATCGTCTTTCAGTCGACGACCCGCGTTCCCAACCGATTCAGCTCGTCGGAATACCAATTATGTTATTCAGCCTTCCGTCCGCCCTGGTGGTGCTCTGCGCTGTGTGCTGCTCTGGCGCCGCCCTTCCCTCAGAATCTTTAGAACCCGAAAAAGCGGACAACTCAGACTTCTCAAGCCTACGAGGACTATCGAAAAATCATAAAGATATGAGCGGAAGAGCGGGGGATCCCAAATCTAAGTACTTCCATGAGTCTATCGTAAGTCTCCTGGCAATCGCTCAGAATGTCGTCCTAATCGTGGTCTCAGTTCCATCCCCATTACGACGGACGCTTCGCAATGAAGACATTACCGGAAGAATACCAGCATGGTAATCTCAGTACCATGATGCAGTCATACCTAGCGACTATGAGCGCGATTGGTGCAGAAACATGGATCATGCATGGGTCTTTATTGGGGTGGTGGTGGAATCGAAAAATAATGCCGTGGGATTCCGATGTGGATGTTCAAGTTTCTGAAAGAAGTATCAAGCTTCTAGCCAACTACTACAACATGACGGTGCATAAATACAAGGGCGAAGACTGGCCTAGAGCAAAGAAATACCTCATGGAGGTCAATGAGCACTACAGTAACGGCTCAACCTTGGATAGAATGAACGCCATCGACGCAAGATGGATCGACACCGAGACTGGTTTGTTCATTGATATTACAACCTTGAGACGAGACCGTGATGCCGAGAAGAAGGGCGAGACCGGGAAGCTGTATTCAAAAGACAGACAGAGATTCGACGCAGATGACATTTACCCTCTGCGACAAAGCGAATTCGAAGGAAAACCAGTAAAGATCCCATATGCGTATACAAGGTTGCTGGAGCAAGAGTACAGCCCTAAGGCTTTGACAAAACTTAGTCACAGCAAACATGACTTTGACAGAAAGACATATGAATGGGTCAAACAGACACAGAAACCGTGAGTTCCCCAGAATACCTACGGTGGTTGACCAGGTCACTGACATACTTTTCTCAGGCTCTTCAAGCAGTTCAAGTGATATGACCAAGCACCTTACAACAGTATATGCTCCGGAGTTCGTCGTATGTTCTGTAGTAAAGAGATTTGTTAAGGGGTTCTGGCATCCCGCCTGTAGACATATTGGTAGCGTTTCAGTCTTCTATGCACTTCCAAGATTATACCAAGATGGAAATAATCCACACATAACGATAAATTTTATGTATGTATTAGGTACAAATATGTTTTGTAGCAGCTACTTTGCTAGAGGCTTGAAGTAACAGCCCAGCATGGCGCAATATGATCCGACAAAAACCATGAGGTCATAGATACTAGATCATAATAGTTTGGTGTTATCAGTGTGGAATGCCAAACTGTCATCACGGAAGAATCTGGATCAACCTTGAAGCCTCTTCGCGCGCGAACATTCCAAAGGCGACGCCAAGCATCCATTTGTCAGCCCAAGATATTCACATTCGCGTCGGACCAAGGTTGTCACCATCATAGTCGCGACATTTTCATTTTTCAGGACAACATCACTGCATATCTCAATCCTGCCTGATTGAAGCCTGTTCCTATCTGACTTCAAAATCCACTGGTGATCATGGCGAATTACCTCGCCTCCATCTTCGGTACTGAGCAAGACAAGGCAAGTGCTCAATCCAAACTCTGCGCATTACGGAAACTTCACTAACACTGAAATCAGGTCAACTGCTCTTTCTACTACAAGATTGGCGCATGTCGTCACGGCGACCGATGTTCACGAAAGCATGTCAAACCTTCATACTCGCAGACGATCCTTCTGCCCAATCTATATCAAAACCCAGCCTTCGACCCTAAGAACAAGATGAACGCGTCGCAACTGCAGAATCACTTTGATGCATTTTACGAAGACTTTTGGTGCGAGATGTGCAAGTTTGGCGAGATCGAGGAGGTTGTCGTGTGCGACAACAATAATGATCGTATGTCGCCCAGCTCCAGAACCTTTCAAAATCATGCAAGTGAACAGTGCTAACAGCCTCTAACAGATCTCATCGGCAACGTCTATGCACGTTTTAAATACGAAGACTGTGCTCAAAAGGCTTGCGACGCTCTGAACTCCCGCTGGTACGCCGCGCGCCCTATATACTGCGAGCTTTCTCCGGTAACAGATTTCCGCGAGGCGTGCTGTAGACTGAATTCCGGGGAGGGCTGTGTGCGCGCTGGGTTCTGCAACTTTATACACCGGAAGGAGCCCAGTGCGGAGCTGGATCGCGACCTGGAATTGAGCACGAAGAAGTGGCTGAAGCTAAGGGGTCGTGATGAGAGGAGTATGACGAGGAGTCCGAGTCCAGAGCCGACACGAAAAAGATTTTGAGGGATTAAGAAGATCAAACTCAACACATACGGTTGCTTGATGAGCGAAGCGGCCTGGTTAAGGACTTACTAGACTTCCTTTCGACCATTTTGGATGCCCAAAGCACAGGTCTTGGATTTCTATCTGGTCAGCGGATGCAGCAAGCAGCCCCGACACCAAGGTGACGACTGCGAGTCTGGCATGAATGTAGAACTAGGATGGGAAAAGCAGACGGCGAAGAGGCGTTCAGGTCGTTACAGCATCTGTATCATTTCTAGGTAATGTGAATAGTATTTTCAATTCAATATTGATCGTGTTCATTCAGGAAATACATCACGCGAGCGTGCTAAACGAGAAAACTTCGATATCCTCCCATTAGACACCCGAGAATCACTCCATCCACGCACTTACGACCTCCCAAACACCCACACTCACACTCGCATTCGTAGGCAAATCGCCTGCCCGCACACTCATAACCTCCAACTTCTCCTTTGGATAGAATGTCTGCGTGGCACTATGCCTCCCGCCTTCCAGGAATACCTCCACAATCGATCGATCGATCACACCTGCAATTCGCCATGTGCCTGCACTCCCAATCAGCGTATTCGTGCTGACCTTGTCCGTGAAGAACGGATTCTCAAATCCACGAATACGCCCACGGTCGAGCCAGAAGGGCACGTCGCCACCGAGATAGAAGCCCATGGCCAGGCTCTCGCCGCTAGTGGAAGAGAAGAATGTGATGTTGAGGCTGGCGTAGCTAGCCACGCCCGATGAGGGGATTCCGGTGATATTTGCTTCCCAGTAGAGTGCATTACTCTGCACACCTGCGTAGTCGAGCGTTATTGTGCCGTTGCCCAACTTCTCGTCGCCGATCTGGTCGCCGAGCACAGGTGATAAGTCATATGGCTCGCTGCCCAGTACCCAGCCGATCCTCTCAGCACCGGTCAGGAAATTGCGACGGGGTAGAGACATGGCGGAGCGCCAGCCTTCCATGGGGCCTGTGGGTACTTGCTGAGTGTATTGCCAGTTGCTTGCCCAGCCGATGCTTACCGCTTCGTCCTGCAAGCCGGAGAAGAACTGCGTTGCGTAGTTGTCCTTGCCGAAATCGGCGATGCGGGCTGCACTGTCAACGGCAGTGAAGTGTGTGCCGTTGAAAGTTCCAGGGAAGAACTCGGTAATGCTTCCCCCGAGCGGCGCGCCGGGGTTGATGCTGATAAGCAGAACGAAAAGCTCTTTTGCGTCTGTCGGTGCAGGCTGTACAACTGGCATCCGCACAAGATTCGGACACTCGTACTGTAGCCCCAGCAGACCATAGTTAGTGAAGTTGCTCGCATGCTTCCACTCCTTCAAATCCGGGCTCGTATAGAACCCGATCGTAAAATCTTGCGCGTACGCAATAGCCATGACCCAATGGTCCTCGTACCACGTGACCTGGGGATCGCGAAATTGGCTGCTTTCGCTGTCTATCACGGGGTTATTGGCGTATACGGTGAAGGAGTAGCCGCCATCCGTGGAGTACGCGATGTTTTGTGTTTGTGGACCGGGAGCTCCAGAGGGATATTGTGCAACGGTGTAGATCGCGACGACGCCGTTGGACTGCGATGGGAAGAAGCCGGATGTGTTGTTCGAGTCTACGACGATTGAACCGGAAAATACAAAGGATTCAGATGTTGGTGGGAAAAGGGCGATGGGTTGGTTAGTCCAGTGGTAGAGATCTGAGGACGTTGCATGCCCCCAGTGTTGGTTCCCTGCGACCGTTGCGGTAGGATTATCTAACATGTTGTGAGGGTCTATTCTGTTGAAACAGGGATGAACGGACATTGGTAGTATAGATGCCATGTGCCGTTTGCATCCTTGAACATGCCATTGGGATCGTTCATGCTGACTATATTATGTTCTGTGATCGGATCATGGGGAAATTTACAACATACAAATGCTGCGGCGGCGAGAAATGAATTTGAGGCCGTAAAGATCCAGTATAATTGCCTGATACTGGCGTCCCTGGATCGTTCAGCTTTTATCAATGTATATAGTGTCAATGATAGGTACCTGTTGGTACAGCCGGATTCACATATGTTGATACATTCTGTGCCAATGCTGTGAAAGCAGTTCCTACTACAGCCAAAGCGATTGGTAACACCATTGTAAACATTATGAGGCAGTTGGAAGAATAATTGAGTCTCGGGGGTAGCTTCTCGAATTCATTCGACTCTTTTATCATAGCACCCACGGAGAACTTTATAGACTCGTGTACGTACAGACGGCAATAGCATCATTGCCGAACCATGTGTGGCATGAGCGCACGCTACCCCACAACCAAGACCGAGTTGGCGGTAGACTTTACTGCATCCAGGAGTTTAGGACGTTCGGCGAGTCTTCTCTGCAGCTCTTCTAGCGGCTCTTGAAGGCCGACATTTGATGCTTGTCTAGAACATGCCACTCTTGGCACCTGTATATACGTGTGTTCTCTCTACGATATGACTAAAGGTGAGTAGGACCAAGGGCCAAGAGTATTATGGTCTAGGTAGGTGACGGATTTGGGCGAGCATTCGGCCGGGAGCGGACATCTTTCCGGAGGCGTTATAGCAGATCGCTGACACGTAGAAGTCGCATCATGACTTGCATCAATCAACATCGTCCATGAATCTTGACCTTCTCTTTCCACGGCTGTTTCCTTGATGAAATTTCGAAGGTAGCGTTCTTCGTTCCTTAATATAACCAGCATGTCCTCCATATCGGCATATCTTCCGTGTTCTCATGAATCCCCTATAAATAAGGTGGTATCATTGCGAGATGCATTCGCAATGCATTCGAGAGCGACAGCGTACTGTCAACTACGGAGATGAATTGTCCGGTATCAAGAATATGCGATCTCTGCTAGTAGATACCAATCGTGTGGCTGCGTTCTGAAACCTGCAGTTGCCTATATAATTTCTCAACTTCACTGACCCAATACCAACACATTCCGCAATTCAGTGCATGCATAGTTTCATCGATTAAGGGCTCATGTGTATGCTCCAGAGATCATGAGGTCCAGGAATGCGGCTAAGACATCTGTTGCGACTCATGTTCAAGGATACAGGACGTAGAGGTTCGTCAATGTTGTCCAGAGTCCTCCTGAAAAGTCGCCGGCCGCATATAGGAGTGTAGCGGTAATGTAGGATGGTGTCGAATCAGAGAGCCAGACTGCACTCTCGCGATAAACCCAGGGTATAGTCGAAGTTTCTAGTGTGCTCCAAACAAAGAGTTTGAATATCTTAACATCGTAGCGATCATGACTCCAAGCATTACAGAAGTAGTTAGAATGTATGTCAAAGAAGTTTCGATGCTTCCATGGCACCTTTATTGCACTTGAGAGAATGTTCGGAAGGCCCTTTCTTAACATTGTCCTTGTTGTGCCAAGTATATAGGTGTCACATGTTGAGCACGTCTGGTTGCAGGGCCCTCCACATTGAAGACAGCGTCCCAGTGTCATTGATCCAGGAAGGAGAATTGGACTTGATTGTGACTCGGTTATTGTATCGAGGCTTGTATCTAACAGTGGCTGGACAGATATTGTGAGACAAGTGGACAATCCAACAATATGCCGAAGCTCCTCGACGCGCCCTGCTTTCTATGATGCGACAATAGAAGGTACCTGGATCTAGGCGTACTAATACCAGATAAAAACCACCAATGCGAACAATTAACACCCTCTAAAAATGTATAATGTTGATGCTTTCGACGAGCATTGGCACAGCCATTCTCTGCTGCCCACTAATCTCGTCCCCGCGCTCTTCTTTCAAGTACCCAGAGCCTTCTCTTTGATGAATACTGCGCTTACTGTAGCTCCCATGACGAGTGCAACCTGGAACCCAAATGCAGATCGTGTGGACAAACCATAGCAGCTCCTCACCAATTCGCGAAGTGAGGGTTCAAGAGTTCTAATATATGCCAAGCTATGTCTCACACCCTCTGCAATCCTCTCGCCATCCTTGCCATTGCTCAACGCATGCATGAGACTTGTTCGGAGTGTTGAGTTGGTGATACTCGCAGAAATGCACATGCCGAAGACGCTACCGAGAGATCTGAATAGGTATGAGCACGCCGTGACGACAGCTTGGTCCTCGTAAGTACAGTTGGCAACTATCGATGTTAGCCTGTGTCCTTTCAGTTACGATGAGGGCGAGATATTTACTCAAAGCTATCAAGGACGTAGTCACACCGATACCATTGGAGAATGCACATATGCACATGCCCACCATTATACCAGGTACAGAATTGAAGAGAATTCCAGAGCAGAGGAGCACAACGGACATCCCTATCGTCAAGTTCGTATAGCACATCACTGTAAGCCAATAGTACTTTCCGGTCCTTTGCATATAGAATCCCGCAGTAAGTGAGCCAGATACTCCGCAGACGATGGAAGGAATCAACCGCAGGCTTGCTTCCGTAGCACTCAAATCGTTGACAACCTGAAAATGAAGAGGAATGTAGAACAAGGCTCCAAGCCAGCCTCCGAAAGCGAAGAAGTTTACCAGATATCCAGCAAACATGGATCTCCTGAAGATGATATGTCCAGGTGCAAATGGTTCCGCTGCGACCTTACTCTCGACTAGAATAAAGAGAGCAAAGAGAGGAAGTGAAATGGCCAGACTCACAATGGTCCATTTGTCCTTCCATGATTGATTACTACCTCGATCCAGGGCTATCAAGAAGGCCGATATGGCAGTTATGAGGATAATCGCACCGAAGAAGTCAATCCTTAGGACTTTGGCCTTCCAGCTTCCACGATTATGCCTTGGTAGCTTCAGAGCTAGGCTCACAGCAATAATACTGATGAGACAGAGCGGGGGCTGTACGTTGAATGCCCATCTCCAACCAACATAATCAGCCAGAATTCCACCAACAGGAGCTCCAGTTGCAGCACCACTGGCGTATATGATGTTGATGTAGCCTTGCCACTTTCCCCTCTCACGTAAGGTGACAATATCGGATAGGAGAATTGACACGAGCGCAGTCATCCCTCCTCCACCGATTCCAGCTAGAGCCCGGGCGGCTATCAATTCGTTAATATCCCGAGCAAGACCACAACACAAGCAACCAATGCCGAATACTGTGTATGCGAAGATGAGGCAAGCTTTGCGTCCGAAGATATCCGAGAGCTTGCCATACAAGGGCTGAAACGAGGTCAAGGTCAGCATGTACCTATACTCCATGTGAGTTCTCAATACTGCTTGACGAGCATGATTCACCTACGCTGTTGCTATCCATGACGTCTTATTCAATGCCTTCAAATCGGTGCCAATCAGTCCATAGGAAGAGACGATTACTGTCTGATCAGCTGCAGCGAGGAAAACCTGGGATATTGATCAGCTTGCGGCACGAGTGCTCCCAACAGGCAGGGAAAGTGGTATTATAGATACTAGCACAGTCATCAGAACGCTCCGATGTGCATCCCACTACAACGCCACGTTTTCAGCCTTGCTGAGAGAAATGTTTATATAGGAATCATACCCCGATTGCAACAGCTGGAATGATGTACTTCAGACGTTTCCGTACTTCTGGCAGCCCCTGATGCTGTTGTGACTTCTGAACTTCATAACCCGACTGGTTCTCGACATCTCTGGTGTGAGGGCTGTAGGATTCTGCATTAGCTGTGTTACGTACTACAGATTGAGACGTTTCAGTGGTAATGCCGACCCTGCAGTCGAGAACATTGGGGTTGATGGTTTGGGACGAATCCTTGGACAAGAGTGGGGAGGTTTCTGTAGAGTGGCCATCTGACATGATGGATTTTGGAGGCATTGTTTGACACGTTTTAATCGTTCCATGCGAGCTCCTAATCGACGAGGTTCAATCACAATGTTGCTGCAATGGCGAATTTGAAGAGTGTCCAGTCCCACGCTGTTGGAGGTGGGCATACTGCGATTAATAACAAATTAGAAAAGTGGACTTATCGTGATTCGTGATATATGGCGCCGGCTCCGCAGTTGAAAGGCGAAAACCCGATTTTACGGAGATGCAATCGATTGCAATTTCTGATAAAAGATTAAGTGGCCGTCTTGAGATGAAAATTCAGTCGAGTTTTGCAAATAGCATTTTATGGCAGCCATGGATGGATCCATCTCTAGCTTGTTACGAACGGCATGGATGATGCCCCACGCAAACCCCACCAATTATTCACGGCCTCTTCACTAAGATGGAAAATGTCACTCTATGTGAGGCATACTACATTTGTGCCTTTGGAGTCGGTACGAGCCTGACTGGATGCATCATCTAAGTATCTTTGATGTCTTGATCTTCTGCACGTGTTGCCAATGGGACATCGTCAAATTCCCTTTTCATGAACATTCGCATGGCGTCAAGACCTGCCTGAAGAGCCTCGGTGCGCTGTACATAGCCGATTCTGACATAGCCAGCGAACTCTGGTCCAAAGCATACGTCCCCTGGTAATACCAAGACTCCTGATTTCTCCATGAGCCGTTTGGACAATTCCGCTGAATCGACAGGTTGACCGTCTCTACAGAATTTCACGAACGCCGTGGTGCCTGCTACAGGCTTTACCCAAGAACACTCATCGTCATGTTTGAGGATGAATCGATCCAAAATTTCCAAATTCTTCTTCGCTAGCTGGATGTTTCGTCCGAGCAGGCTGTGGACAGTATCTCGATCTAGCGCAAAAGCTGCAACTTGATCATCCAGTTTACTGACTGATATCGTCGTGTAATGTCGCATCGCAGCACATTTCTCGATGATTGCCTCGTCTCGGGACGCAATCCACCCAACGCGAATACCAGCCAGCGAGTACGCTTTCGATAATGATCCCGTGACTGCGGTTTTGCGATACAGGGACAGCATCGACGACGGAAACTCTGAATCCACTGGCGTGATGCCATGAAAAACTGGCCTATACACCTCATCGGACAAGATTGTAATATCACCTGCGCTCGCCACTTCGATGATTTGGTCGAGCAGTGATCTCTTTAATACTGATCCCGTCGGATTGTTAGGATTACTGGGTACAGTATGAGTGATGTATCATGCAAGATCTCGGTCACGGGGTACTCACTTCAAGATAATGAGTTTCGTGTTAGGTTTGACCAGCAATTTGAGTTGTTCGATATCTGGCACCCACTCGTTATCAGGGTCAGACTTCCATAGATCAACTTCAGCCCCAAGAGATGCTGGGACTGAATACAATTGCTGATACGTTGGGTAATGACAGATGACGTGATCTCCTGGGCCGACATGAGAGACGAGAAATAGATAGTTGGCAGCAATTGCTCCAGGAGTGATGATTATGCTATCTTTGGACACAGGCGAGCCAGCTTTTGAAGAATAGAGAGTTGCCAGGTTCGTTCGTAATTTGTCACTTCCGCGAATATCGCCGTAGTCCAGTTTGCCAGGCATTTCAAGCACTTGTTTTGATTTATTTTCACATAAATTCTGGAGTTCTTCCATGGACACAGACGCACAACATGTTTCGGCAATGTCATGTTTCGCATTTGGTTGGTGCAAGTCCATCCACTGGTTCATGTCAGTACATCTGAAAGCTCCCTAACAGCTAAAAGTGGTTCGATGATTCTGACTGGGCGTCCGGAAGACTGCATACCTCTTCTACTACGAAAGGCTCGATATGGACCATGTCGAAAGTGAATTAATGTTCGAGCAAATGTAGTTGGAGCAAGAACCGCAACCGCAAAGGTATTGAGGTGTCTTGTCAAGTCTCGAAGCACGCTTTATGAGTTCATTTCACGGCTATCCATGTTAACAATGCCGCGCAAAGGGCGTGGAACCTGCTCGTGTGGGGCTGCGGGTGGTGCTTGACGCCATGGATGTTAGCTTCAAACTTGAGAACATGCATTGCTGATCTTTCGATCATTTGCTGTGAACTCCGAGAGCTATATGCGTGGTTGTATGCAACGGACGGGTTGGCTATGTCTTACCCCATATGTAATTGATGGGAAGATCAAGTCGTGAAGGTCATCTGAAAAGATGCACCTGATACCTCCTGAACCATTTGCGCCCGTCGTTTGGACCGAGGAGTGCGCCCAGACCATCCTTGGCGACCATTGATGGATTTAGCCAAGGATGGCAGGCATTCCGTCTATTACCGTATCATTGTTGCGTTGCCTACTCTTCACGATCCTACTGCCCGCAGGCAATATCTTACTTACGTAGCTTCTTTCTTGTCATGAGGTGGAACTCCCTTGACTTTCGTTTCAGTTTTCTCTTCTCCTCCCATACTTCTCCGTCACTGAAACGTTGCTGATCTCCTCAGCCACCACCCGAGCCGCGCAGAGGTAGCAGCGCGTTGAGCGCCTGCAGCTACTCCCCCGAGCTTCCCCAGACTATCAGAGAGCTCTCAACTACACAACGTAGTCATATCGCTTGACCCAACCGCCGAGATGTATGGGTCACAATGGTCTACACTTGTGCTCCTCCCTGCACTTTTCGCCCGCACCGTTCGATCACAGCACATCCGCTCCAACTTTACCGCCAGAGACCTCATTCCGAACCCATTTGCCATCCGTGACGACCGTCCTGATAACTGTCCTCCATGCTTCAATTGCAACCTGGACGACTTCGTCTGCCACCAGTTCGCAGACTGTAGTCAGGCGAACGGACGATGTGTCTGTCCACCCGGATTTGGTGGTGAAGATTGCTCACAGCCAGCTTGCGGCTCTTTAGCGGATGGACCGGACAGAGCACCGAGACAAGGCGATCACTGCGGTTGTACAGAAGGCTGGGAAGGAATAAATTGCAATCTTTGCACCACGAACGATGCATGTAGAGCCTTTGTACCAACCGAAGATGGTGACGGCGCAGTGTGCTATAAAGATGGTGGTCTTGTCAAGGAGAATTATCAGCTGTGCGACATCACGAACAACAAGATTGTTGAAATGCTTAAAGAGAAGAAGCCTCAAGCTACTTTTTCTTGTAATGCAGAGACTGAAGAGTGTAACTTTCAATGTAAGTTGCCGCCCTCAACGTGCTAGTATGTAGGCAAGCTGACAATGCCGTAGTCTGGGTTGACGAACGAGAATCTTTTTACTGCGGTCTTGATTCCTGCACTGCTGCAAGAGACATGGAAGAAAATCGGAATATCACCAAATACAATTGCGATCACATTCAGTGCCGATGCATTCCGGGGCGCATGCTTTGCGGTGAAGAGAACTCGATCGACATCGGAGATTTCCTCCGAGAAGAGATCAAAGGACCTGCTGCATTTACATCCATCAAGACAGAAGGCGGCAGCGACAACGATGGCAGTGTCTTCACGGAGCCGGCTATGGACAACTTGATAGCCAGTATCTTCGGCGATAAGAGCATCTTCCTAAGTTGCCGTTCCTCCGAATGTATGTACAAGACAGAGGTTCCAGGCTATGAAAAGCCCGTCAAGAAGATCAATACTCCACTCATCGCTGGCGTAATCGCGGGCTGTGCACTATTTGTGGTGGCTGTCATACTAGGGGTCTGGTTCATTGCTCGACGTACTGCAAGCAGGAAAGGCGGTTACATCCATCTATCCGACGAAGACGAGGATGAAAGCGCGAAGCTTCTGGCTGATCATCAGCCTGCGGCGCTATATTTCGAAAATGTCGGCTACAACTTGAATGGCAAGCAGATCCTCTCTGGCGTTGCGGGAGCGGTCCACCCAGGAGAACTCATGGCAATTATGGGCGCTTCAGGGGCTGGTAAAACGACGTTCCTGGACATACTGGCTCGGAAGAACAAGCGAGGTTCTGTAGAGGGCCACTTCTACCTGAATGGAGAGAATGTCCTTGACGAGGAATTTCGCAATGTAATCGGATTTGTCGACCAAGAAGACACGCTTCTCCCAACTTTGACTGTACACGAGACCATATGGAATTCTGCCATGCTGCGTTTACCAAGGGAGATGAGCAGCATGTCCAAGGCTCAAAAGGTCGAAGATGTTGAGAAGCAGCTCGGGATTTACCACATCCGCCACCAGTTGATTGGTTCAGAAGAAGGCAGCAATCGTGGAATCTCAGGTGGTGAGAAACGCAGAGTCGGTATTGCCTGCGAGCTTGTGACCAGCCCAAGCATTCTCTTCCTGGACGAACCTACTAGTGGTCTAGATGCATACAACGCTTACAACGTCGTAGAATGCCTGGTCAGTCTCGTCAAAAACTACAACCGCACAGTGGTCTTTACCATTCACCAACCTCGCTCAAACATTGTTGCTTTGTTCGATCAGCTCGTCTTGCTCGCCAAAGGTAGGGCAGTTTACTCCGGGCCATTTAGCAGCTGTCAAGCTTATTTCGACTCTATTGGTTACCCATGTCCGCCTGGTTTTAATATCGCGGACTACCTGGTTGATCTGACGATGCATGCTGGTGCCGCGCATTCTTCAATCGATGAGAATAGCTCGCTCTTCGATAATGTGGGCCTTCGGACAAGTGCAAGTAGTGCCATTGGTGTCAAATCCGTTCCGAGCGTCTCAAACGTCAGCGTCGGTCCAGACACAATGGGAAGCCCGGGTTCAAGTTTGAGAGTGCAAGGCAAGCGCAGAACGTCCATTCGACAACAACAAGAGCGTGACTTATTTACTCGAAAAAAGAGCAATACTGGAGGTGATGGTACAACTACGCCTAAGACTGACGACGAAGTTATTCCCGATAATACCCAACAGTGGCTTCGTATGTCTCGTCAACAAGGTAATCCTCCACCACAGATCCTAGAGGATCCTGACCACCTTCTCCCTCCGGCAAATGGTGGCACGGGCACAAATTTGGATGCGTTGATCACCTCGTATGCAACATCCGATGTTGCCGTTTCTCTCCAGGACGACATTCGACGCGCTGTGACCTCTGCCAATGAAGCAAACGGTACTCCAAATGGTGATGGCCAAGTAAATGGCGCTTCCACAGGGAAAATTCGAGGCTATCGCAAAGTTGGTATACCCAGACAATTCGTCATTCTCTCGGTTCGAACGTGGCGCAATTTATATCGCAACCCAATGCTCATGCTTACTCATTACGCCATCGCTATCGTGCTAGGAGTGGCTATTGGCTATCTCTTCTTCGGACTGACAGATGATATCAAAGGCTTCCAGAATCGTCTAGGTCTCTTCTTCTTCATTCTAGCTCTCTTCGGTTTCAGTACCTTGACCAGCTTGACGGTCTTTGCCCCCGAGAGACTCATCTTCGTACGAGAGCGCGCGAAAGGATATTACCATCCCTTATCGTATTTCTTGGCCAAGACTGTATTTGACATCGTGCCTCTGCGGATTATTCCTCCTATCATCTTGGGTATCATCATATATCCGATGACTGGACTGCTTCCTCACTGGGGCAATTTCCTGAAATTCATGCTATTCCTCGTCCTATTCAATCTGGCGGCAGCTGGTATTTGTCTCTTCATCGGCATCTGCTGTAGGAATAGTGGAGTTGCAAATCTAATAGCACTCCTTACGATGCTCATATCGCTACTCTTTTCTGGTTTCCTCTTGAACCACGAGACTATCCCATTAACAGCGACGTGGCTGCAAACTGTAAGTTTTTTTGACTCATTGCTCGGTATTCTTGCTTACAACATCCGCAGTTGTCAATCTTTCACTACGCCTACGAAGGTCTCCTCGTCAACGAAGTGCGCACACTAAGTCTTGTCGACCACAAATACGGTCTTGACATCGAGGTCCCAGGTGCCTCTCTTTTGAGCTCCTTCGGCTTCCAGGTACTTGACCTATGGAAAGACGCCATTGGCCTCGGTGTTTTCGCAGCTGCTTTCATGGTACTCTCATACTTGGCCATGCACGTGCTGCTCATTGAGCGGCGCTGATGCTCTCAGCCTTTCATGTATCTACTTCTCCAGTTTCGCACTTGTGTGAGATCGCTATAACGGAGCGTTTTGGGCATATAGAAAGCTTGGACTGTAGGCTTGTATAGCTCGTTTTGCATTTCGATCGGCGTTTTGTTTGGCTTTAGATATATGATACAACCTCAGAGTACGCATAGAGACATACACACAATACTTCTCTCCACCTTCACGAAGTGATTCCCTGCCAATTGCCCCTCTCTACGAAGCCTTCTACCCCCTCATCACTCAACAATTCACTAGCTAACCTGCCCGTCACGACGCTTCGCTCAACTGCACTCCCCCGAACGTAGAATGGCTCGAATCCCCGCTTGTCGTCCTCCCTGACCCAGCTCTCTCCCCGAGATCCTGCCCGGACAAACCCAGAGTTACCCCTGTCAAGCCCGAGAAACCACCGTCGTTGGTGCACAGAGCCGATATCGTTCGTAGCACCGGGATATGCATTGCTAGTCGCAATTTGCGCATCTTCGACGTCAGACGCATTGGCAGCTGCCGCTGCCGCCACCGCCGCGTCGTCATTCTTCATACTTTCGCTATCAGTAACTCTAGAAGGTGCTGCAGCTGCAGCAGTAGCATCACGTGTTTCGGATTCTTCTTCCGACGTCGAGACTGGACTGCGCAGACGTGCGGTGGTCGACGGGGCATTCTTCCTGCGTCGTCGACGACGGCGAGTCGCGAGTGGGTTTGGTGTCTTGTGCGTGTGCGTGTGTGGCGCTGCGTTCGCGGACGGCAGACGCATGTAGATTGTGTAGTTTGCGGGCAGGCGTGTGCCGTGGAGACGCAGACGGATGTGTCTCTGTATGTGGGTAACGTGGTTAAGTTTGTTCAGGGGCTAATTATAAAGGGCTGCGAGTGTAATCACGGGTACTGTATATCTCGAGAGTGACCAGGGGGGGGGGAAGGTGGGGATGGAACAGACGTACATCTCGAAATGCAGCGCGGAGTTTCGTGGTTTCTGATGGACACGAGGGGTTTGGTGAAGGACTGTCATCGTCGTCGTCGTCGTCGTCGTCTGTGGCCACTGGGGCGGCGTGGCGCGGGAGGACTTCGTACTCGCCCGTGTCCCAGATGAGCAGGGAGCCGGTGGCATGGGAGGCGGATTCGATGAGGTGGTTCTGTTTGTATTGTCAAGCACGAGCGAAGTGAGGTAGAGATATCATGGACGTCGTCGGATGGCGGAGAAGATACGTACCCATACGCAATGCACCCTCGTCTCTATCGCCATTCGATTCAACCGTTTCGAATTCGGATCTCCGGGCAAACCATACGGCACTGCCCAACTCACACTACTCGTGGCTGAGACCTGGAGACGCAGATCATCTAATTATTGTGCATCAGCACTGTACTACGTCTACGTTGTTTTCTTTTCTCTCTCGCAGCGTGATGTTTATTACAGCACTACATGTGACAATGCCAACGTACAGTGGACACCCGCAACTGGATGTGAATGCTGATGCACTACAAAGTGCCTCCCATGCTCATGTTGATTTCGCTTGAACAATGCTCCATAGTCATCAATGGATAGAGCGGTAGGTGGGCGACACAGCGGCGTCAGTCTCGCGCAAAAGTACTCGAGGTGATTGCCAATGGTTGCAGAGCCAGCTTCAACAGCTGCAGGTGTTAGGATGAGAGCTGAGCGTCTTGATCTTTTTGTAAGGCGCGTCGTTGTTGGTGGTGAGATGGAGCGCTTGAGCGACGAAAGAAGATCAAGGTCAGACATGATTGGATGTGAGTGGTGACTTTGGGAAGTGTCTATAAAGTGGACGACTGTGGCAATGGTTCTAGAATGGGGATAGCGTACTGGTTGATCATCGTTCATTTCCTGAAAATATCTCAACATGAAGCCTTTCTCTCCCATACAGGTGTCTCGACTGAATACGTCTATGGGAACAACTATAAAATATTGTAATTACTGTGAAGCAGAACTATTCAACCAAGTGACCCTAATCAAGTATTACTTGGCATGGTCCAGGTTTGATTGTTCAACGCAGCCTGTATATTGATTAGCCTTTGCGTGCCACGTGCTATGAGTGAGAGTATGAATGTGCAACCCCGCAGTGCTGGCGTAAGCTTCTGAGACAAAAAGCCGCACCGTCTGCAAGCACATAATAGGACTTTTCATGAAATTTTGAGGATTTCAATCTGACTATTATTTTCTCTCTGGTGAATGACTGATCTATCTATCAGATATCATCTAGCCTAGGTCTAAAGCTCTTAGCATTTCGTTGGGCTGAGCAGTATCGCCTCTATTCAATAAGAAAACGCCCAGACAACAAAAGTTACGGCGTTTTTCGCGCGTCGTACGGCCTGTACAAACGCCTATGGAGATACAAAGAACGTCGGATCCCCCCAAAGATCTTTGGGAATAGTGTTACGTATACGTCATGATTAGGCAGTGCCACTAGGAAGCTGATGGCGACAACTTCAGGGGTGAGGGTCCGTGTCCGTTGTGGTTGCGGTAAAACAGTACGCCCTGACCTTCTCCTTTCGCGCCCTCGCTGGGCTCGACGAACTGGCACATGCGAGCGGATCTCCACATGCTCTTCAAGAAACCAATGGGACCCCCTCTTGTGTCAGAGCGGTAATGCACGCCCATGACTGGCTTGATAGCCTCGGTGGCTTCATCGGCGTGGTAGAAGGGGATGGTAGAAACGTAGTGATGTAAGACGTGGGTCTCAATGATCCCGTGCAGAAGTTGTCGTCCGATGAAACCGAACTCCCGATCAATGGTTGCAGCAGCACCCCGAGCAAACGTCCAGACGCTGGATTCGTAGTGAGGCAGGGAGGGATCAGTGTGCTGGAGGTAAGTAATTGCAACTGGGAAATGGTCAGTTCTGTCGTCTCTAGAGGTGAGACGTGGTTACTTACCGAGCCAGTGGTTAACCCATAGATAGGGGATAATGTACCAAACGAGGAGATTGGTGAAACCATACTTGCTACCGACAAAGTATAGAGCACTCATGGTAATCGCAAGACCGAGGTCACTCAGGAGGATCAGATGCTCATCCTTGCGCTCGTACAGAGGGCTGGAAGGCTGAAAGTGGTTCACACCTCCTCCAAAACCATTCTTCTTGCCCTTACCCTTACCCTCGGGTTGCTTCTCGTGGTAATTGTGACCGGTAACATTCATGAGGATGTAAAGGGGCCATCCGGCGAGCTGCTGACCGATCATATGCAGAGCTGTGAAGATAGGAGTCTCCTCGGTCAGCTCATGAATCTCATGAACGAGCTTTCCAACCCTCGAGGCATATACCTCTCTAGTCTTGGGCACGAAAACCATATCACGTTCAATGTTACCAGTAGCCTTATGATGTTTGCCGTGGGAGATCTTCCATGAGAAATATGGAACAAGAAGGGCTGAGTGACAGATCCACCCAACAGTGTCGTTCAGAGTCTTGGAGGGAGAGAATGACTGGTGGCCACACTCGTGAGCGAGAACCCACAGACCAGTACCGAACAGCCCTTGCACAAAGGTATAGAAGGCCCACAGAGCAGCGCGGATGGGGGTCGAGGGGATGTTATCGGGAGTAACAAATCGATTGAAGAGGTAGAAAGTCACAGCAAGTGAGACAATATCGCGAGCCACATAGTAAAGTCCAGTGGCAGCAGAACGCTCGAAGCAGTGAGCTGGGATAGCATCACGAATCTGCTTTATGGTGAAATCTGGAATCTGGAACTCATTGCCGTAGGTGTCGATCAATTGGCCATGTTGATTCTTGAGTTCAGTCTCTGAGCCGAGAGAGGACAACGAAGTCGACGAGGCCGAGTGGTTTGGCGAATCCGTAGGGGAGACACCGGCGGAGGTCACGGTGGACTCTGTCTCGGAAGTGATAGTACGTCTCATAGCCGGGATTTGGGCTCGAGCTGTAGTTGTTGCCATCGTGAAGGCGTGTCGGTGGAGAGAGTTCAGAAGTGGGTGGACTGAGAACGCGAGGAATGTTGAGAAATCGGAGGTTCTGTTGAGGTTTGCCAGCCGATGCAGAAGTCGACGAGCAAGGCAGACAAGACAAGGAGATATTAAGAGAGACAAGAGGAAGGCGGTAAAAGGAGATAATTAGGACAATTGTGGAGGGGAGAGTCTTAATATAAGAGCAACGAGCTGATCTCTGCTGGGCCTAAAAAGATTTGAAGACAGTTGGTGTTCTTTGTTTCTCCCTAGCGGCGGGTACACTGCAAGGAGGCGCTGAATGCTGGGTGGTGGTGTGGTGTGGTGTGCGCGCAGGGCAGCCGAGGCGGTCGGGCTAATTACTGATTGGCGGAGAAGGCAGCAAGACTTTCCAGGGGCCGTGGGGCTGCAGAGGCCCAAGAGCTGTGCTCAGACACGTTACAAAACCCCCCGCCTCTCCAGAGGTGGAATGTTTATATGGAATTATACGGACTTTAATCTTCAACACGGACTTGTGCCTACAGCTTTGAAGCTCACATCCAGCTGGAGATGATGACAATGGTGCTTCTTGCGACGGGACGTGTATGAATCGTTCTTTCCAAGCCCCATGAGGCAGCATCTCTGACATATGGGTCACTCGCTATTCGGCTGAGCATGTGTAGCGTCCTAGGAAGACTTGTGGGCAGACAAGATGGTGGCCACACGCATCTACCGCATCACGCATCCACCTTACTACTCCTACATGCCACCCGGTTGTCTAGGTCTGAAGATCGTAGTCGCCACTGTTCTTGGCGAATTGGACCTGGCCCTGGCCTTGACACCTTGACTCCCACAGCTTGACCGCTCCATGACCGCTTCATGGTATTCCCACAATTTGGCTCGCGGCATTTACTTGCGGGTCCCGTTACGATTCTGGCTATGTCATTACTAAGGCAGCCTATCGATACGACTCCGTCCACTTATCCTCCGATTGCCATAGTTTGCGAGGAAGCAAAAGAAGCTGAGGGTCAAGATCAAAATGAGCTAGCTACGCCCACGATGTTCAAGCGTGTCAGATGCAGTGATCGGCATGGCTTTTGCTGCAGGGTCTGATGTATCAGGGTCCGTCTGTTGGGAATGTCTTCTTTTGTTGAGATGGCCATGGGCCCACACAGAAGAGGTCTCGTTTCAGCGCTCCTGGAGGCTATAGAGGTCCCAAATAGTTATTATGCGGACTTCTTTTGAACAATAAGGAGTACTCGACCCCCATACGACAAACTACCTGTTTGTGCTGGTCATTAGCAGAAATCAATGATGCTGTTGCCCTGGCACATTTGTAAGTCGTAGGGAAGTCTTCTCATGATTAACAGAAGCCACGTGAAAGATGTCGAGAAAAGCGAAATGTTCGGACAATCACATGGAGACTCGGGGAAAAGTTTTGCTCACGGTCTATTAAGGGTTGTACTATCTCCCTAGGCTCTTCAACAGAATGAGGTTTAGCTCATGAGGACTAAAATGGAATTGGTAAATGAATAATCCCTGAAATCTTCGAAAAGTAGAATAAAATAACATATAGAGACAACAATTACTAGATGGCAGGCTTGGTAGTAGACTGAACGTTTAAGGATAAGGCTAGCTATTACATGGGATATAAACTATCACATGAGATATAGTTATTAGTAAGAGAGGGGATGTTTGATGTAGTTGTAAGCTCGCATCACGGTATCACGTGATTGGAAATCCAGACTCTAAATAGATCGTAATTTACTTCAGAGCCAGTATAATCCTAGATATTGTTGTTGCCTTACACTTTCCATTGCTACAAGACATAATGGCGGAGCATCAACTTCTATAAGTCCGTGTAACGCTTACATAATATCATAAGCGGGGCTTGGCGATTCGACCTCAAGGAACACGAACCTTCCAGCCTAAAGATTCTGTATGTATCGACACCACTGACTTCAGAACACTACTACATGTAGGACACCTCTGTAGGTATGCACTATTCCATTACTGACTCATTCTTCCTTCACATGATGAACTTCTTATTGGAGCTGTCCTATAGCACTTCGTGTTACTGAGGACATAACCTTACCGTATACGCAAAAAACTGAACAGAAGCTCACGCGCCTCCACACATCTCGAATTCTCAGCACGTTGAACCTTGCTAATTTGTAACTGTAGCATGAGATAGATATATACACTTCAAGTTTCATCACTACTATTGCTTCCATATCTACACGTGCGAGCTTTGTCGCGGGGGCATCCGAGCCTTCTCTTCCCGCCGTTCATTCCTCAAATATTTTCCCCCTTCACAACCCTCCAATGACGGTCGATCCCAGGCGAGCACGTCAAAATGCTACGACACCTTCATCAACACCAGTCCCTCCACCTCCACCACCTCCTCCGCCTCCAGAATCTGTCCCCGATAGCACAAGCATGAACCTAGACGGTGCCACTGGTGACATCCCTCGCTCAACCACACCTACGGACGACCCTCCGATACCGAAGCCTCCCGACTTCTCTCTCAAGTTCTGCACTGTATGCGCAAGTAATCAGAATCGGTACGTGTCTACCTCAACATCATATGGAAACGGAAATACTGACCCACCACAACAGCTCTATGGAAGCCCACCACGTCCTGACGAAGCCACCTACAACACTCCCGGTCATCTCCTTTGGCACCGGTTCTCAAGTCCGTCTCCCCGGGCCCTCAATCAGCCAGCCCAACGTCTACCACTTCAACGGTCCCACCTACGACTCCATCTACCGCGAACTCTCATCCAAAGACACACGCTTGTACACCGCCAATGGCCTTCTGCCCATGCTGGCACGCAATCGGGCCGTCAAGCGCTGCCCAGAGCGCTGGCAAGACTGGCAACCAGGTGTGCCGCGCCTCACACATACAGCCGACCGAGGCGCCGCAGGCTGCGAGGGCGGAGTCGTCGATGTGGTCATTACGTGCGAGGAACGGTGTTGGGATGCTGTCGTCGATGATCTGCTCAACAGGGGCAGTCCGCTGAATAGGCCTGTTCATGTGTTTAATGTTGACATCAAGGACAACCATGAAGAGGCGCTGGTGGGCGGACGTGCCATTCTCGACCTGGCCACGGTGCTCAACAAAGCGGCGGCAGAGGAGAGGGATAGGTATGGGAGCGGGGGCTGGGAGGACGGTGCCGGGGACGCGAGAGCAGGTTTTGATGAGCGCGTGCCAGATCTATTAGCTGCGTGGCAGGAACGATGGCCGAATTTACCGGCGACGTGGACACTGGCGTGGTTTTAAGGGAATGTTACTTTTCCGTCTTCGGGTTCTCTCTATATATGCATAGCGGTGGCGTTGGGGTTTCATGACACGTCATGATATGTAAGGCATACGTAGAGCACTCATGCTGGGCCAGACTGATGGAAAGTCAATACGTATATACCAACACTTGCTTGTTCGATGAATTTGAATGAAGAGCCGAGAAACGTAACATATGCAGATCTATCTCGTGTAGAGTCACTCCCGTAGATGCATCTGCCTAGAGCTTCATTCACCAGTTTGACAGAGCAGATCGCAGAGCGTTGTAAGTAGTTATTTTCGATGGACACGAAGTCCTGGCTCGATGTATGTACCTTTTACGCTTTACGCAGCACATGATTCATTGGGGGCTGGTGATGCAAGAAGAAGAGGAGAGGAGTGCAGGACGTGGAACGAATGACTGAATCATCAACATGGAGCTTGAGAATACTTCCCAACGTTGATATATTTGTGTCAGGCCATGTTGTTCACTGGATAAGGCAACTCTACTTGCCCGTATATGACGAGGTACGAGGTCGTTGTGAGTCAATAGAGTGAGCCCCGATATGTCGCGGACGTTGGGGGCTTCACAACATGAAACGAAATGTGTCCTACTTCTCAGCGATCAGGATTTGATGAATCGGTAGTAGGCACGTAATAGAATTTTGGTGACCTTTTTTTGTAATACAAGTCGGGCTTGTCATCTGATGAGACATACTCTAGCTCATCGACCGTCTCCCAAACAAACCACGAAGTGGTTTCTTATTTCTTGTCCATCCGTGTCTAAATACCCAGGATACATGACAGGTCTGGCTCTCAAAGACGAAACGTCCACGCACTACAGCATGACAATCCCCACGCCACCCATGAACTTGTCCGAGGCGCTGTTCTGCGCATCGACACCACCAAGCAACGGCGCTGTGCGGTAGTTGAAGAGGTAGTAGTGCAATTGCCCATCTCCCGGGCCGAACTTCTGTTGTTCGAGGAACAAGGGGTTGTGTAGAAGTGTGAGTGCATTGAAGACGTCAAATTTTGCCTGCGTACAATGTCAGTTGGTAGGTCCAAGTATCATTGTGAGCGATAATACTTACATTACGAGCCAGAATCAGGGCATCGTTCATCAACTCGTTTAGTCGAGTCTTTAGCGCATCTTGGTCATTTCCAAACGCTGTTTCAGTGGCGTAGTAGTACAAATATGCTGCTCTAACGACCTTGTGCTTTGAACTTGCGATGACTGTGCTTTCTAGGCAGTAGAAACTGAAGAAATCTGTGATCTTGCCAGAAGTATCTTCGACGACGTAGGCCCAGATAACGCGTTCGTCATCCGCCTTGGGTTTGTGTAAGAACCAATGTTCGACCTCGTCACGGGTGAACATGGGCACAAAGTCGAATTTATCAAGGTACCGACGTAATAGACTGAGCACTGCATCAATGTCCTTTGTTTCCATGGGCCGGGCGCCAGCGGTCGATGTCTTTGATGGCAGTCTATATTTTGCAACCTGCCGGGTCACTGTGGATCCTGGAGGCATTGGAGAAAAGCCGACTTCATACAGCTTCTCCCAGTTTAGACTGCGGTGGAAATATCTGCAGGTAGATACTGGCTTGGGAAGGAGTACGCCGGCCGTGTATAGGCCCTGGAAAGTATTTTCCAGATACGACCGGCGAGTGATTTCCTTTATGAGCACGGGAGCCAGGCGCTTCCCACGGAGCTTTTTGTGGATGCAAAGGAAATTGATCTCCGAGGTATTCACTAGATTTTGACGGACTCGGATCTCGACGGGTATAGCAGATATGAAGGCGACCAGCTTTCGAGACGTTGTCGCGCGGACACCAACATGCCAATCTTTTCGCCAACCAGGTGCCCTGAGAGCCCAATCAAAGAAAGAACTGGAGTAGTGGAACCTGAACATGGCCTCGTCATCCTCTACGTAGTGGTTCGACAAGAGATCGTACACCTCTTCCAGCTCTTTCTCATCCTCAAGGTTCATGGTGACCCACTCAAAGCCAGGATACATCTGCGATGGTTCTTTCTCTATAGTGTTTGGGTCAATGACCTTGATTGGGCCTTCCTCTTGTATTTTCTCCTCGTATCCCGGTACTGGCTGTGTCATCCAAAACTTGTGGCTACCAGTGTCTTTCTTGTTCTTTCCTTGAGGCGCCAGCCCGGTAAGAATCTCAGAGAGATCTAACCGTTTCAGCATATCATTAAGTTGTTCCTTGCTCATGCCTTTTGTTCTAGCTTCGACCTCCGATTTCAAGGCAGGGTTCTGGTCGAGTAGCTGGTGAAGCTGATCGGTGCTCAGCTTTTCGTCTTGCTGTCCCGTCAGAGCTGCTTTGATCTTGCTTCTCTTAGATCGCTTCTTTTTCTTTTTCTTTCCGCCAGTTGCGGCACTCTCGGTGTTGGGGCCATCTGCAGCTTCCTCATCTTCGTCCTCTTCTGAGCTCCCGTCAACGTCATGGTCGTGTGATTCCTGCTTTACTTCGGCATCAACATCTGCCACAGCCTCTTTCGAGGTGGCCTCTTTGGTAAGCTTTGATTCCTCACTCATCGTCGTGTCTGGGGTATTGAGATGTGCGCCTACGCGTGGACAAGGTTGTGGCAATCCGGGCGTTCGTGGGCGTTATTCACTGGGTTGGTTGCATCTCGGCGAGGCGGGGTTTCAAGAAGGTGGGGCAGCTCCGCGCACACCCAACGCCCAAGGTAGGTACGAGGCTCAGCTAAGAAAGTCGTGGCCGCTTTTTACTTAGACTATCTAGGCCTACATTAGAGTAATAGTATTTAATATAGTACCTACAAAGATTATATTACTTATTAAAGTATATATAAATCCAATCTATTAATAGTATTAGATGAAAGGCTAGCTATAATACTTAGATACTTTATATGCTATAGCTTATAGTGGTAAAAAGTGCGGCCATGACTTATTTACCCGAGCCTCGGTAGGTAGGTACGGTACTATATCGAGATGTACAGTTACCGTTCATAAGTTCCCCAGGATGCGCCGGAGCATGTGGGATTTCTATTAGGTTATCCAGGGAGCGACGTCAGTTACATGATCCTAAGTAAGGCAGTTTCTATAAATACGGCGCTCTAGTGAAAGTAGCCTGAACTAATTATCCTTTAATCTAACCAACGAGCACTCTTTACTTGAACTATATAACATATTTCTTGACGACGCTGGCCTCTCTTACAAACTTGACGTAGTCGGGAGGATCAATGCGAAAAATATGTAGATGACGCATTGAAAATGGACATAGGAACCCATTAAGAGTGCCATTCTTGCACATCATAATGCATATTCTGAATGTGTGACATCAACTTGTCCTTCCTGCGGAAAGCTTTTCCCTTTCCTCTGATACTGCGTCGACAGCTCGGAACATGACACCAAAAGGTTGGTTTGTCTATGGCATGATGTGTCGTGTAATGTCGCCTCAAATCAGCCTGGCGAGTGAAGACTTTACCTCCGCATCCTTCGTCATCACACGTGAATGTGCCATTATGGAGTACAGATCCAATCTTAGTGATGATGTCTTTTATGTTGGATGTCTCGACGGCGAAGCCAGTAATTCGATCCTGACCAGGTTTTGTGTACATCATGTCAGGTGACAAGGGACGCGTGAAGAGCTGCGAGGCGCAATGAGGCTCGTTGATATCGGTATGTCTAACGTCCCGTTCCACGGTCGAGTCGCTCTGTGTGATTATGGGAGGCAGACGTGTGGAAGACAAGGGATTATATAACATGTAAGTAAGGTTTTATCATCGTGATCGTTGTTGATGCTGGCTTGATTACGCACCCATTTGCTGTCCATTCAGACATGCTCGAGGAGTAGCTCATTCCAAGTCCAGTGTATGGCCATACGAACTCATAGATGTTGGCTGAGTCTATTTCCCAGGTCGTAGTGGCTGGGCAGGGCCCGCTGTTAGTATAGAGATCAGGTTGAGAGTAAGAAACATGCTCTATCATGGCAGCTTGCCCTTTGACTGGGTCAACAGTATGTACTGTATTCTCGAGTTTGGTCTGTTGACATGCTAAAAATGCATCAATTAGGCAACCGATATATCGCAATAGACGGAGACATACCTCCATTAGTACTTGCACGACCTTGGCTAGATTGTTTGTCTGATGGATCGAAGAAGCCAAGATCAATATGGCTTGAGCCTGGGCCGACTTTGTCATTGATATCTCATACTCATCATGTACTGTAAACAAGCCTTACTTTCAACGTCTTTGCTGGATGTAGGATCATTCCTACTTGGGGTAGAGGAGGTAGGGTAGCCATATAGAGACTGCGAGGGGTGACAGGACATGTTTAAATATACAAAGTAGGAAGGCTACAAGGAGGGAGACAAGGATTGAGTGTGGCCTTATATACTTTGCGGCTTGCCTCAGGTGAAATAGACATTCGACCTTGGTGGCGCGCTGGAAATACAGATACTTATACATGGGCCAGTGACTTCTCTGAACACTAAACCAGGGAGACGTTTTGTTTCCGTGTTGTGTCTCTGGATCCTCTTCAAGCTACGTAGCTGCGTCTCAGTACAACTCCGCTGCTACAGTAGGCAAGAGGGCAAAGTGAAGTAGACCCTACTCTCCACCATCAGGGGTTGTTATTCGTTGTAATTCGTCATTCCGCAGAAGAGCAATGCATGGCCGACACCTCAGGGCGATTGCTTGTTCGTGATTCGCTATGCTGCAAACGACCGGTTCAGACCGTACTTCACCAAGGCGCGACACGTGCCAAGAGTTGCGCTGAAAAAGTTACGGACGGATAGCTGCGGGGCCAGCAAGATACGAATCCACATGAGAAATGTGAGCTGACGCATATACCCAGTACATTCAGAGGCTTATCAGCAAGTCCGCCACAGAAAGAACAGAAGGATACTTCGACACGTTCTCGCTAGACCTGATACATCTGCCAAATCCAAGTCTGTGAAAACCCGTGGATAGGAGTTTTACCCCATATCCAATCATATTGGTCGCCTCCTTCAGGCACGGCTGCTTTCAAGCAGGCACAGTACACAGACGGACAAGTCGTAGATCTGCACAGCCATGCTATCCACCCGCTCAGTCTATCTGTAGCACTACCTCATAACACACAATATGAAGTGGCATTAGCTGGTGCTAGTCAGCCAGTGCCAGGAACTCATGTTGAGCATGCAGTGTCCATGGACCCGCCTGCTTTGCCGCGAAAGCGCAAGGCGCCGACCCTTCGCGCGGACGACTGGGAGTCGTATAAGGAACGCATTCTCGACTTGTATGTTGAGCAGAAGTTGCCCTTAAAAACGTTTAGGCAGAAAATTGAGGCGGAATATGGTTTCAAAGCTGAGTATGTCGCTCCTTCCCGTGCGAAGTATTATAGGCTCTATAGAGGCTGCTAATACAAATATGGATATAGGTCACGGCAGTACCGAACGCGAATCAGTCAGTGGGGTAAGGACAAGAATATCAAGCCAGAAGAGATGGAAGCGATCGTGCGAAAGCGTCAGAAGAGGAAGCTTATCGAGACCAACAAGGGTCAGCTTAAATTTGAGGTGCGAGGCAGCGAAGTTGAGCCGCAGATGATTGAGCGGCGGATGAAGAGGCACGAGGTAGTGGACAGCTTCCTCTATGCGCCTAGTCCGGCAGCATGTAAGTCAGCATGAGACGGCTACTGGGTTTTCTTACTGATGAAGCAAAGCCACGCCGTCTGCTGTAGGATGCCATACGATTTCTGAGCGAGGATCTCCTGCGCCGAACTCTGTGTATTCGCCGACCGCTTCGGTCTGGTCGCCTGGAGGCATATATCTAGCGGGCCAGAGTCCGCAGATAATATCTCCTCCTGTGTCAATCTCAAGCATTGTTCAGACTAGCAGTAGTGCCTTTACTGGAAAGAGCCCCAGTTTGGCATACCGATCACTCGTGGACGTCCACGGCAACTTCCTGCCTACCTCTGGCGTTTTTGAGGCCGGGGTGCACGTTGGTCGACAATCGCGATATAGAGAAGATGAAGAATATCGTCTGCAAGATCAGATCCATATGGTGGAAAGCACGTCCGGGACCAATTCTTTAGAGAGATTGAGTATACTGTGCAGACTCGGAAATGCGCTCATATGTCAAAGGTGTTATAGAGCAGCCGAGGAGACTGCCCGCAAGCTGTTAGAGGGTTGTGAAAGCCAGGAAAACAATAGTGACAAAGACGAGAGGAAGTCGAGGCTTTAGATTTTTTAGGTGAAATACTAACCTATCAAGGTATGTATGACGAGGCGAATAGACTATTACGGCGAGCACTACAAGGCAGAGAGAAGTTGCTTGGACACGATCATCCCGACACGCTCACTAGCGTTGATAGCCTTGGGTGGGTATTAGAGCGCCAGGAGAGGTACGATGAGGCCGAAGCGCTACTTCGACGAGCGTTAGATGGGAGAGAGAAGTCGCTTGGACACGATCATCCCGCCACGCTTTATAGCGTATACCATCTCGCATTCCTCTTCCATTAACAGCGCCTTTATAAGACATCTCTAGAACTCTACGAGCGAGCCTGCGTTGGATACCAGCTTAAACTTGGTGCGTTACATCCTGATACACTTGCATGTCAAAAGGATCGGGAGTCTGCTATGGAGGGCATGCGAATAAAATAAGCATTCTTAGATCGTTAAATATTTAGAGAGCTGCACGAAGTAATAGTAGGTACCTAGAGGTACTCGATGACACTACGCCACAATGGCAAGTTCGAGCCCGGATCGTGGCCGACCCGTTCCTGCATATACCTTGCTCCGCGTAGGAGAGTTCAGATGATATTATCAGGGCTTTAATTACGTGTAGCGTAGACATCAAGATCGGTGGAAAATGTGGCCTGGTATCGAGCTGAGAGTCATGTGACTATCGGTAATCTCCGATTGGTGGGTATCTTATAGGTATACTTTATAATCGTTACGTATACTTATTTTAGAGGTCTATATATATCTATTTCTTATAATATCTATATCTCTTCTAATTTATCTATAAGAAGATAGAATCTTATAATTCTTTACCTTATATATAAGGTAGTAAAAGATTATATATTTTTAGAGCTAATTATAAAGTCTATACATAATTAGGGACGTGGGTGTAACATAATCATATGGAGTTTTTATAGTAATTTAGAACGAGATGCTCAAAAACGGCATGACCTCGGGAACTTATGAACTAGTACTGTACTGTTGAGAATCAGACTTGGAAGAGCACCTCTTGATTACTCGTTTCCGAATAATAGAACGATACATCCAACTTGAATGAGGTAACCACTCAGAAACAATGTATATGTCTGTATCTTCCAAACATCTCTCACATGAGACCACATTGAACACGCCCCCAACAATATTCACATAATAATTATGGCACCCCAAAGGCTATGCCTCGCCCTTTCATTTACGCGTTAATACCTCGTGACTACCCAAACTGCGCCAGATATCTCAATCGCTTCAACTGGAATCTTATCTTGAGACAACAACTTGACTGTTTCTCATAAATGTTTCTTCCTTAGCTACTGTGACGATGCGTTCGCTCTGGCGTCCTGTGAAACATTGGTTACGCGAATTGACGGTAAACGCTCGATATCAGGCAGCTGCGGTGCATTTCTTCCAGAGATATGACGTTGGCTTATATTCGGAAATGGTGGAGGTCTTGAGCTCACAGGGCTCTCGTACGGAGGTGCATCCTCTATTGCCAAGTCATCATAGACTGGAGGATCGATTTGTGGGATGGACTGAACTCCCATATCGCTGCCAGGAGTCATGTCGTATGCCGAGTGGCTAGCTGAAGGCGTGTCGCTATGACGCAATGAGATGATCTCGAAGTCTGTATTGCCACTTGTGCGACTTATCGTTCGTTGTGTAGTCATATCCTCGTCAGAAGCATTCGTTGACAAGGATAGCACTGACGAGCCTGAGCGACCTCTTGTATGTCCCATATCGGTCGATAGTGTTCTGTGGCTCTCAGCCATCGAAGCAGCCGAATCCAGAAGAGGTCGTCGGTCAGACTCACTGGAGTTCGCGCGTATACGAGTGCCGTCATGTGTCGCGAGGCCAACATTACGGTAATCCACGGATGATACCCGCCTCTCACGATTGACAAGCTGATGTTCCGCGATAAGCTGCGCAGAAAGGCTCTCCGAAGCTGCGCTCTCTGCGCGTCGACGTATTTCTGCAACGGCCTGCATGTCACCCCTAGCCCTAGCCTCACGGCGGAGCCTCCGTCGTTCTTCTCTCTCCGCAGCTTCAGCCCTTCGAGCGACTCGTATCTGATATAGAGAGTTCATCTCCTCTTCTCTGCGGGCCTCCTCCTCCTCGTCGGCTTCTGGATACTCGATGACGACATCTATCCCCGCACGCTCTCCCTCCCTTCCTAAAATCCGTTCATTCTCCCGTGCGGCAAGCGAGTATGCAGGAAGGGTCATAACACTCCTAACTGATGTATTTCGATCCACGCCGCCTTCCGCAGGGACGTTTGGGTTTGCTGCCGAAGCGGCCATTTCTGTGTCCGCATCGCGAGTAGCATTGATGCTTGCCTGACTGCGGTGTGCCGAAGGTGTTAATTCGTCTCCTTGCAAGCTCGAAGAGTATGCACCCCTATTAGACTTCTGCTGCCATGGCCAACGGCTCCATATGCCTCCTCTTCCTACTGATGTGGGGTTGCCTGCTGTTCCATTCGCTCTAGCTCGCGCGGCTCTTGTGAAGTAATGAAAGGTGATTGAGAGGACCAGAAGACCAATGACGAGAGCAGCAACCTAATCAAAGTGAGTCAAAAGGCGTGACTTTATTAGACAGTATTCGTAGGACTGGCTTACTATTATAAGAGTCGTCCTGCCCTTGTCGTCTGCCCTCTTCGCGAGAGAAACAGTGGTTCTTTCCAAGATTGGAAGCCTCATGGTGATACTAAGGCAAAAGAACTTTTCATGCGACGTACAAGAGAGGGTCTGCAGACTCTATGTACTTAAGCTCAAGATAGGTTGTTGATGAAGATCAGGCGCTTAGGATGGGGGGCCTGTCTGTCAGTGGGAGGACGAGAGCGCTTCAAAGCAAGAACGACTCGAGACCTAAATCGCTAAAGACTTGACATTATTGTTTATGAGTGACAACAGACTCTGCGACCCCTAGAGGTGAGAGTGGATTTGCAGGTGTACGGTGCAGCAATTGAGGCGGTGCCCGGTTTCTCAGCTATCGCGGCCGCCGCAACTCTACAGGGTTTAGCATCGCAAGACCCTGGTGTGGCGCAGGGCCTCCAGCTTTGCGATGCTCGGGCCCACTCTATGAGGCGTTTTCACTAAATCATTCTCGGGACCTGTGAAGAGTAATTGTTATGATACAGTGTCATGGGCACATTATCTGATATCCTTCAACTAAGCAGAAAGCATTGAGTAGCATTTTAAGTTTCGATTAGAGGTCTAATTGCTCAGTCTACTATACTGAGTTCAGATACCACACTTCAGTTGGCTTCTGTGATCTGATACCGTGCGATATAGTGATAATGGAGAGTATATAGTAATTAGCGACAGCGTCCAACTTGTCAAAGGAAGAGTCGGATCAAATTCGGAGGACTTGGCATCAAGTCCGCCTTGGAGAGTAACAATTGGTACCTCTCAATCTAGGTATATGTCCTGAGAACGCCGAGGAAAATGCATCTATGCTAGCATAGTTTGACAATCACTACCTTGGTGGTGCGACACTATTGGTTCCAGAAGCGGCATCCTTCAAAGCGTTTATAGTGGGAGTATGTGTACCTGTTGCTGGTGCAGGTGTTGGGGCTCTTGACGGCACTGCACTACGATTGTGGCTCATGTGAGCACGAACGAGATGTCCGGCAGAGAGCGCACCACAAAGAGACAGCTCTCCGGCGAGGACGGAGGCTGCGATTATCTTCGCAAGTTGGCGAGCGTTTTCGCCGGGTGCGTTCTGGATAGCCCCACGTACGCCGAGAAGGTCAAGCATAGCCGATTGCGGCTCCAGAACTGTACCGCCACCAATGGTACCTACTTCTATGGAGGGCATAGATACAGATATTTGCAGGTTGCCCTTGTAGCTATGTCACGTTAGCAATGTGAACAGATCGTGTATTCACAATGTGACTTACTTCTTCATGACAGTGATACAGTTGCTGCTCTCAACATTCTGGGCAGGATCCTGACCGGTGGCTAAGAAGATGGCAGTAACAATGTTTGCAGCGTGGGCATTGAAACCACCAATGCTGCCAGCCATGGCACTACCGATCAAGTTCTTGCTAGTGTTAAGCTCGACCATTGAATCCACAGTACACTTCAAGACACTCTTGACGACTTCAGCTGGAATGATGGCCTCTGCAACCACACTCTTGCCGCGACCGTTCACCCAGTTGATCGCAGCTGGCTTCTTATCGGTACAGTAGTTTCCGGAGAGTGATATAATGTTCATATCATTGAACCCACATTCAGTCGACATGGTCGCCAAAGCCTTTTCACAACCCTTGGAAATCATGTTCATGCCCATGGCATCTCCAGTAGTCGTCTTGAAACGAATGTAGCAGTATGTGCCTGCAAGGGCAGTTGTCATACTTTGTAGCCGAGCGAAGCTACTAGTCGAGTTAAAGGCATTCTTCATGGTCCGTTGTCCCTCGTCAGAGTCGAGCCAAACTTTGGCTTGGCCAGCACGAGCGAGAGTCTCGAAACCCACACATGGTCCACGAGTCATGCCATCGCCAGTCAGTACAGTAATGGCACCACCACCTAAGTTGATAGCTTTAGCACCTCTGCTTGTCGAAGCAACCAAGACACCTTCAGTAGTGGCCATGGGTAGGAAGTAGTTCTGACCGTCGATCAAGAGAGGGCCCGCGACACCGATTGGCAATGGCAGGTAGCCAATGACGTTCTCACAGCAGGCTCCGTGAACACGATCATAATCATAGCCTTCGTATGGCAAGAGTGACGATTCAAGTAAGGTGGATGTTTCGCGGGTGGCGTGCGTACGGGACACAACAGCCCGCCGGACTTTGACAGCACGCGTCTTGTCAATGAGTGTCTTTTCCAATGCATATCCGGGGATATCGCCCTTCAAGGAAAGCTCAATCAGCTCTTCATCATTCATCTCTGGGGCTCTCTTCGCCTTGAGGATCTCGAGGCATTCCTCATATGAACGTTTCGGCAGCTTATTTGATCTCCGATTCGCTTTCACCGATTCATTGAGATTGTCGTCTGGAGGGTTTGGGGTAGCAGCAGGGGTCGGTGGTGCAGGAATGGGACGTGGCTCGCCTTGAACTTCAGTCATGGTCAACTCAGGCTTGGACGTGACAGCATGTCCATTACCAACGGGACCATTGCTTCTAGGTGAGGCGACAGAAGTCCTTGGCGTGATCGCCCCATCTTGCATCTCCTCATTTCGAGGCGGCTCAAGGGGAGTGTGAGGCTCCTTGATCGTCATCCGAGCGGCGTTGAATAGATAGCCATTCAGAACAATGCTTATTGCTAGTACTGCAATGATCCATTTTCCTAGTACTGGGTCCTCTAAGCTTCGTAGAACGCCGCCAAGTGCCATTCCACCCATACCATACACAGGCTCTGATAGCTCGGGAGGAAAGACTGAGGTGCTTCCGTTGCTCTGAGCATAATATGCTGACGGATATTGAAGTTCATATTTGATAGGGTTCAGAATAGTGACAGCAGTCGACAAGTTGTGCGATTGCGCTTTTGCTAAGACCACATCGAGACCATTCCTGGCTACTTTGAAGGGGTCCATGAGGGGCTGGGCCACACTGGAGAATCCGGGAATGGCTGTCCCAGAGCCAGAACCTCTAAAAGGGATGGTTATGATGTTGATGATGTTAATGATGAGGAACCCAGAAACCATGAGCGCCTTGAACTTTGGGACACTGCTATCCTTGACCTTAGTACCAAAGATGGAGATCTCGCCAATACCCAGGTTTGCGCTTTCCGGAAATCCATCGTTGCTATAGGCGACGTTCTCAGCCACGGAACGGCTCACACCGTCGGCTTCAAGTGCCTTTCGCAGCGAAACATGGCGCTTGATTCTGTTAATTTCGAGCTTGATGGAGAGGATCGAAGTGTAAAAAGTGAAAAGTAGAATACAGTCGAAGAACAAGATCCATGCAGCGAGGAAGCAGAAGGGCCGGAGTCCGCCTTGAACGCCGGATGCAGCGCCTGCCCCCAAGATACAGATCTCAATGAAGTAATCGCGGATGATTTCATAGCCACGCTCCTGAACCGCGGTCTTTATAGCAGAATGGATAGTATGGGGGGCAGATTTTTCTCCCTCCTTGGTCGATGCCTTGCGTCGGGCATCCATAGAGGCAGACAAGACGGCTTTTGTCAGAATGATAGGCTTTTCAAATCCAATTGTGACGACGAGGAATGGAAGACCTTCGGAAAGTAAAATCATGTTTATGTTGATGCCCAGCTTGGTAGTCACCAGCAGACCAAGAAGGAAGGCAAACCCAGACTCAAAAAGGACAGTAGTAGCCAGCCAGAAGTTCGACCCGAGGCGTCTCATAGACAGAAACAAGGATACGAATGTAAGGTGCATGGACAAGTAGCCGAGAGCCATGATGGTTATATCGAGAGATTCTGCATTTTTCAAGAGATCCAGAAAGGAGGTCCATGCCGCGACGATTCTTGTTTTAATGCTCCTTGAGCTCTGCACCGGGCGAGCAGCCACCATGATCCACTTCTTTTCCTCTTGCCCATCCTCAGACTCCAGTGGCTCTCTTGCGCTCTTTGGGGCTCGGATTTCTTGAATGGCAGACAGAAAGTCGGGTGCTGCCTCATATGGCAGTGAAAAGGCGAGGGTGGTATCGCCAGAGAGCTCAGAAACGGTGTTGGGTGAGTTTGGGAGAATTTCAAGGGAGTTGTAGGATGGTAAGATCGACTTTGCGCGAGGAGCAGAGCCAATGGAGGCAGGGAATTCCAAAGTTATGAGGGCTAGGTCTTGCGCAGGCTTGGAGCCGTCAGCATGAGAATTGCAAGCTTTCCGATACCCATACCAGTCTACTTACCGCAAGCTCTCCGTCACTTCTCCTTGAGTCTTCCGTAGTCCATTTCCAGTGTGTCTTATCGCCTGCGTAAAGGTGTTTGCTGCCTTCCACAAGGGTGTTGAAGTCTGCTGCATGAATAGCGCCGCTCCCTGAGCGATCGAAAAGGTTGGTGTCCAAGAGACCGAGATAGACAGTACTTGCAATCAATAGTACTGATACTATGGAGTGGATAGGATGCGTGCATGCCTTCCCCGATAACGCTTGTAGTGGTGGAGCAACGAACTTTGTGTACCAGTTTGGCTTCTGTGCGGGCTTTTCGCTATCGCCGCTCCGCCAGCGCCTAGGTAAAGCGGAAGCTCCAAGCATTGCAACTGTTCAATATTGGAAATATCTGCAGCTGTCGTGGTTGTTGTAAAGGGGCAGAGCGGAGGAGAAAGGAGAACGCGCGGTTGCGGTTCAGCGGTGGGCTGAGCCCGTTGGGTCGACCGAATGAGGACTCGCGAAAAAAATATCGGGGTCGACACTGAAGTTCGGCAACAGGCAGAAGAGTATTCTAGAGGGAGCCGATCTCCACAGCATATGCGACCAAGTGAGATGTAGAGAAGGAGAAGTAATTGAAGAGATTGGGCTGAGAAAGAGAAGAGTAGAATGTCCCGGACTTGGAATGTGAAGTGGCCGGTCTCGGTGTTGAAGCACTATTGATAACGACCTCGAGGGCCGGCGATAGAGAGAATATACAGGTAGGGAGGTTTCCAGAGTGGCAGAGTCTAAACTACTCTGGGTCTTTCCCGTTTGTAGCAGTGCCCGTGACCAATCAGCATGCCGGATATTTGCCCAAAGAGTAGCTACTAGTACGTAAATATTCCATTTCATAACGATATCCAATTAATAGCCTCCTTCCTGGGCTGCTATAATTGCTAGAACACAGAGAGATTATCAATGCTGGAATGCATTGCACAAATTATGCTACGATCTCTTGCGCGACTTGTGACTCGCAAGTGCACGAGAACACAGGAGCGGTATTTGCCTCTAACTCGTCGCGGTTTGTCGCTGGGTGGTTCCACTAAGCCATTCGGCATTGGAGTGCCCCGAGCATCAAAGGAGGCCTCTATTGGGTAATGCCCGCTGAACGCCACGCGATCAGGGCGGTCTTATTAAGGTTTGATTGTCGAGGTCATAGGTGGCCATATTAGGTGAGGCTCTGCCCTTACGTACTGATTTACCGTTACGTCGCAACTGCTCCTATAATTATGTCTGTCATGGCGTGGACAGACCTTGAGGGAGCTCTACATATACGAGGCGGGGCGTATTCTGTACCTTAGCTATATTCAATGCCTTCTAAGTACAGACATAACTTCATTCTATCGAATCTATGTTCTACACCTGAAAACTTGCAGCTTGCGCCAGCATGACCTTAGTGAGCCAGCATGTGTAATGTTGACGAGGACCAATGCCGGATTGCTGCCATATCGCCTCTCCAGTCTCCACGGTATCAATCAGTATTACAAGCAGCTGCATGGCTCATAATTTGGTCATGATCACATTTGAGGGTCCTTGTTAGCACACTTAGACCTCTACAGCTCAGACAACTGAGCAGAAGACTGCAGAGATAACGGCTCAACTCCATGGGTGATCTGCCGGACGAAGCTCATATCCGGCTTGTAAAGCATTACATGAAAGTGCTCGACTGCGTGGATGGACTTTAGCGAGTACCAATTCTTGAACCAGATGACATGCTGAGGTTCTATCCGGGTGCAGAATGTGTCGTTGACCCAGTGGTCGATGCTCCGTCGAGTCTCTGGCAGCATGTCTCCTACTCCTCCACGCTCATCTTTAAGCTCAAACTTCGTCCACACAACGAGATGCACGATTTTCTGGTCTATACCATACGGCCAATCGTTCTGAAGCACTGTGATATCGTCTGTCGCGAGACAAGCTTATTAGCATTGACGTTCGAAGTAAAGCAGCATCAGTATACCTGGGTTCGCAAATGGAGGTCCTGATGGACATGTTGAAGTCCACTGCAGCCTCTTGGACAAGATGAATTCCTGCATAGACCCATACTTCTTGACAATGTTGTAGACGAATGAACGATACTTTCGCAAATCGCTAGGCACTCGCTGGAATAGGTCGACACGATTGGATTCTGGAGGACGTCAGATCAAGCTTGCGACTACCTGCCTGGGGTGCTGCGCCAAGCAGATGGTAACCCACGGATAATGTCCTGAACCGCTGGCCACGAGAGACGAATATACTCTGCATCTGGTGTGCCAATGATAGAGCGGTCCTTGTCGCTGCAGCTCTCCAGAAAAGGTGGGCAACTTGGCGACCAATCTCCGCGTGGAAGGTTGACATTCCAGAATTCAGGTTGCTCGTGCGGCATAGCTGCAGTAGTATGACGCGCAGGAGATTGTAGATGGGAATGTTGATGCTGTGCAAGTCTTACTGCCAAGCTGAGAAGGTGAAGTAATTAGGACCTGCGAAGGAAGACTGTATTTGTAGCCATGATCTGATAAAGATCACGCTTTCAGGCGAGCTCGGAGACGTGGCAGACGTCGTTCGCTCCTCGACTTGTTGCATTCCGTAAGATGTTCTACAGAGACCTTGTTTGAAAATGGTGATGAGGGTCAAACAGCATCAAAGGGCGACGAGACCCCTTGGAACAACCTGATTCACATCAAATAGTCCACCTTCTCCCTCATGCAACCATGCAGTTTGTTGAACGCTGGTGGACAGCATGTAGGTAGGTAGGAGTGCACAGAGGCAGCTGCAGTAGGGCCGTTTGGACCAGCATTTAGTGAGGAACCATCATGAGGTGCCAACAGGAGAATGGAGATCTCTTCATGACTCTTGGTCAAGCTTCAATATCTAGGATTGCCTAAGGTAAGGACAGAAGACGAGGCTGGACTGGACTATTGTTATTATTATCATCATTATTGTTATGGCTTTTCTGTGGAAGGGATTTCTGCCTCATTTCGCTTGAGCCGGCCAAGATAGCTGGGCACGGGCAGGACACTCCAATCACGCAAGGTTGTTCCATTTACTTAAAACACCGCGAGGACCCCCCGCTAAACTTTGGCCGGAGTAGCAAGGGGGTTTGCGTCGGCGCAAAAGCCCGCTGATTGGCTTGCAGCGGTAGCACGACAGTGACTTGAGCCTCATATAGTAGATCGCTTAGGGCCCCATCTAATCGATAACTCGATGTCTCCATGTTTAATTAATTTGTAGCCGCCAGAAAACCGTTGTTTAGTTGTCGCACGAGACACTCGCTCGTGCTTGTAAAAAGCTTCTCCCTGCAACAAGCAAAGTATCGAGTCAACGTGTCCTTGTCCCTGCACGCCTGTCTGTCCTGTCTCTCCGCATTTCTCGTCCTTCTCTGTCCTTCAACAACAAACACCTCACACTCTTTCTTGACTTTGCAGCTCCAGGCTTCACATTCTGCAACTCCTGTTTTCTTGTCTCTCATTAAATAATTTTTACCTATCTCTACACACATTGCCAGCTACAAGTCACTCATTAGCCCACAAACAAGCTCGATACCGACACGCGAATAGCTTCAGGATAAGCACCGACAGGAGACCACTTCATACACTTAGAAACACAAGGCCATTCTCGCAACGCATATACGTCAAGCCGCACTCTCCATACAAAAATCGCAGATCTTGCGTCTCCCAGGTATACCTTCGACACTCCGCCATCTGCAACTACATCGACACAGTGATCTTCAACGCAATCTCCGCCATCACAAAACCTACCCACAACAAGCATCTGTGCAGTTTTTAGACTGTCAGACATCTGTCAGACATTTCCAAGCCTCAACTTGTCACATCTTCCACAATGGCCGTCGTGCGTGATCCAGCTTTCTGGAAGCGCTTCTCCACCGCCGTCCACCTGGACGACATGTCGCGCGCTGAGAAATCGCAGCTGCCCAATCGAGAGCGATCGTATTGTTGCCATTGCCCCTTGCAACGCCACCATATGTGCTAACATTGCTGCGCAGAGATTCTTGGCTGGAGCGTCAGAATGCAAAGAAATCTCGTCGCACAGTAATCTGCTTCGTCTTCTGGATCTGCTTCCTCGCTGTGGCGGCCGGTATCGTCGTCATTCTGGTATGGCTCAATGCAACTGGTAGGCTTGCCAAGGACAAGAATGCCACGTGAGCTGAACGTCTTACTTGTTCCCTGATCGCAACCGCTACTGGAAGCTGGTGGCAGATTAAAAAAAAACACCTTTGGTTCACGGCGCATAGGGGATGTATCATAGGATTGGTGCATTTGTGGACCCCGAGATGGTTTGTTTCCGTCGGGTCGGCTAATAAAGGATCGCTATCCTGGCCCCAGCGAAACGGTGACCGCGGCGTCGGTCTTTGACGTCGAAAAGCAGCGTATGCCGTGTACTTCAGACACGATGTATTATGCTCAGTGGCGTTGCATTAGGTACTTGTTTTCTGGCGAACAAACACACACGGTTTGCGTAGGACCCGGTTCGTTTCATGATACCAACGATATGTACTACGGTACACATAGAATCGCAATTAGAAGAAACCAATGACTTTGTCAACAGGCTTGCTACTTGATGTGACATTGCTGTCGTCCATCTTGGGTTGCTCGTGAAAGTGTGATATCGCACTGTCTATCACACGTCGTCTTTTGAGTCTGAGTCTAATTATCTACCAGAGTCTGCATAACATATAGTTCACTCGATGCTCCTTGCGGCGGCCTGTACACTACCATGTTCGCTATCATCACCTTCAACAACCGGTAAAGGCGGCAACTCCTTTGTCGCAATATCGTAACTCGGCGGTGCCTCTTCTTCCACCCTCTCCCTTGGTTCCAACAGGTATTCCCCCGCCCTCGGCCCCAGCACCGCACTCTCCTCCATCCCATCCAAAAGCCCCTGTCCAGCCTCCTCCTCGTCTTGCCGCTCAGTGCTCTTCGCACGCACCCACCGCAACACTCGAAAAAACGCCCCACCAAGCATTCCCCCAGCCAAACCGCCCATAAAAACAAGTATCCACGCCACCCACGACACACCAAATATATACGGCGTGCTGTGCAGTACTGCCACTATGGAATGGCGCAACGATCCAATCCGTCCATTACTATCAAACTCAGCGCGCCACACGAAGCGATAATACGGCGGATCGTCAAAATCAGCGCATCGGTAGTACCACCACGAACACGCATTCGCATAGTGTGGATGCGGATGCACGTATGAATCGTCCGGTCGGCGAGTTTCTGGCGCGCGCGCGATGAACGACGCGGATTGGATGTTGTAGCTGCGCATCGGTGATATAGATGTTGTGTGGTGAATATCGAGCATGGAGATTTGAAGGACGGACTGGGATGGGACGTCAAGGAGGTAGCTGGATGCGCCGAGGATGTTGAGGGTCAGTTTGGGCGCCGGGTTGTAGTATATGATGGAGGGGTCGTCGCGGGAGGACATGAGGCGGTCGTAGTCGAGGGTCACGGTGCGGTATGCGCTTGTTGAAGGGAGGAGCTTTAAGCCGTCGATTGGGACGTCGTCGGGGATGTTGAGCGCTGAGAGGACGGGTGGGATGTTGTAGTTGTCGAGGGGGTAGATGGGTAATGAGTTCAGGAGGAGGGTTTGGTTGTTGTTTGTGATGGTGAAGTTGAAAAGGAGTGAGCTGTTGGCGGATATGATGTCCCACGTGGATGTGTCGGGATTGTATTGTGTGAGAGGAAGGCCCGGCGTGTCGAGCTTCATGAGAACACTGAGGCCAGTCGTGAGCCAGACGTTCAGATCGGCGCGCGCGAGTGTTGATATGGCGCCGAGGACGACGAAAAGAGATCGGAAGAGCTCCATGGTGACGAAATGCCCTCAGATGCTGCCACGAAGTACTGACAGGGTTCTGGAAGGTGAAGTGAGGCACATGTAGGACAGGACGTGAGGTTTTGGTGTTGAGCTCGCGACAAAGCTGACGTTGAAGCCTGCTCGTGGAAGGATCGACGCTACGTAGGGGCCAAATTCCAATCCGGATGGATTCAATTAAGGTTATCCGGATTGACAGGCCTCGGCCGAGCAATGTCGTCAGTCAATAGACGAGTGAAGCCGATATGTATACTTCTAAAATATCCTATGATCTACGTAATATTACTCGCCAATCATTTAATTCTAATATTTATACTAAATTATATACTCGAAGAAACATATAATATTTAGAGAACATTCTATCTCTTCTTCTATCTAGGAATTATCTAGAGTTTCTATATCTATATAATCTTCTAAAGTAAGATAAAAGTAAAGATATCTTAAGTATAGATAGAGTATAGGATATTAGATACTTCTATACTTCTCTTTCACGACTCTATGGAATAAGAAAGGAACCTAGACTAAAGTAGCAGTGGAATATAAAATATACACGAGTAACTGGAAAAAGGGGAAACTGGTGTAGCCACGCGCAAAACAAAAGGCTCAGGTCCGGAATCGAACCTGCGCCTCCGTGCCCGAACAGATACTTAGGTCGGATGACCATGCTTCGGTGGTGATTCTTAACCATTGAACCATCGCACCTGGGTATATCATTTGCCATGAAAGAGTGAATTATATTCGGGGGCGGGCGGGCCTAATTGTGGTAAACTGCCAAATTTTTAGGATTAGGACGGTTAACAGTGATGGCATGGTGAGTAAGCGGCAAAACAGTGTTGTGTGTAAACTGTGTTAGATCGAGGGCTTCTTCGTTGGGTTCACTTGCTGAAGTTCTGAACGTATGAAACGCAGGTGTGCTCCCTGAACCAATCTCTCAAGCTGTTCATCAATCTAGGAATACAGTATAGCGCTCTTCTCACTCGTTTCTTTACGCGTAGAGAGCTTGTTCTCCCCCTGCACCCCTGAGAAGTGTCCCTCCAACAGCTAATCCTATCAAAGAGCTTTCTGTCAGGGATTGCACCGTTTACACAGTTCAGACAGTTCATCGACTGGATTCCGCACACACATGGCGAAAGTCTCCCGGACAGGAATAACAGTAATAGACATGGCCAAAAGCCTCATACCAAAATCATTGTTTGCCATCAATCTGACAGAGCTTGTCGTTCGCACCTTTCCCATCTACGACGATACTCCCAGCTCAAATGGATTACTTCAAGGTTTCTGGAGTCGAAATCACATGAGCTCACTCAAGCCAGTCGTATCGGTGGTACGCAGTGCTTGAAGATAGCATAAAGATGCACTTATTTGCAAAGCTCCTCAAGAGTCACTACGGATATGAAGCAAGCCACGGAAGTGCAACCGAACGTAGACGCATGAGCTGAAGTGGGAACATATACGTGAGTATCTTACGACACTGTATATTGGCCAATCTGAGAATATGAATATAGATTACCTCATCCTATCAAACACGATCGAACCTTCCATATGCAAATGGCCTAGCTGAATTATACCTCCTAGCACGCATGACACATACCTAGAGGGGGGCTTGTGTGCTATTAACGTCAATATCGACATATAATGTCTCCGTAAGACGAGAGAGGATGGCATTTGACTGAATACCCTCTGTAGACTCGCTTGAAATGTTTCGACTCAACCTCCATTATTGCTACTAGCGTACATCAGTATCCATCTGATGCTAGACACATCTCCGAACTTCTCATGAGTTCATGGATCTCATACGCATGTCCTTTCGTAGCGATATATTTCTGCAGTGAATTTGTGTCGAGCGCCTCTCTCCATAGGCGTATATGAGCTTACTGAGACTTCAGGCTATGGACACGAATGAGCCGCTGGCGATTTCGAAGTCGCTATATGCAGAACACGACCTAAGCCATGGCAGGGGTAGGTGTTTTGGACGTCCGACACCGATATGTATAGCGTAAGTTTCGGCGAGTTGCGTGTCCGAGTGTTAGTAATGCGAGATAAGACAAGAGAGTGTGGAAAAGGGGGAAGAGGAATGTGGTTGGTGAGTATGCATACCCTTATCAAGGTTGGTGAGGGGATTGTTTATGTGGACAACTCTGCTGTAGACATTGGAGTAAATGTCAAGAGGGAACATATGGCTAAGATCACAGTTACAAGTTCTTTTACACACGGGTTGAGGACGAAAGGAGCTCTGCTACTGATCCATGTCTTCAGAGATTACATGTATATTGCTCTGTATAAGGAACGCGACTCCTGTATGGAACTCAACTACTTGTCGATCACTGCACACTACTATACATACTTCAATCCCGCTGATCTATATGCTATATGATTATGCTCGCATACCTACCGTAATGTTCGTGCGTTGGTCATAACAACCTTCTGAAACCACCTCCTGATGGACTTATATCGAAGAGATACTCATATCGATCCTCAAGACTGCTTCTCTCTAAGAGACTGACCTAGACTGAAAAGCGCAGGTCGCTGCGGACAAGCAAATTTCTTGGAACTCCATGTAAAGGTAGCTACAAGACGAGCGAACACGAGAGATCTCCTACTGCAGAGACGTGCTTGTCATCTCAAGCCTCCATCGCTTGTCGTGTACGCAGGTTTTATTGTCGCCTTTAGGTTCGCCATCGCGCTTAGAAACTGCGTGCTAGCGCACCTCCTGATATCTGAGCTGGCCAGTCATGAGTTCATTGGTGACACAAGTCCACACGAAGAGCGAATGTGGTGTATTATAAGCGCCATCCTATCACCTTAGGCTGTCATTAGAAGTACCTATCACGGTTATACATCAAATTGTCGTTCACTCGCCATAGTGACAGGCTGACGGTGGTTGAAGCAAGCGTACTGAAACAGTTGTAATTCAAGCAAGTGCTTGCCACTAGTAGTGCGGCGCATAGCCTAGAGGATTCCACGCTGTACCCAGTGTGTAAATGGTGAATATTTATAAGTTAATTGGGACACAATGTTAGTTCTTCGGTTGGGAATAAGTGGAGCTTTCCAGGAGCGTTTTATAACGAGATGCTGATCTTGGTTACGAGGGCGGAATGCGGATTATTCGAGTGTTGGCAACTGAAGATAGCCCAGAAAATTTGTTCTGTTGACTGATATTGGCGTTTTCGAGTCGAGTCCAGGGCAATATCGTTGTTCTGTGCATTCAATGATAGTAAGAAGACTTGTGTGTACAGCCAATCATTTTGGACGCTAGACAGACCCTTTGCCGTTGAAGGATTCCGCTGTCTCATATTTAGGCCGCTCGTAATATCGTATTCGTAGATCCAACCCAAAGCTAGTAGTCTTCCGGAAGCTATGGGACGACTTCTAGTGATATGCAGCGATGGTTCTTGCGGCTTCGAGTGGAGTCGGCGATGCCGTTCATCTTAGGACTGGAACGCTGAACCGGGAAGGTTGCTGGGAGCAATGCGAATCTGTGCACGTGTTGACGACATAATGAAGGATCTATGGTGTGAACACCAAGATGTTCGAAAATAGCGTATCGAATGAACGATGCTGTTGGAGGATTGTTTAGAGTAGTTATTTAGGGTCTGTCATGACTCCTTTGCATGTACGGCCGTAAAGTGCCAAGTCCGCACTGCGATGCTTCGGATGGGACATTTTCTTTTCCCGATCCAGACGTAGTATGTGGTTGCTGCCCCATGAGCCTGTGTAGTAGCATCTTTGCTAAGACCATCGTGTCGTCAGAGATTGTGGCCAGTATGACGACCACGGAATCTGTCGTATCATGCGTGATTCCGGATCTGTTGTGGAAATCCTGCTGTTGGAGGATCTGTTATTAGTGAACTATTAGTGATTACGGTGGTGGCAGCCAGATCTGACAGATGCATATCTGACATGTCCAGGTCCCGACATCCATGATGACAGGACGGTTTGAGTTTCAACGTAAGCTCCTTGTGGGGATTCTTTGACAATGCAAAATGAGGGCGTGCGGTGCGGCCAGTTGAGGCATGGTTTCTGCTAAGGATATGCACACGAAAAACCATCACCAAGCTTGTTTGAAACACAGCAGCATCCTTGAACTTTCGATCCACAACTGTTTCGGCGCTTGTAACAACATGCAGGGCCCATCACATCGATTGCAACAGAGAGCGTTACGCTTTAAACTGACCAAGGCCGTAGCGGTGAGATGGTGGAGGTTGTGGTGCGTTACGAGCCATGAAAGCGACAGCGACAGACCAGAAGAAGCAGAGATACATGAGGCAAAGATCGCCACGAACCTTGCTGATTAGACATTATGGATTGGCGTGAGACAGCCTCGAGGTTGGGGTATTAGAAGGGGAGGCGACTGTGGTTCGGGGTTCCCGTTGAATCGAGACAGAAGCGCCGCAGCATGACGAAGACCATGAAGTCTTTATCAAGTGAATGTCCAGAGCCATGGAGGCCGGGAATGGAAGCGCGCGCTGTGTAAGGCACAGCAGCGTCTACGAGAGAGCAGGGTATTGTGTGAATAGTTTGAAGATGTCTTGCTACGTTTGACATATTAGACGTAAATTAATACTTAGGCGGGTAGGGTAGGTAATACGTGAAGTTCGCAGCGGCTCTGGGCCTGAGGTACTACTGTAGTGGTGGGGCAGATGGGCAGATTGGCGGATGGGCGGCTAGACGGCGGCGGCCATATTGGGGCTTCGAGCTTCGAGCTGGCTATTCTTGCTTGCGTGCAATTGCTTGCGTGCTAATGATTAGGCACAGAACTTCTACCAATTAATTAAGTAATTGGCGTTCTTTTTTCTTTGGCTCGCACTGCGACGGACGGACAGACGGGCGGGAGGCCTGGCTTACCTCCCCTGGACTGCGTTACATCCATGCATGCATTCTGCGCACCCACTCTGGATCAAGGACGAGACATGTGTGGAGGTTATTGCATCCTTTGGTGGCGAAGACAATGACAATGACAAGGACGACGACAGCGACGGCGACGGCGACAGCGATAGTGACCTCGACGATGGCAGACGCATAACGCGTAACGCACTGCCTTTTCTACGACCTACGGTAGAACATAGCAGGCGAGGATGTCTACCAACACCTTGCAATCATGATAATCATATCAATAAAACAACACCACTTCTTTTCTACCCTGCGAGCCGTCGAGACTGCTGCTAGCAGCATGCATACCCTGTCAAGCCACTGCTTAGTGGGTGACTGCACGTGATCGTTGCTATATTTGGAACGCCAGGGTGCATCACGCATATTCGTGGGCCACCAGAAAGGCAGAGAGGAGCCTGACTGTGCTTCTTCTGCGTTGGTCTAAATTATTCGTGTGCTCTGCCTGGCCTCTACATGGCCTTTGACTGGCCATCATCCTCCACCCTCTCTCTCTCTCTCTCTCTTAATATTGTCAGGCTCGCTCTGTGCAGGGCCAGTCGAGCGGAGAGATTGCTCTTTCGGTCTTAGGGATCGTCCTCGCAGCTCTTCTATCTTCTAGCCTGTCGACCTTCTTCCTCGCCGTCTTCAACACTAATACTACCATCGGCAATTTGCCTTACCTGCAAGCCCCGCAAGAGCGCCAGCATCATACCTGGTTCTCTCTTCGTCTCACCTCATTGCTAATCCACACTCCATATCCGTCTTCCTATCTCGCCATCTCTACTCGTTTCATTCGAGCATCGTCAACGCTGTCATGCTCCCTCCAACCGTCCTTGACACGTTCAAATACCTTGATATCCTGCGAGCCCTGGCCACGCGTCAATAAGGAGCCATGGCAAGGAACATTACTTCTCCAAGAGATGCCTCACACAGGACGAGTAAAGATTTTGTCGCGTCGGGTCATGTCTCAGCCCAAGTCAGGTCCGGCAGAGGGGAGAAGACACTGAGCATCGACCCTTCACACGTGAATTGCCCCCCAAAATGCGATGAGATTCACGAGACTTCGCCTGTACCAACTCAAGGAACCTCTTCAAGTACTACTACCCCGAATACCCACGCAGCCCCGCTGTCCATTCAGCAAATGACCACGGAGGAATCTGAGCCAGACGAACTGGGCCACTCACAACCGCATACAACGATACTTGATCTACAGTCCGACTCGGCCACATCCTCCGCTTTACCTGAGAACTTTGGCTTCACAATATCAAGAGACGGGAAATTGGTGGCGGTGTATGGGTCGAAAAACGTCTGGCTAGTTTATACAGAACAACTGCCGCGTGCCTTTATGCGTATCTTTGAAGTGCGAAGAAAACCTGTTGCTATCGATGTCCTGGATGACGGTTCATTGCTCGCAGTCCTCACCAATCCTACCAAACTGGACATCTATTCCCTAAGAGAAGGCGATGACACCATTGTCAAGAGACGCAAGACTGTATATCTTGCTAATGATTCTACTTGCTTGGCTTTAGCCCCAAACGGTTTGGTCTTGGCTGTTGGGAGTAGAAATGGTATTGAAATCATTTCACTGGCTGCAGCAGACTCCGAACCAGACAAACGCATCATGACCAGCGACCCAATGGATAGCTTATATTTCTCAGACGATAGTAGGACGCTACTCGCCACGACTGTCGTCCGCCATCGCAAATCCACCACCATCTTCACTGTCCACGGCAGCTTTGATGGCCCCTTTACCGAAGAGGGTGAACCAATTCTACTAGACGTCGATAAGGCCTGGACATCACAAGTACTTTTCCCCGAAAAGGCCAAAAGAGCCAGGCAAGCAACTCTGGTCCCCGACGCTACGACTGCACAAGTCAATGAGCTATTTGCTTACGACGCAGATAAGCACACTTGGGGTATATACGACGTTATATCGTCAAGCTTCAAAGAGTTCAAGACCTTCTTACCTGATGCCCCAAAGTCTATCAAGCCTGGTCTTGTCGAAGCTGCGATGCCTGCAGTGTCACCATTGGCTGACCATGTTGCCATTGCTGTGAGACAAGATCGATGTGCCGAGATTTGGCTGTACCGATTACCGGAAAGTCAAGGTGGTGATTTGGAATATCTCAACGACATCAACCATTCTGAACAGGAGTCACCACAAGAGCCATGTTTGAAGGTCCGCTTGCCACGGGACGAGGAATCTCGATCGCAAGAGATAGCATCGCTACGCTGGCTAAAGATATCAGGACCAGGTGGTGCTGAACGTCTCATTGCCGTGGGAAGCAACGTCATCGCTTCAAGTCCTGATGGATCGATTCCCGATATCTCCCAAAGCTCGAGTGGGGCCATCGTGATCATTGATTTTGACCGCGAGACCCTTGCAGGGCCCGTGGAAGCTGTACCGAAGCGCATCGTTTTTGATTTAGACACACTCATGCCTGGCGAGAGACTACCAGATGAGGACATAGACTTCGACCGAGAAGTAGAAATCGTCAGGCGGAGGACTGTTGCACAAAAAGCTGCCCAAGATCGTGCAGCTGCTCGAAGATTGTCTCGCCAATTGGGTCGATCATCGACCACCGCAAGCCGCGATAGCGACCGACGTGCGTCAAACATCCCGACTGGATCCACGGATGAGGATCAATTGGGTGGTGATGAAGCTGTTGCAGCCTTTGAACAACCGTACGATCATTCACAACCAAGGTCCCAAGCCTCACTCAACCGAGCTGCGACTGTTGCAGCTACAGCTCCAGCAGCTCGTAATCGCCTCCGAGCGCTTCCAGATCGACCTCTCGAGTACAGAAGAGCGGACGGTCTGAGAGAGATTCCACACGAAAGTGACGCGGATAACTGGGTACCGCCGCCTCCTCCGTACACTCCTCGCGCAGAACCAGAAAGTGTGAGCCTCACATACCCTCGTACAGGAGGACCACCTACATCAGCAATGCCAGCAGTGTTACCCCCACCTTCAGCCATGCCAGCTTCATTGCCACATCCATCTCAAGGCAGTCGTGTCACTCAAGCAGGCCGTATACGCTCGAGCAACACTTTCCCTGGCGTGCCCACGCTGTCAATACCACGTCCCAGGAGCTCGAGACGCTCTCAAAACCACGATGTATCACGACAAGGTGCACCTATCGATGCCCCTCCAGTTCCACCACTTCCAACAAGCTTCTCAGCTGTCTTGCCGCGAGGTCCCCCTGTAGTATCCGCAAACAGCCAACCACGCAGATCATCGACATTACCATCGCCTGCAGAAAATGTTGCATTACCTGCGCCTGTAATCAATGTCTCTCCTGCGCTGACACAACGAAACCAGACCGAAGCCGACAGACTTGGTGCAGGGATCGCTGCACCTACCCCAGTCCGAGTCATTCGACGCGCAGTAGGTGACGAGCCTATGGAACCGCCTCAAGCGGCATCCGCGCAAGTCTCCACCTTAGGGGTCGCAGACCTCATCCGCGTTCAGCAACAGCAAGGAGTACCACCAGTCCTACCATCAACCACTCCCACCTCGAATCGCATGCTCCCTCGCTCCCGGCCACTGATTCCCGGTACATCACAGTATCCCCCTCCTGTAGGTATGATGCGCAATGCGAATACTCCCGGTCGTCCTTCAACTATGGCATCAAGCATGTCCATGCCTCAAAACCCCTTTCAACAGCGAAACTACCCGCAGCCACAGCAAAGCCTCTATGCACATACACAACCGCAACATTCTCTCACACATGCCAATGCTCAATCCCAACCATACCCATCGCGACCCCCTATACCCACGCAACAATCCGCCTATCTCGAGACGTCCGCCTCCATTCCTCGCCATCCCGTCGGCGCTCGACACTCACGCTCATCCTCACACCGCAGCTCTATATCCCAATTCTACCTATCCGGCCGCCGAGCCCAATCCACCGAAGCCCTCGCCGCTCCGCGCTCAGCGTCTGCCATGGAGCCTCGTCGACAGGAGGATTTTCCCCATCCACCAAGTTCGAGGCGCCCTCTTTTGAGTAGATTAAATACGAGTGGGAGTTTCGGCCGGAGTCTTGGTGGCGGCAATCCTGGAAGTGGCAACCTTGACGCGAGACTGGTGCCTGGACGTGTGCATGATGGTCCGATGGTCAGCGCTCCTCCATTTACAGGAAATATGGATCCATGGCAGGATTTAGCTGCCCAGCGGAGCTTGGATGGGCAAGGTGCGAGTGAGAGAAAGCCGACGAAAGTAGAGAGAGTGAAGTGTGTCATGATGTGAGGAAGAGTTGGCTGCATGAATGTGGATCAAGGAGAAAAGATGGATATGAATCGAGATACCCAGTATTTTTTATTTTATTTTATTGTACACCGGGATGGTACGATGAGGATATATATTCCCGGTATGGCGTTCTGGATCATGGCACTGGCTGTCACGTGGAAAATCTACTACACCGGTTGGGCTTGTTCGTGCAATGTACGAAGCATATATCCAACGAATTACAATAGAATCAGTTGACCCCTACAGTCATGATAAATGCCGTAGGTAAAACATATTCCTGTCAAATCGTTCTTACAATCAGGTATCGACAAAAGGATATGTCGTAATTGATTGATCTAACTTCGAAAGGCAAATCAATCAGCATGATCGTAGAACATATGCTCCAGAACGCAAGACAAGAAACACTAGTGTGCACTGTTTGGGCGCCCTGAGATAGATACATGTCGAAAAGCCTCAAATATGCTTTATTTCGAGTTGGCAACTAAAGCTGATGTCGAGCTTACAAGGTATAATCAAGCGTGAGTATTTACAATCATACACAAATGCCATCCACACATCCTGTCCCATATATATAGCGCCCTACGCCGCAAGTGACTTTTGGTTCTTTTTCTTCTCTACGAGTATAACTTCTTGTCAAAGCTGTGCAGACCGTGCACGTTGCCCTCGGCCTGTGCTGATACAGTCCTAAGCTCAAATCGCACCTTACCTGCCACGACGTCTTCGCGCAGCTGTGTCAGACTCTCCACGCCAATGTCCTGCAGCGAGTGCTGCACACCGGCCATGAGATACGGCACGAACTTGGTAATGGATCCGCGATCGAGCACAGAGCCAGACACGCCTTGTGCAACTAGTAGACGGTCACCTTCGGAGAAATAGCGCGCGGTACCGGCGTTGCTGGCCTTTGAATCTTTGGCGCCAGCGCCAGCTTTTTTGTCTTCCATGGCGTCAATGCTGCCCATCCCGCGATATGCCTTGACGAGCTGACCCTCGCGGCTGACGAAGTATTGCCCAGGAGACTCAGTCGTACCGGCAAGGAGACCACCCATCATGACGGTCGTAGCGCCAAGAGCGAGGCCCTTGACGATGTGGCCTACATTTTGAATACCACCATCCGCGATGCAGGGCACACCGAAACGGGCTGCAAATGAGGTGACATTGAACACGGCAGCGGCTTGCGGCCGGCCGACGGCCATCACCTCTTGGGTGATGCAGGCGCTACCACTACCCATGCCGATGCGTAGACCATCTACACCAGCGGCAATGAGGTTGGCGGCTTGCTCGCGGCTCACAACATTTCCTCCGACTACATCGATTTGGGGAAATGTTTCTTTGATGTACTTGATCATTTCGATCTGGTACATGCTATTACCTTGACTACTATCTAGAATCACAATGTCCAAGCCAGCATCGACAAGCTTCTGCAATCTTATTTTATCCTCAGGACGCGTTCCGATCGCTGCGGCGGAGATAAGCTGCTTAGACTGAGGAAGCTTTGAGGCGAGGGGGTAATGGAGGTTCTTCATCAAGTCAGATCTCGATAAAAGGGACACAAGCTTGCCCTCCTCATCTACGATCGGTAGTTTGCCTTTCTTTGACTTCCGTAGGATGTTGTTCGCCTCCTGAAGCTCGATACCGGTGCTTGCGGTGACGAGATCGGTGGCCATGACGGCCGTGACTGGGTCTTCCAATTCGGCATGAAACTGGAGATCGCGGGAGGTCACGATACCGAGGAGTTTAGAACGCAGAGATCCACTTTCTGTACGACCGAATTAGCTCATCATTTCCCTGCATAGTAGGCTTGGACAAGGGAAACAAGGCATCTCCAATCAGACAGAAATCTCCATTTGTGTCCGCATTGCGACCAGGGCCGCTTGGTGGAACGAAAGTTGTAAATTGGCATGTATTGATCATCATAAGGAGAAGTGTATATGCGCATGGACAAGTCTTACCAGTCACCGGGAAGCCACCAAACCCCCACTTCTCTTTCAAAGCCTTTGCCTCTCCTACGGTAGTAGAGGGTGAGATTACGACCGGGTCAAGGATGAAGCCGTTTTCGAATCTCTTGACCTTGCGGACCATCTCTGCTTGTTCATCTGCGGAACAGTTATGGTGAATTACACCAAGACCGCCAAGGAGAGCCATATAGATGGCCATTGAATGCTCGGTCACAGTATCCATAGGCGATGAAATGAAGGGAGTCTTCAAAGTGATACGCTTGGTAACGGGCGAATCAAGGACGACCTGAGAAGCTGGAAAGCCTGTGCGAATTCAGTCAGCACGAGCTACACTGGAAATCCAGCTGCTCCGAGAATGTACCAATGTAGCCAGGTTGAATGAGGAAATCATTGTACGTGAGACCTCCATTAGTACGGGAGTCTACGAGCGTCTTGACATCAATGCCATCGCGCTCAGGATAATCTTTCTTCAAGACATCCAGAGCGGAGGCAAAGTTGAGGACTTCACCGCTCCTTGGTGCTAGGGAATCGCCGTTGGTGATAGGCATAACGAGAGATATGGAATGGTCTCGACTTGACAATAAAGAACAGAGGGAAGACTTTTTGAAGAGAGAGACGACAGAGTTATGGACTGACTGTCGGGGGTAGAGGCGTGAGTGCTTGATCCCAGTGAGAAAAAAGAAAAAGAAGGAAGCTGACGCGCCCACGATGATATTAGCAAAGTAAAATCGTAGCGTGCTAAAAAAATGAAGATCCGTGCGTTGGTGCGGGGCGGAACAGAAAGTCGGCGGTCGGCAACTGCTCTCGTGCCAAGACACTAACCAGAGTGTCAACAGTAAACAAAACACCAAAAGCGTATTCCCAGTTTTGACATCACGAACGCCACCTTCTTGCGCCGAACCTTGCAATGCGATCGGTGTCCTGCCGCTCATTAGCTAGAAACATCACAATCAGCACCATTTTTACCTCTTTTTAGTCCACGAACGTTGACCTACCCAGGCTGTGGTCGGGCATTCGAATACACAAACGAACAGGTGCGGCCTGCGTCCAGGTCCGAAGGTGTGACTGACACCTACCACCTACTCAGCCTTTTTCCTGCCTGCGAGGGGAAGAGTACTGCGCACCGCATGTCGCCTTCACATAACATTGCCTTCCCTACCTCAGCACGTCTGCGCTGGCCATGACCTATCAATATCACCACCCACGCTCGCAACTCGGCCAAGCGACGACTCCAAGTCCTCTGCGCCACACCACCTCGAACGCTTCTTCAGGCTCCTCTGCCTATTCAAATTCATCAAATCCATATCCTCCAAGTCGCACGAGTACGGTTTCCTCGCACGGCTCGAGCAGATTGGTGTATAATGGTTTAGGGCACCAAAGAGGGTTGAGTGAAAGCGCTTTGATTGTTAACGCTCGGTCAATGGAAGAGATTGAGAAACAAGATGTTAATCCCTCACACGCCTATAAGAGTGTACGCCAATCCCTAAGACCTCTACCACAAGCACCTGTCGCTTCGCCTCCTATTCCTGACAGGACCAATCGTTCGTTTCACAATCGTTCCCAAAGCACTGAGAGCGGGAAAGCAGTACACTTTGCAGATGGTGCTATCTCACCTCCTACAAGTGTACATTCTCTAGCAATCTCGAGATCAGACTCAATCCGAGGGTCAGGCCGTTCGAGTCGCGAAAATGTACCAATCCAGACTATATCTCCCTTGGGGCGGCCAGAGCTTCAGGATCTTCAACACTCGTCGACAAAGCAGTTGCGAACGGTCTCAAAATTCGCGCAAAACGCGGAGGAAGATTTCACGAATCTAGCGGTCCCCGGACAAGGAGTTGCAGGAATGCAGGGCCGAAGGAAGTTGCAAAGATCAAGATCACAAAGAGGAGGCAAGTCTGGGTCGAGCGAGTGGGCTGGGAGGAATTGGATGGACCAACAGCGGCAATTTCTCCAGGCTTATGAGTATCTTTGTCACATTGGAGAGGCTAAGGAGTGGATAGAGGACATCATAAAACAGCCCATTCCTCCAATTGTGCAGCTCGAAGAGGCCTTAAGAGATGGAGTTACGTTTGCGGAGATTGTCCAATCTCTTTACCCGGAACGAAATCTACGTATCTTCAGAAATCCACGGCTTCAGTTTCGACACTCCGACAATATAGCACTCTTCTTTCGGTTCCTCGCTGAGGTTGAGCTGCCTGAGCTGTTTAGATTCGAGCTGGTTGATCTGTACGAAAAGAAGAATATTCCCAAAGTCATTTATTGTATACATGCTCTGTCATGGCTACTATACAGGAAGGGGATAGTAGACTTCCGCATCGGGAATCTTGTCGGTCAGTTGCAATTTGAGGACCACGAGCTTGAAACTATGCAAAAAGGTCTTGATAAGTCCGGGGTCGCCATGCCAAACTTTTCGGGAATGAGTGCCAAATTTGTAGAGGAACCGGAGCCAGAGCCCCAGGAATCGGAGCAAGAGCGTGTGGATCGAGAGCTTGCGGAAAATGAAGAACATATCGCTGCCTTTCAAGCACAGGTCAAGGGATCCTTGCTTAGGATGCGTCTCGGCGACGCGATGCAAGATCTTTGGGATAATGAAGAGTGGCTTGTAGACTTGCAGTCACGGATACGAGGAGACTTTGCAAGACAAATCTTCCAATACCGGATGGATATGAAGATCTTCGCTGTAGACCTTCAAAGCGCCATCCGAGGCTTCCTCGTGCGATGTCACAAGAGAAACAAGGAACAGTACTGGACCGACAAGACTCCTGAAGTTACACTCGTGCAAAGCCTGTTCCGAGCACGTGTTGCGAAAGAAGAGGTTCAAACGTTGAGATCCACGATACAAAGTCATGAGGCAGGCGTTCGATCCTTCCAAGCTGCTGTCCGGGGCGCATTGGCACGTAGAGATGCGGGTGAGCAGTATGAACAGACAAGAGAGGCTGAGACACATGTCAAAGGCCTACAGGCTGCTGTCAGAGGCGCATTGTTACGCATGAGAGTCGCACAAGACGTTGATGATACCAAAAACGCGCGAAAGGAAATCGAAATACTGCAAGCCAATATTCGTGGTATGCTTCAAAGGCGCGTGCAAAGAGCCGATCAAACCAACCTACGACAGCAGGAGACTAACTTGACATTACTTCAAGCGGCTGTCCGGGGTCTTGCTGCCAGAAGAGAGCAGGAAGCCTTGAAAGAGAACTTGGCTGGTACAGCCGTTGACTGGGCGAGTTTTCAGTCCATCCTTCGCGGAAATGCTGTGCGAGAGTCCACCAACCAGATTAAGCAGACTCTTGGATCACACTTGGTAGAAGTTGTGGGACTGCAGTCTCACATCAGAGCTGCACGGCTAAGAGAAGAAGTGGCTGCCATATTGACAGCCTTGCATGGGCAAGAGGAATCCATACTGGAACTTCAGTCAGACATACGTGGATATCTCCGGAGAAAGAAGATATTGTCTACTTTAGAGTCTCTACGCTCGAACGAGCCTGCAGTGATTGACTTGCAGTCCGCCATCAGGGGCTATGCACTTCGACAGCAGACTTATAACACCCTCTTCGAGCTGAACATCCACGAACCACCAACTATTGAACTTCAGGCCCTGTGCCGTGCAATGCTACTCCGCACAAATCTCGACCATTTGTTGAGCCAGCTTGACTCTGAAGAGGAGGTTGTGACTGAGCTGCAGGCGCTGATGCGAGGCGCAATTGTCCGGCGCCAATATGCCGAGAAGCAGAGATTCTACAAGCAGAACATGGAAAAGGTGGTCAAGATCCAGAGCTTCATCCGAGGACGCCAACAAGGCGAGGCATACAAAAGTTTAACATGTGGGAAAAACCCCCCTGTTGGGACCATCAAAAATTTCGTCCACCTCCTCAACGACAGCGATTTTGACTTTGATGAAGAGATTGGTAAGTACAAGACTGGTCTTCCAATCGACTTGGCTGACATCTTGACAGAATTTGAACGGATGCGGAAAACCGTTGTCCAGCACGTTCGCCAAAATGAGATGGCTGAGCAGTACATTGATCAACTAGACATCAAGATCGCGCTATTAGTCAAGAACAAGATCACGCTCGATGAGGTTGTTAAACATCAGCGACATTATGGTGGGACTGTTGGGAACCTTCTATCGAACAAGGAAATAGGGTCAAAGGACCCGTTTGACCTCAAAGCCCTGAACAAGAACTCCCGGCGGAAGCTTGAACACTACCAAGAACTCTTTTTCATGCTCCAAACACAACCTCAGTATTTAGCCCGCTTATTTCGGCGAATCAGAGAGCAAGCTACCGCAGAGAAAGATTGCAAGCGCACAGAACAGCTGATGATGGTTTTGTTCGGCTTTGCGCAGAAGCGACGAGAGGAGTATTATCTGCTCAAGTTAGTAACAAAGGCCATAAGAGAAGAAGTCGACAGCTGTGATAGTTTGCAGGACTACCTGCGCGGCAACTTCTTCTGGAATAAACTGTTCGCAAACTTTATACGGTCTCCTCGAGATCGGAAGTTCCTCCGAGATCTCTTCGGGCCTATTATCAAAGAAAATATCATCGAAAATGAGAGCCTCGACCTGGAAAGCGACCCACTACAGATCTATCGTTCTGCCATCAACAATGAGGAACTCCGGACTGGCCAGAGAAGCCAGCGACCAGTCGATGTGCCGCGAGAGGAAGCTATCAAAGATCAGGAGACCCGTGAAACGTTTATACATCATCTACAGGATCTTCGAGATATTGCCGACCAATTCTTCGCGGCGTTTGAGGATCTCTTGCAACGAATGCCGTATGGAGTTCGCTTCGTCTCTCAGCAAATTTTCGAAATCCTTCGAGATCGCTTTCCTCACGAAGAACAACAGTACCTCCTTCAGATTGTCGGACAGTGGCTTTGGAAGACCTATTTACAGCCTGCTCTGATCCAACCTGAGGTATGGGGTATTGCTGATCGTGGTCTAGCACCTCTACAAAAGCGCAATCTCGGCGAAGTTGCAAAGGTGTTGGGTCAAGTAGCAGCTGGCCGTCTATTCGGTGGGGACAACGTATATCTCCAGCCATTGAATAGCTACATCTCGGAAGCTATGGAGCGTCTGGGAGATATCTGGATAAACAGTAAGTTCTAGTAGACTGGTGTGATGTCTCAACTTTTGTGCTAATATCGAATCAAGTGATCGATGTTCAGAACGCAGAAAGGCAATTCGATATTGATGAGTTTAACGACCTGTACGCACGAACGAAGCCTACGCTTTACATTAAACTCGCAGACATCTTTGCGATCCATCAACTTGTCGTACAGGACATCGCAACGATATGTCCCGCTCAAGACGATACTTTACGGGAAGTCATCAGAGAGCTTGGAAGCGCGAAGAGCAACGAAAGTGAGCTGATTGGTGTCAGTACCAACGAGATCAGTCTTACGCTCAACCCAAAATTGCATGATATCGACGGTAAGTAAATAAGACGACTATTGCTTTATAGACGACTGATCTGTCATAGACCCAGATGCTGCGGTCAAGGCTCTGTTCATGGAAACTAAACGTTGTGTGTTGTTCATCATTCGCATACAAACTGGACCCGATCTACTTTCCATCATGGTCAAGCCGATTACACAAGAGGATGAAGTGTCATGGGAACAACTTGTTCGCGAGGAGCTCGCTACTCACGATCAACCTGCCTCCAAGAAGCGGTCCGCCTACACATCAGACATCGCAGCATCGAGCAGTACTATCATCGACATTACGAATCTCTCATATACTGAGCTCAAACGCACAGCTCTAGAAAACATCCTCACTCTTGAACAGACCGGTCGAATCAGTCGCCATAACCGATACCAAGATCTTCTCAATGCCATCGCGGTTGACATTAGGACGAAACATCGTCGCCGAGTGCAACGGACGCGTGAACTGGACGGTGTCCGTGCCACGCTAAATAATCTTGACGAGAAGGCTGGCTGGCTGGAGGCTCAGCTAAAGTCATACAATGACTACATCGAACAAGCCATGGTGACCCTACAGAACAAGAAGGGGAAAAGGCGCTTTTTACTTCCATTCACCAAACAGTACAATCATGAACGTGAACTTGCTCGCTCTGGCCGTGTTCCAAAATTTGGCTCTTTCAAATACTCTGCTCGCACACTCGCCGACAAGGGCGTTGTCGTCGCTTGGTCTGGATTCCCAGAACACTTGTGGAATCGTATAGACCTCACCATCTCCAGCAACCAAGTTGGCATTTTCCTCATCGAAGGTAGCCAGGGTAGCATGATGATCCCGGGCGCCAGTGCTGAGGTCCCGCTCGACGATCTGCTCCAGGCTCAATTCGACAACCATACTTTCATGAATCTTTTCCAGACTGGCGCTAGCTCTAGAGCCTCCATGGATGAGCGTGCAGGAAGTCTAAGAGGAGGCACGACCAGTGTAGGCGCAGGCGCGCAGGGAGCTCTTCGCCTTAACGTCAACCTGTTCCTGCACCTTGTATTCAAGAAATTTTACCGCGACGCGAGCTGAGTGGCGCGACTTTCATCGTCTCTTTTGGGTCAGTCTTTGTCGCGTTGCTGGTACAGCGAGGAGTGTTTGAGTTACTGTCAACGAGCACGGTCTCGGATATTGCATTGTTAGACGCATGGTTTTCGGAGTAGAGGCTGCTTTCTTTTTGTTCATGTCTTTCCAGGTCTCTTGGAGCGCCCTGCTTGTTAAATTCAGTGCGATGCATACTGTTGAATGGGTTTGATGAGAAGGATGGGGCTGGGTGGTTGGACGATATGAGCTGTGAAGATTGCATGCATACGAACCTGTAGCACTCCCTATGAATACATGACAGATCAAAGATAATCGCTGCCTGTGTTTTTCAGTATAAGTGCTTTGTTGTCTTCGCTGCCCCTATTAAGTTGTATAAGTGATTTAATGTTTGTTTGTTACAAGACGTCCAATCTGATTATGAAATATGAGAACTAGCTGGCAGGAATAAGCCGTAGTCATCTTTTGAGACTTTTCACATTGTAAGGAAATCTACGTCTTCGAAGAACACGTCGTTCAAGCTTTGACCTTGAAGTGCTTCTTGTCCAAAGCATCGAACAGCCGGACACCAATTACGCAGACTGTTGCAGCACTTAGTAAGGCTGTATCATACCAAATGACGGTTTGAAAAGTTGCCGCAGTCCTCTCAGACCCGTCAACTTGTTCCCTGGACAGAATTTCGCCACCAATTGGTGTGCCTCCAAAGGCCCCTAGACCTCGTACAAAGTAGGCAAATCCATTTACTGAGGCATACGCTTGTATACCGAACACCTCCGTGATCGTGGTGGGGAAAAGAGCGTTGTAGCCTGCTTCTATTTTAGCCATAGAGCGATTTTTTGCGTCCGTATACGTACCTCCAGACGTCACGCCGTACATAATAACAAAAGCCACCCAAAGTGCTTTGGTATTAGTGCCGCCGGTTGCTGCCACCGACCACAGGACACCGACACTGAGCGCGGACCCAAGCACACTGACTATTAGCGTATTTTGCCTGCCAGCCTTATCAGCAATGATACCCATCACTATACGGCTGGCCGAGTTAACGCCACTGTTCAGCGACAGAAGCAATGCCCCAAACGCCGTAGTGTAGCCCAGCGCAACTGAAAAGTCCGGCAAAAACGTCAAGGGTACGAAATTGCCCGCTGCTTGCAACAAGGCGCCAGTCGTTTGTAGTATAAATGTTGGCCGCTTTGCAATGGCTATATTTACAAGCGTTGGTCGCCGTTGTACACTTCTGGAGGGACTAGTCGCCAAAGCCACGGGACCAGCAACCAATAGGTTGATCAGGGCTAGGACCCGAAGTGTCCATCGAGGTCCTACGCGGGCAAGAAGATATTGCGTAGTAGGCGACAGCACGAGGCCGCCTATACCAGACCCGGCAAGAATCAAGCCCATGGCAGCACCTCGATGGTCGTCGAAATATTCAGGCGCGATGGACATGATTGGGAAGTATAGAAGCGAGCTGCCGACGCCATAGATGAGACCTTGGGTTATGAGGAGATGCCATGTTGTTGTGCTTAGCGAGGCCAGTGCGAAACCAAGACTGATGAGCAGAGCGCCTGCCGCAGTGAGCTTGCGCAAATCATTGGAACGAGCCATGAGGGGGTTCACGAATATACTGCCTGCCCACGTAAGACCTGCTCCGAGCACCCCGACAAACGCTATCAACGCGATGTTTCGTCTTTCATTGGCGCTGATGAGGGAATTCGGGTCCGATATGTAAAAGTTTTGAAAGACACCGTAAGTCTGATTAAGTCCTGTGGAAGTTAGTATTCATTGGAAGCTAAAGCTCTGGTAAAATGTAGAATTGAGTCAGTACCGATGGTCATGAATACGCAAAAGAAGCTAGAGATCAAGACAGTGATCTGTGTCTTGCGTGTGATTGGCAGAAGCTCTTGCTCGAATGATGCACCATGCAGACTGCCGATGTCACTGATCCTAGACTGGTTCGTCTGGTGCAGTTCAAGGTCGTCGGAAGGATATGCACTTATATGCGACTGGTAGGCCGTTTCAGTAGTAGTTGCCATTTCTCTGAGGATGTCTCTGTCAGTCGCGTCATGTAGAGTGGTCGTGAGGTGAAGATATATTTGTCGGAGGTGAGTCAGATGCGGGAACTGTAGGAGCAAGATCCCGTTGTGATCGCCCAGAAAACTGCCAATTGCGGCAACTCGAAAGGCTACGCGTAAATCCGTAGCGAATTCTCCCGGCCACTTGACATAATGTGCCTTACAGCGACCTGCATTTACCAACATCGATAGGATTGATGATATCAATAGGGTGTATTGCGTTTTGCTTTGTTTGCCGTTCATGTGTCGAGAAGATACAATAACCATCTAACGCCATGATATCTACATGCGAACAATTAATACCGACAGGGTATCATACCAATGATTGAAAACCTATTGCCATCCTCCTTGCGGCTGCTGGGGCGGCTGCTGACCAGGTCGTGGAAATACAGGCATTGTTGGGAGCTGCTCCAAGCCTCCCATAGTACCTTGACCTGGAGCGGATTGCCACCCCTGGCCAGTCTGCTGATTGACAAACATACTTTGTCTGAAAGGGTTGGTAGTACCCGTAGGATTTGGCATTAACCCTTGTAGAGTAGAGACAGGAGAAGACGACGCCTGGCTTGGCGATGAATTCCGAGCGAAAGGGTTGGTACCTGTCTGAGTTGGGAGCAAACTCTGAGGTTGCTGTGGTTGTACGAACGGTGACGGTTGTGGTGCCTGCATTGAAGTATTGCTATACGCCTGGGGTATATGTGGCACGTTTGGCACCTGTTGCTGGGTCGGTGAAGGGTTTCTCGCAAACGGATTGGTGGGAGACCGACTTAAACCAGCTGTATTCTGTTGGCCTGCCAGGTTTGGATTTAAGCCACCAGTCTGAGTGGGTAACATAGATTGACGGAACGGATTTGTTGATTGAGGTTGGAGGGCCCCCGGAGATGTTACCGGGTTCTGAAATTGATGTTGCTGTTGCTGTTGCTGTTGCTGCTGCTGTTGAGAGAAATCCACCATTCCATTCTGCGGAATTGACTGTAGGGAAAGGCCCTGCGGATTGAACTGCTGTTGAGGCTGATGGGTGTACCCTCCAAATCCTGCTCCTGTGAAGCTCTGTTGGACTTGCTGAACCTGCTGCGGTTGTCCAAACGGATCCGCGGCGTTTGTTGCGAATCCGTGTTGCGATAGCTGCTCCTGAACATTGGGCTGTTGCATGAGACCACTTTGCTGCTGGAATCCTGATTGTTGCTGCTGCTGCTGCCGCTGATATGGAAAGGGAGTTTGAAACTGCTGTGGCTGGCCAGCTTGTGTCACCATTGGCTGCTGATTCTGCTCGATCGAATCAAAGAAATCAATGAGATCAGCCCCCGGTTTAATTGCTTGCTGCGTCGCTCCGGCAGTTGTTGGTCGAGCATCTTGAGTGGCCTTAGTTTCTGTCCTTGCGGGAGTCGTACGAGATGCTCCCGCAGACTCATTCGTGCCATTAGCAGCCTTGCTACCCTTTTTGGCGTCTTTGGCGATGAGATATTGCCTACGACTCGTTTCGAAATCTGGTGCATTCAGATACTCTTCTAACGATTTTGCGAGACTTGTCGGGGCGTGCTTTATCTTGGGTATCTCCAGCCGCGTTGAGTGTTCATGCAATCTTGCAATGCTCAGATATTGAACAACCAGCTCTGTTTGTTTGCAGAATGTTCGATATATTCTCAGCGCTCGTTCCGCGTCTGGATGTGACATCTCGAAATAGTGTTCCAGAACGTTAATTGTACCTTCGTTCATAATATGGAACAGGACAAGCAAGTCCATGGTCAGTAAGCGGAAGGCTACGAGTGTGATTTCGTTCTCTGGCTCGTCTTGAAACAGCTAGATTCCGTATTAGCTTCAATATGTGCCTCAAGCTGTACTCTCACACCTCGCATTGAACAAGCGCCTTGATCTGGTTCTGTACAGCCTCTGTCTCTCGTAGCAGGCCTTTGTCCACACTCAGCCTTTTTAACCTCCCTTCTCCGCCGCGTACATAATCAACCTTCGTTTGTCCATAGGCTCGCGCTCGTTCAAGTAGGTATTCTGAGTATGTACGTATGTTACGACCTTGCGTTTGAGCTAGAGATAAATTCAGTCAGTACAGGTTCCACCTTGGCCATTAAAGGTATGCGAAGTCCTTGTATTCAATAGCACGCATCATAGCCATATGCACTAATTGATACCTTGCCCACCTCTGGGGTAGGGCGCAGTACTAGCGAGTATGCAAGTGGAGAGCCCTCGAGCCTTTGACGAACCTTCTGTGAAATGATTTATTGCAAGCTTCCGCGAGGGCGAATGCGACATGAATTTCAGGGTCACATCGGGCTCTCCTTCTCTTATCATCAAATGTATGATTATGAGCGATTTGAAGACCACTGTCCATGTCGTATCGCGAAGTCTATTCTGCAACGCACGGAAGATCTCACCGACGCCTGCTTCGCCTGCATGCGTGGCTACGAGGATATGTTCGACATATTTAGATTTAGGAGGCGCAAGCTGGAAGACGTCAGTCCCAATCTCGAATGATACACATAGGATTGTAGGCTGATAAGACTTGATTTTGACTGACTTTTATCTTGGTACCTCCCTTCACTGATTTCTCGAATGAGCTCGCCATATATAATACAATGCAGATGCTGCGTCAGCTGGGGCAGTCGCTAGAGTCTGGTCAAGGATCGGTGAAGTCAGATTGTTGCCATGGCGTGTCTGAATAATAATGAGGAGTATGAATTGGAAACACTTCTGAATGGAAGAAGCCGGGTCAATCGAGAATTGTCACAATCACCTGCAGATGTGTTGGCGACCCGCAGTAGGGTTGTTCTTCGTGGACTTGCCCACCATCCCGGAAGCTCGCCGCTTGCCTTCTTGGAGGAGCGCACGGGCCATCAATGACGCTGCCCGTTGGCTGCACGAATACGAAAACAAAGAAGCCTCATATCTGCCTAATCAATGAGTATTAGCGACCATTCTTAAGACAAGATGTGTAACCTTCTGCATACCTTTCTCATCGGTCCTAGCATGATGTGTTGACTGGCCCATAAATAGCATTACCCTAAACCCCCTTAATGAGGTACTTGTTCGTAGCCGAAATCTAAGCGCGACCGCGCCGAGGATGTTCTACATTACCTTTACACGACATGTCAATACAAGAGATTGGTAGCGGAGGATCGTTCGTTGTTAAGATAGCTGCTGTGTTCAAAGTGTCGATACAGCCCTTATCAATAACAGAAACCATTCATTGTTGTTGCTGCTGTGTGACGATTGGATGAAACGAGCCATAACAGAGAAACACGTACAAGAAGAAGGTATCCAAAATGCCTAAAGACGAAAAAGCACACACATCTCCGTATGTCTCCATCATATCAGGCGGCGTTGCTGGCGGTATCGAGGCCTTTTCGACATATCCATTCGAATTTACGAAGACCCGCGTGCAGCTTCATCAAGAGAAAGGCATATCACAAAAACTCCCCAGAAATCCATACAAGATAGCATTCCAATTATATCGAGATGAGGGCCTGCGGGCTATGTACAAGGGTTGTGGGTCCCTTGTTGTTGGCAGTATCGCGAAGGATGCTGTGCGCTTTCTATCCTTCGACACGGTCAAGAACGCTTTCAAAGATCCAGAGACAGGAACACTATCACCACTGAGGAATATGCTTGGTGGCATGGTATCTGGTGTTGTTGCATCAATTTTTGCCGTTACGCCGACAGAGCGACTCAAAACCGCGCTCATAGACGATGCAAGAGGAGCGAAACGTTACAAGAATGGCGTGCATGCTATCCAGTTAATTATCAAAGAAGACGGCCTTAAAGGGCTGTACCGTGGCTTTGTCGGAACTACATTAAAGCAAGCTGGCGCAACATCTTTCCGCATGGGCAGTTACAATATCATCAAAGATTATGAGCGAACGAAAGGCATCACTCAGAATACGGCAGTCAACTTCATCAACGGAAGCATAGCCGGTATTATAACCACAGTGTCAACTCAACCATTCGACGTCATCAAGACAAGAAGTCAGACTGCAAAGGTTACCACGACAAAGCAAGCCATAGCAAGTGTGATGAAGTACGACGGCATCAAAGGATTCTGGAGAGGGACAGTAATGCGGCTAAGTCGGACTGTTTTCAGTGGTGGTAAGTCCGAGAAAGTCAAGTTTTACCCCTTAATGCTACAAGCACTGATGAAACAATGCTCGTAGGTATCCTCTTTACATCTGCGGAAGCTGTTGCTAAGATTATAGACCCCTTATTCACACAGCAAACTGAATTAGATTAGATGGAATAGATGGCTGCTCCGTAGAATGAAGAGCAATATTTTAGACTTTCGAACGCTGTTGGAGAAATGAGATCGAAAGTCTATTTTGTTTGGCTGGGAAGGATGGTAAGACTCTCATACTAGAAAAGATGGCCGAGAGGTTGTGCTCAATACAGGCGAGCGGAACCCTTACGATGGTTGTCGTTCAATTGGAATATATGACGATAACCGAATAGAGCAGTGCGGTGACTATGGGCGCAATAGGCATCCTTGTAAGAGCTTTTATACAAAAGAATATTATATGTACAATACAGTACCAAAATGTGTTCACATGACGCCGCCTTTATGGTTTTCTCGACGCCTATAATGCCATCCTAATATATACTGAGTCCTGCTATGAAGCCTTTGTCTCTACTTGCGTTGTTGTGTCTATCTCCAGATCTTCCTCGTCAGCATAGTCGAAGTCTTCTTCGTCTTCGATAGAACTTCTGCCAGTGAGAGCATCTAAAATACGTTGTAGTAGCCCCTGCTTCTGCACCATGGCCAGTACAAGCACAATAGGCAAATGCCATACACTGGCCCAAAACAAACCCCTGGCGCTCCCTTTCTGCCCCTCGAACTTCCAAAACCGCACAGCCTCATAGAACATCCACCCATTAATTGCCGTACTCGTTATCGCGAAGCTCCAATCTGTTACACCTACGACACAGAGCCCAACGCAGATTGGAAACATAAGGACAGAATATCGCAGCGCCACTCTTGCATTCATCGCCGGGTTGACCCACGCCAGCATCTTATACCCGGCATTTCTGTACTCTTCGCGAATCGTCCAGCTTAGCGAATTGAAATGTGGAAACTGCCAGCAGTATAGCAAGCCCGCTAATAGCCAACCACCTGCACTATTCTCGCCGAAGAGCAGCTCTTGCCATCCACCATCTTCAGTTGCGCACTGGCCAGCTGCCGCAGCCCAGCCCATCAGTGGCGGAATGCCACCCACAAGCGCCCCGACCCATGTATTAACCACATGAATGCGCTTGAACGGCGTATATACACCTGCATACAGCGCGATGTTCAGTGCACCAAGAAACGCGACCGTGGGATTGACACCATAGTATAATGCTGCAGTACCTAACGTACCCGTGACGAGAGCGAATATGAAGGCGCCGCGAGGCGAGACGAGCTTTCGCACGAGAGGGCGATTGCGGGTGCGGGACATCTTGGCGTCATGGGCGGGCTCGAAGAGCATATTGAGGGTGTTGGCGGAAGCGCTGGCGAGAATGGTTCCGGACGTAAGAAAGAGGAGTGTAAGGGTGGAAAGAGAGGGCGTGGTGGTTGCTGCGACGGAGAGAAGGGCGGGAACAGGGAATATGCCGTATGCGGAGGTCGTGGTGAGCATTACCAGGATCGTGAGGCGTGGTTTGGAGAGTGAAAGATAAGTTGCGATGCGTCGTTTGAGAGAGTTTGAAGGGAGTGCAGCAGAGGCTGTTGTCAGTCGTGATGAAGCATCGGGCGCGATAGGATAGCTTGGTGTTATGGCTGTCGCAGCAGAGGCAGCATCTTCCTTCAAGCGCTTTCGCCGACGATGTGGATATTCATCTTGCTGTACGGATTGGTTTGACAGGCTCTCTTGAGGTCGAACATCCTCCAGATTCAGTGATGTGGTTACTCCGTCTCTTGCGATGACCTCTTGTCCCCCCACTGCTTTTTGTTGTAAACCTCTTCTAGGCTGTCCTAGCACTTCTTCTAGTATTTTATTTGGCCAGAAGTATTCTTTAGAAAAAGTGCTGCGAATCGACTTTGAGCTCACCGCAGAGGCTTTGGAGGGAGTTGTGTTCGATAGTCTTCGTTGCTGAGATAGATAGAATGGACGAGCGAGCTTATGCAAGCATTGTGAACAAATTGCGTCTCCTCGCTGGAGTAATGGTCGCCGCAAGAGAACCACAGGAGCCGTGTTCATCATTGACTTGAGAAGTCCTTTGGTGGTCGCAGTCAAGGAATGAACGAGGAAAAGAATTCATGTTACTCTCGTCCATAGCTGCTACGGCGGGCGCTTCAAGTCCTAAGCACAAATCGACTCTGTCAGGTTCGAATTAGCTGTTACTCTTGGCATTTATCTCAAGTCTATACCTACCACGCTCGTGGGCCCTTGATCTACATATTCACCTCTCTCTCTGGGCAAGGTCCGCAATCATGATATGATATATTTATATAGACTTATATAGTAGGAGTAGATGAATTTACTTATATGGTAACAGACTTAGGGTCTCTAATCTAGCTTATGATAAGATAATTCAGATATACAAAAAGGAGGGCAGATGTAAGACCATCTTTGTTTGATTCCTATATTATTTTTGAAAGACTTTATATAATGCTATAGAGAAAGGCCTACATTACTACATATATATATATATATATAGGTAAGACGGCTTTCATTGCGCTGCAGGTGCGTACAATAAGCGCCAAGAGTGACAGATAATTCGGGCACAGTGGGTTTGAGCCTGACGTGTGGGACAATCGATCCATCTGTATGCTCCGCTATATAAACGGCTTTACAATTGAATGCACACAGATGGAACACGCTGTATTATACATCAATGCCGTCCACCATAAATTCCTTTGACTGTCTCTACGGATTCTCATTCTCGGTGAAGGACACCAGAATCAGCACTCTGGCGCGCAAGGGCTGGCTATATCTCGTAGCAGGGTGAAACAATCATACACCGAGGAGAAGTCTTGTGAGGACAATACCGCTACCTAAATCCATTGAATCCTTGTGTCCTCTAGGCACAGGGCGGAAATACCACCCGTGGACGATCCGTATCTGGAGGATACGAGGTAGCCACGACTGCAGCCAGATTTCGCGTCCCCTCACCTTGCTGCATGCACCATCGCACAAAGATTACAGCGACAATAATAAAAACACAACAGCGAGTGCACCAACTGCCCCTCCGACTACACTCTCATCCGAGGATAGTGGTGAGGCTGATCGAGACGAAGCGGATGATGGCTCTGACCCGACGAAAGGCAAAGCTGATTCTAACACATAAATCGGATCAGCCATCGACGAGATCATCGTATTGATGAAAGCGAAAAGGTTTTCGCGAGGCATAACGAACTGGTCGCACTTTGCATGCTATTAGGAACCTGATTCCCGGGTTGTGTGCGGTGTCTATTCGAGCGACATGATGTCTTCATTGAAAAAAAAGAAGTTTGGTGTGTGCACACTTCAACGAAGAAACTCTATCCATTGAATTGTGCTAGCATCGAATTTCCCAATTCATGCCTGCGCCTCGATGTTGCGTTACGGAGCCAAATACTAGTCGGACCTATCATTGATAGTACCCAATACACCATGGACAACCAGAACAAGCCGAATCCCTCCTATGACGTATAAGGGCGCCGACCGATGCAGCTGGGATCATATATCCATAATTTTGTATCTCAGGTCCATCTGAACACGGAGACCCCTCCGGCGAGGGCAACCCGCTCGCATACATTGAGCACCAACAACCCTCATCTCATCTCCTCATTCAATACCCCTGATCTTCATCGCACACGACGTCGACATCGGTATGACCTGTCGAACCGCTCCCAGATCCAGATCGCGCAGCGTGCTAGGTGTGAGTGTCGAATCAGAAGATCAGAAGTTTGGTACGATGGCGGGCGCAAGGCTTTTAGGTTCCACGCGGCCAAGGGACTTGCGCAGGGGCTTCCCGAGTTCGGTGCAACTGGGTACCTTGGCATCAACGTCAAGTGATCGACGAAGACGACAACATGAAGGAAACACGATGAGTCGGAATGTAAAATCACAGGGATCCTCGTGAGGCATGTCGACTTGGAAGAAAAACAGGTGCTGGCATTCAATATCAATTTATGTACGGCAAACCCTGACCCATCGCCAAACGAAGTGCGAAACATCAGTATGCATAAAATTCTAGCTTCTCGGCTGGCTGATTTGCAACAAGTTTGTCTGCCCAAGAGCATTCTGCGTGTACCGCGCGTTGAATTTGATAATCCCTTTGATGGTATTGTATTGTGCAATACTCATCGTCAGTGGTGTCGTCGCGATGATGAATTGTGTATTCTCAGTGCACGGGGGCGTCGTCAGGCTGCCTTCGTAGACTTTGCGTGCCGCTGAAGATGCAAAAGCGTTGCGAATAGGCGTGAAATTAAGATTGCCTGTCATTGTTGTGCTGCCCGGGCTAGTCACCGAGGCAGCGTTTTGAAGTACACTTGTGAGGAAAGCGTTAGCAGACGTGCCGATGTTAAAGAGCACAGTGAGGACGACGTTGTTAGCAGGGTCCCCTGGCAAAGGTTTAGTCCTGTGTTCCATAGTCGGTTTGGAGCTGTAACTTACGTGCCGCATTGACAATATGCATTTCAAGGGGAAACGACTCGCCGTTGATCCGATGTTCAGAAGGGGTGTGGAAGTGAAAGTTGTTGAATAGGAAAGTACGATCGCCAACCACGATACTGTATGAAGCGGTGCCTTTGTTCACAACTTCGAGTGTGGTCCCGATATTTTCGAGCTCCATAGCATTACCGTCAGGGTAGTTGATGGTTGGGGCTTCTCCTGTTTGGATGCTGCTATCTAGGATCGGGTCAATATGGGTATCGAAACATGAAAGCAGGCTAACTTACCAAGGTTGATAGGGGACTGCTTTTTACCTGTTGCACAAACTTTGTTGGCACCTTGATACCAGCCCTGCAGGTTTGCCCAGTTGAAAGGTCCAGTTGAGCTTCCAGTGTATGTATAGTTCGATACTTTGACAGACTCTGCTCTCCAGCTGAGATGTGCCGCATGAGCAGATATAGCAATCATGCCAACCAAGGCCGTCTTTTTGAAAAACATAACGATAAGGATAGGTAGACAAGACGAATATGTGGGGATAGGTAAGGATATGAAGAACACTTTGGGATGTATGAACTGCGATGTTGATGGTGATATCGCTGCACATGAGGAGTCGAGCATTTTATACACGAAAGTCCCTTACCTACGACTACAGTCAGATGCTCCGACGCTTCAAGGACTGAATCGCCTTGGGCACGCATTTCGAAAAGCTCCCCTCCTGTATAATCCACCACGATGATCGCCAAGATTTAGTGAACGGATCGTATGACCAGGGCGATACGGCTGAGACAGCGATATCAAGGATGGCTTGACTCGGCCAAAGACAATTTCCTGGCCTTCTGTCGCAATGTATGGATAAGCAGACCCGTAGGGAACGGAGAGGCGTATTTCAGAAGCATCCAGATTCAGATCAGACCGGCAAGACTGCCTCGATGGATCCTTCTCTGCTCAAAACGCGTGGAGCACGCTATCTATCACCTTTAGTGGTTTGGCATAAACAAGGAATGTGACATTGCGGAATGACACAAGACCTGAAATGGACGCGCAAGTCAAACTTCTGCTGCCTGGAAGTGGGATATCACGATAGCTTTCTATACGAGTCTTCAGGGGCAAAAATCATAAGACGTTCGATATGTGTGCAGCATACCCGTTAGGTGCGCGCCCTTCAGTGAGCCAGCAGCCTTGCAAGATATCAACCACAACATGTTGTGCACAAGATTAAGCAAGCTTTCAGTCAGAGACTTCAAGTCTAGAACATAGCTTTAGTTAAATCATGGCCGCATGAACGACCTCTCCAATAGGACTATCCTTTCTACAGTTCTTATGTTAAAGCCCCCAGACCGCTTGGGCCAGCCCTGAAGGGGAAGTTGGTGGGCGAGATCAGAACAGTCAATTGGTCTGACCGTCCTCAGACACTGTGCCTAGATAGAGTATAGATTCAGCCTTCAAGACCCTGGCCCTCTGCACGTGTTCCACATAGGCTTTACAGATTCATGTCCAAAGCTGTCCAAGTGACTGAGGCTGAGATAGTGTCTGTTGTGAGCATGCCCCAAAAGCAAAGGATCCCAGGCACTCACACTGCCAAATCAGATTGCCTCCAGGCCGGACTGTGGCGATGGGATTCCCATCGATTTTGCTCGAAGTGACGAACACTTTGGCTCCCGGGCAAATGGCACATACCAAACGGTGGTTATATCATAGGACATTGCGGAATAGGTATACAGCAAGCACTAATGAATACTACTTCTACTGCTCACCCTTGGCAACAATTCCACGTCCCCTTTCATCAGGATGTCTAAACGTCTGTGGCTGTCGCGTTCTTAGTAGCTTTAAGCATGCTTAGGTTTGTCAGCAATTGTATGACTCTGTGACGTTCATATTGCTTTTTCTGAAAATCAACAGAGTGCCAGTTTTAGGACAGATGGACAGGACGTCAAATCCTTTGCACTTGCGCCAAGGCAGAATCAGGACATGTTTAAGTGCCGCGAACGTACGTCCTGGATATGAGCGGGAAATAGCGGCATGTAAGCTTGCGCCACTATGACACTTTCTCTGGAGAGATCTGCGTAAGCGTAGTGGCACGTGGAGTGGTGCGCCTGAGCCAGTACAAGTTTGTATGCTTATCCAGATTTGCGCCACCGGGGCCGAAGCTTACTCTGAGTTGAAGCTTTGGAACATCTCATAGATGACTTATTCGCTGTGCCGGTGGACCGTCGCATGACATCTTGCCTGGCGAAATTACTTTGCCAGTCTAAGGACACGGCGAAAATCGCATAGCGTATGACTCTCCTCTAAAGCATTGGCTGATTGCAATGAAGCCTCGTCCTAGGCCTCATTGCGTGAATATCGTCATGTGCGCCCCTCAAATTTTTTCTCCACACTATGCCTAAGGAAGAACCGATTACAAGCTATTCACTATGCGTGGAACCGCATTCCAAACCTTACCACACTCCTAGGCCGGAGGGGCGCGGTGACTGGACGCTCATTTCAAAGAGGTGTTAGACTGAATAGCAATGCTAAACGAAGAGCAGAAGTGATTGGTATGGTAGTACTAGATATGAAGCAAAGTAAGGGGCAAGCACTCTCCGTAGGAGATGATATACAGGTGTGAGACTTTGTGACAAGTAGGCAATCTTGGACGACCGCTTTCCTTGAATTATCAAGATAGCCGTGCTGGCTTAGCAATAGCATACAACTTCCCAAAGACCTGACTTTTTCCGGATTGAAATAGCTCGGATTTTTCTCCAGAAACTGACTGCAGGTATTCAAGATAGTGGCCATGCGACTGTAGAGCTCCCGCATGCAGTGCCGATCATCACAGATTGATGAATAAGACACTGGCATATGATTCCTCGTTGTGGCTTCGGATAGCTTGGATATGTCGGTGTCTCTACATATGAAAGCTAGCCTAGTGGTTCGCTCAGACTAGACTTTCACTCTTGACACCAAGAGTATCGGATATGTCGGTTCACGGACTCTGGGCGTGTACCTCATGGTCGCAAGACCCAAGCCTTCGGTCCCCTATTTCTAGAGAACTTAATATATGACATCATCTCATCATTGTAGTGTGTGATCTCAGTCTTAGGCTACCGCTGTGTAGAGCTTCCCACTTCCATAAAAGAGTAGACCAGCATAGTCTGAAGCCGTACAGTCTGTGACATAGTCACCGACTGAGCCTGTTGTAGCACAATTGAAGCGACTAGAGAGTTCACAAAGGTCACTGTTGTAGGCTAGAATGAACAAAATATGGACAGAAATGTATATAACGCAGATCCTCCAGAGAGATTGACAACACACCGCCGACACCAGAAGTAAATATCTCCTGGAACGGTGCCACTGATGATACCACATCAGGCTGCTATTGATACTGTGGCTACTATACTAATGTGCTATGCGATTATATCGCGCGCGATACCACCAGAAGCTTGGGGGACAAGGGGCAAAACTGCGGTGGCAGGCAAGCTGATGGGCTTCTTTACAGCTACAGCCAGTTTTTACATGAGCATGCGCGCGGAATCTTGATGGATGTGATAGTTGTCCATTTACACTTATCGCGAAGCATAATTGCAAGGTCTCGTTAGAGAGTTCGACTCTAGAACGTGCAATTCCTCACTGACAGCTGACTACTGTGAACTTACATATCTTTCGTTCCATAGACCTTGTTTCAGCTACAGATTATAACTCCGTGACTTTTGCATCTCTGACCTCGGAGGATCCATGCTTGGGTCCACGTGAAAGATATGGTGAAAGCCTGAAAGGAGACAGTAGCCAGATCGTTACACAGCGTAGTGTACAAGACTCTGCATCTAGGCGGTTTGGAAACTATAGAAAACATCCAGGCACAACCGTCTTGAATGCTATAAAGCCCTTTGGAAAGATCTTAAATGTCTAAAAACCGACACTTGATTCGAACTAAAGTCAAGATTTCATAGAGAAACATGCTATACTGCTGAGTTCCGTCAAGTCTCTACAGCGCGTACTGTGTCACATGCGTAGTTCATGTACAGCAATGATATTTACTGTGGCTTTACATGCAAATCGGGCGTTCACGGATCGTGCAGCTCTGTGTCGCACTCAGAGGCAGAATGCAAACAGCCATGTCGCGCCCACCAGGATTGATTTCTCAGAGAAGGATCTACCTGGCAGCTCAGTAGCTACTGCATTAGATACTCTGTATTTCCTTGAAGGATATGTTAATGCTGAATACGACTGATTCCAAGTCGTCACGCAAAATAGACCTATCGAACGTTCAACCTAGACTTTCTAATAATTACGCCAGCATAACATATTTTAATGTCCACCCCTGAGACCGAGGCCGCTTCCTATATGATGGGCTATTCTTCTCCTGAAGCCGAACGTCTCGACTCACAACATATCCTCATGCGCCACATGAACGCAAATCGCTTGCTCTCCCCGCAACTCCACTCCGCAGTTAGAGCTGGGAAGATCAAAAAGATCCTAGACATCGGTACAGGCACCGGAATTTGGCCATATGACACCACCAGCGAGATGAAAACACTTGGTGCATCAGGCCCATTGAGATTTGTTGGAACGGACGTCGCCCAAAGCGTGCATTGGGTGCGACATCAGATTTTCGATTCAAATATATACGCAACCATCACGTTCGACATCATAGATCTTAATGACGAGGATAGCATGATGGGACTTCGAGATAAATACGGACCGTTCGATCTGGTCCACTCGCGGCTCCTATTCAGCTCGATCAAGGATGGCAAATGGCCTGCATACTTAGCCAGGATCTTCAGGCTCTTGCGCCCTGGCGGCTACGTACAGCTGGTCGAGAACGACATAGTCAATGCTGCAGCGTGTATGAACAACCAGATAGCGGCAGAGAGCCTGGTGATTGCATACGGGATATACAGAGGCTTGGGACTGCAAGTTGACATCGCAGCACACCTGGCAAAGCTCCAACTTCATGCCGGATTTGTGGATATCTCCGACGAGCTCCGCCTGGTTACAACGTGCCATCGCAAGTCAGACGGCAATATCGTGGTAGACAATGTGGCTCATGAGTGGATTGTGAGCGCATTTCAAACGCTTAAGCCTCTGTTTCGGAAGTTTCGAACTGCACCAAATTATGCGGAGTTGATCTCCAATATGCCACCACAAGTCTATGACAACGCACCTGAGAGTAGACCCGAATTGCTTTTAGCGGATGAAGATGCCTATAGTGATTTTCAGGAACGACATGAGGAGATCAGCAGGACTGATCCCTTGTATCAATTGTCTTTTCGGATTGTCGTTGGAAAGAAGCCAGAGTGATCAATGTTACCGTATCGTCATATACCTTGCATAGCACTCTGTAGCGGAGTTCCAATAGAGTCCGTACTAAAGCTTTAGAGGTGTCATATAAAAACGTGGAAACCCCCTAGCAGATTATACGAAAGACATTATGAGTAGAAGTTGAGATATCTGGATGCTTTGTCTGTCGTCTTCTATGCGTTTTGTGAACATCATTGAGTGTATCATCACTTTCTATGGTATCTAGGTGTTCTATAAGAAGTCTAAAGTAATTCTATATGCGACATTTTCAAGATGACGACGAGCTTGCCTTCGAATACGTCTCATCTTTTTCGTCTTCACTCCCGCGACTCTCGGACTCTTGTAACACCTCACCACGGACATGCTCGTCCTTTGCTGCCTCCGTCTCTCGCTTCTCCACGTCAAGCGTCCTGACACCCTTGCGGATGTCCTTCTCCGTCTTGACCGGATTCTCCTTCTTCGCATGCGCTTCAGCAAATATCGCATCCAGCGTTTCAAGCTTGTATCCGTTAGTCTCCGGAAAGTAGAAGTAGACGACCGGAATGAACATGAAATTGAAGCACATGAACACAAAGTACGTTTTCCACGCAATTGTGCTGATCATGATCGGCGCCAGTTGCACGACCAAGTAGTTGAACACCCAATTCGCCGATGTAGACAGCCCATTGGCCTCTGCTCTGATGCGGATGGGTGTGACTTCGGCTGGGTACAGCCAGGTGATTCCGAGCCAGCCGATGGCGAAGAATGTCACAAAGATGAATATGAATACGGTGGCGACGTAGGCAGGAGCATGGCCGTGGGTTTCGGCAGCTGCCAAACAGATGCCGATGACCATGAGCGAGAGAGCCATGCCGAGTGCACACCACATCATGAGCTGGCGTCGGCCTAGGCGATCGACGGTGTAAAGTGCGACGATGGCAGCTGCGAAGAACTCTGTGCCTAGGCAAGCAGTCATCAGCCGCGAGAGCTCAGGACCGAAGCCTAAAGAAGACTCGAATACAACTGTTGAGTAGTACGTAACTAAGTTGAGTCCCCCTGCCTGCTGAAAGGCTTGCGACAGGAATGCTACAGTGGCGCGCCAGAGGTTCATTTCTGGTCCGTTGGTGAAGAACTCCCTGACTGTGAGTCTGGTGTGAGTAGTGACGGCGTTGATTTTTCGAATCTCGGCAAGATCTTCACGGAGGACTTCGTCATGGTCATCGGCATCTAACAGGTTCTTCAAGATTGCAACAGCATCCTCATCTTTGCCATGCTTAATCAACCAGCGAGGTGACTCTGGGAATGTGAGAATGCCAAGGATTATCATGACACCAAAGAAAGCTTGGAAAGCTACTGGGAAGCGCCATTGGAGAGAGCCATATTTCGTGACAAACCAGAAACCGTAGTTGATCCTTCACATCAGTCAGTTCGTGGTTGCCTGTGAGTTATTAATGTTGATGTGTGCTCACCAATAGCTGACCATGATGCCTCCCGTAATCAATGCACCCTCGAACAATACCAGGAATCCCCTGATCTTGGGAGGTGCCATCTCACTCTGCCATACGGGGATACTACTTGTGTTCATTCCATTGCCAATACCAGTAACTATTCTCCCAACAATGAGCTGTGCCAACCCAAAGCTAGTTGCCTGAATGACAGTTCCGATGAGCATAATGAATGTGCCCAGGAGGACCGATCGCCGTCTACCGAGCTTATCGCCCAAGAAGATGATGCCAATCGATCCAGCGAGACAACCAATTTCGTAGATGGCGACGACGAGAGCTTGAATAGCACCTGATTTATTCGAAGGCTCCATTGACGGGAACAGGGAGAGGAACTTTGGTTCTGTAATTATGCCAGCCATGACACCCTCTGTTAACCCAGTCAGTATTGGGAAGCTATCATCTTGATGGGATTTTGGGGATGTCACATACGATCATACCCAAAAAGAAGGAAGCCAGATGCAGCTGTAGCACATACACCGACCTCCAAGACCTTACCGCCGACATGGCCACCAAGCCAGCCTCGGTGTGAGAATCCGTACATTTGGATTTAGTACTTCAAAGTGATATGTTCGGCTTCAAAACACAAAATACACATCAGCAGATAGTAGACCAGGAATCAACTCGAGTACTTCAACGCTTGCTTTTCGTTTTCAAATACGGGGCCCCATCGACTCCTTATCGTTCTCACTTTTGTTCTCATCTCCATCCCGCGAACACTAGATCTCGAGACGATATGGATGTGTTGGACGCGTGACATCATATTTGTGGTTTTTTGAGAGTTCTTGCTTACTGTCATTGCGCCATGTGGATGTGCTCCACTAATGATCTGAATCGCTCGACACGAGTCCAGAATCAGGTGAGGTTCGAGCGTGCGTATTGAAATCTAGGGGCCAGAGCAGATAACAAGCTGTCTAAGCGACAGGATCTTGAAGCAGCTGCAAGCATTAGTGAAATTCAATATCATACGCCCGACTAATGTTTATGGCACATAAGCTTTTCGCCTTGGTGTTGAGAACAAGTCGTGCGGAAGATACTCCGCTGCTGTGTGCCAAGCGTGCCGGACCCACTCGAGTGAAGATCCCAATACGGATGATGTCACCTGTGGGCACGGCTGGTCTTCTTTGCATCGACAATACAGTTTCAGGCATCCTTGCGTACTGCTTGTGGACTCTCAAAGCATTCAGTATACATTCCAGCGAAGGATATTCCGGTGCCGTCATATGTCACGTCAAGTATTATTCATATGCGGTCGCTAACATGAAATCAAGCGATTAGTCGAATCAGCAAGAGAACTTCTCATAGATCCTCCATAGTACGTACAAGGATGGCCTTTGCGTGATCAGGAAGCTTAGTTAACGAAGATAACAGCTTTGATCCGACAAATCTCTCCCGCTCAATGCTCGGCTTATGGGGAATGCGCTTCGAACATCAGAAACGTAGGTAGCCTAGCCGGTGTAATAATCACTGGTACCATTATAGCACATTCGGTTCATCTGTCGTCCCAAATATGACACAGTAATCAATAAATGCACTTGTCCCAGTTTGATCCCTGACTTCACAAGATTTAGCGTGTCTGATGGCATCAAGACATTTCAATACCACAGGTGTAGTAGATTATAGAACTTATGTTTCAATGCCAATCCGGGAAGATACCTGAGGGTTTATGCCTTGGGGTGGACAGAAGCCTGCGATTGGTACATTCCACCTTGTTCCTAGGAACTGGAAACTGGATACTAACCCGCAAGGTGGGTTGGTCTCCACTTGTAGAGAACTGTGCCGTGTGGAGAGGAGTTGCGGTGTACAAGACTAGACGTGAGGTAATCCTCGGGGAACGAGATCCGGGGGCCAGTGGCAATAGAAACTGGCGTGGATAGACCTAGAAGGAGCAGTCTCTCCAATGGAATGAGGTGGACGATGAGACGGATTCTTCCAGTCTCGAAAGATGGATATTCAGTTCTAGTGTCGTTGCTATCCAAATAAAAGACGCAAGGTACCCGCATTTCGTTCAGGTGCGTAGCGATGAATCGGAGTCAGAAAGAGCAGTCAGTCGGTCGTTCTGTATCTGCTTCAATATTGTTACAGCCTTGTGTCTATATGCTACAATTAGCATATATGCCATCGAGGCTGCAAAAACGAGCTCACTCCAGTCGTGATACCAACTTACTGGTCTAATGCTGGTGCAATGAGCAGTTTATCATTAGATGCTACTGGAGACGGCCTTGGTTGAGACGAATGAATGACTAGGCGCACTGAACAAGATCATGGAGAGGAAGCTATTTCTTGATGGTGGTCCCATACCAGAAAGAAAACGATCTGTCTATGATCGATTCGTGATTACCTATGGAAGGTGGAGCACGGTATTTTCAGCACATCAGGGTCAGGTTTGCTCTAAAGCGTGAATTCAGGTGCATCTCAAGCTCATCCATGCAGGGGCTGCGTTATACGAAATTTATCTGTAGCGTCGCATTGTAATATCGAGGATTCCCCGAGCCAAACGAAGACAGCGTATTGAAGGGTCTGCAAAGTGTGTGTGCGCCCATTGATCCACATCACAGAGATGACCATACAAGATGCAGTTTCGATATATCTACCGCATTTTGGTGAAGTGGATGATATGCTAATATATAGGTGGGTTAGACGTATCTCTTAAGTTTGCGTAGATTCGAAGTAGACAAGCTTTTACCCAGCAGCCAGACACCATATTCACTATGAAGATTTGCCCACCGGCGGGACACAGGAATATAGCTGCTAAGAAATATATTGGTGGATAAGATCGCATACACTTTCAGGATGGCAACTGGCGAATATGACGCAGGACTGTCGATACGAGCAGCAACGGCTAAAAATCTTTTTACCAGATTGGCGACACGGTAATCTGCTCTATCCTGGAATCCCTCAGAATTTGTTCAAGGTGAGGTCGATATAGTACTTTGTAGCTGACAAGAGTCTGTACTCATTGCAATCTTGACCCAACGTTCGCTCATATGAAATTGAGCATGTCATAAGCGTTGTTCCAGGCGTGAGATTGCTATAGACCAGAGGATATCACTGTGGCACAGGTACGAGGTGATGAGCCTAACTCACGCCACGTCACGCCAATGACTTATTGTAAGGCCTCGATAGCATCTGACAACGTTGAGTACGACATGACGATAGTCAACTTCTGCTTACATACAGCCATGATATGTCGATTATCATGATCATGCATCGTTTTAGCGCATAGACGGGGCGACTGTTCCTTCCGAATATGGAAATTTTTGCTTCTGAGGTATGGCAATGGACGTCATGGGGTAGAGTCGCTGGTTCCGCCATAACTTGGAATCGGAAGACCTAAAGATGTATATAACGAGAACAATTTCTCTGCGTACGAAGGAGTTCTATCACAGTCTTCTGCATTTTATAGCATCATTCTCAATCAACCAATGATGCTTACCATATTCTTTGCTTTCATGGTGGCACAGTTGATCATGGCAGGTCCGATGGCAATACCCAACGATGTGAGCAAAGAAACTCGCGCCATTGTTGAAAGTATATACCACGTCGAGGTGTTCAATTCGTCCGACTTCTCGTACATCATGTTTATGCACAGACTCGGCGGTGGTCAGCAAGAGTCCCGGTGCTACACCGAGATCCGTGGAAAGGAGAGCATTGTTGATGCTCCAGACGCTGAAGAGCCAGGTTCGGCATGGGGACGAGAGCCATCCCTGTACCACCGCTGGGCTTGTCAGCTCCACGAAGCAGAATTCTCCTTCAGGGACACCGCGATATGGCTCTACACTGAGTCCAGAGATGAGTACGTGATAGTTCAGTAATGGTTGGACCGAGAGAGTGCTGACCAAGACATAGCCCGTGGATATGCAACTACTGGCACAAGTTCGACTTCTCATCGCCGGAGGTTACTTTCATTGGCAATGGCATGAAGCGAACTTATTTCCCGGACTTGACAGTCGTTCGGCAAGAGGCAGTCTGCTGAGGTGCTAGCGTATGGGCTTTTTCCCTCTTCGCGTGCTATGACGACGATGATGACCACTGCCTACTAGGTACCTATGTATTAGTACCTAGTGTATTTAACGAGTGGTGTTGTGGTTCGGGAGCCGTTGGTGGTGACTAGCGCAATTACCTCATGGGGACTAGAGCGAGATTCTGCAGTATAGGTGCATACCTGTAGGTGCAGTGGACATGGATCGCAGTGAAGAGGTGGCTGAAGATGTGTTATTGCGTACCGTGGTATCCAAGTTATATTAAGCATGATATAAAAGGATCGCATTCTCCAGGGCTGTCCCTTGCACAACTTGGATCTTGTTTACCGCAAGGACAAGCAGATGGCTCGACGATGAGATCCATGGCGAGTCAGTGCGCCCAGCCCCTCCATATTCCACCAACCACCCCCCCGCGCCCAACGAAGAAGGAGGCATGATGGCATGCTTTGCCCGTGCAATCGCCCTACCATGGCCATAATCTTAAGCCTACATCAACAGCTCAGCTTTCCCTTGAGCACTTCATTCGGTCCTCTCTTTTTCCTCCTGTACACCTCACTTCTCACTCGGTCCTGTTCTTTCTCTTCATTTGCCTTCCTCCCTTGACGACGTTGCGCAATCTCGCCGTGTTCCTGACCTCACCTACTTTCTATCCGAACACCTCCGCCGGTGAATACTTTCTAGACCGGACCTCACCCATTTCAACGCGCCGGCCAGCTCCGTTCGGCTGCAGCTTTGGTCGCATTCACTCCTCCGATTATCGCGACCGCACTTATACCGCTTGCGACCGTCATTTCCATCTCTGCTCTTGTTTGACGCGACCATTCTTACACCTTAGGTCCTTCTACAACACTGTCAGCATGTCTATCTCCGGCCTTTCGTTCTGGTTCTGGCGGTTCTGCGAGATTCTCACGTTGATCCCGACACTGGGCATGATGGCCTACTTCGTCAATCTCTTCGTGTCGCAGAACATTCTGACGCCAGACTACATTCTGGTGCTCTTCATAACGAGTGTGCTGGCGACGGCATGGGCTATTGCGACCATCATTCTATACGCCAAGGCGCGACATTCGGCCTTCTTAGTCGCGATGGTCGATCTCGGATTCGTTGGCTGCTTCATCGCTGGCGTGTATCTGCTGCGATTTATTGCTGGCGCAAATTGCACGAGCTGGGAGGACACCAACTTCTCCTTCTCCGTCGGCGATGTCACCGTGACTGGCCCGGGAGGATATTTCAATACAGACAAGAATTGCGCAATGCTCAAGGCGAGCTTTGCATTCGGTATCATGAACTGCATCATGTTCTTCTTCACCTTTGTAAGCCCCGCCACGTCTGACGCTTCTGGTAGGATACTAATGAGTCTCCTATAGTTCCTTGCTCTCTTCGTACACCGTCACCACCGTGGCGAGACGACTATTGTTCGCGAACGTCACGTATCTCGTCACAGCCATCGTCGAAGCCGCGATTACGATCGCAGCCCTCGCCGGTCGCACCACAGTAGTCGACGAACCTACGTTTGAAATCAGATGACAAACGAAAACACATGTATTGCATTATGGGACAGGGGTACATTGCGAGGCGCTGTTGGGGGCATGTCTGCCATTTCGTGCGACGTGGCAGATGTAAATCGCATCTGTGCTGTGAAAGTATGTGTGGATATGGGTGGTTTCGACCGGATTTTTGGAACTGGACTATGTATCAAGTGATTTCGTATCGATGAGGACCTGTGGGATTGTGTGAGCAGTTATGCTGATGGGACCTGGGAAATGACCTTATATGACGGCAACGAGCACATGCACTAGTATCAAGCACTTCCCTTTGAACATTGATGCTGTCAATGCGTGTTGTAATTGACACTACAAGGAGCTAACAAATGAAAAAATTCTGCTTCAGCACTTCCAGTATCCGAACTGGAGGCCGGACGTACACTCGCAAAATTGGCCACTAAACTTACGTCAAGACTGGAACATCGTTGCATCCTGAAGACTTGATATTCCCTTCTACACTAGCAGTGCATAGCGATTGAATCATAAACTGCCCCAACAGGAAGCTAAAGGCAGGAAAATTGACTTCTTGGTTTTCTTGAGAAAGAGAAAGCCCAGGCTTATCGTATAACACCAGACGACTTAAAGACCGTCCATCCATGAACTAACTACCCGTTCATACTTGACACTATGTTAAGTCTATAGCCAAACTAGGGTTGGCAAAAGCTAGTCCTTCTATCAAGGAGCCACAGCTACATTACTTACTGATTAGAGCATTCTCATCACTGACGAAACTTGCAACTTCCGAATGTCTTGGGTCAAACGCATCACAGGAGAACAGAACAGCGTCACCTTTGCCACCTTACGGCGACACAAAGATGGGGAACTTTGGGTATTCTAGAGTTTGATCGAGCCATTTCTTTACATTTTCTCCCGGGCGCGTCTGGAAGTACTTGGATACACCTATGTAGGTAGGAAGGAGGTAAGGGGGTTAGAACGACTAGGTTCTCAACAATGACCTGCACATATTGTTGCGGTGGTATTGTTGTTGTTGTTTTTACGATCTGCTCACTAGGCTCGGGAGGACGCGCTCAATCGGTCTTGCGATATGTCTTTGCTACGGTAGCTTAGAGGTTGTGTCGGTGTTTGTGCCTACGGCAGTACAATTGGGATGTCTCTGTGATTTCTAGCAATCTACAGGCTTGAGATCTCTCGAAACGTTCATCTAACCTATATACCCTTCATACCGGTTCGTTGCCACCAAGTTGACAGTGGCGAATCGGATAACATCCAGCCAGCCGTGCATCAATAGCCAGATCGTGCAGAGTCTGGTCATCACCAAGCTTTAAGCTGGAGATGTCTAGGTCTGGGACTTGCTATGGCACGTCTCCACGTTCTCGATGATCTCGCCGGTATGCGCTCGTGTCTAATGTTCCAGTGGAATTTATGGATTCGAGGCGGCAGAAGTTGTGGCGGACGGAGAGTCGACTTCGTGAGAAGCCATTGATAACAAGTCTCGGTGAGAGAGTTGCGAGATTTAGGACAGGAGCTTTACAGTGCTCTCTGATAACACTTATTTATAGTGTGCATGGAAGTGCGTTGAGAAGAATGTGTGTGGAAGATAGAGAGACATGTACTTGGGGTAGGAGGTGATTCCTGATGGAGGAACACTGACAATGAGTGGCGCGATGAACACCCTGTCTACCTTTATCAATTGTCTGAGGGGGTGCTTTTCACCTCTAGTTTCATCATGCTCTAATCCTGGCTGGATAGAGGCAGCTTCGATATGCAGATAGTTTCCCCTCCGTTAAAGGATGGGATGTCGTCGTCTAGTCAGTTCATCAGTGATTCGCGTCGTCTGAAGAAGAAGAAGAAGAAGAAGAAGAAGAAGAAGAAGAAGAAGAGCAAGAGCAACACGACTTAAATGACTATCTCAATCTCTTGATCTCATCATGAACGATCTGAGAGAACTTCAACATTACCATATACACGAGTAACGACGAAATACTGAAAGGGAAGAGCTTTCCAAGAGTTCACTCAAACCAAGCTTCGTCGAGACTAAACAATATGCCCAGCTTGACAAATCTGGAAAGGAGCTCGGACTGTAACGTTAAGAGGAGGAGCAGAAGAAGCCTCAAAACACATGAGCAACGAGAGAAAGAGTCTAGGAAGAGATTTAAATTTCTAAATTACGAGCATAAGCTAGAGAATACTCACACTCACACAAGGGAGGTGGCTATACAGCAAGCCATTCATGTATACTCTCGCCTGCAGGAGCCCCCCTGTTTGATTGATATACCAACGCTGGGACTCATTTGAAGCAACACTAAACCGATCACTACTGCTGACTAGTACTTCATAAACAGGATGAATGGCTAGTAGATTCAGCTCTCGAAAGGAAATGGCCCCTTAACATTTCTACTGGAGGTTAAAGACATGATTTCCTACAGGCGACCAAGGAGGCACCACCGGGAGTAAATTGTAGATGTATATAGAAGGTTTCGTATGTGGAAACGGTAATTCTCTGACAGAGCTGTACTCGTGCAATTGAATAAAGATGCAGAAGCAGCGTAAGAAAAACATTCAGAACGGTCAGTCATGTCGATTCTCCCATGGCTATGCTATCCATGGTTGTGTTCTATACACATACAAACTAGTAGTGTATGGGTTAGCACGGCATGTTACGGCGATCATTATGCAATACTCCAATCTAGAAGTCTATCTGCCACCATACTAGATAGGAAACTTTCAATACAATAGGAGAAGAATGAGATATGTATGCACATTGGCTTGGGACATCAACCTTCCCATGGCTCTACATCTGCGTGTGCTCCTGTCCCATGCATCCGAAGGAAACCTATCCTCCATCCCCTCCATCCATGCACGAGAACGCTGCAGGATCATGAAACCCCGATAATAAAACCCATTAAAAGAACAAAAGCGACATTCTGACTTCCTACATAGGAAACACTTGTAATCCATTCCCCCTGTGTGCAGCAAGCAGGTAGCCAGGCAGCCAGTATCCTATCGCTACGCGACACCAACAAACATACGATACGAATGAATACCTCTCTCTCCGGGCTTCCCACCTGGCTGCTGCCACGAATTCATCTCGGCATTTCCAAACCCGCCCAACCCCATGCATCGATCATGCAACACACAAACACACACAGCGCTTTGCGGCATTTCCATCCGTAATCCATCGCGCCCACCTTTTTTTCTGTTCCTAATTCTCCCATCGCCGAGAAAAAGAATTAAATTAATTAGCCTTTTTTTTCCCTCCATCTAAGCCTTTCCAAGCCAGCAGCAGCACTCATTTCTATTTAACCTTTGGCTATGCATGCGACATGTCGCGCGCGTCATTCAAAAGGCTGCAGAAACCGCAGTTACGCACGAACCCGCCGCTGCGCTGCACTGCTCTCCGGTCGGGCCCCCTACTAACCCCCCTCCCCCTAGGAAATGGGATGCTGCATGCGTATAGGTGGGTGGGTGTGGTGCATGCATTGCTAGATGGCGCCGTTGCTGCGAACCAGCGGTGTAGAACAAGAACCAAAGTACGGTTAATCATGATGTATACAAGAAAGATTTTTTTTTGGCCAGCACATCAGCGGCTGTACGCATGCAGGTGCATGTTGGAATTGGAAAAAATCCCGTTCCCTACCCGCTACCCCCTACCCCCTTACCCCTTCACCCCCTCTTTCCCCTCCTACAGTATGAGCGTCTTTTCTCGTTGACTGCGGATACAGGAACATGGTGTACGATAGCGTTCGCACGGCTCTGTCGCGCGCAATTCCAGCTCGCCCCCTCACTGCTGCCTGCTCGACCCTGACTGCTCGCGCGAGGGAATGACGGATCTAGGCCCTATTAGCTTGGCGCGCGCGAAAGAGGGCCAACGTCGACGTCAACGTCCGTCCATCCCATGGCGCAAGAGTAGTAGGAACCGTTGCTACGGGATTATATAATACTACAGGCGGATCTCCTGTACATCCGGGCTGCGCGTCGTGGGGCGGCGCGAGGGAATCGGATAATAGGAGAATTAATTCCCCAGCGCGCGGGAGGATGCGAAGGGCAGCGTCATCATCATAGCAAGGCTCGTGGGGTTGTTTTTGTTTATCGCTCGAGTGAAGAGGAGAAAAGTGAGGCGACCTAGGCGAGGCGAAGCCAGCGTGGCGCGTGCTGGTTCGGGGCTCTGCTTGCTTGGTTCGGGGCTCCGGAGAAGCTCCGGCGTGGAACGGTAGCGTTGTACGGTGCACTCGCTTGTAGGTGCAGATGGTTTGTGAGTAATTGATGCTTTGATTGGGGGTCTGAAAGATCGACTGCTCGCTAAGACTGGCATGGATGTAGATTGTCTTCTGAAGTTGCAGTTCATGTTGTTGTTCTGGAACCGGTCACATTTAGGTCTCACGCACTATGAAGCGCGACCTGGACCTACCAATTCAGCTTCGCTCGGTGTCAGTGTCTAAATCGCCTTGATATTCATGATCATGCCAAACATGGTTCATCCTTGGAACCTGACCTCGCAGGTTCCAATGCCTTGTTCGAATTAAAGTCTCTTGTGTCGCAACTCGCAAGAAGCACCTTAGACGAACCATGTCCGTCAAACCTTTGGCAGTTCCACAGTCGGCTTGAATTTATAGCTCTTAATTCCAGTTGTACCAACGTGCACTTTGAACAGACTTCCAGCCAGTTCTTTGCTTCTCTGCCAACCCTCTCCTTCATCTGGTGATTCATCTTTCATGCTCGTTATAAACAGATTGTCGCCCACGAAGACTGGACAAGTCACACATCTGGTCGGTAGTCTGATTTCAGCCAGCAACTTGCCTTCCGGACTGATCTGAAGCACCTTTCCACGGCCATGAACTGCGGTCCACACGTTTCCGTCTACATCGATGCAGTGCCCGTCGGGAACAGCGTCCCCTGGAAGTGAATCGTCTTCGATCTTGTAAAAAGGACGCTCGTTGGAGAGACCACCTGTCTTCGCGTCGAAGTCGTGCTGTGAAATCAGACCGGTCGGAGAGTCGGCAAGATAGAGAGTGGTGTTGGACGGGGACCATCGAGTACCGTTCGGTATCGTGAGGTCCGTGACGTGGGTCGAGAGAGATAGATCAGGGTCAAGACGCATCAGGACCGCTACTAGAGGTCAGTCTGAGGACTAGGTATGAGTGTCTCGCTTCTACCTTCAGCACTTGGTCGCTTGATCAGTTGATCGTTCATCCATGATGCCCAGAATCGCCCTTCGGAATCGATACCGCCATCATTAGCCCGGAACCTATGAACAGCCAAAGTCAGCATCATTTCCAGTTCCTCCAAGAAGCTCATCGTACCATTGATCCTTCCCGGAGTTGAAGTCCTCATCACTCCATGCAAGCTTGATGTATTTCCAGTCACCAGTAATTCGGTTTACAATGCCGTAGCCATGCTTGCCTGCAAACACAAACCGCTCATCATCACCGTCGATATCGCCTGTGATACTGCGATACCCTTGTTAGTATCGGAGTGACCCGGAATCGTTTTGTGGCAACGAACCCGATTGAGAAGACCAGCTGCTGTACTCTATGAGAGTCCGGACCCTTCTCAAGATCGATATAGTGGACTTGTCGCTTGATCAAATCGACGAATCGTAAGGAATTGTGTTTCTCCTCCCAGTGAGGAGCTTCGCCGAGGCTGCAGTTGAGCTTCAGGTACGGCTGCAAACGTATTAGTGCTACGCTGCGCGGGTTGACATAGATGAAAGACCGACCTCGTCGACCTGATACACTTTGATGTCAGCCATTGTCTTTGTATGCTCTGCTTGTTCAGGTGATGATCGAAGGTATGAGACTGGCGGTGCGTAAATGAGCTTCTCCAGAAAGTGGGGACAGGAGCTGGGAGCTCAGAGCTTTGTTCCTGACAGTGACGTAGAAGCTCTCTGACAGAGGTCCAGTTTGGGTAGAGTAGGTATAACGAACAAATTCATTAATCACAGATAATGAAGGACAGATAACCAAATATTAACAAAGAAAGAGGCCAAAGGCGTAGGTATGTTCTGTGACATCTTGACTCTACTTGCAAACAATGGGTGATACCTGAGCTTCCAGTGAGTGAGGGGCGGCGGGGTCAATGTACTTTTGGAAACAGGTACTGGAGAGAATCATATCAATATCATAGGAGTAAATGAGCAGTTCACTCGTGTTACCCTCATTTATTACTTCATAGTGGTAGGATGATATGATTGAATAATTCAACTCGAGGGGCGAAGTCTACGGAGAGGCGGCCCGCGCAACAAGGCGTATATATATGGAGGAGTGTTGCCCACTGTCTCGAATTGGCACGGAGACAGGCAGAAGAGACAGAAGCAGAGAAGTACAGATTAATTATCTAAGGAAAAGACCATCCGGATAGCAGAATATGAGAAAACAACCAAGACGGTAGGTCCACGCGGAAATAGAACGTCCACAAACCTGAATGCTGAGATGTAGCGTGTTGTCCTTTGTTGACAGACAGACAGACGGATTCATGATAATATTCAATCAAGGCAATTCAATCTATCAATATGCTTTTACTCTTGGCTTCTTTGATCCTTCCTCTTCCTCTTCCCTCTATCACCCCTTTCCTCAGATTGCACTCTCGCAAGCATATCCCATCATCACCTCGGCCGCAAGGGCCTTCGAGGGTCTTTGCTGCATCGCACGCGATATTGAAATGACGATCCGTATCGCTGCTTTTGTTCGCATGGGATCTAGAAGGCTCGCGTGCTCATCGGGCAGTGAAGCGCCGCAACACTTGTCCAAAGCGTGGACTAGCCCCTACACAATATTGATGGTGGTATCCGTGCATCCAGTGACCAGTAGGGGGTGCTAAGTATCATGCTTTTGAAGCCACAGTAGGCTTGCGAGTTACGACGCGTGCATATCCCCCACAATGGTCGAATTCCTTTTTGAGGCACTTTGATCGGCCTCATGGAGGATTGTGGATGATGCACCCACTTGGCTAAAGGCATTGTCCCTGCATGCCGATGCCGCTACCTAGGTACCCCAGAGTTACGGTCGCCAAACCTTAAAAAGAACGCGGCCCAGCCATCTCCGGATCTTCCTGACCACTTCTTCAAACGGCACGATAGATAGAGTCAGACACGGCTGACTGGAGCTCATCAACCCATCTCACCTATCAGGCTATCACGATGCATATCTCACCCTTGAGCTCTTCAGCTTCCGCCTCCAAAGAGAACGTCTGCCCATACCCCTTCCCCCGTCCATGCACCATCATCCATCTTCAACTAGATACTAGATGCAGCCTGCCAGCCCACCTGTGTGAAGCTCTCCACATCGACCACCCCCTGCTTCTGCGTGCAGATTCTGAAGGCGAGCGACCGCGAACCTTGGCCTTGGGTCATTGAGGAATAAGACGGTCTTCAGATGATGCAGATCCATAGGCAAAAGGAAGGGAAGGCTATTGGCGAGATCACTGATGCCTGTGCCCTTCCCATTGTAGTGTGATATGGACCCCCACCAAGACGAAGAGTAATAGTAATAGTTGTACTAGTAATAGCGGGTTGCCGTTCCGCTGTTCTAGCGAAACGACTCCATCATCCAGTGGGACGCAGCGCATCCCGGCTGGTCCTCCCTCATCTTCGTTCTATCAGCGCCACGGAGTGCTTCTAGTCTGGCGTTGATAGGCACTCTCGCATCCCGGCGGCCGACCGGACGTTGCGGTTGATCAAGGCTCTAGGGATACATCAGCCGACCTGAAGTCCATCCTTTCCCCTCCCAAGACCCGAATCGTTGAGATCTTGAGCACTCCAGCCTACCAGATCTAGCCTCGTGATAACCAGCGCGAGCGCGAGACTGCATGGGGAAGTTTGTGACGATAGTATCTGTGCAGCCTTTTGTGGCTGCATAGCAATAATGAGGATTTGCGGTAGTCTATTGGACGTTCAGCTAGCTCACGATGCTTTGTGATCTGGGCAATGGGAGACAGGAGGGCTGAACAACTGCAGAGCACAATGACATCTGTAAGCCCCACTGTCGTACCTACATGTAGACGAAGCCTTGGGGCCTGAAAGATGGCTTGGGTAATTAATAGCGCGCATGCCCTGCCTTATATAGGTAGCGTGCAGCGTGCAGTATAATGTAACGAGGCCGTGGGGCGTGTGGGGTATTATGGTATGGATCCATCATCTATGTACCGAATCGAATACATCCACTGCTCAGCAACTGCAGTAGTCTGCGCGAACGTACTAACGATTGCACCTCTCAGCTCTCAGCTCTCAGCTATCAGGGACAGTTCAATAGTATGCGAGCATTCCAATGCTAGCCTGGGAAGAGTCGATCGGTATCCACGGAGCAATGTGCACCATCAGCTTGCGTGTTTAGTCGCAATTTGAGGGAGAATGAACCAATCTCTCGCAGGCGAAGAAGTGGGCTGCTAGTGAATTTCTCCACTGAGATGGTCGACGCTCGACGGTTGACTTGTTGTCTGCCGTGTATTGCGGTACGCGCCGAAGTCGACTTGCTTTTCCCGCTCATCATCAATGTACTCATTCATTATAGTCAGCGTCGCTCGCAAAAACGTTTGTGCGAAATATGCAATTACCCAGAACGGTACATCAAAGTATAGGGCCATGATCCTGTGTGAAGTCTTCTGCGCGGTTCCTTGTTCTAGTGTCTCAGATAAAGAGACCCAATGGACTGGATCTAAGCCATGGATGGATGGCTTCCCCTTTCCCCATTGCGCCGTCGCGACAAGACTGTTCCTTCGGCTCAAAATCTATGCTTCTAGGTCTGGGTCTGGGCCGCTGGCAAATACCTCGCATGGTTCGGGTCCGGTTCGGTCCTTTGCAACGGACGCTGGTCATTGTCAGAATGCGAGGTTGTCTTGAATGCTCAATGCCGGATGGATCACGAGGCTCCATAGCAGAGACTCGTAAGAATGACTCTGCAGAAGTCCCTTGCTTACTGGAGAACAAAGCCAGTACCGCGGATGGTTCCTCATGCATGATGTGGATATGGCTAACATGTCTAACACGCTGTGGACGCCGACCCAGCGGTGTGGGTAGTATCGCGCGGGACTCAGGACTCAGGACTCACGATTCCCCTTGTGACTGGCGACCTTGAGGCTTGGGCGACCCATTTCCACTATCAGGACTCAGGAGATGGATCCTTGGTCAGTGTTGATCTTGATCGGCCACACACCCACAGCTCGTTAGTGGTATTTCGGTCATTTAAACTAGGCCCTGACGGGGAATAGACGATCAGTGATGAAATGATGCAAAGCTCCACGAGTCAACGCAAGCGTCATAACGACGCCATGAAGTGCTTAGTGCCAGGAATGGTATAGCCGGGACGTTTCCCTGCTTTGTAAGTAAGGCAGAAGAACGCATTAGAATCTTGTCCGGCAGATTCGTAAATGGTAAAACACTCGTGGCAAAGCTCCTAGAGACGGGTTTACTGTTCTGAGCGATATGGCCGAGCGAGCCGAGCCTAGAGGAATCACCGGGCCTGCCCCAGCTCGCGTGGTTTCCCGTGCAATGCAAATAAATGCATTCCAAGCCTCACACGACTACAATAGAGCTACGCTTGTGGTTATAGGGGCGGGCGAGACAGTTACATCTTGCTGAGTTGCGCGTAGGCTGGTATCTCCAGTACGACGTCTGAAACCCTCTGTCGGATGTTGCTTGTTCTACTTGAGCAAGCCTCATGTCACTTGTCACACGACATGATGGCAATGGCACGTGTTTAAAACTCGAACTGGAAAGGGTATCCGATGCACGACGCCGCTTTCTGGGGATAGTTGGACGCTTTTGCGCAATTTGCGTGGACATGCAGCGAATCTTCCGACCGGGTCAGGAAGGCCTGCGGACCCGATCCGACAGCAATTTTGGAAAGCAAGAATCTGGAGCCGTGATTGATGACGAAAGGTACAGTGTATACATTTAGTGCGCAGAAACGGCCTGGAGGAGGTGGAGGTTCGAGGAGGACATATGCCCACACATGCTACCTATCCAGCCCACGCAACAGCCCACGCAGCCCACGCTCTCACCCACACCGCTGGGGCGATTTGGCGTCCCAGCTCCAGTGCATGGGGCTACTTACCCTCGCTCCCTTGTCCCGACAGAGTGGGCGGTGGACGGAGCTGGGGCCAAAGCCAGTATAGTGCAGTAGCCACCACCAGTAGACATTAGCCACCAGTCTCTGGGCATCGTTGGCCAATCGCTGCGTTCTGAGAAGCGTAAAAGTGTGCCTGTAGTGTTGATGTTGTTGTTAATGTTCGTGTTGTTGTGGGTTGTGGTGTTTCAAATGTTCTCGATCTCCAGATGGCGGGACCACAGAGATGGCATCCTCCGTCCCAGTCCTGCGTCTCAACTCAAAGGCGGTGGGCACGATGTCGATGCGAGTGACTGGCTGAGAGTGCAGAGGGCCGATAGAGCCAGCATTGCGTGATGGCTCTTAGGCGTCTGCCTTTTGGCGTCATGTTGGCGAGCGTGTGAGGATGCCGTGGTCTTGTCTTACCTCCGGGGGCGGAGTACTGCATGCCGTTTTGCCGTTGCCGTTGGACTCGACATTGTCAGCAACGAATTTGGTCTAATGCCCATCAGCATCTTTACCTGCATCCGTCGTCGCCCTGTGCACTATCAGCACCACCACGTTGCTGGCATTGATATTGATCTGGCAATTTGCGATGTGCAAGCCACAACATGAACACCCGCCGCGGGTTGTGTAGGCTGGGCGGTCCAGTAGCAGACACCCCTTGCTGCCGCCAGGAATCGTCCCTCTGTCCAATTCTCTGATGCCGTCTGCCCCCCTCAGGCTGTTCCTCTTCGTCCATCCGATCATCCCTGGCTTCGTCACACTCCTCCTTAGACGGTGAATGTCTCATTTTCTAAGCGGCGGGCGCCTCCGCCGACCAAATTGGGACATGCGCCAGAATAATCAGCCAATAGGAAAATTCTCTCGGCTCCATTATTCGTAGAATTTATCCATGGCGTGAGCGTTGTCTGCGGAGCTGCATACTATAGTACATGTGCACGCCGCCCTTCGCTTGGCTCCAAGGCTCCAGGGCTCCAGGAGATCGTATTATTCTGTTGCACAACGTTGACAAAGTTGCAGGTTGCCATAGATACTGGTTCTATCTGTCGTGACTTTACTCCACTATTCATGATAATGGTTTGATGGTGATGAAGAGGCCGATGCGGCATGCATGGCGGCATGTATGGCGGCACAACGCACAACACACAACTCATCGACACCACATCCACATCTACATCCTTGCGGCAGAGTGTGCATGCACCGACTGGCTGGCTGGCTGGCACATGACCTCTGATGGATGCGAGTCTGACGCATTCGCAGCGACCATGGCGTCAGCAATCGTGCCCAGTGACTCAGCGACTCAGCGACTCAGCGACTCAGCAACTCAGCAACTCAGCTCACTTCAGAAGCGGTCGTCGCATTCATTTCTTCCTATGCGAGCTTTCCCTGCTCTGAATCCTCTGACATGATAATGTCGCTCGCTGCTTGTCCGCTCCGTTGTTGCCAGTGTATCTTTCTCCCCAAGTCCACAAGGCTGTTGTCTGTGTCTGTTGTCTGCCTCGTCCGATCCTCGACCAACCACGATGATCCGCCAAGATGACCCTGACAGCAAAGGCGTGCAACGTATGGAGAAGATGCGTCTACATGTTGGTGGACACGTTTTCGGTCGTGCGTTGGCTCGCTGGCGGTTGGAGGGCCGGGTCGCGGACGGCAACAAGCCTCCGCCATACAGAAATCTTTATGTGCAGCATTATAGTTTAGTCTGGCGATGCATCATGTGCGTAAACGGTAAGACGTGGATGCTGCCGCCCTTGCACTGCGAGCCTGACATGGCAATTTTGCAGTGTCGCGATGGGTATCCTTGTCTTGCTGGTGAAATGACTGCTTCGACTCGAAGTTGACCTTGACATGGACCAGATACACATCATCAACACCTGATGTATCCTGGCCGGTGCTAATCTTCAGAAGGGCCGTCGATGGCGTCCAATTCTCTCGAAGATTCGATGTGCACCCTCCAAGAAGGCAGTCGGATGCTGTTGTACGGTCTTGGAGGAGACAACTCGCTCAGCGCTGCATGCTCCTCAGCAATCTTGTTGGACGAGACGTGGTAGATAATTTGCGTGCTCGCTGTCGTGCTGGTCGTAGCAGGGATGTGGAAAGCGTGCTGTTGAGTGAGAGCAGTAGGTAGAGTGTCCAAACTATACACTCGCGAAGCCTTAGCATGGGAAGTGGTGTTGCTTGCACCAATGCTCCTCGACAGTGCTAGATTTACCATCTTAACGTTTACACGCCCTACTACCTTGCTTCCCTGGTCTCCAGACCTTTCATGGACATCTGTGATAGCCATTTCGACTGTGACAAGGGAGCTGAGCCGGCTTGTCCTCGGTCCGTTCCAGGACCAGGGAACAACCTTCTTTCACCACCATCTCTACTATGTTACTCCCTGTCGTCGACTCCCAACTCTGCATCGGCACCCTAGAGCAAGGCGCATCATCGCCAACCAGCTTCATCTTTGCCGGCCGCCAGAAACGAGCCGTGCCTGTGTCCGTGTCCGTGTCCAATGTTACATACATAACACGGTATTGCTTAGCTCGTGGACTCGTCAGATCTGCTTCTTCCAGGCGCTGTCATAATTCCACAGGCATATCGTGGCCAACCTTCTGGCTACAAAGGTATACTCGAATAACAGCTGTTATTGACGTCTATCGTAGGATGTCACATCAGCTCCGGCTATCCGTCCTATGCCTCACACTCCTCAAGGTGGCTTAAGGGGAAGCAGCCACGCGCCAGGCGATCCTCTGGCTCTTCCATCTTCCCAGGCGGACCATCAGCTCGCCAGCATAGTATTTCACGCGTCTAATACTCCTTGGAGCAACCTTCGAGCATGTGCATGTCAAAGTGCTGTCGACAGCTGCTGCGCGACATGCTAGATACAGTCTTCTACATTGTACATGGCCAAATATGATAGACGAGGCAGGCCCAGGACTGTTCTCAGCCTATCGCCGTCCATTTTTAGCTCCCGCGTTAGGAATGCTCATTAGCTACCGGTGCTGCTTGTGGGTCACCTGGACTTGGGCCGCATTGCTATACTGTCTTACGCCAAGCTTTGAGCGAATCGACTAGCTCAACAGTGGGGCCTGACCGAGCAAAAGGGGGGGGGGGGGGGGGGGGGGGGGGGGGGGGGAGTCCTGGGGACGACAAGGGGGAGATCCTGGCAGCACCGTCTTGCGACAAGCGACGGTTGGTCGACGCCGGCTGTGCTTGTGCTGGGCCACTGCTTGCCCTAGACGGATGTGTGATTCGGTTTGAGCTTACCAGACACGCCAACTCACCGCAAAGTGCCCTTTAACTGCAGCCTCTCCTCTTCTGCCATGCATCTGTACTCTCTCACCTACATCTATCACACTATCGTCACTGCAGACGATAGTTCTTAGATCTCTCTACAAGTAACGACATATACTACTCCTCTTACGCCCTGTCTGGACCAGCCGTGTGGACTCATATCTTGATCCGCTCTCACGTCCAGCTCTCGTCTCGATACCCCATCACTTGCCTTCACGAGACCAAAGACTCTCTAAAAGTCTCATTGGGTCGTTGAAGAACGTCCCAATCCAACCGTCAAGGTGGCTACTACTTTGGATCCGTCGGCCGCCCATAATCTGCATCACTATCAAAGCCCTTTTACCCACGGACTACCACCGTCCCCTCCACATACGCACGAGTACGATCACCTACCGTACCGCCAGGATCTGGATTCGCGCCAGCCTACGAGCGCGGCGAACAAACGCCCATGGTCGGGCTATCCTACTCTGAGCCACGACTCAAAGGACCTGATGCCGCGTCAGAGTGGCTCTACGTCAGGTCCTCGATCCGATTCCCACAATGACCAGAGATATCAAGGCCGATATGCTGATACGCCACAGCCCTCACCCATCCGCCCTCCTATGAGGATCGTGACATCTATGCCGCAGAACGAACAGTCACATGGCAGGACTTTGACGCCTCTGTCGAACACTGCAGATGGATCTCCTCTGACCTATGAGGCGAGATCCAGTGGTCCACTGGGTATGCGATCACTTCTGAACCCGCAACCTGACATGCCACCACCAGCACAAGGCCGAAGACGGAGCGCTGCACAGATGGAATCCCCATCACCAACGGATTCATCATCCGCATTCAGCTTACCATCTCTCAGTCGTACCACCAGCCGTGAACCCGAAGGCGACGGACACCAGCGACTTGGACCACCAAGGCGTATCCTAAGTCCACGTTCTCCTAGCATACATCGAGCTCGGAGTCTCATATTCAACCAGCCAGAGACGGGATCTATCGATGCCAGAAGCACACCTTTTGTACCTCTTCCACTCATAGCCTCGACCGGGCCGCGAGACTCACGTCCGGCGCCTCTTCAACCAGCGCCGAACAATGTCCCATCCGTTGCTACTCCACCAGCCATTCTTGGAAGAGCCGATTACTTTGGTCGTGCAGCGCCAACACCGCCTCCTGCCCCGATGGCTGACCAACAGCGCGTGACTAGTATGGGTATTGTCCGTCCTGGCAGTGCAGCATCTGGTACAAACGCCCCAACACCATATTCATCCAGTGCAGGACCATCTACTGGAAGTCTACCACCGTCTAGATACGGCACCCCAATCCTATCCAGCGCCAACCAAAGAGGTCCTCGGCACAGCATACCTCAAGACAGCAACCCCTATGGAGTCCCAGTTGTCTCGACTGCACAGAGTAATTACCAACTTCTTACCTACACAACCCAACAGGGCGCTATACAGATACCCGTCGAAGTTCAGGCAGGCTCCAGACAGGCAGACGAGAAGCGAAAGCGGAACGCTGGTGCATCTGCTCGGTTTCGTCAGCGCAGGAAGGAAAGAGAGAAAGAGGCTTCCGTAACAATCACGCGCTTGGAGCAGGAGTTGAAGGAGCGTGATGAAGACGTTGAATTTTACCGGTCTGAGCGCAACGCTTTGAGAGAGAAGCTACTTCAACTGCAACCCCATATAGAATTGAACCGACCAGAGTCACCTTGCCACCGTCCACGAAGCAGGCCGTCACCGCAGCGTTCGATGTCCGACGAGGATTCGGTCAGGACTCCTTACACAGCCTCGGAACATCCAAGTGAAGGCGAGCGGAATGTCAGACGGCGCACCTCTCCCTATCCAGCCCCGATGCCAGGCCAAGGCTTGTCTAGGGACAAGACACCCCCGATGTCCGCACCAAACACTGTTCAAAACCTGCCTCCCATCCAACTTCAGCATCCCAGACCAACTAGTGTCACACATTCGGCCGCATTGTCTCCAAGACGAGTGGTTTCATACGATCCGTTCCCGACGCGATTTGCAGGACAATGGCCATCAGACCACAAAGGTGCAAATCAGCCTCAGTGAATCCGCGGGGCCAGTGCTCCTGTAAAGACTTACCAACATGGAAGCGTCGTGACAGCCGTGTTCTCTTAGATGCGACTATAAGTCACTACCCACGCAGATCGACGTGACGACTACAGATTGCGACACCACGATGAGACGGCAGGGAAGCCTCGAATGTCTCTTTGCTGGACTCAAGACAGTCAAAGCCTAACCGATTTTAGGTCTTTTAACTATGGCAGCGCACGGGGTTGAGACCGAAAGTTTCTGCGTAAAAATCATCTTCTATACTGTTTTATACCCGTTTATCAATATTCTACGGCCTATTTTTGGGGACAATGGTGGACAGCATGTCTTTATTTTTTATTGTTTTTGGGGCGGCTTCGTCAACGAGACGGTCTCGGCATATGTTTTGCAACACATTTATGGGTCAGGATGGAAGGCATCATTCCTACTTGGGAGGCATTCTATGTGCGTGTCACTCGCTCTTAGTTTCTTTTTCTTGCATTGCATCAAGAGCAACGACCTCACGGTCAAGTCATTGTTTCCTTGAGTTTGGTGGTGGATCAAATTGAGCGTATTTCCGTTTCTGTTTAGCTTTATGGGGTCACCGGGCGGGCTAGTCTAGGGTTGTCAGACTGTAATCACTGCTTAAACAACCTTGTAGTTTTAGGATCGACATATAAAACAACCTCTCCTCAGCAATATATTTTGCATGTAGTTCTATTGGAGCCGAACAAAGCATGTGCACTGGACGACTGGAAGCTGAGGATTACCTACGCCAGAGCTACCTATGACGGCACAAACGCAACACGAAAAGGGAAAGTGCAAGGGGCAAGGTGGATGCAGATCTCATAACCGCGTGCGTGTGTTAACGAGACTGTCAACATTTTCCAACATCGTCTCATACCCATTTTCAACGACCTGATTCAAATATCCATCCTCCTGTCCCCTCATTGACTTGGCATGATGCAACATAGCGCAGGTTCGAGTGATCACCTCGCTCTACACAAGCTGCACCGCCCTACTTCACTCTAGGCTCATCTTAAGCTCTTATAAATTGTGGATCCTGAATCAATCAAGCTGCACACCGGCCACCAATCTCTTTTGAAAATTTCGAGCGCCGGCTAAGATCACCCACTACGCCTTATGCTCCGAGCCTCAACGTTGTCCACATCGAAACGGCGAGTGAAATTCCTGACATGTTGTAGCGTCACCAGGCTATCCCACCGTGAGAATCGCAAAGCTTCACTTGATGGCATTGCTCTTGCGGAAACACTGAGTAAGCCAACTCATTTCACTCGCATGACGACGAAGATGCCGATGTTGTCCGCTGCCTTACGTAGCTCCTTGCCATTGTCTAGGCTTGCTCAGCTTCACGCTGCAACTGGCAATACCTAATCGTAAGGACCTCTCGATAATCGATCCGCAACGGCTGAACCACACTGGTGGTCGTCTAGTACAATCATTATCGGAAGGTGGATAACACATCCCGATGTGTCACTCTCTTTGCCTCCCGTCCCTGAACTGTGAGAATGTCTCATCACGGCACAAGTCACACACTTTGCATCGAAACAGATCTAGACCATCTGACTGTTGAAATGAGACTATGGCAGTTCAACTTCATGTCACATGTACTCGACATCCCGAGCATGGAAGAATCTGTCCAGAATTGGAACCAGCGAAAGCACAAAGGAAGAGGCAGACGACAATGCAAGATTCTGTCTACCTATATCGCTCGTGAGCCATGCGCAGCAACCAATCTCCCACACTAGCTCATAAGATAGCGAAGCAGACTGTCACGTTGATGCATACTATGAATTGTACTGAGGTGCGGTCTTCGATCGTGCGCCTAGTACTCGTACTATAGAGTGGCACAGTCGGCAAGCCGTAGTACTATCAGCGAAGAAGCAAGGATCGAGAATTAGTAGTGGAGACTCATACGCCACAGAAGCTTCCCCTCGGACAATCCTTTATCGTTCTTGAAGCTATATATCCGGTGTCGCTAGAGGTCTGGTAGAACATTGAACTCGGTCGCATAAAAGGGAAGTGGATAACACCAGCGACCGATGAACGCGGCACGTTCCTCAGGGTGTGGTTTGGGCAGCAAGAGTTCACAAAAGGAGACATGACAAGGTGAAGTCAATGGTTGGCACTGGGCAGGTGCACCGCGATGTTATAGAAGGGGGCCCAGCATGCGAGCGAGAAGCTGGTAGCGCGATGCGGGGGAGCAACATACCCGTGCCATTCGGTACAGGCTTGCTGAAACAGGGTGTGCTTTCAAGCCGCTATTGGCTCGAAAATTGCGGATGCCCACCGTAGGACCAAAAGTGAAGGCTACGTCGACAAAACGGCGCGGGAGCATGGACGGAACACGAAGCCGCTCGCTAATTAATCAGCATGTTCTTCGGTCCAATATCTTAACACGATAGAGGTGGCCGATGCTTCAGCAAATCAACGAAGACAGAACATATTCGTATTTGATTCTGACAAAGAAGTCGACTTCCGTGTAGCGGCACGGCCGCACACCAAGTATGGGTCAAGATGCAGGTACAGTGGGCGTGCACAAGATGCCTTAAGGCAGGAACAAGATCTGGACATTGTAATATCAAGATTCACAACTGCGGACCGATACAAAGCTTAAACTTTGCTACAGGCATCTGCCTACTTGTCAGAGCTGTCAAAATGGCTGGCATGAGATGGCATGATAGACATATCGTCCGTGCAGAAGTTGAAGTGCTAGGACGCTATGCACCACGACGAATCACAAGGTTCGTTCTCTTGACAGTCCTTCGCCAGCAAGCAGAGCCAGCAGGTGGTCTACAGACATTCAAAGACCGTACTTTTGGGAATCAGGAGGGAGGTGGGAGCGTCCAAGGACCGGGCGGATGCAAGAGGAGGAAACACAGGGGTTTAAAAGGATGATGCGGTATAGACCAGGGTGGTTTGTTGGTTTTGCAACAAAGTCTGGGTGCTAACAAGGCTTCAAGCCTGCAAGTCAAGCACAAAGGTCGTGGAGGAACAAGAAATGACGAGGCCAAAGCATAGGTAGCGTTGACTTTTAGTATCAGGGATGATGCCCAACATGGACCCGTCGCCCGTCCGAGTCACCCAACGCATATCCGCCCAACATTGCCAGCTAATACTGAACAGTCGATAGCAGAACAACAGCAGCCTGTCAGAAGTGTCACCATCTTCGGGCGGTCTGTTCAACCATGGTACTGCAATACGGTACTGCTTGTCACGCAATCATGGCCATCACGCAATCATCATGCCATCATTCTTTGTGGTGCGGCTACGGGCAGCACTACGACTATTAAGTTCCTACTGCTCTCTTGCTCTGAGATGTGCCTGTGGATTCAGGCATCCTCAGGCACCCTCAGGCATTCCAAGGCATCCTCAGGCATTTTAAGGCACCCTCAGGCATTCAATGGACTCAGGCCAGGGCAGCATTGTGCTCCCTAAGCTAGCCTAGATATACTGACCCAGTCACCTGACCTCACCGCCTCATGATGCCTCACGATGCCTCCTGGTGCCTCACGATCTCTTCTCAAGTCAAAGTGCACCTTCATCGATGGGCGAGAAGCCGAGGTCGTGTCTGATAGTGCCACAGTCCCACAATGTCTGCCTTGTTGGAATTCGTGGGTGTGTGTTTCACCTTCACGCCGCCCCGTCTACAGGATACCTGGTGTACAGATCCTTCGACTGGCAATGCTACTATAGTATGCACCCCTCACCCATCAACCAATCCCACTTTGGCAACGATGCAAATCCTCCGTTGCGCCCCAGAACCGTCCTACTGGATTCCTGTCGGTAGTGCTGTATCCGGCGATGGGGCAATCCTCGCTGAGCGCACCCAGCAACCCATGCATACAGCATCGAAACTTGTCTGGCTTATTACCTCCAAGAGCATCATCAATCCTTCGGGGCGGTTGTTATTATGCACCACCTCGGCCGGCGCATCGACATGCATAGTAAGGACTAGTCGCAGGCTGCATCCGCTTGCCTGGGAAGCTAACTGCTTAGGTTGCTGCAGAGGATGCACTTAGCCTCTATCGATTCATCGCCTGCGCATATGATGGCCATGTGCATACAGCACGCACTTGACAACCTCTCATTACACGAATAGATAGCAGGAGACAGCCTGCGTGCTTTAGTATAGGACCCAGATATCGACCCACCCCTGCTCACGCAGCACGAATCCTTCAATCAACTGCCCGCACACGCACATGGCCGGGCACATCCCATGTGGCGAGGCGACGGACCGCGCCCTGTCGCCTCAATCTTGTTCCCAGCGACTCAGATTGGGTAGATGTGAAGATGTAAAGAGGAGGGAGGGGGGTTTGGTAGGTGAGATAAAGAAAGTGATATTCGTAGTCGGTCCGTTCCTGCAGCGTAAGCCCAGTAGCCAGATTTGCATTGTTTAGACTACCGACCGTCCCCCCCCCCTGGCACGGTACTCGAGCTGGCAGTGAGACTTTCCCCTTATTCCCCTCCTTTGACCCCCTCCCCCCCCCTCCCCCCTCAACAAAGCAAAAGAGGCCCTAAGAGACTCCCGTATTCGCCTAAGCAGCATGCCGGCAGCTGACTGGTCGTGCGTCCCGAGGACTGGCGTTCCTGGATATGCGCGCCCCATGACTCGCGCTGCGTTGCTGTATGGCCACAGCGACGCCCGCTGATCGATCAGATGCCAAGCATTGCTACACTGGCGAGCTGCACGACGACGATGGATGCGATGCGAGATCTTGTGCTAGATCTCGTGCTACAACACTACACCAAGACACGTGCTTTCTACACGATATATCAAATATATCATCTGCTTTCTTGAACATGATCGACAACAATCATCGCTCTCGTTTTCGTGTAACTTTACCAGCCAGCGCTCTTGGAGAGAGGGCTTGGAAGCAGTGGTTATTATGATCCACAGCTAAACACCCTCCCAATGGCACCCCCAGTACCTGTCTAGCTTGCTGCCAGAGTTCCAAAACACCGGGTCATAGGCCCGCCACCCCGTCAAGACACCGCTTTATAGTCTTCATACGCCAGACGCTTTGGACCATTCCCGTTCCGTGCAAGGTCCTGCTCGTTCTACTTCCCCCTCAGATACCCTGGCCCCTTTCCCACTCGCAACGCCAAACCACCCCAGCGCACAAAAGCCCCTTCTTGTTTCTTCTCCTAAGCTACGTATTCGGCGAGACGGACTTAGAGGCACCGGCGCCCATCGGCCAAATTTCCCTTCTTCCCTCGTTCTTCTTTCGTTCTTCTCTTAGCCTTTTAGAAGCGGTTTCTTCTTTAGCCTGTCGCAGCTTTGACGACATTGTCCTACGCTTGCTTTCTTCGGATGGCGCAAGCGGCTTCCTGCTTCCGCGGCCGGGTCGGCGTGCCAAGTGTCCACTCTTGCCGTGTCTGCCCGGCTTATATGAGCGTAGGCTCCGAGCCCTGGCCAGGTCGAGGTCCAGCACTGCCGCAGGGACAGCGTGCGCAAGCTGCAGTCGTGATCGCGCGCCACTGCTAGAGCGCTTCCATCAGGATCTGCAGATTGCCAATTTGCAAAGCGGCATGTCCTGACTTGTGTTCCGGGGTTTGCAATATATTGAACCCTGAGAGCCTCCCGGTCCTGTTCTACGCTGGATTACCAAGGTATGACGATGGATTACGACGAGCATGATTGCTGCCGGGCTCCCTGTTAGCCAGTCTTGGTATTGTGGCTGCAGCTGATCAATGGCCGAAGCGCCTTTGGAAATGCGATGACCCATCAATCAGGACAGACAGGGTTTGCGAGAGGTGTTCTGGACTCTGAAATACGTAGGGTCTGAGCATAGGCGGATTACCGTTCTGGGATCGGGTCTTGGATGGTGAGACGCTTGGCATGATACGAGCAGGCATTGTTGTGAAGATTCTTCTTTGCTCAAGTCGCCGAGGTCAAGGGTGTCTATCGCAACTATGATTTTGATGGTCATGTCATTTGAAAGGGCCGTCAACCTCCTGCCCTTGCTTGTCTCTGTAGTGTTGCCTGTAGCCCTACTCTTCGCCCAGCATTGATGAAATTTGTAGTCATGCTGGGGCCAGTCGCCCCGTTTGAGGGGGTGGATGATGCCGCTCGACGGGCGTTTCGGAACACAATAAACTGCTCACGAATAGTCGTCAACACATACAGATCCGCAACTATCACTTGTCCCGAGGGTAGCGCGTCCACGTCCAGGTGAGGTGGTATGGCTGACTCAGCCGTAGCATTCCTGGCTTCAACATCCGCCTCACGATCTGGAGAGTCGGCACGGTACACGCCACGTTCCTCGGCATCGTGGTCTTGCTCGTTGGCCAGCTCCAAATCCTCACTTGGTCTTGCGACGTCTGCACTGGCATTCTCATCCTGACCAATGTCTGGGTCACCGCGCTGAGAGATGCCGAGCGTTTGTATTACGCGCTTCCTTTTGATGTGCGCTGATAACATGATGCATTGTAGCACGAGGATTGAAAGGTCAAGTAAAACAAGATACGTCTTTGAAACAGGGCCTTCGGTGCCAATGAAGTCAATCAATGCACCGCCGTGAAGATACCCTCTTGTCATCTCGCCAGCCTCAGGATGCGGGAGGACCATGTGGAAGATGAGGATGAGTATGTTTGTTCCGAATATCAAACCAACGTACGGCGTTGGTGTAGCAAGCTTAGGAGCGTTCGCTGGACGCGGCGTGAGTATTGCAAACTGAACCGCGGCGCGGCACAAGAAGCGAAAGAGTGAGCAGCTGCGAAACTACAATTAACAATGAAGCTAGCCAAAGAACGATACGGGAGTGAGTCGTACTCTAGACAATATAAGATTGCCATCTGCGCCATGATGGCGGCGTCAAAGTCGTCAAGCAATGTTTTCAGACACGCCTGCCTCCTGAACTGATCAAACCTCTTGCGCATCTCAATTTGGTTCGCGCTCGCCTCTCTTCCATCTGCGCCTTCATTCTGCTCCGACAGTCTATGTGGTTCCGAGGTGTCATCTTCCAGGTGTGGCCGCTGTGTTCCCGATGGCCCCGCCTCATCGTTCATAGTCAAGCACGAGGGCCGGTTGGGATGGTTTAAGCATGCGGAGGAATTTGAGACGATGGGAAGCTGCACCGGTTCATGTGGGAATTGGACAAGCGAGGAAACAATCAATTACTGAGTGTTGTGTGTAAGCCCAGAGCTGTGAGGTCCTGCAGCTGCACTTAGCCGTCGCCAGGAGTTGGTTGACGTTCAACGCGTCGGATGAACATCGGGGCGGACAACCTAGCTCCCGAGCTCTTCTATCGTTCCGTAATTACCTCTAGCTTTATATGTCGATGAAATCACCACTCCTCTGTGAGCCAGAAGCAAGCAACAGATATCCAACGACCCACACGCGCTTACTGGTTGCTGTTCGATTGAGACTATAGAACACACATCCAATGCCTTAATCAAGACTACATCTGTAGACCTGGCCGAATCACCTACACATACGATATAGCCGTACCAACGTCACACACCATGGACCCTCCAAACGCACCCCCATCAGATGCGCCTATGCCCTCGTCCTTCGACGGCGATGTGTACGTTTTCCATAATAATCTCCTCCCTCCTCCTCCTCCTCCTCCCCCTCCCAATCCCCCTTTCTTTCCCTTCCTCCATCCCACCCCAGAAACTAACCAAACCCACCTACAGCGAATTCTACGAAGAGTCCGTCTGGGGCATGCTCAAGCGGCGCTGCATGGAAGAGCCCCTCGTCCCACTCGGCTGCGGCCTGACCTGCGCCGCCCTCCTCGGTGCCACAAAATCGATCCGCAGCGGCGACCACGCGCGCGCAAACGTCATGTTCCGCCGTCGGATCTACGCCCAGGGCTTCACGCTGCTGTCGATCCTGGTCGGCAGCGTGTACTGGCAGAAGGACCGCGAGAAGCGCAAGGAGTATGATGGGCTGGTGCAGATGCGCAAGAGGCAGGAGAAGCGCGATGCCTGGGTGCAGGAGTTGGAGCGGAGGGATGAGGATGGGCGGGAGGTCAAGGCGCGGATGATGAAGAGGGTGGAGATGGAGAGGGTACGGGATGAGAAGACGCGGAAGGCGCTTGGGATGGCGGCGACTGGTGATGAGGAGAAAGGGGCCGTGCAGAAGGTGGAAGAGGGTGCGAAAGGCGTTGTTGAAAAGGTGGAAGATACGGCGAAGAAAGCTTTTGGCAAAGGGGGTGATTCGAAAAGTGTGCTTGAAGACAGTGAGGATAGGGGCATTCTCGCCGCTGTTCGTGACTTGGGCTGGAGGAGGTAAGCATTACAACGATATGTCTGCAGATCATCGCGTGTATTGACATTAGTACGTGCATGCTTCGGAAATGTACATGTATGGGTAAATGGGATAAACGACATTCTGCAAACGGGTCTACTGCAATGATATGTGATTAAGTTCGTAAAGGCAAGAGCCGAAACCCATGAACAGTCCATCGATCTTCAGACTTGCGAACGACCGTCCTACTGTACCAAACACGCCGTATGCACCTGACCCAGAAAATGTAGATATAATGTAAAGTTCTGAAACCGCTTGGCGTCTCTCTAGTATCGCGTCCGCGTCTCAAGTCACGGAGGGCTCAAGAGAAGAGAACGTCTGCTCGAGCAGCTCTAGCAGTTGCATCCGTTACCACCTTGAGTGCCAGGATTCTCGCGACCACTCAAATCGACGCCAGCGCGAGGCCCAGATCGGATGTTTCGAGGACCAGCTTGATCTAGCGGTAGCTTCTTCGCAATGGCCGTGAAGAGTTCTCTCACGTTCTCGGAAGTCTTTGCAGATGTCTCAAAAAAGAGAAGACCGGCTTCTTTTGCGTATTGCTCGGCGTCAGCGGTCGATATAGCACGCTTATCCGGGCTCTCGGTGACCAAATCCAACTTGTTGCCTGCGAGGGCGATTATTATGTTCTCATTGGCTTGTCGTTGTAGTTCCTTGACCCAAGCTTTTGCTTTATCTAGAGAAGCCTGTCATGTGGTTAGAATCCTCTTCTACTCTTTCTGCCAAGAAGACATACAGATTGTGTGATATCGTAGACTACTACGGCACAGTTTGCGTTCCGGTAGTACATGGGTGCAAGGGACTTATAGCGTTCTTGGCCCGCGGTGTCCCATATCTCGAACTTGACTGTGGTAGTCTCATCGAGAGCTATAGTCTGGGTGAGGAACGCAGCGCCAATGGTGGACTCCCGGTAGTCGTCAAATTGGTCCTACAGAGTTGTCAGTTATGCGCGAGAAGAAGGTGTAAGAGGTATTCGATCCATAACACACCTTAACGAATCGTAGGACCAGTGAACTCTACAAACTGCTATCAGTGTCTTGTTCCACGGCTGCCTATGCGACATCGACATACCTTTCCGACAGCGGACTCTCCTGTTTTGGTTTTAGTACATATACAGATCATATGAGGTGAGTTAGAGTATACCTAGAAGCACCAACTTAAACTGCGCGAACCTAGAGTTCCCACCAGGGCGACTACCCTGTTGCATTCTGGCGGCCATTATGAGGGGAAGATAGGGAAAGGGTCGCGGACGAGGCGAACACTGGAACCCAGCCGAATGGGCAGACTCGAGATAGGATCGATAGGTATTTCGGTGGTCCTCAGGTAGCACAGGAGTGGAGGGTCGTGATGATGTTACTCGTGCAGGGAGATGGGAGGCGGTCTGATGTTGGATTTTGTTGAACGGTGGTGATGTGAAGGCCTGGCTTTGAGCTTGCGCTTGGCACATCCGTCACAAGCTGGAACAGGCTGCCTACCTAGGTACCTAAATCCTATCACTCTTGGCACTCATGTGCATTCTTATCTCAGTATTAAACCTTAAGACAGGAGATTCCATAACGTACATCTTACATAGATTTATGGAGTGAGATATATAAAATGTGCTGTATAGACCATAAGTCTCAATCTCCCAATTAATTTCAAGCAATAGAATATCTCAAATCCTTCAAGACATAGCGAAACAAGAGAGATGTTGTATTCTTTCTTAGGTCTTTGTATCTGGAGCTCTTGAAACCGATCTCTCATTAAGAATCTGTATAACTAACATGAGTTTTTATTGAGATGATTCTATCTATACTAAACCTGCTTTTAATTATGCGAATATAATGGTATGCGCCCACTATCAGACGTGGACGCGGACACATGCGCCAAGAATGACTGGTTTTCGACAAGTGACAGATGCTCACTGGTGGCTGGCGTCACCAGGCCGCGCGCGGGCGTGTAATTACTTTTGGACCGCGGCCACAAGTTTGTTAGAGATCACAATCACGGCATCGCATCTTCTCTATGCATCTTACGGCTCACCATCGTCTCTTCTCACCGTTATAGAACCTCTTCAGCGACCGAGTTCTATTACTGAAGCTCTTTCCGTAATTAATCAAGTCTCACTTCGCGCAATGGCTGCCACACTGCCCTTCAGGGATATCAACGTACACTCGTCGCCCTCTTATTACGCATTTTCGTCACCCTCAACACCGTCTGCGCCAACCTTGGTAGTAGAGAGACCGTCAGGAGACTTTAGACTGAAAGATGGCAAGCTTCTGGGATCAAAAAGAGTGTCTAGCATCGCTGGCATACTCGGAATCATCAAGCTACGTTTAGGTCCGTGAAGCATTAGACAGCTTAGGGGCGCATACTGACCAGAAGATGTACAGACACCTATATCATCGTAATTACCAAGGCACAGCCTATGGGGCGCATAAAAGGACATATGATATACAAGGTCATCTCCACTGAGCTCCTACCACTCCGCGAACGTCCACTGCATGACCCGGATGAGGATATATACATGTCGCTCGTGAAAGCACAGTTGAAGGGCCCAATGTACTTCTCGTACTCCTTCGACCTTACCAATAGCTTCCAACGACAAGCGCATGCCGATCTATCTGCCCCACTATGGAAGCGTGCCGACGACAGATTCTTCTGGAACAGATTCGTGCAATCCGATCTCATAGACTTCCGTACCGGAACCGGGTCTGGCTATGGAAGGCAGTCCTTTGGCGCACAGCCCGCTCTCGATCCCTATATCCTACCTGTCATGTTTGGCATGATGGAGATCAAGCAGACATCGATCAAGACAAGCAATCGCGGTAGCCAGAATGATACCCCAGTAACATTTGTCCTAATTACGAGGAGGTCAAGACACAGAGCCGGCACTCGCTACTTCTCTCGCGGCGTCGACGATCAGGGGAACGTCTCGAATTTCAACGAGACCGAGCAGATAATCATTCTAAATAACCATAATTCCACTGGACTAGGCGGCTTTGGTGCTAGCGGAGCTGTAGGCGGCGGCAAAAGTGGTAAGGAGACTCAGGTGCTTTCGTTCGTACAAACCAGAGGCAGTGTCCCGGTCTTCTGGGCTGAGGTCAACACCCTCAAATACACACCAAAGCTAGAGGTACGGGGCATTGATTCTGCAAGAGACGCAGCAAGTCGCCACTTTGAACAGCAGATTGACCTATACGGTCACAATTTTCTTGTAAATCTCGTGAACCAGAAGGGCAGAGAGCGCAGGGTCAAGGAAGCATACGAACAGATGTTCGACCTCCTCAATCCTGGTTCCCGAGAAAAGGTCGAATCAAGCAAGAGATCAAATGAGAAGTTTGACACTCTCCGGGCGCCCCCAGACTCAGAATTCGCTAAGCTCACTTACATCTATTTCGATTTCCACAACGAGACAAAGGGTCTCAAATGGCATCGAACTTTGGAACTTTTGAAAGAGTTAGGTAGATTAGGGTTCACTGGCGACGATTACTTCCATGGTATCGATATGCCTGGTGATACAGGTCGTATGGACGTCCGAAACCAGCAAAGGACCGTCGTTCGGACAAACTGCATGGACTGCTTGGACCGCACTAATGTTGTCCAGAGTATGCTTGGCCGTTTCTACCTTAACCGGATGTTCGTAGGCCTCGGACTGATGGACGATCAAGGCAGTGTTGAGCGAGACATCAAGTTCGAGTACATTTTCCGAAATGTATGGGCTGACAATGCTGATGTTGTCTCACGAGCATATTCTGGCACAGGAGCTCTAAAGACCGACTTTACCCGTACTGGAAATCGCACCAATGCAGGCAAATTTCAGGACCTTAACAATTCGATCACCCGTTACGTCAAGAACAACTTTCTAGATGGACCAAGACAGGATGCCTACGATTTGTTTCTAGGTGCATATCTTCCTGACGCAACATCCGTTAGCGGGCGCTTCCAGTTCGCCGACCAACGCCCCCTCTTCATTCAGTCGATACCTTATGTTCTGGCTGCCAGTCTATTCTTCGTCTTCGTAGGGTCTTTCACTCGACGAGACGCAACCGCAATGGTTTGGCCCCTTCGGCTGGTTATGATATTATGCTTTGTTTCGACCGTAGCGTGCCTTTACTTCATTTGGTCACATGGGACGCTCTATGTAAGTACTAGACGACGCATCTGTTTCTCTCCAGACTGACAGGCTACAGGTGAATTGGCCAAAGCTCAACACACCCCCATGGGCAACAGACAGCTACCAAGAGGCTTTGGCACATGTGAAGAGCGCCCCAGTCATTGGTGGTATGGTCAATGTCAACAAGCATGAGCGAGGGAAGAGTGATGCCCGACTTGGGTACCTTGAGGAGGGCAAAAAGAGGATTGAATAGAATGTCTGTATTCGAGGACAGACTAAAGTAAGCACTAGAATACCTCGCCCCTTGTGCTCTGACGCCCTTTTGTAACCTACCTCCCTCGTCGAGGCCTATATATCCTAATTGAATCATAATTCGATTATTACTCGACTCTCCCACCTCTGTTGCGCTGGCCATGCCTCCATCCACTTGATCGGTCCGAGTAGTTTCGTGTGTATATTACGAACCCGATCGGAGGAGTGTGTCTGAGATCATTAACAGACCATACGACAACCATTCTGCGTGATGCATTGGTCTCCCACTGAATTTCTTGCACAAGTACATGACCTTTATGTCGTCGTCTTGGATGAGTTGACGGATGACCAGCCGTGAAGGGATTCCCGGTGCACCGTCTGAAGGGCTGCACACGAGTTCTTCGTGGCCATAGGGTCTTTAGTAGAACCATCCTTCGCTAAGGCTTTGATCCCAGCATCTTTTAAAGAACACTCTTAGAATATCTTCTCAGTGACTCTATGACCATACCAGTTCATAAACTCGTCGCCCTCCTGAGATTTCTCCGTGGAACCTATGAAAAAATCGGTCATCTTCATTCCATCGTCATCGTCGTCTGCAGGCCAGTCGACTTGAGCCGACCCTCCTTTGCCCTCCAGTAAATCTTTTGCAGTGCCCCAGCTGAAACGACATTCTGTTCCCCACCCGAAAACAGGATCCATATTCTGTTTCAGCCACGTCGTGCATCGCGCATCGGAAGGGTATCCGGAGCCCCAACCATCAGCAGACTTGTCTTTCCCATCCGAAGTGGTAGAGTAGGACTCATAGCAAACATCCAAGGCTGCATCTCTGGTTACTTTTGCACAGACCGAGGCTGCAGAGACGCAGGGAAACAATGAGTCTGCCTTCTTCGCAACCGTGATCTTTGCGGTGGGGAAGATCTTCTCTAGCTTCTTCTGGTAGATTTCTGGTCTCCCGATCGTATCGATGTAGATCTCTTTGATGTTGACACCTGTCGCCATGGTACGCTTGATGAGATCGATGGTCGCATCCATGGCCTGTGCATTGAGATTGTATGTCCCGTTTGCCTTCATCATTCCTGAAGAGATATCTCTTGCAGACATGACTCTCGTCGCCCATCCACAGGACTGGTACAGATCTGAATCTAAAGTGCATAGCTTCTCCATCAAGGACGATCGTACAGCCGGTGTAAGGACTTTGGAGTCGTCGAAATGGTGGGTATCGGCCAGGAGCGATCGATGGATTGACAGTGGGAGGTAGAAGAGCCCGTAGACCATAGGACCTTCTCTCATCAGCAAAATGACAATTCCGCGACTCTATACTGACCGAGTACTGGCCCTCTCCCAGCCTCGTCGATTCCAAGAACGCACTCTGTGGTCATGTCATCTTCGATAGTCTTGGGGATAGGTGAGAAGTGGGAGTATGAGGCGCCGGAAAGGATCTCTGGCCGGTGGATAGACGGAGCCATGAACACATCTTCAACAGGAGTCTCGAGCTCAATCTCCTGCGTTTCAATTGGGATATCTTCCATCTTTGCTTTGCTGATTCAGGCTTCAACATGTGTAGAGTCGTCTGGCAAGCAATGACGGGGAGACGCGACCAGGAGACGCGTCCGACGCTAATATTCTCTAGCGTGAAAACCAATGATGACCCCGAACAGACGAGGGACCAGCCGGATGTGAGAACGACACCGCAGGTTTGGATGATGCCGAATTACATACTTCCCATGAAGAACTTAATGAAGATATGCTTCATAACTACCGATATTCGAAGGCTGCACGTTGCCTGGATGATCATGGCTCCTTATGAATGCTTTAACACGCAGGTATCTTATATATACAATTGACAGATGTCTACGTAGACTAGACTCTTCATTGAAGCAGATAAAGTCGGACATATATAAATGCATGATTCAAATATGGAGGGTGTAATTTGAGTTGCTCTCATATGATTTTGCCTTGCGCGAGAGCTTCCGCGAGCTTAGTCGTACTGCGAGGTACTGTACGCCCTCCCTTGCCTTCCTTGCTCACTGCATTGGCCAAGAGTTGGTCCATGGATATCGGTGCCTGTCTGTTGTTTGCCATCCATACGTTATTTGTAGGGTCGTAATTTGTGTCCTTGTTTACGTTGAAGAGCTTATCGATGGTAGCAGTCAGATCATCTATATTGGTGATGAACGTTCTTGCTTGATTGAAAAGAGTAGTAAGATCTTTCTTTCGGCCCTTTGATCTCTTTTTTGCGCCACGCTCGTATCTCATCGTCCTTCGGATGATCTCCTCTTTCGTCGGTGGTCTTGGCGAGAGATCACCTCTCATGTAAGCTGCGATGCTTGGATGCATGCTTGTAGCTGTAAAGAGCTCGTCGTCTGGTGTCGGACGCTCGTCAATTGCCTTGATGACCGCTGCTTTAGCCTGGCTCTTCATGTGTTGTATATTTTGGATATCGATCCTTCGTCTTTCCATCTCTCGTAAACCCTCTCGTAGATTCTTCCTTCTCGTTTCAGCCATTTCGGCTTTATGTTGAAGACGCAGCTTGGCTTCAGGCGTTGCAGGTTTCCTTTCCTTGGTTGGCTCTTTCGTTGCGCGAGCTATGAAATCAGGCGTATTTTTTTCGATCTTGCCTTTCGTCTTGTTCGCATGTCTAAAGATATCACGGGGATACGGAAGGACACCTTTGATCGGTTTTTTGGTCGTAAGGACTGGCAATTCTGGCATCGGATAGTCGACATAATTTGGCGACTCAGGAGGTAGCTGTGAGCGAGTGCTAGACATTGAGAATGCTCGAATGGAGCATGGTGAGAATAGATGAGTCCGGCATAACGCCTTTGAGACGGCAGCAGCGTGCCCGCCCAATTGCGGCATGTTTAGAGATGCAAAGCTGTCTCCGACAAAGGTCTGCTCGCGAGAGAAAGTTGCGGCGAACTGAACGGAGATGGATGACATAAGCATGACCCATACCTAGGTATCTTAGCGCCAAAATATTTCATCGGTCGTCCCGCCCACACATAACTTCACCTCGATTATATCGCGGGCCATCTCCGCGGCACACTCTATAATCAAGAAAGCGGTCGCAGTAATTGTCAAGATGGGTACTCGTAAGAAGGAAGCCTCTCGTAAAGAGCGGCAAGGTAAGACCAGTGATGGCATGGCGAACGTCAAGACGAAAGGCGAGAATTTCTACAGGTGTGAGGCCAACAGATCAACGAAATGCCGATACAACACTGACTTATTACAGATCTGCCAAAAAGGTCAAGACCCTGAACATGTTCAAGGATGGCAAAGCGCAGCGCAATGCAGAGGGAACAATCACAAAGGCTGCGTCTTACCAGTCCCGCGATGCTCCCGTAGCCCGAGTAGAACCAAATCGCAAGTGGTTTGGCAACACGCGGGTGATTTCCCAAGATGCTCTTGAAGCCTTTCGAGGCGCTGTTGCAGAACAGTCATCCGACCCGTATTCGTATCTTCTTAAGCAGAACAAATTACCCATGAGTTTGATTCACGACAATAAGAACACAAAGAATGGCCTCAAGCAACATCAGGCGAAGATTGCAATCGAGACCGCACCATTCAAAGACACATTCGGGCCCAAGGCACAAAGAAAGCGCGTCAAACTTGGTGTTAGTAACATCGAGGATCTGGTAGGAGACACGGCTAAATCGCACGACACCTACGTCGAGCGCTTAGAGCAACAGAAACTCCTTAGTGGCCGATCCGGGGAGGATGGCAACGAAGATGGGGAACCAGATGACCTCGCGAATGCTACGACTGCACGAGAAGCCATCTTTTCTAAAGGTCAAAGCAAAAGGATATGGAATGAGTTATACAAGGTGATTGATTCCTCCGATGTCATCATACATGTGCTCGATGCACGAGATCCTGAGGGTACTCGCTGTCGACATGTTGAGAAATTTTTGAAAGAAGAAGCACCGCACAAGCATCTACTCTTTGTGCTCAACAAGGTGGATCTTGTACCATCAAGTATCGCTGTAAGTCATACTCCTTCCCTTATGCATACTTCTCATCAGAATGCGCATGCATTCCCATCATTTAAGTCAAGGCTCTTTCTACACTTAATTGTGTTTCATAGAAAGAATCTGTTACAATGGTGGGATATCAATTATGTTCCCGTAGTTGAGGGCCGTCTTGGCTTTTCAATTGGCCTCGTTCGTTTTGGAGGAGGCCGCAAAGGGTTCAAGGTGTTCCGTCGAGTTGAAGTTCGGCTCTGCTTCACGCAGATCTCCCCGTGCCGAAATTCTTAGTTACGTTTCACACACGCTCTTCTATCGCTTGTTTTTTTCGATGTTCGAGGACTCGTTGCTAATGCAAACAAGGCCTCTTGGGTACGAAGACTGTCAAAAGAGTATCCCACGCTTGCATTCCATGCATCTGTAAACAATTCATTCGGCAAAGGCTCACTGATCCAACTTCTGCGTCAATTTTCCTCTCTTCACTCTGATCGCAAGCAAATCTCTGTGGGCTTTGTCGGCTATCCTAACACTGGAAAATCAAGCATCATCAACACGCTTCGTAAGAAGAAAGTCTGCACCGTTGCCCCAATCGCCGGAGAGACCAAGGTCTGGCAGTACATTACCTTGATGAAGCGGATCTACTTGATCGACTGTCCTGGTATTGTGCCACCGAGTATGACAGACACAGATGAGCAGCTATTACTACGCGGAGTAGTTAGAGTAGAGAATGTGGAGAACCCAGAGCAGTACATTGAGGCAGTTTTGAGTCGCTGTCAGCAACGACATCTGCAACGCACCTATGAGGTCAAGGATTATTCCAATGCGATAGAGTTTCTGGAGAAACTAGGTCGCAAAGGCGGAAGACTCCTCAAAGGCGGCGAGGTCGATCTGGACGGCGTTGCTAAAATGGTCCTGAATGATTTCCTGAGAGGCAAGATTCCATGGTTTACTCCGCCACCTCCATCCGAGCAAGATGGCGAGAGTGGCGTAACTGGAAGAGAAGGCAGGCTTGGTGAAATGGGTAAGAAGAGGAAACGGGAAGATGAAGAAACGACCATTGACGCTGCGGGTGCGTCATCCCCGGCAATCGACGAGGAATTCGAGGGCTTTGACGACAATGATGTCGAGGTCAATGAAGATGATAATAACAACGATGATGATTCGGATAGCATCCCCTCGGATGCCGTCGTCGATCTCGATTCTGAGGACTCAGTCTCAGGCGTTGAAGATACAGATGCGGCGACACTGGTGGCCCCTGAAAGCGACGAGGAGTCGTCAGTTACACATACTGCGCAGAAACCCAAAGCAAATAAGCGAAGGAAAAAGGTTTAGATTACAGCCCATATACCCCACGAATGAATACATTCCACAAACGCAGTCTAAAATACGACTCAAAGCCTCACTCCCGAAAAGCAACCCTCACCTCCATCTCTGCATCATACGCATATGTCCAAGCCTGCGTCACCGGATCGCTCCATTGATTCGCACTCTCAACAAAGTGCACCCCTTCCACCTCCGCACGCATACTTTCATCGCGTGCCCGCTGCTCTGCTCCATCCTCAAAGTGCCACAGTTTCCCCTGCACCCACGCCGCCTGCTGCATCCCACTCGTCCGCTTCAGCCTCACACTCTCCCACACCCCGAGCGCTCTCCCCATATCCTCTTTCCGCCCAACACACCCTATCGCCTCCGCAAGCGCAGCCCCATCCTCCACAGCCATCGCAGCCCCCTGGCTCATATACGGCAGCATCGCATGCGCCGCGTCACCAAGCATACACATCTTCCCGTCCCTATGCACCCACCGTGGCAGCGCATCCCTGTACGCCATCAGCGGCCAACGCGTCGTCTGCTCCACCATGTCCAGCACGCCCACGATCCGTGGATCCCAGCCCTCAAACTGGCGCTTCATCTCGGCGACGTTGTCGTCTTGCCGCCAGGTCGCCGGATCCGTGGTCGCCGGGTGCGAAATGACGAGGTTGAACGTTTCGCCGGCCGCGATGCTGTAGGCCATGATGTGGCGCTGGGGCCCGAGCCAGAGGTTCTGGCCTGGACGGTCGAGGAGTTCTGCTGTGCGTGGGTCGGCGCGCATTTTTTGGGTCGACACGGTGGCGCGGTAGGCTGCGAAGCGGGTGTATCTTGGGGGTGTGTCTGGGGTGGTGAGGATGGCGGGGCGGGCGAGTGATTTGACGCCTGTTGTTCGGTGAGTATGCTGGTGTGTGTGTGGACGGGGGAGGGGACAACGAACCGTCTGCAGCGACGATGAGATCTGCCGTCTTTTCCACGCCGGTATGGAGGGTCAGGCTGGGTTTAGAAGGGTCGTACTGGAGGACTCTGGCGTCTGTCTGGACGGTCACGCCGTGCTTGAGTGCTAACTGGAGCAGCGCGTCGAGTAGATGTGCGCGATGGACGACCCAGTACGGCGCATCATACGATTCGCGAAAGTCGGGTAACAGTTTCGTGTATCCTATCTTTGCGCCATTGCGCCATCTTCGCAGCGTGATGGCTTCGGTCTCGACGGCCTTGCCTTGGAGGAAGGGCGCGATGCCCCAGGCCAGGAGAAGGCGGCTTGAATTGGGCGGGACCTGGATGCCTGCGCCGACCTGATGACGATGTTAGATGACCTTTTTTTAAATGTTGGATTAGGGGGAAGCGTTCCTCTCCGAGCTCAGGGGCGGCTTCGAGAACGGTCACGGTGTGGCCCTTGCGGGCGAGTGCAATAGCTGCCGATAGGCCTCCGAGGCCGCCGCCGACGACGATAATGTTCAGTTTCAAGGACGAAGGCTCTGCCTTGTAGCCATCTGCACGAGAAGATGCAGCGTCGAGTCGCTTCAAGAAGTGTAGACTTCTGGTGGGATAAACAAGACTCTATGGCCATTGAGTACACGGTCGTCCTATGTCGTCGTTGTCGTCTTTCATCATTTCACTCACTTCTGTGTTTTGAAGTCTTCCGGTACTCTCTTCGCTCGCATCGGTATGACTATTTGTTTCTGCTGATGACATCTTGACTATGAGCTGTTTCAAAACTACTAAGATTTCGAAACAATCCGCTCGAGAGTGATTGAGCCTCTATGTATACTGGGCCCCGTTGAATCTACTGTCCCGCTGCAAGGCTCCCATGCAGTGCCATTGGTGTGGAGATCAGATCAACATGATCATGGACGGATCGAAATATACCTTTTATGCCCGCCGGTAACCGGAACCACAGCCTCACTCATACCTCATACCTCATACCTCATACCTGACAACTCACACCTCACGACTGACAGAACCTTATGTGGTGAGAAAGCGGTATCATGGACTTGCGGGGCAGCGTTCCCGCCCTGTCCCCGAGAGACAAGAACAATGCGGGGAAGCTGTATGCGGCGTGGTTGGGATGTCGGCTTTAACTCCGGTCCCACGAGCCGGCAGCCGCGAAGCACTAAACATATAATCGCGACAATATGGGTTTCCAGAGCGTTTGGTGTTTCACATTGACGTTTGTGAACTGCGGTCCTTGTTTCGAAACTCCGAACCTATCTCAATACACAACATGCCATCTGCAACCTCCGAGAACAACAACAACAACAAGCAAGATGAGGTCCAGAAGTTGATTGAAGCAGCTTCGGAGCACGGTGGTGTTCCATTGTGGCCTCAGATGAAGAGATTCAACCCAGCCCGACCGGATCCGAAATGTGTTCCGTTTCAGTGGAAATATGAACAGCTTCGTCCTCTGCTGCTAAAAGCGGGGGAGCTAGTCACAGAGAAAGACGCTGAAAGGAGGGTTTTGATGCTAATTAATCCTACGCGAGGTAAGGTGGAATGATGTGCAGCCTAGCGTCTGAAATGCTCACTTTGGTTGGTTGACAGAGGGCCCTTATACGACCGATACACTATATGCAGGTCTGCAGCTAGTGATGCCAAATGAGACTGCTCCAGCACATCGACATACTGCCTTCGCGGCTCGATTCATCATTGAAGGGAACGGTGGATTCACAGCAGTGCACGGCAAGCGCATCCGTATGAACCGTCGAGGTAGGTGATATACTACTGCACAAAAGCACTGCGGTATCAATAGACTCACCTTGATCAGATGTCATTTTGACCCCGACACAGAACTGGCATGATCATGGCAAGGACGGATCAGGCCCTATGATATGGCTTGATGCACTGGACCTGCCACTGTTTCAGTTCTTCCCTGTGCACTTCGTGGAACACTATGACAAGCCTCGCTACCCAGCAGACGATGTCGATTCGGAGACATCTCCGATTGTGTTCCCATGGTCGAAAATGCAACAAGCGTTGGATCACGATGAGCGAGATTGGACGTCGCTACCATATCTGAAGGCAGATGGACGTCAAGGTATGTAACGTGGTGCACGAGCCATATTCCCGAGGGAACGTTCGTTGAGCTAATATGACATTGAAGTGAGCAAAACGATCGGCTTATCTGCAGCACGACTGCGTCCAGGCTGCTCGAGTGAGGCAGTACAAGAAACGGCATCGAGCGTATATCACATCGTCAGTGGTAAGGGCTACTCGGTCCTAGGTGGCACGAGGTTCGATTGGCAAGCTGGTGATTGCTTCTGTATTCCTGCGTGGGTCAAGTACCAGCATTTCGCGTTGGACGAGCCTGTGTACTTTTACCGATTTGATGATAAGCCCATGCTGGAATCGTTGGGATTCTATCGCTGGGAGGGGATGGATACCGAGACTCTTGTGTCCAGCTGAGGTAATCGGGTGAGCTTAGCACAGTCGGCGTACAGGTCTGATGGAGGTCAGTTGGCATGATGACGAGACTGAAGCATCAGTCGTGTACAAGATGTGTATTAGCGCTAGGTAACGTTAGCTGAGTAGTAGTGTGAATTGAAATTGGTAGACACTCGCGTGCCTGGCCCTGGTTCCATGCTGGAGCTGACCAGGTTGGTGGAGTTGCTTGAGTCGATCATATAGCACGAGACACGGGACGGAAAAGACAAACGTGCCACCTGTGAACCGAACCGGTCGAGCCAAGACGAAAGATGTTGTGGGACGCGTCAGAATGATGGCGGAGGCGGAGGCGGAGGCAGAGGTGGAGGATGCAAATAGGCTGGAATGAGAGAAGTTGTAGTAGTGTGGTATAATGTTAGGTAATAGTAATATTCGACGTATTCTAAGTTGGAAGATCCATACATACATGATAATTACATGCATACAGCTAATTATACAGCCATACAAGCGTACTTACTGTACATCCAGACAGGCGCCCGTTGCCCTCCCCGGCTGTCTCCCCCCAGTCGCCCAGTGTGTCCGCCCGCCCGCCGAAACCCCGCCCGCCGAAACCCCGCCCGCCAAATCGCCCCTAGCTACGGCGCAGTTTTAGCAGTCAATTCCAGCTTTCCAGCCAGCACCTCCCGCCTACTTTTATACTTTTATCCACTGTCTTCCCACTCTTTCCCCGCCCCAGTATTTGCTGCCCTTGCTTTCTCCCCGCCTACGCCCTGAGATCGTCCCCCCCCTCGCCGCCCCTTACTGTTGTTGTTACTCCACTACTTACTCAGTCCGCTCAAAGCATTCAATGTCCGATACCAGTTCCAGAGCTGCTTCGAAAAAGGCCGATGGTGATGACGGCCAGGAGCAGCCTAATAAAAGGAGAAGAATCGCATTGGCTTGTTCGGCCTGTCGGGCTCGCAAATCACGTGTACGTTCGCCGTGTTGCTGTTGTGCTCCTTACGCTTCTACTGTCACCATCCAGAATTGGAGGCACCTTGGAAACTTCTAACCAATCGTCTGTCAGTGTGACGGCGCACGGCCAAAGTGTGGTTTATGCAGAGACCTGGGCTTCGAATGTACCTATGTTCAGGCTGCATCGTCTACCAATGTCATTGTGGGCAAAGAGTGAGTCGCCTCCAGTAGCATCCATGAGCTGCTCGATCCCAACGTATCTCCATCTATCCACGCGAGCCCGCAGAACATGGATGAATTAGTGCTGATCATCCTTCATCACGAAGATACTTCTCCTCATTGGAGGACCGCGTGCAGCACATCGAGGACACTCTGGATGGCTTCCGGACTAGCATCAATGACTTGAATCTCAACATCACAGGGAGACCAGTCAAGCCAGATGTCCCGCGTACTGCTGAGCCAGACAATGATCACATGATGGAGCCCGACACAGCTGTTGGTGACGACCAAATCAATGAGGTCTTCGCCCTTGGTGACGGCTTCAGAGCCATGGAGCAAGAGACCGGCTTCTTCGGTCCATCATCTAACATTGCTTTCCTACGTCATATCGCCAAAGCAGTCGGTAAGGTCAAGAAGGCGCCAAATCAGCTACCCACCCCAGCTTCTGTTGAGTCTGACAACCTCGATGGAGGAGTCCTGGAGATACAACGGCCAGGTTCACCCATCAGACAAGTCTTTCACACTCAGCGCATAGATGTTTTCACCCTGCCCTCAAACCAAGAGACACTGGGATATATTGAGAGGTACTTTGATGACCCTGGCTTTCTGTACCCTTTCTTACATAAGCCAACGTTTCTTGCGACGTATCATGAGATGCGAAAGAGAGACCCAAGGGAGGTTCCCAGAACATGGCTTGGTTTACTGAACGTAGTCATGACCATGGCAACAGCAACGAAGCAGCCATTCGACAGGAATTCCAGTAATTCTGAGGAGCGGTTCAAGGAAGCCGAAAAGTTCTTCAAAAGGGGCATGATGCTGTGCCAGAGACCCATGATGCGTGGCACAAGTGTCGAAGTTGGTCAGTAGCTCCTGGTTTGTGCATATTATTGTTGACAGGTCCAGTGCAATTCTGTTTACTAGCCAGCATGTATCTCCAGGGGAGTCAAAAGTCCATCGAAGCATGGACCATCCATGGCCTTGCTGTCAAGGCTGCATTTCAACTGGGTCTCCATTCAAGAGAGGCCTCGCACAAGTACACCGGCATGCAGAGAGCTCTTCGCAGTAGAGCTTGGTTCGGTTGTGTTCTGGTAGACAGGACGCTGTCCATGACGTTTGGGCGTCCTGCGGCCATCCCGGATGACTATATTCGGGTTGATCTGCCAGAGCCATGGCCAGAATATGAACCTCCGTCAGCGAATAGGACAGTCAAGGACAGCACTATCTTCATGAATATGACAATGTTTGTCAAGTAGCAGTCCAGGGAATTCATGGCTAATGTTGACAGACAACTTTACCGGTACATGTGGCAAGCCATTGACGAGTTATACCAAAAGAACCTTGGCTCTGACATGCCGTTACCTCTTCAGCAAACGGTAGCTTCCATGCTCCGGATAGACAATGACATGTCAACCTGGGAAGAGGCGCTACCAAGTCACCTCCGCTTACGATCGTCGCAAACGATCGCACTCGACATGCACAAGCCACCAATGCATCACGTCGCCACCTCAGATGAACGTTTGTCATTCCTATTGACCCTTCGATATCATAACGTGCGACTTCTCATACATCGACCTCTTCTGGCCAAATTCCTTGATGTCTGTGCAATATCGGGGGGAGATGCTACCGAGATTGCCATCTTAAACCAGCATGGCGCAGCTAGTCTGCACGTCAACATTCGATCAGCTGCTGAGATTATTGAGAGTATCCATGCAGCGGCCCATTCGGCGAGCAAACGACCAACGCTCGGGGCCTGGTGGTTCTCCCTGTATTACAGTATGTGTGCCGTCAACAACTGCTTTCCAATACACTGACTACCCTCTCAGCCTTCAATGCTGCACTTGTACTCTTTGCTAGCCTGGTAGTAGTCCGCCCAGAGAACTTGGATGCACCACCAGTTACCGAGGAGACCATTACGCTTGCCAAGGAGTCCTTAGGGAAGGCACTCGAGATCATGGCGGTGCTCGACAAGGGTAATGTCATGGTCGACCGATGTGCACAGTACCTTGGGCCGCTGGTCGCATTTATCAACCAAATATGTAAGTTCTCACACCTTTTATACGTCCGTGTTGATGCTAAAAAAACAATCAAAAGTCCAAATCCCAGTTCCTGTGTCGGCCGATCTGTTCCAGAGCGCCATTCCGTACGGGGGCGTGAGCGGTGATCCAAGCTACACGACGCTGCCGAATGATCCAACCCAGTTCAGCATGGACTTTGGCGAGTTCATGATGCCTAGCGATATGGATTGGATGAGCTGCTACTTCAACCCGAACAATCAGCAAATACCGGGCCCAGAATTTCCCAGTACGTGGCCCAGCAGCGGGCCTGGAGTCGGCACGAGTATGGGATAAAGTAAAACGAGACGATCAACACAGCATTCAGTAGTGTGTGTGCGGAGAATAATTATAATTCTGCTATCTCGTCACGTGGGAAAGTGAATGCCCGAACTGCTGCCAAGACAACGCTAGTGTCGTTGGTCCATGTTTCAGATTCAACATGGGTACGTACCTACATACCTAATATCACCCCCTCACCGTAATCTGCTTGAAACGTACTCCACATTCCCGCCTGCCTGCCCCAAAGATCGCAAAGTGCATGAAACGCCACAGTCTTCCTTAAATCTTCTTCCAACAGGGCCAGTGCCAAATCCCACTGCGTAATTAGCCAGCCAGCCAGCCAGGTCCTCCTCTTTGCCCATCTCGTATTTCGGCATCGTTCCTGATAAGAAAAGTCCACCCCCCCCAAATGAATCGTTCAACAACTTACCATGCCGATGATCAAACGTCAGGTTTCGGATCCGGTCACACAAAGATTAGCTGCTTAGCTTATGGGTGTGCGTGATACATCAATTTGTGATCCCAAAGGGGCCCCTTGGTCATGCTTGGGGGGGGGCAGAAAAGGGTGGGCGGTTTGCCTGAGGTCCAGACCAGACCGAACCTTGCTCGCTACATAATTAATGCCGAACCATAATTACAACTTTTTACCTAACTTCCCGTCCTGGTGGGTGGGTGGTACATGTACATGTACCTGCGACGAGGTCTTTTCGTCGGGACTGTCTGTCGCTCTTCGCACGTAGCCTTGACGGCAAACAACACACATATTTTTATTTCTTTTGGGCTCGAAAAGCTGGTCTTTTGGCAGTTTCATTCCTTAAAGATATATATCATTTTATATTCTTCTTCTATTTCTTTCCCCTGCAATGAGTTTCTTCGCGTCGCTTTCTATATCCTTCTTCTTCTCCTTCTTGGCACGAGCTCTTGCGCAGCCGGCATCTTCGTGTCTAGGACATGCAGTCTCCAGTCCGATCGGGGCATCTCCAACGACTACTACAGTCCCCACACCCTCACCAACGGCACACGCGACTGTTCCAGTCTCCGACTCCTCGTATGACTATATCGTAGCGGGCGCTGGGCCAGCGGGAATCATCGTCGCCGAAAGACTTGCAGAAAGTGGCGCGGAGGTCCTACTGATCGAAAGAGGGCATGCGTCGACATATGTCTCCGGGGGCAGAGCCGTGGTGCCCTGGAACAGTACCGTCACTCGGTACGATGTACCTGCCTACGCTGATCACCTGAGCAGCATGTCCGACAGGAGTGCATACTGCGAGGATACTGCGTCTCAAGCTGGGTGTATTCTTGGTGGTGGGAGTATGGTTGATGTGAGTTTACCCGTATGGTTGGGTCAGTGGTATGATGAGATGCTAAAGCGGTGCGTGTCTAGGCTATGATGTTTGTCAAGCCCCAGGCGCGAGACTTTGACGATAACTGGCCCGATTCCTGGAAGTGGAAGGATGTCAAAGGGGCCGCTGACCGGCTCTACACGCGTAGTCCTGGAACGAGTCTGGCGTCAATGGACGGGGAAAGGTATGACCAGGGAGGGTTTGATATAGTGTCGACGTTTCTGTCGAGGAATGGATTTGCGGAACGTAATGCTTTGTTGGAGCCGGATGCGAAATACGAGACGTATTCATATCCGCCATGGAATATCCAGAATGGCAGGCGTGGTGGTCCTGTGGTGACGTACTTGCCGATTGCTCAGAAGTTGCCCAACTTCCACTTGAGCCTCAACACGAAAGTTGTCCGCGCCGTGAGAAGTGGCTCGGCGGTTACTGGCGTTGAAGTGGAGACCAGCAGTGGCAGACATATCATCAACGTCAAGTCCAACGGGAAAGTGATCCTGTCTGCAGGAGCGCTATCAACACCGCGGATTCTTTTCAACAGCGGTATCGGACCGTCTGATCAGATCCAGATTGTTGCGTCCGGGAGTAGTCGTGTCCCCCTACCCCCGACAGAGCAATGGATCAATCTCCCTGTCGGACAGGGGCTCAAGGACCACCCAGTCTTCACACTCAAGTTCTCCACCAAGAATACAACGACAGCTCTTGCGCCAACTGCCTTTACCAATCCCAGCCTCCACGACATAGACCTCTTCGCCCAAGGCGCCGGTCTCCTCTCCCAAAGCAGCCAACGTCTCGCCTTCTGGACCTCCGTAAACACAACATCCGGAAGCCAGAAGTTTATCCAGGGGACATGCAGCATGCCCTCAAACAACACCATCGAAATGAAAATCTCCCTCACACACGGCCTCTCATCCGTCGGCTCACTCGGCATCACCAGCGCCGGCGCGACCGAATTCACAGCCACGCCATGGCTGAACACCGCGGACGACAAAGAAGCCGTCTCCCTCTTCCTCGACAACCTCCTCGCCTACAGCAGATCCGACGCCTCCACCCTCACACTCCAAACCGCCTCCGATCCAAGCACAGTCACCAGCGCAGACCTCATCACCGAATACGTCTCCGGCTCACACTTCGTCGGCACCGCCAAAATGGGCCCCGACGACGGCCGCGCAAACGGCACGGCCGTCGTCGACCTGGACACCAGGGTCTACGGTACAGACAACCTCTTCGTCGTCGACGCGTCCTTCCATCCAGACCTGCCGACAGGCGACACCCAGGCCATCGTCATGCTCGCAGCCGAAGCTGCAGCCGCGAGGATCCTGGCACTTGGCGGCAGTTCAACGCCAGTGGTTCCAGCAATCTCCAATCCAACCGTCTCACCCATCTCTACTCCCAACCCCGTAGCTCCTAACCCACCCTCCTCCCCCAACGCCAACAACGGCGCGCCCGGAGATCAAGCGAGGACATCGCCCGAACTAGTAACACAAGATCCAGACCGCAGACCGAATGCCGTGAAGCGCAGCGTGAACGGCTACGAGGAGGCGTACAAGTCGAGGCGGCCGGTGTCGTTGGATGTGGTCGAGGACGAGGATATGGTGGAGAGGCGGATTCAGTGGGAGAGGGCGAGTTTTCTGGATAGCTACTACCGGGATTTTTAGAGGGTTTGGCTTGAAGGGGGAGGTGGGGATAGAGATTCGGGGGGTTCGGTTCAGATGTACATATTTGGGATTTTGGGACTTTTTGCATTGTGTTGTTTGGGTGGTGTGGGCTTTCACGTAGGGTTTATGACACGGCTGTCTGGATGCTATTAGTCGCTCGTCGGATATAGCGACCGGATACGCATGTGACTACTGCTTTAGGTCAGATGGACCGCTAGAGAACTTGCCAAAGTGTTGTGTGAGACATAGTTCCTTCCACACAGTCTACTCGCCTCATGCTACGTTCTTTCCTATTATGGCACAGCTTTGATAGTCCCGTACCAGATGTATAGTCAAATTAGACACAAACTTGCTATATGCGTTCGAGTGGTGTTGGATTGGCAAGCGAGCCAGTATATACACATCATAAACCTTAACGCCCTCATGAAATCCTGCATAATTCGTCCAGCTTCTCTAACCTAAGCCCAAGAGCGGTGACGCTACCACGAACCTCCAGCACCATAAGTGTTCCCAAGCCACACCAAGTGCCCATCTCGTCTCGCCGTATATCGAGGTCCCAAAAAGCTCCAGCTGTTCTCCCCCATCACGGATCCCGTCTCCGCTCAAAGTATGATGTGGCGCCCATGACCATCACGCTCTGGTCCATCGCCCACTCGCCGACCCAGAGGTAGTTGTCGATCCATTTCTTGACGTCGGGCGAGGATGTGATTTGCTCGGATCGGACGCTGGGGCTAGAGTCCCATGGAAGTGGGAGAGATTAGCTTTGTGCTTTTTTTTGTTGATTCTTCTCTTTCTTTCAAGACAAGACGGCGGCATGGAGACCGGGCTCGGAAGGGGGGGTAGTAGGGTAGGGTAGGGTAGGGCAGGAGGGTAGGGTAAGCATACGTAAGACCTGTGGATCGCTTTACACCGGCGAGGAAGGCGGAGACTGGTGGGTGGTGTAGTGGTTAGCAACGATGCTGAGATGGACTCGAAAAGAACAAGAGCATACTAAGTACGGCATCAAAGGCGTAGTGCGCGACGCGACCGAGCTGTTCAGGCTGTTAGCTCTGGATCGGGCATGTGTACACGAGGCTCCTAGGAACATACCACCATGGCGGCGGGGTTGCAAGGGGGAGAGCAGAGCAAGAGGGAGCCGAGTCTAAAGTGATTTTGACAGCGAGCACGGGTTCTGTCTGAGTGGAAACGGTCGAGTATGCAAAGACTCGGGAGGAGTGAGGAGCGAGCTTGCGGTGTTTTGATAGCTCTGGAGTAGGATACGAAGTGTTGTGATGGATGGGATGGATTGGGTGTCGGAGCCTCGAGGTGACACGCCCTGACCGCCTTGACGAGGCTAGGCTTGTAACAGTCTAGCGTGACTTGTCATCATATAGCAGCCTGAGGCGCCAATTGTGGACGGACGGAGCCTTATCACTGGCGCGGGGGGCATTCAAGCGCGGCGGCGGCAGCAAAACCAGAGAATTGAAAAGATCGTCTAACCCTCCACGGAACCCTAACAAGCCCTAAAGCAACGAAAAAAACACAAAATAAAATAAATAAATAAATAATACTGCTGCAAGGCATGCTGCATCTGCATTCTTTGTTTGCAAGAAGAAGACACCTCTGACGTAAATCTGGCTCTGTGCACCGAGACTATATTAATACCTGCTGCACTTCCCCCGAGTCGCATTCCACCTGTTTCATCCTCTCTCCCCTCTCACCGCGTCATTTTCCGAGCTCTCTTCGCACTGCCCCACTAACTATAACGGCTGAGGTATGTGTTGCTCAACAAAACCCTCCGACACACTACGGCCGTGTCCGACCAACTGTTCCTACAATTGACTGACTTGTTTTCTTGTCTCTCTCTCTCTCTAGCTATTGACTTCTTTTGAAAAATATACCCCGACGACGCACCGTACCTTTTACCTTTCATCATGGCCAACGCTCTGGACCACCTCAACTCTGGCCGTACCAGAATCGAATGGCTGTCACAACTGAACACTGAGTACCGTCCGCAGAAGAACTACCGTCGGACTTCTATCATTGGCACCATTGGTACGAGCACTATCACTTTCTGCCTTTACTCGAGGCTCGATTGGACTCGGAAAATAGCTTTGCTAACTGTCCTGTCCGTAGGTCCCAAGACGAATTCGGCGGAGAAGATCAATGCTCTCAGGAAAGGTGCGCAACAGCTCAATAGATCTCTAGTCTCTCACTGACTGACTGACTGACTCTCTCTCATAGCCGGTCTCAATGTCGTTCGCATGAACTTCTCCCATGGTTCGTACGAGGTACGAAACTCCGTCCCTCTCCATACGCGGTGCCAGACCCTAACAGCCAGCACAGTACCACCAGTCTGTCATCGACAACGCGCGCGCCGCAGAGAAGTCCCAGCCGGGCAGGCCTCTTGCTATTGCTTTGGATACCGTATGTTACCTCCAGCCCGGCGAGCAGACCTAGAAGACTCATATTTGCTTGTAGAAAGGACCCGAGATCCGAACCGGAAATACTGTCGGGGATGCAGACATTCCGATCAGTGGCGGTGATGAGATAATAATCACCACCGACGAGAAGTATGCCACAGCCAGTGACAACAAGAACATGTAAGAAAGCAATCTAGGCAAAGGTGGTATGCTCGAAATTGACTCTTTCTTTTAGGTACGTCGACTACAAGAATATTACCAAGGTGATTGAAAAGGGCCGGGTGATATACGTCGACGACGGTGTTCTGTCCTTTGTTGTGGAGGAGATTATTGACGAGAAGAACCTCAAGTGCAAGTGCTTGAACAATGGCAAGATCTCCTCCAGGAAGGGTGTCAATCTGCCAATGACCAATGTCGACCTTCCCGCTCTCTCAGAGAAAGACAAGGGCGATTTAAGATTTGGTGTCAAGAACAAGGTCGACATGGTCTTCGCATCCTTCATCCGCCGCGCCAGCGACATCACTGCCATTCGCGAGGTCCTCGGACAGGAGGGCAAGGATATCCAAATCATTGCCAAGATTGAGAACCAACAGGGTGTGAACAACTTCGACGAGATCCTGAAGGTGACGGACGGTGTCATGGTCGCCCGTGGCGATCTTGGTATCGAGATTCCGCCTTCCCAAGTCTTTATCGCACAAAAGATGATGATCACCAAGTGCAACATCGCCGGAAAGCCTGCTATCTGCGCTACCCAGATGCTTGAATCCATGACCTACAACCCCCGTCCTACTCGTGCTGAAGTTAGCGATGTTGGTAACGCCGTCCTCGATGGTGCCGACTGTGTCATGTTGTCCGGTGAGACGGCCAAGGGCAACTACCCGGTTGAAGCTGTCACTCTGATGCACGATACTTGCTTGTTGGCTGAGGTTGCCATTCCTTATGTTAATGCATTTGATGAGCTGAGAAAGCTTGCACCGGTTCCTTGCCCTACTACTGAGACTTGCTGCATGACTGCTGTCAGTGCTAGTCTGGAGCAAAATGCCGGTGCTATCATCACCCTTACTACCTCGTAAGTACAGGCATGGTCTGTAGCGACTCAAACAAACGAAACTAACACATCTCCAGGGGCAACACTGCTCGTCTCCTAGCCAAGTACCGCCCGGTTTGCCCAATTATCATGGTCACTCGCAATGCCACTGCATCCCGCGTAAGTTCTCACGCTCAGATCTTGATATTGTACATTGCTAATTAGTCGTCTAGTACTCCCACTTGTACCGCGGTGTCTATCCCTTCCACTTCAACGAAGAGAAGCCCGACTTCAAGAACGTTCCGTGGCAGGAGGACGTCGATCGCCGCCTGAAATGGGGCATCCAGAACGCAATCAAGCTCGGCATTCTCAGCAAAGGAGACATCGTCGTCGCTGTCCAGGGCTGGAGGGGCGGTATGGGCCACACCAACACCATCCGCATGGTACCTGCAGAGGAGGATCTTGGATTGAACCAGGACGCATAAGCGGCGGGCTTGGGCTAACTACGGGCTGATATCTGACTTGATGCGATGGATATGTTTGCAATTGCGATATAAAGGCGTGACGGCACACAGACAGCATGAAATAAAAAAAGGATAGATTGGATGCTAGAACTTGATTTGTCTCATGGATTCACCACTACCACCCCATTCATTCATTCATTCATTGATACGTACGTGAATTCTTACGCATTCAATTCGTTCAGGGTGGGGTCCTTTTTACTTATCTTAGCAGATCGTTCCGACGGTTCCATCCGATCATTTCAAAGTGGTCCCGCACCCCCCCACGCTAACTAAGTAACTACATGTAACTACTGTAGCAAATGGATGATGATCTGCAGAGACCCCACTTGCCCAGGCTGCCAGGGTGATGATTTACCCAAGCATAACGACCACGTGGGAATTAATTAGCACTTGTGATCTGCGACATCTTCTGGGACCCTTAGCTTGCGAGACGGTATGTGCAAAGAAAAATCCGGATAACCAAAAGCAAAAAGGTGTAGTAAATTCTGCGAAGTAGAGATGAACGCCGTAGTTGCGGGAAAAGACAAACAAGGAGAGACTTGACGCTGAGATGATGACTGGGGGTTATCGAAAGAAAAAGAGTTATTGATATGCAGCAGCCGCTTTGAAATGAAAAATTACCCAAAAGATCCGGGAAAATGCATAGAGTTTGGTATAGCCATGCTATGCCATGCCATGCCATCCATGCAACGCCACGCAAAACCACGCAAAGCCAAATATCGAAAAAAAGGGAAGAAAATGAGAATGGTTTATGTCCAGGTGCCGGTCTTGCAGATACTACCAAAGATCTGAATCGTCACCAGTAGCTCATCCATCAATCAATCGTTCCACGAACGCAGACGGGCTCCATCAGACCAGCAGCAGTACACCGCCGACGACAGCAGAAGCCAATACAACAACAACACCACCCCCGCGAGACGTCCACGACCCGCCCAACCGCACCCCACCAGATCTCCTCCGCGCCGTCGGATGATACACAAGCGCCGTAACCACGGGCGTCGAAGTCGCCGACCCAGGCGCCGCCGGCGTCGCACCCGCAGAAACACTCGACGAAGTCAACTCCGCCGAAGCCGTCGGCGTGGGACAATCGGTGCCGCCCGTGAGCGAGCAGGGCGGCGAGTCAAAGTAGCTGGAGCAGGTGTAGTCGGAGTAGGGGGGCGGGTCGGCGTCGGGTGAGCGGGTGAGCGAGGCGGAGTGGGACTGCTGCGAGTAGCTGTCGAGGCGGCAGGTGGTGTGCACGCAGTCGTTTGCGAGCGGGTAGGCGTGGTTGTTCTGGCAGGAGCGGACGCATTCGATGGAGGCGCAGGGGACGTTGCGGGCGTTGTAGGCGATGGGGAGGGCGGTGTCGCCGTCGAGTTTTTGCTGGTTTATTGGGATTGGGGGTGTCCAGCGGTAGGGGTCTTGGAGGTCGGGGCCTTGGTTGCGGTGGCGTTTGAGGGCGAGGTAGTATTTTACTTGAGGGGAGGGGTTGGAGGAGGAGGAGGAGGAGGGCTGGCCGATTTTGTCGGGGAGGGTGAGGATGTAGGGCCAGGAGCCCATTTGGATTGTTTCGTTGGTGAGGAGGGCGCAGATGAGGCCTGGGTAGCCGGTGAGGTCGGGGTCGGAGGTGGCGATGTTGTCGGCGGCGAGGAGGATGTCGAAGGATTGCCACATGTTGTCGCTCGAGTCTTGGTCTTCGACGGGGGGGTAGACGCAGCCGATGTTGGCGGCTAGGTCGATTTCGAAGTCGCCTGGATCTATTGTCATGTTGAGCCTGCCGTTGTTCATGAACCATAGGGCTTGGCTGTGAGTTGTTGAAAGAAGGAGAACGAGTAGATGTCGTGGGACGAGCATCTTGTTTTGATGGCTATGTGGTGTGGTTGGGAGGTATGCGCTTAGGATGTGACTAGAGGTGAGCTTTCTATGACACTACGTGGCCGAGTGGATTCATAGAAGACCTGAGCATAGACAAATCCTCGAGTCCTGGCAGTGATGAGCACAAACTGCAACTGATCCTACCTTTGACTGTTAATGCTAGCAAACGTCAAGGGGAATGCTCGTCATCTAGATGAGCAGGCCGTGTGACAAGTGAAGAAGGTTATGCAGGTCATGATTACAGACTCCAAGCTTTCACGCACCATAGACCGTGACATAGCTTAGTCTCGGCGAGTTCGAGACATGGTCGAAGGATGTTATTGTTGTGAAGTTGAAGTGGTCACGGCTGATGTCGCGAAGCTCGGACCACCAAACTACCTGCAGTAGCACGTCACACCGAAATATTTATGATTGTCGCATTTGCTACCTTTAACACCAACCACCGCAACCAATTCGATATGGCCGCTTCAACGCCCATAGAGGGCTATTCACGCCCGATAACCCCAAACTCAACGACCAATGGCTTTCCAAACGGCTCAATGTCACCCACTACACCAATCGCCAAAACCGGCCTGTCGCTGACAGAATACACCGCCAATCCCTCCCCACCATCAGGACTGCGATCCAAGGCGCAATTGGCAGTCCCGCAAGCATTCGTGCTTCCAAATGGCTATCCTGATGTATGATGGCCTCCCTAGACAGACCTCCTGCCTCGATTTCTCACGCCTGACTCTTACGCAGTATTTGCGACTCATCCTTACATCTCGCGTGTACGATGTGGTGGAAGAGACTCCTCTGACGCATGCTATCAATCTGAGCAATCGACTTGAGAGTAATATCTTGATAAAGCGCGAAGACCTGCAGCCCGTGTTCAGTTTCAAGCTTCGCGGGGCGTACAACAAGATGGCGCATCTGGAGTCTAGGGAAAGGTGGAAGGGTGTCGTTGCGTGTTCAGCGGGTAAGCCTACATACTAGCATGACGCAAGAAACATGCTGATGCGAAAGTCCAGGAAACCATGCCCAAGGCGTTGCCTACTCCGCTCGGAAGCTCAAGATTCCTGCTACCATCGTGATGCCGTCTGGAACGCCTGACATAAAGCACAAGAACGTGTCAAGACTTGGGGGATCAGTGGTGCTGCACGGTGATGATTTTGATGCTGCAAAGGCTGAAGCCGCACGTCTGGAAATAGCTCACGGCCTAGTCAGCATACCACCATTCGATGACCCGTATGTTATCGCAGGACAAGGCACCATCGGCATGGAAATCCTTAGGCAGACGAATCTTCAAGATCTTGAAGCGATATTCTGCTGTGTAGGAGGTGGGGGACTCATTGCAGGCATTGGCGTGTACATCAAGCGTATCGCCCCACACGTCAAAATCATTGGTGTAGAAACATATGATGCAAATGCGATGGTTCAATCACTGCGTCTGCGCAAAAGGGTAGTGCTGAAGGATGTCGGGTTGTTTGCGGATGGTGCCGCTGTCAAGACGGTCGGAGAAGAGACTTTCCGCATATGCTCCGAGGTAGTTGACGAAGTCATCGAAGTCACGACAGATGAGACTTGTGCAGCCATCAAGGACATGTTCGAAGACACCCGCGCCATCGTTGAACCAGCTGGAGCACTCGCCCTTGCAGGTATCAAGAAGTATATCAAGATGCATCCGTCTGCAAACACCAACCGAGGTCTGGTTGCAATCGCATCTGGTGCCAACATGAACTTTGATCGTCTTCGCTTCGTGGCTGAGCGTGCAGCTTTGGGAGAGAACAAGGAGGCGTTGCTCAGCGTTGTCATACCGGAACAACCTGGCGCATTCGCAAGTCTTATAAAGAATGTGAACCCCCTCTCTGTAACCGAATTCAGCTATCGTCTACGGAATGCCAACAGCGATGGCAAGGCACATATCCTCATGGGTGTTTCCATGAACGCCATGACAAGGAGAAAAGATCTTGCGACGCTTATTCAGCGACTCGAGGCTGACGGTATGAAAGCAACGGATCTGTCTGGTGACGAGCTAGCCAAGTCGCATCTGCGTTATCTTGGAGGTGGAAGAAGCAATGTCCAGGATGAACGTCTATATTCCTTTGAGTTTCCGGAGCGACCAGGCGCGCTGTTCAAATTCCTCACCACTCTACAACCAGGCTGTAACATTTCTCTCTTCCACTATCGGAACTATGGCGGTGATGTTGGAAAGATTCTTGCTGGCATCCAAGTCCCAGCGGGCCAGGAAACGGGAATCAAAGAGTTCCTGAAGGAAATACGGTACCCGTTCACGGAAGAGACGAATAATCCGACATACCAGGCTTTCCTCTTGGAGTAAGCTGCACCGATCGCTAATTATCTTTCACACTATCGACAAAGCAACAAGCGCTACATGGGTTGTATTTGAGATCTGGTATTATCTTTCTAGCACGGCGCTTTTCTTGTCCGCCCATATGGTGATTGCCAGATACTTTGAGTAATCAAGACTCGTCAACCCTGCTGCGATGCCGAATCTGATATGCGGAAAAGCCAATCCGGTTCTAGAATCAAACATGAAACCCACTCGAAGAGCGACTGTTGAGGCCACATGGCAGAGACCAGCATATTGTCCTATCACACCCCAAAGATCTGACAGCACCATCGCACTACTATGACGCCGGCAGATGTCAGAATATGGGTTACTGTTTCCGTCGCCTATTATGTGGAGTACGGCCCAGGCACGTGTGCCATGCACGCTGTGACGTTACTTGTGGTTCCGGTGGGGAACTAAACTGGATCTGACGGTGTACTGTGTATGTATCTAGCTGTCGGCCGAGCATCTTGCACCAAATCTAATACCCAGGATCAATCCCAGATTGCATATGGCCCACACAGACTTTGTTCTGAAGCAGTGCAAACAAGCCTGTCAACTCAACCTTGTATCTCGTGTCTCCAAGGGGCCGATGTCTGGTGTGGCCAGTTTGTCTTGCTTGGTTTCTTGGTGAGGCTTGTGTGCACCTCTCAATAACAAGCCGTGTCCTTCTTTGACTTAATTAGATGCTGCCTCAATAACTACACATTGCCGGCTAGATGACCCAATGAGCCTTTCTCAGCTCTGGCCGCGTCCCGCAAGGGCAATATTAAACCTCACGGACAGAATGCCGTTGATAGCATGCCTGGAACTGTGCCGCCGAACCAATGACTGGTGACTGTATAGTCTTGGCAACGAATAGCCCGCCGGTCAATCCCTCACATATTGGTGTTCGAAGGATTCTTGCCATGTCTTTCCGCCATCTACACCCATATCACACGCCAAACCAACGACAAACCAAACTTGCCAAGAAGTCCGTACCCACTAAGCTTACGCCGAGACCGCGTCTTAGGAACCAGCGCTAGGCTATCCCGTCTTGGATTGCGCGGTGGCTGCATGGCAGAGCTTGTTCTTCCCCTTCACTGCTTTCTCTCAGCGTTGCCTTGCGACTACGGATTGGACTATAGCAGCGTAGTACTCCGGCATTCCCTCAATCTTGGAATGGTTGCAGGCCCGGTGCCGGGCCTTCTTGGTGAGAAGCTACCACGGATAGAATACCAATCCCGGCAATGGGCTGTCACAAGGTTGGCCAGCCCACACATCCCTGCCTGCGGGGGACATTGATACTGGGGTATCTGGGGTAACGGGGCTATTCACACAGACACCCCTCCATCCATCCTCTATACTGTCTCTCCGCAATCTTCAAGACGGTTTCGACTCGGAGATGGCATCGAGACGGGCAAAACAAGGATCAACCTACCGCTCTTGTACCACATCATTGCTTGAAAGGTCTTAGATCAAAGCAATCGACAACACGCAAGGGCTGACTATATCGACGTCAAGTAGTAGTGGCTTGTGGTTGTCGAGCTGTGGATGCGGCACCGTCGCAGTGGCGGTCTGGGCTTTCTTGGCTGCGTTTCGATGTACCCGGACACAGAAAAGTCGTGTGATGCTTGAGGTTTACTCCGCTGAACCCGTCTGGCAGCGCGGTACGACCACCGCACATGTATAAAAGGGTGTTCCCATGCGAGCCATCATCATTGGAGTTCCCTGCGTCACTTCTGCATCTTGACCGTCCACCTGGGCCGATCGTTGATAACGAGCAGTCTTTGCCCGCAGCTCGCATCCATATAGAATTCACCGCCAGCTTACTTATCTACAGCCATCATGGCTACACAAAATGAGCCTGCGGACCCCATTGTCCGTGGCACATTGGCTACGGCGAAACAATCATTCAGAGACCTCTTTGTCTGGAAGCAGCGAGTGGTTGTTACGAATGAGTTCGGCGAAACATAGTAAGACCGACTCAGCCAATGCATAATACCTCTTCACAATTTCTAACACATTGGCTTGTGTAGCACAGAATGGCAGTCGCCCGAACCACTCAAGAATCCATTTACCATGTTCGCTCAGCTGAGCTTCAAGGATTGGCTCTTCTTCCTCGTTGGACTCTTCTCCTGGACTGCCGATGCGTTCGATTTCCACTCGTTGTCAATTCAAACGACCAAGCTGGCGAAGTACTATGGCAAGACTAATACTGACATCACGACGGCTATTACTCTTACGCTTCTGCTCCGTTCAGTCGGTGCTGCATTTTTCGGACTTGCAGGTGACAAATTCGGTATGATACCTCCCTCACAGTCCGATCGATGAAATGGCGAAATATCATTTCTAATTGCTATCAGGTCGTAAATGGCCGATGGTCATCAACATGATCATCCTGGGTATCCTTCAGGTTGCAACCATCTATTGTGGCACCTTTAGCCAGTTCCTCGCAATCCGATCACTGTTTGGATTGTTCATGGGCGGTGTTTATGGCAACGCAATCGCCATGGCTCTTGAGAATTGCCCGTAAGTCCTCATACACATTCGCTTAGCACTGGGAATTCCGAAGCTAATAAAGTCAGAACCCAAGCTCGTGGATTGATGAGTGGAATCCTCCAACAGGGATATTCGTTCGGATATGTCCTTGCCGTAAGCCCATACTCATACCAACCTCAAAGATTCTGTACGCTTACACTCGTCTAGGCATGTGCCAATCTGGCTGTTGGCGGCGAAACCAACTCTTGGAAGACCGTATTCTGGGCTGGTGCAGGGCTTAGTATCGGCATGGGTCTCGTTCGTGCTTTGTTCCCAGAATCGAAACAATTCATCGAAGCAAGAAAGGCCGGCAAGAAGGCTGTTGCTCCTGGTGCTTTCTGGTTGGAGACGAAGCAGATGCTCAAGCAAGAGTGGCGCATGGTCGTATACTGCATCATATTGATGACGTGGTTCAACTACTGTGAGCAGAACTACTCAGAACTCTAGACCAAGTCACTAACTCATTCTTCAGACTCTCACACCTCTCAAGACTCGTACACTACATTCATGAAAGATAGCAAAGAGCTCTCGAATGGTCCCGCTAGCCGAGCCAGCATCATCATGAAGACCGGTGCTTGCGTCGGTGGCACGATCATCGGCTATGTGTCTCAATGGTTCGGTCGCAGGCGAGCCATCATTGTGGCTGCTCTCATGTCATGTTTGATGATACCCGCCTGGGTGCTACCAGAAGGCGAGCGCAGCCTTTCCGCCAGCGGCTTCTTCATGCAATTCTTCGTGCAAGGCGCCTGGGGTGTGATTCCAATTCACTTGAATGAGCTTTCTCCGCCAAGCTTCCGTTCCAGTTTCCCTGGTATCACATACCAGCTCGGTAACATGATCAGCTCGCCCAGCGCGCAAATTGTCAACGCTATCGCTGAGAGGAGAAGTCTGTTCGTTACAAGCACGAGCGGTGACAAAGTACCTGCCTATGGTCCTACAATGGCAATCGCAACAGCTATCATCGCTATTGGAATTGCTGTCACCACAGCGCTTGGTCCCGAGAGGAAGGGCCGTAGCTTCGAAAACGCACTGCCGATTGGTGCGGCACACCAGACAAAGGACATTGAGGAGGGAGACTTGTCTCGCCAAGGTAGCTCTTCGGACGAGAAGGTTCGCAGCGAGAAGATCGAGGTCAAGGCCTGAAAATAGATCATGATGTTTAGTCGTTCTTCAAGCTTAAGAACTACATAGTACATGAATATAAGCAAGCATTGAGTTGCAGCGCATATAAAGCGCATGTAAAGCTCACTTACTTGACCTTTCTATGCACCACGTGTTAGTATGCAATTGTCATTATATATAGATAAGTATTCTACGGACCCTTGCGCGCACAACAGTCTTCCACAGATTTTATACATAGACGCAAATTGCCCATCACGTGTTAGCGTATCATTAGCGTGTTTATGGCGCTAGCGCTGTCGCGTCCTCCAGAAACATCTCCTCCGCTCGACTACGAAGACTCACCACACCAATGCCTTGATGGACGCTTTACTTGACGGGCTGAATGCTGCCCAGCACAGGGCAGTCACCAGCCCGGCCTCGGTGCTCCAAGTCCTCGCACCACCGGGATCTGGAAAGACGAAGACCCTCACCGCGCGGGTCGCGTACCATCTGCTGGAGCACAAGTACCGGCCATGGGATCTCGTGGTATGCACCTTCACAATCAAGGCGGCACGAGAGATGCGCGACCGAATCTGTGGCTTGGTCGGGGAGAAGACGGCTGCCAAATTGGTCCTGGGGACGTTTCACTCGGTTGCTCGTAGGTATCTCGTCTCATACGGCCAGCACATCGGCATCGCGAAGAATTTCGGAATCGCGGATTCTGCCGACAGTATCGCTATCATAAAGAGGATTGTGAAGAGGAGGAATTATGGTGTCGACCCTAAAGGCGCCCGTGCTCGGATATCTGGGATGAAAGCCAAGAATATTAAGAGTGGCCAAACGAATCCGAAAGGCGTCGATCAGCAAGAGTTTGCGGCTGTATATGAAGAGTATGAGGAAACGCTCAAGTCTTCCAATCTCCTTGACTACGATGATCTACTCCTCCGCTGCGTCGACCTCCTCATCGAGTATCCTCAATGCGTCAACAACGTCGAGGTTGTATTGATTGACGAGTTCCAAGACACGAATAACGTACAGTACAAGTTGATGGGGCTGCTTGCACAAAGACACAATCGGATCACAATTGTCGGCGATCCTGATCAGAGCATCTATGGCTTCCGCTCAGCCGAAATTAAGAACCTCAATCAGATGCAGGCACAATGGCATGATACAATAGTGATCAATCTCGAGGAGAACTATAGATCGTCAGGGGCAATCCTGGCTTCTGCTATGACTGTCATCGAGCAAGACAAGGCCAGACCTCAGAAGCGACTCTTGGCGACCCATTCAGTCGGTGAGATGCCAGTGTTTCGGAAATTACCGACTGCAATGGACGAGGCAAAGTGGCTTGTTGCAGAGATAAAGAGAGTCCATATTCTGACGGGGCGTCTGCTGACGTACAATGACTTTGCTGTCCTTTTACGATCAGCAGCGTTGTCCAATAGCATTGAGCGCGAGCTCGGGAGGGCAGGCATACCTTATCGTATGGTCGGTGGTCACCGATTTTTCGATCGGGTCGAAGTTAAGATCATTCTCGATTATCTCCGAGTCATCAACCACCCTGATCACAACGACGCTGTGCTCCGTACTATCAACACTCCTTCACGAAAAGTCGGAGAGGAAACTTGTAAGAAGCTGCTTGCCGAAGCAGAAGAGAAAAAGACATCGCTGTGGAGGCTCGCACTTGGGAGCGCCCAAGGTACCTCGAAACCGAGGACAGCCATTAGCAAGCCCGCGCAGAAGGGAATAGAAAGCTTCGTAAACATCATTCTGACTTCCCAGAAGAGACTAGACGGTTTAGAGAACCAAGATGGTGGGCTTTTTGATCTCATGGTGCATTTGCTCAAGAAACTTTCGTTTGAGGAGTACCTGAAGAAGCAATATCCCGAGACCGAGGAATTCGGATCACGATGGGACAATGTACAGGAGCTGATGACGCTCGCAACCGGAATGAGCATGGATGATGCTGTCAACGACAATGAAGCTCTGCCAGTCATCGACGCTGCAGAGCAACGGGAACGTTCACAGGCAGCAGACGCATTGACGACTTTTCTATCAAACGTTGCCTTGTCTACGGAGGTGGAAAAGTCAGAGGGAGAAGCCACGCCTCAGGTCACCATCTCGACCATACACGGAGCTAAAGGTCTCGAATGGCCAGTCGTTTTCATCCCGGCTGCGTACAAAGGGTCCATACCACATTCTCGCGCAGAAGACCATGATGAAGAGCGGAGACTGCTTTATGTCGGTATGACGCGAGCGCAAGCCTTGCTCTATATCAGCTGCCCTATGAGAAGCTCTCAGTACCAAGATACAGAGCTTTCTCCTTTTCTGGATTCAACGGACAATATGGCCAGGCAAGGCCCTCCGATTACGTTTACGGCTACGCAAGGCTTTGCACGGGTTCTCCGACGAGCTTGCCCTGCTGAGCAGACGCTGCATCAGGCTCAGACTGAAGTCGATAGGCTCGAAGATGATGCTTATCCCCTGGACGGCGAGTCATGCAACCCTGAAGGTTCATACTGGGTTGGTGACAGGAATGCAAATGCATCTGATTTCTCAAGACGCGAGAAAGTGGACGATGACCATGGCTTCAAGGGTAACCGATGGAATGAGAGGGCTTCAACCACTAATACGAATGTCGCCACCTCTATCAACCAGATGCAACACTTTTCTGTTGCGTCTACAACAATGAACAGCGGTTTCATGAGTGCTGGCATGGCTTGGACGCAACAGCGTGAGCAAGAGCAAGCAAAGAAAGTACAACAAGCCATCAATCGATCGGTGAGTTCATCATTACATGAGTTTAATCAGAGGCCGGCCCTCAAGACACAAGGCTCGGGTCAGGGCAATATCAAATCCTTCTTCGGTCCACCTAGGAGGACACTTGGTCCTTCTTCTGCTCATGGCAGATCAACCCCTGCTAGACCAGCCACGGGTGGGGCAGAGAAAGGATCCTCTCAAGGTCCTGGGACCTTCACACCAACTCCTACAGGTCTAGCGGCCATGAGAAGGCCAAACCGGGAAATCCAAGCCCTTCAAGATATCTCCAATACGTCGGCGTCGCAGCCTCCTCGAAGCTTGCAGCCGGCTGATAATAGTGTTCGCAAGCCTCGCCTGACACCCATGGACAATCGACCGCGAAAGCGACCACACTCGGAATCAGAGTCTGAGACTCCGCGATATATTTTGTTGAGTAGCTCTCCTGCCCCGCCGGAGGATTCGGAGCGTGGGAATGCCCCCACTGAGGGGCATGCTGGGAACGCCATGGGCAGCAGAGAGGAAGACATCAGGGTAGAGCTGATAGCACGGCCGACTGGCTTTCGCCCTGCCAGCACACTCCATCGGACCAGCGTTGGGCAGAGACCGAATGTGGCACCGCAGAGAAAGACATTGGGCGTGAAGAGAAGCATGAACGGGTGGAGTGCCCGCATGGCAAAGCAGTAGTGCAGGCTATATGTTATTGCTCCTCGATTGAGGAACTATATGATACCCACGAAGTGATGTAACCAAAAGAAAAAAGTAGCCTCAGATTCTTGTAATCCATGTATGTAGTAAAAACAGCCAAACATTCGCCTCGCTCGGACGGGTAAGACAGGGTACCCACCCCTTTTACTATCTTGCATAAGGATAACAGGTGCAGGAACGCTAGAAGACCTTCCACTTCTACCAAGCAGTGTGCCCACCGTCGATCCTCAGATCAGCACCAGTCATGAAGCTACTCGCATCACTAAGAAGAAATACGGCCGCTCCACGATACTCCTCGGGCTTGCTCAACTTGCCAAGCATGTTCTGCGTCGGCCACGTCTCCCTGCGCTCAGGATACTCCTTGAACAGCTCCTCTACCATCTGCGTCACAATATAACCCGGACTGATTGTGTTCACCCGTATCCCGTGCTCGCCCCACTCACTGGCCAGATTCCGCCCTAGCTGAATCACGCCGGCCTTACTCGCGTTGTACGCCGAGCATATCAAGCCGCGATTCGCCACACTGCCGCTCATGCTCGCAATAAAGGCCATGCTGCCTCCGTTGCCGAACTTGATCATCTGCTTGGCCACTGCCTGCGCCGTCATCATCGTCCCCGTGATGTTGACCTGGAACATGCGGTTTGCGTCCTCGGCGCTGTACTCGAGCGCAGGCGTCTCCTGCTGGATGCCAGCGGCGGCAATCAGCCCGTCCATACGGCCTTCTTTGGCGCCAATGTCGGCTATGATGGCGTGTAGGGCCGCGACATCACGTGTGTCGATCTGGGTGTAGTGCAGGGATGTGCCTAGTTCTTTGGCAGCACGTTCTGCGATCGGAGCGAAGAGTTCGGACGGCTCGGACAGTCGGTCGAGGGCATACACTAGTGGCTGATGTTAGGGAAGTTGGGAATGGGAGGATGTTTGGAGGGCAGATGGCGCCGCACCTGTTGCACCGGCTTCCAGCAGTGCTTCTGCTTGGACCAGGCCGAGACCGCGAGCGGCGCCGGTGACGAGGACGACTTTCTTGGTCAGGTTGAACTCCGGGAGACGCTTTGTGGTGCCTAGGTATGCCTGTGCTGGGTCGGCGGTGTCGTCTGAGGGCGGACTTGGCGGGCCACGCGTTTGCTGGGCTTGTTGTGACGCTGTGAATGCTCGTGAGGGTATAGGGGTTTGACGCGCTGGAGCGAGGGTTGCTCGCTGGGCAAGGGCGCGGAAAGAGGCGCGAGTGAAGACGCGTGAGATCGCCATTGTGACGAGAGCACTTCGGACCGGCGGGGACTCGGATGATGCCGTAGGATGATGTGAGAGTGTATGACAACAATCACAGTCAAAACAAAAGACGAAGGGAGAGAGAGAGACAGAGAGAGAGAGAGTAATATCAATCTGGCGCGGCACAGCACACGAGCAGCACGGCTGTCAATTTAAAGCAATCATGCTATAGTAGTGGCAGTAGGGCCAGTTGGTAGTTTCGCTCGATGTGATTGATGAGTATTGATGAGGATGAGCAAGATCTCAAGCTCAACTTCAAGCTTAAGCTCAAGCAACAGATGCCCCACACTGCCCCACTGGATTCCCCCCCTCCCCCCCTCTTTCATCCTCGACGACTTGCCCAAAGCAGTAATCCCGGCGCACCCAAGCGACGCACCTTGATGGCCACATAAGCTCCCCCTAGCTCTCTCTCTAGCTCCCCGGCTCATGCCACCTTTCCCCCTTCCCCGCGCTCGATGATTGGCCGCCCGGCAAATCCCCGGCTTGCTCTATCAACCATCACTGTCACTGTCACTGTCACTATACACATGCATGCATTGCATTCCATGCATCTATTTCCTGCATCAAAAAGCCAACCCAAATGCATCTCTCGCGTGCAGTCCTCAAGCCAACAGAATCACATCCTCGCCCCGACCCTACCGTCATAATACCTCCCCCAACCTGTACGTACATCCTGCTTTCCGCCGCCGTGATATCCCGCCCATCACCCCTCTTCGCCCACACCGTCGTCATGCTCGCCCGCAAACGCCTTCTGCCCCGCCGAGCCTTTCGTAAACACCTCCGCGCCCGAGAACTCGTGCAGCACGAGCATCTTCGGCAGCACTGTTGTCGTCGGCTCTGTCCCTGGTCCGGCTACGAGCTCATAGCGCTAGGCTGCCCAGATATCCCGGCACGCCATCCAGCATGCCAAAGTGCTCGTCCGCGTACCACGCCGCGACGTCATTGCGCCGTGACGCTCGTCCGAGGGGCATCATGTCATGAGCACTACGCTGAGGAGAGGCTGCTTTGCCTAATTAGTAGCTCGATTGGTCGGCTTTGTTCTGGTTGATCGTCGTGGCTTCCGCCGTAGCCGCCGCCATAAGGTGATGATAATACATAGACGGAGGGCCCCCCTCCCCGCTTTCGAGAATACAAATACAGTCGACGTACCAAATGCCACGCCATGCGGCTTGTTGTGTGCGCACAGCGCGTAGCTGCGCGTGTCGAAATGTGCTAGGTCCGGGAGACGGCCGCTGCCGGGGAGGCCGCTGTACTGTAGCGGCACGGCCGGGAGCGCGGATGTGAGTGCGTGTGCGAGGTCGTCGAAGTGGTAGAGCACGAGGTACGGGAGGGTGGTGATGGTGGCGGCAGCGGCAGCGGACGGGTCGGCGGCGCCGTAGTAGAAGGATGCGCTGTGGAGACTGCCTGTTGCGACGACGTCGGGGATGTGCTTGTCTTTGTAGACCTGGGTATACTGGTGAGGGGACAGTGTGGCTGGGTCCTTGATGCCTGAGTTTATGTAGAGGAGGCCTGGGCGTGATTGTGGGGTTGACATTGTGTGTGTGTGTGTGTGTGTGTGTGTGTGTGTGTGTGTGTGTGTGTGTGTGTGTTGTGTGTGGGTTTGTGAGAGAGATTATTTGTTTGTTGTATTGTAATGTGGAGCGGCCTTTTTATTTAGAGTAGATAGAGTGCTGATGTCTCGGGTTGTATATACTCATCCGTGGCCGTGCACAAGCAACCTCCTGGACCGCGGCCCCGCTTTAAACTCGGGTATCGGATAACTACCACCCCTGTATACACATCAGAATGCTTTGAAATGCACAGTATTAGCTCTGTGACTACATTAAAGTCCGAGGAGCATTACGTTCGAATACCCGTACCTCGCTGATAAGTAATCACATATGAGCATATTATATTCAATCAATCACTTGCTTGCACCTTACTATTAATGCCTTTTTTTTAGATTGTAAGAGCATTAGCCGTAAAACTAAACAGAGGCTACATGATATCTATACAAGATTTATATGCTATATAAAGTTAAATAAAAAAAGAAAGATCCCCAACCAAGCTATGCAAAGATTGAACGACGCTTAAATGTTTGAAAAAGATTTCCCCAGAAAATACAGTTCTATGATTTGGCCCCTGAGCACCAACCCTCGATCTGAAGCGTGATATCCGTCTTGACGCACAGCGTGTGCAAGTCCTTGAGATTCTGCACAAATTTCTGGAGCCACCACTTTTGTCGCTCCGTGTTCGTCCATTGTAGTGGCAAGGACGGAGTCTTGCGACTTTCGTCGATTCTCTCGAGGGTGATACATCGGAGGTTGGGCAGGACTGGTGGTGAGTTGCCATGCATGTCGAATGCGGGTGTTGTTGCGTGGGTCCAGAAGGAGTCTCGCGAGCCTGGGAGTGAGAGGAAGGCTTGCTCGACAGACGGGTCTGTCCAACAGCAGGTGTTGTCGTTGACCAGATATTCATTTTCGCAGTGTTCGTTTTCGGCGTCTGTGACATCGAGTACAGGCCACGACATGTTCCGATTCGTGACTTCGCCTCGAGACGCCGTCAGGCGCTTCAGAAATCTGACCATGCACTTGACGAACGCAAACTCTACGTCCGGTTCGTAACTGATCTTCAGAGACTCTAAGCCGGGCGGCAATCGGTCTGCGAGGGCCGGGATGTTCAGTGATGCAGAATGTCCGTCCTTTGGTAGATGCAGGATGGACGCATCGATTTCGATATGCGTGAGGGTAGACATTTGCGAAAAGTCTGCCACCATGTTGTCCTGGGAGCACCAGTCCACGCAGCGGATCTTCAGGCTTTGCAGCGTCTTCTTCTGCTGTTCAAGCGCGGCCAGTACGGTGTCGACGTCCTCCTGGGAGTCCTCTCTGTCCTCTGTATACTTGGACGGCGAATCAATCTCGACTGCGAGGCTCTCGAGCCGTACGAAGGTATCCAGAAGAATGCCCAGGTAGTAATTGTGTGGAGGTCCGCGGATGGTGACATGCTTGACGAGCGACGTTTTCTCGAGTGCTTCCAGTTCGTCCAGATCCTCTTGGGTCATGCAAAAGAGTGGTACGATCTCGATGGACTCGAGGTTTGGAACGCGGAGCAAGTACGATTCAAGGCAGGCACCGTACGATCGAAGCGACGTATGTGTCACTTTTACGTGTCTCAGAGAGGAAAATAGATCGAGCGGTTGGTGACTTAGATTCCAGGTTTCGAGATTACGACCCCATGTGGATCCTGCGAGGCGAGTACCGTAGTCGCCAGCAAGAATAGCCAGGTTCTGTGCCCGTGGAGCTAGGCTGTTTATGAGAAGATTGACACCAGTCTTGTCGTCTTCGAAGGCGGCTCGCAAGAGGCGGGAGGAGATGGAAGTGTTAAGCTCCGAATCCGAGACAATCGAATACGCTTGTCGGATCAGAAGCTGCAGCTCGGCTTTGGAAAAAGTGTCGGACATTGGCCATTGTTTGGCTGCTTGCACGATATCCTGCAGCAGCCTTTCGGGGAAGCGTTGAATCTGGAATGAATAATACTCTTTTCGGCTCGCAGAATTGTCTACGACCCAAGCTCTGAAGCACCTCTTGACTTCTTCCTTGCCAAAGATACGCTTCAAGTAGCCGACTGTGATGGCTTTTTGCTCAACATGTTCGTCTGGTAGACCCGAAAGATCAAGGGTGAAGCCGCGGATGTTGACGCTCAGATCCACGCGCGTCATAAGTGTGCGCAGCAACAGTATTATCTTGGACGGAGCTGATCTCTTCTGAGATAGTTCTCCAATCTGATCTCTGAGCACTTCATCTCTGGTAATGATGTCGGCTGCCCAAGAAACCAGTAACGGTTGTGCAATCCGAGCAAACTGTGTTGAGGTTTGACATAGTCGGAAGAGAGTATTGGTGTTTTCCAGGGAGCACTTGGTCGGAGTCCGAAGACTTAGTGCGCTATCGGTTGGGCTTGGAGGTGCTAAATTCTCGAATATATTTACGAGGAGCTCCTCGGGTATTCTAGAAAAACTGAAAGTAGGATGCGTCATCTTGATTTTAAGTAAACATGGCGGCGCTTTGTGTTTAGTGATGTGAAGTTGAAGTGTAGGTTATCCAGACAAGTCTGAGAGAGGGATATGGATCCCTTTAAATACTCCAAAAGCGAAAACGATAAAAAAACTTGTTTCAGAGCGCTTTCAGAGCGCTTGGTGTGGTCTTCAGTAACATGGAACCGAGGAGTACGAGCCCCGGTTTTTTCTGTGGTTGGTATTGAGATCCAGGGTTTTCTAATCCGCAGCTCGCCTCTATTAACAGAGTAAGCCAGACGCATGGCTTTTAAGAGAAGAGAAGAGGACAACATGGTGTTCTCCGTTCCATGTGAATAGTGGTAGAGCGTTTACTTCATCGTTGAGTACTGCGCAGATTATCCCGCAAGGTGCTCAGATACCCGGCAGGGCTGGCCACGTGACGTAATGCGACTTTTATCTTTCGTGGCACGCGGACGAATCATATGCATCCTCTGCACTCTCCGTATCTGATAGTCTTGTTTAATACGTGACTTCAGGTAGCAGTTCGTGTGATTTTTGCCTGCAATAGTCGCATGGAATTTATGCTTTGACGCTCCAGCATAGAAGTGTTTTTCCTTGGCCAGGTGACTTCGGCGCAGGTGTACATCGTTTAACATTCCATTTGGCCTGGTGAATGCTGCGAAAGTCTCACAGTGCTACTCTTCATCGCCCAGAGCTGAGAATTCAAACCCCTGGTCGGTTGCCAAACCAGATCTCGTCATGGGGTCGCTCACCCTTTTCGAGACCTGCCATCATGCAAAGATTCTCGCTTTCGTTGGGTATACTCCACATGCTAACGATGTCAGCACGCGTAAGGAACTGCATCATCAACCCAGCCTCAGCATGCCAGGTAATATGACAATGAAAGGCCCACATTCCAGCGTTGTCAGCCTTTAACCGTAGAAGAATCCATCCGTAAGCCTCGATAGACGCTGTGTCTCTGCGCAAGGGGTTACTGAGATCAAGCACACCGGGATCGTAAAGATTCTCTGGTGGATAGCCAATACCTGACGCAAGGACCCAAAATTTGTAGCCGTGTAGGTGCATAGGGTGTGAACCGTCGTCGAAGTTCGAGATTAGAATGTCGACCGTCTGGATGCCCGTGGTTTGATACGTGAGCTCACTAGATGGATCGAAGACCTCATCATTGATCCCAAACGATCTATATAGGCTTGATGTGTAAGCGCCGTTGCCAGTCTTGACTCCCGAGATGAAACGTGACAACGAAGATGAATTAGACGAGGCACGCCACGAGCTCTGATTGAAAAAGCCGCGACTGAGCTTCCAGTTACCAATCTCGAAATTTGACCGGAGGTGGATGACATCGTTGACATCAGAAGGAGCTGCGACTGGTATCGCGGGATGTAGCTCTGTCGTATTCATATCGTGGCAAGTGACCTCTACGACTTCCGGCCAGTCCCTGCTCTTTGGCTCTATATCATGTAGCTCCGTTGCCGAGTATTGAACAATGGCCCGGACCTCAGCTTCCATCTCTTCATTTTCCTCTGCGAAGCAATGCGTCACCATCCTTGCTCGTAGCCAATACGCAGATTGTGTAGTAACGCTTGCATCGACCACAATACTGTAGCGCTGCGCTGGGAGGATATTAAGTCGATGAAAGTAAGCTGGAATGACGTCTGTGCCATCAACTTCGGTGACGGCAAATTCGTGCTCGTCTATCTGTACCTGAAATTCAGCAAACGCGCCAACGTTGATGAAGCGCAGACGATGTTTCTTGCCCTCTTCCAGAACCATGGTGGGAAGAGTTGCCATCGAGCTGTCACATATCCTGTTTGGTAGCAAAGCACAATCACGAACATTGCGTCCGTTGATGAGTGCACTGTCTGGAACTGGTTCGGCGTTCTCCTGGTTTGGCTTCAGATAATCCATGAGGAGCTCATTCGACGTGTTGTAGTAATGGTCTTGAACCATCACCACCCTGTCCGTATCATATTTCAGATGCTGAATTTCATCTTTGGAGTGAATTATAAGAGGACCAAGTAGACCATCAGAAGCTTGTACGCCTCTATGGCCATGATACCAGTACGTGCCCCATTGGCCCTGTGTTGAGAACTCATAGGTGTAGGCGGCTCCCGGTGCTATCGGACATTGTGTGACGCCGACAGTCCCATCCATCCAGTTTGTCCCATTCTGGTACATGCCGTGCCAATGGATGGATGTTGCATTCACAGCTTCGTTGCGAACATTGACTACAATAGTGTCGCCTTCATTGCATTCGATCATAGGACCGGGGAACTGTCCGTTGATGACAACCATAGGTCTGAAGACGCCATCGGGGTTCAGTTCGACGTCCGTTATGGTCCAGTCGTAGATTCGCTTCTGTGGCTTCGCATATGCATTCCACGCTGGATCCAGGACATAATCATTTCTTTGAGATACTGCATGCACTGTAGGATTGGCGCCGTGTCGAAACCATTGCGATACCGCCGATGCGGCCAGAGCCAGAAAGGCGACCAGCACTATGATGGCGCATATCAGGAAGAATGATGGTTGGCATTGTTGACTCGCTTCCGGCGACAGACCAGTATCGCTACTGTTCGCTACATCGTGTTGGGAAGATTCCAACGAGTCGTCTTCGTATCGTTCCGAGAGCAGATGCTCTGCCTCTTCGTCGCGACCGGTAGCGCGATCTGCTTGAGGCTCATACATGGCTACCTGGGAGAGTCCGTGTCGGCGATGTAAAAAAAGACAAGAAATATCCTGTCAAACACACACAGACCTTCGACGGATTGTGGATCAAGTGACGGCATCATCTGCACAGGAATGTCAAAATGTCTCAGTCTGGAGCTATCTACAGCGTGGTGTCTCCGTCCCGTCACGGGTATATCCAATCCCGCCAGGCTTCTAAGGCACCAACACCTGAACGTGCCCCTGCATTGCTCACAAAATCGCTCCCAGCAAAAGCCCCCCCGCAAATCAGAATCGTCGTCTTCAACACATGCGTCAATATTAATGCATCGGATGATCCTGTATATTATGTCCGTAGCCAATCTAGGGTCTGCCGTTACACACCAATGATTGCTTCACAAATAGAAGCGTGGAGCGTGCCCATTAGCTCGCCAATCACCATCCTGCTAATGCAGGGCTCTTGTCATCCGCTGTCGTCGTTCGGGAAGGTCGGATGAGACCCAAATTAATCAGTAAAATGCAGCTCTAAACCATGGATTTGGGTACTTTTGTCCGGCTATCTGTCGGACCTTTTTACATTTTCCTTCTGTTCTTCTAGCCTTGTTCAGTTTCACCTGTTGATGCCTTTCGAACAATAAGGTTCAGCGAGGATGTATTTGGATTCTGCACTGGCAGGCGTTGCAGCCTTGCTCACGACCACAACAGTGGCTACTCAGTATGTTGCGCAAACCTCTGCTGCAAAAGTATCCGGGAAGGTGTTCGACCGTATGGCTGTAATTTGGCTAGAGAACACTAATTACGACAAAGCTGCTGGAGATCGTATGTTCTGTCGGCTATAAAATGTAACTGGGTCTGAACTAATGGGTTACTCTCAGCCAGTCTGCAATATCTTGCGAAGAAGGGTATCACGCTTTCAAGCTACTATGGTGTCACTCATCCCAGTGAACCGAATTATGTTGCCGCAATCGGGGGTGACTACTTTGGCATGAAGTATGAAATATTTCCGTATTTGGGATACAGGTACTGATCAATACAGCAACGATGACCATAACAACGTCCCCAAAAACATAAGTTCTATCGTCGACCTTCTTGAAGCCAAGGGTATCTCATGGGCTTCATACCAAGAAGACATGCCGTACACCGGGTACCAAGACACCGAATATGATAATCCACGTACAGGTGCCAACATGTATGTGCGCAAGCACAATCCCTGCGTCATATATGATTCTGTCGCTACGCAACCGTCACGTCTCAACCTGATCAAGAATCTCACGCTCTTCCAAAACGACCTCAAGGCGAACGCGCTACCTCAATGGATGTTCATCACCCCGAACATGACGTCCGATGGTCACGACTCCAGTGTCACGACCGCCGGCACGTGGACGCGGAACTTTGTCGAACCGCTTCTATCGAATAGCAACTTCATGAACAAGACACTCGTGCTCATCACCTTTGATGAGAACCACGACTATACACAGCCTAACAAGGTTCTCGGTATCCTTCTCGGTGATGTTATCCCTTCGTCTCTTGTCGGCACCACCGACTCCACATTCTACGATCACTATTCCGAAATATCGACTGTCGAGGCCAACTGGGGTCTCGACACGCTCGGGCGCTTCGATGTAGGCGCGAATGTGTTCAAGTTCGTTGCCGATGTTGTTGGAGAGAAGGTGCGCTCGTGGGGCTCTACGTCTGGCTCCGTGGCGTTGAGCAACATGTACTTCAATCAGTCGTATGCCGGACCTTTCAACTCAAAGTACAAGAATGGTGGATGGGCCGTACCAAATGTAGATGCTGAGTATGCAGGCAGGACAGTGCTGCAAAAGATCAAGGATGCCTGGAGTAGTGCCAGCGGCAACAAGATCTACACGACCAATTTAGAGATTCCAGACGGCCAGCACCCCCCAAAAGGATTCGAGCCAAAGTAAGTTCTGGTAGTCAAGTTCGAGGTCAGATGGTCGACTTGATTCGATTGTGGTTCCCCGTGTGCATTTTGTGGGTTTGGCTAGCATAGCATCTTGAAAGGGGCATTTCCAGTAATATAGAGAGCATTTTCCCTCATTTCACATATACCAGCATATCCTCAGGTAGTCGCGAGCCGGGTCTCCTCCCATGAAACGGGAAGTGAAATTCCGCCAGACGAGTGATATCATCTCCGCCAACCAGCAGACTCGTCTCGTCCCGCACCACAGTCGTAACCCTATACAAATCCACCGCCTCCTCCGCCTGCCGCGCCTTCAGCGCCTCCTCTTCCGACCTCGACGGCGCGTCACTCGCGATGCTATCCTGCCTCGTGGCCCCAATCGCCAAACTGCGCACCCCCGCTCGCGAACTGACTGGCGAATACACGCTCCGTGGCGCCGAGATTGTGAATTGCGATGGCCGCCGTGCGCTTTCGCGCGTCTGCGCCATGTCACTCAGTAATACCCCTTCGTTTCGAGGCGCGGCTTCCTTCACGGGTCGTATCGACCGTGTCCATTCGTAGTAGCAGCGTCTAGGCCGTACACAGCGCTTGTTCCATAACGCGTATAGCAATGAGCAGGGGATGATGACGGCGAAGGCGACGCCGATGCCTAGAGCAACTTGTTCGGCGGAAGAGAGGCCTCTTGCACGGATAGAGGCAGACTCAGTCATGCTTATGAGCGGATGCACACGGATAGGCCGGTGAAGAGAGTGAGAGGGTACGAGAGATGGGGCTCGAGGGAATGTGTGTCTACTGTGCTGCGTCACATTGTGCGTGGTCAGATGGACGCTAGTGCAGCTGTGTAGGACAAAGCAGATGTAGGCCAGGCAAAGGGAGCGGTTTCGATAGTTCTTGTGTTGCGAGATGCGTGTAATGCATGGTGAGGCTGCACAGCGGTTTTTCTTTCCGACTTGACCGTGTTGGGTGAACACATGCACGATCTATCCTGATTCATGCGTATGATTGTCGCATTACGCACTGTGCATAAGAACATCTCGAACATGAGTGAGTACTTCATGCGGGCGAGAACACGTGTATCTACAATAGTCAGGCATAATTATGATTCGATTCCTGAGTTTACTTATTGCTTCGTGCCCTATCACAAGGACTGAGACCATCATGCTGTTACTGACTATTAATTGCCAGACCAGTGATGAGTTACGAGCATCAATCAGCTCGATTGACGTTGAAGTATTATACATCTTGGACCATGCAGAAGGCGATGACAGTGAGTACACACTGGGCTTGGGATTCGTAGGAAGTCATGGGTGATAGAATCAATTTCCCCGAGCGTTCCAATATGTGTACAGTATGGTCGCAATTCGCGGAGACTTAGCGCAAGACGATATTGTGTCTCCATCGCGATATTCGATGTCGGCGACTGGCAATGCAAAGTCTGGGACTCAAGCTGTTTGTGGCTTTCAAAGACGGCATTGTGACCATGCCAACAAGTATGACACTTGACAGAGCTCACTCAACATTGCGAGTTAAGTTGTATTACCCAGCATCGATTCCAAGCTCATTTTGCTTGTAGTGCCCACATCCGAACTGGATAGAGATCGGCTGGAAATCCTTTCTGATATTGGGTGGCGACGATTTTGAGCCCTGCTTCTTCGAAGAGGTGCTTGAATTTTGTCTCTGAGCGCAATACGGACGAATCCAGCTTGTCGAACTCATCCTGGTCTTCGAGGCCCCGTAGAACGTTCTCTTTCGTTATGATCCAGCCGCCAGGTTCAAGGTACGGCGTACATCTTCTCAGGTAGTCGATCACTTGCTTATCTTTGAGCTGGCAGAGGCACCATTGGTTCCAGATTACACTGTAATTTCGCACTGGCGTCCATGTCTGCAGCCCTTGCACAATGATATCACCAATCTTGCCTTTCTCTTTCAACACCTTGTACTCTTCCAGCGCCTCAAATCGATCTGTGAATTCTTTCACTGGCTCGACAATATCAACAGTCTCCGCGACATCGACCAACAGACCGGTAGTGATGCGGCCAATGCCTGCGCCGCAATCGACTACACGGGTGAGTAGCTTTGTGGTAGGGTGCTGCTTGGAAGCTCGTTGAAGCTTTGTCAGAAAGGCGAGCGAGCCGCGTAGATCTATGGAGGAGACTTGAGGAAAGCCCCCAAGCATACCGTCCACTGTCGGGGCGGTTGAAGACCAGTATTTGATGGCATCCTCCTGATTGATTTGTGTGTCGACATCATCCGTGAGGGGTATTCCCGCCGTGTCTGTGCCCACTTTTTTGAGCATCCTCCCTGGGTCGCTGGGATCTTATATATTAAGGTATTCCGATTCGTGGTTTGCTGCGCCGCAGCCCTGCTTTAGGACGAATGACTCGCAAGCTCAGCAAGGCTCAAGAGGATTTCAATAATGCCAATTCGGTGAAGTTGACATTGAACTGAGAAGATCAGGTAGGGTCGCTCGTAGCAGAATATAATTGCAGCCAGTGGCACGTCAGATAAAAAAGGTCTCTGTTGCTCAACTGTGTTAATCCAGCTTGTCCAGTGCTAGGACATTAGTCTGGGGACATTTCAGGCATATTTCAGGCACATTTCAGGCAGAGACATGTCCCCAGACTGTCCAAGCTACCTTCCAGGTCCGTGCACACTACCACTAGAAAGGACAATGTGGCACTTTAGCTCACTGCCCCAAAACAGTAAACTCGGTATTGTCGCCTGATATTCCTTCTTTAACTCTCCTTGAGACACTTCACTCCTTTCACCGACTCCTCGAAGACCGGCATCAAGATGGACGCGATCCGACCTTACGTTCAGGAAGTCACTCATCGTCTCCCGGCGCCCATCGTCACGGCCGGCCGCGATCTTATCGGACCATACTGCTACAAAACTGTAGTCGAAGACTTCGATCTCCTCAATCACCCAGAATGCGTAAAGCTCGGGGTCTCTAAAGCGCTTGGGATCGCGATAATTGGCGCTTCAGCTATTGTCAAAGTCCCACAGCTTATCAAGCTTCTACAGACGAAGACTGCGAAAGGATTATCGTTTACTTCGTACGCGCTCGAGACGTCGGCATACATCATTAGCTTGGCATACAATTACCGTCATGGCTTTCCCTTCAGTACATACGGCGAGACTGCCTTGATATTGATTCAGAACGTAGCGATTTCCGCACTGGTTCTGCACTTCTCTGGAAAAGGGCCTGCAGCGGGCGCTTGGATCGCAGGACTCGCGGCAACTGGTTATGCGCTTTTCAACGAGAATGCCGGTCTTGTAGACGTCAATCGCTTGGCCATGTTCCAAGCTGCAGCTGGTGTCCTTGGTGTCGCGAGCAAAATTCCTCAGATCTGGACTGTGTATCAAGAAGGGACCACAGGCCAACTGAGCGCGTTTGCTGTAGGTCTTGCTTAGACTGGACGTCTTGAATTTGAAAATACTGACATGATTGCAGGTTTTCAACTACCTTGCAGGTTCCCTTGCACGCGTCTTCACAACCTTACAAGAAGTGCCCGATCCTCTTATACTATGGGGTTTCATTGCCGGCTTCGTGCTGAACTTGGTTCTTGCAGGGCAAATGATCTACTACTGGAACACTGCTCCAGCTGTAAAGAAGTCGAAAGGCAAGAACGCTCCCTCCTATGCCACTGTGGCTAAGAAGAACACCCCACTGGATCCTGCAACTCCAGCGCAATCGACGCGTTCAAAGACGCCTTCTACGCGCCGCCGTGGCTAGGAAATATGTCGGAAAAGACCTAGGGAACACGGATGATAGGAAAATTATAAGAGATGGTATAACGGGGTGCAATAGTCGATGAATCTGCCTGCTCTTCACATATCTCTAATATATTCAGTCGAGCCACGTACTAATTTGTCGAGCTCCTTGTTTAAAAAAAAATTGCAGTTGCTAGTGTTTGCCATCGTCAGTGAAGTGGCTAGCTGTGCAGCGCGAATACCCCAGGAAGATAGTTGTAGCACACCACGGGACGACCATTGTGCTGTAGTGCGCATTTCTGGTCGCGATTTTGTTCTTCGTCGGCTGTAGACAGTGAGCAACGTAAATTCTGTCAGTCGTGTCGAGGCACGCTGCAGCATCACAGTTTTGAAACAAAGGTCTTACAGGCCTATGCAGTGCAGTAGCTGTATTGCAATATTCGCCAAATATGTGGTACACCGACGTTAAAGGACACGTCAGTACTGTACATACGAAGAATGTCGCGTGCACGCACCTGCACATCCATGTTCTCAAAGTCAGAGCTCCCTCAGTGCCGAAAACAGTAGTCATTAGCTGCGGAGCTCGAGGAATTGGTCGAACTCTATCGCCACTTAAAGAACAGCTCGAGCACACAGTGTACACTCAGCTGGAGTACTGGAGCGGACCAGAGGGCAGTCAGTTCTGCAATTTGCGACTTATGCGACATCGACAATATCCGAGAGAAATGTGTCTCTGAATTTGTGGGAGGCCATGTCGATGTCCTTGTGAACAATGGAGGCATTGCTGCAACACAGTAGACAAATGGCATAAAGATGATGGATTCAGACACCATAACACAATGGCAAGTGTATGTATCAGCTCATCGGTATGTCGTGCACCCACTTTACTAGCAGCTGTCATGCAGCTACTGTACGTTGAAACAAACCTGACGAGACCATTCGCTGTATCGCAAGCCTCTACATGAAGTTCAGAGAGCCAGTCGGTCGGCACTCTCTCAACAGTGACAGCACTGCTGGGCCCTGCATCGTTCGTATCGGTTCGTTTCGCGCGTTGCAGTCAGACCCACATCACGAACGCTAAGCGTTGATTGCTCCAGGTAGGATTATAGTTGGTTGTACATGAGTGGAGAGAGGGAGATGAGAGCGGAATGGGCCAGAACGAGGAGCAGGATACATTGGACCACTCGAGGAACAGAGCGAGCGAATACTTGATACGCGCAGGCTTCGTAAAGACACAGAAGATTACGGTGGACGGTGGAGCCACGCAAAAAGAAAAGTAATTGAGGAGGATTCGAAAGTCTAATCTAGAATTCTAGGTGCTAATTATGGATCGGAGTCGGCGCCTCGACGGTATTATGTTTAATGACGAGTTGACGACTATGGTAGATGGAGGATTCTGGAAGAGTTCCAGATATATTTTCGCAGCATCGGTATCCCTGCCTCACGCCAATCGTTCTGGCCTTTCTCGATCTCCGTGACCATAAGTCACTTTGAACAGCGCGCGCGCTTCAAGTTCACGGTGCGAAGTGAGTAGATTGGAGATGAAGATGTCGAGTGGTGTCGACATGCTGAAACGGACGGTTGTAAATACGATGCCGACGAGGAGGATATGACACAGCTTACACGGCGGGGAGCGACAGAGCAGCAGAGCAACAGCGGTTCGTCGTCTTTGCTCGTCTACTGGTTGTCACCTGAAACAAGAAGCACTTTGGAGGCTGACCTGTCAGAAATGAAGGACGCAAGCCAAACCGAAATCAAGCTAGGGGACAACCAGCCAGTCGGGAAGCCAGGTCAGCCCAAATTGCCAGAAATCAGGGGTAATGGTGTATTATGGTGCCGGCTTATCGATAACTCTAACCGGCGAACCGACGAGAATCTTCAGACGTGGCGGCCAATGTGGTGGTGTTTAGGTGACTTTCGTGCAGCTGAGCAGCTTCACTTCCCTGTCTAGCGTCGACCTTGTGAATCTCAAACAACCCTAATCCCCCTAATTTTAACTGATCATTGATGTTCAGGGCTAAGGTACCCCACTTACCACCGCCACCACCACCACCACCATTTGACAAGGGCAGCCTACCTTATCCCCTCCGCATGTCCAACGTCATTCTACTCTGTGTTTCACTTTTCGCCCAAACTTCGTGCACACACATCCACATTATTAACACCCACTCCACTCTGGTTTTATGTCGACGTCTCTGTCTCTGTCTCTGACTTGATGCACGAGCACTCGTTACCTACCTGTTCTCGCCAGTCGCTCAAGCAGATCTGCCGCGATCTGATGCCCGGATGTTCTCCACGACGGACAAACTGTTGCTGGCTTGGCCTTGCTTGGCCTTGGCCTTAATAACCCATGAACCAGGCTGAATCTGCCTTTTGTTGGCGGATGCTGGGCGATGGCGTACGAGACAGCCGCTGTATTTTCTTTTGCCTGCGTGCTGTGTGCTGTGTATTTGGTAATTAATGGAATGGTGCGTGGTATGACGAGCAACAGGACTAAAGCAAGGCTTTGTTCTCGTGTGGAGGCCCGGAATGTTTAGACTAAATCTCCGAGCAGCACGCAACCGTCAACGGCTGTACATTGTTTCGATTCTGTCCGACGCTGCGTGACGCTCGAGTGCATCTTCCTTACAGTGTTGGCGATTCCGAGACGAGCAAAGCCAACCGCCATCCTTCAACTTGTTGATTCCTGCCATTTCCCAACACTCCACCCATCGTACCTGCCGTTGATTCATAATGGCCTGGACGAGCCTGCCAAAAGTGAGCAAACCAGGGGACCGACACGGCCAATCCCCGCGCGTTCAATCTCGTTTAGGCCCACGCTAGACCTTGCTTGTATGAGAGTGACAAGTTGTCAAAACACTCGAGCATACTCTGGGCAGGTACCACTTGGACAATGCGACCCCGTGACCCCCCGGCACCTCCACTCTCCACCTCCCAGACCTTTTTCTTGACCTCACCTCCTCCCTCTCTACTTTCTACCCTTCTCTTAACTACTACGCTCACCGACCTTTCTGTCACTCCTTTGCTCTTCACCTTCTCTTCTTTTTCTTGTCCTCGCACAAGTACACGCTCTTTACCTTGCCACTCGGCAGTCCACTCCTTCTACAATATCCACCGTGCGCTCAAGTCGTACCTCCGTCGCTTTCTGTCTACCTCCGTGAGGCCTTGCTATACTATCAATGTACGTAGCTGCTTTCGGACTTTATACACCCGCATGACAGCTGTCACCTGTCATTCCATGCTCTTTCTTTCTCAATATGCTGTCTAGTCATCTTCACCTCTACTCCCAAACTCCAAGAATGAATCTTGGGAACATGCTAACTTTGTTGTGAACGGCCAGCTCAGTCGACCTGAGATTCGAAGAAAATTCAAACATCAAGAAGAAGCTCGACGTTCTGCAAACATGCGTTCTTCAGCCATTCTCATCGCCGCCTTTGCGGCCACTGCTCTCTCTGGTCCAGTACAGCTCAAGCGTGCTCTCGTTACCGAGTGGGAGTATGAGACTGTGGTCCAGACCGTCTACGTTGACGGTCCAGCTCCAACCCCCGAGCCCGAGCAGCAGGCCCCGCCAAAGGACGAACACCCTGAGGACCCGCTTCAACACTCTTATGAGCCATCTCCGAACAACGAGGAGTCTTCGCCCATTCAGGTAACCCCTCCTCAACCTGATGCTGAAGTTCCAAAGCCTGCACCTGAGTCTGAGCCCGCCCCTGCGCCTGCCCCTAAGCCTGATGCTCAAGCTCCAAAGCCTGCACCTGAGTCCGAGCCTTCACCTGCCCCTGCCCCGGAGCCTACCCACGGATATCAAGCGCCCGCTCCAGAGCCTAACCACGGTTATTCCGCGCCAGCACCTCCGGCCCCGGCCCCTACTCCATCTGCCGCTGCTCCCAAGCCATCTTCAGCTCCGTCTCCGCCAAATGAGGGTGCTTCCTATCAGGATAAAGTTCTCTATCAACACAATGTCCATCGTGCCAACCACTCCGCCACAGACCTCGTCTGGAACCAGACTCTGGCTGATGCTGCTAATGCTTATGCGCAAAAGTGCATATGGGGACACTTCACGTAAGTTTTTATACTGCACAAGCTCCCTCAAGGTCGACTAGCTGACAATGCAAACAGTGAAGGCTATGGTCAGAATCTTGCTGCCAGTGCACCCGACGCCAATCTTGCGTCTCAAATCTCGGATGGCTGGTACAACGGTGAATTCGGTTCCTACTACAATAATGCCAACAACGCAGGCGCTGAAGGTTATGAACCTAACATGGCAACCTTCCATGATTGGGGTCATCTGAGCCAGGTGGTCTGGAAGGAGACGACCTCTGTCGGCTGCACCACGTACGATTGCCGCGGTACCAGCTTGGCAATGTGGTACACCATCTGCAACTACTACCCTTCTGGTGAGTAATCTCATTTCTATGTCTGGCTCTCTGAGACTAACAACACTCCAGGTAATGTGGATGGGTTTTACGGCAAGAACGTCGGATCGCCCAAAGGTCAACCCACCGTTCATGGAGAGGCTAAGCAATATTAAAGAGCGCCTTTCTAGACTTTCTCTGCGTCTCGCTCGAGAGTAACAAGTGGAGGAGAATGGTATCGCTCAAACTGCAGGTCAACGACATGCCTCCTCCTTTCCGTTTGCTTTTTTCTCAATTACATCTGCTCTACTCACAATCTTCGGCATATTGCCGCATTTCCGGGCTAGCTGATGTGCATCTTTGGAACTTTGTTCAGCAGATGACCTCGTTTCACTTCTTCTGTGTATATTTTACTTTCATGTTAGCTGCCCAACATCAAGTAGCTAGGTGAATGAATGAATGACTGACCGTCGATCGGGTCGCGTCCAAGGTCATGGCTGGCTCCAAGTTGTGTAGTGGACGTTGTCATAGTCTATTTCTCTACTAGCGGCTATGCTGTTAGAATTAGTGGGTCCGGCGCTTAGCGCACCTTTCAGTGCTTTTACCGCCGAAGCTATTGTTGATAAGAATTGTTGAGTCTTGTACTACGCCGCAATGACCGTATCCTTTAAAGCGACCATGCCTCAGAGTGAACGAAGCGTTAGCTTCCTTCCTCATGTCCCACACTTCCTTGGACAGCCTCTTCTGCTCCCATGAAATCTCCGACCGTCCTGAGGACATGGGTCAGCGTGGGGATGAACAACAAGCCAATCCCAAACCGAAGCAACCCATGAGAGCTGAATCTACACTGCAAGACTCAATCACGTTCTCACGCTGGCATGGAGATGCGCAACCTCTACGGAAAGTCGGATTTGTCAACAAGCTGGCAAGCATTGGTGATGTGATCACCATCTTAATCTCATGTCTGTTCTTTGTCCAGGGTATATTTGTATATACATACAGTGGCGTTGGTGTGCAGTACATTAAACATCTGAAGCTCATCGAGGACACTGCCAAGTATGTGAGTATCAACGGCATCGCAATATTTCTGGCCAGCATTAATGGTGTCCCAGGGCCCAACTGTCTTCCCGATCCTCTTTGCTGCTATCGTCGGCCAAACCATGCATGCTGCTGCACTATGGAGACTCGAGAACGGCGAAAGATTGCAGACACTAGATCAATTACTAGGTAGTACGACCATTTTTGCGACCATTATGACACAGCTCAAGTTTCAACGCATGGGTGCTTTAGGGGTATTGCTGATATTTTTATGGGCCTTTTCGCCACTTGGTGGCCAGGCCTCGTTGCGTATCATCGAATTTGAATTCCGAACAACATCAAAGGGGGCTACGCTCTTGTATCTCAACCATGCGGAGTCAGAATTCTTGCCAGAAAATATAGCACACTACACCGCCGATCCTGCTTTGACAGAGACCGTTCTCCATGGACTCGTTCATTCGTCCCTAATGGCACCAGCGGAAATGAAGAATTCTACGATGGATGCTTGGGGAAACCTGAAAATCCCGTTCCTGGAAGCGGCAGCGAAGACTGCAAAACCTGATGAGCAAGGCTGGTATGAGCTGACATCGGAGAACACGGTCGCCTCCAGTCTAGTAGGACTCCCCATGTCGAGTCTCGGACGTACAAGCAATTCGACTTTCAAGCTGGTATTTAACCACTTCTAAGAACTCTTTGACTCTAACTCATCATTGCTCGGTAGGAAACACAATACATGTATCTGGATTGTAGGCTACACCGAGACTATAAGGATACTCCTGACTTTGCCCCTTGGCCTGAACAACAGATCAGTGAGGACGAGTTCTACATCAAAAATAACAGATGTGTATACACTGCGGTCAGCTTCGGTAACCAGACCGTTGCTGAAGCTGCCCTTCGCCGGAATAGCAGTGACCCTAGCCTTACTTCTCGCATTGTTCGTTACGCTGGCATTAACGACAACATGAAATGGTCAGCGGCATCATGCGACCTCCGGACTACCTACGTCGAGCTCGACGTCTCTTGCGTTGGGCGAAATTGTACCGGTACTCGGATGCGTGAATCCATACAAGCACATCGCCCAACTGGTTGGACCACTTTAGACGGCGGAACAAGTGATACACCCTCGATCTTCCTTGACACCATGGTTAAATTCATGATGTGCAATATATACTTTTTTCAGCCTACATTCGCGCAGCGGTATCTGACGCGACCTTGGGCTCCATACAACAGCACGATCGACGAAAGTGTTCACGTCAACAATCTGACGGACGAAACGTTCAGCTGGCGTTGGACACAGGTCTGGAACACTTTCCAGGTAGCAGGAATGGGCCTAACGACGGTACCCAATAAATTACCAGGTAATGTCCCTGGTGGTGAAGACGCAGGTACAGTGATACCAGGCGGGATGGCTGTACGCAGTACGAGAGTCAATGTTACCGATGGAGAGGTGGTTCTTGTCTGCAATACTGGCTGGCTCACACTCCTTCTCGTGGCTACGTCGATCATGGTTCTAGTTGGTGTCTGGGGCGTGGTGCTGGACCGTATACGCAAAGCTCCTGATCTTGCGATGAACATCTCGTCGATGATACGTGACAATCCATTCGTACATGTACCGCCAGACGGAACTGCGATGGACGCAGCAGAGCGGATGCGAAAGTTTCGGAACGTTAGGGTTAGGATCGGAGACATCCGCCCAATGGACGATGTTGGACGTATCGCTGTATCTACGTACAGCGATGAGCAATTTGTAGATCTTCTGCACGATGATAGGCTATATTCTTGAGCGGGAGTGGGATTCTACGAAAATCGATTTTAATCGACTGGCCAGATGCTAGAGCAGTGGCGCGACACAAATTGTTCCGGACGACTCTACACTAGGACAGCTCAGACACGGATGAAAGCAGTATACGCTACAATCAGACACATACGCAGACTTCCAGTGTGCAAACATCAAGGTACAAACGTTGTGATACACGGTCCGGTGTGAGCATTCCGCGGTTCCTTGCCTCATGACCCTGCAGTATGATCACGAACCTCAACGAGGATGTTACAACGACCCAGTCTCCAGCATAATGGCCCAATAATCTTGTCAAATCTCTCCAAGCCCCGAGTTCCATCAAGAAGAAGCGACGTGGCCTTGCCCTCGGCTAGCATCTGAGATGAAAGCCGTCGTACGGACTCTTACCTCACACTAACACCCCTGCTGTGTCTACAGAAGTTCAACGACCATATCTCGAATCTCCCCAATACCAAGCTCGACCGCCAGTAAACGGAACTCGGAGCCTGATCGATGCATGTCACGCAACGGACCGTCGAGTCGGCCCGTCCAAAGGGATGCTGCGAGATATGCAGGTGTTTCTCCATGTGGTCACCCCTTGCCCGTCTTCGCACCCCTGCAAGCACTCTTCGAACTTCAACGACATACCATATCTTTACTGCTCTTGGGCTGGGCTGGCCACTCACTTGTCAACGTTTCATGCCCAGTCGGAGACGTCCTTTGAGCGTGCGGATGCAGGGTCATGCAGGGTCATGCGGAGTCGGGTACGATGCATTGGAGCCATGTCTATGGAATCTCGCCCTAAATGGCTCTCCTGTATGTATGTAGCACATGAGGTTTAATAAGAGCTTGGCATGTTCCCCTTTGATTTCTTCTCGATTGGGCCTATTTTTGAAGACAGCGATACAAACAGAGGAAGGCAGTGGTGGTACAAGTGGATGGTGGAAGGGGCGATTTAGTCTTTCGGAAGGTGTCGTGTGCGGAGTGGCTTATTCTATCCGTTGGTATCTGTCTGAGATTGGGGAATGTCTTCTATGTTCTGCTTTTGTGCCCGTTATCTCAGTCATCGTTATTATCCTACTCATCCCTATTTTGTCTGCACGGTGATGTGGACCTAGCGTCCTCTGTTTTGAGAGCTTCCTGAAGTCTATACAACAGTGTAGTAGCTCATCGTTGTAGTCAATACTGGCCGGTGAGCTCAGGTGCGTTATCGTCAGTCTGTCAAGAAGAGATGTAGGAAATTGCACGGACGACTCAGATCAACGTTCTTATGCACCTCTTGCATATTCCGAGTGACCGATAGGTGCTCGCCACCGACTACAACTCTGTCAACGAGTCAAGATGATCACTGACAAGGGTAGAGCATATGTTCTGACCCGAGCAGCTTCAGAACTCAATCTCGGTCGTGTGCGGAGCTAGCAACACTGTGGCTCAAGAAGAATATGGAGATCTTCAGTTCAAGCCGTCTATCGCTCAAATAGTATCCACTCATGATGCGCCGTACTGAAGTGGTATGTGAGCTGAAAGAGGCATCCCTGGTTGCATTCATGGTTCGGACAATGGACCGTGAACTGGGTTCGTCGCTGTTGTGTCCGCGAGCAGACGCCCTAGTGCTGCACAACAAGCGACTCTACGTCAACTCGCATTGACATATCCTCATATAGAACAAGAGAGACAGCGAATACCACATCGATCCGATCCGAAATATATCCAAAATGTCATTCCAAGGCGCTTTGATGTTGTTTTGGCAATAGGAGCGCCTCGATCGCGAACCCTCGTCGCTGAAGATCCTCAGGCCCCCTGGATCGGGGCCACAGACCTGACATCACCAGCCAGCGTAGCCGAGTACGACTCGCTATGTAGAGGGGCAACGATATGCATAGCGATTACCAGAGCTGAATGGTGTCGTGCCATCGCGCTGAGTGTCTCTGTGTTGTATTCCTTTCCATTCCAACAACCTTGTCCTCTCATCGTGCCCACCATGAGTGGCATCCTCTTCTTCACCAATATACCGCAAGCAGTCGAAACCGGCAAGACATATACGATCGAATACGTAGCACCTACAGACGCGGTACGCCTGAGAGTTTCTCCTAGCCTCCTGTGTCTCGCAGTTCCTGGCTAAGACTGACATGTCATCAGCCCGTGAGCATCACTCTACAAGAAGGCTCGAGCGGCAATATGAAGACAGTCGCAACTCTGACCTGTAAATGTTGCCTTCTTTAAGATGTGATATTTCGTTGGCGAGTCAAAGAGTATTGGGTCTGACGAGTGCACACAGCGACAGCAACGGGTGGGACTTTCGAGTGGACAGTGTCGGGAGACTTGGGCGTGTCCGAGCATTATGCGCTGCAAATCGCTCAAGAGAATCAAATTCATTATTCGGGTCGCTTTGTGCTGAAGGCCGGCGAGACGGTGGACTGAGGTAGGAGGGTATGAAGGAGCTGGAAGGTTGTCAATATTTAAGTTGAATGGCAAGTCGACTTGAAAAACGATACGAGATTGTACCTTGGAGCGTCGTGAGGATTCACGTCTGCACGCACGGCGTTGATGGGTTGAAAAATGCAAGGACGTAGCCTCAGAAAACTGCTCTTGAAAACTCATCATCACGACAAAGCTAGCTCGAGACTTCACCTGAAAGGACAGAGATCTGAGCAGCACCTGAACAGCGCCTGAAGAACACGTGAACCAGCTTAGCCCCGATGGTTGTTCCCGCAAGGGGTGCAACCAATTCACAATACGTCACAGCTCGCCCCTTTAACACCCTATATAATGCGCGCAAGTTTTACAATTCTCAGCCGCTTACAGTTAATCATCTACCGTGGTCGGGTGGTATCACGTTGAACTTTATAATCCTGCTCTTGCAACACTGGAATATGATTCCTGCTACCAGGTCTTGGGTTCGATCCTCCCTAAGTCATATATGAGTATATTTCTTTTGCAATTTTGGCGAATCTTTCGTTTTTGGCTGTTTTTGAAGCTCTGGGCATGCTTGGGGGTATTTTTTGGGGGTCTGAGGGGTCTTGAGGATGGGGAGATGGCGTGGATGTGTGTTTTTATGTGTTTTGAGGGTAATTGGGGATGTTGGGGGTGGATTTGTGGATTTGTGGATTTGTGTTGTGTTGTGTGAGGCGGTGGTGAGAGAGGCTCGGGTGCGGTAGTGGACCTCACTTACCACACATACCTCACATACCTCACACACCCTCACACGTCTATCACATACGCTCTCTGTCTCTATCTTCTCAAATATTTATCCTTCAGTCAATCACCAGTTACAAACCATCAGCCGTCAACCGTCACTCGCCAGCCGTCCAGACCTCCTCCCAGAAACCCCTCCGCGCCCAAGGAAGAAAAAGAAGAAATCACACACAACCTGACCACCACCAGCACGAACCAGGGCCTCAGTCTCAGTCTCAGTCCTTGTCTTTGTCTCAGTCTCAGTCCCAATGTCCGTCTAGGGCAGTATATGAACGAAGCGTTGCCTGAGGAAGTGCGTGGTGCATACATTGATGACTGACTTGTAACGGCGTATTAGGGGAGGACACCATGAGCGAGTGAGAGAGTGAGCGAGTGAGTGAGTGAGTGGGCCATGGATGGTACGGTGTATGGGATGTTGGATATGGGATATGGGATATGGGATATGGGATATGGGATATGGGATATGGGATATGGGATATGGGATACGGTATAAAGCATACAGTATACGATAGAAGAGTAGTGAGCTGAGCTGAGGTGAGCTGAGGAGTCTGAGTAACCACTGTTCACGTTCATAGTCTTACGTTCAAACCATGTTCAGTATTCTCACGGCATCGCTCGTTACACACACACACACACACACACACACACACACACAAACAGAGATGGAACACAGACACGCAAAGGTGTAGCACGAATGACATGCACTCGTGGAAAAGGGATATACCGATCCTCAATACCAGAGTCACAACCAAGACCCATCTAAAAGAGCACAAAGATAACATAAAACACCTCTACCTCTACCTCTACCTCTACCTCTGCCTCCTAAAACCGACCTAATCCAGTCATCTCCAACACCCGAAACCCCCAACCCATCCCATAACACAAATAAGGTTATCCGTATCCCGTATCCGTATCCAGGGGTATATATAAACACACATGACCTACCCACTTATTCCACACTCTATGCAAACAGCCCCATTGATAGAAAAAAAAAAGCAAAAGTGGACATGAATCCTTTTTTGTGACGCCCGAGTGTGCCTCCATGATATGAAGATGTCTGTATGTCTGTCTGTCTGTCTGTCTGTCGGCCATCAGGTGGAGATGGAGATGAACAAGTGAGTGAGATGGACAAATGAGAGAGAGATAGAGAGACAAAGAAAGAGAGAAACAGAATGCAAATATGCAGGCCCATGGAAACAAACCAAACGCCCATGTGCATGCATGACTGTGTTGCCCGGAATAAACAGAAAACAGAAAACGAAAACCCCTCCGGACTGCTGGTGATGGACTCTGTCGTGTCTGAGTTGACGTTGTGGTATTCTGTTCCATACTGTTCCGTTCTAATCCATACCGTTTCACGTCATGCCGTGTCGTGCCATGCCATATCATGTCATACCATCCTACTCCAGACGCCCAAACCCCCAACACAACCTGGTATCAAGTCCAATCAAGTCCAGCCAAGCACAGCCAAGCCCAGTCAAGCCCAGTTGATACCCATGCTACGCTTCAAACGCGCCTCCTCGGCATACTTTGCCAAGCCCCAAGCAAACGCCTCAGGCACCATACACGCACAAACCCCCTGAAACACCACGCGCATGGCAGGCGTGGGACCAGACTCCACCCTGCGCTTCACGGGCGGGCCGGCGCGGTACTGTTCATGTTCGAGCTCGGCGACTTTGCGGATCCAGGCGTAGCAGCGGTCGCGGATCTCAGGGTCCGACTCGGCAAGTTGTTGGCGGCGCATGAGCTGGTGGTGCCAGACGTTTGTCATGGAGCAGCGGAGGGTGGGGACGGAGGCCGGGATGGTGTAGCTGTGGTCGTCGCAGGAGAAGGTGAGGGTGTAGGAGGCGAGGTTTGGGAAGAGAACGGCGAGGGAGTTTGCTGAGAGGCAGGCGCGGCGCCAGGCGACGGCTTCGTAGTAGTGAGTGTCGCAGGTGCAGCGGGTCATATCGGCGACGGCCCAGAAGGTTGTGAAGGCGCGCATGTGGGCTCTGTGGTTGTGGTGGTGCATGGCGGAGAGGGGCTGTGTTCAGTGGTGGCGTTGTGGGCGACTTCCCAGGTGTTGCGGCCGTAGAAGATGGGAAGGGCTTCGGCGTTGATTTGGATGTTGGTGGCGAGGAAGCGGAGGACGTTGCGTACGGTTTCGCTTGAGGGGAGGATGGTTTGTGGGCGCCCTTGGGCCGTAGATCGTGGCATCTTGCCGACGTTGATTGGGTCCGGGAGGATGCAGATGTTTTCGTAGATCTGGTTGCGTAGTTCGCCGGGGAGATCGAGCAAACGGAACGGTGGGAGTGGTGGGTCGGCGACTGAGGTCGTGATGTATGACGAGGACCATATGTGTTGTTTCAGGCCTCCGGCGCTCACACCGTGAGACATTGTTGGAGGCCTGTGTATGACAACAGCCAACTTAAGTAGTAACGGATCTCTAGCGATGCTAGTATCGAATACAACTGGTTCATGGTGTTTCGTTCCTACGTTGTCGCGAGTATGCCGAGCGCTCTCGCCTTCTGACGAAGAACTTGAGCCCTGACGTGGTTTAGAGCTCCGTAGTGCTCCCTCGGAAGAAACGGATGCCTTGAAATCACGCACGCGGATGATGAAGTCTCTGAATGAAGGCCTACGCTTACTTTTGGTCGTTGTGACGGAAATCATCTTGATCGATTTTGTTTCCCTGGTCGGTGGAGGTGTAGACTGGGAAGAAGTAGAGAGCTGCAAAGAAGCCGCCGAATTGGGGCTTAACTTCTTACTGTATGACACACGATGACCCCGGATTTCGTGACTTTGAGCTTTACGAGTGCGTGGGGGGAGTTGGTGGTCTGTCGTGTGCCACGTGGCAGGGAGGTGCCGTATAAGGATACCTTGTTCAAGTCCGTTCAGGTCCAAGGGATACGACCTAGTGAACCACGCGAGAGAACGTATAAGAGCAGATTAAAGGTCATTTCCAGCGCGCAGAGCTGCAGCAGTTCACTCCTGATGGCTCGAAGTAATACTGACTTGAATCCACGTGTTGAAATTGCTAGGATATCGTGGCCCCAGTTTTTCGTTTTATTGTACGAAAATCCACAGCTCAAAGGCTGTCGAGCTCGAATAGGGCGCGGAGGACAGCAACACCACCACTATGGCTTTCGACAGTCCTGCCCCGCCCGCGGTCATTCGAGTCCTTTGTTGTAGAGGCATCTTTACTACCTGCCGAGTATATTGGCACCGGACCGGCTCGTTGTGGGATACGGGCACGTGAAGCATAGTGCGGCGTACAATTACTTTGTGAATCCCCGTGGCAAGCAAGGGGCCTCCATTTCGCAGATCCTCCCCAGTTACGGTGGCCGTCATTACCTTTAGCATCAACAGCGACGCCGATGGTACACGAAGTGCTTTTGCCATATATCTGGAATTCCCAGTCACAGTCGGGCTCTCCCCACCATTGCCCAAACACTCCATTGTCATCGCGGGTTCGCAGAGCAGCATATGCATTGTGCTTCAGCCATGGCGTGTACTTTTGACAGGCCTGGGTGTGCAACAATGCGAGGGCGGGAGAGGCAGAGTGCGTCATTCCGGAGGCCACAGGCTCACGTGGTAAGGGTTCACAGAAATGTGCGAGATGAGTGAAGAATATACCCTTGAATGTTTGAGCGTCTTGGTCGCAATCACCCCAGCTGTCGCAGGCGTCCTCGAGGATGCCGTTACGGCCTAAGCCCTTCCAGTCATAGGATGGCTTGTGAGCTCCATCAACCCAGCCAGTTGCTCTAATGACGCTGTCGACTAGTTTGTGGCCATCCTCCAGATACTGTGAATGGCCTATGCCTTCCCAGAGTCCGCGCAGACCGGACAGAATGACGCCTTGATTGTACGTATAGACCTGCTCGTTCCTTTTGTCGCATTTAGCAGTCCCAATGCTTCCGTTATGATTCCAACCTTTGATGTGGAAACCATCAGTATAGAGGCCTTGCTGGTTCGTCATTCCGCTGTTGTTGAGCCAGGCGTAGGCTGTGACGGCGGCATCAAGATAACGTTTGTCGTAGGGTCCCTTATCCCCTTGGCGGGATCTGTCATTACCCCTGGCGAACGGAGACGTGTTATCGTCTCCAGGAAAGTGCAGATACATGGCAGCCGAAGCTGTGATATACAGTTGGTTTGTAATGGCATTCTTATAAGGCTCAAGGTATGGACTCCAGACCATACCTCCGCCACAGAGTGTTGTGTCCCATCCGTCGGCGGCCAGTTCCCAGAACAAATTGGCGCGATGGGCAAAGGCCGCTTGGTACTGGGTTCCGTGCCATGAATGTGGATGTGGAAAGTGGCGGTCGGAATGTGTCCTCATGAGCTTGACAGGCTCGAGCCAACCGAGCACTACCCAAAGCATGTCATCGTATGCTTGAGTCCTAAGGGCAAACGCATTTTGGCCAAAGTAAAAGGCAGCGATCTGGGAGTAGAAGCGGTTGACAGTATTTTCGACATTGCCTAGCTGGGGTAGCGTGTACTCTGTGGCACGAGTTAGAGTGTACAAGACGGCAGACACATGTGCACCCATGACTGCGGAGGTCCAATCGATGGCATCTGGCCAGATACCGAGCCAGACTTGAAAGAAAGCAGATTGCAGTGTGTCAAGGGCAGAGAGCAGCTTATCGAGGACGTCAGGAGTCAGAGAGCGGTGTGGGACATGAGGGACATCATCCAAGACGCGTTGGCCATCAACTCGTCCAGCAAGCGATTTTTGTGAGGACCAGGACTCAGAGCAAGAATTCGCATCTGTTGTTACGCATAGCAGATTATGGTGACGACAATTGGCGACTACGAGCAGGGCGGCGACAGCGATGAAGTACACGAATGGATACAGGGATCGAATAGGAGGTAAGTGGACGTGGAGGATCATCATCATGGACAAAGTTCAGCGAGTGCGAGAGCGAGGACGAGAGCAAGGGAGTGTCTGTAGAGCAGAGTAGCAGTTCAGGCAAGTTGTCATGTCGTGGACGAAGGCATTCGCGGACGAAGAAGTGGACAAGTCTGAAGCATGATGTCGCATGTGTATAAGAGGAGTAGTATTATTATGTAGCCGAGGGATTGAAAGGAAGAGTTGCGCGGTGCGTGCGGTGCGTGTGGTATGGAGTGGTGGTGATGATGGAGGGAGATGAATATGAAGTGTGTGGTAGAAGCTCGGAAGCGAGCGCCGGTTAATCAGCGGGCCAGCCAAGCTGGTGCCCAAGGTGTGCAGCCGCCCCGCTCGGTCGGCCAGGACCAGGTTTAGACGAAGGCACTGCAGGACCAGGCGGGCTGCATTGCTGGTTTTGGCTTGTGTGGGTTTCAAGACGACCAGGTAATTGATTGATTCAAGGGGACGTCCGGTGCACAGTGATGAATGCTGCAGTGTTGCAGTTCGTGGTGCAGCTATGCAGTGAGGTGTCACGGTGGAGCAGAGCAGCAGACAGCCCGGGACCTGTGTCGGACAGCTACTGTAGTTGCGACAGTATGGGTGTAGAGGGAGAGAGGTAGAGATGGATTAGTAACGTGTTTTATACTGTCTTCTTCGCCCGTCTTGCTGTTGACTGCTGTAGATTCAGGCTGTTGGCAGGTGATTAATAAGTAGTAACAAGGTAAAATACAAGATACAAAACACGGTCAAGTCGCCATCGCATTAAAGATTGAAGGATGCAAGTCCCTGCCCGGCCAGGTGGGAATTACGTGCATCTTTGCCGGTCGCCCTTGCCCTGTCTTGCCACGCGCGTGCCTGCCATAATTAGCTGCCCTGCCCTGCCCTCGTCGTGCTTGCCATGTGTAAAGGTAGCCAAGTGCCATCTGTCGTGCCTGCCCTCCCTGACAAATGCAGACACATCGTCATCGTCATCGCCATCCTTGTTGTCGCCTGCTGCTGCCACTCGTTCCTGCCAGTTGATGAAACTGGTGGGGCACTTCCTGCCTTACATCTACCCGACACTCACTACCTTGTCAACCTTGAATGGCCTGATAGCCTAACAGTAATAGTAACAGTAATAGTAATACATGGTGCAACACCACCCGACCTATAGTGCAGAGGATAATGCACTGTGATTTTGCACGCTCTCCAGGGCAGTCCCGGTATTGAGCAGTGCAGTGCAATAATAGTGCAGAGTGCAATAATAGTACAATGGCGCAATCACACAATAACGCAATAACGCGCAATCGTGCAGATAAGTGTATGCACGTCTTTGATTACTGAGATGCTGATGCTGCCTCTTCCTGACCGACCCACTCCTTTTTTGCGTCTGTCCTGGCCACGCGACCGTTTCCATTCCACTTTCCTCTTTCAGTCTACTTTCCCCTTTCGGCTGCAGACACACCCACCTGCACCTGCCCGCACAACCACTGCTCCTGCACGCACTTGCTCCACGAGTAGTGAACCATAACACTGTCACATTCACATCCTCACATTCATTCACTCATCCATTCATCCATTATTCATTGCATTGCATCGTCTCTTAATCAAATCACCGTCCATTCGACTGACTCTGACTCTGACTCTGACTCTTCATCTCTCTCTCTCCCGTGGCTTCACTCTTCTTGGCTCTGCACATCCACCAACCTGCTCCCCGTCCCGCTCCATCACACTCACTCGCTGCAATATCATCAAACATGCCCATTACATTACCGGCCGTAATTACTCCTACAATCGTCCAGATGCATCGCATTCTTGTCTTGTGTGCCGCCTCAGGACCCAGACCCGTAACATCTCGAACCTCTATGGCTTTTTCCCGAGGTACATACATGTCGCGAAACTGACACTGACACTGACCACCCGCCCACCGCCTGACTCGAGTACCCTCGATCCCAATCAAATCATGCCTACTCCCGACCGGTATGACTACTACTACTCACTACACTCGTGCTTCCTGTAGCCTCCCCAGACTTGTCGTAGATGAGATGAGATGAGAGATGGCGAGTCAGTGAGTAAAAAGTGAGGAAGTCTGACGGCAAGAAAGTGATGATGATGAGAGCAAGGTGAGAAAAGTGAGCCGGTCTGTCATCTGTTAAGATGTGTTAAGTTGTTCTCGGCAACAGAGCCACTGACTGAGCTTGGCTCTTCGTCCTTAATTACCTAATCAATCCATCCTCCTCCACCTAAACAAACAACCGTCCGTGACTTCCAAGTTTGCCCGCCTCTGCGTTCGAAAGTCTTGGCTATTCCCTTTTTCCCTTTCTCCCCCAAAACTTCCCAACTTCCCCATCTCCCCCCAACTCCCCAACTCTCTTTCACTGACCACTGGCTGTCTCTCTAATTCCTCCGCCATCTCCCCCTTCTATTCTCCTTGCCGATAACCTTCACCACAAATCCCTCTCTTTTATCCCGTCCTCAATGGCCTTCTCCCAACGTCCCAAACATCTCTCTACCCTGCCGCTGACCCTTGTCCCGACTTCACCATCAATGTGCATATTCTACATATATATCCATCGCCACTCCATCTCCTCCCCACTCTCGCCCTCCATTTAGCATGCTGCGCTCTCACTCTCGGCCCTTTTCTTTTGGCTATCCTTTCTTCCTCGTGCTGCTGGACTTCTTCATACTCTGTGCGGACGTCTGCGACTCGCCTGTTGTTGTTGTTGCTGTTGTGTAGGAGGACATGGCATCGCAACACAATCTCCATTCGCCATCTGCCAAAAGTGCCCCACAGTATGACCCTGCTATGCCAATAGCTGTCGTAGGCCTTTCATGTCGTTTTCCTGATACCGCCACTTCTCCCCAGAAGTTCTGGGACTTCCTCGTCAATGCTCGTTGTGCCTTGAAGGATATCCCCAAAGATAGATTCAACATAGACGCCTTCTGGCATCCCGACTCGAAAAGACATGGCTCCATCAACGTCCGTGGTGGCTACTTCCTGGAACAGAACATTGCTGCCTTTGACGCCCCATTCTTCTCCTTGACCGCTGCCGAGGCCGTATCCACGGATCCTCAGCAACGACTTCTACTCGAGACTGCATACGAGGCTATTGAGAATGCCGGCATCTGCATGTCCCAGCTCGCCGGTAGCCAGGCCTCATGCTACGTCGGCTCGTTCATGAAAGACTATCAACCACTGTTTGTTGTCCTCCCGAATTTTTATATGACCTCCACTGATATCTGTCCAGCGCTGCAATCGATGCAGAGAATCTGCCAGTCTACGGCTCCACTGGCCACAGCACTGCATTTCTGTCCAATCGGATTAGCCACTTCTTCGACCTCAGAGGTCCTAGTATGACCTTGGACACTGGCTGTTCCGGCTCGTCTGTCGCCTTCCACCTAGCCTGTGAGAGCATCAGGACGGGAGAGGCCACCGTCGCTCTTGCAGGTGGCGTTGGTGCCATACTTGCACCGGATCCAATCATGAGCATGGGTCAGCTGAACTTTCTCAGTCCAGATAGCAAGTGTTACTCTTTCGACCACCGTGCCAACGGATACGCCCGAGGCGAAGGCTTTTCCATTCTGGTTCTGAAATCCTTGGATGATGCGATCCGCGATAATGACACGATCCGCGCTGTTGTGAGGGCCTCTTCTGTCTGCCAGGATGGCAAGACTCCTGGAATCACTCTACCCAGCAGTGACGCTCAAGCTGATCTCATAGCGTCTACATACCGCAAAGCACGTCTTAGCATGCTCGACACACAATACTTCGAGGCTCATGGCACTGGGACAACTGCGGGAGACGCGGCCGAGTTGCGTGCAATAGGACGAACAATCGGCGCCAACAGACGACCTGGTGAGACCATTCTGTGCGGCTCCGTGAAGCCAAACATTGGTCATCTCGAAGGCTGTGCTGGCCTTGCTGGCATCCTCAAGGCTATCATGGCCGTCGAACAGGGCCTCATTCCCCAAAATCTATGGTTTGAGAAACCCAGTCCGGAAAATGACCTGGACGCCTACCGAGTGACCATCCCCACAGAGCTCACAACCTGGCCTACCCATGGTATCAGGCGGGCATCGATCAACTGCTTTGGCTTTGGCGGAACATTGGCCCACGTTATCATCGATGATGCTGCAAGCTACCTTCGAAATCACGGGCTTGTCGGGAACCATAATGTTCTGTCCATTGACAGCATCTCGCCTTCGGAAGCTTCAAGCGATATGTCCTTTGAGATCATACATGGGATAGCCGAGCCTGAAAGCACAACATCACCAAAGCTTTACGTGTGGTCTTCACCTGAGCAAAGTGGAGTCACGAGGCTGATGAATACCACTCACTCCTACCTAGATGGCTTCCACCGCCCAGATCTTGTGGACGAGGAGCTGGCGAGTAACTTGTCTTACACCTTGTGCTCTCGGCGCTCGACCTTTGCATGGAGATCTTTTTCCGTTGCAACTTCGACAACTGACTTGCATACCGCGTTGGGCTCAAGCTTGACAGCTCCAACCGTCCAACGCAGTACCGACAATCCGAAAATCGCTTTCGTATTCAACGGCCAGGGCGGCCACTGGGGAAGAATGGGACATGAGCTCCTCGTGTACGACACATACCGTCAAAGTATCGCTGCTGCCGATAGGTATATGCAGAGTCTCGGAGCACCCTGGTCCGCCCTGACAGAGCTTTCCCGAAACCAGTATGACTCAAAATTGGACCAAGCTGAATACAGTCAACCCCTGTGTACTGTCCTCCAGGTCGCGATAGTCGACCTACTTTGCAGCTGGGACGTCAAACCGGTTTCGGTCATCGGACACTCTAGCGGCGAGATCGCAGCTGCATATGCGTCGCACAGAATCTCAAGAGAGGATGCCTGGTGTTTGGCATACCATCGTGGCCGCGGTAGCGCAGCGTTGGCACGAGACCCTGACGTACAGGGCAGCATGATGGCAGTCGGTCTGTCCAGACATGAAGCAGAACAGGCCATCAAAGACTCGGGCGTCAGTGATGTTGTGGTGGCTTGCATCAACAGTCCCAAAAACGTGACCCTCTCCGGAAACGCTGCTGGGATTGAGAAGCTCAGAGCACAGCTCGATGCTGACGGCGTGTTTGCAAGACTACTCAAGGTTGAATGTCCGTACCACTCACCGTACATGCGAAAGGTCGTGGACAAGTATACCGATGCAATCAAGCACATTCGTCCTACTGCCAAGCCGGAGAATGGCGCCCCCAGGATGTTCTCAACTGTGTATCCTAACGAGCGTCAATTGGATCTTGGGCCATCATACTGGATATCTAATCTGATTTCTCCAGTCGAGTTTACCGCAGCGCTGGAAAAGTTAATGGCGTATAATCTAGATACAAAGCGTTACCACGAAGCCTCCCATAGAGCAGATATTATCGTTGAAATCGGGCCCCATGCAACATTACAATCTAGCATAAGACAAATATTCGAGGGAATGGGGCAGCCACAGCCTATATACGCTTCTACCCTGATACGAAACAAGCATTCTGCCCAAAGCTTATTATCTGCCATGGGCACTATATGGGCCCATGGGTACCCTGTCTCGCTATCCAGCCTGTGCCGCAACGGGAGTACCGACTCGAAGCTAATCACGGATCTACCACCCTATCCTTGGAATCACTCCAAGCTTTACTGGCATGAGGCTCGTGCAAGCGCTGCATATCGCTTTCGAAAACTGCCTCGCCTGGATCTCGTAGGCGCGTTGACGCCAGACTCGAACAACATCGATATGAAATGGCGAAACACGATTAGGGTCAAGGAAATGCCATGGGTCTTGGACCATCAAGTCCAAGGTACCGTGCTGTACCCGGCTGCTGGCATGCTATGCATGGTCCTCGAAGCAGCTCGACAGATTTTGGATACTGAGCAAGTCGTGCAAGGCTTCGAATTGCAGAATGTTAAGATTGGCAAGGCTATGATTATACCCACAACGCCACAAGGCTTGGAAACGAGCCTAACAATACGACCAAAGGACACAGCATCTCCAGCATCACTGCCGCAGAGCACTCTGATTCATGCTTTCCACATCACAGCACGGCTAGGCGAGCAGCCTTGGCAAGAGCATTGCAGTGGGGAATTCAGAGTGCTATACAAGGACACAAAACTCACACAGCTACATTGGACCAAAAGACAAGAGATATACAAACAATCTTGCGTAGACGCTACGCCCGTGGCTCCCGCAGATGTCTATGCCAAATTCGAGGCCACCGGCTTGAAATACGGCCCAATGTTCCAGACAGTACACCAATTAAAACTATCGCCATCTGGCGTGGTGACGGCTACCATCAGGATTCCTGATACCAAGTCTTCTCTACCAGAGAACTTTGAGCAGCCCCATCTGCTACATCCTACGACGCTCGATGGCCTTTTCCAGACGGTTGTACTGACTGCCTCCGACTCAATGGTGCCGACATCAATCGAACGTATCTATGTCTCTGCCGATCTTCCCCAAAATACTGGAGGAACATTTAGAGGTTATGCGACTTCGTCTCAGCATGGTCTTCGAGGCGTGAAGGGTAACATGATATTCGGAAATGAGGATTTCAGTGCACCGAAAGTGATCCTCGAAGGTGTCGGCTATACAAGATTCGATGCTCCTACCGAAGCATCCAACGCAAGTACTTTTATTGATCCAAAGGCGAAGCTATGTAGTGCCTTTGTCTGGAACGAGGACGTGAACCTCGGGACGAAGTCTATCTCGACATCCCTATCACATGACACTTCGATCGACGATTTCTTGTTACATTATTGCTCCATTCTTGCGCACAAGACCCCGAAGGGGTCGGTCTTGGAGGTTGGCCAGCGGTCAATGCCGTTCGTCGAGTCTATGCTACTGCACTCGTTGCACAGCGCAGAGACTGCGCCGCCGTTCTTTCAATACAACGTTACGAATACCAATGATAATGGGAAACGAATTTGCGAGAAGCTCGAGAACTGGGCCGGACATTTGGAATTTAGGCCTCTGCAAATACACAAAGATCCGCAAGAACAAGGATATGTCGCTAATACGTACCATTTACTCATCTTCAACGTCGACAGCGTTCAGCTTGAAGACGCTGGCGTGGTTTTGGACAATCTGCGATTGCTACTGAATATGGATGCCAAGATCATACTGTTACAGCAAAACACGACGGGTGCTAGGAGCGATTGGAACCCAACAATTACAAATGAACTTTTGGCTGCTCGAGGCTTCAACAGCATTCATCAGCGATTCCAACGCGATGGTTTCGCTGTTATCTGCGGACTAGTTCGGCCTCAATCGTCACCAAGCCTGCAAGTGGCTGATGCTGTTGACGAAATCATTCTGGTCCAACCTACGGAAGTTTCTCAAGCAATCAACGCACTCACAGACGCAGTCAAGGCGGAGCTTTTGAGCCAAGGCCATAGTGCAGTGGTCATGGATGTCGAAACTGCTACTACTGCATGCAAAGATCGTAAATGCATATCGCTGTTGGAGCTCGAGCGTCCGTTCATCTCCGGCATGTCCGAACATGACTTTCAAGCATTTCGACAGTTGACCATGCACTCGTCCGGTACACTTTGGCTCACGCGAGGCGCACAAATTGAATGCTCCCGCCCTGATCTAGCCCCTGTTCATGGCATCTTTCGATCGATGCGCAATGAGGACTCTGGCTTGGCATTGTACACGTTGGACCTCGACTGCGAGGACGAGTCACGGAGTGCGGCTAAAAATGTGGTTGCTGTCTTCAGAAGTGTCTTTGTGGAAGAGTACGATCGCGAGGAATACGAGTATGCAGTCCGCGACGGAAAAGTCATGATTCCGAGGGTCAAAGAAATGAACAACATGAACGAGCTGCTCCAGGTCGAGTGTGGTAGAGAAGCAAAGCTGGTGCAAACGTCATTCGAACAGGAGCCAGGACCGCTAAGTCTGGACATAGGAGCCGCTGGCCAATACGATTCATTACGCTTCGTGGTAGATGAACAGATGATGACAACAGAGCTGGCTGATGACGAGGTCGAAGTTTCGATCAAAGCGGTCCATCTTCGATCGGTTGACTACCATACCTTCAGTGGCCAGACAACAAATACCGTCCTCGGACAGTTTGCGGCTGGGTTCATCTCAAGACTTCCACCAACTAAACAAGGCTCACGGGCGACATTCTCTGATCTACTCCTAGGTGACCGTGTCGTCATTTTTGAACCTTCGGGTGGCCTGGTTCGGAACAGAGTGCGCGTACCACGCAGCTCAGTCAAGCTTCTCCCACAAGGAGTTCAATACGAGGAAGCCTGTGCGTTGTCTCATGATGCTGTCGTTTCGCACAAAGTCTTGGGGCCACATGCCCATGCCACGAGCATACTCTTACTATGCACCACAAACGAAACAGCACTCAGTTTGATAAGATATATCAGCATGAGCCATCAGCATGAGAGCACTAGAGTCTGGATAGTCGTCAAGAGCCAAGCACAGAAAGCGGATCTGATCAGAAGATGGCGCAAGCTCTTTGCAATGCACGATAGCATCTTCTTCAACCAAACTACTATCTTGATCGAGGATGAACAGGACTGTGCTGAAGTGATACTAGAGGCAACAGGGCAAGAGGGTGTTGAACTAGTGGTACTGGGTCAGGACGAGGAGATCACTGATGCGGTTTGTGACTGTCTATCTCAAGGTATGATCTTGAACTACTCTTGTGTTGCAATTCTTTGCTAAATGAAAACAGATGAAGGCAGTCGCATTGTCCATGTGATCGACATTCCGTGGCTACAGAAACAGAAGCCCCTCGTCCTACCAGATACGACAATGCCATTCACCTATACCAGAGTTGACCTCAACGCTTCCATGTCAAGACGAGCTCGAAAAGGCAACCACCAATTTCATGACGCCATGACGAAAGCATTCAGCATGCCGCGAGTCATGCGGAATCTGGAAGGTACACGGATCTATGACATGTCCCAGATCTCCTCCGCGCTGAATGATTTGAGCCAATCGTCTGATCCAGTCGTCGTCACGTCCAATGCTTCCACAACGGTCGCAGTGGTGCCTAGACCAAGTTCGCTCGCGCTAAGACAGGATGCGACGTATATGATTGTTGGAGGCTTTGGTGGCGTTGGCCACAGTCTGGCTCAATACCTCGTCAGACATGGCGCCAAGTATTTGGCCATCATCTCCCGATCCGGAGCGAACAGCCCTGACGCTTATAAGAAGATGGTCGAGTTGGAGCAAATGGGAGCGTCAGATGTCAAGGGTTACGCCTGTGACGTGTGCAACTTTGGAGAGCTGAAGGACACCATCACCCGAATCGAATGCGAGCTTCCTCCCTTGGCTGGTCTCATCCATTCCGCCATGTCTCTTTCCGACACCTTGTTTGAAAAGATGTCTTACGACACCTACTGTACAGCAGCGAGACCGAAGATTGAAGGGTCGTACAATCTCCACACCCTCCTCCCGAACAATCTTGACTTCTTCATCCTCATGAGCAGCGTAGCAGGCGTCGTAGGCACACGAGGCCAGGCCAATTACAATGCCGGTAACGCTTACCAGAACGCACTTGCAACATACCGTCAGACTCAAGGCTTACGCGGGTCTGCCATTGCTCTTACCGTCACCACCGGCGTTGGCTGGCTTGCAGGAAGTGAAAAGTCTGGTATCGTCGAGGGGTTGAAGAGTGACGGTGTGGGAACTATTACGATGGAAGAAGTTCAGGCCCTTCTGACGCCCCATTTCTCGACGAGGCCGGATACACCAGACGCGGATCTTCCACCCGCCGAGACTATACTCGGCATCTCGTCCGGCGGCCTGCTTGCCCAGTCCTCCATCTTCAACCCGCTCTGGGCCCACGACAACAGGTTCTCCTGGTACCGCCGCCTCGACCTCATCCCGGAGCCCACAAACTCAACATCAACCCCAACAATGACAGCAACGAAATCCGCATCTCTCAACATGCTCCTCCCAGGCGCTGCATCGCTCCAAGCAGCAACCACATTCGTCCTCGACGCACTCGTCGCCAAGCTGGCCTCCAGTCTCCTCATGCCCGAAACAGACATCGACACCTCGAAGCCCATCAGCAGCTACGGCGTCGACAGTCTCGTGGCTGTCGAAGTGCGTAACTGGATCTTTAGGGAGGCGAGGGCGCAGGTCAGCGTGTTTGAGCTGTTGGCTGGGGGCCCTATCAAGGGTATGGCTGAAAAAATTGCGCGGAAGAGCGCGCTGGTTGGGAGGGGTGTTTTGGATGTACCGTCGTCGCCTGCGTGAGTGTGGGTGTGAGAGGGCGATGGGGAGGGGTGGGTGGAGGCATTGATTAGATTGCGTAGACGCATGGATTAGACGACCGTTACGAAGAACGCATTTTCGGGTATGTTATCGTTGGGATTTTTGGGAGGTTTGGTTTATATGGGCGGCAGCATTTATACTGTTTTGTGAGAGTGGAGTTGGAAGGGATAGATATAACGTCCGCGCATGTCATGACTATACTATACTGTATATGTGTGGATTTTTGGGATTATTTTTGTCGATTAGTATATAGTAGCGTGAGGTATAGAAGTATATAGGTCTATAAGTCTATAAGTCTATAAGTCTATCAGTGTGTAGGTCTCTATAAGAAGATTACCGACGCCAGCATGCGCATGGGCATCGTATGAAGAAGCGTTTCCTGTCAATTCACTCCCGTAATAAGATGGTTCCTCCCGTTTGCTTACATCCATGTGGTTTTGTACATACGTACATATACATGCGTGTCGCAAGTCCCCCCTCCCGGTCGTCGAGACAGGTGAAAAGAATTTCGCATCCACGGGACGTACACAAGGATAGACAGACAGACAGACAGACAGACAGACAGACGGACAGACGGACAGACAGACAGACAGACGGACAGACAGACAGACAGACGGACAGACAGACAGACAGACACACAACGAGACCAAAAGTCAACCCCTTTGCCGTCGTTCAAACTCCGCCGCCCGCATCCTTTACTTCTCTCTCTTTCTCTCTCTCTATATATATGTATTTAATATTTCTTATCCTCCGTATTCAACAAATCTGAACTCTACTAGTCCCGCACCCAAGTTACCGCTTTTGGGAGTAAGAACGGTAGGTAAGAGTTAAGAAAAATTATTTACAAGGAGCTAGAGTTATCTTCTTACTTAAGTACATAAACACGACTGATAAGTACGTAGGCTGAGGGTGGTACGTACGCACGTGCAGTAGATGCGCAGATCTGAGACTACAAATCGACCCAACAAGGACAAATACAGACGGCGAATTATTGTAATGAACAAGCGGGTTATAGTAGGATAGTAGAGAACCGAGTGAAGCTCCGCGATTGCGGCCCCTAATAACGCCATCCGACAATGTTTGTTTTATCCAGAGTACATTGATAGGTGGCCGTCCTGCTTTGGACTCGCTCGATATACTAGTATTACAGCACCGCTCGTAAAATCCGTGCCACGAGGTACGAGCGTGCTTTTTTATCGTTTCCCTTGGTCTCTGGCAGGACACTTCCACATCCACATCCACATTTCACCGCCGACGCGATACCTACCTGCCTGCCTGCCTGTTCGAACGGGTTTCGGCCCCACGGACGCCGCCGCTATGGATATGGATGGATGGATGGATGGATGCATCATCTGCACATGATGGCTCCACCTCACTCACCTATGCCTACGGCTTTGGAATCACACCACGAGCAGAGTCGGCCGCTTTCGATCTACGCATACATGATACATCCTGGACTGTGTATCGCTATGGCGGAAGGAGAGCGAGGAATAGTGGTTTGAGCTTGTGATTGGGCTATAGCGCGGAAGCAAGCTCGCAGAGCACGACTCAAGCCAGGCCTTCCTTGCCGCTCCGCCCAACGACATCTATACTTCGCACGATTGCAACGACCGGCACGCGGAGATCGATACGAGCCAAGTAATGACGTGAAGGGGCGTGGGAGAACTTCTTCTTGGTGAGGTTTGTTTGGAAGGAGGTGGTGTCATCGTGGAGTGTTTTCAGATAGAGGCTGTGAGCTGGCGATGGGGTGGTGGTACCATGTGAGGCAGAGGCCACTCTTGTTGGGGAAGATATCGATGGATGTCGACATATGTTACGTGCGACGTTGCGGTAGCTTTGGTTTGTCATGGTGTATAGGGAACAAGCAAGAGAGACGTGCGGGTTGGATATCTTGAGTGGGCACCACTCGGTATCACGAGAAAAGTCCCGCACAGACCGCTTCAATCACTCAGTCTGTCTCAGGCTCGGCCATTTCGGGGAGGCGGCTAGGCTCTTGACGCGTGAATTTATATCGAGCACAAGAAGATAGCTACGGGTAGTACGTTTATGTTAAGTTGAGGGTACTCTTGGTTTGCAAGTTTGTCGGCTTGCCAGTGGAAATGCACGGAAAGAGGTAGTCTCACGGAGATCAGAGTAGGATGACGGTTTGCTGATTTGGCCCTCGGTCAACGGTGGTAGATTATGAGAAAAAGCGGAAGATTATCACTTTCGGTAATGGAAGTGCAAAGAAGCTGATCCCATCGTTCTACACGCACGTGTGGATACCGTGCACCCCTGGAAGACCGGGTTGGATGTCAGGGTGCGTATGTACTCTACCGGAACCGCATCATGTATCGTCGAGAAACCGATCAACATAACACGCAGATTCCCCTCTTCCGAAGTCAGATGCACCAATGACATCATTGTAAGATAGTGGAGTCATCTGTGGATACGTACCCACCTCCAAGTATAGCACGGTGGAGCTGTCTAGTTGAGGCTAATGCGGGTACATGTCCGTCCACCATAGCCGAAAAAACGATCGACACAGCATTCAAATTCCCTCTTTGAACTCGGCTGCGCCAATGATGTCTCATAGCGTTCTGGAGCCCCGCAGGTCGTCTAGTAAGTTCTGGGTAAAGCGCTGGGGACGGAAGACAGGGGCATGAGCCCCCCGGATGCAGAAACTAGCAAGCCGAGAATACGATCGACATGTGGAATCCACTTTCCTCTTGTGTGGTGCGTGGGCCAATGAGCGTAGAGAAAACGGCTGGTCTGATCTATGCTAGATACAGTCAAGTCTTTCTTTAGTCAGACATATCAGCCAATAAGCGTATATTATATATCGAGGAGACTCTATCATCGACGGGCTATACTCAGTATAGTCAAGCTCTCCCGCACAGTCCCACTCCTTAATGCACAGCGGACGTAGTGGTAGAACACGATCAGCGACAAGATCCACTTTCCTCGCCGGCAGTGCATGAGCCAATAAGATATCTCTCATCACTCCCATGCTTGGCCGAATCTTATACCGTCCATGCGCGGAAGACGAACAACGCTCCCCCGACAGAAAGCCGAGAGCACGATCGACATGCCGATGAGATTTCTCCTTTGAAGACGTGTCTGGCCAATGAGATCTTTATCGGTCGCTGAGCCCATGCTACGGAAGGCTTTGATAGTTCCCCGGCGCATAGCCGAGAAGACGATTGACATGAGAATCTACTTTCCCTCTCGACAGTCCGTGAGCCAATAGTATTCATGGTTTCCACTACCGGTATCTATACCTAGTTAAGTTAGAATCTATCCACCTACGGAAGACTAGCAGAGCTCCCCGATGGAAAGCCGAGAGCACGATCGACATGGAGATGGAATATCCCCTTTAGATCTGTATCCGACCAATAGGATGCGCATTAATGTCAGGCTCGACATCCTCTCCACCTTCTACCTAACGCACTGCGGATGTACTGCAGGATAACCGAGAACGATCAACACGAGTATTGGATTTCTCCTTTGAAGGTGTGTTGGACAAATAAGATCTTTTCTTGGCTATGCACTGCGGATGCACACCAAAGCAGCCGCGAAAACGATTAACAGAGAGTTAAGATTTCCTCTTTGAAGGTGTGTTAGACCAATGAGATCTTTTCTTGGCTATGCACTGCGGATGCACACCAAAGCAGCCGCGAAAACGATCGACTAAGAGATAAAATTCCCTCTTTAGACACCTGTCCGACTAATAGGAAAGCTTCTTGGTCTATAGACTCCACATACCGCGGACGTAATGCTAAGCACGTCGAGAAACGATCGACATAAGAGTCCACTTTCCTTTTTTCATTCTGGATACATCTAATCACGACTATATGCCAAGGAATGCTACTCCTAGCCAATGGGTATTAGGATGCAGGGGTGAAAGTGCTTGCCTCTTTGATAGGTGAGTAGCCAATCATAGGTTTCTAGCTGCGTCTACGCGTGGTAACTCTTATAGATATATATAACATACATACACACACATATATGTATATCCGATCGTCTTCTCAGCTACCATCACACACACATGCATAACCACCCACCCATATTCCAGACCGCAACACGTGACTCCACCCACACCAAACAAACCTTGCGCTTCTGGCCAGCCAGCCAGCCAGCCAGCCAGCCAAAGCTCCCCTCCCCTGCTGCCTAGGTGGACAGAGCCTAGAACCACATCCACCGATCATACCACTATCCCCCCTGTGGCACTTGGCCACCCTTTCTGTTCCAAAGAGAAAAAAAAGACGCGGTCTGGATCGCGATCACGGTGTTCGATGGCTGTTGCCTGGGTTGCCCTTTATTGTGTGCGTGAGGCCAATGGGGTGGGAGGAGAGGATAGGAGATGTTGAGAGAATGGGAGAGGCTTTCCTGTGTGGTTAGATGAATGGTACGCAGGGGCAGGGCAGGGCAGGGCAGGATCAGGTGCTGATAGCGCTTAGAAGGTGAGTTCATGCTGTGTTTATTACTGTGTGTTTCATGGGAGGGTATGTTGATAAGATGGATGGATGGATGGATGGATGAATGATTATAGCCTCGATACTAACACCTTCTACAACGCTGCATGACGCACTACCTTCCACCATACAACACCCCCTATACGCCAGAGCAATCTATACATATGAATATCTAAGCTTCTCCTCCTGCACCCATCGCCCAAGACCACACCGCGCCGCGCCCGACCCACCACCCACCCAACAATCTGGCACCAACCGCCCATCGCAATCTCCCGCCCCAGCTAGCACATATAACCCGCCGTCACTATCAAACCCTCCGAAAACGTCACGACATTCCACGCCCCAGTCCCAGATTCCACCTTCCCCGGCCACCAGCTACCCGACCAATCAACTGTTCACCTTCCTCTCTCCCTAAGATCCCATCTGTAGAAAGACGACTAGGAATCTTCCCGGGGAGGAGTGCCAAGTCTAGCTTGGACGGACGGCAAGTCTTGTGTGCTTGGCAGCTAATTACGGGCGGGTAGGGTGGTTATATTCCGATGTCACGGTGTTCGACGACGGGTGTGCTGCGCGCTCTTGCCCCGCGGGCTGGGTGCGTGGCCAATCAGCGCCTGTAGAGGGGGCGCACGTGACTTTGCTCTATAACTCGATATCTTTGGTTGACAGACAGATATACATACATAACAGCACTGCACCTATACACGGCTCAGGGCAAGAATTGGGGAAGAGTACCCTTTCATATAAGCAGACTGACTTATCTGGCGCCTGTCCAGGCAGCCCCCCAGGTACTACAAAATGGGAACACGATACAGGGAAAAAGACGCCGACGCTATGCCATACCAACAATGCCTTGTTTCTTCTGCATCACACACAGACACATACATGCAGCCTTGACAGATAGAAAAAAAAAAAAGAAAACGCCCTGACCCACACACAAAACTCCTTGGCATTTAATATAGCCCAAGCGCCCAGAGCGCCAGCAATGCGGTGGTTTAAAAAAAGGTGTCCTAATTCTATAGCGCTATGCCGATGACCAAATGAAGATGCGCACAAACGCCGAAAAACGAACGAAATTGTCACATTGCTGGAGATGTCGAGACTGAAAAGATTTGACTACAGCAGCGTCTGTCGCTTTAGCTTAAGCGTAGAACGCGCGCCTGCGACCGGGTACAACGACAGCACCGTCTGGACTCTGCCCTAATGGAGCAGTGGACGGTGTTGCGACAGGCGGAGGCTGGGTGACGTAGACGGTTTCTTTGATAGTCACTGTGACCATGCCGTCGGCGTCAGGAGCCGGTGTTGGGGTGGCATTCGTATCGCCGGCGCCGGGACCGGGACGGCCGATGAGGGTGGGAATAGAGTCTGCTGCGGAGGAGACTGGCGTGGTTGGAGCTAGAGATTCCTTGACGAGTGGGGCACTGCCGGTTGGGGCACTGCCGGGAGTGCGCGGGACGGGCGAGGAGGCGGTGCGTGACTTGTAGTCCGACACGGCTTTGGTGTTGGGGTCTTGTTGCTCGAGGGCCAGGCCGGTGCCGCCGTTCTTTACGTACTTTGTGTCGACGGGGCTGAGGTCTGGCTTGTCGACAAGATCGATGTCTAGACAGCTGGTGTAGTACTCGTCCTTGAAGTCGCCGAGAGTGCTAGGCCAGTCCCAGATCCAGTACAGAGTATAGGTCTTGCCCGCTGGCACATCCTCCGGGAGGCGAACACTTGTCTCGCACCAGAGAGGGCCGTTGTTTGGGAAATCCTTTTGTCGCTGGACGGAGACTGGCTTGTCGCTGACCTCATGACATCTCTTGTCGTCGAAATCTGCTACCGTGAGCAGTTTGCCTCTCTTGTCGCCGCCGCTACCATCGCTGGTCCACGCAAGCACATCTCCAAAGGTTTCCCCCTCTTTAGGGTCGGCAGTACCGTAGACCCATACCGCAGAACCGTTTACTTTGTTCTCCAACAGTTTCAAGTCGGCGAAAGTCGTATGCCCGTTCTCCTGGTACCTTATTGCAACATAGTTGCCCGGCGCCGCTTTCAGTTTCGGATACTGGTCACTGTACTGGGGAGTTTGCTGTGTGTCCTTGCACACCAACGAGGAGTCGCTGATGCGTTGATTTGGACCGTTGGCCACAAGATTTTGTACCTTGAGGGGGTCCCAGCCTGGGTCGGTCCGAGCCATGTATGATCGCATGTACCCAAATTTGCCGACGTAGTTGCCGTTATCGTCAATGACGACATCCTGTTCAGCCCAAGAGTGACCACCGACGTGCCCAGCCACATATGCCAGCACTGTAGCAAAGTTGATGAATCGCATTTCCGTATGGGTGAGGCTAGTTGGATATCGGAGGGACTCGAATAGAATAGATGGATTGTATGGTGGTAATATCGTTGCCTGATTTGCCAGATATGAGAATAAAAAAAGTATGTATATACACGACCTGCGTGAGAATGTTGAAAGTACGAGGTCCTGAGAAGCGTTGCGATAGCGAGAAGCGAGCTGTTAAAAGGCCAAAGATAAGAACTCAAGCGTCAGGTAATGACGGAAACGAACACACAACGTATTCTTGACAAAGTCGGCATGGTTCAAAAGTCCTATTGTGCAAGGGAACGTGAGTTGAACAATAGCACTCTTGAATAACGTGAGGAGGCGACAGCCATCTTGGAAGTAGAAGGAATGAAAAAGTGGCGATGGACATGTAGTGAAGCATATAGAGGGCCTCACACACAGCGCGAATAGTGAGAGAAGGAACAAGAAAGTGAATAGTGTATGGATCGTGAAACATTAGTGCCAAGAGAATAGTCGATGAACAGGAGATGCCACGCGAGCCGCCATCCGTGGACGCAGTGTGAGCCAATCAAGACACCAGCGCACAGAGGCGCGAAACGGATTGCTGGGGGATTGCTCGATGCTCCCCAGCACGCTGTGGAAGGTTGTGTTTCTTCTGCTCCCAGCTTGTAGCCATCGTGAGTGCATGGAGTGGCCAAGGTCATAACTCTGTAGCCGCCTCGCTGGGGCTTTGTGTTGCAGGATTTCGCGTGGGTCATGATACCCGCTTGAGATGATAGGAATCGCGCGCGCTTTGCAGTATGCTCTTAACATCGCTATTGTGGACTGACTGTTGTGCACTCCGGTACTCATATCTCCTCTTCCATGGTGTGTCTGCGTGTTTGGCATATGAAAGATAGCATCAAAAACAATATTCTGCAGTGCAAATTCCATCACCCTACCTTTTTTCCACCACTTCTTCGTCTCACATGTTTCTGATCACGACTTCCTCTACCCCCCAACTCAGGAAAAGTGTAAGAAAATGAGTATCTCATGGCAAATCACTTCCCTTTGGCCATGCGGGTGTCATGTGTCTGCTGAATCCTGCCTGACTCACGAGACTTGGCCCTGTATGTAGAGGTGACGCGTCTCTTCTGACCTGGAGGTCTTTCACTCGCCCGGTTATGCATCGAAGCAAGATATCGAGGTGGACGTCTGTCGCAGAGACGGAATGAGGAGACACGATGAGAGGCAGACGAGGACGCGCTGAGTCTGAAGTGAGGTGTTTCAGCACGGGTAACAGGTCTACGTGATTGGCTGACATCCAACGGCTCTTTTGGCCTGGCCCCCACCATCTACTGCATTTCGAATGCGCAGAAGTTGTAATAATTATTGTAGAAGTACGATGCAATTGTGTACATAAGATCAATGATTTCGACGACGGTTTATTGGAAACATCATTGTTAATATGTGTTGCGAGTACACCGCTCCTGTCAACATCATCTTCACCCTGCTGCATCTACTTTGCTATTTATGCATGTATGATGTGGCGCGCCCTCCACACGATAGTCGGGTAATCTCTGACTGATGACAGAATACCTTGGAGTGGCAAGACTGCACAGCATGCATCATTGCACTCTGCCATCTGCTTTGTAATGTTGACTGAAGAAGCTTCTATATATCTAAGGCCCACCGTGATGCCTAAGCTCTAAGGCAGAAACACCTCTTCAGTATTCTTGAGGCCTCGATGGATAATGCGGGGTATTTGGTGCAAGAGCCTGTGCTGGAACTTTTGCGTGCGTGTAGCGCGACACGAAACGGCTGCTAATTGAGAGGATGCGACTGACATATTAGCCACAAAAGTGTGTGAATCTATCGAAGGTGCGGCATGGCAATTTAATGCTGCCAGTTCTGGGTGAATTTGTTGGCAAGGCGATATAGAAGTCTAAATGGGAAGGGCAGATGGCAGGAACGGTGGAGAAGTTGCGCAAACGGTTGGAAGCACGAGGGTATAAGAGTGCTGATGGTACTTGGGCGATGTAGTGTTGGGATTTAGTGAAATAACGGAGGAACAAGAACAGGTTTTTGAGGAGGTATCTTTGCGGCATTGTTGCGAACGCTGCATTACAGACGAGGACGACGGGTGAAGAAGGGCCATGGGTTTGAGAGGAGACCGTGGAAGATGGAAGGACAGTCCAAGCTAAATGTAGCGGAGTAACTCGTGAATTGTCATCATCAACCTGACTCGATGCGTTTCATTAAGGTCCGATTCTGTTGTCTACGCACCGATTGGATGCGAATACCTTCCAGTATATGTATCAACCGCTCCATGCATGCCCAAGATCACGTCCGGAGCGGGCAGTGGTATAGCACATGGTCCTATCCTCGCCAAACCCATAATCATAATCCTCATGACAGACGTCGATGGTGCTCAGTCTTCCTCCATCTCGCTGTCTGCATCTGCGTTTGCCTTTGATCCGTTTGCGGTCCGGTTCAGCTTGTTTGGTACGGAGGCTTCCTTGTCAATCATTTGGCGCGAGACAGACACGATGTTGTCCTCAATGAGCTGCTGTCCGACGTCTTCGAGATCTAAGATAGTTGTTAGTATCCGTCCGTACAGCTATAGACTTATACGCACGCTTCTTGGGATCCACCTTGCCAACATATCTTGTCTTCAGTTGGTCTTTCGTTAGCTCAGTCTCTTCCTTGACACGCTTCTCATAGCCTTCCGCCAGTCCAACTAGACGTTGTAGTTTGTCTTGATTTCTCTTCCCCTCTGTCCTGAAATCGGCCATCTGTAAGGCCTCCGTCCAGACGTGCTTATGAAGATTCATGAGCATGTTCTCCTCTAGTCCAGTCTTCCTGTAGTTGATACCGATGCTATAGTAGTGCCTGTTAAGGCCATGAATAAGCGCTTGAATGGAAGGTTTGTTCAGATGGCCCAAGTTCGACGTCGTTTGTCTGGGCTCGTGACCCATCATTAGAGTCTGCGGGTTGATGAGACGGAAGGCATCAATGACGACCTTGCCCTTTACAGATTGGATGGGATCGACAACGACGGCGACCGCTCGGGGAGTCAGTTGCTCAAACGACTGTTGGGTATTAATATCGACGGATGATAGCCAGCAGCCGAAACCAGGATGTGAGTGGTACCAGCCGACAACAGTCTCCGGTCGACCTGTCTGCCTGAGCATTTCCATCATCTTCGTTTGGAACACCGGATCTACAGCCTCTACACTAACTCCTGTACCACTTTGAGGCATCGCAAAGACGTCCACCACTCGGACGGTATAGTCATCAACAAACTCTCCAAGCATCAGTCCCATCACTTCCATGGGAACACCAGCACGACCATGTCTTAGCATCTTTAGAAGTGCGAGAGAGGATATGTAGACGGTTTCGGAGTTGTCGATGAGGTTTGTGTCCTATGAATAGTGTCATCAGTCTTGGGTCCTAGATCGAGCACACAGCTCGAAATCCCAAGAGACATGACCAGTGAGGTATATTCGTGGGCAAGCACGCGACTCATATATCAGAAGAGACTCACTTGAGCAGGCCCGCCTCCCATGCCGCCCATGCCTTGGGCGGCGGCTAGCATGCGTGTTAACCTGTCCATGAGGATAGATGTGACTAACAGGAGCGCGGACGTAGGTTCTGGAGTTGAAGGAGGAACAGAGAGGCGTGAGACAGGTTGAATGAAGACTGTTGCGAAGCGAGAAGGAAGTGAATGGAATGCGACGAAAGTTAAAGTCGACAAATACAGTGTCAACGAGAGCTCCACGAACTCGCCATCCATTTACTGAGCTCCGGTCGGCCACTCGGCGAATCGTTTCGCCGTTTAGCTCTCCCGCAACACCGCAACGCGCCGCTCGGCCCTGTCGCGTAATTGGTGTAAAAGCGGGCGATGCCCTGCCACTTTAGAAGCTCCATGTATGCTCTTCCACAATAAACACATACTCAGACACAAGACATAACGCTTAAGCTCAGACTTCACTCAGAACTAAAATTAAAGCTCGTCAGTGACCACAACAGTCTAAAACATTCTACACCCAACCTGCGACGACGAAATGGCGCTCGCTGCGCCTCTGGACGACCATGTCCTCAATGGATCGCAACCAAAGAAAGTCGCATATTTCTATGATTCAGATGTTGGAAACTACTCATACGTATCGGGACATCCGATGAAGCCGCATCGTATACGAATGGCTCACAGTTTGATCATGAACTACGACCTGTATAAAAAAATGGAGATATATGTGTGTGGAGTTCCCATTATAATCTTACATACACCGCTAATTCTACCATAGCGCGCGAAGCCGGCCTCAAAATTTGAGATGACGCAGTTCCATACCGATGAATATGTCGAGTTTCTGCAAAAGGTTACCCCAGACAACATGGACAGCTACTCCAAAGAGCAAGGAAAATACAACGTGGGAGACGACTGCCCTGTGTTCGATGGCTTGTTTGAGTTTTGCGGTATCAGTGCTGGTGGAAGCATGGAAGGTGCCGCTCGCTTGAACAGAGGCAAATGCGACGTCGCCATAAACTGGGCCGGTGGTCTGCATCACGCGAAAAAGGCTGAAGCGAGTGGATTCTGCTACGTAAACGGTATGTCGAGTTTTGAAGTGATGTAATGCCAGTCGTGCTGACCCAGAACCTACAGACATTGTCCTTGGAATCATCGAGCTTCTCCGCTTCAAGCAGCGGGTTCTCTATATCGACATCGACGTGCACCACGGTGATGGTGTTGAAGAGGCGTTCTACACGACCGACCGTGTTATGACGGTGTCATTCCATAAATACGGAGAATACTTCCCAGGTACTGGAGAGCTTCGCGACATTGGTGTCGGCAATGGCAAATACTACTCCGTCAACTTCCCACTCAGGGATGGTATTACGGATGAGACGTACAAAGGAGTATTTGAACCAACCATCAAGGCTGTAATGGACTATTACAAACCTGAAGCCATTGTCTTACAATGTGGGGGCGACAGCTTGTCGGGAGACCGACTGGGTTGCTTCAACTTGAGTATGAGAGGCCATGCAAACTGCGTCAACTATGTCAAGAGCTTCAACTTGCCAACCCTGGTGCTCGGTGGTGGTGGCTATACTATGAGAAATGTTGCGCGAACGTGGGCATATGAGACTGGCCAGCTCGTCGGACACGAAATGGGCCACGATCTACCATACAATGACTACTACGACTACTTCGGGCCAGACTTCCAACTCGATGTTCGTCCATCGAACATGGACAACGCAAATTCTCGCGAATATCTGGAAAAGATACTAACAAATGTCATCGAAAACTTGAGACGCACGGGCGACCCGTCTGTGCAAATGCAAGACGTTCCCCGCTCCCCAATGGTGCCGGGTATGGATGACGAGGCCGACGATGCAATGGACGATATGGACGCTGATGCCAACCCGGATGTACGATATACCGAGCGTCGATGGGATAAACACACGACTAAAGATGGCGACCTTTCCGAAAGCGACGATGAAGAGCAAGCGAGCCGCGCCGGGGTGCGACGTCAACCCGGCCGCCCACGAAGACGTAACATTATGGATTATCAGAACGTCAACGCAGTCCCAGATATCGAGAGCGCAAATGCAACTCCAACGCGGAGCATTAACGGCGATGCCAGTGGACGGAACACAAAAAATGCTTCCCCGGCCGCCGATGCATCACGTGCGTCCTCAGCAAGACCCGCGGCCAATGGAACCGGCTCATTAAAGAGTTCGCCTGCTCCTGGGGACGAAGACGTTGATATGGATGACGACGAACATGATGCCGACGAGGAAGACGGTGAGGACGAAGATGTCAAGCCCTCAGCCGCCGCAAGTCCATCAGCTGCTGGCCCCTCGGCCGGTGACTCAAACGCAGCGGCAGCAGTACGGACACGAACGAGCTCACCCCAACAAGAATCTGCTCCCGGCTTCTCCGCTGTCACCCCTCCCGACTCACCGCAAGACACGATCGCCGTGGCACCAGCCACATCTGCGACGGCCAACGGTGAAGCTTCCGCACAAACTTCAGAAGACCAGCCAGGTGTTCAGCCCACTGCTGATACCAAGGATATCGAAAAAGAAGACGTTGAGATGAAGGAAGAGGATGAACCCGAGGTCCAGAAGGAGGAAGGACTCGAAGAGAGGCAGGAACAGGACGAGACAGCAGAAAAGAAGGCAGAAATCGTCACGGAGCAGGAGCGGTGATGCAAACATGCGTGCAGAGTTGGCTATGTGACGGAGGAATTCTTGATATCATTTGACAACGGCGTAAATTTGGCTTGTCAGGGGGCCGGTATGTGTACATTTGATTGCGAGCAGGGCGCCGTTTGAGTAGTATGTTTGATAAAATAATGCGGTACTCCGTCTTGGTACCTGTCAATTGCCCCATGTACGGATCCACCTGCGAGAATTGGTATTGTCGACTAGGGCTGGGTTGCATTATAAGTGTCACTAGGTAGAAAGAGCAGCAGAAATGTACATCGATACTAGATACAAGTGAGAAGCTGCGAGAAAGATGTTACTTTCAGAATTGATGGGCTATAATTCTTAATATTGGGCGAAGACCAGCGAAAGAATATCCTTCTTATCTTGCTGAGATCCGTTTTGAAGTCAAAGGAGAATGAGAGCTACGGTATTCAACAGGGTATGCTCGAAAATATGTTGTTTGGCGGGAACAGGTCGGCCGACCATGCTCTAGGCACGTTGTCGGCACGCATCAGCGATTAAGGGTGCCTGGCAGCTGGGGAGATCGGCAGTTGTGGAGGCGTCACGCGGCGCAAAACTTTTTACCAGAGCTTCCCCCAAGCATCCATCCTGGCTCGGCTCTTGCGTCACGCGGGGCTTCAATGAGAGAATCGTCATGGTTGTCCCTCTTTCTCCTCACTTCTTCTCAATTATAATTACCATCCTGTATCAGTAGCTTCACTTGGTCAATTGCTCATCGACCCCACGTCTACACTATCGTTGAGCCGTCAACTCTCTTAGTTCTGCAACTCCGCCGAACTGACGTGGGAAGCCTGTCCTGTGAAGCTTGCTACCTAGCAGAATACACTGATCCATTTCGGAGTTTCCACTACATACCCTCTTTTTACGAAGGACATTGGCTGTAGCCCCTCCGGCAGCAATGTCGCTCGCTGAGCGTGTTTCCGTGCTGGAGGAGTATGAGCCGTCATGGAGTCGCGAGCAGTCACCTAACAGAATGCCCGGACGCAAGCTATCGTTCAATCCAGTGGGAGAATGGGTACCTCTTGCTGCCCACGAAGAACCGGTTGGAGCTTTCGAGGTGTCAAAAACCAAAAGAATCAGTATGTTCTCCACGACAGAACTTAAGATTAAGGATTGAAACTCACTACAAGCCAGTTCAGGTTGGCGCCGCTGTTGTATATTGCCTCTTCGCTGCCGGTTCGTACGCAACACCATATTTCAAAAGTACACTCTAACACTATTTCCAGGAGTTGTATTTGGTTTCGCTGCCATAAAACCAGTACTGATAGCAGAGGGTGCCTACCATGACTTGTGCTCTCCTGAAGAGCAACATCTTCCATCATGCTATGAGCAAGAGTTGAGGTAGGAGACGGAAACATCTTCGTGATTGTCAGACTATAACATTGGTCAGATTGAACCTAATGTTCACAATTGCAGCGGTTGCCACAAACGTATGCGCCCTTCCTGTTGGAACGATACTTGATCGGTTTGGTCCTCGGGTGAGCGGAATCATTGGCTCGACATCCTTGGCTGTAGGGGCTCTATTCTTCGCGTTCTCCTGGGACCTTCCATTCGATGGCTTTATACCTGGATATTTATTTCTTGCTCTGGGCGGACCTTTCATCTTCATCTCATCCTTCCAATTGAGCAACACTTTCCCACAGAACTCTGGCCTCATCCTGGCCCTACTCACCGGAGCTTTCGACAGTTCAAGCGCGATATTCCTTTTCTATCGGTTGATATACCAGGCCAGCAATCAAACTTTCACTCCGAAGAAATTCTTCTTGGTCTATCTGATTGTCCCGGTCCTCACCCTCATCGTTCAACTTACGCTCATGCCGTCAAAATCTTACAAGACCGTGGGAGAGTTGGTAGCTCACGCTGATGACGAGGCTGCAGACATCCATGACTCTGACAACGAGATAGAGGATGAAGGTCAGGTCCAGCGGCTTCGTGAAGAACGCCGATTTCGCCGTGAGAGCATTCTGTCTGACATCACCGAACTTCTCGGTACTGCCGATGCATCTCAACAGACCGAAAGCGAAGAGAAGAAGCGTGAAACTAGTGGTGTGTGGGGTATATTGCATGGCCAGTCTGCCCTTGAGCAAATACAAACGCCTTGGTTCATACTAATTGCACTTTTCACTATTGTACAGATGCTCCGGATCAACTATTTCGTCGCAACGATCCGAACACAGTACGCCTATCTCCTAGGCTCATACTCCAAAGCCGTTGAAATCAACGATTTCTTTGATGTTGCACTTCCCTTAGGAGGTGTCATTGCCGTCCCGTTCATCGGGATTATTCTTGACAACACAAGCACCAAGTTCTGCCTCTCTGTGCTCGTCGTGATTGCTACCTCTATCGGCGTGCTGGGCGTTATACCGCATATGTGGGCTGCTTACGCTAATGTTGTTCTCTTCGTCGTCTACCGCCCGCTTTATTACACTACTGTCTCTGATTACGCTGCGAAAGTCTTCGGATTCACGACTTTTGGAAAGGTGTATGGGTTGATTATATGTCTGGCTGGCGTGCTCAATTTTGCCCAGTCAGGTCTCGACGCTCTCACCCACGAGGTGTTCAACGACGACCCGGTTCCGGTCAATGTTGTCTTATTGGGCGTGGCATTCATCATCGGTATCATCCTTGTAGGATACGTTTGGAGGAAGAGTAAGAAGATTGGGCGGGAAGGGCTGGAAGAGCGCGCACAGGCAGCGGAGGAACGCGAAAGCCTGATGCCGACTGCGACAGATTCCATGTTGGCAAACTATGGATCAACTAATGGGTCCAACGGTACGCACATGGACGATAGAGGACGTAGCAAGTGAGCGATCTTGTGCCATTCGACCTTTTCGATAAAAGTCCTTTTGAGGCCGCGAGCGGGAGTTTCTTTTTTGCACAAAGTTTTACATCTTGCACTTCGTCAACAAGCGGGCGTAGGAGGTCAACGTCTCTTGATAAGCATATTTTCGGGTACCCATGTCCATAATCATCATCATCTAAGTACATATGTCTGAAGTCATTCTCCTTGAGTATGCTATAGCTGCTCTAACAGTATTCCGAGATGACACTTAGAAAAGGACCTTGTGCATTTATATTTACATGACTACCTTAAAACCACTATAGAGACCATTGATATACCCAAGACCAAAGCGCCTGAGTCGGAATCGACACAGAATGTCATGGTCTGAAAAGCGATTACACGGCCTAGTATATAATCTACCCGACGTTTGTTTTCCATTCATTGGCAAGATGGCCGAGTGGTTATGGCGCTAGCTTCAGGTGCTAGTATCGAAAGATGCGTGGGTTCAAGTCCCACTCTTGTCATTATCATTTTGTCCTTTTTATGCCTTTTCACGTGTACTATCTTGCGCTTACGCATAAATAAATGTAATTATCACGTATTTATTATATGTGCATTAGTGTATTAATTAGTGAGAGTCGGTATCTTAGGGCCGGGCTGTAACTTTCAAACACATCTATCTATTTAAGTAATTACCAAGCGGCATTCGGTCGCATGTGCAATTCTTTAACATCATGTAGATTGAACCTCTGTATAAAATGGATTGTGTCGATTGCCTCAGTTTGAAGGCTTCCTTTAGAAATTCAGGGCAGCTTGGCTTATGCATCTTACCCTCGCGCTTGGGACAGATTGAGGCTCTTCGACAAGCCTCAGCGCCTGCTAACAATGCCAACCGTTTGTGGTACCTCGCAGAGCGACTGCGGCTCTACTTGAAACGATCCGGGATCCAGATCTTGTACGATAAACTCACGGTACTCAGTCGATCTTCCGTGTGGCTGGCTGGCGCTTATTATGGTGCTGTACGACAAGTTCCGGTGGAGTCATTCCCATTGGCTGGTCAAATCGAGTCCCTGCAGGCGCTTGGCCGTTCCCGTCAGCGCTTCGGCATCCTAAAAACATACATTCACGATGAATTGCATCTCATTGGAAAAGTCAGCGTTTACTCATGCTCGATGAAACCGATTGACCATTGAACAAGAATAGAATTTTGGCTGGATCTCTGTGGTCCGTTCGAGAGACTGTGCCGTACGCAGAAAACCATGTGATATTTAAGAGCTCTCAGACTCGCACTGCAATGCCAGTCTCTTCTGCATCAAGCTTTACACTTGCAACTTGTAACAGAGTTGTCCTTTTCGTCTCTTCCCTTTTTCTTTTTCATTTTTGAAATTTTCCTTGCCTTGCATTCATTCCTGTCGCCCTGTCTGCGCATACGTTCTCTTCTGCTGGCAGATCTCATCCAATCTTTCTCTTAGGCCTTCCAGCACATCAGTCTCTTCAGATATCGTCCAGCTCTGCCTACTTGTCAGACCACAGTCTTTCTTGTCCATCATGCCTGTCCCATCTTACGGAGCCGCTCCTCTGAGCAAGACTTTCCTGGCCACCCGTGCTCTCCAGGTCGTGGCTATGATCGGCATAGTTGGCATGACGGCCAACTTTGTCAACAACATCGTCACGACAGGAAAGGAGGCGCCCAAGGAGATTGTGGGCACACTCAGCATCGTAAGCCAGATCCCCCGTCTCACAATTTAGACAACTACTGACAAGTCAAACCAGACATGTCTCGCCACTCTTTACTGTGCTATTAGCGTTGCATTCTTCTGGTCCGAGGCCAACCTCGGCCTGCTCGTCATGACCGGCGTCGACTCTCTCCTTCTCATTGCATTCATCGTCTGCGCCGTCACCGTCGGCAAGCCGCTCTCCTACCTCAACTGCTACGTCATTGGCAATGCCTCCGCCGAGGTCGATGCGCAGTCCGCCTGGGCCTTTGCCATGGCCATCACGTCCAATCTCAACACAATGGGCAGCAAGCTTGACCTCTCGTCCTGGGTTGGGGCCACGAAGGCGAACTGCCTCGAATCCAAGGCTATCTGGGGTCTTTGTATCGCGCTCTGGTAAGAATTGTCTTGTTGTGGAGATGGTTGGAGACTTGGCTGACAGCTTTAGTATCTTGTTTACTACTTCTTCCGTCTTGCTGCCTACCTGCTGGTACAAGAACCGTAAGGCGGGCGCTGGGTTCAACAAGTACGAGGATGCTTGAGTGAGAGAGACAGGGGGTTCCTAGAACCAGCATATAGAAAACCACCGAGGGGCAGTATCCCCGTCAACACACACACACACGGAGTCTCCATCTTCTTTTCATACGTCATAAAAGCAAACAAAAAATGGGTGTATTTGGGTTTTCTGTTGGACATGGATGTTTTGGTCTGCGGAGTTCTTGGGAAATTTAGCGACGGCTGTAATTATAGAGAGATGTACTATCTCATGCTTCGGAAGGGGGCGTAACTTTGGTAGATAGCGCGTAATCACGAGTCGTGCTTCGTTACACACGTTTCATGATCAAAGTGTCGTCGGTTATTAACTCAGCTTGATGTCTTGTGTTGCTTTTATGTACTGAGGTTCATGTTGGCATGTACAAAATCGCGCGATTAGCGACTCGAAATCTCTTATTCAGAGGCGCCGCCTTTCGTTCTCTATTGGGGTATCTATCCTGTAGTTCCACTCCGCACGGGCTCCTTCTTCGGGGTCGTTTTGTTCGGCCTTGCCTTTTCGTCGTTGTGCTTCCAGACAGGTTTCATATAGCCGTCGACATGTACTCCACCTTCCACCTCGGAAGACTGTACATCCGCATCTTCCCTGGGGTCATAGGCATGGACTTTCATCAGGTGTTCGATCACGCCGTAGTGATTCCGGAAGCCTCGCGTATGAGCATAGCACTCCTCATGAGGACAAAATGGCGAGTGTGGATCGAGACGAGGACGGACAGTAGTGTTAGACTTGCGCCTCATCTTGTGCCCTTTACTTGTGGTGGCTTCATCGGAACTGCTCTCGAGTTCTCCGAACGCGGGTATGATGTCTGCGTGGTACTGGAATGGCTCTTCTGTGTCGCCCATCTTGGTGTTTTCGTGCAGGGTTCTGAAAGCCATGCTTTCGCCGAAGAGACTGGCACATCGTGCTGCTGCGCGGGCAACTACGGCTTCGTTCCAGCCGCAGAGCGAAGCTACGCCGAGGACCTCGCTCCAGTCTCGCGTTTTGGGATGGTTCTTTGAGCTGGGGCTGGGTGGCTCGGAGGAATGGGGTGAGGTTGGCCGTGAAGGCGATGGATTTTGTGGGTCGGGCATTGGTATGGGCTGAGGTGCTTCTTGAGCCTGGCGGTTGGGTACTGTGTTTGAAGGAGACGCAGGTCTTGATGATGTTGGCTCTCCGATGATGTCGCTTCTTATCTGAGCCCGCTCTCTATGGACACGTTTCTTCATCATATAGTAGGACTCTCCAGGGAGAGGCTTGGGATATTTTGATGGTCTTCCTCCTCCACGCTTTGGCGATGCGGCTGGGTCAGGAATAGGCTTCATTTTGGGAGGTCGACCTCTTTTCCTCGGCGTCTTGCTTGAACTCGCTTTGGGGTCCGGAGCTGATGTTAGATCAGGGTCTAGTTGATACTGGTCTTCGAACAATGGCTGCTCAGAAGCCCCAGTCCTGCGTGCGGACTGAGTCTTGGTGTGATATGACAGATCAAGACCCCAAAGAAGACGGTCCAGGTTCGATATCAGAGAATTTATAGATGGCTGTAGAATTTGTCGTGCTTTCTCTTCATCTGCCATTATCTCTGGCTTGGAAAAGTGCGGTGGAACAGGAGTGCCAGTTCGAGATCCAGAAGGTGTGGTTGACATGAATTCAGTATCCGAGCGAGCAGAGCGACGGGTCGTGGCAGATCGAGACCGTGTACGTGTAGATTTAGCACGAAAGCCACTTTCATTGGCACTATCCATTGAATCAACAGGCTGGACGTCATGTGGTTCATCTTCGGAGCTACTGCTACCAAAGGGATCACGTTCTATTGCTTGTGACTGTGGACGAGGAGGTGCGAAATAGCTGGAAGCGGAATCTGAGCTACTGTCAGATTCCTGATCTAGTCGATTTTTGGAACCCTCAGAAGATGTCGATGCAGAGTGATATTCATCTTCAGCGCCACTACTGGAGATTTTGAGCCGGCTCGCTTTGTCAGACAGTGTTTTTCGCTTTTTGGGTGCTCTATGCTCGGTCTCATCCACGTCCCAGACACGATTTGTCCAAATTTCCCTCGACATTCGCAGTAAATGACCTAGCATTATCTCAATGAGATCTCCATATGCCAAGTTCCTCTGTTCGTGAGGTGAAGTCCGGTTGAACTTCTCGGTTCTGCCGCCTCCTCTACCATAAACCTCCTTGGCACTAGGAACGCAATCTGGTGGAAGAGGCCACTGTGTCCACCACTTTGGGGGAGTCCATTGTTTTCTCTGCTCTGCGGCGATCCAAAGACTTTTATGCCGCAGATTTGTTAGGCTTTCGGAAAAGTCTTCGCCATTCCTGAACCTGTACGTAAGTGCGAACGCGTTATATAGATGCGCACTAAGATCATCTGCTCGCACAAATTGGAGTCCGGAATAGATTGCGCGATCTTGAGCTGTATACCTTTGCCAGGTCTCGGCGTGTCCTTTGTACGCGTTTGGCCGGCCACGATATTCGGCGTCTGATTCAGTCTCGTAATCGCTGATGTCGTCACCATGTTCTTCTTGAGCTTCTTGTCGGGCATACGACTGGCCAGCGAAGTCTTGTTCACTGGTACTGCTCAAACTTGAACCCGCATCTGATGCAGAAGCATCGTGCATCGATACATCTTGCGACGGCGCATCGATGTCATCGCCGCCGAACAGAGACATGTGTCCAGTAGCGTCCAGACTCGATCAAGACTTGACAATACCACTGAATTGTCATAATCCTGGGCTCATGCCGGAGAGCTCTGTCGCATAGACTATAGATCACCGTGTCGTTGTCCCATCGCGAAGTGAACGTGAAAATTGACCAATGATCAGCTGTCGAGGGTAGAGAAACGCGCCATATAATTAGGGATGAGATATGCTATTGATCGGTATGACGATAACGCCAATCACGCACTGACGCCCAACGCGTCCATGGTAGTCGCGTTACTCCACCCGCGTCTTATCTTACGACTCGCCAGTTTCATCCAATTTTGTGTACCATCATTGTCACTTTATATCTAACCCTCCTCTGATCGTGCGGCTCTATCATGGCGAGAGGAATCGAAGGCAACGAGGTCGCCACCCCTCGTTCATCAGCTCCGAAGAAGAGCTCTCAATCGACAGGAAAAGGCCAAAGTTCCATCTTCAGCTTCTTTGGGAAGAAGCCTGATGCGTCCGCTGGCAAGCCCGCACCAACACCTTCGAAAACCTCAAAACAGGCTTCAACCTCCTCACATACACCAAAAGCTAGGCCAGACTTTCAGAAGACGTCGGCGTTAACGCCAGCACCTAGTAGCGACCCGATTGCTGCCCCATCCAGTCCTTTGCCATCCACCAAATCCGGACCAAGGATTACGGGTTTGGAAAAGAATAAGGAAAATGGTCTGCCATCACCAAGTAGTAGCCCTCTTCAGAGTGCTCGTGCTGACCGGAGTCAAGAGGTTGCAGGGGTCAAAACATACTCCAGTCCTTCAAGAAAGGCAAGATTTCTACCATCAGATGCTGCGCGCGAAAGCATGCTAATTACGTATGCAGTCCAAGAAGAATGTCAGCTATGCCGAATCAGACGACGACGACGATGATGATGAGGATGACGATGTGTTGAAGCCGATCTCTCAAAATCGCCGCGGTGAATTGACAAAGAGACGAAAGCTAAGCCTTGAGGATAGCGATGATGAATTTACTGCACCTTGTGCAGCTGAGGAAGTTGAAGACGAATATGGTAAGTCTTTAAAAGCCATTTCACGGCATTAGGTCAGAATAGCTGACCAGTGTGCCAGATGTAGACGACTTTGTCGTTCCCGATGAGTCGGATGACGATGTTGTTCCCAAGAAGCGCAAACGCTCGACTCCTCAGAAAGCGTCAAAGCCTAGTCTACCGTCGAGTCCTCCTGAACGCAAGCATAGCATAGACTCGGACCCTGATCTCGAGATGCCTACTGTTTCGACTGCTCAACAATGGGCCTATGATCCCGAGACCGTGGAACCTTACGCACCTCGCGACGCTCCAAGGCCAAAGAAGGCATCGACAGGTATAGAGAAGAAAGAGAAAGCACACAAGTCGGCTCCTGAGGCAAGGCATCCTTGGCTAGTTGATATCAAGGATATCGACAAGCATCCTCAAGACCATCCAGACTACGACCCACGAACCTTGTACATTCCTCCTCTAGCCTTCAGCAAGTTTTCTCCATTCGAGAAGCAATACTGGGAGATCAAGCAAAAGTTCTGGGACACAATTGTTTTCTTTAAGAAAGGCAAATTCTACGAGTTATATGAGAAGGACGCCGTAATCGGACATCAAATATTCGACCTGAAGCTCACCGACCGAGTGAACATGAGCATGGTCGGGGTACCCGAGTCCTCTCTGGATCATTGGGCAAATCAATTCGTCGCCAAAGGATTCAAAATCGCTAGAGTTGATCAAATGGAATCTGCTCTTGCAAAGGAGATGCGTGAACGCGATGATGACAAACCAGTCAAGAAGGCTGGTAAAGAAGACAAAATCATCAAGCGAGAGCTTTCGGCTGTTTTGACCTCAGGGACTCTCGTTGATGCAGGCATGCTACAGGACGACATGTCGACCTATTGTGCCGCTATCAAAGAGGTTGAAAGGGATGGCCTGCCAGTATTCGGAATTGCCTTCGTTGACGCAGCCACGGCACAATTTCATCTTTGTGAGTTTGTGGATGATGCCGACATGACCAAGTTTGAGACATTTGTTGCTCAGACACGACCGGCAGAGCTTCTCCTGGAAAAATCATGCATATCTGCACGAGCTTTGCGAATCATGAAGAACAACACGGGTCCGACGACTCTCTGGAACTATTTGAAGCCAGGCAAAGAGTTCTGGGAAGCCGATACGACAGCTCGCGAGATGGAGGCAAGCGGCTACTTTATGAAATCCGAGGATGGCACTGGAGGTTGGCCTGTAGCACTGAAAGAAGCCAAGGATAAGCCGCTGTCTCTCTCTGCGCTTGGGGCATTGGTGCAGTATCTTCGAGTCTTGAAAATTGATAGTGACCTTGTGTCGCTGGGGAACTTCCAATGGTACGATCCTATAAGGAAAGCATCAAGCTTGGTGCTCGACGGTCAGAGCTTGATCAATCTTGAGGTATGGAATATGCTGTATCATATCCCCTACGTACAGCTAATTGCAATCAGATATTCGCGAACAGTGCGGACGGTGGTACCGACGGCACTTTGTTTGCGATGCTCAACCGCTGCGTGACACCTTTCGGAAAGCGAATGCTTCGCCAATGGGTCTGCCACCCTCTTGCAGACTCGATGAAGATCAATGCTCGCCTCGATGCTATCGATGCTTTGAATGCCGATGGTGTCATTCAAGATCGCTTCTCTGCTTCATTGAGCAAAATCCCGGACCTCGAACGATTGATCTCACGCGTCCACGCGGGTCGCTGCAAACCAAGCGATTTCATTCGTGTACTTGAAGGCTTTGAGCAGATCGAATACACCATGGGACTGCTTAACTCTTTTGGTCAAGGTGAGGGTGTCATTGGCCAACTCATCTCGGCGATGCCAGATCTCTCTGGCAAGCTTGAACCTTGGGCTGAAGCATTCGATCGCAAGACCGCACGTGATGAGGGCATTCTCGTGCCAGAACCTGGTGTGGAGGAAGACTTTGACGACAGCCAGGCAGCGATCGACCGTTGCATTAAGGATCTCGATAAGCTACTTAACCAGGCACGCAAAGACCTGGGCTCTAGCTCAATACGCTTCAAGGACATTGGTAAAGAGATATACCAACTGGAAGTTCCAGCAAAGGTCAAAAATGTCCCTAAGACCTGGGCTAAGATGTCCGGCACTGCTGCAGTCAACAGATACTATAGCCCAGACCTTCGGAAACTAGTACGAAAGCTACAAGAGGCACAGGAGACACACGCCCAGGTAGTAAAGGAAGTTTCCTCGCGCTTCTACACTCGTTTCGACCAGGACTATGCGACTTGGCTCGCAGCTGTCAAGATCGTTGCACAATTAGACTGCCTCATCTCACTTGCCAAAGCATCTGCAACACTCGGTGAACCGAGCTGCCGCCCAACATTCGTGGAGGACCAAAAGGCAGTCTTGGAACTCGAGGACTTACGACATCCCTGCATGTTGAATACTGTGTCGGATTTCATTCCCAATACGATCAATCTTGGCGGTAGTCAGGCAAATATTTCCCTCCTTACAGGCGCCAACGCGGCCGGTAAATCAACCATATTACGGCAAACCTGTGTCGCCGTCATCTTGGCTCAGATCGGCTGTTATCTCCCTTGTTCATATGCTCGTCTGACGCCTATCGACCGTATAATGTCTAGGCTGGGAGCCAATGACAATATCTTTGCCGCCCAATCTACATTTTTCGTTGAGTTGAGCGAGACTCAAAAGATCCTGTCTGAAGCCACACCTCGATCACTGGTCATATTGGACGAGCTTGGCCGTGGGACATCATCCTATGATGGTGTTGCTGTTGCTCAGGCTGTGCTTCATCACATTGCCTCCCATATTGGCTGCATTGGGTTCTTCGCAACACATTACCACTCTTTGGCCTCTGAGTTCAGTGCGCATCCTGAAATCAAACCGCAGCGTATGCGTATCCGTGTAGACGAGAAAGACCGCCGTGTCACATTTTTGTACAAGCTTGAGTCAGGTGTCGCCGAGGGTAGCTTCGGAATGCACTGTGCGGCTATGTGTGGCATCCCAAACAGTGTGATTGAAAAGGCAGAGGTGGCCGCCAAGGAGTGGGAGCACACTAGTCGACTGAAGGAGGCGCTCGATAACGCGAAAGGAATGGGTGGAAGCTGGCTGCCCATGGGAATGCTCAGTGATGTATCATGGATCCTTAGAGAGGGCGTGACGGAAAGCGAAGATGGCGTTGCTGAGCGTGGGCTTGATGTCCTCAGACGCGGTATCGAGGCTCTGTAAAGGGATACTGGTACTGTCCAATGACTATAAATGTATGGTCGAGGAGTAATATTGTTTTGATAATCTCGGACCTCCAAGGTATTGTAAGAATTATGTTCTGCTCCTTTCTTCTTATTATTTACGGCGTGTGTTCCTCTGAACTTCTAGTATGGTCGCACTCACGTAAGTAGTAGAACCTACCACACTGTTGACAAGCTGGGGTAAATACCCTAAAATAGGTAGGCGCAGTCTGCGCGGCTACCTATCGCGCATGTGGGGCGATCCCTGTAATAGGTGGAGCATTGGCACTGTCAACCGTTCCAAGTCTCGGCTTCTATCGGCATGAACTCCGACTGCTTGAGTAGTCAAGTTACCCCGTGTATCTCACTCGTATTCATAGATGCAACAGACAGTTTTAAACTCAGTTGCTGTCATCGCCATTCTCTACGATCATGATTAGCGATTTCTTCCAGCACAGGCGCGATTGGTGTGTACCTAACCCCAGCCAGACGATACCAGCTCCAAACTTACATCCAGAAGCAAGCGCAAGCAGATCGAGCGATCATCGAAGATCACAAGCCTGCCGTCCACATACACTGGGTCTCTGAACCCTTCGGAGCGTAGTATCCTTGGGAAGCCCATACAGGATCTGGTCCAAGATGTGCATAAGAATATCACAAGTCCTATTGATGTGTTGAGGACATACGGGAAGGTCGCAATCAAGGCACAAGAGAGAACAAACTGTTTGACGGAAATATGTTTCCTTGAGGCAGAAGAGTGGTTGAAGAACAATGACATCAACCTGAAAGGGCCATTGGCTGGAATACCAGTGTCACTCAAGGATTCCATTGCTGTAGGAGGCTTTGACGTGTCCGTAGGATACTCTTGCAACACCGGAAAACCGTATGAGAAAGATGGTATATTAGTACAGATCCTGAAAGATGCAGGTATGCTCGCATTGCTTGGACTATGGTTCATGCCTGATGAATCGCAGGTGCCATCCCGTTTGTGAAAACTAACCTCCCAGTAACTCTGTTGTCCTTCGAATCTACAAATGATGTCAGCCACCGTAGTCATAGGCAGTGATTGATTGCTAATACCTCTATATAGGTTTGGGGAAGGACCACAAACCCGCACAATAAAAACTACTCACCAGGCGGTTCTACTGGCGGGGAATCTGCTCTCCTAGCATTTGGCGGCAGCCGAATCGGTATTGGATCCGATGTGGCTGGCTCTGTTCGAGCTCCTGCACACTTCTCCGGCTGTTACTCGCTACGATGCTCCACTGGACGTTGGCCGAAGCAAGGTGTCAATACGAGTATGCCAGGCCAAGAGGGAATTCCCAGCGTATTCAGCCCGATGGCACGAACACTCAATGACCTGTTCTATTTTACAAAGAGCTTCATTTCTATGAAACCCTGGTTGTATGACCATTCTGTACACCCCATGGAATGGAGGGACCAGATGGAGACTGACTGGAAGCTGAAGTCGAAGCTGAGAATTGGCGTCATGAGAGATGATGGCGTTGTTACTCCATCTCCGGCATGCGCTCGTGCTCTTGAGCAGGCCGTAACGGCGCTAAAATCCGAAGGTCATGAAGTGTTTGACGTTTCACCACCATCACCTTACGAGGCTCTTCTCATCGCATCCCAGGTGCTCAACGCAGATGGCTGCCGGACCTTCGCCTCCTACTTCCGCACTGGTGAGTGGATGGACTCAGGGGCCAAACAGATGTACTCTTTGATGCGGATGTTCACCCCAGTCCGCTGGCTTTACACCCTCTGGGTACGGTATGTTCAGAGAGATCCTATTTGGGCCGGCTTGGTTGAGGGTTGGTATGAGCGGAGCGCCTTCGAGCAATGGAAGCTAGTGGCAAAGCGAGAAGCATATAAGGCCAAATGGCATGACTGGTGGCAGAACGAGGCTAAGATGGACATCCTTCTCACTCCACCAAATGCCACTCCCGCTGTGCCGCATGATGGTATGCATGATGCAGTCAGTAGCTGTGGATATACCTTCCTCTTCAATCTCGTGAGTGGAACTGGGCCGCCCCTCGTCATGATCGGACTAACAAGGCATAGCTCGATTACACTTGTGGGATCATACCTGTCACACATGTTGACGCGAAGCTAGATCAGCTCCCAGCTAGCTTTAATTCGAAGAAGTTGAATGGTGTAGCGCGCGGGGCATACAAGCACTATGATGCTACGAAGATGGAGGGTCTCCCAGTGGCTATACAGGTTGTAGGTCAGAGACTAGAAGAGGAGAAGGTACTATCAGTCATGGAGAGGATTGAGCTTGCATTGGATGCTCGAGGGGAGAAGTATCAGTTATTGGAAATTGATTGAACTAATTGGAATGAATGATCAACCTAATATCTAGTCGCTATAACGCCGTTGCATCCCTATAGCCTGGTTGTATGATTGGTAAGTAAATTGTGCTCTTCGTGCTTTCGCTGGACGCTTAAGTAATGATTTCCACATCTTCGAAACGACCTGCCAAAGAAATTTCTACACCCTACTCGGTTAAGTCGATTACCATACGTGGACCAGCATTGATGCTGCCAGGTAGTAATTCACTCTGAGGGACATGGTACTCATATGGGTAACCGTCTGGACTCTGAATGCCACTTTTGCGTAGGGCTATGAGCCGCGTCATACAGTCATAGAGAAACCTCGGTGGCAGGCTGCTGTCGCTCTCCCAATCCATATCTGTGTGTGCCAGACCCACAACCCACTGCTCGACCACAAGCTTCCTGAGAGGCAGACTAGTCGGAGTCTCCTTGTAGATTCGATTGACAATGTTCGCATTGGGCACGTATTAGAGCGGGCGCTGTAGGCGCAGATTTCCTCAACGACTTTATCCATGAAATCCTTGACTTTGAGCTTCCATCCGAGTAGGTACAGGTCTAATAGGAGGCCGAAGGCGCTATCAGCCGATGGAGATGACGGGGTATACTTCAAGGTCCCATGGTATGACCATGCGATCCAAATCGCGAATAAGACTGGGTTGGCGTAGTATTTGAGGTCGCTGACGCCCGAGTCCGCAGCTGCGGCGAGTAGGTTATGGAGAGTGGGAGACTTTTCACAGAGTTGACCAGCGTGAGCCTGAAACACTCTCGTTTCTCCAGAGGTTCCCGTGATGATGAGATTGACAATTGGAGTCAGTATGTTACTGCATGTGTTAGACGTGGCACGAAGGGCTCAAGCAGTAGATGACTCACTCCGTACGTGTTGAAGATCCTGAATCTTGATGTGCCTGATTAGGGATCGACTTGTGTTTGCCATTGTGCTTTGAAACACGGTTTGTGCGATTGTTAGGTGCCAATGGCGAGCTTGGGGATGAGGTGCCTCGATTGGACATAGAACTGAGATTGAGATCCCGAACTGTTCCCTTTGATGGAGTTCGAGGCGATGACATCTCACCAGTATTTGAGATGTGGTCGTGAAGGAGGTATGTTCGATAGATCTATGAGGGAGGTATAACGGGAAACCGTCTTAAGTACTTGAGTTGTCAAAAGGCGAGAGTCGAAGTCACGCTTATGCTTGTTTCATGTGAAGCATTTAGGAATGCTTCAAAATCTCCTTGAAGTGAATACGGGTAGTTCAGCATGCTGACAGTTCAGTTACAGATTCCTGACCGGAGGCGCTTTCAGAATCCAGATGAGAGTGGAGACCATAGTGAGCCCTCAGGTCTATTAATTTATACTAAACCATAGTCATCTCAATATCGCCTACTTGTCGTAATCTAGATATTTTAACTCATTATTCATTAAATTGTAGGAAAGCGGTCTTGAACAATTCATGTTCGTCTGTTCTCCCATGCTTTCTAGCTGACCTTTCTTTTCTTTTGAGTAGATCATGACTCAATCATACTAGAAACTTGAACTAGCCAAACAGTGGGAGATAAAATAGAAATACTTCATACTCATTAAACTTTTGCCTTGACTTCAGCGTTTAACATCAATGCATGTAGACCCTGAAATGGTAGCCCCGAGACTTTACCGGTTGTCAGGGACAACCAACCTGCAAGCAACAGCAACCATAACATTAGCGTTAGTGCAGAACCATAGATGAAATCACGTTAGACGTTCGACCTGCTCACTCTTAATCTACACATATGCACAGGTAGGGATATCTTCGCATATTTGCCCTTTGCATTCGTTTGTTTATACTACGTTCTCTTTACCGTAACGATGGCCGCCTCCGACGGCGCGTCCTCGATCAACGTCACTGTTCGAGTGCGACCTTTCACGATCAGAGAAGCGGCGCAACTGGCGAAGGCTGAAGATGGCCACCTATTCCTTGGAGATGGCTCGTTGGCGGGTGTCCCCTCGCGAACAGCAGGCAAAGGACTGCGACCAGTGATTAAAGTGGTGGATGAGAAATGCCTGTACGTCTATCGATGGACAATATTATGTCGCCAATCTAATCATATGTTACAGCGTCTTCGACCCTCCAGAGGATAACCCTGTACATCGCTTCACCCGTTCATTCGTACCTCAGGGAAAGCGTGTGAAAGATCAAACATTCGCATTCGACCGTGTTTTCGACGAGAATACAACGCAACAAGATGTATACGAAGCTACAACGAAGAACCTACTGGATAGCGTACTCGATGGATACAATGCCACTGTATTTGCATATGGCGCGACTGGATGCGGAAAGACACACACAATCACGTACGAGATCGATCTCATGCCACACTGAAGAAGAGTGCTAATGAAACTAGTGGCATCAAGACAGATCCAGGAATCATTTTTCTCACCATGCAAGAGCTTTTCGAGAAGGTTCAGGAATTGCAAGAAGAGAAATTTGTCGAAGTTTCTCTCTCCTACCTCGAGATCTACAATGAAACTATTCGCGATTTACTAGTACCCGGGGGCAGTAAGCAAGGACTTATGTTGCGAGAAGACGCGCACCAGGCTGTCTCAGTCGCGGGATTGTCTAGTCATAGACCTCAAAACGTATGCACAGAAAGGATCGATGCATGATTGCATGTACTAACAATGCTTCAGGTCGAAGAAGTCATGGAAATGATTGTGCGTGGAAATGAGTATCGAACAATGTCACCAACCGAAGCGAATGCGACGTCTTCTCGTTCCCACGCCGTTCTACAAATTAATCTATCAAGCAAAGACCGGAACGCTGATGTCAACGAACCTCATACTATGGCGACCTTAAGCATCATTGATCTTGCTGGGAGTGAGAGGGCGAGCGCAACGAAAAACCGCGGCGAACGGCTCATAGAAGGTGCCAATATCAACAAATCATTGCTAGCACTGGGAGGCTGCATCAATGCTCTATGCGACCCAAGGAAACGCAATCACGTACCATATAGAAATTCAAAGCTCACACGGCTGCTGAAGTTCTCCTTAGGCGGAAACTGCAAGACAGTCATGATTGTCTGCGTGAGCCCATCGAGCGCTCACTTTGACGAGACACAAAACACCCTCCGATACGCAAACAGAGCCAAGAACATTCAAACGAAGGTAACAAAGAACGTATTCAATGTCAATCGTCACGTCAAGGACTATCTTAAAAAGATCGACGAGCAACGACTTTTGATCGAGGAACTGAGAGCTAAAGAAAAGGATTTTGAGAGCAGCGCATTTGTCAAATTCAAGAAACTTAGCGAGAAGCGAGAGATCATTGCTAAAGAAGCCATCTCACGCGTGCGCGCCGCATACGATTTCGCATCTGCCGAACGGCAAGAACACGTGTCAATGCGAAAGAAGCTCCGTCAATTGGAGCGCCGTATCTCTTTGATTTCCTCATGGATTGCTGCTTTCGATACGGTATGCGACAATCGAGAGGATGAGGAACCCCCAGCTGGTCTCACGGCCATGAGGAAAAAAGCTCTCGGCATTCAGATGGAACTTGAAGGTAGCAGGCAACATTACCATCAACTGCTGGCGAAAAACAACTGGGAGCGAGCATTAGACACCGCACTGCAGACAGGGGTTCGGCAGCTACAGGATGCGGACGGTACTGAAGATGGAAGTGATATCTCGAATTTGACTCGCGAGGTAGAGCTGCTAAAGTCAAATGCCGAGCGCGAGGCTGCAACAGCTGTTCTTGAACAAGAAAGGGGTGGTGACGCTGCAGTGCTTCAAGTGCAGCTTCAGGCACAGTTCGAGACTATTGCTATCCTCTCACAAATCATGATGATGGATCCGGAGGATGCTATACAGGCAGCGAAGGAAAACCTTGAGAAGCTTATTTCGTCTTGCTCAAGCGCCACATCGCAGGTCATCAAACCGGAGGGCGGTCTGCCTGTCACCGACATATTCCCACCAAGACGACAAGGGACGCCGAAGAGAAAGAAGCCCGTAAATTTGGTTGGACCTTCTCCTGTTCATTTCATTGCAAAGCCATCTTTCACAGAAACTGTGCAGCCGATATCTTCTCCAATGAAAGGATCTCCTCGCCGGCGAAAGTTAAACTCAGGTAAGAAAGGGGTACAATTTACGCCGAAGAAGAAGTCTCCCTCAAAGGTCAAGAGGGCTGTCAGATGGCGAGATGACATGGAAGATGGTAGTTTGGCAGACTTCCAGCTGACTCCGAAAGCATACGGGTCTTCGTCTGCAACATCCTCCATCGAGAAACCAATCCCGGCTCCTCCAGTTTTGCAGATGGAATCGGCCACCAGTGACAACGACTCTTCCCCGATACCTGCACCACCAGAAACGTCTGTTGAATTGAAACCACGCTCCAGTCGCTTTCAAACAGGTTTCCTGTCGAAGAAGTCTGAGACCTCCCCCCCGGTCACTGCTCCTGCTCTTACTGCATTCTCATCAGATTCTGAGCACTCGCCACTCGGTGAGATCCAACTGAATAAGGTCCCTTTCCGCTCTCCACTACACGCCGTGGAGAATGCATCAACTGACGTTACACCGAACGAGAGCTCTGGCTCCTCTTCAGACGAAGAGCGGAGCTGGATGGCGGACCCCAATAATACACAGAAGATCCGGTCAGCAATCAAGCGACAGTCCATGACTGGTCCAGCTTTGAAACAGCGACGACGAAGCCCTCCGGGAGCCTCATCCGGAAGTCCACCAAACGAAAATGCACTTTTCACCGCTGGCCAAGCCCGGCGAATGGTCAAAAGTGAACGAGAATCCGTGTCTAACGTACTAAGTCCACGGCCTGGTGCTATTGTCAAGGGTCCAATCCGTCGAACCACCGTGGGAGAAGATAAATCCCGAGAGGGCTCCGCCCTGCGAACTGGTCCGATGCGTCACAGCAGCATTACTGCTTCCTCTACTCCCCGCGGGAGTCTATCAAGTGTCAAAGGGGCATGGCGCTAAGCTTTTTTCATGACTGATGCCTCTTTCCGGTGACGAAATTTCTTGCTTCAATTGTGCGGCTTTCTTGGCGTTTCGGCCAACTGCTACTTTATAGTTGATGGTGTTCTGAATACGAGTTGGGTCTTGGGTGATCAACTTAAGCATTAGCATCACTGTTCGGTGTTTTGGCGTAGTCTAATGATTCAAAATTTTCAATACGGAATTAACATAGCGGTTGACCTCGCGTACGTATTAAAGGAGAGAAATGACTGCATATTATCTATCCTTTGCGCTGAGTATGAATTATCTCACAATTCTTCGGTCGTTTCACAAGGTCGATCTCTCTGCCCCTGGTGTCTCATCTATCTTGAATACGTACTTGACGGCACTCGCCACTCCGTTTTTAAGGTTCGTCAGTCCCTTCTCGACTCCACTGATACCACCAGGGATGACTTCATGAGGATGTGGCTTGAACCAGCCGTCCTTTAAGCCTTGTCCAATTAATCGAAAGTAAACATACCCATGGTCCTTCGCATCCTTATGCACACAGCCCACACTCGTAGTGTGCTTGTTGATATACTCCGGGATCTCCTTGTAGTCTTTTCCAGGTAGAACGAGCGCGATATGCCCTCCTTTCTCAAGAACCTTACTTGCATTCTCATACGAGCCCTTCTCCGACACTGCATCAAAGCAGTACCCCAGTTTCTGACCCTTCAAAGCGTTCACCACCCCTTCAACAACCGCATCATCTCCATCCCGATAATCTACCACCGCATCACCCTTCGACTTATCAAGCAGGCCTTCCACGAACGCAATCCCCCGCCCCGCAACCGCAATTATCGGATGAATATTCGACCTGACGGCAAACTGAATCGCAAATGCCCCGACGGCCGACGCACCCCCGTACACCAACAACGGCGTCACCTCTGTCGTCGGCCTGAACGGCGGCGCCAACCCCAGATCCAGATACAGCCCACACGCACTCGTCATCGCCGCCAGCGGCAGCGTCGCCGCCTCCTCGAATCGGACATGCGCCGGAATATGGAACGTCGTATGGGCCCACGCGATCGCGTACTCAGCAAAGCTGCCATGCGGCGTCAGCATCTCGTGGAACGCGGCGACGCGATCGCCTGGCTTGAATTCTGTGACGTTGGACCCAACAGCTGCGATCGTGCCGGCGATGTCGTCGCCTTGGTTCATGATGCCGGGCTCGCCGAACCATTCCGGGATTTTCCAGTCTTTGGGGTTGGAGCCGGAGTAGATTACTTTGATGAGGACTTGGTCTGCGGATGGGGTTGGGATGGGCGAGTCGATTATCTTGACTGATGGGCCGGGGTGGATGATTCCTGGGTGGGTGAATGTGTTAGTATGGAACGTGCCTTTTTTAGGGGGGTTTACAAGGGTGCTTTTGAAGTGTTTGTACCTTCTTTCATGTTGGAGGTTTGATCTGGTGATATTGATGGTTTCGGGTTTCGATGTGGTGGATGAATGGGGAGTGCGGTATCTGTTGGTAGGATGGATTCTTGATGTATACTGATTGGTGAACTTGTTCGCGTCACCTTATCTGTTATGTTGGAAACATAATGTATTAATAATTCTTCAGTGAGGGGCACCTCGGTTGGAGGTAGGGAGAGGCACGTTGGGATCCGTAAGGACCCTCACTTTTTACAAGGGTTTTACCATGTTTTCCACCTAGTACTGCCAGGGGATCTTTGTGGAACGTATCATCTCCTTATACTCAATCCGTTTCGTTGTTTGGCCTGATTCATGATGCTCAATGTGGTCTCGAAGTGAAAGGGTCAACTAACGATCACCGACCTCATGAGATCAGTCTCGGCACATCTGGGCTGACGGCATTGGATCAGAAAAGGATTCGAGATATTTTCTTTGAACGACAATCGGTAGTGATAAACAATAATACTACAACGTATAAAACATATTGGAACTTTCCTATGGGTTATAGTTTTTCATTAATTCAATATGCTTCTAGCAGATAACGCTACTCCTATGATGAGAGCGGTGGGAATTTACGTAGAATATGGCTTGGACACTCATACCCACCCGGATTGACATCCAGGTATTTCTGATGATAAGTCTCCGCATCATACCATGGCCCAGCTGGTAGAATCTCTGTAGAAACCTTGTTATTCCACCATTCACTGTTGACCTTCTTCGTTATCTCGCGCGCCTCCTTCTCTTGCTCAGCATCGTGGTAGAAAATGGCGCTCCTGTACTGTGATCCAACGTCTGGACCTTGACGGTTCGTCGTCGTTGGGTCGTGCATCTTATAGAAGAATTCCAATATGGTGCGATACGAGAGCTTGGTGGGGTCATATATCACTTGTAGTGCTTCTGCGTGTCCGGTGCTGCCGCTGCAGACTGCGCGATAGGATGGGTTTTCCGTATTGCCGCCGATATAGCCGACACGTGCGTCAATGAGACCTTTGTCGGCGAAGGTATGACGGTACATGTGCTCTACTCCCCAGAAACAGCCTGCTGCGAGCGTCGCCTGCTTACTGCCCGCTGGCTGGTTCGCCGGGCCAGAACTCTCGGGGGCAACTCTCATGGTGCTTGAAGTGAACGGACGTGTGAAGCGAGCGAACAGAGACGACATGTTGAGAGACATGAGGATAGGAATCAGGAAAAACGCAAAAGTACTGAAGATTGTTCGACTAGGACGTATGGTGGCGGTTTCAAGAGATCTGTGAGAACGTCCGATACTGGGTGGAGACTCGATATGGGTGAAGCTGTGTATTAAAGTGCCTTTTACTGAGCGGTCCTGTAGCCAATGAGTGCTATGATTCTCGAAGATACGATGGCGAATGTGGAATCTCACAATGATTTGAGATGAATGGCGCGCTAGTGACTGACATCACATCATTGATATGCACGGACCAGCTCAGGGACAGCTGGGAGCGTACGCTGGAAAGCGGGGGCGCGCCTTGGCTAGGATTACTAGCCACACTGCAGCCATACTGTGGCTTGACATAACGTAATATCATGTATGCAATCTCATCTGGAACATGCTTGATGCGTTCATTCTAAGGAAAGTTATCCAAGCGGCTATACGAAAGAGAGAAAAGACTTTGTATTCGACGCTTCGCCCCAATCACAGGTGTTTTGCTACAGGATGCAAATGACCATCGAAATGATGGCGATGAGCCAAGCACTTCCACTGCTTGGTTTATTTGTGGCCAGAGGGCATGTCAAATGATCTTCTGAGTACCTTTAAATTTTCCCAGGTGCTTTTAAGGACTGATTCTATTGATTCCATGTCACCTCAGAAGCTGTATGTAGTCTGGCTAGCGAGACGAGGCGCTGGTAAGGACCTGTGAGTTTGACATGGGTAGAGGAGAACACATTGTCCGGGTCGTCGAGAACATAGAGTGGGTAGAATCGACTTACAAAAACATCTTGGTAGTGCGCCCTTCGATTTCAAATTTCATGTGTCGTGTGATACTCTCTACTGTTTCTGGCGATCTGCTCTTCGAACGCCATATTGAGGATATATGTACCTAGTCCGTGTGAAACGCTAAATGCCTATCAATGCACCCAAGACATATCTCCTACACAATCCATTCCTGCTCATTATGAGTCGTCGCCGTAAACTTCATCATACGTCTGCAACACCACATCCCACTTATACTTCTGCTCGTTCTCGGTCATCTGACTTTCATCTCCCCACTTGAAAGCGACAACCATACCCTCTTTCAAACCTGCAAGCTTGATACTCTCTTTTCCCTTGCTCTCTTCACCTTCCTCGATCCGTATCCAACCCAGGGCGTAATCGTTCCTGTCCTTCGGCTTGCCAAGTGTGATTTGCTCCGGCGACGTTGGGAGGGGACGGCCAGCAAGCGTGTCCGAAGGAGTTGTTTCGCGTAGTGCGGTTATGAGGTCGGTTTTAAGTTCGGCGAGGGATTGAAGTGGTGAGGCATAGAGGAAGACGGTGGTACGGTGGTGCTTCAGGCGGAGTGTGAGAGTTTCTGTTGTTGGAACGGCGGGTGCCATTGTGATACTGCTGTGGCTTCTGAACTGGTCGCGTGGATCGAGAAGAGGTCGAGGGTTCGTGTGGGCCACAGATTGTATCCAGCTACGTTCGTGAACCGAGAAGACATGCAGAACACAAAGACGCGTGTAAACATAGATTGTAATTCGTGACCGTGCCGTAGCAAATATCTAGAAGTTGTAGCCTAATTAGTGACGGGTGCAGCGGAGGAGCCCAGCGGAGCCCGTGTCGCTGTCTCGAACTCTTGGCGCGTGCGGCGGCGCTCTTGTCACTCCCGTGCAGCAGGAAACACGCACGACTCGGTCCTTCTCCTCAAGCCACTAAACTCAGATATAGCTGCATTCATTTACTCTTCAGATCTTCGCCCGCGATAATGAGTAACTCAGATCAACCTCCTTGGCGGTCACGACCCCCACACAGACCACCGCAGTCCGCAAAGCCAAATCCCACCATTCCGGCGAAGCGTACTATCGACTCGCAAGAACAGGCCTGGGTGGCAGGAGAAGATCGCTTCGTATTACAACAAGCAAAGAGGAAGGCCGCAATACGCGTCAAAAATGGTCGGTCACGCCCAATCGACCGACTCGCGGTGACCTTACGACTGGTTGACAGAGTCACGAACCCTCTGGACGAAGATGAAGATGATGAGGAGCTGGATGTCGAGGATCCGACAGGCACAATCGAAAATCTGGACAATACCGAACTTGTTGAGCTGGAGAAAGAGATTGACACGTACATCACGCTGGAAACAAGCGCCAGTAACCTGGAATATTGGAGAGCTATGAAAGCTATCTGCGCTGACAGGCAAAGGAAATGCTCAGCACACAACTCTAGTGCTCGAGGTGTGCAGTCAGTTTCTGCCGATGTCGATAAGATCCTGGGCCCAAAATCGTATGAACAGCTAGTTGCCTTAGAGAAGCAGATACGAGCGAAATTGGGCTCCGGTGAACCAATCGATGTGGATTATTGGGAACATCTTTTGGCGAGTCTGATAGTCTGGAAAGCCAAAGCTAAGCTGAAGAAGGTCTCCCAGGCGGTCATAAGCAATCGTCTAAACAAGACCCGGAAGCTACAGGAAGAAGATGCCATAGCTGCGCAGCAAAGGATGAGAGTTATCATCGGCAGTAGATGTTCCTCAGCTGCGGATGGATCGGGTCTTGACCCCGAGCCTTTCTTGAAGCTAAGACAAGAAGACAAGTGCTTGGAGACGATGGATGAAAAGACATTTCTAGACACCGTGACATGCGAGAGGCAGAAGATCTTGAAATTGGGTTATGTTCCATTGAAGCAGCGTGACTCGAAAGCTTTGGTTTCCGCATCGTCTATGAAACCGCCGGAATCGACGGATTTTGCTGGCCCTGGTCGTTTCGCAACAACGAAGACTGACGATTTCTCTCGGGCTGCGACAGTACTGTACGAGCGTGAGGTGGCTAGAGGCGTAAGCGAGAATGAGGAAATATTCGCTGGCGAGGAAGAAGTATCAACGGCAAAGAAGTCACAATGGGAAGACAAGTATCGACCCCGCAAGCCGAGATATTTCAACCGGGTGCAGATGGGCTACGAATGGAACAAATACAACCAAACGCATTACGACCACGATAATCCACCTCCAAAAGTGGTTCAGGGATATAAGTTTAACGTCTTCTATCCTGATCTTATTGATCAGACAAAGGCGCCCACCTATCGGATCGAACGCGAGAATGGTAGAAAACGCGGAGAGTCTTTTGCCCCTGCAGGTGAAGAAGATACCTGTATCATCCGTTTCGTCGCAGGTCCGCCGTACGAAGACATTGCTTTCCGTATCGTGGACAAGGAATGGGACTACAGTTCCAAGAGCGATCGAGGCTTTAAAAGCAAGTTTGAAGACGTAAGTATCTCTCACCACGAGCCGTTCGGTTCGCGCTGTCGTGGAACCACACTGACAGCTTTTGTGCACAGGGTATCCTGAACCTGCACTTTCAGTTTAAAAAGGTAAGTCTGGCAGTTTCCCATTTGTGCATTGTGACTGCTGACGTTTGGACAGATATTCTACCGCAAATGAGTGGGTGGGGTCCACAACGCCTATCAATCTCATACGCTTCACCGCCATTACTTTGCGCTCATGTTTTCCTCGTAGACGTTTCCTGCAGCTCCGTATGTTTTGTGGTAGTCTCAACCAATGCGCAATCAAACTCGCAGCGTCATGACAACAGAAATGCTTTGCCAGTACAGTACAGTCGTCGCAAGGCGAACGGTCTTTGTTCCAAGTGGCGCACCAGACGAATGCGATCATCGGGCACGAATCGCAGCTCGCATGTATACCCTGCGCACGTTCAAACAAAGTATTAGTGTTGAAAGGCCGTGAAGATGGCAGAAATTCGCCTGCGCCACGTCCTTTTCCCATGCTCCCGCCCCGATTGTCAACTTACAGTTTAGGAAATCAAAAACAGACATACATAGGCTCGGCCAATTTGCGGTCGCAAATGCCTGTGTACATGTACAGACACCTGGGACCTGTGACCCCAAGGCTTGGAAGCCTCACCAACACCAGCTCTGCCTGAGACGACATAGCGGTCGCCGCGATGGTACCTTACGCTCTCTGGCATGGCTCCACACACGACTGCATAGAAGAACATTTGATACCCAATACAGGAGACAGAGGGGACCAGCTATCCCGGCATGCGAGGCTGCAGTTTGTGGGAAGGGTGTCAGCGTCAGTATCTGCAGGCTGCCGCTCAACCCTGGTCTCCGGCCGGGTCTCCGGCCCTGTCACTGGTTTCTTCACTTCGCCCGTACGACTGATTCAAGAACACCACGAGATGCCTTGCCTATCCTTTTCTCGCCATGTTTCCAGGGCGGCATGGCCTTGACCCCACCCTCCCCCGTTCGATGCCGCTTAGACTTATTGTTCTGCTCAGGAATTGTCATACCTAACATTTACCGCGCTCGGACCCGGTAGTCTCCTCTGGAGCATGTTTGCTATCAAAATGCACGCCCATGCTGTAGGACTTGTCTCCTTTCATGCGCTGGCAAGCAGCTTGCCGCAATCTGACCTTCTTTCAAGACCCCCGATAGGGCTGCCGCTCCATTTTGTAGAAATTCAGCGGCTTCCCCGGCTTCGGATTGCAATACTACACTGAGCCTTCTGTTCAACGTCGACTGATATCACCCGTGCCGTTGCCGTGTCACCAGCCTGTTGGCATACTGTCTAGCCTTTTCATCTCTACCTGTCAATTCCGCTCAAATCGCCGGATAGTACACCTGTCATGTCCTATTCAGGACCGGATTCCAACAACAGCACCATGCTTCCGTCTCGAAACGCCGACGAGGAGAGGACTGGGCCTTCATATCCAACGTCCAGCTCAAGACCCTCCATCACTGCCTATCCGCAAACACTCTCAGATCTGCCACCTGAGCCTTCCTACATGAACACTCAACATCCCAACTGGCCTCGCTCGCACTTATTGTCCAGCTCAATGTCAGACCAGAACGCTTATTACACTTTTCCTGAGACTCATAACGCCTTCGGAGCATCGTCCATGTTTCATGGTCTTTCTCAATACCCACATATCGACCCAAACGGCGATTCTGCACGTCCCCGTTCGTGTTCCTACTTTGACGTGCCAACAATGTCCGCTGTTCCCTCAGATTTTTACATTGACCGGAAGCCCATGCTTGCCGATCAAGTAGGAGAAGTCCATGCTCAGCATTCTGTGGAGCTTGGAAATGACTATAGTTATGGTCAGGGCTACTATCCAAACGACATGTCGCAAGAAAGGAGCTATCACGGCTACCCTTGTAACTACCAAGCTGCGGTGAACTCGAACGAGTGTAGAGGTCTCACACTCGACAACAGACTCAGCGAAGAGCCCAAGAAAGACGTTGCGGGTCAGGATAAAGATGAGCCGTACGCCAAGCTCATCTACAGAGCCCTCATCGATGCACCAGACCACCAGATGGTGCTCCGCGACATCTACGAGTGGTTCCAGTTACACACCGACAAGGCCCAAGATGCGGACGCTAAAGGCTGGCAGAATAGTATTCGTCACAATCTGTCCATGAATGGAGTAAGTGTCAACAATAAGCATAGTGATAACAATTACTGATCCTTCAAAGGCTTTCCAGAAGGTTGATAACCCAGAGACTGGCGATTCGAGCAAGAAGGGTTTCCTATGGAGACTCACTCAGGAAGCGATCAACGATGGTGGTGTCAAGTCAACGACCCGCTATAGATCCAAACAGCCACAGAAGCGACGAGGTGGCGGCACGCTCCAACGCCTTGCATCTGAGTCGAGAAACACCTACGACCCAAGACGTTCGACCAGACGCCTCCAGTCTCCATTTTCATCTCCAATTCGTCCAGTGAACTTAACCGCCTACCACAGCGAAGAGCAGTCCATAGATATGCCACAATACTTCGCTGATCCTACATATTACGACCCTTATACAGAGACTTCCACGCCAGCAATGCACCAAATGCTCATCAAGCGAGACCAACAGCCACTGTTCACCGCGTCCATGTCGGTACCAACCAGTAATTACGCAAGTTTACCAATCACACCGCCACTTGTGCCAAGCTATTTTACATCAGATCTATCTTCGAATGGTGTAAACTTGACGACACCCGCCACGCCTTCAGACATGGCAGAAGCGTCGTGCCCGAGCACACCTGACCTACTGAGTTATCCAACGGGACAAATGGGAGCATTCTTTCACCTCATGCGTCATCCGCAGAGCGACCAGGTTTTTGGCAGCTCAGATTCTGGTGACGAAGGCCCACCCACTCCAGAAGAGGTACAAGGTCTACTTCAGTTGCATGGCCACATACCGGAACAAGACGAGAAGTACTACGATTGTGCGCCGACTGGCAATACATGAAAATTATCTCGTCAGGTCGTGGCAGGTCACAGCCTTTTCCAGACTCTGTGCCTGGATCATATCCGATACGACATCTGATTTCATACCGCATATCGTTCAAAAGCGCGCAAATGCATAATGCTCGTATAAAGTATTTATTCACATCAACAAATCTCACGCCTTTGTCAATTTCGGTTTTTTCTCAATATGACACGATCAACAAGTTGGCCTTGCCTTTGGATGAGGGATATCCTTGTGGGCGTCAAGGGCTGGTGGCCAAGCCTTAAGAATCCATTCGCCCGACCGGGTGTACTTTACTATCTCTCTGTTGGACTTTCCTTCCACTGGCGGTATGCTCTCTTTATCTGTTCAATCTAGGGGTACAGGGAAACGTTCTCAACACTCAATCCATGCTCGTCCCAATGCAGCGAGGGCGTAGGCGGCGCAACTGTGGTGTCTTTGAATTAGCGGATGCATCTTTGCATGGAAGACCTTGTATGACAGCTGGTGTCTACTGCGCGCGTGATCTGTTCGCATACTACTCACGATTGTCAAATGGATGTATTATTGCATGTAAATGCTAGGAATGCTTGTTTCGCTCGCGAACTTCGGTGACCATCTGCACTGACCTGAACAGTACTGGGCGCATGCGCGCGTTGCATTAAAACGCCGACCTTGCAATGCATCGTCCGCTACCCAGGAGAGTCCGCAACAGGTACGACTGCCGACACGAATCAGATGTCGATCGAGGTATGTAGGTTCCAATCGAGGGGATGTCCCGAAAAGCTCCCTTCGGGGCGACGGTCCATGGCTTCTCCCATTTCCCGGGCCGTTACCAGGATGTTGAGTCGACAACTGTATCCTGGTACTCGTCCCAACAGGCCTCATAACGATCAATTCTGCTCGAACATATCAGATCAAGGCGGGACTCCAAGGACGTAGGAAAGGGTCGAAGGATTAGTGGACATGCAAGAGTGCGGAGTCAGAAGGTTTCAAGGCCTCTCAGCTGGTTTCTGTCGACATCTAAGAGGCTGACCGAGGTTACGAGATGGCGCAATGCCTCCACTTTGGTCGTACACTCCTTAAGTTGTGTTACATGCACTTCTGCTTTACCATGTCGTCTGAAGCGTCACATAGTATTTGCGTTGGCGAGTGATGTGCGCTTCTCGGCCCACTACGTCCTTCTCTTCTATGATGGACGTGCTTTCTCTGGTTGCAGTATTTTCAACATGTAGTCCCAACCCGATGGCATGGTAAGGTCCCGATTCCCGTAGAAGATCCTCTATGTGCCCGCGTCATGATGCAGGACCTGTGCGAGGATGATCATAAGCTGACAACTTGGCTCAGGGTTTTTTATTCCAAATCCCGACGATTCAATTGTGAGCAGGGACTACAAGCTGAATTCACACAGGGACAGACACTGATGGACCAATGGAGGCGTCGTCGCATATGCTTTTGTCAGTTCATCTCCAGAATTCTTCCTTGCGGCGACATGCATCAACCATGCACTTCTTCACGGGGAGTCACTCCTCCTTCCCCGACCCCAGCTGTGCGCCCAAGGCTGTGGCATTAAGTGGAGCCAAGTGAGAAACGCTCGGTTTCCTGTCAGAGTGTGGACAGATCTTCTCTTTCTCTCGGTGGAAGCTCCGCACCAACCAGGGCCCGGGCAGGGCTGGCATACTGTTACGGAGACATAAGAACAGCAAAACCTCGTCGAGAAATATGTGAGCTGACACCGGCCCCACAACCCCATCCCCATGCGGCATATTGAAGAATAACTACTGTCCAATCTGCAAGGCTTGCTGTATCTTAAAAAGGCTGCCCAACCGCCAAGGTGCCTCGACGCGAGTCCATACGCATCGAACTTATGCAGCCCGCGACCCAAGCGATCGTTGCGCTGTAGATAGGCCTAGCACGTTGTATGCTGTACTCCAGGATATGCCTTTTCACGGGGTACTTTTAAAATCCTATGTTGTGGCGAATATTCAACCTGCATGCTCTGCATACTGTTGGGCCCAGTTTTGAAGCAATGATGTTGCTGTCAGCCCCAAAAGGGAACTGCTCAGATATCAATTACTGTTCCTTCACTAAGTCTCCGCGGCTTTGATTTTCGAGCAGGTACGTTCCTCTCACCACAAGAGATACAGCTACTGGTTCAGCTGCGTTACAGGCTACAGAAGTCGATGCTTGACAGGCAACTGTTGTATCTAAAATTGTATATTATGCTACTCGCCGACTGTTTCCCGAAGGCCTTGAACCTACTACTTGTCATCTCAAAACAGACGTCCCTAGATCTTCAAATGTCTCGAACTTTCGTGGACATCTAGATCCGGGGACCATTCGTGGTCATCGCCGAGCTGATTCATTTCGCCGAAATCCATCCTGGCTTCTGTTTCCATGCGCCTGGATCTATACATGTCGCAGATCTAGTAACTTTCCAGGGAATGGTGTGTATTATAACTACTGCGCGAGCCTTGTACACTCGCACACGAGACGAGGGTTGCCAAATATCTCAAATCATTCACTCCATTCTGGCTACCCCCGGCGCGTAAAGCAACATTGCCGTGCATTCCGAATTGCACTGCCCGCCCCTCGTATGGAGGCATCATAGCTGCTCGCAACATGATTTGTCCCAAGTAGGACGCATTGATCCTCTTCTTTTGCCCTCAGAATGTATGCCAGTTGCCCCTCGCATGAGGTGTGTGTGCATCTCTGGCTTCAACTCATTTCTTCTGCTACTTAGGAGTAGCACACCACTCTGAAGCTTTCTGGAGGGTGGTAGATAATCTTTGTCCGTTAGAGATAATCCACCAATGCCAACGGGCGCGGATGTAAAATCTGCCGGAAGAGTTTCCGTTCCTCCCGTTCCTTCCTTCTTCTAAACCCAAAAGAGTTAGCGGGGCTCCTTAATGAGATGTTTGACCCTGCTTTCATCTGCTCACGAGAGGAAATTTCATTTGCAAGAGGAGAAAACAGCAGAACATGATCCGTAATTCTCCTCATATCATCACCAAATACACTGTGCTATCGTGATAATGTTAAGATGTGTCCTTCGCGCTATCAAGTCAACCATTACTGGACAGCACAGCCTTCCTGATCTGCTCCTATGATGCTCGGCCTTCACTCAATCTTGAGCCTGCTACTTTGCATCGAGATCGTCTTTGCAAAGCCTGAGGGTACCAGCCTTGTACCAAGAGAGGACTTGCTACTCCGGAGTCTGCGGCCAAACATAGCTGTTGGTCCAAAAAGTCTGGGCAAGCCGGTGCATTCGTCGCCTTCTAGGTCCAAGACATGCATTATCAAGAGCAAGGAAAATGGCAGCGATGATTCGACTGCAATTTTGAGCGCTTTCCAACAGTGCAACAACGGCGGTCATGTTGTGTTCACCAAGGGTGTGAAGTACACCATCGGCACAGCCTTAGACTTGACATTCTTGCGTCATGTCGATGTTGGTACGTCTCGCGAGCCTCGTTCTGCCGACGCAGTGTAACGCTTACCCTCATAGATATCCAGGGATATGTCCAGTTCACTAATGATACGGATTATTGGCAAGCCAACGCATTCAATCACACATTTCAAAACGCAACGACTTTCTTCCAGCTTGGCGGCGAGGATGTCAATGTTTTTGGAGGCGGCACAATTGACGGCAATGGACAGGTCTGGTATGATCTTTATGCCAGTAATATCTATATCCTTCGCCCTATCCTTTTCGGGACCATAGGGTTAAAGGGTGGTTCTATTGCTGATCTGAACCTCCGCTACTCGCCTCAGTGGTACAACCTCGTGGTTAACAGCTCTGATGTTGTCTTCTCCAATATTACCATATCTGGTGGCACTGTCAACAAGAATCCAGCCAAAAATACGGATGGTACGTGCGACTCTGAAACATTCCTGTCCATACCTCAAAGCTGATTGCCATCAGGCTGGGACACGTATCGAAGTGATAGTATTGTCATCCAGAACAGTAACATCGACAATGGCGACGACTGTGTCTCTTTCAAGCCCAATAGTACGAACGTGATTGTCCAGAATCTCATCTGTAATGGCTCTCATGGTATCTCTGTGGGCTCCTTGGGGCAGTACAAGGTATGCCGTGGCTAGTCTTTGGTTCGAGCAATATTCTAAGGGTGAGGCAACAGGGCGAGACCGACATCGTTAGGAACATATACGTCTGTGAGTGCCCAGATCGATTAGAGGATTGCGATTGAGCCCGATTCGACAACCTGAGCTAACATGCAACCCAGACAACATCACCATGACCAATTCTGGCACTGCAGCGCGCATCAAAGTCTGGCCTGGCGTATCATCCGCCCTCTCCGGTGACCTGCAAGGGGGCGGCGGGCTAGGCGCCGTCAGCAATGTTACGTACGAGAGAATGTCAATAGCCAACGTCGATTACGCAAGTAAGAACTTCGAAACACGTTGCCTCAAACCTCCCCACATACTAACGCGAAAGCAGTCGAGATCACGCAGTGCTACGGCCAGAAAAACCTCACGCTGTGCAACCAGTTCCCCTCCAACCTGACCATCTCAAATATATCCATGCATGACTTCTCTGGCAAGACAAGCAAGAAGTATGACCCGATCGTGGGTACACTGGTCTGCTCAAGCCCAAATGTGTGTAGTGATATCAAAGTCAGCGGCATGAACGTGAAGAGTCCCAAGGGCTTCGCGCAGTGGACGTGTGCCAATATCGACAAAGCTGGCTTGCAAGGCTTGAACTGTACCTCATAGACAGTCTATCGCAATACTATCACAACTACCGATCTCTCCCTCTCTCTCTGTCTGTTATTTCTCATTTCAAACCTCTCCTGCCATCCCGTCCCGGCCCGAATCGTAATGATCCTGCACTGCACTGCACATCACCCACTCGCCATAAACCCGTCCCACGTACCACACAACCGCTCTAGCTCCCCACCATCCTATCTCCTCCTGCCTCTCTTCAGCCCCCCCTCCCCCTCCTCTTCTATCATCCTGCACGTGCCCGCCTCACCGGTCCGCACCGCTGTCCCACACGCGCACCGTACACGCAACGCCCCGCGCAACGGCTCGATCTGCCACGCGGCAGCCACTTGACACGTCACACAAATGGCCCAATAGGGAGCGTCTTCTCTACGGCCCGCCTCGTGTCGGCAAACGCCAGACCGTCACGGTTCCCGCGGATGGCTGGAGGAGGTAGTGTGCTGGTGGGTGGCACAGCTTGGTGCTGGTAGGAAGGCCGAGACCGGAGGAGGGGGAGACTTCGATGGGGCGAGAGGGAGAGGGTATGCGTTGGGGGTATGATGATTTGAGATGTTTGCTTGAGATGGATTGGGTGGGTAGGGGAGGGGCTGTGGTTGGGATGTGATTGGGATGTGGGGAGCCGCGGGACCAGGGGGCTCCTTGCCGAAGGGAAGAGTGTGGGTTTTAGGATGATGACGCTGTTGAAGTAGATGGGATAGAGCTTAGAGGGGGGAGGACAGCGGGGACGGAGTGTGGGACGTGGCACTGGGGGAGGTGGGACAACGGAGACGGAGTGTGAGATGTGGCTGGGATGGAGTGTGAGACAACGGAGACGGAGCGTGGATCTTTGGGGTGACAACGGAGTCGGAATGTGCGAGGTGAGACGCTTGAGAGTGATGTGGACAGCAGGTATACGGGGAGATGTGACTGTGTATGGCGGAAGCGGGATCGGATAGTGAGCACGGATGGGGAGGAGCTGCGGTGGGTATCCATTACCCGCTCTATGTGAAAGTGATGGTCGAGACGTACAAGATAATGATGCCGCGCAGAATTCGGTCTATATACATGTTCAGTCCTCAGTGTGACTAATTGTGCTGGGATAAGTTCATCGTTCGATAATCAGAACCGCACGGTCCGTCGTGCTCTCCACGGCCCGTCGAAATCAGTCCTTAGAAGCGATAGTTGACTCCGGTCTCTATTCATTAAGTCCCCGTCCTCCTATTCCTCTCCAATACCCCTTCAGCGCGAAACAAGCACCTCCGTAGTCCTCATTATTCCCCTCGGAGGGATCATCCTCCCAGCAATCAGGATGCTCTCATCACTCCTGCTCGCCTCGTCAAGTAACCAGCCAAGACTCTTCCCTTCGATCTTCTCATTCTCTCCAGCCCCGCCCTCGATCACGGTGTGTGTTTTCCCATAGGGGGTCCCTGAATATTGATCCTTGGGACCCGTTAGACCCTCGAGTGCAATACTAATCTCATCGCTGTTGTTACGATTAATGTACCCAACCGCTGCTGCGTGGTAGCCGCAGCCTGCGGTGCGGATGTTTCGGAGTGTAGGCTCGCTCTTGGACGAGATGGCCCGCGCCGTGTCGAGGAACCAATTGAAGAGCGGCTTGAGGCAGGGCAGGTTGGCAGCAATCATGCCGACGGAGAGCTCAATGACGTTCCAGACATTGAAGGAGTCGTGGCTAGGGGGACGGAGTCAGTGGGATGTTAGGGCACAGGAAGGGGTCAGGCTTACACAGTCCAGTCAGGAGTGCTGAAGAATGTAGCTTGTTTCACGGCTTTGACTATCGCGGCGGCAGACGCGCTGGGCAAAGATTAGTAGGGTATAGGATGTGAATGAAACTTTGAACGCACAAATATCCTAGGCCGAGCACTGTGACTAGTGAGATTCTAGTTCTTGTGTTCAGTTGCAGTTTCCATATCAGGGGGATCGGTATTGTTGCAAATAGAATATCGGTCGCGATGTTGACAGCTGCTGGTGTTAGTAGTGGTAGACTAATGAGTGTGCACAACTTACAGCTGTTGGTGATGCCGATGTCGATGAATATCCGGCTACTGTAGCACTTTGCGTCACTCACATTTGTATCCCACGCTGCATGGATGGGTTTACACTGGAATATGAGAATGATAAGGCAAGTGAGCCAGAAGAGGAGCGTGAAGACTGTCGATAGGTCAGCTCCGTATACCACGACACAAGTTAGATCAGGGTATTTGTACCAATCGAGCCTTGGATAAAAGTGTAGTATCGACTTGCTTTAGTGGTCAGGCGCATCAAGAAAAAACCGACAGAGACCTTGACCGAGCTAATGCCAGTGACTATGAAAAGGGAGTGGACGAAGATCAGAAGGCGCACTTCCCTGACTTCGGTCGGTTGGAAAGTATCGATATGTCGTCCAATTCCGTTGAGAGTTTCCAACAGCAAGCATATCATCGTTCCTAGCGCAAGTAACATCGTCCCCATCATAACATAATCATCCGAGCCGAGCACACGAAAACTCCGTCGTATATACAGTCGTAGGATTCCTGTGAGCAGACCTATTGCGGAGATCGTGCAGACAATGGTTTGAATCTGAGGTGCGTTGTTGTATGCCCGGTACTCAGGGGAGAATGCGGTGGGCGGACTCGTCTGTCGCAATTGTAGAGTTGATCGGTCTTGTTTGTATGGAATGTATGTCATATTGTCTGCACATCTAACACACGACGAGTTGAGTGTGCCTTGATGTCGATGTACGTGGAGAGCGTCATGCGATTATTGTGGACGTCATACAAAATTATTATCTTCTTTCGTTGAGTACCAGTAAGGGAAGTTGATACGCTTGCAGTGTTAGGGCCTGTTATGATGCGTAGAGATAATACTAAAAGCTCGTTTCTATAGTCACATCTAGGAGCCAGTGGGCATCGCTAGACATTTCGTTGTGTTTCAGGGCCATTTTTTCGAAATCCGAAAAGGATTCAGAGCGCCAAGCTCCTGTATCTTGACACACAGATCGGGTCCAGGCTCATTATATGTTCCTGGCCCTTTCCTGAGCTTTGATGATTAAGGTACCTGTTCCAAAGGAGTTTGAGGCTGAGACTTCAGGCTGGGTTTTGCTATTCCTGGCACGTCCCTGCTACTGTACATAACGCTAACGTTGCTCTTTGCGATGGTATCAAAGCGGCCGCTGAGGGATATATCAGAGAACAGAACCTGGCCAACAGTGTGTTATCGATATCCCTCACAGTCGACACGAATGGTATCAAATATTTGTTTTATACGTAGGAGATATATAAGCGCAGGGTGCATGGATATTGCAAGGATGCTCCGCAAGTGCCCCCGAGCGCGCCAAGCGCCTCCGGCTCCCTGAGAAAATTCAGCCGTATCTCATTGAGAGAACGATTAGCATCATATTCTAACCCAGAAATCGTCCCTACTTATAAGCTCGCTCTCATGGCTATATATTCCATTGGAAAGTATGAGGTGAAAAGCTATCCATGCGTCGACATTGCAGAAATCTAGGGAAGAGGAGCCGAAGGCATTCCAGGATCTTGCAGAGGGTAGACCGACGTTCTCCTGACCTTCCTGCTTCTTGTCTTATCGTGATTCGTCGTTGCTACAAAGTGCGCAATGCAAGAATGTTCGATCGAAACCCCATCTCAGACAGAAACAAATGCCGGTTGCACGGGATAAGGAAGAGGTATGCATAGACCCCCAAGAATGTGCCGATGTCTCACTTTGTGTAATATAATATACTGCACGCCATATGTCAGCCGGAGTTGTTTATTGCATGGTGCTGGGAGCTGTGGTTCCAAAAGCCTAGAGAAGTTTGCTTAGGATTGTTCTAGAATAAGAGTCAAAACAACCTCCCCGGTCTCGCGTCCACACCACCGGCACCGCCGTCCACCTATAGCCCTGAATAGAGCCATTTGCGTGTTGTTTATAGTACTTGGATGAATGGAAATCATACATGGATGTCAACAAACTTGGGTAGTGAGAGATCACCTGCGTGCAATAGAGACATTGATATCAACCGCTTCCAAATTAGATAGAGAACGAATCCTGATTGAGCTCTAAGTTTATACCATTCTTACTAGCTAGCACTTCAAGAACTAAGAGTGTCCATATGGAAACTGATTTCACGCGCTGGATTGGATGATAATCGCCTTTCGAACGTGTCTGTGTAATATATATATATATTGTAAGAGTTGGTCAAGGTAGTAGATCCTCTATATGGAGAGATTATACATATTCAGCACAAATGAAGGAGTCGCATCACTGAAGCTTGCATTGCTTATGATGACGGCACAGACTGTTGAGATTGCAGTAGGTGTGGGTAGTCATTGGACGGATCAACTTTGCTGTCTTACATCAGACGAGAAATACTAGGATTCGATGGACATGAACCCCCGCATTATCATGTAGATCTGCCTATCAAAACAGGAGCTCGCTGCTAATACCAACACACTAACGTACCAACGCACTAACTCTTCAATAGTGTCCTAATATTCGACTGTGCAGTAAGAGTAGAAGAGTCATCCCGCCTCGTCTCTTGTTTGAATTTGCACAGTAGCACGACTTGATATATAACAGATCGAAATCCGCACTCAACTGGCAGAGCGGCTATTCTTGGTGTCATGACCTAACATGCGGTCGCTATCACTAGTAGCATTAATTCTTGCTTCCAATACATTGGCTACGTCTCCATCGAACAGTACTGGATGGAAAGTAGCAAAGCTACAAGCTCTCGGTTTAGCAAGGTTGTCAACTCATGTTGATAAGAATGGTTACTACTCAGAGGAATGCACTCTGGAGAATGTGTCCCTCCGCAGAGAATGGTACTTACCACTTGTGAGGGATTTATGAGGGTGGCTAATGTAGATAGGGGTACATTGACAGACAGTGAGAAGAAGGGATATATCGCCGCGGTCAAATGTCTTTCGAAACTACCTCCATTGACTCCAACGTCGCTTGAGACTGGTGTTCGCAGCCGTTACGACGACTTTGTGTTGACTCATATCAACCAGACTCTGAACATCCACGGGACTGTGCGTCCACTGAGCAATAAGTTCTGGAGTCGAGACTGATTGTTATGTAGGGGAACTTCTTCGCTTGGCACAGGTACTACATCTGGACTTACGAACAAGCTCTACGAAACGAATGCGGATATACCGGTTACCAGCCATACATGGACTGGGGAAAATATGCAATGGACCCGGAGAACTCACCTATCTTTGATGGTTCAGCTACATCCATGGGTAGTAATGGTAGGCGCTGAACATGTTCCATGAGAAGAATCATCTATAACTTTCTTAACTAGGCGCGTTCATTGCACATGATGCTGTGGGAATTCCATCAAACGCGAGTCCAAGTATCTCCATTCCAACAGGAAATGGTGGGGGATGTATGACCAACGGACCATTCGTAGAGTCAGTAGACCATCAGGCGCACGGTCGGGCACTATTTTTCTGACTGGAAGAGCAGCTTCCCAGTTAATCTTGGGCCTTGCTTGCCATCACTTTCGTATGTCGAGCCCAATCCGAGGGCTGATTGCTTGGGATACAACCCACGTTGTATTCGGCGTGACATCTCCCAGTGGACGTCATCGAGATGGACCAAAGACTCGGACATCGCAGACGTGATTGAGAATTACCCAGATCCAACCGCGTGGACCTATCGATTTCAGGGAGACTTTCCAGCAGGTTATATGGGTGGTACGTCCGCAATCTGGAACATTTAGATTAGCTAGGCTGCTAACACTACTTGATTAGTACATACTGCTGGTCATTTCACTTGGGGCGGTGACCCCGGTGGTGACATATTCACATCACCGGCCGACCCTGTCTTCTTCCTACATCACGCGCAGGTAGATCGCGTCTACTGGATCTGGCAGAATCAAAACGTGGATGCGCGAACATTTGCCGTAGGAGCAACAATCACCATAAATAACACTCCGCCGAGTCGGAATGCCAGCCTCGATGACACAATTGACATAGGAGTCAACGCGGGCCCAATAACGCTCAGAGATGCAGGCAGTACAATTGGAAACACTCCCTTCTGCTACATATATTTATGATCATCATGCAATCCCTATAATGATTCTTGGTTCTCTAGCACGTATCGAGTCCGGCGTATCATCTCCACAGCATTAACTATGATTTGATCAATGACCAGGGGCTTACTTGGGGCATGATAAATGTGGCTCAGCTTTATCGCTTAGGCCCTTCTGCTTTAAGAACATTAATTAAGTAGAATAATTGATTGAAGATGGCATGGCATCGTCGAATGCCTCGGGATCAAGTCACTGAGTAAGGACACGCTAGCACGCTTCCGTGTCGGGAGTATGTCGGCAATATATCGGTGATCGCGCACTCTAGTTCTTGGTTGCCATCGCAACAACCATAATCTTCACGTGTACAAAACAAGCAAGTCCGTGCAAACAGATACTAGGTTGGTCTGCGCGTTGCGACCCGCTGATATCATCAACAACCACGACAACGGATGCAACAACAGCTCTCCGATGCGCCTTCTCAGATAGCATTGAACAACTTCCTTCAGCACATTCGCCAACAACTTTTCAATCACCATGGTGTCGACACGACGTCAAAAACAAGAAGAGCCTCCGGCGCTGGCCACGCAGCCAAAAGTACAAATTGCTCGCGGTGGTCTCAAGAAAGCCGTCGCGACCAAAGAACCTCCAATCGCTGATGTGAAAGTCTCCACGGCCACTAAAGCTTCCGCTGCAAAGAAAGCCCCGGCACCCAAGAAACCCACTACAACCCGATCGCGCGCAAACAAAGGCAAGACTGTCGAAGATGAGGACTTACCGCGACAAGAAGACCAGCAGATCACAGGGAAGACGACGAGAGCCAAGAAGTCAGTAAAAGACGATGATTCAGCAGCGAAAGCCCCAACGAGAGCCACGAGGGCTAGAGCCGCATCGAAGGCTACTCAATCCGAGGAGCCTCAAAAGACGCTTCAGAAGAAGAACCCCAGCAAAGATGCGCCTGCGGCCCACAGAGCCCCGCGAATCAGAGGAACCAGGAAGGATACAGAGGAAGTGCAGATAGGAGTAGAACCCGAAATTGAAGGAGCGGTTGAGACTGGTACTCTAAATGAAGCATCAGACCATCCTCCACCAGTAGAGCGCAAAACTAGAGCTACTGCGACAAAGACTACGAAAGTTTCCTCCAGAGCTAAAGCTCCGGTTGCGTCTTCCAAGTCTAGGGTGAAAAGCGCTCCAAAGAAGACAACAAAAACAACAACAACAACAACAGCAATCACAAGGGCAACGAGGGGAACGAGGTCGAAGAAGGTACCGGAAGTACCGGACGAAGATTTCGAGCCCGCAACAGAGCACGTAGCCATGGAACAGGATACAAAGATTTCGGCAAAGTCAAGTTCAACGACTGAAGAGGTCATTGCTGGCTTTGAGGAAAACCAATTTCTCGACGACCATTTTAACCCGAAGCCCCTGCCTGAGCCATCTGTCATTAAAATTGAGATGGCAGCCATCAGAGCACCCACTCTGTCGCCGGGCAAAGCAGCTTCCGCAAGTCTATTGAGAATGTCGCCTTCTAAATCAATCATGCAGAAGATAGCCGAGCTTCCAACAACAAGCTCTATTGTGGTCTCGCCGTCGAAATTGCCTCGACCGCAAGACAACGACGTGGAAATGATGGATTCGTATGATGCCTTGGCACCTACTCCGCTTTTTCAAAGGTCAGATGCACTCAACGCGAACCAGACGCCTTCCATGAAGTCTTCCCTCTTCACAGTCTCTGCTCGGAAGCCTCCAGGGTCTGTAAGAAGGCTCCATGCAATGTCACCGAGTCAGGCCTTGGTCAAACCACCTGGCCAGGCTGTGGACGAACATCAAAAGCTAGGCTCTTCATTGTTTTCAAGGTCACCAAAGAAACTTCATGCGATCATCCCCAGCAAGGCCATGATCAAGCCACCTGGCCAGACCGTAGATGAGAGGCAGAAGGCGGAATCCTCATTGTTCTCGGCATCACCCAAGAAGCTACACATGGAATCAATGGGCATCTTCGGGGCGGCTTGCAAGAACAAACGGCCTGCCGAGGGTGGCGAGACACAGTCTTCATTGACTGCGTCTCCCCGAAAGGTCAAGCTTACTTCACCAACAATGAAGTTTGACAATCGTTTCCCCGAAACTTCTGCCAGCGTACAGAGACCTTTCGGAAAATCAAGTTTGAATTCATCCCCTAGAAGAATGAAGACTCCAGGACGCACGCCAAAGACCGCGCCCATTTCATCCATCCGTGCTTTTCTGGATTCTGGTACGCCAACCAAGGCTCCCCCAAGATTTACTCTACCGACTCAGGATGTCATCATAGAGTCAGAAGAGGCCGATGTCACGATGGTGTTTGAAGAACCCCAATTCCCCTGCGATGTCCTTCCAACAGCTATTGAGTCTAACCCAATGGGATCAGATGAGGATGATGTTTTTGCAATCGGAACGGCCCAAACCTTATCCTCATATGAAGCTCAAGAAGTCATGCCAGAGACACCAGGACAAGAGCGCGGGGAGCCCGAAATTATATTTACTGAAAATGGTTTGAACGAGCTCGCAACTCCAGCATTACGTCGCTCAGATGTTATACACGAACGCAGTCCAATCGCTGAAATTTCGAGATCCGTTCTAAAGGAATCGCACCTCGATTCCCTGACCCAGGCAGGTCTAGCTGAGGACATTTCAAGGACAAAACAAGCACAGGAAACTGAAGACGACCTTTCAATATTCATTAATACTACTACCGTGGAAACAGAAATCCTTCCAGATTTAGCTATGAACGATTCTATCATTGCGAACCTCGACCAGAAAGCGCCAGCATCGGCCGACTCGAGTATTCTTATCACGCTAAATCAAGACCCGCATGAGAAGCACACTCTACCATCAGAATTACCAGTGGTAGAGTCGGATGCGGAGGCGCCGTTGAACGTAGTCCCATCCACCCCATCGACACCGAAACAGATGCCTGTGCCGATCATGCTTCCGCTCTCTACAGCAAAACGCCCAAAGATGTCACCGCGAAAGTCATCTCTTCGATCTCCAGAGAAGAAGTCATTTGAGTCGCCCAGAAAAACTGTTACCTGGCAGCAGCTTGAACAGAATGCAACACCTTCTAAGAATGATGGTATACTTGATGGAATGACATTTTATGTCGATACCCGGACAAACGACCAGGTTGATCAGTCGTATATGTTCGTATCATATCTCGAGCGAGCGGGAGCGGTCTGTGTCCCGCAGTGGTCCAGCAATAGTATGGGTGTGACTCATGTCCTTTGGATGAATGGGGACATTCGAACGCTTGAGAAGGTCGTTGCTAGCGATGGTGCCGTGACATGTGTTAATGTCGGGTGGGCAGTAGCGTGAGTAGTAAGCTGCTGATGCATTATTACGATGTTACTAACATTCTATTCAGATGCGAGAATAGTGGAAAACGTATTGACGAGAGTGCATATCTCACGGACTTGTCCTGCGTTCCCGGAAACTCGCCCGTCAAGCCACTAAGCACATTAAGTGCTAATTCTAGTCCTTTGATGGCTCGAACGCCGTCAAGATCACCTTTTAAGCCAGTCTCCACACCTTTCACTATGAAGCCTCTTCCACCTTCGCCACAAATCTCCTTTGACGATTTTGATAAGGAGAATTCACCAGCGATGACTACGGGAGGCTCTCCGGCAACGCCATACTTTTTGCATAAGGAAGAATTGATCCAACGCACGTGCCCACCGAAACAAAACAATAAACCACTGTTCTCTGGCAGTTTGTCTAGTAGCTCCTTTGCGGATAGACTGACAGCGACGAAGAGGAGAAGATCCGATGTTGGCGGTACGACAAGTGGTCGCACGCCCAAGAGGAGCCGGCCTGCGCTTCGGGATATATTCGAGTAATGGTTTCATTCGGCGAATAGTACATGTCCAGATTGATGACTGATGAATTGTTTGCTTGGGCGAATGTAACGATACTACGAACAACATTGAAGGCGTTTAGTGATTGGGAGACTGAGTCTGGGTCGCTGCTTTATTTGCTAGCCTCTGGTAAATAGGCCTTTGTTCTTGTACTTGTACAATCTGCTGTCGCTTTTGTACAACACGTTCTATAGAGGACCACTATCAGGTACTCAATGATATGCTTAATTTGATCGGCACTGCAGCATTTTCGTATGCTATCGCACACTTGTATACCGCCTCCTATCGCAATTCCCGTGTGAATCAGCGTTTCGCGCATCATGCGCTCGTAGAAACATAGGCCTTCATTGCTCTTACCGCATCACCTTCATGCGCCTTCAGAAGTTCTGTCACTTTTGGCTTACTCAATTCCAAGTGTTCGGCCTGCAGGATTGTCGATCAGTCTGCTGCAACCTCCTTACAGGATCTCACTCACCAGCAAGCTCACGTCCTTCATATCAATCTTGACCTTTTTCGACTCAACCTCTTTCTTCGCCTCTTTCTGTTTGCCACCACCCAGGTTCTTCATTGCATTGCCCAGCGCCTCGCTATCGACATCGCGCTTGTCGGCGGATGCATCGTCGTGTGTGTCGAGGGAAGAAAGCGCGGCTGCGGCCCGGCGGTCTTCAGCAGTACCGGTGGGTGCGTCTTCTGGGATATCTGCGGGCTGAGGTTCGGCCATGGTATTATGGGTTGAAGGATATCAGACCTGTATTGGATGTGAATTAATGGCCTATGGATGGATCGTGGTGAATGCAGTGGCGGGATGTGCCAAACAGGCTAGCGCACGGACTTTAGTTGTGATAATGAGAGGGTCACAAAGTATTCACATAATCAGATTCTTTTCACTTTTATCCGATATGGACCCCTCGAACCACTAATTAATTAGTGTTCATGATTAAATCGGTATAGCATTGCAATCCCGCCTTGACTGGCACGTGCACTTTGTCTTCCCGCACGTCTTGAAATATACTGAGTCACAAAAATTGGTACTAGAAAAGTGAAGAAAATCCCTGATTAATAACTGAGGATCTGATCTCCTTTGGTGTGGTGTCATTCTGCTTCATATTCAACAGCCATGGCTTCCACACTCAATGGCAACACACCTGGCGAGGACATTTGGACACCTTCATGTTAGTCTCCGGGCCATGTGAGACACACCCTTTTAGCTGACGCTCGGAAAGCATGGCGCTCGAAGAATATCAAGCAGGCAGTAGTGTACGACTCCGAAGCCGCTGCACTTCCTGCCCTATCGAAACTCGAGACTTTACCGCCAATTGTGACTCCAACTGAAATCAACAGGCTCAAGAACACTCTTCGAGAGGTAGCCTTAGGCAATGCTTTTCTACTTCAAGGAGGCGACTGCGCTGAGTTGTTCTCTTACTGTGCCGATGAGCCGATTGATGCCAAAATTAAGCTGCTACTTCAGATGTCACTTGTCCTCATCTGGGGCTCAAACAAACCCGTAGTGCGCATAGCCCGAATGGCCGGTCAATACGCCAAGCCTCGGTCAAGTCCAACAGAAGTGGTAGATGGGAAAGAGATCCCAAGCTTTCGAGGGGATATTCTGAATGGCTTCGACATCAATGCTAGGACTGTCGACCCTGATAGATTGGTGCAGGCCTATTTTCATTCAGCGGCCACTCTCAATTATGTTCGTGCACAATTATCGAGTGGTATTGCTGACCTACATAACCCTATGGACTGGGGCCTTGGTCACGTCAAAGACGAAGATCTGCAAAGTCGATACCAACGTATCGTTGGAAGCATTACAGAGTCCTTGAAATTCATGAATACTATCGGAGCGGACACTGCTGGACAATTGAATTCTGTCGATCTCTACACGAGCCACGAAGGGCTAGTTCTACAGTATGAAGAAGCACTCACCCGCAGACTACGACATCCCTCGAATGCCACTAAACCTACTGTATCGCCTGATGGGAAGGGATGGTACAACACGTCGACCCATTTCATTTGGATAGGGGATCGCACAAGACAGCTGGACGGTGCCCATATCGAGTACTTCCGTGGTATCGAGAATCCCATTGGGATCAAGGTCGGCCCGTCCATGGAGAACGAGGAATTGATAAGCCTTCTGAATATTGTTAATCCAAACAAGGAGGTTGGGAAGGTTACGCTCATAACCCGCTATGGTGAAGGAAAAGTGGAAGAGTTACTGGGGGGTCACATAGAAGCCGTCAAAAGCAGCGGACATTTGGTCATCTGGCAGTGTGACCCTATGCATGGGTACGTAAGGTCATGCTATTTGACGACATTCACTAATGGTTCACAGGAACACACGCTCTACCTCGACTGGAGTCAAGACACGGCATTTCAGCTCAATCCTGTCTGAGCTCTCTTCTGCTCTGAAGATTCACAAGCAGCACGGTTCGTATCTCGGAGGCATGCATCTTGAGCTTACAGGTGACGCTGTGACGGAATGCGTAGGCGGTAGCGTCGCACTGGAAGAAGGTGATTTGAGTCTCAACTACACAACCTTCTGTGATCCTCGTCTGAACGAGAAGCAGGCGCTGGAGATGGCATTTCTGGTAGCAGAATTCTACCGGGCGGACCAGGGGAAGGGGACGCGATAGTGTTAACGCATTCATTGTATCAATATGCATGATTCCATGACGTTTGATAAGCTAAAACCATTTGACCTTATACGTGATGCGGCTAATGAAAATCGAACCACTTTCACGAGACAGTCATTGCACTTACCATACATCAATGATGCTATAAAGTTCTTGGTCATTGTGAAGGGTTTGAGGCGTTAAGGCATCAAAGCCAATAGTCACGCTAGGCAGATGCGGCTAAGTCTGACAAGCTAGTCGTTTGTTGTCAGAGCTCCGCTCCACCTGTACCGCCACCGCTATTGTTCACTTCTTTTCACAAACCTCAACGATTGACGTTCGTTTCCAAACACCACCGTTCAATCACTCAATTCACATCGTCTGTACTGATCACTGGAGTCACCTGTCCTTTTCATCCGCCATGGCGGATCTTTCGGAGCTTTTCGCCCGACTAAAGAGCCCTAACACACCTGCCGACTCTCCACAGCAAAATTCCTATCAACCTTCTGTTTCGTCACCTATCGTCTCGCCTCAACCCAGTGGTCCTCAACCACATCACCCGTCTGCAATCATGAGCCCAGCTATGTCTGGAGGTAACACTCCAGGCGCGGAAGGTGGTAATGATCGTACGACGAGCTTGCTGAACTTGCTGAAGTTCAATCAACCGCAACAGTCGATACCTCCGCGTCAACCTTATACAGAGCTCCGTCGGCACCCATCCTCTAATCAAAATTTACCCTCAGCTACCTCAACACCAACCGCACGTCCAGTATCAGCCTCAGATCTCGTTGCTTCTTTCATGAAGAAGCCCTCGTCTTCATTGGCTATGCATAGTCCCGCCGAAGCTTCGCCTGCCTCTGTTCGAGCAGAACCTCATCACACCTCTTCTACGGAAAACCCTCAAGATCTTCTATTGAAGCTGCTAAACAACCCGCGCTCTTCGGCAACGCAGAGTGAGGCTGGATCTGTGCGTCATTTAGATCTCGGCAAATCTCAGAGTCTCAAGTCACCATCCACGTCCTTTCCGGACTTAGCCGAGCCCTTGCATACTACACATGATTCAGATGTACCAGCCATTACTAGCTTGGGTAACACCGGAGCGGCTCCATCTGGATCAATGTTCACCTATGCCAACCCTTTCGATCAGCTTGAAAGATCTTCCCCGCTTAATCGGAACGGCCGTTCAGCACCACAGCGTGTGGCTCAGCCTCAAATCGACAGGGTAAAGATTACTACTGTACCAAGCCTTGAATCTCAGCCCCCGGTTCACTCGCCTGTTCGTATCATACAGGGCCCGGCGAAGGCCGAGATCAGTCACGAAACAGTGTCAGACGCCGTTGGTGAACTTGGCCAACAGGTTGAAAAAGAGCTAGATGACGTACTAAGTGAAGTCGCAACGATAGGCAAGAATGGCAAGGTCGTGCCTGCTGCTGTCATTGCCGCAGCTACCAACAATGAAGCCAAACGTGCTGGTGAGGATCACGCTCATGAGCTCGCGGACAAAGCCTTGGAAGCAAATTCCGCGGAAGCTTTGAAACTCGCTGCAGCTGGAGTTGGTGACAATGTTGCTGATAGCTGGGAAAGTGCAGATGCTGAAGACAGCCCGTCTCAAGGCGACGAGACCGTCAAAGTCTACAACTTTCCCATGCGCCCTTTCACAGCAATCGACATTATCAAGCTGCAGGACAAGCCGCCTACTTTCCGCGCGAGCACTATCATGGAGATCGCTAAGCTCAAGAAGGACTTTGACCAGATGGACCGCCAACTTGTATGCGCCTCCAAGAACTTCATTGCTTATGCTACATTGAAACCTCTCGGCTTTCGTGTTATTCGTCAGGAAACTGGCCAATATCGAGCCGCCTTCTCAAGTTCGAAGGAACGGATTTTCAACATCTCTATATGCACTCCAGCGCCAGGGTCTGCCGCTACGGAACATGAGACCATCCTCGGGACTGGTATGAATGGTAGCATCTTCTGGACTCAAGTTGCCGCTGTATCCGGTGACGCTTTTGAGGAAGAGAATCTCGACGATGCTGGGTTCATATTCCCACCCGCTCCCGTTCACGATGACAATACCTCTGGTGGTCAACTTAAGACTCGAGCAAAGACAAGCACGCGTCACCCCGAGTTCTTCGCCGTTGGCCGTGGAAAATCTATACATTTGGTGTACCCTAAGGTCGCTCGGACCAACAGATACACCAACATAAAGACACGTACATGTGACAGCGAGAGGTACTTGAAAGAGCGCTCTCTGAAGATCCTGACTGGCAAAGCTGGAAAAGACTTTGCCTTCAGCGCGGATGACTCGGTCATTGTGTCTTTGGACAAAGCTGGGAAGATGAGGTTCTGGGACATTCGAACTTTGTGGGATGCGGCAGAGGAGAATCCAGCTGGCGCCTTCGAAGGTGTCACGATCCGACATCCGCTTTGGAGTCTGCAAACGACTTCGCCTAACGAGAAATCGTGGCCCACTTCAGTATTTTTCTTGGACAAAGAACGCCCTGTAAGTAAAGGTATCGCTTTGAGGTACCTTGTCGTTGGCCAGAAGCAGAATCATACTCTGCAGCTTTGGGACCTCGGTTTGGGCAAAGCCGTCCAGGAACTGAACCTACCACACGACAATGAATCGGATGCCATTTGCACTGTTGCGTATCACGCAAAGTCCGGAGTAATGGTCGTTGGTCACCCAACCAGAAACTCAATCTATTTTGTTCACATCTCTGCGCCCAAGTACAACCTAGCAGCCATGTCCCAAGCGAAATACATTGGACATCTCGCGGAACCAAAGTCGACCATCGCTAAGCCTGAATCCACTGCCATCATGAGCGGTATTCGTGAATACTCACTGGGTCCTAAGGGTAAGCTGCGCACTCTTCATCTTCTGGAGGAGCACGCCGGCACGTCAGAAAGCTACGGTCCTGGAGATGCGCCAGTATTTGAGCTGTATGTCGTCCATTCAAAGGGCGTCAGTCTGATAAGCATCCATCGCGAAGATCTCGGATGGACTAAGGACTTCCGCGTGACAAATCCTGTAGAGGCAGCGACAACTGGCGCTGTGCAAGTCAGCTCTCTGCGACCTCCTCAGCCAGTAACAGAAGGATCTACCATTGGATCTAGTAATGGTGATGCTCGTACTGCACCTTCAACGCAAGGAACATCGCGCGAAAGCGCCAAGAAAGACACTGCTAGTTCAAGCACGTCAAGGGTTGTTCCGCAAACTCCAGAGGCTGCCATTCGTGCCAGCACTCTCGCCAAGGTCGAGAACAAACAAGAGGCTGAGCGAGCAGCGATTCTTAACAATTCTGAGAAGTCTGAAAAGAAAAAGAAGAAGCGCGCGACCGATACAGCGTCACAGACATCGACTGCTCCTCGTCCCGCCACGTCCCATGTCATGCCATCACCATTGCCGTCATATGCGAATGCCGCTCGACAGACTTCGCCAGCTGCCAAAGGGACTGATGGCGATGCACCAGCATGGGCTCTGCGTTTGTTAAACCAGCCAGGATCTGTTGCCCCAGCTGTCACGGACGGTCCTTTATCCAGTCAACTGTCGAAAGCTTTGACCGAGCGTTTTGATGACCTCTACAAACGTATCGACAACGACAAGCGCGCCCTGGATGCTTCGAGCGGAGCAAAGCAAGAAGCTGTTCTGCGCCTTGTCTCGAGCACTCTGAGTGACAATCTTGACCAAGCTTTTAGCCGTCATATTCAGGAGTCGGTAAAGACCAGTATCCTTCCCGCTCTCACGAACTCCGTGGGTGCTATGGTAGGCCAGCAGATCAACCTTGTTGTACCACGCGAAATCAAATCGACATTGCCAGCTCTTGTCAGCAAGGCCATGCAGGAGCCTGACACTCTTCGTATCATCTCCGATCTCGTTGCCAGTAAGGTGACGAAGACCATTGAGACCCAGATATCAGCTTCCTTTCAGAACCTTGGCCCCTCGCTTGCCAGCGTAGTCTCCAATACTGTCAAACAAACCTCAAGCCAGGCTGACCATCGCTTGGCTGAGCAGCTGCGCCAGGCTGATATGCAACGTCAAGCCGATGCGTCCAAGATTGTACAGTTAATCGGAATGGTACAAGAGCTTTCAGAAAGTGTGGCGGTGATGCGCTCATCGCAGACTGACGCTCGGAACGAAATTTCCCGGCTCCAACAACAGTTGATTGAAACTCAGTCTCGCGAAACTACAGTTGAATCTGTCGTCACTGAGCCCAAGGTAGAAGAGCAGGATTCGGAGTTGAATACCATCCATGGGTTGATCAATAGTGGTCGATACGAGGACGGCACCATCATGGTAAGTGCTACACATTCCAGAATTGCGACCTGCGTTTTCTAATTCCGAACAGTGGCTTCAATCGCCTCGCCAGGCCGAGCTCTTCGACCTTTTGTTCATGCGTTTTGGTCCTAACTTTATTAAACACCTGTCTTCTCTGGTATCTTTGTCAGTTGCTGCCGCAACGACCGCCAACCTAGAGTCGAACCTGGCGCAACGTTTGGACTGGCTTGATACCGTACTTATTTCACTCGACCCTACAGTAAGACCGCTAACGCTCCTGTGATCTCGTATCTTCAATCAGAAACTAACGTCTGACAGGATCCTGAAATTGTTGAAGTCGTCCCGCAAATTATGGAAGTCATTGGTACCCGTTTGCGAGACGTATACATGCAGATTTCCGAAAGTGAGGGCAGTTCTGCTGCACCCCTTCGTCGTCTCTCTGGCTCCGTTCGACAAGCTATGGAGGTAAAGGTGGCAGCTCAACGCCATCTCTCGACCAGAGGATGAGAGACAGTAAGCGAAATCACACTTATAACCTCGATGGAGATCATCTTCCACAAATACAAAGACTTTGTCATAAAAGGTCTGGGATGCGATTTTTCTGTCAGTCCAGTAGGGTGGAGCTGAAAAATGCTTTTACCTTCCCGAGCCAGGTCATCACCAAGCCCCGACAACGACACTGTCATACTGTTCTTTGTAGCAGCCACATTCGCGGAAACCAGGATATGTAGGCACAATCATTGGATCGTTTACACCTTAATTGGATTTGGAACGCATCATACCGCATGAACCCCTTACACTTGCTACGCTTTCTTTTTCAACCCCTTCCAGCTTCGAGTTGAACTCCGCGGTCGTATGTCAAGAAGCTGAAAATGCTTCGAGGCAGATTCGACGTCGGGCACACTCACATATGGGCACACACTAAGCTGGGTTCATTACGAATCTCACGCACTATGTTTGGAAGGGTTTTTTTCTTGGTATTATAATTCTTCTTCATCAACTGCCATTCTATACTAATTGGACGGTCTTTCAATACCTAGAAACTCCTAGAGATTCTAGCGCGATGTAGTCTAAACTCCCAATGACAAATTTTGGTCTTCATTCGTTCGCAGTTCGCAGTGACGTGACCATACCCAAGAAAGCTACGAATGAGGTGTAGCTGCCGGATGTCCGTTGTGTGAACCACTCACAGTATTAATGATTATATCGTGGGGTTGTGGTACGGGTTGCAGCGCTTCGAGGGTATATACTGTAAGAATATAGAGACATTACTGTCCAATTCAATCCAAACCCTTGAAGCTGAGTACGCCATTTTTGTGCCCAGTCTGATTCTGCTTCTTGCCCTTGCGTTTCTTCTTTTTGCGCTTCTTGTCCTTTTTCTCCTCTTCACTGCTAGAATCGTCGCTATCATTGTCTGAAGAGTCATCCCTTTCCCTTTTCGACACAGCAGTATCTTGAGTCTCATCTTCAGACTCATCCGCGTCCACTATCGTCGCACCCGCAAACTTCTCCTCCCACACCTTCAGAATCTGCCCACCGCCACTAACCATTCGCCCACCAGCCTCAAAGCTGATGGCCGCGACCCGATCCATCTCGTCATGCCTCAGTGTCGCCACAACCTTATTTTGCCCTATCTCTACAAGCCTTATCGATCCATCACCCAACCCAACCGCGACCGTTGGCCGGGCTGTCACACCCTCCGGCAATCGCGTCAACACATCCAGACTCTCGCCACTCCGGTCCACATGGATACGCTCGTCCTGATCGTCCCACGCACCGCGCTCCCACAGCGTCAGCACACCATTGCCCGCGCCCACAAGGACCTTCTCCCCGCGACTCGAGCCGCGCTTGGCGAGCCCACTGACATATGTGCTACTTAGTAATTCTTCTTCTTGGCTTTCGCTCTGTACCAGCACACCGCGCCGCAAATCCGTCACTGCAAGCGTGGTGCCGCCCGTTGTGACCCATTGCTTGCTGAAGCCAGAGGTAGATTCTGTGGATGCCGGGAGCGGGGTGAGGGAGGATATGTATTCGTCGGTGTGTGGACGGTGGGTTTGTGAGGGGCGGGCGGCGAGCGAGGTGTCTGTGCGGATGTCGTAGAGGTGCAGCGCGGCAGAGTCAGTCGCGAGGAGGAAGGTTTGAGGGGAGACGACGTGGAGCAGGGCCGGGTCTTCGAATTCGAGGGAGGAGCTGAGGCTTTTATCAGTATACTCTAGTCTCAAATGAGACGATTTGTAGATGTGTGGATGGATGTGTTGCATACCGATCTGCGAGGGGCGTGCGTATTTTGCTGCGCACTTGGCCGGTCTCTGTATCTGCGACTTTGACGATGCTATCGGTGCCCGCTGAGTACAGGACTGAGCCGTCGGTACTGTAGTCTAAGGTTCGACAGCTTCCTTGGTGTCTTCTAGTCTTCCATACTGTGTCGACATGCCCAAGACCGTTCTCCGATGCGGTGGTCTCGTCATTCTCGGACCCAGCGTCGCTTGCTACCGGCGGGAGTCGAAAAGTCTGGACATGGCCGCTGACGAGACCAACAGCGACAACAGATTCAGTAGGATGGACGGCTTGGCAATTGAGATCAGAGAGCAGTGGGAGGCTGCAAATTGAGTCGAACATTGGGAATTTTGGCGTCTCCTCGTGTCGGCTCAAAGCTTGAGATGCGGAGAAAATTGAAGACCGCGGAGGTGATAGATGCGATGCGATAGAATTATTATTGAGCTGCCTAAGGCCGAAAGTTTTCAATGGACCCTTTATATTTCATGTAAAAGTTGTGTAATTGTCGGTCAATTGGTTGCCGGGATTCATTAGATACTTTTATTCGGCTAGGGGGTCGTAGGGAATCGAGAGTGACGAACGTCCGGGTTCTGATCTGCCCTTTGGTATGATGTTTCTCTTTTTTTGGTCGCCCTTGATTCCGTTGGTGCCTGAGGCAGATAGAGCCTACCGTGTAGCGTGGACTTCGCGTAGTCACGTGCAATCAATGCTGGTCGGTTGGTAGGTCGGTCTTACATAATCCATAATAGCAGGTGGAGGTTGGTGTTCATCGCTCAAGAGTTAATGGCAAATGCTCACAGCTTCCTCTGCATGATACCTGCACGACAAGAGGCTTCATTCATCTAGCTGTGGATTTCAAGGCCATTGGTACCTAATCTAGCGACACTCGTCATAATCATGAAGGACGCCATAACTTAGGAAGCGAGATCGCTTGTGGTCGTTACAGAACTCGTCGCACTCAGCCAAACCTAGAGAGATGAAATGTCATTCGATACTTTACCTCACCTCTTTCAGATCCTTTGGCTTGTCCGATTTTGCAAACGACGGTCAGCTCTGAAAGTATTTTTGCAACGTCAGCAACAAATCTGGGGTCCATTGGCGCATACATGTGGTTGGGGCATGTAACCTAATATACCATCTTCTGTGGATGCATTACACTTGGACCTTGAAGACCTGACTTGGTAGCTTTAGGAATCAAAGGTATCGTTCGTTGTATGTAAGCACTCGCTGAGTTCTCTCGAATGGGACAGCAGATCGCTATACCGTGTAGAGATGGCATGCGTGTAAACTATAATACTACATGAGTCATCACCAAGCAGAGATAGGCAGAAGCATGGATGCATCTAACATGACCCTAACATTCTCTCACTTGAGTTGACTGTTGGATGTTTGAGATGTAGGCTTTACACTACACCTAATAGGTGTAGTCTTCAAGCCTCCCCCCAGCTCTATCCCGGTCAGGAAGGTTGACTCACTTCAGGCTCGCTGCTTTATAATCAGCGGCTGAGGCACTACCTAGATTTACAAGGGGTAAAAGGGTATAGTTTCTAGGTATGTTGGCTATTATATGGCACGATGATCTCTTGCTGAGATCGGCCGAAACAAACCAACTCAAGCTAATCCAAAAGCCTACCATATCTATTCTTTGAGTCCAGATGCATAGAAACAGTTACTTCTTACTCCCTACCTCCTCATAGGAGTTCCATGTTCTACTCACAGCTTAACACGGCACCCTTCCCTCAAAAACATCCCCTCTACTAGCGACGGATACGCAAGACATGTTCGAAGAGTCCAACAAGTTCCCGTCCAATCACAGTGTCCCAGACCCCTCCCAGAAGACTTCTCCTTCCCATACACACACACCACCAGGTCTCAACCCACGTTCTTGTGTGACTTGCAGGAAGCGCAAAGTGAAATGTGAGAAATTCAGCCTCAGTTTTATGCTTATACTTAATGCAATCCAGGTGACAAGCGAAATCCTTGCGGTAACTGCACTAAAGCCCGAATTGAATGTATATTCCCTTCTCCAGGACGCGCCCCGCGAAAAGCGCGTAAACCTCCAGATGCCGAATTGTTAGAACGACTACGCAAATTAGAGAGTGTTGTCCAGAATTTGGGCGCTCAGGTCGACGATGAGACGTCTCCAACCCAGCCGAAGGTTGAGGAAGACAAAGAAGGCTTCAACCTTATGCGCAAGGTCGCGGATGCACCCGGGCAACATCAAAGAGCAGACGTAGTAAAGAGCAATGGTGTATCTTCTTCTGCCGATCTCACTGTGCCAGGGCTAGAGGCTCGCTTTGGTCGCTTAGTTGTGACTGAAGGCAAAACTAGATACATAAATACCAGTTTCTGGGCAAATCTGAATAGCGAGGTTAGCAAAACCTTTCGTACCATGACCATAATGCTGATATTCCATCGTATCCATAGGTTGAAGATCTCAAAGAGATCTTTGACGAGGCCACTGACGATGAAGAGGACTATCCATCTCCGTCTTCGAATTCGACTTCAAGTCATCAGAACTTCATATTTGGCTTCTCTTCAAGCAATGTCGATATGATTCCTCTCCACCCGTTACCGCGCATGATTCCCAAATACTGGTCGCTATTTAAAGAAAACGTAGATGCACTAGTGAAAGTCTTGCATATACCAACGATCGAGCCGACGATTTTAGACACTGCGAATGGGCTAGCTAGTTTACCCAAAGGCTTGGAAGCCCTGATGTTTACAATATATTATGGTAAGCTCCGCAACTCAGCCCCAAATGCTTCGTCTCTAATTTGATATTTAGGTGCCGCGACAAGTCTCAGCGCCGCAGACTGCATACAACAATTGGGTGAGCCCAGGGATACACTGCTGAGAAGATATCGCTTTGGATTGGAGCAGGCTTTGGCTCGAGCTCACTTTCTGGACTCTCAGGAGATCATCGTCCTCCAGGCCTTTGTGATCTTCCTCATTCTTCTACGTCGGAACGATGACGCGCGTATCATCTGGACCTTGACCGGACTTGTTGTGCGTATAGCTCAGACCATTGGCCTTCACCGTGACGGAACGCATTTCAGCCTTACTCCGTTCGAAATCGAAATGCGTCGTAGGCTATGGTGGCAAGTTTGTATATTGGATGCACGGTCGTCCGAGGACCATGGCTCGGATCCGACCATTTCCGAGGCCCAATTCGACACCCAAATGCCACTCAATGTCAACGATGCGGACCTATATCCCGAGATGAGAGAACTTCCAGAGTCTCGAAAAGGTTTCACAGAAATGACCTTTTGCATCATCCGATTTGAGGTTGCGAACATGTTCCGACAAATTGTCTACGTGCCTCCTGGGCCAGTAAAATGTCCGTCGCAGTTCGCCAACTTGTCGATTCAAGATAAAGAGACGTGGATCACGAATTGCCATACAAGGCTCGAGGAGACGTACTTGAAGGAGGTCGACATGACTATTCCATTGTTCTGGGTCACTGCCACGGGTAAGTCGCTCTCTCATATGTCAACTCAGAGATTCAATCTAACTCGCATAAGTCTCCCGTCTAATATTATCCAAGATGTGGTTAGTCGTCTATCACCCCTTCCAAAGGCTTGATGGTGGTGCGTCCCTTCCCCAAGAAGTCAAAGACAAGCTTTTTATCACCTCCTTGGAAAGCGTTGAGTACTCTATATTACTGGAGACTGAGGAACGCACACGAAAGTGGGGATGGCTGTTCAAGACATGTATGTTTTATCTCCCAACACATGATTTTTTCACGGCTAAAGTTCCAGATGTTCAATGGCATAGCCTTGCTTTTATGCTCTCCGAACTATGCACTCGCACCCGGGGTGAAGCGGCTAAGCGTGCATGGAAAGCGATTGAAGCAACTGTCGCAAGTCGATTTCCCAGCCCATTTACAGATGGCAAGAAGGCGCAATTATGGAAGCCGTTGCGCAAGCTCCTGCTCAAGGCGCGTGTAGCCCGCGATAAAGAGCTGGCTCGTGAACGGCTTGAGCTACAGTCGCAAGGAGCAATCGACGTATCGGATCTACCACAGGACATCACTGGGCCCATTGAGAGCTTCCCAACTATCGACGCCCTTCTGTACGGAGCTAAATTTGACTCACCCTCACTACAGTCACCTAGCGTACTAACAACCATGAACACATCTTTTCCACCCACGAACACGAATACAATGGCCCCCCGAAATAGAGCTGCTGAAGATTTTGCTCAATTCTCGACTATGCCCATGGATTGGCTTATGGATGACCTCAGACATGAAACATATACGAGTCCTGGCGATGATCTGGTCAACTGGTCTAATTGGGACGATATGGTCCGACAATATGGCACGCAGGAAGACCCAGCCGGCATCAACTCAAACACGGCCGGGCTGGGAGGAACTTGGTATTGAAATGGGTAATGAATAATAACGGTGGACTCCTAGATACCTGTCTCTTCTAGAAAGCGTTGTTGGGTGGGTACGGAGTTCTGATTGCACAAAGCTTCGGCCATGGCGTCTGGGATACCCAATCATGACTCACTGTAACAATAGCTGTATTTACTAAGTACACTTCGCTCCCGGCATTACCTAATTGTCCATAAGGATATATATTGTCAATCCTGCCTTGTCCTTAACTACTATTGACATTTCAAGATCTTGGCGATTGTAGTTCGTGATCATGAAATCAATATTAAGACCATGTTAGACATATCCGGAATGAATCGGCCGAGAAATGGTGAAGACAGTCGATGGCGACTTCTGTGAATTGTCTGCATACGTAAGCGGTGATAGAATGCTTGTGTATATAGGTCACGACTACTTTATCATCTGAGTCTCAACAACTATCTTTTTCTTTTCCGCGCCTCTAGCTTCCACTTGGCTGAAGCCATCTCCAGGTGACTTGTATACTTGAAGAATGCACACACCTTCATCTGGGATGATATATATACTCTTCTTCGAGCCCCTGCAGGTATAGTGAAGTCAGACTTAAGTTGTGTAATTCTAACCATCACATATCTCAACTGCAAAGAGATGACAAGCCCCTTAAGCACAAAGAAGGATAACTTAAGAGACTTCGTTATCTGCACTCTACGTGAGCCTGAGACTGGCTCCACCGTGAAAGTGCAGGAGCAAGGTGAGGTCCATATTAGCGACGCTTCAGTGATTTTGCTGACCCGACATCTTAGAAGTTTCATCAATATGACCGACCAGCTGAAATAGTAGATTTGATGTTCCTCGCATAGTATGGTCATTCGGGGAGCTTTTGCAGGGTCGCTTAGCTTCCAAGATTCGCAGACGGTTCTAGTACGCCATCTTCAGGTTTTGTGAAAATTCTATCAATGGAGCAGTCATATAGCAAGACGCTCATGACAGCTGAAGACATTCATGATAGATTCTGCCTCTCAGGTGCAGTATATATTCCTCAGTTACTGGTCAAGAGTACTCAAGAGGAGAGTGAATAGTACTTTCGAAAGTCCGATGTGCTAGCCATGGGGTTCTTTCACGCGTTTCTCAAAAACCCCATGCCGCAGCGATCGATGCTTATACCCGGCACACGACGCATACACTCGGTTGCCTGGGCTATTTCAGCTCTTTCGACGTCCGCATGGTTGCCATGTCACCGTAGACAGTACATGAAAGCTGTGGTGCTATATCAGTGCATGAACAACACGTGCAGACCGCCAGTCTGCCATGATACATATTTAGCCATACCATACTCCTCTTTCTTCTTGCCCTTCTATCTTACCACACACTTTTCAGTTTCACGAAGACTCAGTCTTATTCATTACAATCCTCAGTTTCTATTCATCGAAGTCTCTGGTAGACCTCTACATCTTCAGTCTATAGCTGCTGCTAGACTCGGATCTTACACGCACCTCACAGTGCCTTAGGTCGAATTCATATCTCCTGTACCTGGATTGCTACATCGCAGTCATGTACCATCCAACTTCGGAGCAGAATTGGGAATTCCAGATCAATCCCGAAAGCCCTTATAGCAACACACAACAACCCGGTCAGCCTTACTACGGGGCATCAGGAATGAACTCTTCGTCACCCGTGATAGAGCCTTCACCGCGTCATATACATGGGCTCCCAAAGTACGAAGCCAACATTGGGATTGGAACCGGTCAGTTATCACAAGATGACTTGAACAATTTTGACTTCAAGATTGCGAAAGCTCTCCAGGTTCAGGGTGGAATCGACCATCTCTCACCCGATGACCGCTCTTCCTTCGGCAATATCATGCAGAATACAGAGTTCAAGATGTCTGATCAGCAACAGACAATGAACCATGCTTCTCATTATACTCTGCAGTTACAGAGACAGCAGACGGAGTTACATATGCAGCAACTGCAACAGAGACAGCAGCAACAAAGACAATGGAGGCAGCAGCAGCAGCAGAATGCTTTTAATCATCAGCGCTTTCAGCAGATCATACAAAACAACTCTGCCGCTACCCCACTGAGCGGGACGCCGATGGACTTTCAGACTCAAGATCGGCACAATGCCGCGTCCTACCAGAATGAAACGCCTTCATCATCTTTTATTCCAAACGACGAGCTGACGAACTTCGGAGTTAGGGAAAGATATAATTCTACTGCCCTGATGAACTCACCAGAGCCGCTTCTTCACATCGCCATTCCTCCCTCAGAGAATGGTTTCTGTAACTTCCAAGGTCCCGTCCAGGCAAAGGCATACATTGACGAGAGAAAGCATTGGAAGAATCAGGACACTAATGCTCCGCTGACCGACCAAGAGCTACGTCCGTATGCGGAAGCCATATTCGAGGCCATGATCAGCATAGGAAAGGATAAGTACAGACCAAAAGTACCCGACCCGAAACACTGGGGAGCTGGACAATGGACTCTACGCCAGATAGAGGCTCGTGCCTGGCATGTAGCGGTAATACTCCTCTTCATCGAAGCTTTCAGTGCATTGTTGACGTTTTGTACAGGACCTTACCGCTAAACTTCACCGCCTCGGCGACAACATGTGGGTTGCTCAAGGCTGTAAGAGTCGTATCTCTATGCGCGATACACAACTCAGCTTCGTCGAACGCATCGATCTTATTTGTAAAATCCTTCGTGTAAGTCTCTTCGCTTTTTTCTTGGAAACTAAGGATCATTCTTCTTTCCTCGCCTATTCTGTCTGACTCTTTGACAGAAGATGCACAACACGTGTACCGAGGTCATGAACGGCCAGAAACTTGACATCCTCATTCCTGGCCCAAACAAGCTGATGAAGCGTATTATTTCTAATGCCTCCGGAAATGAGAAGAAGAAGGGTTTGCTCGAGACAGGCAAGAAAGCAAAAGCGCGGGGCTGGGCCATTGATTTTGGCGAGGAAGAAGATGAAGATGCCGAGGGAGAAGGAGAAGAAGACGGAGATGAAGAGTACGTTGAAGAGACTGTCGAAGTTGAAGATAGTCCCAGTCTTCGTAGCTCGAGAGCTACGGCTGAGAGAGGCCGTCGTTTACGTCTAGGGCTCCGCGTCGATGGTGATCTAGCACATAAAAGTCGATCAACAACATGAGGGGTGTTGGATACATCGACAAGACCATTAATGGTGATCATACTTACTAGTTGTATTATACCCCGGACTCTGGAGTTTCTGGTATTGTTTGGTATATCGAGCGTTTATGACGACATCAGCCACGAAGTGTGTCAGCATGTCGCGAATTTAGGCCATGATATCTCTTTTCCCTTTTTGGATGTTCTTTTTATCTCGACTTCTTGTCCATCTTCACGATGCCTTTTGAACTATGGCGTCTAGTTTCTTTCACGATACCCCTTTCGATAGTCCTTTGTTGTCGGAGCGTCTTGCATGCGAGGCTGGAAATTCTTTGTATCCGCCTTGAGCGTATCATTCGAGCGCTTCATTCTTTGTCTTTGGGCCAGCTGACATCAGTGTCGAGCACTTCATTCTTTGTACCTGACTTAGAATTAGCGTTGAGCTTTTTAAATCATACGTTCATAGAGATAATGATAATATTTATTATCCGTTTGATGCGTTCGTTGGATTTATGAATGATTGGTGTTGACACTATTTTTTGACCATCAAGATCTTGGAATCTAGCACGCTCCAGGAGGTGCTCAACAATGCACACAATAATAACCCGGTCCCGTCGGCTCGACCCCGGGGTCATGTCTATGAGACTTGGAAATAGGACAACTGATGAAATACACTGTTACGTGGACATTCTAAAGAGGATAGACATACCGATTATAGCACTCATTTGCTATAGGATATCTTTGAGATGACTCTGATGATCACTACGATACGTTCGAGTAATACGTATCAACTGTACATCTCGATACTTCCTTTAGATGATCCGTTGATACATTATTAGCCCCAAACTCATCTTTTGACTAAACGAAGCTACTACTAAAGTACACAACGTTCTGTCCATATCAAGTCTGCTATGGATGTGGTACTTTGCCATACATCGCCATGTTCCCCATACCTTATCCTGCTTGAGGAAAATCCATATTCCATGCCCTTTTTCCATTTGGTACGTCCCATTCTACAGCTTAAGAACTGTCAAATATCTACCTATCTACTGACTCGTGCCTTTATAGAACTCGGCTACTCTTAAATCAGACAGACGCGTTCCCATTCATCAAACTCCCTTGAATTAGTCGATTTGTACTCCTTGAGATACCATAAACGAGTTTATACCCCCTTTCCTACAAAGTTCTCCTGCCAAACGATCCTATAATCGAACAAGCATAATCGGACATCGGAATAATAAAGATATGTTTTTAAAGGGTAACGCACAAGCGATCTACGGCAGTGGAAGGTAGAACTAGGTACACACTTGGTATCACGAAGATATTGTCATGCAGTTTCGTGGATTCGAAGAATATCAGATATGAAGATGAGCCTTATCAATCATTCCGCGGGCCTCGTAGTTAAGAAAATCTTTTGCAAACAACCAAGTGTAAAGAGCTAAGTTTGGTCAACGCTCATTGTAGTAACCGTGAAGGTATCTATGCTGAGTGGCGATCTTACAAGTGACATTTTTATATATTTTCGGCATTCTGTAAATGTCCTGGTCTTGAACAGCCGTCGAGATTTGATAGTACTTAGTCCGGAATGCCTCAATAGTAGGATACATCTGCATTAAGCCAAGTATCTACTTTGCCGGTAAGTATTGAATCATTTCATGGAGCAGTCAAATGCCCCTGAGATTATCAAAACGGTCGGTTCTTCTTCCCATTGCCATTAAGACGTGCCTACTGGCATAGACATGGAATTACCCTATGTAGGGATCGATAAGGTCTGCCAGGAGACATTTGATTTGATGTCATATCCAGGTACAATCAGACACGTCAGGTACGAATAGACAGTATCGTATTGTCGTGTTGGTGGCGGCCGAGTACGACAGTGTTCGGCTGATCACACAATACTGACGGAGGCAGCTGCTTGCCGAGCCGTCTAAGTGATAGACTACCTCTGTATATGCCTTGCTAAGCCTTACGAGATGATATAGAACCTACAACACTGTGCCTAATACGTACGATGAGTCGGTAGTATCGTGATTTGGTCACAAGGCAACCCCTGTTCGTCGGGCCTATAGAAGGGTATCAACAAAGACACACTGTAAATAGAGTGTTTCAATTGCCACTACCTGGCTCGCCGGACGATATTTCTCGGTACTAGTACCGTCAAAACTGAGGCTTAGGACAGTCACGACATCGCTTAGCACGTGGAACAGAACAGAAATACTGTCCACAACTTTGCCGTCCTCAGGTGCATATAGTCCCACTATATCTCCCTTTTCTCTTCTTCTTCCTTCTTCCTTTCTTCACCATCTTGACTTTGTTCTGGAGAAGCCTTCTGCCTTTCACGATCAGAGATCTTTCACCCTTTACTCTGTGCTGACCCCTGAATGGACATTTCATCTTGAAGTTGACAAGCATTGAGGTCAAGCAAAGCAAACATCACGACAAACATCACGATATAGAGCAGTTTCACAGCTTTTGCAACTCTGTTTCCCCCTAAACGACAACACATCTGGGTCGGATAAGCTTTGAACCAGAACAGAGTTTACAAGAGCGAAGAGAGTGACGCCCGACCCGTAAGTACAAATACACTCCTCGTTCACACGATATTGACAGATCTTCATCACTAGACGAGTACAGTATCACCCGAAACATCTGAGCGACGAAGTCCAGAACAGGAACCACGCCCCATACCGAAGAGAACACCTATTCACAGAAGATCTGTCCGATATGGCTGGTCAGGAGAACCACCAGTCTACGCACAACGGAAATGCTCCTCCGTTTAATCTACACGAACTACAGGAACTCACAAATGAGGGTTTGGACGGAGACAATAATGCCTTTAGCCAGTATATCTCTAACTCGGATGGTTTCACAACAAGCAATCAAACCAACAGTCGTTTCTTGCAACCTCCTAGGGGCATACAAAACCAGAATCCTCTCCGTTTTTCTCAAGCTAGCCAAGGGTTCACAAATCAGACTCCTCACGGCGTTCCAAATCCGTCCCTCTACGGCTTTCCGAATCAGACTCCTTACGGCCTTCCCAGTCAGACATTCGGTTATACGAATCCAGTTGCTCAGAGATTTCCGAGTCAGGCGACCCAGAGCCTCATGGACACCCATCGGGTTGGTGATCAGCGAACCAACTTGACCAGATCCCTCAATGCTTCATTTGGGGACGAAAATGAGTCTCCTCCTAGTTTCATCCGCGCGAAGAGACCTGATATCTATACCCAAGCACCAAGGAGTGCGAAGCAGACCCCGAATCACGGAAATATAAGTTCCCAATCCCAGTCTAAAACTTACCAGCAAGCGCCAGGCCTTACTGGTACCCCACAGAGTGAATCTCCACAGGTTACCCAGGCTCGAGTATATTCCAATCCACGTCAGAGACCTAGTTCGAACCCATCGCAGCAGCTCCACGCCGCCTCCTATCCCGTTCCGGAAAGCCCCCAATCAGACTCCAGGATTGCTACTCCTGCTATCACCATCAAGTACCCAAATGACAATGATCTGCTCTCCAAACCGGCTCCTCCAGTCTCCCAAATTCCTGGCACATTTGGCGAATGGCAAGGCTACTTTCAAAACTATGCTGCCGCTCACGCCTGGCGCAATCGTCCAGCCTGGACTCTCGAGCCGGATCCCTCTGTGCCCCGTACTGACGCCGAGAAACTACAATACGTCAAGCTCGTGGCCACCGCCATTGTCGACATCAGCGAGATCAAAGATCGCCCAGACGCCAAAACCCAGTTGATCCCACGTTTTACGGAGGGCAAGTACCCTCAGCAAGACGTCGAAGCAGGCGCCTGGCGCATCGTTGAAGACACGGTCCGCCTGCACACATACGGCGCCGTGGCCTACCTACACCCCAACGCCAACTCGTCCACCCTGACCGACCGCGATCTGTCCTTTACCGCACGTATTGCCTCCATCTGCAAGAACCTCCGCCAGTTCAAGAGCCTGTGCCAGCGCGCCATGGGCAACGAGAACATCGTCAACCTGATCCAGGGCCCCAAGAAGCAGCTCCGACGAAACCTTCAAAACGTCACCAACAACGAGACCAAAAGTGAACGTCTCAAGATGCTCAGCACAAAGAAATTCCAGGCCCTCACCGCTGCCGAAAAAGCCGCGCTGAGCGACATGACGGGCATCAAGAAACGCAAGCCCTCGCGTCGTTCCCGTGGTGAAACCGCGTCTGCGCTCGACGACGACGATGACGACTCCTTCGGCCACGACCCGGAGCTCGACTCGGAGGGCGAATTCAAGCCACCCCTGCCGTCGAAGCGTACACGCAGAACCACCGACACACTAACCGGCCCTGTCACCCGTCGTCGCTCGCAGATGCAGCAGCAACAAGAGCAGCAGCGCCAGCCGAAGCAGCACCAAAGCGACCTCACCGCCACATCTTCGCCTCCGCCCTTCAACATCCCCGCAGGCCCCTCGACGGCACTCCGCTCGCACCCAGCGCACAACCTGCGCCAGACCCAGACCCAGACCCAGACCCAGACCCAGACGGGCCACAGCACCGCGCCCTACACGGGCTTCCCGATCGTTGCAAATCCGGCATATGGATTCAATAACAACAATAGCAGCAGCAGTGGCAATAACAACAACAATAACAGTAGCAGCGACGGCGGTATCCACGATGACATTCCGCAGACGTGGTCGTACGCCGATCAGACGTTCGGCAACAACATGCCTGGCGGCGCGGGCTCCGAGAGCCGGTTTGGATTTGGAGGAGATGGCACTATGGACCAGTACGAGTTGCCACAGGCTGATGATACTGATGGCTTTGGTGAAGAGGTGTTTGAGCGCTTTTATGGCGAGTAGGGGAGGGGGTCAGGGGCAAGGGGCTAGGGGTCAATGAAATAAGGGAATTTTGCATGGAACAGCAGGGCCTTGGTTTAGATACAGTTCCATTGACACGATCTGAAGCGTGTGACTTGGATAGCTAGCGCGGGATCTATGGGCGCGGGCTACATGAATTGCGCATTGATTGACGCATGTTTGTATTTTTTAGTATCTTGGGTTTCTTTGGAAAGATAGTTGAAAGTAGAAATTGAACTATATTACAGCTGATAATACTCTTGTCTTTCTCTTGAGGTCCATAAGCTTAGTGTTATTCTCTTAGGTCTCTACATATTGAGTCTGATAGATAGTATAGACTACTGGAGTTATAGTAGACTATAGGATATATTATTACTATACTAAATATAATGCATCAGAACCTAGCTAAGTATAAGAGTAGATTTAAAATACAGCTAGTAGACATTAAGAGAGTTATACTTAGCTTTAATATTGCGTATTTAGTAGCAGTAGATATAGAGCAAGAGTATTCAGCTAGAGTAGAGAAGCAGTTGAAGATATAGCTAGAAGTCATTAACGAGGTTATACTGATTGGGAAGTTACCAGACTCTCTAGTTTTTACGGCCCATTCTGACGAGCTTGAAGCGAACCGTCCTGTTCGAGTGGCTAGGCTAAAGGAAGGCGCAGCGTGACTGATATACAAAGGTTCTCTCGATAAGTACAAGCATTTGCTGACTCTTGACTTTTCATTCGATGCAACACTCTCGTCCGCAAGACTGAAACTTAACTTTTGCTGGTTGGACCTGCTGGGCGGTTAAACAAACCACTCGGAACATTTCGCAACGACAAAATGACTATGCTTATCTCTGTGGAAAGTTTTACAGAGAAGCTTAGGTATGATAGTTTATCTATTACGTACTGAGAAAGAAGAAGGCGTACGTGGACAATGGCGAAAACTAATGCCCGGCTCTAGAACTGCCTAATCTAGGCGATTGTGCATCACCTGAAGAGGCAGCTAGCTCAAGTCTTGACTTGTTTCGTAGTCGATCCTAATATAAGAGAGTGGACCCAGAGTATAGAAGTAGATCTAGCTATAAGCAGAAGACAAAAGGATGATTACACCAAGTTCGAGACTTTACTATAAGTATAGTAAATACGAAAGAAGAGGTATTATCTAGAAATTAAGAGTAGATCTAGCTATAGCTAGTACATAGTAATGAGATTCTCATAAGCCAGACGACTAGATTATGACCTTAGCTTGACTGGACAAAATGATTTACACGAGAGAAGAGAGCGAGTCCAGGCATAGCCAGAAGGCTAAAATACACTTCTACTCCCTTCTATACCCCGAAACGCGCGTAGTAGACGTGACATTACGAGGCCCACTCACGGCCATGCCGTTGAAACTTGATTCGGGATGGAGGGTTGAGCGGTGGTCGAGGAGTTGGGTCGTGCGTTAATACGAAACATGGCAGTGAGTAAGTCCGTAGAGGGCTGACAAATACAGTAGCGCCAAGCCGCCGACGGGATAGGCACGTGATATGGATGTGAGGAGAAGATATCACGTGATTTGAAGATGAACAGTAATTCGGAAAGGCGATAAGGAACAGAATCAAGACGGAGGTGAAACTGTAGGGGTCCTTGGCCTTGCATGCATGGATACGTGACGCGTAATCTAGCTGGTCATGTTGATGCGGAGTGGGGAGATGAGGCAATGGGCATCTATCAAGCTGATGGCCTGTTGTCAGAACGATTCTCTAGTCGGGGCGACGGTGGGACTGATGGAAGCTGGAAGACATGAAACATTTGGTACTATGTCTATGTATCATGTATGTGTGTGTATATGTCTGTGTATATGTGTGTGTGCATGCATAGGAAGACCCATGCATCTCCATGGCTTGGCTGCTGCACGCCGTGTTTGGGCACCACCCAGTCACAACACTCGCCGCCGGGCGTATCTGTTGTATTACCATTCATTGTTGTCTAACTCGGCTAGCGGCTGTGGGGATCATGCGATGAAGACGAACCAGTGGAGAGTTGGGAGTGTGGAGAGTGGAGTATCTGGGGTAGCCATGATGCATGAGTCGTGCGAGCATCAGCATGTAATAGTAACGACAGCAGCGATATTGATAATGCTATGTGATAGAATCACCTCGAGCGAGAGTCTAGACTCCAGATTGAACCGCGTGCTCTCCTTGTGGCTTATAGACGTGTCAGGGTTGATCGCCAGCCCGATGAAGATGAGGAGCGACAAGTGACACGAAGCCCAAGACAAAGACGAGACGCGGCAGTTCAGTGCGAGAGGAATTAAGTCATTACTGTAGTGTGGAGATGCTCGGATGAGAAGAATATTGCTGAATTAGTTCTATCAATCAATACTGACCATACCTGGATGCCTGGGGCCTGGGGTCTGGCCTGTCTGGACCTCCCCAGCTGCCGTTCCGAGATGCCGTCGTCAACAGCTCCTCCAAGACCTCAGCGTGTTTCGACGTTGACGTTCATTTTCAATTCGGCCTCTCTTCCCGTCTGTCTCCAGGACACAAATATCCGTCCGTCGCCCTCTCGCAAGTGGTGGATTCTTCCGTCCACCTTTGAGCCAACCATCCATCGCTGTTCCCGCTATGCCCGAATTCTACCCCGAAAAAGACGTCGCTGTCCATCCCTCCGAGTCCGACCTCAATCCTACAGACAACCATGTTGAGAACTTGCACGATGCTGCTGCGAAAGGCCATGCCGCCACTGACAGGCATGCCATCCTCTACTCCTTCACACGCCTGTCTTCCTAACACTCTCTAGCCACGGAAACGCGTTGATTGTCTTTGACAAGGATGCTGAGGCTCGTCTGCGCTGGAAGATTGACCTCTACATCGTTCCCACCGTCGCCCTCCTCTACCTCTTCTGCTTCATCGACCGCGCCAATGTCGGTATGTGACTTCACAAGCCCAGTCAATCCTTCAAAAAGCCGACAAGCTGACCACTTCCAGGAAATGCTCGTCTCGCAGGCCTCGAGAGAGACCTTAAGCTCAAGGGCTATGACTACAACCAACTCCTCAGTGTCTTCTACGTCTCCTACATCGTCTTCGAGATCCCCTCCAACATGATGTGCAAATGGGTCGGCCCCGGCTGGTATATTCCCGCTATCTCGCTGGGCTTCGGAATCGCCTCTCTCGGCACCGCATGGGTTACAAACCTGTCTGCTGCCTGCGGTGTGCGCTTTCTGCTTGGTATTTTCGAGGCTGGCATGCTGCCTGGTATTGCCTACTATTTATCGAGATGGTACCGCCGTTCAGAGCTTGCGTTTCGCCTGTCGCTATATATCGTCATGGCACCCCTAGCCGGCGCGTTCGGTGGCCTTCTGGCGTCTGGCATTCTCAAGCTTGAGTCGTTCGCGGGTCTACGCGAATGGCGCATGATCTTCGCAATTGAGGGCATCATCACCATCTGCCTCTCTGTCATCTCATTTTTTACCCTGACTGACCGGCCTGAAACCGCACGCTGGCTTTCACGGGCAGAAAAGGACCTGGCCATCGCCCGCGTCAAGAGCGAGCGCGTCGGCATTACCGAAGTGCTCGACCGCATCGACACGGCCAAGACGCTTCGCGGTATCTTCTCTCCTGTCAGCATCGGCACCAGCTTGATCTTCCTGCTCAACAACATTACGGTGCAGGGTTTGGCCTTCTTCGCGCCTACGATTGTGCGCACCATATACCCCAAAAACACCGTCATCTACCAGCAACTGCGCACCGTGCCGCCCTACGTTGTCGGCGCATTCTTCACCCTCCTTTTCCCGTTCCTGTCGTGGCGCTATGATCGGAGAATTATCTTCTTCATCATATCCTCGCCCCTCGTCATGATCGGCTACATCATGTTTCTTGCCTCCACAGACGCCCAAACGCGCTACGGCGCTACGTTTATCATTGCGTCTGGCGCATTCTCCTTTGGCGCGCTGTGCAACGCCCAGGTGTCGGCAAATGTCGTGTCCGACACGGCGCGTTCCTCAGCTATTGGCCTTAACGTCATGATGGGAAATGTCGGAGGCTTAGTGTCGACGTGGTCCTTCCTGCCGTTCGACGGCCCCGACTACCATATCGGTAACGGTCTCAATCTCGCGACCAGCAGCACCATATTGCTTCTGAGCTGTGCGCTGCTGTGGTGGATGAAGAGCGATAACAAGAGGCGCGGGCGGCGTAATGTCGAGGCCGAACTGGCCGAACTGGATCAGCGCAAGGTGCAGGATCTGGACTGGAAGCACCCAGGTTTCAGGTGGAAGCCGTAGTTTGAGGACGGGGTCATACCTTTTATAAAGAGTCATTGCACGGGGTCACGATGAGATGTCTGTATATTTTTGTTCTTTTGACTGTGTAAGGGCTTGCGGTCTGTATATAACGCGCTATGCATGTCTTCGATACATCAGTACATGAATACATGTGTTTGTGTCCAACAGCGATCCGTGCAACCTCACACTCTGAGTGGTTAATGCATGCATGTATGCTACGCATGTATGTAAGCTTGTGTCTGGGCGAGTCGGTATATCTTATTCGTCCACCTATGCATCATTCGTCAAGCCATATGTATATACATATGTGCACGTGTATATCTGAATATACACCCGCCCTCTCTCTCACGCTACCAGCCCTATATCTCGATGAATATACATGACTAATAAGTAAATACGTCTCAAACGTGCTGTAGATTTTCGTAGTGAGCCTAGTGATAAATGAGCGCTCCACAGCCCGCACCACGCGGGACGACTGGAGACGGGACTGGCAAAGACGACGGGCACTAATTTACCCCGCAAAACACACGAAACGCCCCCTAAAAGACGGCAGCGACGAGCGGGTTGTTTGTGGGTCTGGGCTGCTGTGTGGCACGTGAATTGGAAAGTGGTGGGAGTGGCGCTAGGCAGAAGGAGGTTAGGCCGATGGAGGGGGCGGGTACACGTGAGGCGGGCAGGGATGATGCCTAATGATTACCTTAGCTAACTGCTGATCATGATTAGGTCGGCTTGCTTGGCTTCGGGCAGGCTGTGTATGGATGATGTATTTTGTGGGGTTAATGTGCTGAGAGGATGAGAGTGAGAGGAGAGTTTTGTAGTGTTGTGTGCTATGTTGTGTGATGCTGTGCTGTGCTGATAGGGCAAGTAGGTGTGATCTGGAGGAGGTATAAATCGTTATTATATGCGGTGACATCCCATCTGCACGTATAATTACACGCACACGCACACGCACACACACATACACACCTACACCTAAACCCACACGACCGCAAATAAGCACCACCATCATCATAACCACCCATGGCACCCGCACGCATCATCGATACGCCCGTCGTCACGAACACATACGACTACATAGTATGCGGCGGCGGCACAGCCGGCTGCGTGATCGCCGGACGCCTGGCCGAAACCACAACGACACGAATCCTCCTCATCGAAGCTGGGCCAGACAGCAAGGACCTGGCCACAATGCACATGCCGGGCGACTGGATGGGCAACTTCGACAATAATAAGACGGACTGGAACATCGTCACAGAGCCGATGGCAGGCGCGAATGGACGACGGGTCAAGTGCTCGCGCGGGCGGTTCCTGGGCGGCTCGTCTGGGGTGAATGGCACGTTGTGTATCCGGGGCACGCGGCAGGACTATGATGACTGGGGGCTGGAGGGCTGGGGCGGGGAGGATGTGTTTGGATATATGAAGAAGGCGGAGACATTTCATCCGAGTGCGCGGTTGAAGGGGGCTGCGGGGGTTCATGGAACTGAGGGACCGCTGCATGTTGCGTCGCATGAGCTGGCGCCGATTAGTGAGCGGGTGATGGAGAGTATGGTTGAGAAGGGGTTGCCGCTTTGTGAGGATATGTTTTCGACTGGGGAGACGGCGCATGGGTGTGGGCATGTGCCTAGGACGATACATCGGGGTGTGAGGACGACGGCGGCTGATTTTGTGACTAAGGGGTTTAAGAGGGAGAATATCACCATCATGACGGATGTTACTGTCGATAAGATTGTTGTGGAGAGCCAGGGGGATGGTTTGAGGGCGACTGCCGTGGATCTTGTAGCTGAGAATGGCACAAGGTCGAGAGTGGGTGCGTCGAAAGAGGTCATCGTCAGTGCTGGTGCGTATTGCTCGCCTGCTATCCTGTTGCGATCGGGCATCGGCGCGAAAGATGAGCTTGAGAAGCTAGGCATCGAGTGTGTCGCAGATCTACCAGGTGTTGGGAGGAACCTCATGGATCATATCGTGAGCGGTCTTGTGTCATTCACCCACTCTTCTTGTGGCTAACCTCCGCTCCAGTTGACCTTTCAGTTCTACCAAGTCACCGAACCGGGGCTTACGTACGACTCTCAAGTCTTCCACGATCCTCAAGGCCTGGCTAAGCTCAGGAAGCAATATGGCGATACAAAGTCTGGCTTCCTGAGTGTATTTCCCTTCGGTGCCTTCTGCTTCGCCCGCCTCGATGACCGACTCGAGGATTGTGAAGCATGGAAGAACGCACCGAGAAAGCCTGGACGTGACCCTATGGGCCTAGCACCGAACCAGCCAAACATAGAGATGTGGAATACCGAGCTGTATGGCGGTCCCAAGCAGTTTGACAGCTACCCAATCGATGGCAGCCATACCTTCGCCATGTGCACATTGCTCTTCAACTCCAACTCTCGCGGATCGGTCAGGCTTGCGAGCTCCGACCCGCTGAAGAACCCTCTGGTCGATCATAACTACCTCGACCACGAACTCGACCTACAAGTCCTGGCCGAAGCGTGTCGGTATTCGAACGAAATCGTGATGGAGGGTGTCGGCACCAAGAACATCGTCAAAGGCAGTTGGCCTCCAGGGTTGAAGCACCATACACACAAAACACGAGAAGACTGGATCCCGCACGTCAAGAACAGTGCCACGACCTGTAAGTCTATTCTATCCTGTTATGCTCGGGCTAGATACTGAAATGCTTCCGCTGCAGGCTACCATGCTTCTGGCACGTGCAAGATGGGCAAGTCTGATGATCCGATGGCGGTGCTTGATGAGAAACTACGCGTGCGTGGTATTGACGGGCTACGTGTTGCCGATGCTAGTGTGATGCCAATTGTGAATAATGGACATACCCAGATGGCCACTTACGCTATTGCTGAGAAGGCTGCGGATTTGATCAAGGCGGATGCGAGATAGAGAGGGAAAATCTCAGAGATAGATGTACATAAGAGGCATACACTATATCTATCTTTGAAGAGCGAAATCGTCATTATAATGGCCTGACTCACGGACATTAGACACGGAAGTAAGGGATGAAGGCTGAGGTGAAGGAGAAAGTCTTGGCGGGCGGCAAAATGTGCCAGAATGTTCCCGGGATGGAGCTAAAGCCACAGAACGTCATTATATCCTCCCTCCTCTCGCCGCCTCTCCTCCGTCTTCTTGTCATCGTCGTGCCACCTGCACTTTCGACTTCGATCATCAAAGAACGATGGCGTTCATGCTGAAGCGTCCGTTTGCCATTACGACTGCCCTCAAACAGGCGCCGTCAAAGGCCACAACAAACTCGTTTCGCTACCTTCACAACCTACCACTCGCAAAGTCGCAACCGATCCTCTCGCAAATCCGCACCATCCCATCCGTGTCAAAGTCGCAGAATGTATTCCGTCAAACGTTTCGAAGAAGCTACCAGACCCAAGGCATCCCTTCCCTTCAAGCATCTGGCGACATGAAGCAAAGGCTACTCTACGGCGCAGGCATCTTCGGCGGAACTCTTCTGGCTATCAACCTGGTCTTCAACCGCGAAACAAGAGAAGATGGCGGTATGCCTCATTATGAGCGCAGCTACCTGAATGAGACGTTCATGCACACCGGTCTTGGTCTCGGCATAATCGGTGTCGCCGCGAGCGCTCTTCACCGCAGTGCGTGGAGCTACCGACTTATGTCTGCCAACCCCTGGCTCGTTATGGGATTGGGCCTTGTTGGTTCCATTGGCACGATGTATGGCTGTATGGCTACTAGTCCCGACAAGTAAGTCTAAGCATAATCTTCCATGCATTCGCAAACTAACACGTCATAGCTATGTTCAGAAATATGCACTGTGGGCCGGCTTCAACGTCGTTCAAGCAGCTCTCCTTTCTCCGCTCTTGTTTATGTCGCCCGCCCTCCTCGCTCGCGCTGGTCTCTATACTGTTGGAATGATGGGTAGTATTGCTTTCGTTGGCGCCACTGCTAAGCAAGAAAAGTACCTTTACCTTGGTGGACCTCTTCTCGCGGGCGTGGCAATTGTCGCTCTTTCCGGTCTTGCCCCTCTCGTTGTTCCCGCCACTGCTGCCCGTACCCTGATGTGGACTGAGAATATCTGGTTGTACGGCGGACTAGCTGTCTTTGGTGGCTTCACTCTGTATGACGTGCAGAAGGTGTTGCACCACGCTCGTCTTGCAGAGCAGGGTATGGTGCCCAGAGATCCAGTCAAGGAGAGCATCAGCCTTGAGCTCGACTTTATCAACATCTTCATCCGCATGGTCCAGATTCTAGGGATGAGCCAGAGGAGGAAATAGATGAACAAATAGCTACGTGAAGATTGGGAATTAGCGAGTGTACAAGCAAACTAGGTGGTGCATTGTGATTCAATGGACATTGGCGTTATCAGGCATGACATGAGTCCTGCTCTCTCCTCTCTGTGTGACTTGTAAAATAAAGTACCACGTATATCAATGACTTTGCAAAACATGGATGCGCGTGAACGTTAATACCTGCTGTTAAACTTGTACTAGTCTGGCATGGGAATTGTGACAACTGCGTCGCTGAGTCTAGACTATTGTCAAAACATAATCCTTTAGCAGCAGCAGCAGCATCATATAAATAGCATGAATTCCGAACGTTCGGCCTCAATGTTGTTATTACTAATCGACACCTGCGAATGGATCCGTGGCATGGGTGCGGAGTCCTAGGCCGAGGTAAAAAGTACGCGTTCCGGGTAAGTCTGTCTGGTCTCCTTGCAGCTTAATTAATTGATACCCCAGAAACATCTCACAAGGCCATCAATAAATAAATTTTACAACGCCCTATCAAACGCTGGATTATCACTAAAGCTGTTTCCAATTCCATTAGATTTCTTATCACAAAGAGCTTGGATCTCGCGAAACCATTGACAGCATTCTACAATGGCGGGCCCGCCTTACAAAGACATTACGTTTGAGATCCGCGGGAAGATTGGGATTATCAAAGTAAATTAATAGCTTTCTTTCCTGGGCATTGTTGGATAATGTGACAAGTATTGTTATTATGATTACCCAGATCTAACCAAATTCCCCCAGTTCAATCGTCCGAAGCACCTCAATTCGTTTGGCGGGAGCATGGTCGAGGAGGCCATCGATGCCTTTCGGATCCTCGACAAGCACCCCGACACCGTCTTCACCGTGCTCACCGGCGAAGGCCGATTCTTCTCTGCCGGTGCAGATGTGAAAAGTAAGTTCTGTCCCTTTCTATCTGCGTGCTCGATATATATATGTAACCCCTGAGCACCTCACGCAGCCGCGCTGATTAACGCCGCCAGCCATCGCCTCGGTCGAGGACGTGCAAAACGAAGGCCAGAAGAAGCTGTACTGGCTACGCCGCTTCCTGCCTGGAGTCGAGCTCGTCCGGTCCATCATCGACCACAGCAAAGTGACAGTCCTGGCGCTAAACGGCAACGCCGTCGGGGCTGGCGCGGCATGGTTCCAGGGCAGCTCGGACCTATTCTTCGCAGCCGAGGGCGCGTGGCTCAACGTGACGTTTTCGGCGCTCGGCCTGGTGCCGGAGAACGGGTCGGCGCTGGCGTTTGCGCAGCACATGGGCGTGCACCGGGCCAACGAGATGCTCATGTTTGGGCGCAAGGTGACGGTGGAGGAGTTGCGGGAGGTGGGGCTGGTGAATCAGCTGTTCCCTGCGGCGAGCTTTCATGAGGATGTGGTTGGGTTCTTGGAGAGGCAGTTGGTGGGGAATGATGGGAAGAGCATGGTGGAGATGAAGAGATTGCAGAATGAGGGGCGGAAGTTGGAGAGGATGGCGGCGGTGTATTCGAGTGTGGATGCCTTGGCGGAGAGGTTTGTGGAGGGGGTGCCGATTGAGAGGATGGGTGCGAAAATGCAGGAATTGGCGGGTGAGTCATTGTCGTGGGCGTACAGTCATCGTTGCATATGAGTCGCTAACCGTGTTGCAGCAAAGTCGAAAAGCCGGTCTAAGCTGTAGATTCGTCGTGCTTGGATGTATGATGTCTGATGTCTGTATGTCTGGATGTCAGGATACAATTCAAGAATGAATTTCTACGATTTCCCCGTCAAGACTTTCCTGGTGTGAATTGGACATGATTTGCACTGTGACGAGAGAGTATATGGGGGAAGGGGTAAGGACATTGATTATGCCTCTAAATTTTTCACACAGTCACTACGTCGTGCGCCTCCTTCCTGAGAACTAACATGAGCGCACGAAGTTAGGCATCTACACTTCACGATGCGCAATTTCCTTTCATTATTGCATCCAGTACCTGATGCATGGCTCTTTTCATGCACATTCTTTCCAGTCCTCACATAATCAGCAGGACCCAGGACTCAGCATCAGTTTCACTATCTACACCTTGCCCAGTCTTCTTGATACAGTCTGTCTTCCCACGACTTCTAGCTTCTGTCTGCCATGGACTACGAAACATTCCATAGATATTTACAGCGCAGCTTCGATCAGGTTTGCCGTCGGAATCTTTTCCAGGCGAGCATATATATCTGCGACTGGCAGGAATATGGATTGGGTTACCCCATACGATGTCTAGTATGGCCCTACGACAAGACGCGCCACTTTTACATAGACGTCAAGCTACATACACAAAATGCAGACTCGCACCATCCGCTTCTCATCATGAACAGATCAAGCAGGTATAGATATGGATGGGAGAAGGCATCTACCTGGCTGGCCAAGGAGTCGAAACTACAGCTTGAAAGGATCAACACCAAGAATGAGTCCACCGAGAACAATGTTACCACGAGATTCCAGACAAAGACAAGATGGCAGTGGGTTCTCGACGGACAGTTCTGGATGGCTCACCCATGGTCTCCGCTCTCCACTACTCTACACCCAGAGCTAGGTATCCGCATAGTCCCTCCTTTCCGCATCCTAGATCTGCCAGATGAGATCCTCGACATAATCCTCACGAACGCTCTCGATGCTCCTCCGGAGATCATCCTCAAGACAGACCTGCCTTTCGACGATAAACACCATATAGACCCCCCGCGTCCCATTCCCAATATACAACTCCTACGGGTCTGCAAGCGCTTCAAAGCCATTGGTACCTTCAGTCTCTACACACGCACCAAATGGCACATGACCTATCCTCCTGAACTCAAATCAACCATGCCCCCAAAACCCGACCCCGGCGCCGCCTTCTCCTCCATCCAACACTCCATAGGCGCCCGAAACTACAATCTCCTACGCGATATAACCATCGAAGTGCATGAATCCCAGACCAATCTCCCCGGCTGGTTCGCCCAGCATCTCCTCGAAACCATCGAGCTGTTCGCCACCTTCCTGCCCCATATTCGCCGCCTGCACATCCGACTAATCAAATGGGACTTCAGCCCTCGCGAGATGATCGGCATGGGCAAAACGTGCTGCTATCTGCGTGCGCGCGTGCCGAGACTTCTTCTCAAACGCCATATGTGCTCTGCGATCAACTCGCTTATTGCCCTGGCTAGCAGCGCAGGGTTCCTGGCTAAGATACATGTCATCTCGCGGTATATCCACTGGGACACATATTGTCCTCCGTGGGGCATGCCTGAGAATGGGTGGATAGCCAGACACGGCGCTCCTGTCTCGGCGGGTGAGTGTGTGAAGACGAGTTGTTGCGCCGAGGACTTGTACGTACCTGTCTTTGTCTTCCATGGAATCACTTGTCCTGTCACGATTCATGTGTGGTACATGAGCTAATGATATACACAGTGCACATGTCATTTCCGAAATCGTAAACGATGCATCCACAACCATGCCCACCAGAAACACCGCCATCAAGCACGCCGCGGCCCTCATCCTCCATGCCGCCGCAAACCTCTCTGACATACACTATGACGACATCCTCCTCGTCTGGCTTTGGCTCGCTCACGCCGATGCGCGCAGAGATATGCTCTCCTCGTCCTCCTCTGCTGGAGCAGAATCTGATGAACCAACTTCGACGCTCGCGAGTCTGAGTCGTGTCATAGGAATGCTTTATGGTTCAGATAACAGCAATATAGAGGATAGAAATAGAAGGAGTGTAATTCAGTTGTGGAGCAGGTGTTGTCCGTGGATTTCGAAGGCGCACTTTGAGGGTTTCGGGGCGTTGGTTGGAGGGGTTGGGTGGTAGTCTGATATAAGTCACGATGACGACTGGGAGGGGGTGTTGGGTTTGTGAATGGGATGGAGAGGATGGTATGGATAGGTAGATAAGAGTAGATCGAAAAGTAGATTAGGATGATGGTCATATGGCGTGTGGACGTGAGAGCTTCTCATGATGTGGTAAGTATGTATGTATCGGGTCGCACGCACGTCCCTTATCCTATTAGTATTATTTCATTTACTCATGAGAGTTGTAAGAGGTATTAGAGTAATGAAGTATCCGACTAGATAGGTAGCTAGACCAGCTAGACTTGAGCTTTGAGCCATGAGCTTGACATGAAGACTATGGTATGGAAGTATATACCTCTGCATATATATATATAACGATTCACATATCAACTCAAGATTGAATGTCAAATGAGCGAGTCGGTGGCATGGAAAGCGATGCATGAATGAACGCATGAGTTATATATATATATACGTGTTGGATATTAGGGGTATTAGTATGGTTGTCTGGATCGTGTGTGTATATCCAGGGCTATTTATGCGTCCTTGATCTGCTAAGCATGTACTATTTGCTTGGACGTTATAATCATACGGCTATACGGTTTATAACCTCTTTTCTCTTTCACTGGATATGTGATACTGTATCAAGATGGAGTGTATTGATTCGCTACTTTATGCACATACACACACACATATATATATATACAGTCTTCATTCGCACTGATCGAAAACTTCGCCAGTTTTCCTTGTATTGCCATTTTTGGCTTCTTGTTCATCAAGTTCGGCCAGGTTTCAAAGTGCGAGGAAGAGCATGAGCATGGTCAAATACGAACGAGCATGGTCAAATACGAACTTCCATACCTAGTCTACTTTGACTTATGTCACGAGTTGGTCACAATATAGTAGCTATACATGTAGGCACTTTGGGCTACGGTCTTGATTGTTGTTGGTAGGATCGGTATCACGTACTCATTGGCTGGAGCACTGACATAGGAATTTTCTTTGGGGCTCTTGCGACGCTGTCGTAGTCAATGTCCTTGTAGCTATTGTTGTTTTTGTTGTTGTTGATTTATGATGCTATGACAGGGGATCATTATCTTGCACCCGTCCCACTGGCTCCTGCCCTCGCTCGTGCCCGCGATCTTCCCTGCGCTCTCCGACCCTCACCCCTCGCGCTCCCTCCGTGATCGCCCGTGGCTTGTGACTCGGCCTCGGTGGTCGCGTGATACTCGGATGATGACGATGACGAGGGCGCCGATGGGTTGTCGTAGTGCGTTGGGGGTACGGTTTTGTAGGCTCGTACTTTTTGGGGGTTTGCTGTGGTGGTATTCAAGTTGCCATTTTCGTTGCTATCGCCATCATCACCATCTTCATCATCATCATCATCATCGTCGTCGTCGTCGTTGACACTGCTCGAAGTGGTGGAGCGGGCACGTTTCGTGGCCGAAGAGACGGTTTTGGACGGCGTGGCGCCGTGGAATTTGCCGCCGTAGTTGTAGAGCAGCTCTTCGTGGACGTGTATGGGGCGGGCCGCGTAGATGCCGATGCGGCAGACGGTGTTGCAGGCTTTGATTCTGGGGTAACAGTTTGCGGTGCGTTTGGCGGTGGCTTTGTGTTTGTGCTTGGGTTTGTCGGTGTCGTCCCACTGGGCGCTGTTGATGAAGCGCATTTTGTTACCGGCGCGGGTGCTGTCGATGACTATGTCTAGTACAGCGGTGTTAGGAGCGAGAGCAGATCAGGAGAATCGTGAAACACACCTCTATGTAGTTCGAAACCGTAGGAATAATTTCTGTGGACGGTGACCTGGAACCGTCTGTCAAATTCGTCAATGGTTATCAGTTCTCCGGTGTATTCTCCGATGAGCTCATCCTTCTTGATCTCCTCAACAGCAAAGAGACCAAATCCTTCGACATCCGAGTTCCCTATTAACGTGTGCTTCCGCATACGTCGCTGAATAGCACAATTCCCACATACCGGTGGTGGAAGCTCGCAATGACGGTTGACTGGGTCCAAGACTTCTCGAACACCACAGCTTCCGCATGTGTCAGGATCACACTCACGATTCAATTGTAGACACAGGCAGACTGTGCGGCGCTGAGTGGCGATGTCGACGTGCAAGCAGGGCCTTCCTTCGCGTTTACAGTCGCACCCAGGGAACCGGCGTAGACACTGCGCGTTGCATCCGCAAGTCTTCTCGCAAGGAATCTTCAACTCGAAACACGAGCACTCCGCCGCAGTCTCACACGGCCCATCATGGTCACAGGGTCTGAATATCTGCGTCTGCTGGGGTTCGTGTGCATTTCCCATCTTCGGCTTCGGCCGTCCAGTACCCTGTTCCATCCAGCGAACTGCCCAGCCACGTGAGCTCAATGCCGGGACTCCTTGCTCTAGAGGGGGCTTCTTAAGAGCCGTGAATCTGAATCGCTGGTTGTGCTGTCCAGGTTTGAGCAAGATCTCCTCATCGCAGTCTAGTTTGTTGTCGAGGATATCGCCGTCTTCGTAAACGCCGTGATATGGGCAGTCATGTCTTGACGTGCACGAGTTAGTCAACTTTCAGTAGCTGAATCATATCACCTACATCTTGCAGATTTCGCAAAGGAGGTCCTCCTTGGGAACTTTTTTGTTCGCTAAGTCCTCACGTGTTGACCAGTCTATGAACCATTGGCGTGCTAGTTCAAACAAGCTGAATTTTGTCTCTTTCCAGAAAGCGGCGCTTACAAGAGCTGCTGTGACTAGACTTTGCTTGGTCATCTCAGGTACCTTGTCATTGAGCAGGTCTTCCCAGGTCGAGTCGATCTCCCCGATGTGTAATTCAGTTGGTGGAGCATAGATGTTTCGATCTCTGACTTTCACACCCACCATTGTGGGTAGATCACTGAAGCTCTCTAGTAGATTTGGCTCTTTAAAATATCGCAGCACGTCGGACCAAGAACACTGCGACTCTCGTAATATATCTTCCGCATAACGAGACCATGTTATTCCCCGACCTTTTGAGATGTTACGCGAGTCCCTGTCGCGGTTGAGTACTGGTAGCTGTTTAGTCAACTCATTCTGCACTTCATCCGTCTGCTCATCGTTTTCGAAAAAAGGGATGCTGAGTAAAGCATGTTTATTCTCAGCTAGAATGTTGCTTGATATCTCGGTATAGTGAGAGTACTTTGGCGTGCCACTAGGCCTGATCTCAGAAATCATGCTGGGAATGCCATGGTGAGGTACACGTTTTTGATCGCAGGATTTATGCACAAAGCTGGTGACCTTCGAATTTTCGATATTTGCCGATGATCGGCTAGCAAGTATCAGCTTTAGAAAGGGGTTTTCTTTATCGACCCATCTATCATTGCATCGTTTGATGGCTTTTCGTTGGTGCTCGAGTAGGGACTTTTATTCACGTCAGACGAGACGACTCATCATTGCAGAGCAGTCACTGACTTACCGAAAGTTGTGCCTCTCGGTCTTTGAGACACTTTTGAACATGGCGCCGCACAATCTCAGAAACTGCCTCTTCTTCCACGCCCCTGTCTGTGTCTGATTGTCATCAGCTCGAACCATTCAGAATGTTGATCAAAGGATTTATGATTACGGTTTACTATTGGTACGGTACGTCTTTGCTCAGTAGACTCTACTTCATGGGCACCCTGGTTCGAATCTGCGTTGGCCGTGTCAACAGCATCAAAGCTCCTCACTTGGGTCACTTCCTTGGGACTTGTTGCATCCTCCTCCACGACCCTGGGGCCTCCTTCTCCGCTCAGGATGGATGTCTTGTGACTGATCCGGTCATCGTAGTTGATAAGTCTTGATGAGTATACCATTGCAGTATCAGCTAACCGAGCGGCCGCAGCCTCCGAGACTCTTAGAGGATTCGCAACAGCGTTCCGGAGGTGCTTGGAGGGGTTTACCGTGTCGATTCTGGCTATACCTACTTCCTCGGCCTCTGAAACCTTTGAACGATTCACTGTAGCATCCCTGAGGCGTGTTGATGAGTCTGTGCTGGCAATCGGTGCTGCATCATTCTCCAGGACTGTTTCATTGCTTACAACGCCAATTCTGCGATTAGAAGTCTTCGCACTGTTTATGCTTTCATGTAGCGTCGTGGTGAGCCCAGGTTGTCTCTTAGTACTCGCTGCTAGGTCTTGACCTTTAGTCGGGCTGGGCTGGTCAGACGGCGTGCGGGTTTTTTTCCGAGCAGGCTGCAACTCATGCGATTTAACACGAGTGGGCACTCCCGATGCTGGTCGACTGTCATCCGCAGACACGATCTTCGTGTCATCACCACTAGATATGGTTAAGTGATCATGTAATTGATGTGCCTTCCTTTTGCGCTTCGGAGTTGTGGATACTGATGCGAGCGGCGGGTCTCTACTTTGACTTGCACGATGTGCTCGTCGGGACAGCCTGTGAGGTAATCTGCCTTCATCCGAGGTGACACTCGTTTTATCATCATTCGTCAAGTCAATGATATCTCGACGTGCCATGAATGTTGCAGTTTGTTGTTGGGTGAATTTGATATAATGTTTGATGAAGGATCTAAGAGATTGAGAATGAGATACCTTACCTAATACCTACTATGGATAATCATAATCACATCTTAGCGCGTACACTATACCAAAAGAGGGATGGTCATGCTGGCCATGTTCGCTCTGTATCTCGAATTGATAAGATACAGGTCAGAATATGTCTGTTCAATTAACCCGTGACGCTGTTATTCCGGTACTAATGCCATTTCTGAGTTTCGAAACCTCGGCACGTGCAATGAATAACCTTAGAAACCTCCAAAACATCATGAATTTCTAAACTCTAGCCGCTACTCATACTACGAGACGTGACCAGCCTACCTAAATCTCAGCAGGAATTCAACTTTAATAAGCGAGGGAAACCTGTATATTGAAACATTGCGGACATGTAGCAGGGCATCGTACTCCAGATAAAAATGAGCATCCCCGTTGTGTTGCACCTCGTCTACCGTATTTTCGAGTGTTGAGAAGAATTGACATTTGCAGCCCATGCGCAATATATTTTTGCTAAGCTACATGATGCTTTTCCAGCATACTGTCATGCATGCCCACACTGTCCCATGTAGAAACCAAACCCCAGAGAATCATGCTTAGAATTTCTTGAACTGCTTGACAGCCTTTCCAGTACGGGGCAATACGCGAAGAACGTTAAAGCGGACCTGCCAGTCATGTTAGTGACTCCGCATATGGTGGTAGTAGCCGTCATATAACCACGATAGCAGATGGTGTTTTAACATACAGTTTTGCTCAATGGTCTGCATTGTCCAACGGTGACCTGGTCGCCATCCTCGACACGGAAAGCAGGTGATACGTGCGCAGCAAGGTTCTTGTGACGTCTCTCGTAACGAGCGTATTTGGGAATAAAGTGAAGATATTCGCGGCGAATGATGAGAGTACGATGCATCTTCGTAGATACAACGGTTCCGGTGAGAATACGTCCGCGGATAGAGACCATTCCAGTGAAGGGGCACTTCTTGTCTATCAAACACCAGAATTAGCACGTATATTTCCCTCGTTGACCCAGGTAGCAGTGTGATACGTGCGAAGCACCGTATATGGTTGCGCATGATGTTATAACAGATGGTGTGTTGCAGTTCAAAAGTGCTCCGCCATCTTCGCGATCTTCAATGCAAACGCAATCGAGTATCCAGAAAGGTCTGAAGCTGGGCTACATACCGATGTACGAGCCTTCAATGGCGGTCTTCGGGGTCCTGAAGCCCAGGCCGACGTCTTTGTACCATCGTCGCCCACCCTTGCCGATACGCTTGCTCTTGCCTGACTGAACTTTGGAGTTCAGGAAGATGTGGGGTTGCTTCTGGAAAGCGCGCTCGCTCTGGACAGTAAGTTCGGTCGCCATGGTTGCGGGCGTGAGATGTCGAGGTCGAAAGTTGGCGTGGCGGCGTGTGTCGTTGAAGTTCCTGGAGTTCGCTTGTGGTCACGAAATCTTCTGTGGTGTGTGGCACGGACCATCTCGCTTAGATGCCGTTCTTGCCTCGCATCAAGCTCCATCGGGGGATTCTCGGTTGATCGACTGTTGTTTACATGGTTGACAATCACAACACCTCCACCACTCAAGACTACCTAGGTGTTATGCAAGTTTCGACATTAGACGCCCACACCAGACCTGACCAAATACCGTGGTGCTTTAGGTCCTTCCATTATGGATGACAAAGAGAATATCGCCGAGGGTATTCAAGTTTCGCAATCGGGTTTATCGCCGCTCAAGAAAGCAAGTGGTCGCAAGACGCGCAGCAAGAGTATCGGACCAGGAGGCTTGAATGATGCACCACTCAAGGATAATACAGGGAATAGGCGCAAGGTATACTGACTCTGGTGTTCATGGAACCTACGTTGATCACAGTCACAGTCTGCGTTCATCCCAAGTGGCATTCTCCCCAGCAAGGAAGATGAGAAGAAACGTCGTGAGGCCAGGCGCAAGTCTCTCGGTACGTCTATATTAGTAGAAGTAAACCTATGAATAGTTTACTAAATGGATTCACAGCGAATCGACGCGTCTCTTTTGCGCCAGAAGCTACTCTACATACATGGGACGTGATAGAGTACATCGAAAACGCGACCAATTCCTCCTCATCCTCGAGTTCGACCCGACGGAACTCTGCAGCGCCTAATCGCTCACCGCAGGAAAATGCGGCAGCGCAACTCTCTGACGTGGAGCCACCATCTACACCCCAAGAGCAATTAGACGAGCCTATCATAAAAGAGTCACCTGGAAATCAACGCGATGCTCATCAGAAGAAACGACGAAGAAGCTCGGGAATACCACCATTAGACTTCAACAATCCGGAAGACGTCTTTTCTTCCAGCCCAATGGACGAGAGCTCGTACAGCGGGGACGAAGAAGAAGACGCCGACGTGCAGGCACCGACAGCTTTTATTGAAGGGGAAGAGAACACGTCTGCATCAATTGGCAGCTGCTCTGGAGAATCTACAGGCTCAAGTGCACGGCTTGATGCCGCTTTGAAACAAGCAAGCACCTATGCCGGAACACAAAGACTAGATTTTGACGAGAACGGAGACATGTCAATGGAAATAGCTGGTGATGAAGTCACAGCTGCTTTCAAGCCTTGGTGTCAAAAGTCAGCTGGAACACTGAATCCGTCGAAGGACACGACGGCTAAGTTCGATCAAGAGAACGTGAATCCGTTTCCCACAGACAGTAGCGATCGGTCTCGGCATAGATTGACTGGCAAGGTCGAGGAGATGCCCAGTGGCGACGCGGAGGACATGAGCATGGACATCACTCGTGCCATCGGCGGTATTATCCGATCAGAAAACGACCTGGTCTCGGATGACGGAGACGCAACGATGGAGTTCACTACCGCAATAGGGTGTATCCAAAAGCCAGAGCCACACCCCCAGCCTAATCGGAGAGCATCACTGAAACGGCGTCGCTCATCCGCTCTTCCTCATCAGGGTGCCACAGAAGAAGGTAGTCCGGCTAACAAACAATCTCGACGTAGTAGCTTAAGAATCCGATCATCTCCCGCGGACACTTCTATTGTTGAAGACGAAACAATGGAATTCACTATGGCGCTAGGCGGTATACAGCAGCCTGGCTCGCTCAAAGGCTTGGAAGACAGACGCAGTAGCATCAATACGTCTCTTGTAGATGAGACCATGGACTTTACAATGGTGGTTGGCGGTGGAATTAAACCGACGATGGCCCAAGAACACGATGATAAGCTGGGCAATGAGAGTGGAGACGACAACGAGGAATTGTCCATGGAGTTGACTGCTGTTCTGGGAGAGATTATAAAGGCGTCTCCGAAGCCTGTAACTCCAGTCAAGAGTCCTGCTAAAACATCCACTGTTGAGTCCCACATTTCGACCAATGTGACGAAGAGAAGCCCTGGCCGATCCCGGGCAAGCTTGGGCTCGCCCACTAAGTCTCACTCTAACAAAGCACAGCAGTCTCCACGGCGAACTGCCAGGAAAAGTTTGCTCAGCTTACCTCCGACTACGTCAGACGATTTGAAGAATGATCCAACCAAGCTAGATGTTTTGGTAGCCTTTGGTGACTTTTCTGAAGCTAAAGACAAGGACACATCAACTCCGACACCAAAGACAGTACGTTTCGGTGCCGACTCAGTTGGCTCTGAGAAGACTCCATCGCCAACAAGGAAAATACCAAAACCGTCTACGCTCAGTGTAGAGGCGGAAGATTCAAGTGCTTCAGAGGAGTTCTCAGAGGAGCCAACGTTGAGGAGCACCGCAGCTCTCTTCAATTCTATGAAAGCATTGTCTACTCCAAGGAAGCAGGCTCAACCATCCCCTGCCAAGCGTGCAACACCGAGGAAGTCATTCGCTCAGACGGAAAATGCAGCGCGATCAAGGGCTCCTACCCCAAACAAGCGGACACCGAGGAAAAGCATTAGTCCAAGCAAGCAGGCACGATTCGAAATCTTGGAAGATCAGGATCCTCACGGACCTCAAGATAACAGCTCTGTCGATACTGCTAAACAGCCAGAACCGGAGCGAATCCAGCTCCAGGATTTCCTCGATATGACCAATATTAAGTTCATGGATCTTACGACAACGAAGCGACGCCATACCGCAGCTCCATCCGCATTTCTAAATAAGAGGACAAGTCGTGATCTTGGAGATCAGGATGAAAAACCTAGCCTCGCGAGCTGTGTCGTCGCTGCCGCGTGCACGGCCCCTGAATATGAGATGTACCAGCATGCATGCTATCAACTCAAGCAGCACATTTCCCAAGGCAAGGACATAGTAAACGGCATTGAAGCCAGTGTAGATGAGGAGACCCCGCCCCTATTCAAAGAGTTCCTGTCTGCTCCTCCAGATCAACGCTACGTCATGAGCAATCAGCTCAAGAACATGAAGACTTTTTCTAGACTCAACAGCAAGGAAGTCTGGTACAATTGGCGAAGTAGTCTGCTGCGCGATCTCAAGACTGCTCTCCTCAAGACTAGTAGGGAGCTAGATCTAGATGACGCAGTCTTGCAGAAGCAAGAAGAAATACTCGATTCCACTATGCCTACACTGTCTATTCGCTACAAGAAGCTACGTACAGAGGAGCAGCAACTTCAGCAGCGGGCTGATGAGCTATTGAGCTGCGACAAGGAGGAACTTGATGCGACGCGTGACAGACTAGTGGCTGTAGAGTCCGAACTTGAGCAGAAAAGGCGTATGTTGTTCCAATTACAGGAAGCGCAAATGCAGACGGAAGCAACTATTGATGCTGTAAAAGAACGCAAGGTTGATTGCTTGAGTGAAATTCAAGAAGCAGAACGTGTACGTGAAGAATGCCGCGGCTGGTCTGCGAGTGAAGTGAACGCACTCAAAAGTAAGTCCCTAAACATCTTCGCAAACAATTTGAGCTGACATGAGTTTAAAGACAGGGTTTCCGCGCTCGAGACAAAGTATGGATGGTCTATCACCTCTGCCAACACTGTCCCTGCACCAACATTGACAATGACTTATGCCTCAGACCTTGAGCTCTATTTCCATCCACTTGCTTTCTCGCCTCATGCCGATCATAGTCAAGCTTCCTCAATGTCACTAACATACATCGGCGACTCGACTCCATCTCCACGACCTCTTACAACTAGCAAACGATTTTTCTTACAATTGCTCCGCGCTCATCTCCACTCGATTACCCAAAGCTCCACATCTATCCCTAGTCTACTTACCACTATCAAGACCGGTTGGCAGATGGCTTTGGCTCTGTCAGAAGGGGTCCGGAGTCTGGAGGTGGTTGGTATCTGTGAAGAGAGCATCTTGTCTGATGAGCATACTGCAGTTTCTGTGATGCTTGTGCTGGGTTCCCTACGCACTAAAGTCCGCGTCACGTTCGAAGTCGGGGTCAGTGCGAACGAGACCATATTCGAAAGCACTGTGAATGTTAAAGCAGATGTGATTTATGGCGAGAGATATAAGGAGAACACGATGACCGATTTCGTAGGATCTAAGGTTGGCGACAAGCTGAAGGCGCTGGGGGAGATGTGTGCCTGGGGCGATGCAGTTGAAGATCTGAAAGCGAGATTGATTCAGAAGGGACCCAAAGGAGAAAGGGTTTGAATTACTATGGTGACCTTTCCTTTTTCCATTCTTACGATACTTACGACTTGATGACTTCTGGTAGAGATGGATTCCCTAGGCGCGGCATGCATGATTTAGCGAGGTTCTGTTTACTGCTTGTGGACCGGAGGCCGCAGACAGACTAGGGTGCTGCTGTGCACACTAAATCCTACCATATTACTGTCAATTCATTCATACTCCATGCCCTCTATGCTTTCAGTGACTCTGTATAGATCCTGCCATTGGTCAGTCACGCTTCCATATGACCATGCATCAACGTTCGTTGGCAAAAATCCATCTATCCCTTTCCAATGCATACTAAAAAGAGGTATATATGACTGATAGAGCCTGCAGGACAGCGCCACGAGAAGCAGAAGTTAAATTGTTTCCTCGTCGAGACGGTCACAGCCGTATTCACCATTAGAACAACAGTTATAAAAACAACACATCAGCTAACCAACAGCAATGGCAGAGGACCCGACGGAGACACAGAAAACGCATCATGTGCTAGACAGAAGTCAACAGCCTCATCATTGTGCGATTGAGGAGTATGCCACCCATCACCTCAATTCCCAAAGCCCTAGGCTGAACGATCAGCTTAAGTTCGCCCTGGATAATTGCAAATTGCACAAGGTTCCCAATTGGACAGCCATTCCCTCGCAGGGCAAATTCCTGATGCTACAGTGCCGCATGCTAGCAGTGCAGCATGTCCTCGAGGTAGGCACATTTGGCGGGCACAGCGCTATCTGGTGTGCCGCAGCACATGAAAATATCAAAGTCACGACGATCGAGATGGACAAGCACCTCGCGGAGATAGCACAGCAGAATCTCCTGGCTGCTGGACTCCTGGATCGAGTCGAACTCATTGTCGGCAGGGCTCAGGATGTGCTGCCTAAGCTAGGGGCGGACATACAGGCTGGGAAGAGGCAGCCTTTCGGGCTTTTCAGTGTTGATCTGGACACCATGGAGCAAACCTGGGAGGTCCTCGACATTGGCCTTGCTCTCTGTCTTGGTCGCGCGTGCATCGTGGCTCATTGTGCAGTCCGACTCTGCGACCCCTTGATCCCTACGGCTGACGAACACGTAGCAAGGGTCCGTGGAAGCCGCGAACTTATTGAGAGGGTCGGAGCGGACCCAAGGCTAGATGCTGTCCTACTGATGACTGTCGGAGAGCAATATTATGATATGGTGATTGCCGCTGTCAGGTAATTCTTTGCGATTGCGATATCGATAGGGAAATCAGAAAAGGTGGTGGTGGAAGTGGAGGCAATATGCACGTGGTGTAGATGATCGATGAAGTGTGTCATGGACAGATTCTCACCAAGGGGGTGGGGGTGCCTAAATTACCCAGGTTCTCTATCGTATATCTAGGCTAACTAGCTTTACTCTGATAGTCCACTAGCAACTTAGAGAAGTATAGTAGATAAATTTTAGTGCTCTATTATTAGACCATTTCTTAAGCTCTTCTTTCTTAAAATTTATTATTGCTTTTACCAAGTATAAAGGAAGAATACCTATATATCCTTAGTAATCATTATGCAATGACTAAGTAGCTAGATATCTCTATACTATATTATGCTATAAAAGCTAGGCGCTCTAGACATGGAATGGTTTGCCTTAAGTCTGAGTGAACAGGGGGTGGGTTCGACGAGCCCTTACTGCCCAATCGGCTATTATTCGGGAGTCTTCCCAACTTGCAATCCATCTTGAATAGTCCATCTCTTTGTTTTGACGCTTCTCCTCTGTATCTCTCTCAAGAGTAATTCAGGGCCGTATTATACTGGAAGCGGCACCTGAAGATGCCAGATTCTGAGCCAGACGAACGAACGAGGTTGGTCAGCTCGCCTGTTTCGCCGGCGTCACCAGCAAACGACGGCGCGGACCGGCCCCATGATAGCAGCCTGATCCACCTCATCCAGCCTAGGGTTCTTTACTTGTTGACACTTCAATTCATTACCAATTTCGCCTACTACCACATCCTAGCTCCAAGACTCCGCATTCTAGAATTAACTCTGTGTCGCACATACTACTCAGATCACGATCCATCTTTCATACATGATCTCCCATACTGGCCAGGCTACGATATTACCGAAGACAAATGCAAGCTCAGCAGCATCCAGAGAGGCTTGTCTCGACTTCGCGCTGCAGGAGTATTCCTTGACGGACTCGTCGTACTACTGCTATCCATTCCATACGGTTATATCGCAGACCGATATGGAAGAAAACTTGTATACAGCACGTGTACTGTGGGTTTGCTACTAAGTACCGCGTGGATCATGCTTATCTGTAAGCCCGTGTAGATTGTGCGAACCTTCGGGCCCCTGACTATACACATAGGCACTTTGTACGATCATGTTCATATCGATTCTGTGCTGGCCTCCAGCGCATTCCTAGTAATCGGCGGTGGCTCATCAGTGCAGAACGCAATAGCCTTCACCATGGGAGTTGACATGACTGGAACAGAGGACAGGTGAGTGATAGGTGTAGCTTGGGTATCGTATAGCTTAATCTTATAAGCTGTCCAGCTCAACGATCCTGTATCTACTTCTCGCCATGTACTATCTCGGCTACATCTGCGGCAATGGCCTGGCACCAGCGACGATGAAGTATCTTTGGCTACCTTTTTGTCTCGCTTTCATTTGCTGGGGCATCGCACTCCTCCTAGTTGTACTGATGCCTTCAAGTCAGAAGTTTGCGGAGCAGAGCCAGACGAAAATGCGACAAGGAGGTGTATTCAGCAATGTTTTTCCCTCCAAGATCTCCACGAGGGCGTGGCAAATATATTATAAAGCTCGCAATACTGTCCGCAAGAGAGACTACTTGGTGGGTATAATTGCTCTGTTCCCTTTAATGGCTGTACGTGGGCCTGTCATAGAGCTCGTACTACCGTATGTTTCTAAACGCTATCACTGGTCACTGGCAAATGTAAGTGTCCCAACAACTTCTTCCGATGCCTTTCACTGCTAGGTTCGGTTCGACACGCTCTGATCTTGACCAGGCTGGTTTTCTTGACGCCATGAGTGGGATCATTGGCCTTATGCTAAGTTTCTTCATGCTGCCAGTGTTAGTGACATATCTCAAGAAGCATCCTTCTTTTGGTCCAATACGCGCTGAAGGAGCAGTTGTTCGGTACAGCGTCTGTGCTCTAGGGTTTGGAGCCCTCATCATTGCTGCCGCACCAAGTGTGGGACTAATGATACCTGGTAAACACTCTATATAAATTTGTTGCTTTCATATTAATCATGACCATAGGCTACGTGATATATGCTACCGGCGCAGGTGGTCGCACGGCAATACTGGCGATAGCGACCTCACTGGTGTTACCTGAGGAAGTTGCTAGGTTGAATACGGTCATAATTACGTCTGAAGTCCTCGCTGACTTGACTTTGTCTCCGTTCATATGGTATCTTTGGTCTCTGGCTTTGGATCAAGGTTCAGATGCAGCTCTTGGAATACCTTTCTATGCTGTTACGGTAGTTATGTGTATCGTGGCGGCAATCTTCCTATACACCACTCGCGACCCTGATCACTTACTTCGGGCTATCAGGGAGCATAGGGAGGACCTCAATGACTCCACGAACTTCTCATCTGAAGTCGAAACTGATGATATGACTTGACGGATTGCGCACATCTCGATGTTTATACCAGTAGAGCTATACCATTACTTCCTCAACCTATCAGACATGTGTAGTGATTGTAGCCCCCCAGCCAGCAGGAGACTAGGTGAACGAGCACAACGCCTTTCTGCATCATTCGAGTGTGAAAACGATGAGCCTTGCATCCACACTCTCGCGTTTCGTACCACAGGTGCCACTGTCCCTTTGTCGAATCGCGGCGTGGGGACACGCTGCTTTGTCAGAAATATGACATTTAGGTATTCCAGCAACACTTACTTGATACTGTATCTGACTCTCTCGGTTCATTAGAGTCGTACTGTACGAAGACGGCAACTTCCTCAGGGGTCTGGAAACTTAACCAGTACCACTTATGGTTGGCACTATATTTTGTGTAATAGAGGTCGAAGACATAATTTGACGTTACCATATCTGCTGCGAGCAAATCGCTTGCTGGAACAGAGCTTGCATCACACAATGCAAGAGGACACGTTTCAACCTGCCGATAGAGAGGTCGCCAGACACTGGCCATGTGAGCATTTCAACTGAGCACACCGGCATCTCAGTCCGCTTACTTCACAATGCGTGCTCGGAACCCACCATTCAAGAACCGCTCGACTTCGACATTCGTCAAATGCCGACGTATGCGTTGTGGTCCTGAAGTTTCGGTGTGGTCTGTAACAGTGGGACTTCAGCATCTAGCTACACTGTCATGCTGTCCGTCGCATACGCACCAATATGAACACCATAGACCGGCGGTGCAATATTGCCAGCGCTGAGATCAGTGCTAGCACCATATTCAGTCGTCTTTGTTTCACTATCACGAACCTTCGGAGCGTCAAAAAATAATTTGTCTACAGCTAACGCTACTGATGTTACCTTCAGATCGTAGCAAAACACATGTTCAGTCATGAATTCCTTTCTGACCAGTTCCACAAGTTTTCTGCAGTACGTTGCAACAGAGGCGTCATCAAACCCGAACTCATACGTTGCCGACGACGGGTGTGCGAAAAACCGGAACCCTTGCTGCGAGTATGATAGATTATCATGTGGCAATGTCCTGACATCGGTTATGGGGATAGTGCTTCGCTCTTCGAATTTGATATTCGAACGTGCTTCCTCTGGGACTTGTGTGTCTGTCGATATGGCATACGGTTTGACATTGGTATACAAAGGGAGATCGGAGATGAAGGAAAGTGTTGCGTTGGTCATGACTGGGTGGGATAAAAATCCGTTATTGTGAGCGCGAGGTGTACTTGTTTGCATCTCTGGACTGGACTGCGAATTGGTTTCACTGAATTCTTAGTCTTGCAGCCGGGAGGTTGAGTAGGACAATGTCACGGATAGAGAAGTAGATTCTGGAAATGTCAATGCGAATCTGGATTGGTAGCTAGTGAATTGGTATCGCAAGTGCTGGCTGTATCTATGCGCTCTCCCGATATATCGCATGATTCTCGCCTATGCACACCAAGAACATGTCTTTATGTTTCGCCAAGGCAATGTCCACATTTTTCTCTGATAAATCTCAATTCTTCCAAACTATGAGACACCGTTGCGCTAGTAACTTTCCCATTTGTCTCTGATATCTGTCTCTGGAAATATCTCAGCCCTAGTCCCGATTATCGATTGTCAGTTCTGGTTGTGCTTACCGGAGCTGCCTCCGTAACGAACGGCCCAGCGGCAGGGGGTTTTACATATTCCTTCCAGGGCTGTTCTTTTGGAGACTCAACAAGCGGCATATTGAAATATGTCGTTTTCAGTCAGGTTTCTACTGTCGTTGTAGCTTTGAAAGAATTATGCGTGTGAGGAGGTGCTCTTGAAATTTCCGAATGAGACGGCTCGAAGACTGACAAGGAAAGAGCAAAGATTTGGAAGGTGCGGGGTTGCATTCGCTCTGAATTGTGTACGGCAACTTCCAGAAAGTCATCCTTGATCGGTGAGCTTCATGCAGAGCAATATGCATGGCAGGGAAGTTGTTGGTGGCAAGAATGAATTTGGCCAATCGAGCTGTTGGAGATTGCGAGTCTTGCACCTGTGCGCCAAGCGTAATACTTATCAAGCCCCTGATGCCCTCGGAGTACCAAGACTAAATGCAGGCGTTTGTCATTCCGGTCAAATGACCATTTTCCTTGTCGAGTATAAAATCCGCGGGCTGTTAATTGATACACGGCAAACGTAATCCGAGATCAGCAGCGAAAGTGTAGATCAAGACATATGTCGCAACGTGAACAATCAGAACCATTCGAAATTGTATTGGATTAGAAGTCACAACCGCCACTGTTCGTCATCCAAGAACGTTTACCAAGAGGGATCTGTCAAATGCTTGGAGTAGCTGAATCGTGCAGAGTATTACCTGCTCACCGGTCTTGCATACCGACAAGGTTGTCGTATGATTTGAGATTATCATCATGGCCTGGAGGAATGCCACTGAGCTCCTCTCGTATCTTCTCTGCCAGTGCCTTCGTGTTTATGGCATCCTCCTCCTTCCCAAGCTGAGCTAAAACTAAACTCATCAGATAGCTTGATCTACCAATACCACCTTTACCTTCGTAAGCCGACGCGTATATCTTCAACGCTTTGTAAAGCAGCCTCCTATGAGAGTTTAGATGTGAAGGTCACGGAGCTTTATCGGATGTGGTGTAAAACATACTCCGCGCCAACATGGTCATCTCGCATATGAAGATGCCATGCGACCTTGTGTAATGATCCTGCAGTTCGATAAGTCTCGCCAAGGATATCCTCTCGGACAGATAAAGATAAAGAATGGAGCCGAAATGCTTCTTCCAAGTGGCCCATTCGCTCATACACGTTGCCCAGAGTGTGGTTGGCGCTGTTTTATTAGAGCTTTTCACGATACTTACTGGAGTTAGCACTTACAACGCAGTCAAGTAGTTCCCCACTCCTAGCTCCTCATCATACAGCTTGATGGCAGCTGAAAGGTTGTTGATGGCAGACTGATACTTTCCTTGAGCATTATCTAGCATGCCTTCGACATCCAGCGTCAAGGCTTTGTAGCTTTCCGCCTGTCCAGGATATTTAGAGCGAATCTCGGTGGCCTTGTTTAGCTCACGTCTGGAGTCATCGTAATTACCAATGGCAAGTTCTGCCAAGGCCATGTTGCTCAAGCCATGAGCAACCGAAAGCTCGGAGCCTATTTCCTTCATTATGTTCATTTGGCGAGTCCACATCTCTAAAGATATTTGTGGTTTGTTTGCGTCAATATGGATACCACCATATGTCCTGTATATGGTAACTGCAGCAAATTCGTTACCTTTCAGAGTAGCTTCTGCCACTGCCTTTGCGGTTGGAAGTATTTGCATTGCCTGACCGGGCAAACCGTTCTCGTAAAGAAACCATGCCGCATTTGATAGAACTGTAGCAAATTTTGCCCTGGGTTTTAGGGGTTCCTGAGATTCTCTATATGATCTTTCCAGAGCCAGGACTTGTGGCACATATAGACGACAACGAGGCCATTGTTCGTTCAAAGATGCCTTTTGTAATGTTAACTGGGGGTATACTCGATAAAGAAGTTCTAATGCTTCATCAAATCTCGTCTGTCTATCGGCGTGTGTGATATTCTTGTGTGTGATTGCACCCACTAAGCGATGCATCACTAGTGATCGCTGCACTTTGTTCTTATTGATCATAGACTGCTGCAAGAGAGGACGAGTTGCGTTGAGGAACAGCAACTTGCTCTGGAGATACTTTAAGGCCGGTAACGCATCGCCGGGTCGCTGCACATCAGAATTATCGAGAAGAGTTTCGGGTATACCATCCGGATCAAAGAACGACATTATCTGTATCATGTGAAAAGAGTTCTTGTTTGACTTTTCGATCCTAGTCATCGAGATATCCCAAACTGTACCAAGAGAATGAGGGTAAGACATGTTTGTATTGCTGGCATCCTCATCTAAAAGCGAGCTGCGATTGCGGAAGTCGGAGAATATTTCGCTAAACTCGTCAAGTTCGCATTCTGCTTCCAAGATGTAATTAGCAATCTGTATGATTGCTAAAGGGAGGCCCCCAAGCTGCGCTACAAGATCCTTTGCGATTTCGATGTCGTTCATGGTATGAACTTGGTGATTTTCATCAGAAGGGTCTTGCTTGTGAGACAGTACACCGAGAAGCATATCTGCTCCTACGGCGTCGGATAATGGCAGGACTTGGAGACCTCTGAGTGCTTTACTGTTTGTTGGAAACCTTGCTGAGGCCGGGTCTCTACTGGTAAGGATGATATGACCACGACGTGAAGTAGGCCAATATCCTTGAAGAACCTTCAGATCATCAGCATTATCGAAAACGATAAGCCATTTCTCTTCTGATAAAATATCAGCAGTGGTAGGAAACGTCGGAGTAACACTAACCAGTATCTTTGAGCCAATTACTGAATATGTTCTGGCACTGCTGGTCATTTTCCGGCCCATTAGACTTGATTGCTCCCAATTTCTCAAGGGCTCCTCGGACATCTTGGCTCATCTTGACTACCGAATCTGCTGAGAGCCAGAAAACGGCTGAGTAGCCATCCAGGTACCGATATACATATTCAATGCTGATCTGGGTCTTTCCGACCCCACCTAAGCCGTAGAAAGAAACAATACGTTGTTCGTCAAGAGCGGAGCATAGGTGATTATGGGCAGCATCTAGGAGATCATTTCGACCGACAAGAGTAGGATTCCGTGCCAGAGGTAGATAGTGGCATGGTAGCGTGACGCGATTTTTGACTTCTAAGGAACTGAGAATGTGCTTGAGCTCTTCATAGCGGACAGCATCGTGTTGCCGACTGAGTGTTTGAGCTTCGAGCTCGATCTGACGACCCTTTTGTCTTATCTTCGACACTGTCTTGTCGAGTTCAGGCTTGAACGGCTTCCAGGTCGTGACTAAAAGGTTTTCTAGACAATGTAAGCGCCAATGTGCAGAATTATGATCGAAGGAGGTCAAGGTAGAGAACTTACTGAGCGGATTACGGCGAAAAAACCAGATAACCTGACAAGCAAATTCCGCAATTAATATATACACTGGAGTAATGTCAGGTAAACTGTATGTAAATTTTAGAGTATGTCCTACTTTCTTGTGCCGGCTCCAGTAGTGACGGTGCTTCATTATACACCTCCATGTACGTAGCTATTCGAGGCAACGTTTGATTTATCTCATCAAACATATCTACAATCAATTGAAGAACCTGATCCGTGGTATGTATGAGCTAACAAGTGTTAGCGTCTTTGAGTTGCGCAGATAAATATAAGGTAGGGCTGTACATCAATGCACAGTTTTAAGCTGCCCCACAGCGGCGCCAATATGGCCGGCTTGATGTGGATAAATACATCAATGCTGGAATGGAAAGTCCGCAGTTGGTAGAAGCATGCATCAAGCCTTGCTAATTCGAAAGCCTTGCTAGTATCTTGGTATCTTATACGTAAACTGTCCACGAACCTCATCAATTCTTCAATTGATTTCAGGTTAGAGACAACTTGGAAGTCTCCTGGCTCCAGCCTCTTCCTACATATGTCTCGAACCGCATTCCATCCTCTTGAGTCGACTGTAAGCGATAGTAGGCCTTCACTAGATAGAGAAAGAATAGCTCAGTCAGTGACGGCATGATATGTCAGGCAAAGGTAATTCAGCTTGCCTTGCCTGTTCGATCGGAGAGGAGTCAGACTTAGAGTCCGTGTCGATAGACATGACGGTTTCTGTAAAAGCTGAACAAGACAGGCTTGATGGTTGGGATGAGGCTTGCTCACCTACTTATGGGGCGAGGGGAGCGCCCCGCCGCCATATGACCAGGATGCATGAATGCGGATCCATCAGTTGCCATAGAATACCTTACCCTTGTATATAACCACCGTCAATACGAGGCAAGCAATGAAGAAGCTGCACACCCACACATCCATAAGCACAAGCTGTGAACGAACGCCACCTACAAAACCTAAGGACATGGCATGTGGTCAGACAGCTAAGCCTCCACAATGGAAAAGGCCCAAATCTGTCCCAGCCTTTGCGCTAAAACTCATAAACACAACACGAGCCACTCTCCGTACATGATGCAGACTTAGCTGTGTTTGTCTCCCGAGACCTGAGTACTGAGCACACGCTGTGTGAGCATGTCACTAGATTGGAGATGGGAAGGGAAGGACGACCTAGAGCCTATGTACGTAAACCAGGTTTTCTGTCTTTATTTGCCAAATACCATTCATGAAGCACTTTGCTGATGGTCTCCTTGACACAGCTTGCTCATAGCGCCAGCATCTGAGTCGAAACTAGCTTCCACAAACGCATTCGTGCATACTGTACACGAAAGATTCCCATCCGCAAGCATTTTTGTATTTGATCACGCCGCTGAACAGTTGTCGGATGTCCTGAGGAGTCGTGAAACCCTCCTCGATCAGATAGCTGAAGTGCTGAAGCGAAACACGCGGGTAAGTCGACTGTACAGCACGTTTACCAAGCTTCAACTCACCTGTTTATCTAGTTACAGGATCGCAGATGGCTTTTTCTGGCCTTCGGAGTGGGAGGTTTAGTCGTAAAAGCTGCGTTATCTGCGGAACCACCTGATAGAAAAGCAAAAAGAGCGATAGTATTGATAGGTACCATATATATCTTCCTAGAATGATATTGACTGATCGAAGGGATGTAGATGTTCCCAATCTCACGCGTGTGAGCTCGTCGACAGCATTGTCGAAGAACTTGAATCTTGCACATACTAGCTGCACGGAAAATGTTGAGGCATTCAAGAAGCTTTGTGAACATGAAGCCACGTTTAACAAGATCGCACATTTGTATATTACGATTAGTTGCACGGTACCCGACTCAGTACGCTCAAAGCGCCTTCCCCTAAAATCTTATGATTGGCTCTAATGCTAGCTGCAGAAATTCAGTTGGCCCCAGGTATCGCTGGATACTCCGAATGAGCTTCAATATCATTTTCGAGGCGATTCTTGCACCTCCAGCTCCAGTGCTATTGTTTCAAATCAAGAGGAGCTCCGCCTCATGATTGACAGGGCTTTTCTACTACTTAAAGGTGGTCAACAGCTTACTATACCTGATAGACTACGCTCCAAACTCGGACAAGAGTCAGAGAAAGCTCTTGAAGCTCAGTTGCCCTTACACGAGCCACAAAAGATTGCCTCGCATTCGATCAAGTTCACTCTGGAGAGCAGAAACAGTGATCTGGAGGTTCAAACTCAGGTTCGATCCAGTATGCTACTCTTGAGCGATCTTCCAAATATCCAATGCACATCCTTGAACTCTTACGAGCCAACTGGTCTCAAACAAGAGGTTGAGTTCATGTGGCATCATGGCAGTGCCAATCACGGCATATGGATCGAGGTATGTTAGAGGTATGATACTTCATTACTTGAGCCAGATTAACAAGTCATGTCAGGATATCATGTCTTCGTTGATGAAGAACGGATCTGGAATATGTTCCAAGACACACTTTGACGCTTTCTGGTCCCACCATGTACACTCGACCGAAAACCTGTATCCGGGTTCGTGGCATATACGCCCAGACTTTGCTTCGATCAGCAAATTGCGCACCCAACCAACGGAATCGACTTCCACTGAACAAGGATTGGTACTTGTTATGCCATTTCTTCACTGGGACACTGTCGCGTCTCTGACGCAGCGGCAACAAGCGATAGACATCCTAACATCTGAAGATACACCCGAGCAAGTTACAGAGGCTTATAGGAATGCTGCAACAAATCCTGACACGAGACATACAAGTCTGTCGATTACCGCCGAGCCACCTGTACACCTCCCGTTGCTACTGGATCAGTACCGATATCCCACTAGTTCTATGCAGTCCAGTCGCCTTGCATCCCAGATACTACCAAAGCAGACAGCAATGTCTGACACTGGTATGAAGACACTGATAGTTCAGCAACTGTGGCTGGTCATCACAGATAACAGTGAGTTAGGAGTTTCACGAGTGAATCTTGGCCTGCTGATGACTACTAAACGTTCTCCCAGGGACGATCGTGACATTCTTTCCTCGCAAGCCCCTTGAAGCGAACAACATTGAGCTCTCACAAGCAGCTGATGTTGAAACCACAGTCCTGGACCATCTATCGAGGATTGATCATCCATCGACCGTCATGTCTTCAGTCTATGACTTATGTGCCCTCATCATAGATAGAACCACGACCGCATTGTTGTCACGGGTACGCCACACCGATCTCCTGTTCATACAATTGTATCGAAAAGCTGTAGGAGAACTCGTAAGTCACATTTTGCCCACCGAGACTGTTCTCACTACTAACGATCATGTCAAGCGCCAACAGCATATGACTGCACTAGCATCCTTCCGTAATGAAGACCTGAAGAAGGCCACAAACAATTTCACCGCCGACACCAATAAAGAGAATTTTGAGCTATCACTCGTTCTTGACGCGAACACCCTAAAAGATGAAATGCAAGGCCTAGTTGAGATCATTCAGACTCAAAAAAACGTAGTCGAGAAGGTGTCGACGGCACTCATGAAAGACAAGGAAGGAGAATTTCACTTGTCTATTGGCACTGAGATATTGGAGGAAACTAAGATGAAACTATCGTCCTTTGAGACGCAGTTCCAGGGCTTACGTTCCGACGCAGATGCTATTGAGCAAGATGTGAACACGTCTTTGACAGTTTGATCAAGAATGATTTCACTGACAACGTATAGCTCCTTCAACTTCTCGATCTTCGACAGAAGCGTGCGAACCTCCGAGAGTCACACGCTGCATGGGTCCAGGCTGAGGAGACTAGTGCGCAGACGAGACACTCTCTCTCCCTCAGTGTTGCCGCTGCACGTCAGGGCAGGGTGGTGATGATATTTACGATTCTTTCTTCCATTTACGTATGTTCGCTTAGTCATTTGACACTGCGCAGCTTGCTAATGTAATTGATTAGCTTCCGTTGTCTTTCATGACGTCGTATTACGGGATGAATATGCGGGATATCACTGGCGATGCAGACAACCCAAAGACGACTGCCTATTTCTGGAAGATATCAGGCCCTTTAGCAGGATTTACCACACTCCTTGCTCTTATCATAGGCTTTCAAAAGAAGTTCATTGTGACACGTAGGGCGTGGCTGAGTAGGAAAAGCAATAAGATAGATCGGGATACTTCATATAAGATCGTGTAAAGGCTCTGATGAATTTAAGCCATACTGCCTCCGCTCTGGTTCGCACCTATCAGGCCTGCCATTCGCAGCAATTCTTTGTCCATTTCGACATCACCTGTTCCTAAATTGATCTTCCTACGAGCCTCAGCTTCGCGTTCTTCCCATGCCCATTGTCTTCTTTGAGCATCCGCCTCCTCGTCACCACCACAGCCCCATACCTCTAGAGACTCGACCTCAAAGCGATCCTGCCAGCTTCTGGCCTTCCTGATTGGCAGCTGAGAGGGATAGAATGACCCACCACCCTCGCTCAGATGCGTGAATGTCGCGAACTCTAAACCATCGTCAAGATGCAGCGAGACTGGCCCAAGAGGTATGGGAACAGGGTTGGATGAATGCATATTGGCACGACCTTGGCTCGGTATAGATGAGCCAAAACCCAGACCGGAAGGATGTGTAGGTGCCCGGTTGAAGTATACGTAATCTGACGTAGACTTAGACGGCCCGAAGACGTCATGAGTCGGAGCGATCTGGAATAGAACAGTACCAGAGTCGCCAAAGCAAGATTTGTGGGTTTGCTTCCATGGCTGTGAGATGTATGCGCCATAGGTGACCGTCGTAGAGGTTGACTTGCTCGTCTCTGTGAGACTACTTTTCAGCCGACTGTGCGGCAGAGAATCATGCATAGCACGCTCTCGAGCACTTAACGGATCACCAAGAAGAGTCCCTGAAACCAACAATATCGACGGAGCACGCCAATTAAAGACTGACTTTTCGAAGCTGCCCATGCTGAACCCATTAGTGTTGCCTGAATAAAGAAGGCGGAGCCTTCTGAAGAGGTTGTTTCCCTTAATGATAAACGAGAGTTGGCTGAGCGTACTAAGATTCATAATATCACCTTCGGTTTGAAGGACCGGTTCTGGAATGGAGACCCTTTTGTCTACGGATATTGAGTGCTGTGAACTTGACTGTGGAGATGACGATACCTCGCCCTTTTTTCGCGAAAGGTCAAAATCTTTTGCAAAAAGGAAATGTTCGAATAGGGGCCGTAGCCCATCAAACAAATACGGAAGTGCGCTCGAGATCACGACATTAAAGTGCTTGAATGTGACGCCGGGATTTTTCTCGATGCTAAATGCTGACAAGACACTATTTGCAGTGGCTCTAATGTCTACGATTCTCTTGTCCGACAGCTGTAGTGCGAAAGTGGATAGATTGTCATGTGGTTCCATCGGTGCCGATAGAAGAAGCAGCTCAAGTAATTTGAGAAGGTTGTCGCTCGGTATAATCGAATGGTGGATGTTTGCTACTTCTCCGTGTTTGAAAGTATCGTTAAGGTCCATAGAATCGAAGGCTGCGAGGACGAGATCGTCGTCTTCTGAAACATCTTCGCTGTCTTCTGTCTTATCTATTGCGAACTTCAGGTCGTTACTATGCGTAGAACTGGAGCCACGCTTCTCAGCATTTGATTTGATCATTGAGACCTCAGTCTGATTTGTAGAGGACATTTCTGCTACATTTTTTTTCTCTCCATGTAATGCTGCTTGCAATCCTCGATCGTAGACTGCCATACTTCTGTATATCTCTCCTAACCAAATCCTGCGACTCTTTCTCTTGAAAACTGCTCCATATCTTTCCGTCAATATTGTAACGACCTTGAGAAGTGCCTCATTTGTTAAGATTGCTGGGGCTTGGGTAGGGAAGGGAAATGCGCCGATGTAACTAGCCATCTGGAACAGTACTGGTCCTACGTTTAGGGCGTCCGGTAGTTCGAGGAAACGACATAATGTAGACTCGCTCCAATAGTGGAGACCTGACTGTGAGTCTGCAAGGGATTTGAAGACAGAGTTGAAGCAATAGAGCTCTAGCGGTGTATAGCACTGTTGTGCGAAGCGTTGCGTCAACTTGGAAGAAAGCTGCTCTGGAGCATTGTCAGCATATACCGACGTCGCGGGACGCAATCACGATGTGAGCATTGACATACCTAGAGACAGCTGTTGAGAATCTCTGGAATGATCTTGGCCCATTTTAGGGAATGTCCCGTTAGGCAATCAGGTGATATCCAGCCGAAGTGTAGCTTTGACGAGAACACTACCTGCTGAAATGTACCATTGTACCGTATAAGTAAGCATCTTGGGGAACGACTGAGCAGGATGACGATGGGAGCTGGTAGTGGGGCTGCGGGTCAGCCTTAGAACCCCACGTTTCTGCAAGTGACTCGCGCGATTTTCTTAATTAAGTTAGAATTTAAGCTCAGAGCATGCTTGTGACAATGGACAGATATTTAGGATGTATAGATCGACGTTACACCATTCATGAATGTCTATGGCGCGCTCCTTGGGTATCATTAGCACAAATAGGTATTTCAATTTCAGTAGTAGCAGTCGCAGTAGCAGCAGCCAGGATAGCGAACAGGACTCACAGTTCAGTTCTTCGTATGTGTTCGTCCACTTCTATGTTCTCCCCTTTCCTTGCTAACTGCGCTATCTCTTCTGTGTCCCGTTTGTGCTCAAAATAGCCTTCGAGGTCCATCCACTCGCTGACGAACGCCGTGACCAGCTTAGCCCAATCTTCCACTGTGTCCATATCAAGATGCTCCCCGTCATCCGTCATTTCATGCCACACACGAGGGAAAGGTGTGGGAATGATGTGTAAGATCTCGACCCCTCGAGCCATGAATGGAACATGGTCGTCTTGAACAAAGCCGCCCATAAAGCGGCTGTCATCCTTATCAGCCTCATGTAGAAACTTCTTTTCCTTTCTCTTAGCGTCACCAGGCTTGCGCTTCGAATGGTGGTTAGGTGAAGACTTGAACTCGCCCATGTCTCGCAGACGCATCTCCAGCGCTGCCATGGCTTTATATGCCCAATGTGTCGTCTTGAAGTAGGATGGAATTTGTGGTTCTTTCGAGCCAAGAAGATCGAGCAAAAGAAACAATTCGATCGAATCCAAGAAATTGTGGTAGGTGGACGCAGCAGTATGCATTCTTCCATCCCAGCTCTCAGCGAGAGCCCTGCATGCAGTCAGCGCAATCAGTTTCTCGTTCGAATAGCCGCAGCGTACCTTGCTCCGTAGAGCGAATCCGTAGCTGACCAGCTTACGAAAGCTTCCTCTCCATCAAGCAGCAAGACCTGGACTCCCTTTTCGGGTTCCAATGAGTCTTGCCAATCTCCATTCTCTTGCATATCCTTCCACCTCTTAGTAAGGGCTTGATCAACGCTCCGCACAGCGTGCATGATCATTGCAACCGGCGCAGCGCTATCAGTGGCCCCAATGAACCCTTCCGGTGTTATCTTCGAATCATAGTGTGCGACGAGGGCCAGCCGGCCGACGTCTCCAGGTCTTGCCCATGGTGGATCTCGTGTAGCTATTATGTTCACAAATGGAACTGCTTCGCCCTTGCTGAGCGGTGTTGTCGCAGTCGAGTTGTGTAGCTCTAGATGCCATTCGGGGAGCGTGTTCTGGAAAAAATTTATAAAATGATGTTGCACAGCCGTAATCCCCTCGGTCCCTGGCACGCGAACTTTCAGAATAGGCGAAAGGATGGTACCCGTTTTGATGTCGAAGTCATCGCCGGGTCCGGGGAGGCTCTTGAGGGAGTCGTCTGACAGTGGTGTGTACGCGAAGATAGTCCCGAGAAGATGGGTAAGGCACAGGAGGCTGCGCTGCAACATGATGCGCATTCCTACTTCTCATGAGTAAAGCAAAGGCATCTCCGGATTTTAAAGTGAAAGTCACAAGGTGAAGACTGCGGGCTTTGGTCAATAGGAAAGATAAATTCGTTAACACGGAGTACTCTTCAGGAGCCACATGGATAAGACGAGCCGAGAGGGCGGTCACGTGTCATAACGTATCGATTGAGTGTTGGAGAACTTGAGTGCTTGCAACTTTTCCTCTCCCATGCATATACCCAATTTGGCAGCCAATTGAGGACCCTAGCAGTAAAACTAGTTATTCGTACTCAATGTCTTCAGATGAATTCACTAATACAATCACGCGCCTTTCATGTCTCTTTACGCGTACTACGAAGCGCGCCTCGTCCTGCGACGCAACACAAGAGTAGCCCGGTCAGAATACCTGCCAAAACACCAGTCAAAATACCAGGAAAGCCATTTCAGGCAATTCAAAAGGCTCAACATATTAAGAAACCTGTGAACTACGGTACCCACAGCCCCCTCTTTCTTGATAAGAACCTCCTCTGACATATTAGCTTTTCCTCAAATCCTCCGCATATACGCAGCTCCTCATCGTCGACTCTACTCTGTGGTCATACAAAAGACAACATACATATTTTTCTTGTTAGGCGCCTGTCTTGTCGTACTCCCATATGTATGGGCGGTCCAAAGCGCGAAAGGCGAACGCAGTTACTTACAATTAGCCACAATCTACTGCATTGGCCTAGGTCCCTTAGTCATCTATTCATATGTATCCGCGCCATTCGTCGTGAGCATATCTATGTTGCTTCCTCCAGCGGCTAGAATGTCGAAAGAGGCCCTTTTCAAACACTTACAAAACTTGCCCCGGGATAATCGCGCTATTGTTCAGTGTTTAAGAATATTCCCATGGCAAAAGACTAATGTCGTAAATCTCAAGGATCTACGTTTCATAAAACCCAAGAGCTGGATAGATATGACGAACATGGAATTACACGGGGCTAAAGAGACAAGAAAGTTTTGGGAGATGACGTGGGAACGTGGAAAGTCGCGGTTCTACGTTGACCCGAAGTTCAATGAGCTTGAAGCCGGGCTGACTGAGATGGTACCCGCACCTGGGGCATGGGCGGCTGTCAGGAGCTACATTCAAAGGAGCTCTCGTAATTCAGCTGGAAGATCTACAGATCCGCATGGCAATCAAAAGGACAGGCTTCTGAATAGCGTATGATTATGGTCTGTTCATGCTCCCCGATCATGATACACGTAATAACACCTACTGCGAAGCGATTTCCTGCTGCACGTTTGAACCTACTTTCTCGTCGTCAGACTTCTCAATCTCAGTCTCCTTGTCACCAGAGACGGATCTGTCGCCGTTGATTCTACCAAGGAGATTGTTCAACCCAACCTCCTGTTCGATCTCCTTCATTCTTTCCTTGTCTGCTGCGGCGATACCTTCGCTTCCAAAAAGGATGTCCATCTCTTCTAAAGTGAGGCCTTTTGTCTCTGGTACATACCACCAGACGAAGCCCGCGCCGAGAAAAGTGAGGAGTCCAAAGAATATGTATGTTCCATATGTGAGGCTCGAAAGCATATCAGGGGTCACCTGGCCGACGATGAAATTATTCATCCAATTGGAGGATGCACCTGAGGATGATCAGTCGCGCGAAAGCATTCGGTCGTCAACACTTACCTAATGCAATGCCATATGGCCTTGTAGTGTGAGTGAGCTTGATATGAGTAGAGACAGTAGCAGAGAACAAGGGGTGTGAAGAGAAGGGATGACGTGTGGCATACCTGTTCGAAAGAGGCCAGATCTCTGCTATTACAATCCAAGCGCATGGCCCCCAAGAGTATCCGAAATGGACGACGAAAAGCCAGACCATAGCGACAGCTGCCCAACCGGCAGCCTGATGCGACGGCCAATCATGTTGGTTCTTTGCGGTGATGACGGCTATAATGATATGACAGACCGCCATTCCAATGGCTCCGATAATCAGGACAGGCTTACGTCCAAATTTGTCGACATACATGACAGCTGGAATCGTCGCCTACACCTGTCAGTCGTTTGTGGGTCTACAAGCTCAGTCTTGGGGCCTACAATGAACATGGCAATGCCAACTACTCCTGTAGCAAGTAATGAAACCGAGTTGGACGTCAGTCCCAGCCCTCCAAAAATGGTCGGTGCGTAGTATCTGTGGAGGTTAAACCTTACTTTGTAGACCACGCAAATGGATCGCTCACAAGATTGCGTTGATACCACTCCATTGCTGGAAAAACATGACAAGCGTGGCGACGATGACCCGCTTGAACATGGCCATGGACTTGAACAGTGAAGCAATGGCTACAAATTGCCTGGATCATTGTTAGTCGGGTGCGATCAGTATTCGATCCGCTGGGTCGAGCGTACAGTTTGAGTACATTGACCCAAGTTGATTCTTTTAAGTGAGGAAACTTCTCTGCCAGAGTTCGCTTATCGAAGAGTGACTGCGCTTTGATCTCAGCGAACTCGATCTCAATCAATTCATGATCCTGGGGTAGGTTTCGTAATTTTGCCAATACTCGGACTGCTTCTCCTTCTCGATCGTGATGAGTGAGCCACCTAGGCGAAAAGGGCATGAAAATCATGCCGACTCCTAGTAGGACAGCGGGAACAAGCTGCAGACACAGGGGAAGAAGCCAGGAGGTGTCGTGCTGACTTCTACCTGTGCCTCCAATATAGTTCTGGGATCTCAATTAGCACATTCCACCCCTGTCGAAGCCATCTCTACTTACAGTGCCATAGTCGATCCAAAAACTAATCATGATACCCAGAGTAATGGACAGTTGCTGCAATCCGACAAGAGCGCCTCGAAACTCCGGTGGCGCGATTTCCGCATTATACATAGGTACGATCATCGATAAAGATCCAACACCCATACCTATCAATGCGATATTAGTCTGATTGAAGTAGAGCAAAGCCAAGGCTCACTTACCTGTAATGAACCTACCGCCCAATATTGAACTGTGACCCGAACCTGCGACTGCTGTGGTCTGAATCACCACTCCAATTATAAAAACGCCAACATTTACAAGTATCGCGTACTTCCTAGAGAGGATCTCGGCTAGAAAGCCGCTATACATTGTTCCGAACCAAGCACCGAGCTCGAGTATAGACACAAGCCATCCTTGCTTGGAAGAATTCCAGGTCAAAGTCTCCTGATCCTCGATGTATGAGCCCATGTCTGGGAACGGTCAGGCTAGTAGTAATATGCGATCTGTGACTACTGCTTACGCTCTTTGAAGGACGTCATCGTCAGAACACCAGAAAAGACGCCCTGCATACTTTAGCTTTGGATAGTCGACAGTATGGCTCTATCATACCTGGTTGTATCCATACAACAAGCCACCAAGGCACGCAAAACAAGCGATTCCGAAGACCTTGAGATTTCTAAAAAGCGCCATAGGGCCAGCTGCCCCAATCAGCGCCTGCCGTCGGGCCAAAGCCGCGGACTCCATCTCAAAGCCATCTCCCGTAGGTGCCATCTCTCACTGTTTGCTAATGTTGTTGTTGGCGATAGATGAATGGCACGCGAGCGACTGTGCATACAAAGTTTCAAAGAAAACTGTGCGACAAGCGAGACATGCGGAGATGCATCAGCATTATTATACATGTACGAATTACCCCATCTTTCCACATCCTGGTTAATCCTCAGATCGCAACAGGCAATGGCTTGTCATGCTCCGCATGTAGCCCGGCTAAAGTGACCGGTTAAACATCCGATCACCTTGTTCCATGCATCAACCCTGCAAAGCTGGATAAGCTTTCTTACATAGCAGTCTTCAGGATGAGCTGGCTGACTGGAGGTCAGTGCTTGGTCGAGAACATGTGCGGAACTTTTATTCCTGAATAGAGTATTTGACTGGGACGGGACCTGCTAGTAAAGACTTGCGAGATTTGCAGATTCTTAGTGACTGATCTTGCTTTGCTTTATACGGCAATAAGAAATCACATAACGGCTCTCACAGGGCTTTCTACCTAATCCTGTATACCCAAATGGTGAAAATCGAAGCTTTTAGATGGTCAGTGTGCTTTTTGTGCTCTGAAGGTCAGACAACTTTATGGGGTTAACGATGAATTTGGCTTTTTGGTAAAGCCTAGCATCCTCATTACTAAACATGTTCACGAACGGCTCTAAAACTTCAGCAACACCCATGGATCACCGTACTGTAGTTTAGTATGAACTTTGAACCAAAAACTCTTAGCCAAGAGACCATTATGAACATAGCCTATCGTATACGGAAAAACTGGTAGTACATACTGTTCTCAAAATTCAATGTTACTGTATTCAGCCCAGCTCTCTAGTATATATGACTGATAGGGGCCAACTAATGCTTCGATGTCCAATTCATGATACGAAATTATAGCCCAATAAATATGTATGTGTATCAAAGGAATAACAGATGGTATCGTCCCTGCGTCATGTCCGTGTCTCTTTCACAGGTCTATCTACCTTCACGCAAGTATGGAATCCTCATTCGCTCGAATACTCATAGCTTTAAATTATACTATCCTACTCATATTCACGCCATGGTTCAGGTACGTTACACGTTTTAATCGTCTCGTCGGTCTATTATACCGTCTAATGACTGTTTGTGTTCCAGGAATAGCTTTGGACAACAGTGACATATGTAGACAATTAATGTTACAGAACAGAACAGAACAGAACAAGATACAAAGACAAGAATCTTATCTCCAATATAAGCTTTCCGGCCTAGCCTAACGAGCCGTGTAAAGCACCACTTGCCTACGACTTCTTTGCCCTGCTTATGACCACCGAGAAAATTGTTATCGCCGAATCTGTAGTGGATCGCAGACTATTGTGGCGGTGTTAATATCTGATATCAAGTCGGCAGTATATAGTCTACTAAATAATTGGTGGATCTCTGATGAATCCTCAACAAAATTCTATAATCTACAGACAGAGCCCTTCTGATGTGCTTCTATCTGCATTATTTCGTGACAACAACAATAGATGAATGTATACTTTGATCTGACTACCCATAATAGCTGGTGGTGCTAGATATGCGTTTGCTCTTCCTTATATAAGTGGTCTCACCCCCACTCCCCTTGACGCTGGGGACTTGACCGTGCTTTAGGCAGTAGTAAGTGGTGTGACTTTTCGAACCGACGTAAGTGCCAGGCTTCACGGCTTCGACGTCATGGCCTACCTACCTCTTGCACGAATCGCGATCTACGAGCCAACAGCGCCTCTTTGAGGCCTTCGAGCTCATGTAGGATCTCTCTAGTTGTTCTATGTCATAAGTCGGTCTTACGAGAATTTATGTGGTGCCGAATTGACATTATCTATGTTTTCTTGTCATATTACAGACCAAGGATTTCTTAGAGCGTCCAGTTCGTCGTGGAACCTTGGCAGTGGGACGTGGGGTTGCCCAATGAGTTGATTCAGTCATTGCAAATACAGAGACTTGCTGAGTGAGTGCAGTTTGAGAAGCGGTAAGACTTGGAGGATAGTGAACAATTCTTTTTAAACAGGTCAAAGAGATGTATTGATGATGCAGATAAAGACGAGACATTTATTTAAAGTTACACACCGGGCACAGACAAATCCACCGCAGCTTCCAAACTGCCCTCATGGTATCGGGGAAACTTTTTCGTCCTCTGTACATGTGATGTGATTACATTCGAGCAGCTCTCCTACGTCCTATGTTGTGCCGGCTAGTTCGATGTATCGAGTTCGTCTATGACTTCTCCAGATCTGCAAGAATCTTCTCACCCTTGGCGCGTGCCGACGCAAGGTCACCAACCATGTAGAAAGCACCCTCTGGTAGGTCATCGCCCTCTCCATTCATGATGGCCTTGAAAGAGCTGATGGTGTCCTTGAGGTCAACAAGCTTACCCTCAATACCAGTGAAAACCTCGGCGACAGCAAAAGGCTGGCTCAAGAACCTTTGCAGCTTACGGGCACGCTCGACAGTAAGCTTGTCAGCTTCTGACAGTTCGTCCATACCGAGAATGGCAATGATATCTTGGAGGGACTTGTACTCTTGAAGCATCTGTTGGACGCGGGTGGCGGTATCGTAGTGGTCCTGTCCGATGACACGGGGGTCCAACATACGGGACTTGGAGTCCAGAGGGTCGACAGCGGGATAGATACCCAGCTCGGAGATACCACGCGACAGCACAGTGGTAGCGTCCAAGTGGGCAAAGGTAGTAGCGGGAGCGGGATCGGTCAAATCGTCAGCGGGCACGTAGACAGCCTGTACGGAGGTAATTGAGCCCTTTTGAGTGGTGGTAATACGTTCTTGCATACCACCCATGTCAATTGCGAGAGTAGGCTGATAACCGACGGCAGATGGGATACGTCCTAGTAGGGCAGACACCTCTGAACCGGCCTGGGTGAATCGGAAAATGTTGTCGATGAAGAGGAGCACTATTTCGACGTCAGCAAAATCGCGCAATGCAGCCAAGGGTCATGTTATTCAAGGAACGTAGAGGGCGCCATGATTGGCAGGCGCACTGCAAATGCTCAAAGTAAAGCATGTCCAGGTCTACGATGAGGCTTGGATGGTTGGTATTATTGGAGAGACTGGAAGCTTACCATCCTGTCCTTCTTCGTCACGGAAGTACTCAGCTACAGTCACTTGGCGGTCGTTAGTTCTATCCGAATCAAGTTGTCTGGGAAAGCTTACAGCCAGTCAAAGCGACACGAGCGCGGGCACCTGGGGGCTCGTTCATCTGACCGAACACCAAAGCGACCTTGGACTCGCCGTCAAGCTGAATGACGGACGTTTCCTGCATTTCGTGGTACAAATCGTTACCCTCACGAGTACGCTCACCTACACCAGTGAAGACGGAGAAACCACCGTGGGCCTTGGCGATGTTGTTCTGTCTGATGTTAAGACCGCGCAATAGTGAGACCCATACAGACTTACGATAAGCTCCTGAATGAACACAGTCTTACCGACACCCGCACCACCGAATAGACCAATCTTCCCACCACGGGCATAAGGAGCCAACAGATCGACGACCTTAATACCGGTGACAAGCACCTCAGCGGAAGTAGATTGCTCGATGAACTCTGGGGGCTCGGCGTGAATTGGGGCGTACTTGACAGCCTTGATGGGTCCTCGCTCATCGATCGGGTCACCAGTGACATTCATGATACGACCAAGAGTTCCGGGACCAACGGGGATCTTGATGGGAGCACCCGTGTCTGAGGCTTGTGAGCCACGGACGAGACCCTCAGTACCTGTTCCGATGGTTAGCAGTGTTCTCTCTTCCGTGTATGGACGCATGTATCATACCATCCATGGCAATGCAGCGGACAACATTCTCTCCCAAATGTTGCTGTTCTTCTATTAGTGTAAGGCGTCTTGGCAGGTACCCGGCGGGTGCTTACAGCGACTTCGAGGACCAGTCTCTGACCACCATTGTCTGTGTGGAGGGCGTTGAGAATGGGAGGAAGCTGCTCAGTATCGAATTTTACTGTGACAGATGATTAGCGGCGATCAATTGATGACTATTGGTACTATGCGCTGCTGGCCGCAACTTAGTAAAAGTTTTGCGTACCGTCAACAATGGCACCAATGACTTGATGGATCTTGCCATGGATGGCAGAGTCAGTGCTGGCATATCGAGCAGCCAATGCCGGTGCGAAGTTTTTCTTGATGGGTTGGAACGCAGGCTGGAATGCCCGCGCAGGCCGTCTGAAAGCTGAAGCTCGCAGCGACCTCGCAATGCCGCTAAGAACCATTGGGTCAGCTCCAGATCATGGTGGATGCGCTCAAGATGGGTTCGTATATACCTGTTCAGCATTTTGGAGATGTAGGAGGATGAATTGATGAGAGTGGAGAGAAGCGGATGTGGTTGTCAAGAGCTTGAAGGGAGGTGAAGAGGTTGAGGCGAGATGGGAAAAAGCTCGGCTCCCAGTTCAACGCACGGGTCCGATTTAATTGGTCCAGAAAACAGCTAGCTTTTTAGAGCTCGCTCCGGATTATTTTCGCATCAGGCTCTCAATGGACAATGTAATTAGGAACATAAGACTGTAGCTCATATGCTCAATAAGAATAATCATAAATTTCGTGCATTTGTTCTATGGTGCTAAACAAGCATCAGGTCATATCTAACTTCTGAGCTTAAATCATGATTTATGACAACGTGTTCTCCAGCGCGAGGACCATGGCAGTTCTTGTTGGAATGTACACCTGCAAGTAGTTCTTGCGGTTGTTCCACGCGAATGGCGTCGTAAAGAACCTAGTATCGTCCGAAATGTTGCCATGGCCGCCGAAGCCTGGGGCGTCTGTATTGATCACAACTCTATAAGTGCCTTCCTGCTCAACTCCGACGCGGTAGTCCGTGAAACTGTTGCTAGGATGGAAATTGAAAATCCAGAGAAGCCCTGCTCGTTCAAAAACGATGACCTTGTCGCCTTCGTGCTTCAAGCTAATGTATGCTTGCGGTGAGTGAAGCCAGCCGTACTTTTCTTCCATCCACTGCATCTTACTGTCGAACTCATTGAGGAATCTGTAGCGAAGCAGCTGATCATCGACGAGATTGAACTGCCTCCGAGCATAGTGGAAGCTGTTGTTGTTACCTTCTCTTGGGAAGTCAAGCCATTCAGGGTGGCCGAATTCGTTGCCCTCGAAATTCAAGTAGCCCTCACCTCCCAGTCCGTGAGTTATCAAGCGAATCATCTTGTGAAGGGACAAGCCTCTGTTGATTACTGGCGTCAGCTCGGATAAGACCGACATGTTTGTATACATCTGAGCGTCACACAGCCAGAAGAGAAGCGACTTGTCGCCGACGAGTCTAGCATATCATTAGATGTGGAATCATTTTTCGGTCAATGTGACTTACGCCTGATCGTGGCTTTCAGCGTATGCGATCGTCTTCTCACCATGTCGTCGGTTAGTCAAAGTAAAGCACAGATTGCCCATGTCCCAGTCGATGTCATCTTTTTCTTTCAACCATTTGATGTACAGATCTGGGATAGCCATGGCCAGTCTGTAATCAAAACCAAGTCCGCCAAGCGATAGGGCCATGCAAAGACCTGGCATACCAGATACGTCTTCTGCTATAGTGATACTGTCTGGGTAGAGTTGATGGAGCATCTCGTTTGCGAGCATGAGGTATACAACACCTTCCTCATCAACACCTGGCCCGAAGTATTCATGGTAGCCACCAGAGAATCCCCTGGATCGTGTTAGATCGCGTCTTGCAAGGGATCCGCTTAGTAAACTCACGTTCCAATTCCGTGATGCGTGTATAGCATACTCGTGACACCGTCAAAGCGAAATCCATCAAAATTGTATTCGTCCATCCAGAACCGTAGATTGCTGAGAAGGAATCGAAGGACTTCGTGTTTACCATAGTTGAACAGTCTACTATCCCACAACTCATGTCTGCCTTTGGCACCTTCATGGAAGTATTGATAGTCGCTCCCATCAAACATGTTCAGTCCATCTAGCACGTTCTTCGAAGCATGGCTATGGACCACATCCAGTAGTACAGTGATACCCATGCCATGTGCCGTATCCACCAGCTCCTTGAGGTCATCTGGCTTGCCATAGCGACTACTGGCTGCAAAGAAGCTGTTGATCTGGTACCCGAAGCTAGCATAGTATGCGTGCTCCATGATTGCCATCAGTTGGATGACATTATAACCAAGGTTCTTGATACGAGGAAGCACGTTTTGAGTGAACTCTTTGTACGTGGTGACCTTGGGATCGGGCGACGAGATGCCAACATGTGCCTCGTAGATGCGAACGCTAGCTGGCTTTTTAGGTCGGGCATTCTTGAACGTATACTTCTCCTCTGGAGGCGGATTCCAGAACCGAGCATCATATACAGGCGACACCGACAGGTCCTGTGTGACGCGCGTTATCCATGCTGGTATACGCTCTTGTCTGGCGTGATCGTTGGGTACGACGAGGGATATCTACACAATACTGTCAGTATTTCATTCATAGCACATATATGAGCTAAAGCTGTATACCTTGATCTTTGAGTCGTGAGGAATTGTACACTGGCCATTGTTTCCCGGTACCGTAACTTCAAAGGTTCCGAATGTGTTTTTCGTCATTGGGGTGGCATCGCGATTCCACTCGTCTGACAGAAAGTCAGTCTTCAATTATTTCCAACATCCAACCTCTTACTGAAATCCCCAATCAAGTATGCACGTAATGCATGAGGTGCCCATTCTCTGTAAATGACATCGCCGTTTGGCTGCACTTGAAACCCAAACTTTTCGAAGCCCTGTTGCCTTCGTCAGCCTCAATGACCCCTCGACGTCGACAGTAAAAAGCCGTACCCTGGAGAAGTTTTCGAGTCCACCTTCTGTGTCTTGGATCGTCTTAATCCATGCCTGAGCCTTGCTAAACCTGCTCTTGAGGGCATCCTTGAAGGGTTCAAGGTAGGGATCTTCTCTTACAAGTCCTGGAAAAGATTAGCATGACAGCAGTGAATTAACTACTCAAGTCCCTACCTGTGCCATCAGGAGCTGCTTCTCCTGCAGGGTGAGCATGAATAGAATTTGCTGAAGTACCATTCAGGGCCATGGCGGGGTGGTTTGGGTGGGATTCGAATGGTGTAATATGGAAGTCGCGGGTTACGATTGAACTGAAGAACTCAAGATTATAAGAAGGGGAAGAAATTGTGAAGAGGCAGACAATCTGAAAAGAAAATTATAGATTGACTTATTGGCGGAGATTTAACGTGCAGCCCGTTCATTGATTGTTGGACTCAGCAAGATAATTGAGCGCGGCGGAGCTCCAATGGGATCCCAACAGGACCCTGCAACCCCCTTGCAATTCAACGTCACTGGTTTGCGGAGAAATCGCCGCCAAAATTATCAGAGCTCCGGGGGGTTGGCCTTAGTGTCAAGCTAAGAGCTAAGTCTGCCTGGGGCAGCTAATTTCTAACCGTACAAGTGGAGTAGACATCCCGAGCTCTGTCAACACACGTATTCCTTCACGCTCGACTACTCCTTTGACTTGTCGTTTATACGCATATAATGCCCTAAGTCTCTCCTAATACTTCTCACTGATCTCAGATCGAACAGTATCACTCTTGCCTAGCGACATGTAATTCACTACCACTTGTCGTGACACCCCAATATCTTACCCCGCTTTCGACCTGACTGGACATTCGAAGGCATCTTGAGCTGTAGCAAAGTCAGAAGCCCCTATGCGCTGTATAGCCCTCCGTCTCTGCTCCCAGAACTTCACCATATTCTGCCAGGATGTCTCACACGTTCGTCACTGTTACCGTCTCGCCTCAGGCTCGCTTGTCATACCTTGCCCTAGCCTCAATACGACGCACCTTACATACGTCGACCAGGCGCTCGTCAGGGCAATATCACAGATCAGACTTTGCTGGACAGGGATTTTCGAGCACATATGAATCAGGCTTGCCAACGAACGGACCATTAGGAGATGCGAGTATGGTCGGTGCACCACGTATTACGCCAAAGATTTTGAAGAAGCACCTGGACGACTTCGTGGTTGGCCAAGAAAGAGCAAAGAAGGTCTTGAGTGTCTCGGTCTACAATCACTACCAACGTATTCAGGAATTGGAAAGACTAGACCAAGAACATGAAGAGCGTATTGCACAACAACAACGGCAAGAGATGGCGTATAGGCACCCGATTGAAGGTATATAATATATGCCATAATCCCGGCATTTTCAATATTGACACATGCAGACGAATTTCCTGGACAGCAAGCCACTGTGAACCTCTTCTCTCCTCCTCCGCCTCGACAACCTTCTCAAATGGAAGATAGCTCGCTCGAAGACAAAAGCCCCTTGTCCATCGAAAAGTCAAATGTAATGTTATTGGGACCCACTGGTGTGGGTAAGACTCTGATGGCAAAGACACTGGCGCGTGTGTTGCAAGTGCCATTTAGCATGTCCGATTGCACACCCTTCACACAGGCTGGTTACATAGGAGAAGATGCGGAAGTGTGTGTGCAGCGCCTGCTCGCGGCGGCAAATTACGACGTCACTGCTGCGGAGCGTGGAATCATATGTCTCGATGAAATAGATAAGATCGCAACGGCAAGAGTCTCACACGGGAAGGATGTAAGTGGCGAGGGTGTTCAGCAAGCTCTACTTAAGATCATTGAAGGCACAACAGTCCAAATCCAAGCGAAACAAGAACGAGGTGCCGGGGGTCGTCCCGGAAATTCCAAATTTCCATTGAATAATCCATTAGGAGGGAGTGGAGGGGGTTCTAATCAAACGGGTGGCAAGGGCGAGATCTACAACGTCCGAACCGACAACATATTGTTCATATTCACCGGCGCCTTCGTCGGGCTACACAAGATGATCCTTGATCGTATATCTAAAGGTAGTATTGGCTTCGGTGCAAGAGTCCGATCGTCAAGTCCTACTGCTGGAGCCCATGAGACAATGCTCAGAGGCGAAGATGAACTCTTCCGTAAACACCTCCCCTTTTATATAACCGAAGACACAAACCAGCCATGTCCACTTAGCCATCTACAGGCCGCGAGTCTCAAGCCATCCCAGGCAATCTACAACACACTCGATCTTGTCGAGCCTTCAGACCTCCAAAAATATGGCATGATCCCCGAACTGATTGGTCGCATCCCAGTCTCCTGTGCTCTCTCTGCTCTCGACGAAGAAGCACTTGTGCGCGTCCTGACCGAACCACGCAACAGTCTTTTAAAGCAATTCGAGCATCTTTTCCAGCTCAGTAGCATTGAGCTGCGCTTCACCAGTGGTGCCTTACGGCAAGTCGCCAAAAGCGCGGCTGAAATGGGCACTGGCGCACGAGGTCTGCGCACTGTGCTCGAGCGTCTACTTGGCGAGACCATGTTCGAGACACCAGGCTCGCCGATCAAACATGTCTTGGTCACGGAACGCGTGGCGCAGAAATTGCAGGCGCCGATTTATATGCCTCGCGGACGGCAGGCGCAATTCAATGCCTTGATAGAGCGCGAGGAAGAGGAATGGGAAGCGCGGCAGCTAGGCAAAGAGGTTCCGCAAAGAGGCATCGAGCCTGAAGCACAGAGCTTTGAGGACTACAGGCAAAAGAGCTCGGCGACCGGATTTGCATAGTGCAAGTGTTTGATTGCTGCTGTAGGTGCTTGGTGTTGCATGAAATACTGGCGGCACTACTGTATATACCCACCTAATGGAATCGTATGAATGACTTGATACTAATCCAGATTTCCGTTCGATAATGCGCCAAGGACCTGCTAAGCCTTCAGGATGGAGGCTCACAGACACGTTGTGTTGCGGTCGCACTCTAATTACCATATTATATTCTCCAGCGCATAGACCAAAGCACACCCGGCATATCATTTGCACTTGTTCGAAGTAGTCTACAGCAGGTGCTCACTAACAGTGCTCCGGTCCTCCGCTACTGATCTTTGTGTGTTATAGCCTCTGCAGTGTTTCAATTTGTTCGATATCTTAAAGCGCCAAACCTCGTCCAATCATAGTGCTTCTATACACTTCCCAGACTTCCCATCGGACTCCGGGATTCATTAATTCTTGGGAGAAACGCGTACATGGGATGTCAAGCGAAGTTGGGAGGGGAGATATATAGATAGCTTACGGAAAACTGTGCGCGGGAGCTGCGGGAAACATCACGTAACGTAAATCACAGTCCGCCGGAAAGAGAATCACCACTCACTCCCTACATGAACAGATGGCCATTGAAAACAAGATAAACTATCAAATCATGGCCTTGCAAAAGTCATAACCATAACCATACTCCCAAATGCTTTTTCACCCGATGCCCACAATCCTTACTCCCACTCGTTGAACCATTTTCCTAGACGCATCTGTGCATGGCTCTTGATCGGCCCAATATTGCGCGACGCCGGGCTCCTCCTCGTCACCTTCCTGGGCGTGCCCATGATCGGCGGTGCCCTCATTGCTTCCTTGTACACATTGCTCCACACGTTCTGGTCGAGCTGGCGCAGACGCTTATCAATCTGGCCCTCACACATGGACACATACCTAAGCTCGACAAATTCCTGCTTGAGACCCTTGAGCATGGCCTTCCAACTACGGCCGGCGAGGTCCATGGTGGCGATGTAGAGGTCGTGATGGCGGTTCCAGATCTTGGGTAGCGGTGCTGTAGGCATGTCAAGCAGCGCGGCGAGGGCGTCGACAGTGTCGTGCTCGTTCATTGCGATAGATAGTGGACCGCCGCGGTTCTCTCTGTTTCTTTCGCGCTTCTCCATGAGTTCCTGCATGCGTTCTTTGACGCTGAGGAATTTGAGCACCGGTTTGCTGGCCGGCTCGCTGCTGCTGCCAGTCTTGGTCGTGGTAGTGGGAGTGGTGAAAGTGTTATAGACAATAGGGTCCTTTCCCCTGCGAAGATTTCTGGGGCCATGGAGGTTGGACATTGAAGTGAAAGGATCGTCGACGATAGGGGCATTGCCTTTGCTGAGAGTCGGCATGGTACGAGAACGGGACGTCATTTCAGGCTGAGCGTCGCGGTCCAACATAGGAATGAGAGAAGTTATGGTCTTCGAGGGTGAGGAAATCCAGGATGGGCCGACGGATGAGGCATGAGCGAGTAACGGGCGAAGGCCTTGCTTGGTGTCATCTATGAAGTGAACAGAGAAATAGTCAGAAAGTACATCAAACAGATTGTGAAGAGGCAATGGTGGGAGATCTAACATACCTTTCCGCTCCAGGGTACCACGTGGCAAGAGTTTTGCAGGTTCAGTGAGATACTCCTGTAGTTAGAGTCAATCGAAGGTCTAGTGAAGTACTCTTGGGTGATACCTGGACTCTATGCTCTACGTACACTCTTGGCATGTTCTCGAAGTCGGTCGTGTGGTGAAAGGCGCTGTCCTTTCAATTTACGCACTGGGAGGAATCGTACCTTTTGTCGACGTAGGTTATTTTGGCAAGTAGGGTATATGCGTACGGTGGAAGGGTATGTGTTACTCCGTTTCCGGTGACCCTGGTACTGGAGCTGTTGTGACATTATCAAAGCAGTTGTATATGTGGAATCGGGTTTAAGAAGCAGTGAGACCACGATGCAAAAGAGAAGTGTTAAGAACCTTTACTGAGGTATGGGTTGTGCGGCCTGTTTTTCCACGTGGTAAACAGTGTGTTGGCCACGGAAACACAATAGTTTGCAGTGCCTAGTGACGTCTTGTATCGTGAACCTAAGGAACATTGGCAATCGAACACGCACGCGACTAATAGAATGTTAAGGAACGGAACGGTTACATCGTACTGTATTCGTCATGCAAAGAGAACATATGAGAGACATATTCTCATCCAACCCATCCCAATGTATAAGTACAGCGGCAAATGTAGTCCTGCCATTACCCTATATTCACATCGACTCGACTACTTGCTCGCGTCTGTGAGTGCTCTTGAGAGTTCAAATTGGAAAGTTGTGCAGAAAGAGTCTAGTGGCGTAAGTCCTCATTTTCTTTTCGCATGCTCACTTCTGTAGTCCGATCTTGCTCAGGAGACTGCTGTTCTTGGGTTTTTGCCCGTCAAAGACACCTAGCAGACTCTTCCATACCTGTCCAGGCTCTTGGCTGGCATCAATTCCTGTCCAGATTCCTGTCTTCTGATAGTACCCAACAACTGGGTAGGTCTGTTTGTGGTATGTGACTAGTCGCTTCTTCAACGCTTCCTCGGTATCGTCAGATCGCTGAATGAGTGGCTCGCCAGTGACATCGTCGGTCATCGCACTCTTGGGTGGGTTGAAGATCTTGTGGTAGCTCCGACCGGAGGCTGGGTGGACGAGACGACCTGTAATTCGTGAGACCAGAAGACTATCGTCAATCTTGAGTTCGACAGCGTGCATAAGCTTCTGTTGCTTCGCATTCAACATATCATCCAAGCGCTCTGCTTGAGCTACTGTGCGAGGAAATCCGTCAAGAATGAAGCTATGCCAGTGTTAGCCTCACCAGTGCATGATGTTTCACAGTGCAGCAACTTACCCGTTCTTGCATTCGCTGTTGCTCTCAAGCTCACTCTTAATCATGTTGACCATAATCTCATCACTGACGAGACCACCTGCATCCATGATCTTCTTAGCTTCGCGACCGAGGTCTGTCTTCTTTGCGACCTGGGCGCGGAGCATGTCTCCGGTGGCCTATATTATATGTAAGTGCAACCCATCTGAATGCGGCGCAGACTTCACGTACGAGATGGCAGACACAGTACTTGTCTTTGATCCTCGGTGCTTGCGTGCCCTTCCCTGTAAAGAATTTAGCGATGGACCGGAGCTAGACGAATTGCATAGCTCACCTGCTCCGGGAGGTCCCATGAGAATCATCCGCATGCTAGACGGCGCATCTTTAGCAGGCTTGCCAGACTCAAGTTCTGCAATTCTCTTCTCGAGCGTTTGAACCCTTTGCTTCAATTCCTCAACGGGGTCCAGTAAAGCTGGCATTTTGCCTGGCTTGTGACGTTGATTGGATCGGGCAAGATGTACGCAAGGGTTCAAGAGCGGGACCACGCGCGAAACGTACAGCTGTCTGCAGGCACGAGCAGAGCCTGACGAGGTGCGGCGTTGGTTTGAGGTAGAGATACAGAGGTTTTAGGTTCGTGGAGTTGGTGTAAGTCGGTCAGAGCTACAAACGTACAAGAACCTGGTCTTTGCTTTGACGATCCGCTTTACCGAGAGACAGCGACTACCGCGGACGACATGTGTCAGAAGGTCAGATACGCAAACCTAAAAAGCAAAAATAAGGATACACAGTTAGAGTAAGAGATATATAAGAACTCATTTAATCTATGTATATCTCTACTTGTTTCTGCTTTATTTATATACGCTATCTATTAGTACTCTTTCTTCTACTCTATAGATAAGTTTAGAGCTTATTTATTCTAAGTAGCTAACCTTTATTACGCTATTTAGCTAATTTATACTTCTCAACCAAGCTGAATCTAAATATTCTATCTTATTAGAAATCCTGTAGTCAGTGTTAGATGGGAGCAGTGAGTTGTTGTCTCAAGATCCGTGATGGGAACGGAATATGGCTTTCATGTCTACACTTTTCGGATGTGGCCCTCTGACACATGTCGTCCGCCTCAAACGACGCCAGGACCTCGGACACTATTCATCGCTTGCTGTTGCCATAACGTTGCTATTTCTGCTGCCCATCAACATCAACCATATCACACCGTCAACAAGTGTACACGATTCATTGGCGAGCCATATCATCTGTATGACTATGCAGCAGAGAAAATATCCTATGCCGTGCTTACAGCTTTACAGTATTGAATAGGTTCAAGCTCAAGCAGACACCAAGAACTTTAGAAGCCAGTCATAGCAGGACCGGCCCATCCTCCAATGTGTGATAGATGAGGCACAATGCAAAACTAATTGAATTTGACTTCAAGTGCAGATCCAGCTGCACCCATGCATCGCATTGTCACAATGCCGTGCGCATCGTGCATCGTGCATCCCCCATCCATGTCCGACGAACCAGCTCTCACAATGTCCGACCACAGTCACTGCCGTCCAATAGACGCATAAGACGAGTACGAGTGCAACAGTGCTATCCGCAGTATGTGGCGTAGTATGCGTGTGACGACCGTGTATATAACTACCCAATACCCCGCCCGACCTCAATTGATCGATCACTACCTCCCGCACTTTTGCCTTCGCCCCGAAGAGTAAGTACTACAAGATATATCAATATGTCTATTGCCGCAGCTCGAACTGGCACTTGGATCACGTCCGCCGCAAAGAACATAATTCTGAATCCAGTCTTGACTGGTCCTTTACTATGGCTTCTTACAAAAGCACCAGTCGGATATCGCTCAAGTTTCATTGATATTCTAGGTCCATTGATGAATACTGCGAACTCGACAAGGTTTGTCAATCACTTGAAGATAGCCTTTGCACTTGGCATTATCCGTGGCCTCAACTGGGCTTTCAACCTATGGGCGCTTGCCAAATGGTCGACGAAAAAGACGAATTGGGTCTGGAATGAAGAGATTGCCATCGTTACTGGCGGCTGCAGGGGTATTGGCATGCTGATTGTTGATGGACTGGTTACCAGAGGGGTGAAGGTCGTAATTCTGGACGTCTCAGATTTGCCCGCAAGATTCCAAAGCCGTAAGTAAGCATGATGAAAGGGGCTGGATGCGAAAGGGTCAGGCTAAATCTTTGTAGACAAGCAGATCATGTACTTCCAGTGTGATATCACTAAAGAATCGACAGTCATGGAAGTTGCTATGAACGTGAAGGATTCACTTGGAACACCGACTGTTTTAGTCAACAATGCCGGCATTTGCGGCAACAAGACCATCTTAGATACATCTGAGGAATATCTTCATAGGATATTTGATGTAAACATCCTTGCCCACTTCTATACCGTCAAGGCATTCCTACCGGACATGCTCAAAGCGCGTAAAGGCCATATAGTCACGATCGCAAGCGGTGCTGGCTTCATCACCGTAGCGAACATGGTCGACTACTGTGCGACCAAAGCAGCTGCTTTGTCATTCCACGAAGGTGAGATCTCCATGCTATGTGGTCATAATCGTCTCCCGCTCTACTGGATAGGGGACTTATAGTTGTATTATCTCTAATGTTTCTAGGCCTCGGCCAAGAGCTGAAGCACCGCTACTGCGTGCCCGAAGTTCTAACAACTTGCGTCCATCCGCATTGGACAAAGACACCGATGCTGAATGCTTTCGAGGACTCACTCATTGCAACCAAGCAGTTCATCCTCAAGCCAGAGACAACCGCGGACGCGGTAGTGAAGCAGATCATCAGCGGGAAGAGTGGACAACTAATCATTCCAGAAGCATTCTCCCTTGCATCGGCCTTGAGGGGCTTACCCCATTGGCTTCAGGAAGGCTTCAGAGATAGTCTCGGAAAGTCTGTCGTATGAGATTTTGCGCGTATATATTGCTTGGAAGAGAGTGAAAGCGCGATGAAGCTGTCTAATGACTGCCTACAAAGAATGAAAGCCTGAAAAGACTGAAAAGCCACGAATGACTGAAGATAGCGGTATATCCATTTCGTGTCTTGGAGCCGGTAGCACTTCCGCAGTCGAGGCAGCAAGGTATGCGATACCTCAACGCCGAGCCTTCTGGCTCATATCTGTTTCCCTTATTGTTCCTGCTGAAACTAGTACTGGTCAGTTTTCTTTTTTCGATTATGTATGACAAGAACCCCTGCAGTTTTTCTGTTTCTGTTTTTTTGATCTCTTGCTCTTCAAATCAGTACCGGGTGTGAGTTTCTACGTACCTCCGACTACCGATCGAGCTTCCGCTTTGTGTAGATGTCCCTGAAGCCTATCTGCGTAAATAATAGCAGCAACCTTGGATGTTTACCGACCATCCAATACTCAGGCGCTGTATCTACCGCTGCCACTGTCGATCATGTCATCAATATATGAGTTTAGTGCGTCAAGTTCGAACCTTGAGGGTATGTAGCGCTAGGCTGACAGTACAATGCGAGCACTAAGCCATAAGCATGGCATTCGACATTCGTACGATCCTAGTTCTAGTCGTCTCGCATCATTGCCCGCAAATACCTATCTAACACACGCACATAGCTATACCACCTATGTTGACTTAATCGTTGTGGGTTGAAGATGCGTTTCCCGTGATGGCTGGCTGTGATTTTAATCTAGTATCTATGTTGAGATCGGCGGTGTTCATCCATGCCGAGGCCCGCAGAACCGCTCTGCATCGTGATGGTTCTCAGCCAATTGATGCCTCTAATGAGAGACGCCTTATGAACTACTCTATCTGTGGGGAATTAGTACGGCACACCTAGCGGTAAATGTCGATCCCCATCAGCATGTTCAATTTGTTACATTTCTCCACTCTGGGTAGCGCTCAAACCCTAGTCACTTGAAAGGATTGTGCTTAGCCAGTTTTGCAGTGGTGTAGACACTATATTTTCGTTTGGTTTCATTGTAAAGAAAACTTGTTACTAATGACCCTATGTTATGATCATGTGCATGATCGACATTGGCATCTCATAGGGCTAAGTCTCATGTTTACCTTCGCGTTGCTGATCACAACACATGCGGGATGTGCCCAAATTCCACATGTGAGAGCTATATACCAACCATACTGAAGAATATAAAAACATCCCCTTTCCCATCTTCTAGCATGGTCTCGTTTCAGTTCAGCCGTCAACTACAACTCTACCTGTAGCCTTCCGAAGCCCCTGATCCTAATTCCGTTCCATATCACCTCCATCACACATATTCTTATCCAAAATGCTCGCCAAGACCATCTTCGCAACTGCCCTTCTGGCATTCACTGTCGCTGCTATCCCCGTGGCCCAGCCCCAGGGCGAATTGATGAATGACCTCGACAAGGCTATTCAGAACATCGGCTCTATTGTTGGCAACGCCGCTGGTACGTCCCCTGATAGCTTTTCGTTGGAATACCCAAACTGAATAAACCCTCAAGGTAATGGCAACGGCAACGGAAATGGCAACGGCAACCCAATCGGTAACGGCAATGGAAACGACAACGGCAACCACAGTGGCAACGGCGGTAATGGTAACGGCTCGGTACACTCTAGCCCTTCCAAAATCATTCGAGTCATCCATACTTACACCATCTCACAGGGCAACAACTTCAACCTAGGTAGCAATAACGACTGCAACCACAACGTGAACCAGGTATGCTAAACGTGTGCAACAGGGAAACCATAAACGCTCACGCCAGCGTAGAACGGCCTGATCAACATTCGTGACCCAGACGTCGACCAGAATGGAATCGTCAATGTGGCGCCGATATGTCTATGAGTTCACATCGTAGAATACATATACATCTAGTCTGTTTGCATCAAACAGTATCAAGAGACGCACTGGGTAGTTCGGAGTTGGCACGGGATCAGTTTGACTTCTTGTGTATTTGTTTTGGAAATTAAATAGCTGAACTGTTCAATGCAAAATGAATGTTTTCGTGTCTCTACCCAATGTTATGGACTATGATGATACCAAGCAATTATCTTAATACACAACGAAAGAACGAAGCAAAGACTGCGCGCTAAGCTAAGATTATAATATGTTCCTACCAGAAAGGGCCTGTTGAAATTCTCAAGCTATATTGATCGTCCAATAATGAAAGATTAAGACATCAAGAGGCAAGCCTATGGATCTAGAATAAAGCAAAAAGCAAAAACATTCAGCAGTGGGTATTCGCTAGTGGTCACCCACCTAACTACTAATCCACCCCTAACCAGCTTAAATAGGCGGGAGCGAACGGGACCGCTTGCTTTCTGGTTGGTATGGCCGAATGTGCTTGATTCAAGTGGAAAACAAACTATATCGGCTCTACTTTCTCGAAACAAGATTGAACCCTGCTATGGCACCTCAACGTCAAGCTGACCACAAGACCCAAACACCTAGTTTCATAGATGGAAACAACGTTTCAGTGTGAAGTTAGGGGCAACTCATAAATAGCTAGATATTATTGTTCGGTAATCGAAATATCATACCATATTCAATGATAACGAGGTTCTGTTGTGACATGTAAGCTACATCAATTATTTCAAACAACCTTGACTATCCCAATCGGAAGGCGAACTGTGGTTTACGATATTCAACAGAAGGTTGAGAGGCTTGTACCGACAGAGGGAGCTGATTTAGAGGTACAAGGAAAGCGGACTGGCGCATACAATCGAGCCATACTTCTAGGCTATGGAAGGAACATTCCCATGTGCTGATAGTATTACCGCTATAGATACATGCGCCCAACAGCACAAATGCGATGAATTTAAAACCACTCGCTCGCTTGCTATACAAACGACATATGGAGATGCATGATCGCCTTCATGAGCACTGCGAAACTCCCATACCCCATTTTATATATCAATCCATGATACCAAAACCATGTATGCCATAGCCCCACTAGATGCAGGAAGAAAACTATCAAACGATTATATACGCTCACATGACAGCATCGAGGACCTTTTCTCGCAACTCTCTAACTTCCTCTTCTTTCCTCCCTAATTTCTCCTTCAGGTCTTCAAATTTACTCTTCCAGTCGATTTCGGCTGCTGCAGCACTTTCAGCCCTATCCACATCATCTTTCCTAGACGACTTATCGCCCATTACGATGCCACGGATCTTACACTCGGCTACAAGCGCTCCGATGGTCGTCGTCCATGCGACATCTACGCTCTCTCGAATCTTTCTATCGTTGGCTCCCTCAACGTCTTCAGTTTCCATCGCATTGTCGTTGTCGTCATCTATAGGACTATCGTAGCCATCACCTCCCACGCGGAACCTTTGGAAGACGAGTTTCTTCTGGTTGACAGGCGATGGGGGACCAGGGAGGCCAAGACTGCTAGAAAGATTCAAAACAGTGGCGAGAGCCATACGATGAACTTGCTCGCCGGTATTGCTGCCATTGGTAGTACTAGGGGTGGTAGGGCTTTGTGGCATGGTCTTCATCTTCCTTAAAAGTGCATCAGCAAGCTCCTTGGCATCAGTGCCGCGTAGTTTTTTCCGCCCTGAGATTTCAGCACGAAGTAGGTCATGAGCAAGGGCGCGTTTAAGTGATTCATGTGTGAGTGTAGGGAAGGGTGAGAGGATTGGTGTCGAATTTGCGGACCGAGGTTGGACAATGTGAGACTGTGGCGCGGATGCTTGTGTCTGAGGCTGTGTTTGGGGTTGTTCATGTGATACATATTGTGGCGGCTGTGGATGCGAGGTTGGGCCAGCCTGTCGCGCATCTTGTGAACTAACGCCTTGTTGCTCATATATATCCGATGAAGTGTGTGGAGAGGCCGCCGAAGGTGCAGCAATCACAGCAGTGAGAGCATTTGTTTGGCCATTAACCAGGACTGTAGGTGTAACGAGAGAGACAGGTCCTCCTAAGTGCTGTGGGACCTGAAGTTGTAGGCGTTCTGGTCGACCTACTGAGAGGCTAGATTGCTGCGAATTGATTGAGATGGCGGATGCAGGCGTTAGAGCTGACGCAGGAGTAGGGGGAAAGCGAAAATGGTGAGACTCTGGAGCAGTATTTCCTGTTGAAGCCGTGGATGGTGTCTGTTCCACAGGTGTCGGACCGGGTGTAGATCGGTTGAGGTCGATTGTGGGGCCTTCTTTGGTCTTGGGGTTGGCAGGAAAGGTTACAAAGGGTCCATCTCGGACGGATCGATTGCTAGGCGGTCGTCCACGCAGTTTGCCGGTTGAGTTGGTGCTATTGCTTGTCCAAGCAGACGAAACAGCAGGACCATGCCGTCTGCGAGCCTTTGACCTTGTAGAACTCGGAGTCAAGGCCGATAGGGGTTCGTCGAATGCTGAATCAGGGGCTTGGGAGGTTGAGGGTGTGGTTGCTGACATAGGATGTGGGCTTTGTGCATCGTTAGGTGTATTGAGACGCCACCGCAATTGCTGAGCTGGAGTCGAAGCAGCTGAATATGGAGTCATTGTTCTGGCAGAGTAGGGGTTCAGGGAAGATGCAGGTGTGATTGTTGAGATAGTAGTCCATGGATCGTGCGGCTGGACGAAGCGATCCATGTCATCCGGATGAGCGCTATTTGGATATGCAGATTGAGGAGGCGCGTGATTGCTAGATGCCGAGAATGAGGTATCTAACTGCGGACGTTTCGGTGCCCTCTGTAGTTCCTCATTTTCATCATCACCTTCGTCATTTTTCCGCCGTCCCCTCTTTGGTTTGAGTTTTGGGTCCAATGCTCTTATGGCAAGGTCTTCATCGAAAATTACTCCGTCACGCCCATCATCAGGAAAAGGTTCGTGTGGTGTAGGTACCCATGTGAAATAGCTGTGCTGATTACCCACAAGATATTCAAAGAAGGCATCAATATGCATCGCTCGCATCCAACGCTACTGAAAGTCAGTAAATGACACAACCATGGGTACTGAGCGTGACTAGCGCATTCGCAGTCGAACAAGAACATGAGGTATCACTATCAACGTGCGTTGCTTCTGATCACTGTATCACGCCGAACTGCCTCAGCTTTGAACAGCTGCGTGCTGGCTGAGCAAACAAGAGCCATGGCAAATGGAGTAGAAAAAGTCGACAGGTGAAGAAAATGGAAGTGGAGACATAGAATTATAATTGACGGGACCAATCTAAAGACGACCCTATTTTTCGACTTCTGACCCAAACAACCCCCTAAAGAACCAACTTGGGCGGATTTAGCCGCCAAATACATGTCCAGTTTCCATTATGGACTGAAGGTATCTGGTCCTTCAGCGAACAGGGAATGTAAGGAGACAGTTGAGAGATATACTTAGCTTGTAGAAGCTCCAATGGGGTGACGCTTCTCGGGGGTGGTCTTCAGTTTCCTTGCTCTTTTCGGGTGTTCAAAGATAGGCCAGTGATCAGGCAGCGCATGGATATGGGTATGAGTGTAAAGGGAATTCTATCAGACATACCTTTAACCTAACAGAGTACTGTTGCACCTTCTGTGTACTCTGTCCTTTCTCCAAATCGGGTGGCTCGACCCCCAGATCTAATGCTAACTGCGCCCATGTTTTGATTTCCTTAGGAAATTTCCGTATGAGCTCAAAAAGGGTGTATGTGCTGAAAGTTTTACTGTCGCTCTTCGGTGGTAGCCGAAATAACCTCTTTAATTCTGTTACATCTGTTGTGGTCGGGAAGCTTGGATTACAGTATAGTATGAATGCGGCGTAGGCGTCGTCAATTGTGTCGTCAGATATGTTACGGGATGGAAGGGAGCGGTCGGAGGGCGTATAATTCGCCATATATTGTTTCTGCTGGCCCGGAGAATGGCCCGAGAAGCGGGGAGAGGCTGCGTTGGAGGGTGTAGATGGGGTAAGTGAACTGCGCGCAATGTCGCCATAGAAGGTGTGCGCCATGTGTGGGTTGCCGATCGAGGAATTGTCCGAAACAATGTGTGAGGGCGAGGCGTGGATATTCATCTGCGTCTGGCTGCTTACTGAAGCATCCATAGCTCCATTCATTGCTGGCGCAGAAGGCTGTCGAAATTGCGTGTATCCACGATGATTTGGCGATCGAGTGTTGTATTGTGGTGCGTGCTGCGACAGATGTAAATGCTGATCCTGAGGTCCTGTTCCCGCTTGCGCATAGTCCATCTTGCTGCTCGAGCTGAGTCTTAGTCGTCCACGACCTCTACTGGACGTCAATAGCTCATTGTCGCATATGCGCGAGTAGTCGAACGGCTGGTAATTCGAGATCAGGCCACCCGATTCACTCTGACTTGACTTACGAGTCAATTCGACTGGCTGGGAACCGCGACGACACGGTATGAGTGGGTGCGTGCGCACAGTAACGCGCAAGGCCCAGCAAGGTTGTTAAGTAACGATCGTATGGGCGTGAGTTGTCGACTTGCGTAGTAGCGGCGAGATAGTATTGTTATGTCGCAGAGAGGGTGTGTTTGGGGAGTTAATTTGTGCACGAATCTCACCAAAGATAGAGGTATTAACGGAGACTGAGACAAGGGGTGTCAAGGCTCTTTCTGTTTCAGGTATAGTGCCCCAGGCCCTGACACCCACTGAATCCCAAACTTAACATCTGCATTCGCACGGGTCATCTATTCTTAGGCCTACGGCGCTTATTACAAAAGCCTCGTCCGTCCAATCAACAGCCACAGTCCAGCCCTTTGCGCGGTTGAACCACAATTCTCTCAAGCGGGAACCATACCTCTTCATAGACCCCTATCTGACCATGTTTGCACTGGGTCTTTTCATTGGCCTTAAGGGCCCTGTCAAAGACCGTAGTCGCTCGAAATAGACTCACAAGGGTCAAGACGCCATAGAAAGAAAGGAGAAGACGCCATCCCTTCGCTTGCACATAGATGGTATCATCATGTCGATAGCTTGAACCATTATCCACGGGCGCGTGATGTCTGTTCTGAAAAGCCCATGATGATAGGCTCCAAACAGAAGAACTCACTTATTCATCCCTTGTAGGTCTTGCCGATCGAAAGGTAATCTACTCTATTACATACATGACTAGTAAGCCAGAGTCATACGCCTGAGATCCAGTGGTCTTAGGAGCCTGATCCAAGTCGATCTCCGGCATATCAGAAACCAGCAAGTGGATAGTCAGTACTCTCGATTTGCTCTGGGTATACGAGACCATTCTGCTTTCTCACTTCGTCCATTGACTCCATAATAACAATACTCTCCGCTAATGGCAGGCCTTCACTTTCTTGCTTTCCGTCCCGCAGACATCTTGCGACTTCATCTGCCTCCCAGAACATGCCATGTCCCGGTGGTGTCTTGTGCTCAACGTCTTTACCCTGTAGAGACGCATCATTCGGATCCTTGGGAATGATACGATAGGTGCTAGGCCTGAAGCCATTGCCCCCAGTCTCAAGTATCTGGATCTCTCCTTTCGTTCCTTGAATACGTATGGGCGAACCAGCTGTACTTTTACCGTCTGGGTCTTTGTCTACACGAATGCTGGTGGTCGCGATACCATGCGCGTTATGCGGCGGGAAATTGAGTACCATTGAAGTCGACTCGTCTGCTCCAGTGATAGGATACTTCGTCATGACTGATACTACTGTTGGTGGCTTGCGGATGGAAGGATCCAGACAGTGGTAGAGAATTTGAAAAACCCATGTCAAAGAATAGATGCCCACTGTATCCCAAGTCAGCACGACGTGCTTATGGGAGGTCCCACTTCTTACAGTCAAGTAGAACACCACCGGCAAGGTCCATGTTGACCATCCTGTTCTCTGGAGGAAAGTCTTTCTCGACATCTTGCCCAAAGCTGACATCTGCAAACACCCGATACACGGTCCCAAGCTTACCGCTCTTGACGATTTCTCGAATCTCTCTAGACGCCGGGAAATATCGAGTCCATACCGCTTCCATGAGGAAGAGACCCTTCTTCTTCGCAAGCTGTGCAAGGATCTTTGCCTGTGCCGCGTTCGTCGTAAACGCCTTCTCACATAGCACATTCTTACCAGCCTCAAGACAAAGCCTGGCGTGTTGGTAGTGATGTGAGTGTGGCGTGGCAACATACACAACGTCAATATTGGCGTCTGCCACAAGCTCTTTGTAGCTGCCGTACGCCTTGCCGCCGCTTACGCCGCATTCTTGCAGAAATTTTTCCGCGCGCTCGCTTGAATTCGATGAGGCGGCGGCTACGACTTGATGTTTGATGTCGGTCACATCTCGTGTTTGCGGGTCGATGACAAGATCCTTGGTGAAAGCTGTACCACGCGTATGAACGTCTCCTGTTCGAATAGGCGCTGTGCCTCTTGGTAGTGGGACTTACTCCTGGCAATTCCTCCAGTAGCTAAACAACATCAATATGACCGCAGGACTGTAAGCGTAGTGACTTGACAAACGCACCTAGAATACCCCACCGAACAGTGTGGACTGTACCGGACATGCTCAGAGATCGTTGGTCAACTTTAGCAAAGATGTTGCGCTGATGTTTGTGAGCTCTTCAGTGTAAGGAGATGGTCAAACTTGTGTGCTTGTCAATTATCATCGATTCGCAGTGGAAGGATCGTGTTGTTACATGCGGGGTTTGTCGAGCCCCACCGGGATAATTACAGCAACAGCATTTACGCGCCAGATGCCGCATCGCCTATAAACTGTTGACTAAATCTAACTACATCGTTTACATGCTGTCCTTTGCGTCGGCTTTCGTCTGTACATCAGCAGTTGTCGTGCGATACACTATCTCCAATCTCCAACCATGTTGTATCAAAGTCTCGGTACGTCCTAGGGTATCATTTTGAAATTAGGCCTTCTTGACAAGAGACCTTCTCGCCTTCACCGTCATCTCGTAAAGAGCATCTTTGAAGGCGAACAAGAATGCTGCAGTGATAACACTTTGGGTGACCTTGGGACCAATGCCTGTAGAATGGTTCGTTAGCTTTGGGCATTCTCATTCATTGGTACTAGAGTTCTTTTACCTCCGTAAAGTCCAGAATAACCCTCGTTCTGAATAATGTTGCGTAGGCTGTCTAGCATGCCAACCTTAGGACCATCCTTGCCTGCAACATGTGCCCTGCTCTTGATGGTAATATATGGGTAGGTAATACTGGTTGCAAGCAGTTTTCCAAGCGCTCCCAGATAGAATGAGTCTTTAGGGGTAACCCTACCCTTTCTTGCCTCTACGATGTTCTTCAGTTGTTCGTAAAGAGTGTACTGCAGGATAGGGTTGATGACCAGCACGAGAGCGGGCATCACACCTGCGAACAAACGTGTAGGGCCCTCGTTACGGATGATAGACATCAATGTGCCGATAGTAGACGGTGCTCTGACAGGCTTTGACCCAGGCAGAACCTGTTCGTTAGATTCAGACTTTCGTGAAGTCATCCTCGTGTTCACAACCCAGATGGGGTTTGTGAGGAGTACGGTGGCACTGCCAGCAATGGCGCCAGCAATCATTGACTCTACTGTGGTGAGCTTCTTAGATGCTCGGCCGGCCTTGACCGCAGCCTTCTCGAATGCTGAACGAGTCCATTCATACCCTATATATTGTGAGTGCGTCCTCTGACAGGAGCGTAAATTTCTACGAACAATAGTAGTAGACAAAGTTGGTCACACTGATACCGAAAAGTGCAGAATCAAGGCCGGCGTATAAACCCGAGATGCCCTCACGCTGAATGATGCGCCGGACTGCATCGAGAGTAGACGAATGCGCTCGTTTGGATTCGACTTGAGCGCGAGTTGAAAGAGTGATGAGAGGGTATCTATATATACGTCGGTGTTAGCAAGGATAACAAGACGATGTACTCGTCTGGGCGCATACGTCAAAGCCATGGAAACCAAGCCTCCTCCAGCTCCGGCAAGCGCGTGAGCAACATTGTCACTTTGCTGCGCAGCAGTGCTTGATGCAAGGCCCTTGGTAGAGTCGTCAAGCTTCTCTGCTACAGCCTTTGTTGATTGAGCCATGGGTTGTATAGATACACGGAGAGGACTGGGAATGACGTTTTGACAAGGGTTGGGAGGCAGGTAGCGTAAATAGTTGAACAACACGAGTTGATCTTAAGTTTCAATATACGGAGGCTTGAACAAACCTTAAGAATCACAACAAGACTGGTATGGTCTGCAAGAGAATTTAAAGAGGGGCACATAAGATAAAAGCGTCACAGTCCAATGTCTGATGATAGACATGAACTCTCATAACCCCCGGTTATTGAATTGCCTCGGTCAAAGCATTGCATGCACGTGACGTTCTCATAGATCAGATGTCCAGGCTGGTACCGGGAACGCCATTGGCTGCTTCTATCGAGCCTTTGGGTAGCCTTTTATATATTAGTCATTCATCGAAACGAAGCATTTCAAACATGTCCAAGTTTTCCGTATAGCTGCAGCTGCAATACAGTTTACCATTTGAGAAACCTACTCCCACTAGCAAACATAATGCTCCCAAGATAAGTAAAGTATGTAGACTGTTATGCTGATATGTGCAATGAAAGCCGGAGGTATCTTCACGCGCAACACTTTCGCACAACACCTTGTCCTTCCCACACCGGAATGTATTTAGCTAGCGGCATAATACACAATTCAGACGAATGTCCAGGCGTATGTTGACTATTGAATAGCACGTATAACATTCGTGTGGCAACTGAAATGTGAATCATGATTTGCCGCCGTAGGACCAAGAGACCTGATATTGAGAGAATGTACGCGTCGCATGAAGCCTACAGTTTTGTAAACATGATCGTAATCCATTGCTGCCGTATATCGTAGTCTAAAGCGTTCATCGTCATAGAATGTTTGGAATCTGGGGCGTGCATGTTTTTTTTGGGATGCAGCACTCTCTAGATCATTTCTCGTAGCCCGTTCAGCTGTCGCCATTTTGGACATTGTTGTCCTGGTCTTTGTACTCATCTGGGACGATGCCAGCATTATTACAAGCACGCTTCCAGATATCACACTCTTCCCAAGCCCTTGACATCTCGGCCTTGAATTTGTCGACACTGGCACTAAGCTCGGTAATGGCCTGTTCGGTCAGAAGCTTTTCGAGTGTCCACTTCTCAATGTTTGATGATTCGTTGTCTTTCAACTGGGTTATAAACTGTACTGCGCGCTGAAGAATGGAGCCCTTGTTCTTCTCACAGCCAGGCACAATTTTAGCAAGTTCATTGATTCCTTCATTGATAGTCTCTCGACGACGACGTTCAACTGCGAAGCGGTTAGTGGTACGCAACATGCTCTGAAGTCTCGAGACATACCCTCTTTGTGGTTGTCCCTTCTTAACTTATGCCACTCGTCTGTCCCTACTGCAGGCTTTGAGGCACTTGTTGGGGACTCGTTCGAAGCGGTGTTTCCTGATTGTCCTCCAGTCTTCAGAGAATCAAGACCGCTGAAGTCTGTGAAACTATGAGCTTCGTTGTCTTCCATTTGGAACGACGCACTGAAGGGTTGAGTACCATCTATACCAGACGTGTGGCTTTGGAAAGAGAGCTCAGTAGCCTGGGGTACGGTCATGGAATAGTGAAGTGCCGCAGCTGCGGTATCGGAGCTATTGGACACATTTCCCCCATTTTGACCAAGAGAGCTAAAGTCTAGAGAGTTGTCGTTGCCACCGGCGTTGTGTGCTGCAAGGAAATTGGCAGTTGCTTGATCACTGAGATCAACAGCGTTAGAATTCGCACGTTGACTGGGTGCCGGCCGTTTTGAGTTTTGGTCGAGGGAGCCACGTTTGCGCTTGTTGCTAAGCGCTTCAGATAGTGACACATCTGTCTTGTTCTCAACCTCTGCATATGTTGTCGAGTCTGTCATGATGTATGTAAGGTATTTTCAAGTTGGCCGGAAGAGTTTTCAAGGTCTATCCTTTACAGCTCTAACAGTTGATAGTGGTTTAGACGCGATATCAGATCCTCCTTGAAGGGACTCGGTCGAACAAGGTGTTATGTGACGACGCCTGTAGCCAATGCGGCGCAATGCCAGTGACAGCGCCGGAAGGGTGGGTCTACAAGTGGCAGCGATGGCAGCACAAGTGCGGATAAAAGTCGCAAACTTCGGCGATGTAGAGTACCGGTCGGCTGTTGAGGAGATGGCCCAAGAGTGAAAGAGGTTTGCCGTGCTCTCAGTTGGCTACGTTGTAGCTCGGTAATGATACGACGATTGTGGGAAGTCGAGGTAGGTCGAAGCTATATCTATCCATCAAGCAACGGTTAGTATATACGATATACGCGAGATGGCACGCATGCTCGGCCCCAAAGAAGAGCGGGTCTAGAGCCGGGGTAGATGATTGCTTCACGGCTGTGAGACCAGGCCGTTGACGTTCGGGAGGCTGTCGCAGCATATTGGATAGTGGGCCGTAGGATGTACAAGAGCGTCGTCTTGTCATTCGTTACTCGAATGTCCTATTGCGCGACGAAGATGCGGCAACATAGCGCCAGTGCGATCAACTGGAAGCATTGACACGAGCCGTAGACGAAGCTGTCATTCGCGACCGCAATCGTAGGTGACGCGACGTAGCGGCGAGGTGAACATGATACTATGGGTCTTGACAGGTCTGTCCGAGGGATAGGGCAATCACAGAACTCGTCGCGAAGCTCGTTATGAAGGGTCGAGGTGCTCATGTAAAAAGAAGTTGGGCAAACGTACCTCTGAAATAGGATTGGGTGTTCCGCGAGGCTCGTCACCTGATGAACGGTTCGGTCGGGAGCGTGGTCACGCCGGAGACAGATGAGAAGTGTATCGCCGAAAGCGCAGAGCAGAGAGTAAGAAAGACGGTAAACGGAAAGACGGCAGATAATTGCTATTTCAATTCAAAGCGTGTGCCTGAAGTTGCGGACGGGTTGCAGCGCGAGACAACGTGATGGCGGAATCAGGTGACAGAGAATTGGAGTTGACCAGTGTGTCATGTGAGGAGGGCGAAGGGGTCTTATGAGAGAACAGCTGGAGGCTGCCGGCTGGGTAGATGGCACTATCCCTTTTCTGGCCTAGTGGTATTTGCTCCCAACCAACTACCCACCTAGGCAGGCACCTGCTCCAGGCAGGCACCTCCTCCAGGCCGTCCCATCCATTTCATTTTGTCCCCAATCAGCCACCACCCGCAGAAACATGACATGATATTTATTTGCATGAACTACTACACTTCAGTACACATCCAGATCACGTTCTATGATACACACACTTCATGTCTGAATGAGCAGACATTCTTTCTGACCTGCACACGTCCACGTAGACGCGTTTGCTCTGCTTCCCGAACGCGAAAGTTCCTTGCCTCGGGTCATTCATGATCCCCTCCTTGGTTTTCTAATGGTTCTTCATTCGAAATATGCTCTCTCAGCCTCTTCCTTCAAAGGACTGCACCGTTCTGTGAAATAACAGAAACACTCGCACGAGCCCTGTATCTTCTATTCACCCGTTGATCGCAGCCAAGGCCCATGCGCTTATCGACTATCTACACATGCCGACCTGCTGTCAAGGTAGGTCTGGTCGGTCTTCAACTAATTACTCGGCCTGGCTACCCACCACTATCCGCAGCCGAGACGTTCACGTGGGCTTCCCTGTCAGGTTCAAGTCCAGGTGATCCATAGCGATAAGCTCAAAGATCGCCGAGGCGTGATGAGCTGCAGTAGAACTATGGAGACCACCTGCTTCTCACTGCATCTGCATCTGCATCTGCATCGTACATGTTAGTGGCACATGGACAGCAGACTAAGGTCTCAGTGATTACCCAGATGAGGAATAGTCGCGTGCTCACCAGCCACATTTACTTCCATATATTGGCCTGTGGCTGATATTCCTCAAGAGCTCAACACCCTGCTTAGCGTATGTAACCACAACCATGAGCGCAGCCCGTCTCCTTACTCACACTTATCATGCTATCGTGCACCATATACTATGTGGCTGTCTCATTTGATTCGGCTCGTATTGATTGATATTGGCGATGGCATCACTCATCACTCCTTACCGTGTTATATCTCGAGGTCGGAGAATAGATAGAATCGCTACTCCCAGTTCCAGCCATCGCGCCTCCTTCTTTGAAGAGGCAGGTATGTTTTCATATCGAGTCCAGACCTTCCAGGTCTTTGAACAATCTTCTCATCACTTGTCTTCTGTAGCGAAGAGTCATTCTTTTCCTTCCTGGGTATCTCATTGTCGACAACCTGTTGACTCGTCTGTCGTTTTGTACATCCCCTAATATTGTCCATACGTTTCTTTGGTGGCACTGCCCACTGTACCATTCGTTATTCTACATTACAGCAGCGGTCTCGCTGTTACTACGCCGTGATTATATTCTACCTAAGACCTCCATTCTGAACACCGGATCCGACAGAGGCATCAGCAGTATTCATTCTTTAACAAATCTCTGCATATACTCACTTTGTAGTATCCTCGCGGCATGAAGCAGCTGCTCGTTATGCTAGTAAATCACATACTGCTCGCAAGTGTGGCTTTCCGGGTAGTGCAGTGCTTGCCGACAGTCTCAGGGACAGATGGAGACCGCACATTATCAAGTTCAATCAAGGCAAGCTCAACTTCGAGTCAGCACGTGTGCCCGTCTCACGCGCGACCCAAGGCAGTATCACAAGCTCGAGCCCAAAGCGCCCCTCACGATGGTGTGCTTCGGGGTGTCAACATTGGGGCCTGGCTTGTGCTTGAGAAATGGCTAGTTCCTAGCATTTTCGAAGGAACTGGTGCTAGTAAGTCTCTGTTGAGAGTACGCCCCAGATTTGATCTCACATCTACTAGAGGATCAATGCTCCTTTGACCAGTTACCGAACTCTCTTGCGAGATTAGAGAAACACTGGGCAAGCTGGTTCACACAGCAGGATGTTGAGAAGCTTGCGTCATATGGGTTCAACGCGTGAGCTAGGATGCTACGAATTTTGGCGGAATATATGCTGACAAGCCCTCAGACTCCGCATACCTATTGGATATTGGGCCTATGACACTTTCGATAGTCCTTACAAATCAGGCGCAGATGCATGGCTCGAGCGCGCCCTTGATTGGGCAGCCGACGCGAACATGAAAGTACTGATTGATCTGCATGGTGCACCTGGGAGGTGAGTTTATGTGCGTCTTGATGTGCGTTTCGAATGTCACTGATGTCCTCTGATAGCCAAAATGCATTTGACAATTCCGGATGCATAGGTGTTGTGGACTGGCAGCGCCCTGTAAACTTGGAACGAACAAGTGCTATTCTACACACCATGGCCAGAAAGTATGGACAACAGCGATACCAAAATGTCGTTATGGGGATCCAGTTGATCAACGAGCCTATCTCGTGGGGAGCAAATGACTTTGAGAAAACGAGATCATGGGCCAAAAATATCACGCAAGATCTCCTTGCTTCCCGTGTGATCGAAAATCCAAATCTCAAACTCGTGATGCACGATGCCTTTAGGGATGTACAAGAATGGCTTGAACCACACAGGAGTCTAAATGGTAATGCCACCGAGGCCAAGAATGCTCTTTTCGGACTGGACACGCATCTCTATCAGGTCTTTGTCCCAGAGGACAAAAATCTCATCCAGCAACAGCACATAGAGAAAGCTTGCAGATGGCGCGAGAAGTTACAAGCTGCGAAGAAGGCCAACTTTCCCATCTATGTTGGTGAGTGGTCCGTTGCTACCGATATCTGCGTCTGGCCAGACAACTCGACAACGCCTGGTACTACGTGTACTGCTGTTGGCTGCCAATGCCAGAGCGCCCCGGTATCAGATTGGTCTACCGCACTTGTGAAGGAAGCACGCAAATTTGTTGAAGCACAACTTGATACCTGGCATACTGCCTCAGATGGATATTTCCTGTGGAACTTCAAGGCGGATTTGGGAGCAGCTGGTCCCTGGAGTTTATACGAAAGCATCGAGAAAGGCATTGTTCCCAACCCCATATGGGACAGAGCGTACCCAGACATCTGCTCCAGCTGAACCCGAAGTTGGTACTGCTGACGTCTTGATCGTAATTTTAATTGTATATACATACTTGAGGTCTGTCATTGTACATATATGTAGACTATTCTTAAATCCTAATAATCACATCAATCAAACAGAACGGCGCGGCATGGTAATGAGTCGCTATAATCTCGTGATACTAAATTTGCATCAAGTATGATCCTGGAGATATTGGGATAAGCTATCGCAGTTTTCAAATAACTGCTGTAGTCGCAATCTTTTTACATGCCTGGCATTGTTCGAGTGGAGACATGCATACCTGTACTTGTCAAGACCTTTCACTGGAGCCAATAGCTCGTTAAAATAACATACTTCGGTATATTCACTGTGGAGATCGTTAAGAATACGCTCTATATACTGTTTCGAGAATCTCCGTGACGAGTAGTGCTTCCAGGATAGCCCCCACACAATTTAAGACTCGACTTGAGGCCATAAAGCCTTAAGATTTATAACCAGCTCAGCAGCATAATAGTGGTGAAGATGATTGACGATGTAGCTCTTTGCACGGAGGCCGACGCCGGACGCACAGCGCCAAGATCCTTGTCTATTTCTTATGGGCGTAGTACGATCAAGTGTTGTAACTGATGACGTCTCCTGTCTCCAGATTTGTCCTAATGTTACCTTCATACTAGTCCCTCCGTGTATGCGACTTGTTTTCAATTCGTGTCCTTCTGCTTGACATGTACCTAGCAAGCAAACAGGGTATCAGCTCTGTCTACGACATTATTCATTGCTAATGTTCGGACTCCTTAGGGTAAGATTAGGGTAGTAGCAAGCCTAAAGAAGATTGACGCGAGCCTATCTGGTACACGACTTGAGAAGGGAGATATAATGATGTATCATATTGGTGGCAAAGCATACACTTGACTCACTGGACGCCCGGCACACCCCACTTTCCGAGCAGAGCTAAAGTGAGCAAAAGCATCTCTTTGCAGGACTTCGGCTTTCCACTCTAACTGTGGTTGGTTACAACTCGTACTGCATCATCGAAATCGACAGGTCGTATACCAGTAACATGCAGATCATATCTATGAAACCGGCAGTAGAAATTGTTGTAGAAATGCTGTCAGTTACCTGGACAAATATGCACCATGGTCCATGAAGATTCGAGACGTCGCATACCTGCACTGAGTCACGGTACCCGGGACTATATTTCCAACAAAGTAAGTAAGGTCTAAGAGTTCAACTTGTGACGATATCACGTTCTGAGTAGGTGTCATGTGAGAGCACAATGGCGGAAACTTGTCCTAAGAGAGTCCAATTTTGCTATGATTTATCTTCCTCTACCTACGCCTGTAACCCAAAGTTTCGCAGATACGTTATACTCCATCCTGCAAGCATCATGGTTCATTGCGCGAATCACTTTATTGTCGAGTTCACGAGGGACTATTTAACAGTGTAGAGCTTCAATATGCAATTTTGACGCCTTCGCAAGGATACAATCATTCAATTCAACGCTATGCAGTACACAGCTACTACACTATAAATGATAGAATGTGACGCATAAATTGCGTCCGAGAAAGACACGAATCGAGTCAAGATAGTCTCACAGAAGGATTCACCAGTTCTAGGTTGTCCTAGACAGGTATTAAGACCTCTCAGTGCGGAGCATCATGGAGTCAGAGCTCCTGATAGAAGTCTCGGGCGACAACAGACACAAGTTCGACGGCACAAACGCCATCGGAGCTCAAAGCTCAAGCTGCTTGACTGTTTCGTACAGTACTGACAGCCTAATGAATACTATCTCAGCGAGGTCGAGAAGTCGAGCAGCCACATATACAAAGAGCCTATCGCATGATCAGACGATGGCACCTTGGTTGCGTCAGCTGACATTAGCGGTAAAGAATCTGTGAACTGCACCAGGAACCGCCACCAACCGACTTAGTGGTAGAATGAGTCCTGCCTGTCAGGTAAGTCGTACTTAGACAGTATCTTTCTCACTTGCACAGTCATCAACTGCTTGTGTACGCCACATTGATGCTCACACCATCAATATAGACAGTGAAATGATAGAAGATGCAGCTTTGAAAGAGCTTGCCCTGCATTCAGGGGAACGGCAACACTCCGCTTACTGTGGAGCTTCTAGTTGTCATTATAAACCCGAGAAAGACCGCAAGATGTAAAGTGAGCCATCTTTGGATCAAGTTACTCCATCGAGCTGAAGGTTGTAAACGACTCCTGGGGACATGTAGACCCCACGTGTTGCCAAGTTATACATTAGAGCCAAGTCTTAGTAACATCTCGCATCCTGTATTCAAAGTAAGACCGAAGTTCATTGTAAGCTCATTGCTCTCGACGTCCTCCATGCGTTCGTCAAGATTCATAATGTCAAAGGCAAGGAATAGCAATCGGGACAATTTAGATGCCAGACACTCTGAGGACCTCAAGGAGCCTCTTTATGCCAAGAGTATATCCTCATATATGCAGGTTCCATTATATTTCCATCCATAAGATTAGCTGGTCTTCATGGACGCTCATAATTGGCTGTGTACCGTCCATAGCCGCTCACTTCCCACCCCCACGCTCCGCAAGCGAAGGATCAGCGACACAGCTGCGAGCATGCTCGTGGACTTCGAAGGGCAATATCCCCTTTCTACTAACCGGGCTCGGTTCGAGAGCTTGCGACTACATATTCTCTTGGCAGACGGAGAATTGCTGTTCTCCTTCAGTGACAAAGTTGCAATTATGAAGGTCGAGTCAGTGAGAAGCTAGAAACGTATAAGCGAGTGGCGAGAGATCCTCGGACCTCTTTATTCATTTGAATGTGTCAAGCCATGCAGAACATGCCCACCTGGCAAGGGTTTGTCTGATGTCTTGTGGGAACTTTGGTAAATTAGACGTGGCAAAATTGATTAACGTGTCTACTAAGTCTATCTAAGTGCTATATATACCAGCCTAACGCTAAATAAGATCTAAGTAACGGGGATTACCTAATAGAAATCCTATATCTTCCCCCTTCTAATTATACGAGCTCCTATAAGGCCGTTAAAGATAATTAATAGAGTTAGAATATATAATATAAGGAGGTAGGCGTGTGAAATCTCTTCGGTACTAGGCTATATTAGCGATACGTCGCGTAAGGGCGGTAGTCCGAGCTTATTTTAGTACTAAATAGTTACCTTTACTATTCCCGTATTCTACTATTCTTTAACCTTATATTTCTTAACTAATTTAACCTTTTCCTTAGTTTTTCTAATACTAAATCCTTTTAATAATATCTAATAATATAGCTAAAACTCCTACGAACTTAGAAATTACTCTAATTAATACTATAATTTTATATATATAAACTTTAACTTTACCTTTTTCCCTTCTAACTTAAACTTCCTATAGCGGATATAGTTATAAACGAGAATCTTCGTCGTGCTTTCTTAGATCCTCTATATAGAAATTCTAACTAGTTATCGCTTAATAAAGTATTAGCAGCGAATAAAGGTACTCTAGATAGTAGGTTAAGTTATCTTATTCCTTAAGTATAGGTTAACTATATAGTTTATAAGAGTTACTTAAAGATAGTCTATAGCTATCTATATCTAAACGGGCCTTAGGGTTCGCGATTCTTTTAAGAACTAGACCTAGAAGATAAAGCTTTAGCTTAATTAATTAAAGAAGGCGGTTAGAGCTTTAAACCTAAGGTCTCTAAGACTAAAGTTAAGGCTCTAGCCTCTTAAGGATTAGTAATAGCTATTAATAAGCCTCTTTCTAAGGTAGAAGGTAATTTATTTAATATACCCTTCTATAAGAATCCCGCTAACCTATATAGATCTTTTAGATAAAGTTACGGGTCTAGAGTCTATATTAATTACCCTTAACGAGCCCTTTAAAGTCTCTATAAAAGCTAGTTAGTTCGTAAATCTATTAGAAGACTCTAATAATATTTTCTATTCTAAAAATAAAGATAGAGAAAGCTCTAGGTTATTAGACCTTAATAGTAATACGTTAATTAAAGTTAATAAGCTTAGTAATATAGTTACTTCTAAGGTAACTAAGAAAGGTAAGTCGCTAAGTCTTATATTAAGATTCTAGTTCCTAATTCTTATCTAGGCTCTTATTCTAGGATACCTAGGACTCTAGTAAAGATCCGTAGTGCCGTAAGGACTCTATTAAAGGTGTTTAATAGCTCTAAAACTCGCTCTATAACTTCTAAGCTAGCTATTATAGACCTTAAAAGTCCTAATAAGATTATTAAGAAGACTTCCGTAAAGTAAAAGGGGTCTATAGCTTCTTATAAGGTTAGTACGATAGCGTAACCTACGGTAAATAAACTTAATAGCTATAGTAATACCGAGATCGAAGTAGTAGATTATATAGGCCTCCGAGTTTAATCTAATTACTACTTCTTTTTAGAGAAGTCTATTAAGTTTATATAGTAGTTAGCTTACTAGAGTAAGTCCTTATCTTATTAATTATCTTTAACGGTTAGCTAACTTATTCTAGGGGGGCTATTCTCGGACCCTCCTATTAACGGAGCGCTCTATAAGGAATTTATTAATAGCCTTATTAAGGCGTACGCTAGCGGTTAGCACGCCTTAATTCTAAAGAATCTACTTCTATTCTATATAATAGATAAGTTTAGTAACTACTATTATCCTTAGAATATTATAGTAGAAGGAGGGATCTTTTAGGATCCTTTAAAACGCCTAGATAGGTTATATCCCTATACTATTCCGGCTATTCTAGGTATAATAGCTCGCGGTATATACTAGTACTTTAGCGATAGTATCTATAGTTCTTATTCTACTAGTAAAGGTATCTTTAGGGAGTATATATAGCTTTTTTCTAATAGGTTCCTACTATTTAAAGGTACCTATTTAAACTATTTCTACTAAGGGAATAGGAAATTCTATAGTATATCGTGTTATAAGTTATTCCTTTATATTATTAAAGGCTTTTAATAGGTTTAATACGTTTCTATAGTATACCGTAGCGAGCATAATATTATTAAAAAGCGCTAATATACCGAGTAGTCTTTATTTATAGAGATAACTAAGGCTACTAGAAAGTATTCGGCTACTAAACTTTATTAAAAGAAGTTATTAGGTCTTAAGGAGACTAGGTTAAACTCTAAGGCTAGTCCTTCGCTTATAAGTTAGATTTATATCTCGTGTAATCTCTAGCTAATTAAAAGATTATAGCTATAATAGAATAGATATATTACGGCGGTCCGGAGGTCCTTGTTCCTAGCTTTAATAATACTATATCTCCCGACCCAAGTATTATCTCTATTTATTCTATATAGAACCTTAAAGATAAAGGACTTCCGCTTAACGAAGCTATTAAAGATTAGTTTAGTTATCTAATAAATGCGTTTAGCGAGGTTAGCCGCACGCCTTAAGAGCTACTATATAAGTTCTTAATTAATAATAGTATGCCTAAGAAGGGCGAGAAGGTATTAGTATAATTTATAAAGAATCTACTAAATTCTACTCGTAAGGTCTAGGACTAAGTAGACGGCTTCTATTTTATAATAATACCCTATCTTATTAAGCGTTAAAAGGCGTTAACGGCTTTCTTTTATCTCTATTTAGTCTTATAATTCTTAAATAGCGATTTTAGACTTATATAATATTATTATAAGTCTACGTCTTCTTTCTTTAACCTTCTAGTAATTTCTAAGGCTCGTTAATCTTCTTTAACGGCTATATATATTCTAAATAAGTAAATAGGGGGTTAGTAGTACTATATATAAAGGAGATAATTAGGGAAAGACTAAGGTTAGTTATATTCTAAGCGTTCCTATAATAGCTTTAAAGGTAATATCTTTTTCTATAGGGAGTATCTCTCTCTTTCTAATCTATTAACTCGTCTTAACGCGCTAGCTATAGCCGCTTAGGTTTCTCTACTACGTTTATCTATATAGAATCGCTTTCTTTTTCGTGTATAAGGTTTACTTTCTATAAGATCCCGTATAGGGACGTCTAAGTTAGTTAGAGGTTATTTATTTAATTTATTAATCTCCTTTAATACTTCTTCTATATCTAAGTCTATATCTATACTTATAGGATTCTTATATTCTAGTTAGATATCCTTATCTAAGTCTATTTATATATTATTAAACTCGTCTCCTAAGCTTATTTCTTTAGGTAATTCTTTCTACCTCGCTTCCGTTATAGCTTTCTCTACTATATTAATCTTATTTAATAGGTTATCTATTAGTTTCTTAGTTATTATTTAGACTTCCTCTACCCTTAGAGTATTATAGCTCTCTTTAATATTTATTATTAGTAGTTATATCGCTCTACTATTCTCGTGTTATTCTTCTAGTATATCTCTTAGTTCGTTAATAATAATTAGTACTAGTATAATTAATATAGTTATAGTAGCTCTCCGTTTACGTCGATTTCTTATATTAGTAAGTCTAATTTAATACGTAATATTTACATCTATTAAGCTCTCCTCTACTAAGAATAAATATACGCCCTTATATATTAACTCTCGTTAACTCCGTAGCTACTATAGCTAGTTCTACTCCTTCTTAGGAAGGGAGGATAGAGTTATCTAATATAGAGTAGGTTTCTCTTTTTCTAAAACCTTCTTAATATCTAGTAAGTAAGGTGCTACTTAATTCCTAATTTCTTTAGATATCTATAAGTTAATCTTCTATCTTATCTAGAAGTTATCTAGCTTATTAATACCTCTTACTATAATTAGCCTATTACTATATATAAGGTATCGTAGGATACGTCCGTTAGGTGTTTCTAGCGCGTATATACCTAAGGGGTATTATATATAAACCTTATAGGGACCTAAGTAGTTCGTTTTAAACTTCGTTTTCTATTTATTCTTTAGTAAAATAATTTAACTAATAGATAGTCGCGCCTAGTCTTTAGGTTTAAGCCGAGTCGGATCTATAAGGTCTCGGTAAGCGGCTTCTATAAGTAGTTTATTTAGCGCTAGCGTCCTAGCGTATTATACTTTCTTAACTTACTTAATAAGTTTATTAAAGGATATTAACTTATTCTTTTCTCTAGGAATATTCCCTAGTAAGTTAGGGTACTATCTATATACTAGATAATATAGACTAACTTCTATACTTCTATATTATCGGATTCTTATAGTAAAGACGGCGGCTAGTAAGTATATATCCTAGTTAGTTACTAGTTCGCCTATATATATATAGGTAAGAATACCTTCTAAGATTCTATTAAGGCGTTTAACCTTCCCCTTTATACGAGGGTAATAAAGTATAATAAGCTTATATTCCGTCTTAAGAATGCGTAGTAATATACTAATAACTCTTAATAGGAACTATTAACTATTATCTAAGGTTAGTACGGCGGGAGGTCTAAAATCTATAAAGATTCGTTTATAAATAAACCTCGTAATAGATTCTACGGTCGCTTTAGGGACTACCTATATAATAGACTATCCCGTTATATAGTTAATTACTATTATTACCTAACTATTACTATTATATGTAGTAGAGAGTACGCCTATAAAGTTAATACTCTATTTCTTAAAGGGTACTTAGCGTATAACCCTATAAAACTATCTCTCGTATTATGGATTTAGTAGTACTTATTATACTAATTAGTATTAATAGTAATTACAAGCGACCACCTCTACGTCTTTCTTTATTTTAAACTACTAGCCTTATTTTTCTAAGGCTTCTAGTAGTCCGGGCTATATAAAGTAACTAAATTATTAATATATAGTTTCTACTAGTAACTTATAGTATTATTCCGGGAT